ACATACATAATAAGCGAATGTCCCAAACAAGTAAATATCCCAAAAATCCTAACCTCTAAAGTTAAAACCTCAATAAAACCACAACAATATAATTAATCAATTAAAACTAATCGCTATACTCTTCTCCAGAGGTCTCAATTATAGCCTGACAGGTCCTTACATTATAACCAGCCTTTCCACATATTCCACAGCGCCTTTCCCTCGGCGGCGCCGACCTTCGTCGACCACTACTTCTCGATGATTCAGCCACTACCTGCGCATTAACGTCTCTCTGATCTATCTCATCCCTTCCCTCATCTAGAGTCATCTTCCCTCTATTCTGTAGGCGGGTTCTTTTCGCTCTGCGCCGCTTACTAAGGGTCTCATTTGCCTGTCGAAGGATCTGGTTCTCAGACTTCAATAATGCTATCTGATGCATTATTGCCTTTGTTCCCTTAGAAAATGACTCGAGCGCCTCAAGGATAGATGTCGGAGAGCTGCTTTGATGCCTCCTAACTCGTCTTTTGAGGTATTCGGACTGCGAGCTGGCCTCAAGGACTGTCTTTGGGGTCTTCGAGACCCAAGGGTCAGGGAGGCTGACCTCCTCCTCAACCGGTATTGGAGTCCGTAGCTGCACATCAAGCTTTGATATGACATTTTCTGAGTCTAAAGGAGCAAGTCCGGCCCCTCGAAAACCCCCTTTAATATTGCTCTCCGTCATGGCGGCTTGGTGGGCGGCATAAAAGGCCGGAAAGAACTCAGTCTTTGAAACGTGGGTTATAGAGCATCTGATCAACTGCTCAATTTCTTAACCATAGGCTTTTTTAAGCGGCCCAAAGCACCCAACATCAAGAGGCTGAAGTAGATGAGACGAATGAGGTGGCATACAAAGTGTAATAATATCGTTCTGTTCACAATATTTCTTAAAGTTGACTGAGTGGTGACTTTCGTGCCCATCGAGGATCAGAAGACGATAGCGACCGGTCGATCGATTCTTTATGTGCCGGTCAAAGTGCTTGAGCCACTCAAGACCTGTCTCATTGTCGGTCCAGCCATTTTGAGTCGTCGCAATAGCCCAATCGCCCGGGAGGTTGCTTTCCCGGTACCAGCTGGCGAGGTGATATTGGCCCGCAACTACGATAAACGGCTGGATCGCCCAGCCTTCCGCATTAATCGCCTGAATGACTGTAACCCATTCCCGATTTCCAGGCTGCACTGATTTCGGGTTTCCACGCCTATCTGCACCTGTAACGACCATTCCGCTTGCAATTATGCCCATCATAAAGCCGGTCTCATCAAAGTTGTAGATATCAGCTAGGTCGATACCATATTTCGCGATTGTATTCTCCACAAGCCGGAACCAATTGCGAATAATGGTTGGATCTTTGCATTTGGCCCTCTGATAGTTGTATTTACGAAAAAAACGCGTCTTGAGCTCTGGTTGTCGCCTGACGAAGTTAGAAGCCCAGCGCTTGCCGACAGGTAACGCGTCGCGGTCAGCGAGCAGTCGGTTAGCCATTTCTTCAACACCACGCAGTCGCGGGGGAAACCCTCGCGAATCTAGGTCGAGAATGAATTGAACAATAATCTGTTCCTCTAGATCGGATAGCTTGCGTGACTTAGGGATAATATCGCGTCGAGACTGCATGCCTTTCTGGCGGCGCCCTAGCCTTTTATTGCAGACATGGTAGATTGATGCAGCGCGTCGGATGCTTAATGATGGATTGTTTTGAAGGGCTTGAAGAGCAAGAAGGATATTAGCCTCTTTATTAAATTGAGACATGTTTGGTGGTGGTAAATTAATTAATCAAATGGAAGAAAGAGAGATTGAGGGATTTTGGGACATTCGCTTGTCTGGGACATTCGCTTATTATGTACGTTATATATTATCTTATATTAAAGTTTTAAAATAACTTTTTAAATATAAATTTATAAAATCTAAAAGAAATAATACTCTATTATTATACTATAATAACTATATAGATAATATTTAGTTAAGATTTATTAAAAATTAATAGTTTTTATAAGGGGGTTAAAAACAGCATTTTATATAGGATTTTAAAGTGAGCTACTCACTTATCTAAGACACTCACTTATCATACACGTTAGTATACTATAAATAATTTAAATTTTCGTATATAAAAACAGGGTGGCCAAAGGGGGGGTGCAAAGCAGGTGAAGGACGTTAAGTCTTAGTTGAGTCGTTCGGTGTTTTCTTCGAGGGATCAGCCCGTTTTAAGCACACAGATATCGTCAGCGTAGCCGAAGCGGTGGATTTTGTCTTCTAGAAAGCTGTCTGCTATGTATAGCATGAAGAGGACTGGGGATGCGGGTGATCCCTCTGGTAGTCCGCATGCGATCTCTCGGGGCTCCGTTGTTGTGTCTTCGAGCCGGATCTAGCGTGTGCCTCTTCTATGAATGAGACGACGAATCTGACCAGGTTGCTGGCCACCCCTGCAGCCTCATTCGCAGCATCAGGCGTTTCCGGAGAGTAGCGTCAAAACTCCCTACACACCTAGTGTTATCCTCGCCGTGCCCCTGCTTTCACACGCGAGGGCAGCGCCAGGAGCAGCCTTCACTTGATACTGGTCCAAGTCCTCCCGAACCATATAGGTAGTGCGCAACCTACCGCAATGTCACCCGTTGCTCGTCCGCTTCGTCTCTTGGGCGTTGCAATTCTCGGGGAGCATCGCTCTGACTGGCGCCGGAGCCCGATTCGACGCCGGGACTCTGGCTTTGCAAGGGGTAGCTCGCGTGCGTAGGAATGCTGTCGCCTCTCTGCCCATAGGTGCTCCCGCAGCCGTGATCGTGCCACACGAGAGCCACGAGCTTGTTGAGGACAATGAACTCCATTTTGAGCTTGATGCTGTACACGACTGGTTTCATGGTGGCCTCGATGACATAGAAGCCAGTGAACTCAAAGAGCACCAGGCTTAGGTCCAAGGGGACGACAAGGGCGTTGACAAGAATCAAGTGTGACATGACCCTCGACTCCTCGCGGCCCCTAGCTGCCAGGGCGGGTTGAAGACATCGAGCGAGTTTGTAGGCTTCGTAGATGTAAAGTCCAGATATGATGAGTTCCTGAAGGGCGAAGCCAATGATATGAATCCTCTCGAAAACCCGGAACCCGCCAAGGAAAGGATCAGGGTTTCCGGAATTGGCACCCAGGAAGAGGACTGTGGTTGGGATATGGAGAATGCAAAAGTTTGTTATGATCATGGTGAGAACCCAGCGGAGCTCCGCTGTATTGTGAACCAGCAAATGGAGGCGAGAGTATAGGACAACGGCTTGGCCGGTCACCATGAAGTACCAGGCCAGGTCGTTGAGGACGCTCATGACGAAGTCTGGGCCGACAGCGTAAAGGCGGAACAAGACTGTGATGGAATGGAGCGGTATGCCGAACGTGGCCACGCACATGCTCCAGAAGTACAAACCTCGTCGTTTCTTGAACGTGTAGAAGATGGAAATAGCGATTTCGACGGCATTATAGCATGAGATGCCGAAGAATGCGGCTATAATCATCGAGAGTGAGAGGGAAAGACCCGCGGCCCCGGTCTCGCCGGCCATGTTGAAGATTGAAGTCTTGGGTGAAATGTAAATGTGAAGAGATGGTTAGAAGGCTGAGCAGAGCAGGATCTCGAATCTCCATCCTTGTCCCAGCCCGTTACAGCGAGCCCGGGGGTCCTTCGAATCACCTAGTCTGTAAAGTGCTTTCTCTGTGTCCGACAACCTCTGATAAAGCTCTTTCGCTAATCTGTTGCCAATCGTGTACTTCTCCAATGTTCTAAGCGCGGGACGCTCTGTGGATCGCCATCCCCTTGCGGACATCGTTGGTGGCGAATTGGAGGTCGTTTTCGGCGTATTGTGGCATGCTAATTCCAAAATGTACTTGTTTTTCGATTCTCTTGATACGTTGTTGAGAAAACGCGATTTTCTTGTTAGGTTGCGGGGAAGTTTTTTGGGGTGTGGAGAGGTGCGCAGGAAGAAAAGCGGGGGGACTTGCAAATAGCCTCTTTTCATCCGTCGGCGATTTTGTGGCTAGGTCTGGATCGCGAAAAAAGGGTGCCGTGTGAGGCCACATGCAAAGCTAGTTCAAAACTAGGCCTGATGTTACCCCACAGATTCGGCAGGTTCACCAAGGCGGGCGGACCTATGTGTGGAAGTAAGATTACTCCGCACCACGCCAATTCAATCTGTGCCACACACTTGGGACAAACCTCACACAAAGGTCAAGGGCCGAGAACTTACCCATCTTGTGACCTCTCCCTCCTACGCGGCCTCTACGTCATTCCACTACCAGCTCTGCGTTATATCGAGCATCGATACCAGGCTGGAAGCCGCGGAGGAAGCTGTACTACAGATCGGGAATGCATTTCCTTTGGCTGGGCCAAGCGAATCTTGTCGCACTCTAGGCATTCGTCACCAAATATGGAGCTGCCGCCAACGACGTATATGTATGGATTGAGCGAGGATCTTCGCCCTGTCTACTGTGAATCGGCTTATCTACGTAGCAGGTTTTAAGTAGGGACTACAACGGGTCCTTTAATGAGCTAATTACCTCGCCCCTGGTGTGGTGGCTGGTCACGATGTATTGCGGGGCAGGGCTTTGCGGCGGAAGCTAACTCCTGCGAAGTGTGGGAGACTGTCCAGCGGCTCCAGATAGTCAGGTCGACCGCCGCAAAGGGAGAATTAATATCTGCCTCAAAGGTCCCATGGGCCGTCGTGCGTGCATGTGAAAGGGTGTGCCAAGGCCAAACAATCAGCACATCCGAGCCACTGCGCCAGGTCCAGGGTGCAGATTCCCAAGTTCACAGAGGCGAAGTTGATAATCCAGAGTCGAAGTTGGAATGACTCGGTAGAAACGCCACCATCCAAAGTTTGATTCTGTTCAGGAACCATGCCTGGGACCCTGAACGGACAGACAAACATGCATATCCACACACAGTTGCACACACAGATATACGTATTTACGCACAAACAAACGCGTACAACTTTGGATGCGACTTGGTCCGCGTGGTTCTCTGTGTTCCTGGAACCTCCGGGCCACGCCTGCAACTTTGTCGGCGCGGCGCGGGGCCAGCCTTCACGGAAACCAATCGCAGGGGCATATTACAACTCGCTCACCCCGGACCCGTCCGGCCTGAGGCAGCAAAGTTGCTGATGGTGTCCCCCCGATGGCCGTCGGATGTGTCGAGACATTGGGCTCGAATCAGCTGGTAGCTTGGTGTTTTCAGCCACGCTGCCGCCACGGAACATGCCGGTCTGATTAAAGGGGGAATGACGGAACATGCTGGAGGCAGTGCACGTAGCACTACTTGCGGGCTCAGTCGCCGGTTGGATGACGGTTTGATCAAGAAAGGAACCGGGGTAGAATCTTGGGCAGCCAGCGATCATGCAGGGAATCAGAGGCTGGCACATTTGACAGCAGGTCCGTGCTCCGGGGAAGCGGGTTCTGTCCGTGGGCCGGCCTGTGGCTGCGGGGCGCGGCATTGTTCCAGCCGCTAGCCAAGCTTGGACTGATTGGTGGCACGTGCTTGGCTCAAGCGGCAAGCCTGCCTTTGCCTTGCGCATCCACCATGTTTTTAGCGCCGCAGGGGGGCGCTTGGTCTTAAAGTGAAGCCCAGGTCGGGTCGAACCTTAATTCCAGATCGGCCAATGCTTGTCCAGCAGCTCTTCTTTGCGTCCTATGTGCCGAGGAACTGGGCAGAAAAGTAGTGCTGGCGTCACCGTAGTGTGCGTCCCTCGCCCCCCCCCCCGGAACTCCCAGCGGCACTACTTGCCGGAGTGGCTCATCCACGTCTCAGACAATTCATAGGCGTTGAAGTTCTTAAATTAGGGTATGAGGTGACTACGGATCTGGTTTCTTTAAGAATCATGTTTGCGCTCTAAGGAGCTCAGAGTGTATTCTGAATGTTAATTTGAGATATTCAAGATAGCAAACGAGCTCAAGTGGCCCTTGAAAAGATTTATATTTCGACATCTCGCAAATAATGCTGCGATCTCTACGGAATGTTCCATCCAGCACGCGCCCGCCACGATTCATGTATACTTTACAGAGGAGCTAACGCCTCGACGGATATCTCCCCATGCTAGCGTATAGCGAGGCACTAATTGAAGACTTGCACTCGGACTGTTTATGGTTATATCAAGTGGATGTAACCGGTCGGATTGTGTGGCGGGTTTTCGGAAAACCCCGCACCTGTTACACCATTTGATATCCTGCTCTCGGTGATTTGATCCACCTTGGCCTCTTCAAAGGCTGGCACAAAAGGCCTATGATCGGACACCATATCGCGAATGTTGCTCTTTATCATGCAACGCTAAACCAGTGGTGGTGCGCGAAAACAAAGAATCATATAGGTGACGATAGGACCATCTACCGGTTCAACGTACGGGTCATGATATTGGCGGGCAAATCGACTCGGTAAGAATAAGTATGCAACCCATTACGAGAAGCAAATGTGATGTTCCGGGGAGAAGCACCGAGGGGGACTATACGAGATACGTACGTAATAAGTCGAGGGACAAGCTATCCAGCCAGCTGTTATCTGCCAAAGGCTGTTACATAATATGCATCTCTTATATACACAACTTATCAGCGCCTCCTGTTGGAGTGTGCATTCCACTTTTGGTCTGATGAGTTAGTATGACAGAATGCGACAAAGGCCTTTCGGTCTGACAAGTGGCTGGGGCAATAAACATGAAATAGGGACTCTGGTCCATTTTTTGTGACATCCACGCTGCATAGACTCATCCTCCGTAGTTTTTAACGACTCCCATTCAAGAGTCGGAACTACTACATCCACTCCACATTGGGACCAAGTAGAGTGGATATACGACTTTTTAGGCAATTACATAGTGGATGTAGCACATATTCGACCGGAGTGGAATAGATGTACACACGTGGATTTATAAGTGGATTTATAAGTGGATTTTTGACGCTATTTACAACCTCGTCGGCGCCTATTCAGCCTCACTTTCAGAGGTTGACACTAACTCTTCAGCCTGTTGCTGCTGTGATGAATCGTCAACCTCGCTGGTGTTGTCCTCGCCCTCCAATAGCCATTTTCACTCAACAAGCGCCAGCTCGTCGTTGCTTAGAGTCCCACAACCGCCATCCAGCTTTCAAGGTGTGACTTAAGCAGCTAAGCTATAGATCCAGGTCCTTGATGAGGCCAGCACGGTACCAAGAGCGTAAAACCTGGCAATGGCGATAATCTCAGCATCTAGGTTCGTACGCAGCCCCGAGACCATCTTGTCAGCAGCTGAAAATTGTTGGATAGCTTATGTGACCATTTGATGACATTGAACATATGTGTGTATTGCGGAATGGCTCGGGACAGTCAGGTCGGGACAGTCAAATGACAGGGATTAATGCGCTAAGCAAGGGTTAAGAGACGTCGTCTCTGGACTAAGATCTGAATAGGAAATGGTGCTGTAAGTCCCCTGCCAGGCGCGTCGTAACAAGAACCTCATCAGAATCGCGTCCGTGACTTGACCAAGCTCGATGGAGATCCAGCATTACGTCCGAAGTAAAACCAAGCCAATGGAGGTCCAGTACCGCGACACCCTTCCCAATGACGTTCGCTCTGCCTATATATAGATCTATATCGACAAGGCCATAGAGGCCCTTCCACAAGAGTATCTGCGTGCTCCTGTCACCGGTGACGAAGTGAACAGCCCAGAGGAAGATCTTCGTTGGTTCCAAGATTATGCTTTCACCCAAGGTTTCGCTCTCGTCACTGCCAGCAAGTCACGCGACCGTCTCCAGGTGCACTGTATTCACCATCAACTTCCTTCCTACATCTAACTTCCTTAGCTGCTAATGTTAAGGATTTGGCCAGCCACACACCAATTCTGTTAACACCCACCTGATCAACCGACCTTCCTTGCGATGGCCTCCGTGCCAGACGCCCCCATCCCCTTTGATCTAGGGCCTCGAACCCCTCTGCACCTCCCTCAGAATGCGAGGGCTGCTCTCATCCAGGGTAGCGAATATGACATCTCCGAGGGTCCAATCCACGGAGGGGCCATCAGCACTCCAACGCCCGCGCCAGGCTCAGTCCTCTTGGGAGAAGACCCTTAGGTCGAAATCAACATGGAAGATATCTTCGAACCAGCAGCCTTCCTAGAAGACCCTCTTGCAGACCTCCTCGCAGAGCTGCCAGCTCAACCTAGCCCTCTGCCTGGTCCCCAGCCCGGCCCTCACACCCCCCCCCCCCCCAGCAGCGATGTCTTCGAACACAGCAAGGTCTCGGAGCCTGCTATTGCCGTCAACCTCTCGCGGCTGCAGCCGGAGTCGCAGCCGACAGCCAAGCTATCCTTGATGATAAAATGAAGGTCTTCCGGTCCTTCTGCGCAGCCTTTGACGAGACAGCGAAGCAGTTCCCAACAGGGCGCATGTTCCGCTTCGCCCAGCAGATGTCGCAGAGCTTCCTCAGCCATTGGGCAAGTGCCCTGAATGGTGACAGCCAGCCGCCGCCGCCAACAGCCTCACATCCCGTTCGATCATACGCATCTGCCCTCGCAGCCGACCTCCCGATGCGCCTCGCCATACCGCACAATAAATCTCAAACTGCCCGTGGGACCGCCCCTGACCCCCAACGACGACCCCTTAAGCCTCAATAGGCCCGACAACCCCAGAAACAGCAGCAAGAAAACTCTGTTGTGGCCTATGACGATTCCAGGGTCTTCATACGGCTCCACGAGAATTCCCCTGCTTGGGAAAAGCAACCTTTTGCGATACGAACCCACTTGGCCGACAAGCTAGGCATTAAGCTCGACGCTATCCCGCAAGCATCTAGAACTAAGACCGGCTGGGCTATCAGACCGGCTAACCTTGACATCCGCAATAAGATCATTAACGAAGAAGCCTGCTGGGCGCCGGCCCTAGGCGCTACAGCTGTCGAGCTCGCGACGAAATGGATCACGTATGTGGTGTCTGAATGTCCAAGGTCCCTGACGGACCTACTAGGAAAGACTGTGGATTACGAAGCTGCCCTAAAAGACGAAGTGGAGGCTCAGACAGGCCTACGGGCTGTTAGCTGCCGACCATCCCGCAACGACGACTCCAGTCAACCGACAAAGACATTACTCATTTCCTTCCTCGAGCAGCCAAAGCACGCCTTCCGTCTCTTTGGGACGAGTCGGCTAGCGAGACTGATCCGGAAGACTGCTAGACCTAACCAGTGCAACCTCTGCTGGGACTAGCCCTGCTTCAATAAGAGAGAGAAGAGATATAATTACTCTGGCAGATTATCCACAATTATCGATTATTTGTGCAAGGAGTATAGAATTATAGTCTTTAGGAGGTAAGATAACTGCCGAGTAACGACTTAAAGCCGCCTTAGAGATATTACTACCTTTATAACTAATAATACCCTTATACTCTCTAAGAAGCGTAAGATAACAGCAGAGGGAGATATATTAGATTAAGCTATCTTATGCAAGTTATACTGCTGCTACATAGTAGCTTGCAGTCTTTTCTTTTCTTATATTAAATAGCCTGCTTTTTATAATTTTATCTACTATTTTTATTCAGTTATAGATAACCTTCTTTTAAGGTCTGCTAATATAGTTAAAGCTAACTTATAATAGATGTAACGGTTGTGCTAGACCGCTATACCAGGGGGTAAAAGATTGGTTAATAATTGCTGTGATGGCAATTATCCGGGCATATTACTGTACTATAGGGCTCCTATCCGCTGTTCAGTAAACCAAGCTATAATAATAGAGCTATAATAATAAAAAGGTATTTATAAAGTAAGTTTTATAAAATACCCTTTTTTCTATTTATATTATTTCTAATAATTAGATATTTCTAAATTACTTAGAGGTTATTAATTTTACAGTTTAATTTATTTCTAAAAATTATAATTTGCAGTTTTTTATAGTAAGAATAAAAAAGCTAGAAGAATAATATAATATTAAGAATATAATAGAAGCTATTATAAAGTTTATATAAAAATATAAAATAGTATTTAAAATTAGATACTTTATAATAGATAATACTAGTAATATAAATATTATAATTAATAAAATCTCTAATAACTTAGAATATATTAGAAGTTATAAAATAGTAGAAAAATAAAATTAATTATAGATAAAAAAATATTCTTATAAAGAATATAGAAATAAGAAATAAGATAAGATAAGAGATAAGAGATAATAGTATATAAGATAGTATAATATAGTATATATTAATAATATATATAAATAAAAAAAAGAGAAAATAAACTCTAGAGGAAGCTCTTTTTTTATAGATAAATTAAGCTGGTAAATATATAAGTATAAAGATAAAAGTAATACTATTAAAAAGCCTAGAAATTCAGCTTTAAGATAGTACTAAATATATCTTTCTAGATTCTTTAATTACTAAGTAATATTAATTTTAAATTACAGAGAAATTAAAAGCTAATACTTATAAATTAAAATACTTAATTTCTAAGCTTAAATAGATTAATAAGCTAATTTAGATAAATTAGTTATATAGTATAAATAGTACTATTAGTATTATATTTTAATATTATATTATAAGATTTTTCCTAGAATATTTAAGCTTATATTTAAGCTTAAATCTTAACTATTAGAAGTTATATAATTATAAATTTATATATTTATTAGACTTTTAACAGCCTTTAACAAGTTTAAAAGAGGTTAAGCTAACAAGCTTATAGCAGGGAGATTATAAATTTAAGAGGAGGTACTCGGTATCTTATTATTATTAAATAGACTATTATATATAAAGCCCTGATTAAATAGGTTAGTAGAGGATTCGTCAGTATTATTATTATATCGAGGTCTCTTTAGGGACTTGTAATCTTATTAGGTCGGCGTTGGCGAAGATAGAGGCGGCGTCGGTATATCGTCCCAGTTGGGCTTCTGCCCGGGAGAGTTCGATGGTTTTGTTGCGCTGCAATATACTGCCAACGACTTGGAGTGGCCCGGGGGGTTTATAATAGACTCGAGCCAGCTCTCGATAAAGGCGTCGAGTAATTCGGTCGTCGGGTGGCTTATGAAGGCGCAATAGCGATAGACTGGGGACTGGGTGGAGATCTATTAGCTTAAGGTGTGGCGTGAAGAGTAGGCCTGTGTCTAAACGGTGATGTAAATAATGAGGATACAGATATGATTGTTATATAATAGATAAGGTGAGCTATTAGGCGTTGGCGCGGAAACGGCGACTGATATACTGGCGCCCTGGCGCTATTTTAAAATTGGTGCCTGGGCGCTTTTTCTGACTAATCATCTCAACATTGCGGGCGACTGATACATGGGCACCTGGGGCGCCCGCTACATCCGAGCCTGAAATCATGCACACCCTTATCGTAAACATCAACACCCGCTAAACCCAATCCATCGGTAGCCTCTCCACCAAATCTTGGCGTGACTTTGACCAAGGTCATGGAAAATCAGTTGACTTGATCGCCTTCCAAGCCGACACGCTATCTGTTACGACCCAGGGAGATCAACCGGGTACGAACGGGAAACGGCGGAGCTCGGAACGGAACAAACAGACCCCGGTGGAAGTGGTGTGTGGTCGAACTGGTCGAACGAGAGCGCGTTCGACCACGATCGACCAAGCAAATCAGAATAGTATATAGCTTCACTCATTTGCACTCTCCTATATCTAGATAGCTCTTCAGCTTTCAATACAATTTGATTACTCAAGAACACTTCTTGACATTATCAGACGTGATACGAAACCCTACGCTCAGCACGCCACGCCCCGTTCCAATTGCCAACATAAACCAGTCAGGTTACGGTTTACTACGTTGGGAACCTTGACCGTCACACATGGCGCCTCCATCAACTCTTAAAAAAAAAAAAAAAAAAAAAAAAGACATTCGATGGCGCAACGATCGGCTAGCAGTATCGCCAACTCGAAATACACGTACATACCAACAAATATGACCATTGAACCGAGGATGCTTCTAGAAATAAGGGAAACCCTTCGTTAATATAATTAGCTTCTAGTCATATAATCCAACTCCGCTCATCCCCGCAAGTCAAGTGAGGTGGGTAGGAGAATGACTCATGCGTTAGTTAGCTGGCTACTGGAGTTGATGGAATTACGCATCTTCCCTCAGCGGTCCCCGGTGGCACTATGAATGCTAAGTTATGTCTGCATATAGGGCATTATCCGTCTACTAAGCGTAAAGTTTTATCAAACAGAATGGATTGGTTGGAACTGCTTAGTTAGCGATAGAATCTCTTATGGGTGGAAGACCAGCTATTTATCTAGGGCCGTGACGGCTTCCTTGAGACGCCGGAGACACCGGTCCCGAGACCGGATTCCTAGGGTTCCGGGCCCTTGAGGCCGGCAGGCTAGGAACCCGGGCCTAGTGACTGGGAACATGAGACTAGTAAAAACCACCCTATTAGACCTTTCCGTCTGACAAGTTTAAAGGTCAACGGGACATTAACGTCATATGACAGACTACATCAGAGCTCTTATCAAGCAATGTAGGACCTGCGAACGTGGCATACCAACCTCAAGAGGAGTGTAGGTACCGCCGAGAGAGAGCAGCAAACTGGCTCTCGCCAGAAGTATCAAGCAGCTACAGCACCACTCCCTAAGGCCCTAAAGGAATTTGCCAGATGCACTACTATTTGGGAGGTGGCTACCAGCCATGCCCTAGTAATGAACACTGGAGGCGTGGAAGACCCAAACAGCTGGCTTGAGGACTTGACTAAGGCGGTTGAACCTATTTTCAGCAGCTCGGTTACCATCCCCGCCTGGATATACAAAGACAAGCTTGAAGATAAGTCATTGATCATTGGAGAAGTCGCCAAGGACCTTCGAAACGGAGCAGAACGACGAAATATCCTCCAAACAAAGGAGAAGCGTTCGAGAATTACGCCTTTGGGTCCGACATTCACCACAGATCAAGGATCATCGACGTAGCAAACCATACAAACACAGATGAAAGACTCAAGCGTGCGCTCCCAGGATCAGCGCAGTAATGGCAAGTGCAAAGCATATCAAGCCCCATCGTCGAGGCGAAAGCGCTTTGCCTCTTCCAACGACAACGACGCCATCTGCAAGGCATGTGATAGTAATAAACGCACTGACTACGTTTTACGATGTGTTTCCAAAGATGGCATCAGAGTACTTCAAGGAACGAAAGATAACCCGCGATGCATCCTGACATCAAACTCAGCGTCGACTCGTCCCTGAAGGTAGAAGTAAACCGACTCGAGAAGGCCAGTCAAATTGAAGAGACCGACTGGCTCAGATGGGCCCTTGGGGAGTATGTGGCAAGCTTTTGTAATTAATTTCCTCTTCAGTTCGGCGTTCTCCGTCACCCAATCCCCCCTGAGGAACTCGGCTCTTCTTGACTCAGGTGCAACTATTAATTTGCTTGCCATTGGGTACCGAGCCAGCCACGAAAAGCCTCACACCTACACCAAGTCCAATGCAACCCACCGCTGGTCACCGTTCGCACCAGCCCCCGGACCAGAGACTTAGCTGCGACCGCCCGCATCCCTTAGATTATGTCGCTTACGAGGGATGCGTGGTCTAACCCCCAACTTCTAGATGCCACCCTTCCGCAGCTTCTAGCACGAGCCCGCCGAATGGGTTCCTGCGGCATTTTCCGTCCCAACATGACTTGAGCGCAGACGCCACAGAACGCCCGGCGCATGCGCTCAGACTATGTGGCTTCCCGGTGTTTTTTGGAGTCTCTCGAGTGTCCCACATGGATTATCTCCAGGTCCCGTCGCCTTCTTCTTCCTTGGTTGTCGCCTCTCCCGCTCCCCCATAACGCCATAAACATGCAAAGGTGATTTGATCCACCATGGATGAACCTCGTGCAGCTCTCCCTTCAAATCCAGACGAAAATCGAGGCCCCGATATCTTGGTCGCAACGCTGTTGGTCACGACGTTGGCGACGATCGCGGTAATTGCACGAGGCTATGTGCGATTATTCGTTATCCGCAATACAGGATGGGATGTATGTTGGAAGCCCATACTGCCTTTCCTTTCCCTGCAAGACACGACTTGGAGATTCGTGTGCTGATCAACCCGCGCTCCAGGATGCCTTCATGACTATCGCCATGGTCTTGGCCTGGGCTGGCCAGGGTTTAATTGTCCCAGAAGTGTTCCACGGCGCCGGACGACATATTGGCGACGTCGACCCGGCCATCTACCAAACCGGCGTGAAACTGAACTTCATCAGCCAACCCATCTTCCTAGTAGCCATCTGTATGGTCAAACTCTCCGTCGGATCCTCGCTGTTGCGTATCGCATCGACAAAGTTTTACAAATACCTGATTCTCTCCATCATGGCCTTCACAGCAGTTTACACGGTTGCATGCGTCTTCGTATGTTGATGATGCTATGTTCCTAGCGCCACGTCTTGTCCGCTGACTTTCCCCCCTAGACCCTGATCCTTCAGTGCAGTGATATTCGTACCCTCTGGGATAGCATGGTAAAAGCAACCTGCTGGTCTCAGCAGGCTCTCCAAGGTCTCTCCTACACCAATGCCGCATTCAACATCCTCACCGATCTTCTTTTTGCCGTCGTTATTCCCATACCGATGCTCTGGAATCTAAATGTCCATTTCCGCACTCGGATCTCTCTCATTGGTATCCTTGGTCTCGGTATCTTTGCCTGCGCGGCTGCCTGTGTCAGGTTGGGCTATGCGGCCAACTACGGCATGTTGGGCGACTGGCTATGGGATTCGCGTAACCTCACCATTTGGGTGGTTGTCGAGCTTAACGTCGGTATCATCGCTGGTACCTTGCCTTGTCTCCGACCCATCTTCAAGAGCTTCCTTGGCAGCATATACGGCACAGGATCGCGCAAGACACCTGCGCTGGGCAATACCAACTACGTCCATCGAACATTGCCGAGTGGGAAGAACTGGCAGTCGTTGTCTGGTGGTCGACGTGACGAGATTGCGGACGAGACGAGCAGTCAAACGGCCATCAATGCCGGCCTCGGCGAGTACGAGCTCCGAGATCGCATGGCGAACCAGGCCGGCATTACGACCCAGACGACGATATTAGCAGACATCGAGGCCAAGTCGAGCGACGAGAGCGTGGACCGGGTTGGTCTAGGAGGTGGCTATAGCGAACGCCATTCCGGCATTAAGAAGACAACAGTTACGACGGTTGAGGTCTCGCAATCTAGGAGGCTTTCCTAAAATACCCACACCTTAATTATGCTAGTTCATTCTTTGACCTCAAGTTTGATCTACTGGCGTCCTCTTTGCTACTTAGCGGGTTCACGATCGGCGCAGATCTAGATGGAAGGGTTTCTATTTTCTAGATTTTACGATGGTGTCATCTTGGCGTATTGAAGCCTTCTCGAACTTTACGCTGCCCAAGAGCCCTAATATAATTGGTTGATTTGCAACATCTCACTTATGAGGGGCTATTCGGTGATGCACTAAATGTTGAACAGGCATCTAAGCATACAGTAAGTCTAAGCGTTATGCTCCGACCATCCATTTTATGGCTCCAGTTACGCTTTCGTCGCTTTTAAGTGAGGCAGCCAAAGGCAACATTATGAAACCATGTGGTGAGCCAGGATAGATACTGACTTTGATAGGAACCCTAGTCGAAGATGGGTTAGGTATGAACATTAGGGATGGGGAACCCTGGTGAAAAGTAGGAAGCGGTCTTGCCCAGTGTGACGGGAACGTCCAGGATGTTGTACCCAGGGTGAGGTCGATACGAAACTAGGGCTCGCATGAGGCGCAAGTCAATCTTATGGCCGCCATCATGCCCCTAATGGCGGCAGCGATCTTATCGTGGGTGCGAAGAACGGGAAGACGCGGTCGGTGATGCATTCAATGGCCGGCGTCATCAGTCGCGGATCTGCGCATCTGTGCGCCCGTCAACGGAGACGTCGACATTCGGACGCTCCGTCCAATGCCCAGGAAACGATCTGCGACCTTGACCTGAGGTGAACAGCCACAAGCAGGGAGGAAGTTTCAGCACTGACACGATATGCTGAGAAATACCGCTTCGGGGCGGCATCCGAGCACCTCCGTAGCTCTAATATTCTAAAACTCAGATGGTAGGACTTAATTGTAAGACTTTCTAGGGATCAAGTCCTAGAGGGGACCGTTTAAAGATAAAAAAGGTCTCAAAGGTCCTTCGATTGCAATAACAATAATAATAATAGCAACCATTTTTATCAAGTGCACTCAGCATCCCTGCGCGATCCAACAACATTTCTAGATTCAGACCTAAATTCCAACTCCTATAAACCGAGCCGCGACTTGAAATTGAGAGCACTTCCATCCACTCTAGATATTAGCAAATATGTTTAAAGTAAATTCGATAACGGCAAGAGATCTGATTAAGCTGAGAAGTGTTAGAATTATTTGGCCTTATAGCCGCAAAGAGGGAAGCTATAACTGTGATGTTGAACTTGCTGCGTCGCATGCATGCGAAAAGCTTGACGGGCATGCGGTTCTGAAATCAGAAGGCGGTCAGGTTCTGCCAGTTCTAGCTTTATACGGAAGGCGGTGAGAGGAGTGGCAGGATTCTGACCACTCCACGTTCAGCATTGACTGTTGTGGCTAGTGATTGGGGTGGCGCAGTGCTTACGTAAAGGTCCGGCAAGCTGTCTTCACCTCCGCAGGGTCTTAAACCCGCTGCGCTTAATGATCGTTACCGATCTCTCATGCCGGGATTTCCAGACCGGGTTAAGCTACGTGGCTGTCTCTCGTGTGAAGACGCTCGAGGGCTTGATGTTGGATGCCCCATTTGATCGCAATTACCTGATTTACGCGTCTCCCCCAGATGGTATGAAGATGAAGATGAGGGATCAGCAGCTTCGGAGACGACAGGTTCTTACACGGAATCCCTACAAGACAGACCACGGTTCTGCATAATTCTAAGTGATTCTGCTGGCGACAAGAAGAAATGTTACAAAATTGCTCCAGCCTTCGGCTGATTGTACCCCTTGCACCACCGCTCTCAAGTGCAAGGGGTGACGTAGTATTTTATGCATGCCCTTGTGCGTGAGAGTGCACACCATGTTGTTCCTATTTGTTTACATTGCTGACCGAATCTCCCTTTCCAAGAATAATAACATCATTTCCCAATGTAGCATTAGATGCCCAAGTCTTTGAGCCATCCTACACGGAACTGAAGTTGATCTGAAGCTGCACCACAAATGAAGTGCGCGTTCCAACCGCATTGAGCTTCCTAAACGGGCGAGCAGTAAACGTTTTTGATGCCAGTGAGGCAATGATTGGGCACCTGCTTTACGCCTTTGTAGTCAACAGTGCCGCAAGAGTTGGTACTGTTCGACGGGTTAGCTCAACGTGATAAGATTGGTAATTAGATTATGGGATACGTACGCAGTGCCATAAACACAGGCGCAGTCCGTGTCAGTCTTCAAGGAAGCGATGGAGCCAATTCCAGACTTGTTGAGAGCGGACGTCTTGCGGTAGGGGTAGCAGCCATTCTTGCAATTGCCCTGCAGGTTGGAGCCATCACAGACTTTGACGTCGCAGCAAGCCCTAGCCTCGAGGCCGCCTCGTGCCTCTTCGACGGGAGAGCAGACAACCAGGTTAGATCCGAGGCCGAAAGTAAGGAGGGTAGCGGCAAGAGTAGTGAACTTCATAATGTCTGTTTGAACTTGGAATAAGGTGTGGCAAATGGGAGTGCTTGAATGTTGAAGCAGTGTTTCTTATTCACTGAGGAGGCCTTTATTTATAGTAGATTCTTTTCCAAACTCTCTGGACAGGGATTCCTCTCTGACCGAATGCCTCCAAGAATCATGAGATGCCAAGTCCCTCATGCAGTAGTAGCGCCGGACCAACATCACTTGTCAGCACGTCTCGCCCTTCGTGGGCTACGTCAAGTCTGTTGGTTGAGTTGCTCTTACAAACTTGTGTGGTTACAGGGGCATCGGCGATAGAGAGGTTCTCCATTATATTTCCATCGGATGAGATGCACACTGCCGGGGTGATGCACCCGCTCGCCTGAAACAAGTCTCCGTTACGGTTTATGCACTTTGCGCTTGGTCTGAACTGCTGTCCTGAGAACTTATGATAGGATAGAACGCAGGATACCTATTATGAAAGCCACCATAAGTTAATAGAACTCGAGGTGCTCTGAAGGCATTATCCGTCATCTACTTGAGGTTATTACTACGTAGTAAGTCATAAAACGGTCGCTCTGGACAATACTCGGCCCGTGCATAATGGGGGGAAAGCTGAAGTGCCGATTAGTTCGCATGTCGAACTGAAGCCAACCTCCCCGGAGCGCATTCTGCAGCTCAATCATCCATTAGGGACCTCACCTCGTGTTCAGTCCGTTGGCCAAATCAGTCAGTCAAAAGTTGAGCTGGCACAACTTGCGTTGATAAAATGCATCGGCCTGTGATTTGCCCATGAACTTGAAAAAGTCAAACAAGAATGTTGGATCCAAGCGGTGGCCGTGGGACATTTAGCCACTCCGGAAAATGGGGATTGAGCCAATTGTCCAGTGCCATGATTGACCCAAGTGTTGATTTCTATAGACCTTCCTAATCAGTCAGCCAATGCGTTGGCAGCTGTTGGTTGAGATCCCCTTGAAGAAGGAAGGATCAAATCTAGAACTCGGCCCGGGCCATTTCGGGCATGTCCTCCCCTGCCATGACCGCATGTCTCATACGACGGCGGAAATTAGGACTGAATTGCCATCGGGTCATCGGCAGCTGTGTTGCTTGTATAATCCGTGTTTGATCTCGAAGAAACAGCTTGGTTGAGTGCTAATTGCTATTTTCCGGACCCCATGTTGGTCTTATTTCTTCATTTACAAGATCTTTCCACGAGGTACCTACCGATGTCGCGTAAAGTCACTCACTCACGTCCGCTAGTTGCTGTTCAAATACCCGACTGAAACAATTTCCGGTTGCGCCGCCCCCCCCCCTGTTTGCTGGGCTGGGAATAATACGAGGTCAGACCCTCCTTCATAGTACGACCCACGCACCCGGACGGCGTGGGCGGACGGTCAGGGGGTGGAGAGTCGGTGGATCACGGCCTGGTCTCTACAGTATCCTGCGGGTGTGAATGGTCATTTGCCCAGAACGCCCCGAAACGGAACTGCTGCCGAACAGCCTCGATAGCGGCTTTTCATTGGATGACGATAGCATACGTCGTTGTGCTGTGGCGCTCTAAGCTGTGGGGAAACCACGCCACCGTCCGCGACGCTAACTACCTACCCGGAGTAGCCAGTCAGGCCCTTTGCGCTTCTTTCTCCAAGTCACTCGCCAGCGTTGTGCTACTATGTACAGCTTGCTACTGCCCCACCCTTTGGCATGCTGCGCTTTTAACACGATTCGCTTTGCACCACCCCCCCACACCCCAGTGTCGATAACGGAGGTTCTCGTTCACATAGAACAAAATTATCGTGCTATTCACGGAACGAGATTTCTTGTTCACATAGAACCGTGCATGCACATCTCCACCCACATTACATTAGTTCTTTGTCCACAGGGATGCCTGCTAGGGGCTGTTGCATGGGAAGCGGGTTGATTCCCGAGACTCGAGTCGTGGTAAATGCGAGGCTCGTTCTCATCGTCACTAAACCAATTATCCGCAGAGTCTGCATCCATCGTTGTGTTGATACAGATCAGGAGGCGGACCTTCGCCGGGTGGCGATTCTCGTCGGAGAGGTGAGTCATAGAGGACACGATGGCCATAATTTACCTGTAGTGATCGCGAACCTGATCGTGGCTCGCACCGCGTCCATGTTTGGTGTCCATTTCTGTCCATCTGATACAGCCTTGCCTCCTAGGTGGAAGGAGAGATTGCCACGTTTTTCTTCTACACATTTGGACATCATTTCCTTGCGTTGTGTTGTTCATCTTACGCATCGGAAGAGGAAGTGCTTCACCGTTTCTTTGCACGCCCGCACGGGCAGTCGTCCGACGGTGCGGCCCTGATCTGATATAGGTAAGGCAATGGTCTTTACCAACACTGAAGGTATCCTGGTCCCTGAGCTCTACAACCCTGCCACCAACAGGTGGACTCAGCTTGCGCCTCACGCTGTTCCCCGCAACTATCACTCTGTCTCCATCTTGTTGCCTGATGCCACGGTGTTTATCGGTGGCGGCGGCCTCTGCTACGTTGCTAAGATTGGTGGTTCAACTGCTGGCTGCGACAAAACAGCTGACCATGCCGATGGAGAGATTTTCCAGCCTCCTTACCTGTTCAACAAGGATGGCTCCCTTGCTAAGCGTCCTATCATCTAGAATCTTGCCCAGAAGCCTGTCAAAGCAGGTAGCACTCTCAAGTTCAGCGTCACCAACACTTCTGGCAAGGTCAAGAGTCTCTTGTCTGTATGGGAAGTGCTACACACTCACTCAACAGTGACCAGAGGCGTATCCCTCTCACCGGCTTCCAAGCCAAGGGCAACCAGTACACTGTCAAGCTACCCAAGGATAATGGTGTCCTTCTACCTGGCTATTACTATCTCTTTGTGATGTCGCCGCAGGGTACTCCTAGCATGTCAAAGACAGTCCAGATCACTTTGTAATTAGCAAGCGGACTGCAGTATTCTGCTCTCAAGATAAGAACACTCATTACACTATAATAAACCGTATTTTGCAACCCTAATAGACTATAACTATAATGGCCAAGTTAAATGGCGTTCATCTGTATTGTCTTTATCTCTTGATTGGCGATTGCATTTTAATGCTGTGAAAACCCCCTCTTAACAAAAGTGACATCTGCTACACGATTGACCTCGTTATATAGCAAACAATACCACATTTCAGTAGCTCTAATCTCATGCATCCATAGAAACCATGTTCTAAATTCTAGTCTCATCTTTTATCTAGGTGTTTATACGTATAACTGCCAGAAAGTTTGCAGAGCTATAATAAGCAAGGTCTGGTTTGTTAAGGGGTGTAGCCCAATCACCATGCACCTACCAGTTCGCCAATTGCCGCCTGTTGCCTGATTGCCACTCCCTGATCTTACAGTAGATAAAAGCCGCAGTCTCTACCCCTCCCCCAAAGTTCCTTCATCTCCAAATTCTTGTCAATTTCTCTACTATACCGGATTCGTTATTGTGCTTCCCCGTGTGGTGTATTACTACTCATGTTGTAACTGAAAGATTATTATATTCTTATCACACCTGTCAAGACATTGCTGCACTATGACCTTGACAAAAGTACCAATGATACCCTCGTACGCTATAACCTTTGCTTGAGGTTTGTGTCATACTGATATGAAGCAGTTCCGAAATGAACGACCCTGGTATTATGCACCCAGTTGAGGAACTGTTCCTTGACATCTCCATTCATGAAGTACTTACTCAGACAATGGTAACATTTGTCGAGCCATGGAAGACCATGTATATCGATTCAATTCGCGAGCAGCGGTACGGCGACGCCATTTGGGCTCGTTACTGCATAGAGGGAGGGGTAGAAAACGGTGTCATCTTTGGTCAAGGCCCAAATCCCGACATTACGGTGCTTGATCAAATCAGGGAAGATGCAACTGAGGCGAAGACGAATGAACCGGGACTTTATGCAGAGGCTCTAGGGCTCTACCGAAAGACTAGTAGTACGGACGGGCACCCAGAAGTCATTAAGATAATTCTTGACACTGATAGAATGGAGCCCCAAGACAGAGAGGCCAGAGGCGAAGACAAGAAAGGAGAAGATGGGGAGGTCTAGATGAGCGGGGTAAGCCAGACCAGGAGGCCCGAATCACTAGGATGATCTAGATATATGACCTTGTGAGGAGGCAAATTATTGTATGCACAACGGGCCGACTCAACTCATAGCTTCAAATACCTTGCTCTTGTTCTCTGCACGAGGAACAAATACCCGTGCTAAGTCTCGAAAGCCAGTGTGAAAGAGTCTCACTTAATTGAGGGAACATGCTCAGAAAGACAATAACTCGGATGTGTCTGTATTTGACAATGACACGTGTCCAATCCGGCCAATCGGACCAAGTAACAATGTGGAGTTTAGAGCGCAGAGATAACAACCAACACATAATGAGGACCAACAGAGAGTCTCAGATCATGGCGCTAATCCAAAGATGGCATATTAGGTTTCGTATAGACCCTGTCAGTATGATCAAGTGAAATGGCCATATTACAACATCTCGGATAACACAATTCCAAAGTTAAACAGAGACATGCTTAAGATAGTTGATAGGTACCTTAAAAAGGACCCAATAAAGATATACCACGTCCAACAATATTCAATACCCAACCGCGAGTAACCAAATTGTATCTCTTTGTGTGTATTCAGTTACCATGCGAAGGATTCTCCCTCATTGATTATGTTATCTGCGGGATTTAGTCACCCTTGTTGCTCGAGAACCAACAACTAAATCCTGGCCGAAGGATTGCGGCAAAGCAAACAAGCAGCTAGCAACCAACAACATATCGTCACATTCACTACCATGAATCCTTCTCGTACGACAAAAGCAAGCCGAGAAGGAGATTGCCGTGCTTTCCGGTCAAGAGCTGTCAGGTCAAAGTATAAATATGCTGGAATGGACTGGTTCATGGTGTTATCCCAAGTCACCAAACGCTCCTCATCATTCAATTAAAACCCTAAAATGCTTTCTCAACTTTTGATATCGCTCTTATGCTGAGTGCACAGCTTGCTGTTGCATTGACAAACTCCTCTCAGCTGCCAGAACAGCTTTGTTTAGACATCCCTATCAACGATATTCTTCAGAACACGTCCATGTTACTATTAATCGAGCCCTGGTCTAGCAAATATGTCGAAGCTACCCAGAGCAAGAGATATGGTGATGCGATATGGCAAGGTTCCATATAGAGGGAGGCGTCCAAAATGGCATCACCCAAGACACAAACGACACCATTTTGGACACCATCAAGGAAGATGCAGCTGGCTACAAGGTTAATGCTCCTGTTCAATACGCCGAAGCTGTTGCCTTCTACGCGAGTACTAGCAGTGAAGACACCCACTCGGATCTCATCAAGGCCATTGTGGATGCAACTCCGGATGAAAGCCTTTCTAAACGTGCCACGTTCAAGATAAATTGCGACGCTAACAACAATCTCGCGTTTCAGTCAGACTATCAGCAACTTATCCGTAACATGCTGAGGAGCAAGATAAACATTGGGGACACAAGGCTTGCCGCTATTTATGGTGGTTGCAGACTGAGGGTTGGGCCTTATCGTTCTGCTCCAGATGTCACGTATAACACAGCACATGCGGTGGCTATCCTCATCGAAGAGAAATGCTCGAGGAGGATTGGATGTTGCCAGTTTGTGTCAGGTTCTTCTCCAAAGAATGGGGGGTACCGAAAGGTCTGTTTGAGCTCGAAGCGGAGTGGATGCCGATGAATAGTTGAGTCTCATACCTTAGAAACTGGACAGTGCTGCACTAGGGAGCCACTCCAATCCCCTCACTAGCTGCCCTCAGTGTTTAGAAATTCAGCGAGGCTCGGAAGTTCCGGATGGGGAATGCTAGGAAATGGGACTTGAAGCACTAAGTTAGGGGTACGACAATAACTACTCTGCAGAATATCTGTAGAGTTTACTTAATTATAAACTAAGCTGATCTTAATTCCCGTACTTCATTTATCCTATCACCGCCCAAGTAGTTTCTCAAGTCACTTTAGCACTAAAGACCGAGGTCCTAAGTTGAGCCCGGAGCTTCTGGTGTTCGACAATGTAGTGTATTCTGTCAACTGCCGCGACCTTCTCATATTTACAAAACAATGATGAAATATTTGGCTTTGTGTAACTATGGCACTGCAGATACCTGCGATTTCTCGATGCCATATATCCGATAATACTTTTCACTAATTGGAATCTGCTTTGCACCAGCTGGCCGAGTGACATTCCGCCCCCATTACTTTGGCACGGAGTGTTTATCCTGCCACTCATATATCGCATCAAAATCCCTACACTGATGGTTGACAGCAAAGTCTGGAAATGGATTCGACTGAGTCTCAACCCAGTTGAACGTAATGATGTCCAGATTGCCATTACACATCAGGTGTTGCATCAATATGTCTGTGCAATGGCTAACATGAATCCAATGCAAGTCGCTAAAAGGCTTCTTAGCTGTACCATTGCGGTTGTAGTCCACCGATGGGCGTCATGCCTGGATGGGCAACAGCAGGAGAACGAATGGGCAAGGCTGGCGCTCGTGGTGGTGGAGCAGTCGGTGCCGACGCAGGAAACGAGGGAGTATTGGATGGCGCAGCGGAAACTGATTCCACACGCCGAAGTGGTGCGGAGATAGATATAAAAGGCAGGCGTAAGCAGATAGTTTATTAGAGATAATTTAGTAATAAACTTACTATATATACTGGGAAATCTCGATAAAGACCAGGGACAGCTCCCCGAAGCCGAGATGATATATAAGTTAGCACTAGAAGGGAAGAAGAAGGTATTTAGATGAGATTATATATTAACTCTTAATACAGTTAGTAACTTAGGAAATCTCTACTAGAGCCAGAGCAAGCTTCCGGAAGCCAAGGCGATGTATAAGCGAGCGCTAGAAGGATACAAGAAGGCGCTTGGGCTAACTCATCCCAAGACGTGTACTGTTACACGTAACTTGCGATATTTAAACTCCAGCCAAGGTACGAGGCTACTTAACTATTATTTTATATATAAAAGCCTAATGATAATAGTAAATGCGCCAACCAGACCTAGAAAGAATGACTTAGTTAGTAGGACAGAGGTTTCTGTAAGACTATCGACTAAACTTCGTAACATCATCCCTATTCGCAAGAGGTCATAACAGTAACAAGAGACACTATTTGGCACAAGACTCTACTCTATACACGATCAAATTCGGTCACTCTGGATATTCAGAGCCAGATAGCTTGTCTCTTTATTGATACCTCAACATTCATAAACACAATCTCCTATCGCTCCGAACTGGTTCGGTATTTGAGCTTAGTCGAGCACCGGACTTGGATCGTGTCCTGAGAACGGTGTGGAAGAGCGCACTGAATCTCTGCCCAATAATTTCCGGTTTGTCTCATCTTGCGCACATTATCGTCTTCCTCTAATAACCACTTTCCACCGGATGATCTTGTAGCTGAAAGCGAAGCCTTAGGCGGTTTTTGTGCTCTACAGCTGCATTCGCACCGAGGAGCTCCTATGCTTGGTGCTGTGGGTCGACATCATCTAGCGTACATGCTTCGAGGAATTCGAGAGTTGTTTTCCTCTTTTCACTATAGCCTGGCACATACTTTGCACCTATCTCAGCTCCTACTGTATCAAAGGTCGTCTCAGGTTTCCAATGGCACTGCGTGACCCAAGCTTCCGTCATTTATTTGACGATGTGCAGACGTGGAAATGTGCGAACAGCTTCACTGTACTCTCCATTGGTCAAATGCCCATTGGGGACAAGGTCGGGGCCCTGGAAGTCGGCCCAGATTCCATACCCACAGGCTTGCACCACAGGCTCCTTGTAAAAGACGATGCTGCCGATGGCATGCAGAGCGATAGCATCCCATACCAGCTGTAGGCGGTGCGAATCCCACGAGTCCACGGTACCCTGGCGTCTGAGGGAATCGCGTGCCAGCTCTGCCGAGTCCACCTCGCATCGCCGGTGTGTAGTGGCCCCCTTCCGCTCCGGATCGAACCCAAGGTCGTGCAGAATGGCAGCTAGGGCGTGCGCTTCTACATCTCGGTTTTGGAGCTCGGGAATCTTGGCCGCGATGATGAACCCAAAGACCTAGCATCGTTGGATATGATTGTAAAATGCATCGTTGGCATGAGCGCGAGCGAATTTCAGCGCCTCCCGAATCAAGGGTGTGTCAGAAACCTCTACCCCTGCAAGCATCTGGGTAGGTGGGAGCGGTATCGACGCCATACAAGATGTTTCACGACTGTGTTATAAGTGCTTGGGAGGGGGTTCCAGTGCTGTGGTGTCAGATGAGCCGAGGACGATGGTAGGGGTAGGGATGGAGCAGCACTATCAACGATCAACTTCAACTCCATTTATTAATGGTGGTTTGATATCGCCGGTTCGGGCCTTGACTCGTTGTCAATGGCCAAGTACATTACGTGCATCTTCCAAATGCCCGAGATGCCGTGCCGAGATGCCGGGCCGAGCTCGCTATTGACTAGTCATCCGGAGATATCTTTTAAATGCCCGAAATGCCGTGGGGATCGAGTGCTCCAGATGCCGGGCAGTCAGGGAGCGGCGGTAAGCCGGACTTTTCGTGCGTAGACTTGCTTGACCACTCCCCGGCGGCGGCGGGGGTTTTGCACTACGTGTAAGGGCTTCTTCAGCCTCGCGACGCAACGGCATTATCCCCGCAATCGGGCTGCTCATAGCAGCGGCAAAAGGATACAAATATCGTAGATTGACCACACTCGAACATCGACTTAATCGATACGAAACAGTCCAGAGCCCAAATCGACACACGCATCTACTTCACTTTATCTGTTATACCAAATCGCAAAGATGGCGACTTGGACCCCATTGACGGTGACTGTGGCGGGCGCCACCGGCAACCTTGGTCAACGCATCATCAAGAGGCTGTTGGCGGTTCCCAATGTGTATGTGCGCGGTTTTGCGCGCAGCCCTGAGAAGCTTCCTGAATCCATCAGCGGCCATAATCAGTTCACTGCTATCAAGGGCCAGGTTCGTTAACATTCAATCTTGTCCGACTATCCCTGAGCTATAATCTAACAGGAAATCTAGGTCAACGATGTCTCTCAGGTTCGAGAGGCTGTTAAAGGCTCTTCTGTCGTGCTTTGCGCATACCAAGGATATGATGATGGTTTGGCTAGCCTCTTCGTGGTGTTGCTCGCTTTCTGACTTGTTATCCAGTCATGCTGCACGGCCAACGCAACCTTATTGACGCTTGCGAGGAATTCGGAGTCGCGCGTTATGTTTCCTCCGACTTCACCCTGGACTACAACAAACTTGAGCTCGGTCAGCATGAAGGAAAGGATTGTATGATTCAAGTCAAGCAATACCTGCAAGGCAAAAAGGTCAAGGGCGTCCACGTCTTGATTGGCTGCTTTTTTGAAACTTGGCTCGGCTACATGCACGTCTGGGATCCCGAAACAAGGTCCTTCACCTTCTGGGGAGATGGTAATGAGATCTGGGAAATGACTACATTTGAAGATGCAGCTCGCTACGCCGTTGAGGTCGTTTTGGATCCGACAACAGTGGGAACCATTTGCTGTAAGTCTGATTCTTCTAACAACGTGTCATACCTAAGTGAGGTTTTGGAAAAACTATTGCTGAAAACTATTTGCCAAATAGTCGGCGGTGACGTCAAGTCCACTCGCGAAATCGCTCAAATTTATGAAACGGTGTACGGATCGAAACCCACCTTGTCAAGCCGAGGAAGCTTGAGTCAGCTATGGGACTATATGCAAGCCGAGAAGAAAAAGTATGAGGGTCAGAACAAGTGGAACTATATGACTTGGTATGTAGAAACGCTTCTATGAGATTGCCTCCTTTCCCTCTTAGAAGACAGAGAAGCTAACTAGGTATAGGTTTTACCAGTACTACATCTTGAATGGACAAACTTTATGGGGTCGCCAATTTGATAATGCGCGCTATCCACAAATCAAGCCTGATAATATTGAGTCTTTCTTCAGAAAGAACGATATTTCTGATAGGACTCATAGACAGATGCCTCTATAGTATACAATAGTTGAACTCCTGCAGTTATATCTCTTCTGTCTGAAGCTCGATGACTCTTTTACTAGCTGAAGCTTCAGATATATCCAAAATCAATACGGTCGGACGAGCCTGACTAGCTGAATAGAGTACCCATAATTGCTATCGACTCATGATAATTTATATGTGTGTAGTGTTGTATAAAGGGAGATCCAGTGATGGTATCACGCAGGAGCTGGACATTCTCATGTGCCTCGGGTTCGTGAGAATCGACCACCAGTGTATTCTACAAGGTAGGGTTAGCATTAATTACTGGCTGAAATGTATTAACGGGGTTGACCCCACCTTGAGCAAATGTATGACTGCGGCAACGATAAACAGCCAGTAGCGGACGGGGAGATATCTTGTCAGATGCAAAGGACCAAGCACGTTGATCAAGATTGAGAGCATGTCATGGCTGGCTTTCGTTGCTTTGTTGGCCAGGTTTAGTAGAGCGTCTTTCTTGCCATCTGTCAAGGGGACGGGCAGGGTGCTGTGGAGGACGTAGCTCGCTGGAGCGAAGCTGTACATGACCAGGCAGTGATACTCAAGGTCCAGACACGTGTCAAGTAGCCTCGAGTAGCTTTGATATCCTCTCGTAGTTTCCAGTCAGCCCAGGTTGTCAGTCGACAGATTTAGGTGCGCCTTGACAAGGGGGATAATAGCCTACATACCTAGCTTCAGGCCAACATAGCCCCGTCTCTAGCGCGATAGTGCCCTGTCTATATGCTCGAGCTCGGGAAGCACATCAGCGCTAGGCAAGGCAGAGCACCCTAGCTTCTTGAAGGACTGGATAAGAGCGCGTAGCTTTTTAGTTTTGTCAAAGAGGTCGCAGTAGCTCTCCCAGACACGCGCTGTCGGGCAGCAGGCTGGCAAAGGTGCTGGAGAAGCGGTGCCGCACCGCCTCGTTCTGGCCCTAGGGGAGGAGAGGGTGGAGGCCGAGCCGCAGGCTGAGGTGCTCGTCGGCGAGGTAGATGAAAACGCAGATGAGCTGGTTCCACTGCTGGCGCAGAGTGTCCTGGGCGCCGGGGCCTTGCTGGTCGTGGTCGAAGCAGCAGCCTTCCTGGGCGAGAGCAATGGCGCTCGAGAGAAGCATCCTGTGAAACCACAAGCATCTAGGTCAGCTGCTATTCCCAATCAACTATGCAACTATGCAGTCAATGCCAAACTGACCATGACATTTTGTTGCTTCGGTATCCCGGCGCTACAATGTTGAGGTTCTCGAGGAGCGCTGCCATGCCGTACCTCTGCTGGCTCGTCAACGAAGTAGCATGGTCCGACTGTGTCTCCCCTGGTTCACCATGTGCCGCGCCCTGGGGACATGTGTTGATATTGTCGTACTCGTCTTCGTCGCAGAATTCTATGGGGTTGTTGATCGATTTAGGATGCCATTCGATCAAGAGGAGCATCGAGGCGATGGCACCGGGGGACCGCGTGTAAGGCGAGCCCCAGAGAGCTGATTGCAAGCATCTCTGGCCCAGCCGCCACGCCTGCCAGTGAATTCTCTCGGATCGCATCTCTCCATGGGGACCGGGCAAGGCATAGTAGCGGGACGAGATTGTGATGAGGGTCATGAGGAGCAGTGGATCTCCCACAGGTAGCATGCTATATTGGCTGCGCTCCCGATACAAGGCCGGCACGACAGGCCGCAGTGGCCACAGGGTGGCAAAGTAGAAGTCAAGATACTCGACCGCCTCGTTTCTGCTGAGGATCCTTCTCTTGACCAGTATAAACCGTTCCCAGTCAGCTTCGCCATGCACGGTGGGGGGGTGCAGATGAGACGTGACTATGCTCGCCCACCTTCAGTGAAGCCCCACCAGGCATTCTGCCCTGTTCGCTGGCCACTGTGAAGGTCAACAGGTCCAGAGCATCTGCTGTGTTGTGCAGCTGTGTTGAGATGATCCTGCTACGGGCCGACGGGTTCGACGTTGCCGGGGATGGCTCCAAGGGTGAAGGGCCATGCTGCATCCCCTCGTTGGCTGTGGCTGTGGCTATGGCTGTGGCAGTAGTTGGCTCGGCGTGTTGCGCGTCGTCATTGCCTGTCCCCTGAGCGTTGGTGCTGTCTCTGCATACAGAGGACGGCGGACTGAACGAATCCATTGGCATGGGACTCTGTTGGGGTCTGCGGCCAACACTCCTCGTGCTCCTATAGACCCACTCTTGCTCATCCGACACGCATCGCTGGCATGGCTGACGCCGGCCGGGCACGTTGGGCACGCAGCGTATCTTGCGGCATAGATCACAGGACAGGTAAGCCCGTCGTCGTTTGAGGTGCGGCGGAGATTCTGCCGTGTTAGCAGGCTGGAATTGAAGAGTTTCGTGAGTGCCCAGCGCCGTGCCCTCGAACGTAGCATCGCCCATGGTTCTCGCTACGAGCATCAAAAAATTATCACGGGCGGTTAATTGGCCGTAAATGTGCTGCTCGTTTCGGGATGAGGGGGACAGGGTTGACCGTTCCGGGCTGGTTTGGGTATATATATATCCGAATCATGCTGGTGCAACGGGCGGGCGGGCCGGGGGGGGGGGGGGGTTCTTGTACCGGGTATGGGGAATGGGGTATGATGAGCATCTCCTTACTAGCGTGAATACTCCCCCTACGCATTAGGCTGCTTGCAGTACTTGAGTTAAAATAGCTTCTTGAGACGATGATGATGATGATGATGATGATGTGTACAAATTGCCCTCTTTGGTCTTGTCGCCAGCCTCTCTCTGCCTTTGGCAAGAGAAAGACCCAGATCAACATTTGGTGCTGAGATGCTTAAACATGTGACTGCTTCTTTATTTTTATCTTCCACATCTGCAATGACTTTCTAATAATTTGGCACCAGACTATAGTCAAGGCTATTGGTATTTTAAAGGTATCAAATATCACGGCACACTGCCGTGCTTCAACATGCACGTCTATTATCCATTTGCTAGTTCTAGACCTGACTAAGTGACACCTTCTTCTCTATACCTACTCGTCAAACACCTTGCCCGGATTCATCAGCCAACTGTATCACAACGGTCAGCGCACAGCTTCGTCTCAATGTTCGACACACTCACTGTGGGTCTAGGCGGTCTTTGATAGCCTTCATGACTCCAATCGTCTCGGGGCCTAATTCTTCCAGTAGGCAATGCTGGCACACGTAAATGTTAGCATCGCTCATCACACCTTATTCCAGCATGCTGTCCTACCTTCTTACCGATCCCGATACCATGCTCGCCCTATCCATGTGTTAGACCTTCAACTTTGGTGCTCGTGTACCAAAGGCAGGACCATCGTCCAAACAGCTTACCGATACTGTTCCTTCCATATCCAGGGCCTTGTGCATCATGCCATCAACAAAGTTCTTGACGCTCGCTACGTCTGACGGCTTGCTTGGGTTGTACATGATCATCTGGTGAAAGTTCCCGTCGCCGACGTGACCCAACACGCTCGAAAAGAGACCGAGCTGCGCTGCATCGGCTTTGCATTCCTCTGCCGTCAAAGTTAGCCCCCCCAAAATCTCACAAAGAAAAGGGCGAGCCCTGGGCGTGTGTGGAACCTATCATCTGGGCCATTCGAGATATGGGAACGGCCACATCCGTGGACCAAACCTCTGTTCCCTCTGGACGAGCTGCGAGGCACACCCAGAGAGCTTGTTTCCGGGCCGACCATAGAGAATCCATGTCTTGTTTACTCTTTGCGGAGAGAAACGATTGGCACCTAGATGTACTGCTGACATCCTTTGCCGCACGAATGCTGTCCTCGATGATTTGTCGAGACCCGGAGAATCTAACCACGTTAGCTGAGTTACTTCAAGCCGTTCATATGGAACGACTGTACGGTCACATACTTGAGGAAAAGAGTGGGCAACTCTTCCCATTTCTTCTCCCCCGCTCCGCCACTTTTGTTGACAACCTTCATCTGCTCGTCGTCCATCAATTCGCACGCGGCAAGATTGACTCCTGCGCGGATCATCTTGGATGCCGCGTCGGCAGCGTCCATGACAGTCAGAAAGGTTGCGGTAGCCACACTATAGTCGGAGGGCACAATGGCCAACTTGAGTGTCGCCTCTGTGATGATTCCAAGCGTGCCTTCAGACCCTGTGAAGAGGCCCGTCAGGTTATAGCCCGCCGAAGTCTTGCGCGGCCGGCGACGCGTCTTGATAACCGAGCCGTCGGCCAATACAACCGTTACGCTGAGAACGTAGTCCTTCATTGTGCCATACCTCATGGCGTTGGTTCCGCTGCAGTTGGTCGCAATCATCCCCCCAATCTGAGCTGTCGGACTAGGATCCAGCGGCAGAAACAAGCGGCTCTCCTCAATCTCCTTGTGTGCGTTTAGATGCGTCCAGTTGACCCCGGCTTGGACGGTAACGTCTAGGTCATCTGGGTGAAACTCGATAATCTTGTCCATCCGCGATAGATCGATGCAGACGCCCGGGTATGTTGACGAAAAATTCCCTTCCACGCTCGAGCCAGCGCCAAATGGCACCATCGGGATCTTGTAACGGGAGCAGATCTTGGCGACGGCGGCCACTTCCTCGGTACTCGACGGGAAAACTATGGCCTTGGGCCTGATTGGAGAGTTGGAAGTCGACTATTCTGAGAACCCGTGCTCTTCAATGTCATCCTGGTCTATACTCACTGCATCTTCTCCGAGCCGATGACGGATCTCTGCGATGCCCTGACAAGGCAGTGTCAGCTTGCAGAACCAGGGGGGCGGCCCCAAAGAGCCATACGTACATACGTACCTTTTCCGTGGCCGCTGCTCCAGCATAGTGTCTAGCATGATGTGGTCTGAACATGGCCGGGAGTGGTTCAATGTCATCTGCATACCAAGTGCCGAAGCCTGCGATGCCGGCGACGACCATAGCGACAGGCCCTGCAGTTGAATATTTAGGCTTTGCACCACGGGCATGGTGTCTCCTTGAGAGAGTCCACGTCGAGGCCGCTCGAAAAGATGGCGCCGCGTGCCGCGTGGATAGATTGACCAGGCTGCGCATCACGAGGCCGTCGACGTGTGAAGAACAAGAATTGAAGCCCAGTCAGTCGGCGGACCGTAAAGAGGCTAAAGAGTCGAGGTTGTTGAGTTTTAATAAAAACTCCTGTCAATTTCCGAGAACTTATTACGACAACGGTACAGTATCGTCGCTTGTGCCGGGGACTAGATGGGTGACACCCAGTCGGAAAATCTGAATTTGGTCTAGTTTCCGCGGATAGAATAAGGGAGCCGGATCTTACACTACCTGGGATTATCCGCTGTTTGTGTTTCCCCGCGTGCTCCGGAGCGGAAACGAATACGCGAGACTCATTGTTGGCGTTGTGGGGATGGGCTATTCCTGTTACAGGTGAGGTGGGTAGATGTCGAAATATAGATACCACGGTTCAAGGAGGATAGGACAGTATCTTTGCTGCTGAGCCGGTGCTACTTGGCTGACGGACTGGTAAATTATAAACCCGACTTCTCTAATATTGTTTGCACCCCCAAACCTTCCCAGAAGATTTGCAGTGCTTATTCTTGTCCTTTTCTGGCTCATGGAGCCCCGATCTTGACTACCTGCATACTCTGTGGCCAACTTTTCGTCTCCAACAGCTGCTGTGTCTCCATCTCGCTGTAACTGATTGAGTTGTACTGGGGCTAATGATCCTCTATAAACACAAGGTCTCCTTTTGGCTGCTCCTACCATGAAGCCAGATGCCCATTCTCTTCGAAGGTGTTTGCAGAATAAGGTAGATTAATGTGAAAGAAAGCCACTATACTCGCTCTGATATTGCAAATAAATACATCGAACATATCACGCCGCTCCTGCCCCCCCCAGCAGCCGCCCCAGGAGCTCCCGTCCTCTTGACCCAGTTCATGTCTAGATAAGGACATGGTACCTCAGGTGCGGTAAGATTCTCCAACTCTGAAAGGGCTGTTAGTGAAAGAAAGTCACAAGTTTTTGAATTGTGATATCTGGCGTACCTTCTCGCTTGGCAGTCCTGCTCTCAGCAACACCCACAACCCCAATGCCCACAGAGCAGCCAGGGCGTCCCGAGTTGTCCGGTCTAGTGGCTCCAAGATGACTAGCTTGTGCTCATTATTCTTGCTGCTCTCATATGCTACCTTTTGTCCTTGGGCATCAATCCATTGATACTGCCCGCCTTTCCACTTTGGCTTAGTGTGGAATAGAATCTGTTGATTTGCTGGGCCGAACAGGTCGCTATCCGCCGTCGATTTACCAGGATTAAGGACAGCCTTGAACTCTGCCTTTGGTAGCAGCGACTTGGAAATTTCGAAAAAAATGTGTTTCTAGGGCTCAGCTTCTTGAGCCGACTACAGCTTATGTGTTCATACAGGTTTAACTTTTCCAAGCAAAAAAGCTTGATATTTGGTCATCGTGGCAGCATTGGGTAAACAAATGCTTGAATTGTGGATAAAACTGTGTTTTTTTGACCTTGTGCCGGCAACTTGCTCACCTTGAGGGAGCAGACAGAAGTTAGATTAATATGTTTCCAGGCATCTCGGGTGACACTGTTGTGATGTAGTATGCAGGCACACCAGTGCGGTACTGGGCACCTAGTGAGTGCAAGGTAGAAGAGGTGGTGGCTTCGCTGGTCGAGAGAAGCTATGCTTCCTTCTTTCAGCAAATCGTCATCCTCATACTCGATGCGCTCGAATTTTGCGGATGACGGTTTGGGGGACAGTGCAGTAACGCCTCGGCCCAGATCGTAAAGAGGCACCGAGGGGTTTGCCTCAGCAACGATGGATTGGCCTGTTAGCATCAGGGTGACGGGTTCCAATGTTCGCTGCATTGTGATGTGGATGAGTTGAGCAGAAATATTCTCTTCACAAATTGTAGACGAGATGGGGAGCGATGACGATTCAGAGAGCGATATAAAGCATTAGTAAAAAGGTGAACAATGGAATCTTCTGCCTCTGAATATCGATGTGAAAACAGGCATCGAATTGAGGCACATTCCACGTGACAGCTTAGGGTTGGCCGAGTTCGTCCATCAGGTCGCGAATCTGCTTCTTAGCCTGGAGCAGCCCATTTTCTTGAATGAGCTCCGGGGATAACATAGGGCACGCCCGCCTTGGTAGCGGCGCGGACGGCAGGGTCTTGAATGCTGATGACGTGGGAAAGAGGGGGTGCTAGGATGACGGCGTCTTAGCCTTTGAAGACGTTGGTAAGAAACGTCTGATCCTCAAGGTTGCCAGTCTTCACAATGACTTTGGAGGGAAATTTGCTGGTCGACTCGGGCCGCTTCACGGCGGTTGTGAGCATGGGGGATCCAAGGTTGCCGCTGTGCCAATGATGGCGATCTTGCGTCCTCTTGAACTTGAGAAATGGCGTTTTTTTTGAAGGAATTTGGACCACGTTGATGAGAGATTTATAGATGGGTGGATGTAAATTTGGAGATTGTGTGCTGACGGCCTTGAGGGACTTGGTTAAATAGCTAGGTTGAATGACAAATCACCATGAACAAAAGCTGACGTCAGCCTGCTCGGTGTCAGTAATAGCAATTGACATTAGCTATCAGCAGTATTGGTTCATGATTTTAGTTAAAACTTTTTGTGATGCTGTTTAGTCATACGGTAACCACCCTGTGTTCTCTCCTGAGTAGTCGCTAGCAGAGTCCATGACACCCCCTCTGTAACCCCCGTCTTCCTGCCGAACAAGCCACCGAAGGCCCTGCTTTTCGCACATATGTTCTACATCCTTCCATGCATCACAGCGTGGCCCTCTTCCGAGTTCCTCCATGACGTCCTCCAGGGGCAAAGAGAAAGCCTTGAGATTGAGTACCACCTCTTCTAAGTGCGGGGTTGCTGATTTCCAAGTGTCGTTGAAAAATTGCAGCAAGGCTCCCGTGATGGCGCGCCCATTCCAGCGATGGAAGCTATCGTAATCAAGCAGATCATCTCGGATGATTAAACTTCTGAGTCCCGATGGTAGGAGGGCAGCTAGTGGTGGCCAGTCGTGAGGAAGTGTGTGGCCATAGAGTGTAGTCAAGGGAACCTCTAGCTCGTGAAGTTTGGGGAAATCTCCGAGCGGTGCGAGGTTTCCTGTAAGCACATCACTCATGCTGGTAACGTCCAGAGCCTCGTCTGCAAAGAATTCCAGTTTGAATGAAAGGTGAGAGAGTGTGTTGTGAACGTGTTGTAATCCTGTTCGGAATTCAACAAGCTCAAACCGATACTCGGATGACGGCAGATCGCAGGCGTAGAGTAACGACTCTAGATTCGGGGTTTGCTTGAGCATCATCTCCATAGTATCCGCGTTTGAAGACGAGTTGACCACCTCCAAAGAGGCGAGACTGGTCGCTTTTGGGGCATCTGGGAGCGGCCAGGCATGATATTTGTTTGTTCGGTCGCGACGGTTGGTTCGATGGCTGGGAAGGCAACTGAGCGACAGAGCCTTGATTTTGGGTAGATAGAAGGAGAGTAGGTAGATATCTTTCGGCGGCTGCACCCGGCCTTCCTCATCGCCGGGGTTGGCAATCGTAAAATGAGTCAGGCTTTGAAACATTGCCGGGGCCTTAGATCCTTTGGAGACGGACACTGCGTGTTTAAACATCTCCACCAGCCATTTGTGATCATATAAGAAATAGCCAACGTCGATCGTTAAGCTCTGAAGCTCGGTGCATAGTGCCACGATGATAGCCACGACGGCGTCAAGATGATGCTCCTTAGACACAGCCAGTTCCCACTCCTTTGGGGAAGGTAAACCCAGCTTCTTGATCGCGCGAGTGACCAGCCGTCGAAGGTGTTCATCCTTTATCGGGATATACGTCAAAGGGTCGTAGTACCCCCTGAAACGGGGATGAGCGTAATTCAAGGCGCGAATGTGAAGGCTTTTGATATCTTGGACGAGAGCCGGACGGTTAAGTATCGCTCGTAGAAAAGAAGACACCCCTGACGGCTTTTTCGTCTCTTTAATATCGTGTGTTATGGTGACATCGTGGTATAAGAAATGCAGCGTTATGGTGTATAGGCCTTTGCACGTCTGGCAAAGACTGGATTTATCCTGGGCGGATAATTGGGCGATAATCTGGTACTTCAGAATACTCAAAGTGTGGATGAAGGAGGCCATCGTGACGATTAATAATTGGGATTCCAGTTGTGCATCAGAGAGTTACGAGTGAGGGGATAAATGGGATGAGTCAAGTAAGCAAACAATCGGACAACTTCTGGTATTCTGTAGCGGATTAACTATTGGCCGCAGGCAGCTAGGATTATTTACTCTAATCCTACGCTAATCTACCCGTTGGTATTGTGGGGCAAGCCGCCTACCAACCTCGTCCCGAGGTTGGTCCCAAAAACCCTTATCAGCACCTTTAATCATTGTCACTTTTTTAGTGTAAAATGCCATTTTTAGCCTTCTATTCTGCCCCCCACACAAGTATATAAAATCTTTAGAAAATAGATCTAGCCTTAACAGGTTAAGGGTTTTAAAATGAACCTACCCTCTTATTTCTAGTAAAATCTTAGAAAATCTTTCTCTTTTTTTCTCTACTTTTTTAAGAATGAGAGGGATATATGAAAATTAATGTCCATTTTGAAGCCCTTAATCTGCTGGATCTAGTGCTACTTTTAGAAGAATTTATATAGCAGGGTTGAAGGCAGAGGAAAGGGTCAAAAAGGGGCATTTTACATCAAAAAAGTGACAACAATTAAAGGTGCTGACAAGGGTTTTTGGGACCAACCTCGGGACGAGGTTGGTAGGCGGCTTGCCCCACAATACCAACGGGTAATCCAATCCAGTTCAAATCTTCAAGAACCCCAAATCCAGTCCAGCTATTTTCTGTCCACGCCAGTCCAATCCAAATTGCCTCCAATTCAATTAGATGACTGGGCCTGACTATAACGAGTACGATCTTTGAGTCGACGTTTTCAAAAGCCATCCACCAAGTCCTTCTCCAGCAGTAGAGCGAACATCCCCTTCAATCGGAGAATCGTCATCATCCTCCAGGTTCTCGATCCACTCGTGCTCGCGGATCGCCCGCTCTGCAACGGGAAACCCATCTTGTTCACGTAGCCAGGTGAAGATATTCCGAGTCACCATTTCCGAATTCTCGTCTTCTGAGTCGAGATCATCATAAACAACATCGCCATGGTCTATCACTTCACCGCACTTCGGGCGCAATGTCGTCAACGGTACATCACGCTTGCCTTGCTCTACCATCTCTCCGCCCTGACAAAGCCACGTGAACCCCGTATATCCAAGGGAATGGCTCCTCCCACATAGTGCGTGCTCGTGGACGTCCAGATTAGTATCGACCAGTGCAGTAGAGCCGAACGGTGCGAATGGGAAGAGAGGCGGTATCGAGTAGTAGTCCAGATCGCGACAGAGGTACAATAGTCGGCATTCGTCAGCACGTGATATTTCGCGTGCCCCGGGCGCAGCAGGAACTGGCGCCTGGATGAAGGACACAAACGTCTCAGTCCAAGCCGCTGCGTTAAGATCAATCTTCCACCAAGCTGCTCGGGCATCCCGCAGGCACTGGTTGTAGGCGCCAGTGATGAACGCCCCAACCCACAAACCCCCAAGTCCCGGGTCGCGCTTCATCAGAGTTTTTAGGAGGACATGCGGATCCTTGACCGAGTTCAAAAATGCGAATGAGCCTCGCAGCCACATACCGCAGATGTTGCTCGTAACATCGGGCTCGAAGAAGATGCTGGTGAGGAGCGCCTTAAAGCCCCTTGGGTTGCAACTCAGCGTTAGGAGTCTATCAAGCTGGAGATTATTCTCCATCATAACTGGGGGGTCTTTGCAAGCTTTCTCTCCATGATCCACACCCAGAGACAACTTTGGCATCGCCAGCTCAATTGGTCTATTGTCGAACTTGGCGACTGGAATCAGTAGGGCGGCAGCGAGGGCTGCCTGCTTCTGGTCATCAATGCCATGAAGGCGGCAATATTCTGATAAATACCGGTGGGCAGTGGTTGAAGTAGCCAGAGAATGACTTGACGCCGAACTTGTCGTTTTGATCTTTGCCGAGATGACGAAGGACTGCTCCGAGATGAGTCTGGTGGACCATGGAGAATAAAGAATATCGCCTCTGGAATTGCACATCGTGGCCTCCCAGCCACCCTCATCCGATAAATAGTATTCCACCAGTAAGCCGCACCCTCATCAACCTCTCCAATATGAACTGTGATGGGGTTTCTGCTCTCCGGAGGTATGCTTTGCCCGTTTCCGTTGGGCTGGTGGGTTGGTTGACTTGGAGGTTGAGAGAGGTGTGCCGTCGGAATGAGCTCTGCCCACCGTGCCGCAAGAATATATGCCTAAGCAAGCAGAAGAGCCGGAATGTGATTTCCTTCCGTGCCAAAGATATCCGGGAGGGTTGTTGTCGCGCGTCGCGAATCCGAGGTCAAGATAACCAGCGTGGGCTTATCCCAAGCGACCCGAAATATAGCCTCATGCTGAAAAGGCGGCAAATGAACCAAGTCCTTCGTGGCAGCCCATGCTGAGTTCCCCTTAACTGAGACGGCGTTTCTTGAAGAATTGTCGATCTTGAGATTCCTCGGGAAGTGAGGATGGTTGGAAAACCCGGCTTGAAGATGAGATAAGCATTCCCCGAAGAGCTGATTGTCGCCAGACGCGTGCTCCAAAAGACTGAACCACGTCCGGTATCCTCGTTCATACATGGCCCGTGCGGCCTGCGCATCGGGGCGGATCGCATCGTTCATTTTTGAGGCAGAGTTGTAAGGAAGAAAACATTTACAGGCTTAAGAGCAGTGGGTCAAGAGTCAAGGGTACGTTGGTTCCTTTGTTACCCTGTGGGGAATAATTAGCTTAGCAGCGTGCCTGACTATCAGATAAGGAAGAATGCGGCCCACGGAGTGCGTACGGTCCCTCGCGTGGTGCAATGTCTTCAGATACTTCAGAGCTTTGTACGGGCTGGAGCACAAACTTACTCGCCGCTGAGAAGGGTGGCTTCCGCTTTCCCAGAGATAGAATATCCGGCGTCTGTCTCACTGCAGCAGATTTTGATGTGGCTCAAAGACGCTGTATCTAATTCAGAGTGGAGAGATTGAGCAGTTTGAACTCGAGCTGCGCAGAACTATAGACTTGTTACATTTGCAGTGGCCCACGTGGTTTACAGCGCAGGGTATAAAAGGCTTACAGAGGCGCTTACACATAACAGACGAACTACTACTGGGATTCTTAGCTGGCGTTTTCTCGAAATTTCTTATGTTATATACTTATTTAGGCGTTTAAGAGCGAATTAGTATCTAACTACTATTCCTCAGTTATGAAGTATACTTAATTACACTCAATAACTGCTTTCATATACAGCTATTGGTGGTAACTTCTACTGCTAGCTTTATTAAGTTAGTAGAATTTCTAGTATATTAAATCTTTTATTCTATTAATTTTATTTTTATATTTACTATAGATATCTAATAATAGATATTTAGAGCCTTTTATTTTAGTTCTTATAAAGTTCAGTATAAGTAGAATTTTCTCACTCTCTAATATTTAAAGTTAAATACTATAAATCTAGTTAGTTAGGATATCCGGGTTGAACTGAACCAAGATAGCGATGTCTACTAGAGCATCCAGCACGCGAGAGCCTTGAGGCCGACTGCCGCCACCAAAAAGGGATCGATCCTTTTGGGCCCAGAACCAGGGCTATTGGCTGTTGCTAGGGCGCAGTAAGGATTCGAGAGTTGACGCCAAAGCCGCTAGTGAGGCCGGACAAGTTTCGAATGAGGCTTGGAACTAGTACCAGCAGGATTTAAGCTTGGTTCGCTGATCGGAGATGCCATGTTCTGGGGCATGGGCAAGTCCAGAACCCGGTACTCCCGTAGTTACGCAGTAGTTCTCCTTGGGGTGAAGTGGCTGTCCACTAGTACTCCCAAGATGTCTCTGTGATTAATAAGTGATGCTACCTAAATAACGGCGACACTAGCGGCGACACCGCAAATGATTTACTGTCTCGAGTCGGAACTAGCGATCCCGACACACGCCCATCTGAGTCGCCCGTATCGCATGCAGTGCCAGAAAATTAATGATGACAGCAGGTCCATTGCTTTCGCCACTGTCAAGACCCCGCATCATCTGATGGCGGTAGCACCGGAACGATGGCGTTGCTAGTGCTCTACTCATTGGCGCCAAGCCTCATCAGGGTGATTGAAGGCCGGTGACTTGAGGCAGAGGCTTCGAGACTGGTTTGATAACAGATAGGCGTTGGCCTAACGCTCAGCTTAAGAGTATGGGGTGTTATAAACATGCTGTCTATCATTAAGCTATTGTCACAATCGTCTCAGGTATCCCCTTTGCCAAGTCGAGCAGATAAGACACTCCCAACTTCGGGGACACGGAGCCAGAACGCCCTGAGTGAACTCGCTCGGCCATAGTTGATTTGATCGTCGATAGATCTTATCTTCAGCTCCAGAATCCAGTCTCCGAGCCCTGAAGATGTGAAGGCGGATAGGACCATCACTTGAACCGGGCTGCCTTGCTAGATCTGTCCACGCGGGTCAAGATGCCGGCTGGACACAAACAGCGCGTCACGAATCCAAGTACCGGCGTAGTGGTACCGAGGTTTGAGTTAGATTACTGGAATCACGATGTAGAAATCGTTCCAAATCACCATGGGAAAGATGGTTCTAGACATTTCTGGCGGATTTCCGGCAAAACCAATATGTATAGATACAGGCGTCAGTGTCATCCGGCCGTGCAGGATGGCCAGTATGGCTGCTGGCTGATAATAAGGTCGTGGGCCCAGTCTCCGAGTCGCCAGCCTAGAAGAATTAGCAAAAGGCCAAGCAAGGTCCAGGATCGACATGTATCCAAAGGTCAGCGCCATGTCTTTGCTTATTTACGGGCGAACTATGACTAGACCACCTCATCCAGCACACAACCAAGTTGCCACCGATCGGCGTGAGCCCTAGCTACCAACGCCTCCTCCCGCCGTCGACGCCAAAGAAAGCCTATGTTATCACGAGCGAGCTTGCAAGCCATGAGACCCAAGACATCCCACCAAAGAGAACGTCCCAGTGCCTCTTGACTACCGAGGAGGGCCGACCCCGGGAGGGTTGTGCCTCATTTATCACACATGATGCCGATCCGTGATTCTGGACCTCTGGATAGTCATCCAATTGTAACGAACGTTAGATACGACTAGTCGAGGCTTGCGCAGATCTCAAGCTATACTTTGAGGTTCACTTGAAGTGTATCGATCAATGGTACATCCCGAGTCAGATATTCATGGAATTCATTTGATCCTTTCTTTCTTGTGTATGCTTTCCATTCCTATCGGGAGCGCCGAACTCGGTCCCTGAATGTCGAGAACCGTGGCGCATAAGGAAAATCCCTAAATCAGCCACAGGCTGGGTCTAAACCACTTCCGCATCAAATCGTCTCTTCGAGACCACCACTGGGAACCCAAACGCCACAGCCATCCTAAGATTAAGCCTTTGTTAGAGCGTGCCTGACCCACCGCTTTCGGTTTAACCGTATGCTTGTCTCAGTCAAGCATCCCCATGGGGACATGATCATTCCTACCTAAGCTGTGGCGATATTGGCTATGGAGAAGCGGGCTTGTTGGAATCTGCATTTAATTCGCCTTATTCTTCCGCTTTCGAACTCCGGAACTTCATCATCTTTCTCTATCGCCGAGGCCGACCACAACATGCACATCTCATTGTTGTTCGTTACACCGCTCGTGCTGCTCAGTCAGCTGGTGTCTGCTCAGGACGCCCTCGAGAAAATTTGTGACGATCTCCCTGGCATTGATGATTGCACAGGCACAGTGACAATCCCTGTGAAAGCCAAGTTGAAGTATTGCCCTAAGATGATCACTTCTGTACGCAAACCGACTGGTCTGTCAACATCACCAGATCATGGCTGACTCAGATGGACATCAGATTGATCCTTGCAAGACTAAAGCAACGTTCAAATATCCTTGCCCAACATGGAAGGAGCCGACCAAACTCTGCGAAGGTTCCACTTGTGTGCCCGGTATGTTCATGTTCATTCTGTTGACAAGTCTTCACTCTATAAAGAGAACAAGTAGCAACAACTTTATGATGCAAATCAAATCAAGCATTTATCTAACTCTATCCTCAGGCACAGTTGAAAAATCGGTCAACGTCCCATGCGGAATCAGCATCGAGACGAAAAAAGTCTCCCTCTGCCAATCTGTCCGTGACAGCTTGGGCAATACTGGGTCCAACTTTATTAACAAGGCCGGTGCTATGTGCAATTGCATCCTCAAAGTTCTCAGCTTGATTAAAGCCGGGATCTACCATACCCTGTTTTCGGCTGGCGGCTCCTTAGATGTCGACTCTTCATTGGTTACTGAGATGATTCAATTGCAAAATGTCAGTTTATTTTTCGTCATGTACAATGTTATCTATGACTGACATGTATAGTGTGTTCTTGATGAGGACCTTGGTATCTACGATAACCGAGATGAAGTGTATGCCAACGAGCTCACATCCAAGGACGGCTGGACCGTCCTTCACGCAGCTGAGGTACGGTCTAATCTCCCTCCACACTTAAAAAAAAAAAGTAGCTTCTCACAACAGACAGATCACTTTGGCTACCTACGCCGAGTTAGTCCTAGCTGTCTCCCCTTGTCTCACCGGGGTCGCTTGCAATCCGACCGCTGTTGCCAATTTCTTCATCAGATATGTCAAAGCCTCGGCAATTACCTTGGGCCTCCAACTAGCAAAAATCCTTTACGGATGGAATGAGATGTTTGGAAAAATCAAGAACAAGGTCACGGCAATTACAGACTCAGCTGAGAGTCTAAAGAAGCATCTCGCTCCCGTTCCTGGCAAAGTCCAGACAACCAAGAAAAAGATTTGTCTGAACAATCTATGCACTGGACCTGGAGTTTCGGCTTTTCTGAAGAAAGGTAAGCATTGCTCAACCAGGCATTGAGGTTCTCTGCACATGAATTCGCTAACTGTCGACAGTTTCCAAAGCCCTTACCGCGGCACAATCTCTGCAGCACATCCGAGAGGCGGCCGACATTGCAGCAAAAGCTGCCCCAGAGATGATCAGCGTGGTGGACAAGACCATCGGAGTAGCGAAAAAGGTTCCAGGTTCGAGCTTCTTCACTGACCTCATCAAAAGCGGCTCCTTGACGAAAGTCGAAGATATGCTGGAATCCTTCCAGATTGTCAAAGACCTGCCCGACTCGGTCGCAGAACTTGAAGATATCATTGCTCCCGTTGAAGGACTTGTTTCCAGTTACGAAGCCCTCGCGACAAGTACCTTGGCAGCTGTCGAATCTGTCGTTTCTTTCACCTGGGATGCGCACGCAAAAGAGCTCAAGAAAGATTCTTCGGGCAAGTTGCAGAAAGGATTGATTGAGATGCAGAAAACATTCAAAACGGAACTACTTCCGCCCCTTCGTGAATTGAAGGTGGACATCAATGACTTGAAAGACGTCTTGGCTACCTCACCCATTAAGAAAGGCAGCTTCAAGTTCAAGGCTGGTGTAGTCGACTACCAACGGTGGACCACTCTTTCGATGGACGCGCCATGCGCTAAGCAGAGCAAATCCAACTTTGAGATCGGTGGATATAAGACCTCTTTTTCCTATCCGAAGTTTTATAGCTGCGAGTACGGACCCCAGGACATCCCGTGGCCCAATCACTATGTTCCTTACATCAAGTTTAAATCTGGTTAGGCAGGACACAGAGACTGGCGTTGAGCTCGGCGAGGTTCAAATGATTATTCATAATTTGTAGCTGGATAAATTTATACATATTTCTTGTCTGATATATCAACTTATTCCGGCTGAACATAACTCTGTCTTTGTATCCATATAACATCGTAATGCGGGCGTCGGGAGGGCATCGATCGAGGTCAGTAGTCTATTGCAGCATGTTGCAGTGTCTCTAGCCTCCTCTCGATTCTCTACGTTACATTTCATGCCATACACTAAACAGTGATCAATACATGGGCCCACCAATAGTCCGTCAAAGCTGCATCCAGCCCATCACAATTGACTATCAACCACAAAAGCTCAACGTGATGATTCCACAGGATGTTGGCGCACGTAGTACTGATTTTACAGCAGCTCGGGTGGTGTGCAGCCTGGTAGTTCATGTATCTGTTTAGTGGTTGTGGTGACTGCTGGCAGTGAAGCTTTTGGACTATCATGATTTGCGGAACTCGAGTTGACGCGCTGGCTATGGTTCTTCCATAGGAGGTATATTGCTATAATGGTAGTCACACACAAAAGTTCAAGTCCCCGATTACTCCTCCGCTTATTACGCAGACATTTGTAGACCAGCCACGTTGTTGGTGGGAGAAGTACTTAGTGCAGATAGAGCCCGTAACAGCAAGAGTCTGAGATACCCTACAGTTCGGGATAAAAAGAGGTTCTACAGCTAAAAGGGGCTAAGAAAAAATAGCGAAAAGAGAATATTAAATATTTAATTAAATACTTCTAGAAGAAATAAAATGGAAAAAATAAACCAGAAAGAGACAAAAGCTACTATAATAGTTCGTTAAATAGCGAATTAAGTACAAAATATTATTTTTAAAAAACCTTAAATTAAAAAAGAAAAAAAGTATAATCTTTCTAGTAGAAGCCGAGCTTATCCTTTAAGTAGTATCTAGTCTAGCAAGCTAGACCTACTGTTATTAAACTCCCGTGTGTCTGTCAGCACCATGACACCACTAGCCGACGAAGAGTCTACACCTGGCTCTGCAGAGGCGACTTGAGCCTCATTCTCATCTGAAGTCGCTGTAGTCTGCGTGTCTGTTTTCGGGCTGGTCGATTCCGATATACGCTTGTGAATTTCGTCGCTTGTTGGGAATTTTGTTGTTGACTCGCCGGACTCGGAGATACTCGTGATTCATAATTCGGAGAGACTTGTGGTTTTGGACTTGGCAAGGCTCGTGATACTGGCGAGACTTGTAGTAGCTTTGGTCTCTTCGTTCGCCGTGATTTGGTAGTGATCGGTGCCTGGCTTTGCGCCACAGTGTAAGAATATGTTTGGTCGACGTCGAGCGTGAAAAGTGCTGTAGAGCAGTAGGTCGTGCTAGTGCTACACGGATCACATCAGGGGTGGTTAGTTGCCGTATCTCGCAAAGGAGCCACATTGCCCTGTTCAAACCACAACTGGTGTGACTTACCAAGTGAAAGTCGATGGGTCCTCGCTTTCTGTCACTCCGCATCCCTTTGAACACGCTCTTTCATCAAAGCAACTGCCAGCAAGTCCACAATCTGTTGTTGTAATGACTGTGCTGGGACAGAATCCCCAGAAACCACTCTTAGTGTCAACACAACAGTCATAACAGGAATTGGTGGTCCTGATTTGATCTGGGCTGCCATTCAGGTAACCACATTTGGAGAGTTTTGTTGTGATAGATTGTTTTTGGGGCTCGTCGCCGGAATGACTGCCGAGGTTGCAAAGTTGAGATGTCGGGGTGATGGTTGGCAGTACTGTGAAAAAAGCCTGACTGGGACGTAGAATGCTGAATTTAAGCAACAAGAGAAGCCAGTGTGAGTGAACTGGACGCTGCATGGCCAACTGCGAGTTCAAAACAATGGTCCCAGCCAATAGCGCGCCAACGAAAACCTCTATTCAGGGCGCCAACAGGCCTCCTTAATACGGGTCTTCAGCCTCTAACAGCTATCTTATTACCCGTAACATCTATATCCTGTTCCTGGTCGTATGGTACACTATATTCTTCTAAATATCCCCCGACTCCTTCTTATGGTACAGCGCCTTATTCCGGCAGTGGAACAGATTATCTTCATCGCATCCGAGGCAGTATCGGCCATAGCACTGAATCTCACCTGTAGCGGCCGGCTCTAACGTCTCAGAATATAGCTGCTCTTTCTTCTCGTCCGCCGCCCCACCGGCCATGCGTAATGCGATCTCTCTCGCCTCCTGCGCGAATCTCGCCCGCTCTCGGATGCCCTTCCCGTACCGGCACATCACGAATGGACAGGGCACGCACAGTAGCGCCAGCGCCGCCGGGACGCCGGCGCCGTAGTGCACGCCCAGGCGCTCAAACATGATTTTTGTGAACAGGGGGAAGACGGCCCCGAAGAGAGACCGGAGCATTGTGCTAGCCGCAATAGCCGACCCGGCGTAGACTGTGTAAGTGTCGACAATGTAGTTCAGCAGGCTGAGGAAGATGACCACCATGCCGAACCCAAATGGCGCCGTCCCGGCGACGGGAATTACGACGTGGAACTCGGGCGAGTTGGTCAGGGCAAATAAGAGCAGGCCCAGTGGCGCCATGATGGCCCCGAACCGCGCTGGCCGCAGCCGCATCTCCGGTGCGAGGCGTCCGGTTGGCGAGGCTTTGGCCTCTCGTACATAGGCTCGGTTCTGGAAGAGCATGAAGACGAGCGCCGCGACCATGCCCGCCGCGATGCCGAGGAACGCGAGCCCGGCCACGCCTTGCCGGAGGCCATAGCCCTGCTGGAACACAATGGGGAAGGCCGCGAACATCATGTACATGGCCCCGAAGATAACGGCCATGTACGTCGAGAGGACGATGACGATGATCTCGGAGAACAACAGCGCCCACGGCCTCGTCATCGCCATCCGCAGCACAGCGCCTATGGACTTCCCTCCCTTACCGCTGCCGGCTCGAACTCGGTCCATCTGTGCGCGGAACACAGTCCCGTGCTGGTTGTCGCGTGTGAGCGCCGCCGCCCGCAGTCGGAGCAGCACCGGGGCGTACGTCTCCGGCACAAGAAAGTAATACAGCAGCCAGACCAGACCCGTGACAGCTGTGATCATGGTGCCGACGCCTGCCCAGCCAGCCGCCTCGCCCAGGAACCCGCCTGCGATGGGGCCAAGGACAGGTCCTAGGAAAGGCGCGGCGGAGAAGACGGCGCTGACGCGGCCGCGGTCGGCGGGTGAGAAAAGGTCCACCACGATGCTGCCGGACAGAACGAGGGCCGAGGACCCGAAGGCGCCGGCGAGGAGGCGGCTCGTGGCCAGGAGGGGCATGTTGGGAGCCACGGTGGCGATAAGGTTGAAAGCGACAAAGGCACCGTAAGAGGCTGTAAAGACTACGCGGCGACCGAAAGACTCACTGAGCGGCGCCCAGAGGAGCGGTCCTAGGGCGAAGCCGAGCACGAAGAGGGAGACGCCGAGGAAGGCTGTTTCCGAACCGACCGAGAGGCGCTGGGAGATGTCGGAGATGGAGCCTGTGTAGGCGGATGAGGAGAAGGTCATGGCGAGCGTGGCGAGGGCGTTGAGGCCGGCGATCATCCACCTGATGCCGAGACCGAAGTTGAGCGGATTGCGCTGGTCGTTGGGGATGAAGCCGATATAGTAGGGGTCTTCCTCCGTCCCAGAGCCCGTCCAGTCGTGACTGACAACGGCCCGCGTCAAGAGGATCGGGTCATGCACGATACGCCAGTGCGGTATATTGGGCTCCTCGTCGCCGCCCTCGAGGGCGGTGGGAGACGGTTCCATCAATCAGAAATGGAAGGCCGAAAGACCGTAGCTGAGGACATGGTCCCATGGGTCTGTACAATGGTTGTATTCTGCGATAAAGGACACGGCGGTGGCCATAGGGAGCAAGTGATGAAGGCAGGGAGCGGCATGGACTGAGGTGCCAGTGCCTGGGGGAGTGGATACCCAGGACTCGAGGAGGCGAGGACATGTTCGCGTCGTTTGAAGAGATGGTTCAGACAGGGCGAGAACACGAAACTCGACTATCCTCGCCCTCTTCATGCCTCTCAGCCTTCTCGGTGGTGTTACCAACTCCCTCTGGTGCGCAACGCATCTCAGACAAATCAAGACGAACCCCCTCGGGCGCGAGACAAGGTAAGCGCTATTATGAAACTTGATCGATATGAGACGGTTTTAATGGAACTCTTGTTACACGTCTTATTGTTTCGTTTTTGAAAGGCGCTAAAGGCAGTGAAAGGTGCACGACTGACCTGACTCGCGCTCTAAGGGAATCTCGCTCAGAAAGCGCAACGACCATGTTGTAAGACTCCGCACACACAACACACGACCTCAGCCCCTGGAACTTGACACATATCAGCCAAGGTGTTATGCTCATATCAGTGGAGCATTTACGGACGACGTTTCATCGACATTGGACTCGGTGGAACGCCAGGATCTTGACTCGAGACTGGTTCCAAGCCCCGTACCAAAGCAAAGTGATTGAGGAACCGACCTTGTGGCGGATGGAAACTTACTTCTTGAAAGCCCAGCCTTGAGCACTGCTAGGCATTTTGTTCAAGCAAAAATGTCGCAGGCGTCTCAGACACATACCACATCACTGCTGTTTCTGATTCTGCTGGCCTGTATTGTTGCCACACCTAAGATCTAAAACGACAAAGCTGTGCTTCCTTCCAAAGGAATCACTGCTAGCTGCCAGTACAGGATTCAGACAGTCCTAGTAAGAAAGCAATGCACGGAAATGATTGGATATTTTCAGTAAGCTACCAGTCCTCTTATGCCAGAGAGAACGCTCGGTGTCTACGTCTTCTGTAATATTTTCGAGAAGACACTATCGTCATTGCTACCCTGAGGTAACAGTTACATCCCCAGCACTACCCGCCGTCTCCAGATCCTTTATCGATGCTTTTGTACCTGTATAATATTGCGTAAAGTCATGTTTCAACAACCCCGGAGCCTGTGATGCGGGATACCGCGAGTTAGTCTGCATGCATCGATGAAAGACAGTGAATTCGGGGCATCTTACCCTCAAGACGTTAGCAAGCATCGCAGCACTCTCCGGGCCTGGCGTAGACCGAAGTGCCTTCAAGAACTCATCCTTTTCAATAGCCTCACCAGCTTCCGTCGTCAAGCGTTCGAGGTTCGCTGTCGTGATCCGGTCTACCACGTTCTTGTATATCCCTCGGCGGACACTGTTGTACTTGTCTAGAATCTCGTCCATGGCAACCCCATTATAGATTCCGATGAGGCAGTCCGATAGCCCGCCTACGTCGACCATCCCGCTCGTCAGTCCCATCCCACCCATTGGGTTGCACAGGTGCGCCGCGTCCGCCGCCAGGAGGATACGGCCAACGCGGAACTGGGGAGCACAGCGCTGATGGATGCGATACGGACTGAAGCTGACGATGTCAGGTTCTTCGACAGTCGACTGCCCAGGAAGAGCCGCTCGCAGGCGTTCGGCCACGCGAGCGACGCACTCGTCCTGTGACAGGCCGCCATCCTGCCCGAAAGTCACCCGCCAAAGGCCGTCCGGGCCACCTACGCGGGCGGCCATGAACCACTCGGTAGGGTGGATGACGAAGTTGATGTCGGACCAGCCCATAACATCGAATCCCGGGTGCCGTACGTTGACTGCCACCAGCCACAGGTCCCAGGTGAATCCGGGGAACGAATCTCCGAAGAGACAACGACGTACCGTGCTGCTGGCACCATCACATCCGACGACGTAGTCAGCTGTGAGGGTGGACTTGTCTGCTGCACACCCTCCGTTCGGCCCAGTGTCCATCCCGATTTCGACCCAAGCTGCCCTGTCGTCTTGGTTTACCTGCAGAACGCGATGTCCAAAACTGACCTCTGCAGTCGGCTGCTCACGTAGCTTCTCGAGTAATATCTCGACCACGAGGTTGAGTGGCAGGCTCACTACCCCATCTGCGGTAGGTATAGGGTTCTTGGGCAGCTCGGCGAGTACCTCCCCGCTGGGGAAGCGCCAGGTGACGCCCGAGGGTCTGAGTCCTCCGCGGCTGATGATGGCGTCAAGGACACCCGACCGCCGGAGCTCATACACACCAGCAGGGCCGTAGTGCGTTGCTCGCGGCCGGGTGTCCGGGCTGGAGGCGGACTCGAGGACTCGGACGACAATACCGTGCCGGGCGAGATTGAGAGCCAGGAGAAGGCCGGAAGGGCCGGCGCCTACGATGATGACTTTCTAAGCTAGAGTCAGCTGCGCGCTTTCATTGCGTGGGAAAGGGGTTAGGAAGAGGAATGTGGACTTCTGACATACAATGGTGGGGGTTGGTGTTTCTTCAGCCATCGCGTGCGAGGAATCTCTCAATAGAGCAAATCTGGTGTGAAGTCAAGACAAACAACTGAGGAGCTGAGACGATAGCGGCTATCTTAAAGATGATAATCTGCCATCCTCGCAGCAGCCGACGCATGTCAGCATTGATGGGCATGGTAGTGGCCTCAGCTCATGGTCTAGATCTCCTCAAGCACGTTTTGGACGCAAAACGTGGCGACGTGCTCCTGGAGTTTGACACCCTGGCCATCGTCGTCTATGCGAGGTGAGACGGTAAGAAAACGGTCCCCATTAGGCCAAGAGATTCTCAAACTAGCTAGTTCAAGTTCTACTGAGTAAATATAGTATGTGTCATCTCGATTACTTTACATCGAGATGTCGTAGGGCGGTTTCGGATCGGTACGGCGACCGGCTATCGGCCCTGTTTCAGCCACTCGAGCATGTACCTACCCGGTCCATGTGGAAAATATGGATTATGGAACATCCTGTAGATAATTTGCATCAAATCCTCCTGTGATACAGTTGTGTCAATAGCCAACGCCGTCTTCGCGACGTGTGATCGGCTATCAGGATGATGGCTCGATCCGCAATGTATCAGAGTGCCATATTTTTCATCTGTGCGAAAGGGGCAAATTCTGAGGCTAACATGTTGCGCACTAGGTGCAATGATCAAAGAAGCATTGACACGTCACGCTAGCGACCGACTAAGGAAGGAGAGAGCACTTGATCGCGGTCCAGCTTGATACGAGTTGCTTGGGCTGGCTCCCAGGCGAGTATATAGATAACTATGGCCGTATCAAGTCTTACATCGCATCAGCACGCCTTGGTCTTGACGACACGGCAGTAAAACCTTTATTTAAATTCCCCGTTGACACGCTGGCATCATGTCGACACCTGCTTTCAAGACTCATATTCTCGTGTTTGGGGACCAGACGGAGAAGATCCTGCCTGCCATCCAAGAGCTGTACAGGCACGCCCCAAACTCGCTATACCTACGACGCTTTCTTCAAGTCTCTCACGATGTTGCTCGACGCTACTTCGAGAGTCTATCTGCTCTCCAGAGCCAGAGGCGGTATTTCGACACATTTTTGAGCCTTGCCGACGAGTCCGCTCAACAGAAACACCCGGACATCATCGTCCAGAGTATGCTCCTCTGTGTAGCACAGCTGGGCACGTTGGTAATGTATGACAAGACCCAGGTTGCCTGTATCCGTTCTCAAGCAGGGACTGGAAGCTCACGATAACAGGAAACTAGAGGAATGCCCGGAGTTGCTGCAGAGCACTATCATGGTAGGTTGGTGCACAGGTTTGCTTCCGGCCGCAGTCGCTGCTTCGGCGGTCTCAATGGTTCAAGTATTGGAGCTTGCACCGAGGGCTGTAGAGCTTTCGATCAAGATCGGCGTGGATGCGCATCGCAAAGCCGCAGCAGTTGAAGATCACCCTGGAAGTTGGGCAAGGGTTGTAAAGGGATGCCCGGAAACCGATTTAGAGGCGATGTTGAACCAGTTCAACGCGACAAACGTGAGTAGTTTCCCGACATCCTCTTCTGAACGGAATTTAGAACCCCAGACCTATACCCCTGGTATCATAGCTGACGCTTCTCCAGAATCTGCCAGCTCCAAAAGCAGCATATATCAGCACAGTCGGATCTTCTAGCTGTACTATCAGTGGCCCCCCTTCAACACTTGAAACCCTCTTCAGGTCAACTTTGTCCAATTCCCGGCAATTTCCATCGGTCTCGCTCCCGATCTCGGCACCTTTCCATGGATCCCATCTACCAGATCTGGGCGTCTGGGACAGTGAGAGATCGGAGAAGCAGTTTGGGAACGCCGCAATGCTACGCGATAAGGCCGCCATCATTTCGCCAAGCTCTGGCAGAACCTACGTTGGAACGACACTAGACGAAATGTTGCCTCAGATCGTTGACGACATTCTTTGGAAACAAATCCGGCAGCAAGATGCATTCACCGGTATTCGACTCCTATGTGGCGACAGCCATGTCAGGATCACACCCATTGTGGCCACGGCGGTCTCCAAGCAGCTGGAGGATCACCTGTGCGAGCATGGTATCACGGTTGATTCTCAGCCATTTACCAAGCCGGAGTCTACGCCGTCAAACTCCAACTCCGTTGCCATAGTGGGCATGTCGGGGAGGTTTCCAGGAGCAGAATCTCTCGACGACTTCTGGCGGGTTCTAGAGGCCGGTATTGATCTCTGCCGCGAGATTCCGCAAGACCGGTTCGATGTCAAGTCCCATCATGACCCCACCGGCAAGAAGGATAACACAACTCTGGCGCGATTCGGTTGCTTCATCGACCGCCCTGGAATGTTCGACGCGAGGCTTTTCAACATGTCCCCGCGCGAAGCAGCCTCAACTGACCCCGGTCAGCGGCTGCTCCTGATGACGACCTATGAGGCACTGGAGATGGCGGGATATACCCAAGAACCACAAGCGGGAGAGAGAGATACCAAAGTCGGCACTTTCTTCGGCCAGACCATCGACGACTGGCGGGAGTACAACGCCGCAGAGAAGGTTGACATGTACTACGTCACGGGAGGCATCAGGGCGTTCAGTGCAGGGCGGGTGAACTATCACTTCAAGTGGGACGGCCCGTCCTACAGCGTGGACAGCGCGTGCTCATCGAGCCTTCTCGCCATTCAGCTCGCATGCAGCTCCCTCCAAAGTCGCGAGTGTAACATGGCTGTGGCAGGGGGGTCGAACATTCTTACTGGTTGCAACATGTACTCGGGACTGAGCCGGGGCAGCTTCCTGTCACAGACCGGCTCTTGCAAGACTTTCGACAGCGGTGCTGATGGGTACTGCCGCGGTGAGGGTGTAGGGGTCGTGGTCCTCAAGAGGCTGGACGACGCCCTCGCCAACCGAGACCCTATTCTGGCAGTGATCAAGTCCGCTGCGACAAACCACTCAGCACAAGCGGTGTCGATTACGCATCCTCACGTGGAGACACAAGAGCGTCTGTTTAGAGACGTCCTGGCACAAGGAGGGGTGAATCCTACCGAAGTCGATTATGTTGAATGTCATGGGACCGGCACCCAGGCAGGAGACGCCGCAGAGTCCAGCTCCGTGGTCAATGTCCTGGCACGAGGGAACAGGGAACGGCCGCTTGTTATTGGATCGATCAAGCCGAGCATTGGGCACGGAGAAGCAGTGAGTGATAACATATGCATCAAAGCACGTCTGTGAGGTTGGTCTCTAACATTGCTCTGCTTAGGCCGCGGGGGTATCGTCCCTCATCAAGACCTTGTTGATGATGCGGAATCAGGCTATTCCTCCTCATATCGGCGTGAAAGCACAGCTGAATCCGGCTTTGCCCTCTTTTGCGGATAACAACTACGAGCTTGCCACATCTCGTCCATTTGCCAAGGAGTCGGGCAGAACGAGGAAGATCATGATCAACAACTTCAGTGCAGCGGTATGTTTTTCACCATCGCCCCTTTTACTCACTGCGTAGTGCTCACACATACCTCTCTCAAGGGCGGCAATACAAGCCTCCTCATAGAAGATGCGCCATCTGTATTGCCTGCACCCGAGTCTTTGGACCTTCGAACCACGCATGTCATCACAGTCTCCGGGAAAACCCCAGCTTCTCTTCACCAAAACCTTGAGCGTCTCTCCAGCTTTGTGGCCTCGACATCATGCTCAATTTCTAGCATTGCGTACACGTCTACGGCTCGACGACTGCATCATCCCCTCAGGAAGGCATACGTGGCTAAGACACCAGCTGAGCTATCTGCTGCGCTGGAACGAGACCGGCCGAGCTGGGAGGACATCAGCTCCGGCCCCAACAAGCCCCCAACGGTAGTTTTTGCGTTCCCCGGACAAGGAAGCAAGATTCTCGGGGCCGGCGCCGAGCTGTACAGGACGTCCCCCGCCTGTCGCCGCGATTTCGACGGAATGGATGCTCTCTGCGCTTCCCAAGGCGTGCAGTCATTCCTGCCAACACTTTTAGGAGAGACGACTGAACCTTCGCCTCTCGAGAACCAACTCACGCTCGCAGTCGTTGAAGTTGTTCTCGCCAGGCTCTGGCAGTCATGGGGTGTCAAGCCAGACCTCGTCATCGGCCACAGTCTGGGAGAGTACGCTGCGATGTGCGTGGCTGGTGTGATATCTGCCTCGGACATGGTCTATCTGATTTCAAAAAGGGCTGAGCTCATGAAGACGCTATGTGCTGCAGGGACGCGAAAGATGCTGTCACTACGGCTGGGTGTTAAGGATGTCGAGGCTGCTCTGAGGCAGTCGTCTGCTGATTTGCCGTCCCTTCAGGTAGCATGCATCAACGGACCGACATCAACGGTCGTGAGCGGGCTGGCAGATGACATATTGAGATTCCAGAAGATGCAGCAAGAGGACTATGGTGTTACGGCTGTCCTCCTCGAGGTGCCTTATGCTTTCCACTCTGCCCAGATGGACCCCATCTTGGAGCCGTACGAGAAGGAAGCGAGATCAGTCCATTTCGCAACGCCTACCATACCAGTTGCCTCCACGCTCCTAGGCTCCATTGTTCGGGAACCCGGTGTGTTTTCTGCGTCCTACCTCGCCCGGCAGGCAAGACAGCCTGTGAGATACACCCAGGCGTTGGACGCCTGTTCCGCGAGTGAGCTCATTGGCAACAAGACACTATGGCTAGAAATTGGACCAGGGACTACCTCACTGTCGTTCGTCAAACAGACGCTGGGATGCAGTCCGTCTTGCACTCTCCCAACTCTTGACCTGAAAAAGGGAACATGGGAGACGGCCTCGTCCACTCTCGCTGCTGCGTACACTAACGGAGTCAACATCCGTTGGACGGAATTCCATCACGCTTACAAACACTCTCTCTCCGTGGTCAGCCTGCCGACATACGCGTTTGATCTGAAGAACTACTGGCTTGACTACACGAGTCGACTAGACCACCCCAGCTCGGCAGCCTCCTCAAAACCAACACTCGAAGAAACATCTGCGTTCACGTCTCGCTGCTGGCAGAAGATAGGAGAAGAGTCCTTTACCCCCACTGAGGCTTGCGTCAAGTTCACGAGCGACTTCAGCGACCCAGAGCTCCACGCCATGGCCCGCGGCCACATGGTCGGCGGCGTTGGTCTCTGCCCCAGTTCCTTGTACTCCTCAATGGCGTACTCCGCGGCGCTCTACATCTTCCAGAGAAGGGACGCCTCGCTCTCCTCTGTTCCGCCCATGGACATTTTTGACATGGAGATATTCAGCCCCTGCATCGTTTCCGCCGCCGCCGAGTCCCACCCGTTCACGATTACGGCGATCCAGGCCTTGCCATCAGGCGCCGTTGAGCTCATCTTCGCCAGCTGCCCTGACGGGGATTCATACCGCCAGCACGCGAAATGCTCAGTCTTGCGGGGCGCAGAATCCATGTTCTCCGAGGCAAACAAGAACCTCTATCTCATCCAGGACCGTATCTCCACCCTGCGCCGCATGGAGCAGGCCGAAGAACTCGACCGGCTGAGTAAGAGCACCGTGTACAAGCTATTCAAGACCGTGGTGGACTACTCCAGGCCGTATCAGGCGCTGGAAAGTCTGCACCTGAATCCGGAGCGGCCCGAGTCCTTCGCAAAGCTGAGCTTCCCATCTCCAGATGACCCCGAAAACTTTGTCCACAATCCGTTCTGGATCGACAACCTGGCGCAGCTCGGAGGCTTCTCGCTCAACGTCAGCCCACCATCAGGCCAGGACGATGTGTATATCTCTCACGGATGGCAGAGCATGCGCATTCTCCGCCGTCTGACCGCCGCCGAGCAACTCTCCGCCTATGTCTGCATGCAACCTTCTCTGGACGAGAGTGGCGTTTGGTCTGGAGATGTTTACGTTTTCACTAACGAGGAGCTCGTGGCCATGTGTTCCGGCCTTAAGTTCAAGCAGATGCGACGGACTGTGTTGTTCAGTCTTCTTGGGGCTGCCATACCCAACATGGTCGTTTCCATGTCCAAGTCGCACTCGCGGTCGTCGTCCTCTGTCTCGGTTCCAAGAGGCCGCATCTCGGCTCAGTTGACGCCCCCGATATCTAGAGCGTCCTCAAAATCGAGCAGGGTTGGGGTCGAAGATGCAGCTCTCTCGACAATTGTAGAGGCTGCCGGGTTGAGAATGGCCGATGTCTCTGAGGGCCTGGCTGAGTGGTCTGATCTTGGGATAGACTCCCTGCTGACCATCACCATCCTGCAGCAGCTGCGCGAATCTACCGGGATGGACCTCCCCAGTTCTTTGTTTAGCACGTACCCCACGATTGAGTCCTTACGGACATTCTTCCGCGGCAGTGGAGGTAGCATGAGCAGGAGTCCCAGCGTGTCGCAGGCGCCTCGACAGCACCGCAGCTCTCCTCTGTCGCAGTCGTCTCCTGCGTTTAACAAGAAGACGAAGAGTCGGAGCTCAACTTTGGCATCGACAGCAACTGCAGACAGCGGCATCTCCATGAGCTGCAATGGGGCATCGGACAACCTTTGCGAGGTCCTCGCGTCCATCATCGCCAGGGAGGTGAGTGTTGGTCGGGAGGAGATCCTGCCCACCACGCAATTTTCTGACCTCGGTATGGACTCGCTGTTGACTATCACGGTCCTGGCTAGCTTCCGTGAAGAAGCTGGCGTGAGTTTGCCCTCGTCCTTCTTCAACGACTGCCCCACTCTCCATGATGCTGAGGTCGCGATGCGGCCATCCCAGGCCAGGACTAATGAGGCTGAGCTCAAACCGCTTCAGTCGGAGAAGAACCCGATTCTAGGCAGAGTACCGGAACGTGAATTCGCCAGCACCGTAGTGCTTCTTCAGGGAACTCCAAGGCCTGGCAGACAGTCTTTGTTCCTTCTCCCTGATGGATCTGGCTCGGCACTCTCTTACATTGATCTTCCACCCCTGACGGAAAAGGCCACTTCGCTGCCCGTCTACGCACTCAACTCACCCTTCATTAGAGACCCAGACAGCTACACCCTCCCCTTTGAGGCTGTCGCCGAGATCTTCATCAAAACCATTCGAAGCACCCAGCCACATGGCCCGTATCTCCTGGCAGGATGGTCCATGGGCGGCATCTTCGCATACGAGGTCAGCCGCCAGCTGCTTGCTGCCGGCGAGGTCATCGAGCTGCTTTGCCTGATCGACAGCCCCTGTCCCCGGACTCTGCCCCCTCTCCCGGCGCCAACACTCGACATCTTGGACAAGGCGGGGCTGTTCTCCGGGCTGGACAAGGCCGGTAGAGGAGTACCGGACGCCACGCGGAAGCATTTCCTCGCTAGTGTCCGTACACTGGAGCACTTCCACCCAGCGGAAACGCCCCGGGACGCCGCGCTAGGCAAGGTCGTCATTATATGGGCCAAGGACGGTGTCCTCGATCGGGTGGTGGACGAAGACAAGAAGAGGGCTGTGCTGAGCGACGACGAGATTGCCGGGGCCGCGAGGGACTGGCTGGTCGGCAAGAGAAGCGACTTTGGTCCCGCGGGCTGGGACAGGCTCGTGGGCAGGGAGGTGGAGTGCCGGTGTGTCCCTGGCGATCACTTTTCCATCGTGAAAGCCCCTCTTGTGAGTGGTGTAGAGTGCCCTCGAGTGTTGTGACCGAGCTAACTGTTTCTCTGCAGATCAACAATGTCCAGGAGGTTTTGAGTGAATCCTTTCAGAGCCTAGGATTCGCATGAGCACTGTGGCATGGCGTGCCGGGCACTAGTTTAGAGCTGTTGGATATAGGCTTAGATATTCACCCCAGTTTGGATCTCTTGCATGGATTGCGAATCCCATGCTGATATTCATTGCATCGCGTTTATTTCCTCCTCGGGGTGGAGATCAAGCGAGTTCAATCACTGGCCCAATCAACGATAAAGCGAGACTCACCTCTCTCTCGCATTAATAACTTGAGAGGGATGCATTTATTTTTAAATTATGTATCTCATACCTAACACTATATCTCTCTGCAGTATGAACAGTTCGTATTTAGACACGAAAAAGTCAATCCCACCTTGAAATCTGCATTCGCTGAATACCCTAAAGTGACTAGCGAGGCCACGAGATTTATCGTCTTGGATAAGCAAGAACGACGGGTAAAAAAGGGATTGATGTTAGATTGTGAAGTAGAGAGACTAGATATTACAACGAGATAGACTGCGAGAGTGACGCAGAGGAATTTATCGTTGTTAAGGGCGAAGATATCGATAAGGAGCTTTAGTTATCCCCAGTTTGAGTTAATCAGCATAATTACTGTATGATCCCTATTGATGCGTGAGAAACCCGACTTCTTGGCTACTAATTCAACAGTCATAATTCTATCTTAAACACGCATACAAAAGTCTAGTTGCGAATATAGAAAAATAATACTTAAAATAAAGTGACGTCTATTTATATGAGAAATTGGCTGTGTGTGGACATACCTTAGTTTTTGCATATCAATAGACCCCCCGTCCCTGAGGTACAAATGGCGGGGATGGGCGATTGTGACCTTCTGCCGCGTAGCGTTATATATGTGTCACTCTGCAATTGGGCAAGACGAGCCATATGATGACGTGAAATATCAGACGAGAGACCGAGCCTAGTTATATAATGTCCGATGTCCGGCTAACCAAGGTGGCATATTGAGGCATTTTACGCATACGATACAGCACACTTGAATTAATCAATTGAACTCCTCAAATTCCAGCCTTTTTCTGCAATAAAGCACGTTGTGTTCGACTTCACTACCTCGAGCCCGCATTATCTATTAGCCCGGGTCCGACAGGGCCAACCTCTACGCTTCCCAGGACAGCCTGTGGCGTACTCGCATTGTTCCGTTACTTGAACCAATCCAACCAGCGAAGGATGGACGAACTCGCCTGTCCAGAGTCCAAGTCGGCCCCCAGCCCAGCCAACTATAATGGCAGCCTCACGTCTACCGTCCCGTCAAACGAGGGCCTGCCAGTTTTCGAGAACTTCGTTCCACGTCCCGGATCAAGGCTGATACCGGAAGCGGCTCTCTGTGCCGCATGCTCAACCCTGGTTGATACTTTCTTCACCAGCAAAACAAAAAGACCCAAAGTCGATCACCTCGACGAAACATTTCAGGCTCTTGAAAAGTCGGCGGCTTCTTGTCGCCTGTGTGGTATATTGGCCTCCCTACTTCGAGAGGACTGTGAAGCGGCGGGACCTCCGTACCGGTATGGGACACACGTTCATATTTTAGAGAAATACGCGTCTTTCAGCCTTTACTCTGCAGACGGGTACACATCGCCTCACACGGTCCTAACCTTTTTTCTCAAACAACTTCGACATGGGTTCAGCGGTCCGTTTGATCTTGAACCCTTCCGACACATCGTTGGCGGAAACCGGGAAGATACTGCAAGGGATTCGGTTGTGGTTGTATCGGAAGAACTGTCAGAGGCCTTTTGGGCCGCCTACAAGGCCGGCCGAACTTCTGAGAAGCTGATACTGGCTGTACCACACAACTATCCTCTATCAGAAGATGCCATCAGCCGTGCAAGAACCTGGCTTTCTAATTGCCTTCATAAACACCCAAATTGCACGGCTACCCGAGCCGGAGGCCGGCTTCCAAAACGGGTCCTCGATCTTCAGGGCGATAGGGTTGTGCTTCATGTTCCCATTGGCAGCGATATCGAGGCATATGCAACATTGAGTTACTGTTGGGGATCTTCGGGGGTCCCCTTAAAGACGACATCAGCCAATTTCGAAGATCACTGCCGCGGGATCCCGCTAGAGGCATTCCCAGAAACCCTCAGAGACGCAATATGTTTCGTAAAAGAGCTGGGTATTCAATACCTTTGGGTTGACGCCCTTTGCATCATACAGGATGGAGATGGTGGTAAGGACTGGGCCGAGCAGGCGGCTGCGATGGCGGCTATCTACCAGGGCGGGGTACTCAACGTCTCGGCCCTAGATGGTGACGACTGCAATTCGGGGCTGAAGCCCAAGAAGCTGAGCGGCGTCGGCCTCCGGGTTGGGACGGTGCTGCATCCGGAAGCGAAGCGAGATGTTTATTTCGTTGGAAGCCCCAACTATCAGAGTCTTCAGACAGAACACCGCCGGCTAGCTAAGCGCGGCTGGGCTTTCCAGGAGCGACTCGTTTCTCCAGCCACTATCCACCATACCGACTGTGGCATGGTATGGGAGTGTTGCTCCCAGGTCGAGGCGGAAACTGTGTGGGAAGCGGGCGTCTGTCTAGGTGGCTCCCGGCTCACGTCGAAAGAGACATTCCTCAGCAAGAAACAGCACTGGAACGCTACCATGCAGAGGCTGGAAGCTGGAAAACATACCGCAAAAGCAGACCTTCAGGACTCCGAAGAGCTTGAGGTTTGGTACTTGGCCTTGCAGGACTACTCATCGAGGAAGCTTACCTTCGAGCGGGACCGCCTACCAGCGCTCGCTGGGATAGCTGCGCGGCTGGCAATGACACTCGGGACCACTTATATCGCCGGACTGTGGAGGGAAGATATATCACGAGGGCTCTGTTGGATGCTCATGAATCCTCGAGATGAAAGAAATGCAGCCCTACGACGAAGTGGTCAGGGGCCTACGTGGAGCTGGACCTCTGTGGTCGGCAAAATCGAGTTCGATAAAGACGTCTCCGGACACGCAAGTTCCATGATCAGGCTGCTTGGGTCCGAGGTTGATGAAGTTCATCCCGGGATGTTTGGTCAAGTTCGCAGTGGCAGTCTGGATATTGAAGGAACGATCAGGAGAGTCGTTTTGGATCGCCGCCAGCCAAACCAAGCTGGCCCCTACGAGTGCGATGCTGTAGGGCTATTCGAAGAAGGGATTGATCGCGTTTCTACTGTAGAATGCTATCCCGACGAGGGCGACTTTATTCCAAATCGTTACGAGGGCGGGTTAGACTGTTGGTTGTTGCATGTGAGGAAGTTAGGCGAGATCTGGCTCTTCCTGGCGTTGGAGAGTCTTGAGAATGGCAAGGGCGGTATGCACAGAACTTACAGACGAGTTGGCCTTGTGATGATTAAGCCACGTTGGAATGGGACGAAGATGAGTGGCACAATTGTCCCCGGACAGTCTGTAAGCTTAACTCTAGTTTAATTATACTTGCTTATTTTATCTCAAAGCTCCAAGTTGTGTTATTTAGTGACTGAGAACTTTTTAGAAGTAGCTATACTCATACTATTAGTAGTATAAATAAGATTATATAATTTTTCTACTATTTAAAGTATGAATAAAATACACTACATTTAGTTTTTTGTCAGGTAGACTAAAATTATATAGTATTCTTAAGTAGAGATAAACATTAAGTACTACATCCAGCACCAGAATAAACAGTAGCTGAGCAATAACGTTATTACATGCTGATCACTGCTTAAAGCTTCAATTCAACCCTGCTGTCTGCAGTTAACAAACTACAAGATTCCGGCAAATGGAAAAAAAGAAGCTTAAAACCCGAAACTTGGGCCTTGGCAACTGTAACCTGCGCAATAAAAATATAGTAAACTCGCACATTAGGTTCCTTCATCGAGGGGCAATTGTCTGTATCTTAGGAAGCTAATAGAGATAAAAATACGTAGTGTTACTAGTGTTTGAACAAGACTATTAGGGATGCGCTCTGTAATAATAGAGTCATTTATACAGAAGCTAATTAGGAAGAAAATGACACATCTATATCTTTGACTCCTTCCAGACAGGTGATCTCTTCTCAATAAAGGCTGTCAGACCCTCTCTTATGTTTTCACCCCGTTCAAGCAAGCTAAAGTACTGCTGGAACCACTGATCTGTCGCCGCTTCAACATCCGCCGTCTCCCAAGCTTGCCGCAAGCCGGCCCTCGCACAAACGATAGCGTCAGGACTGTTCTCTGCGATCAGTGACGCATAGCGCAATGCTTCGTCCACAACCTTGTCGGATGGAACCACCTTGTTCACAATCCCCCATGAGTGCATTTCCTGAGCGGAAAGCCGCCGCCCCGTGAGGACAATCTCGGAAGCCACCTGCATCCCAGCAGTGTGTACGATCCGTGTGAGAACACCACCGGTCGGAGCCAGTCCCCGCTTGACCTCGGGGAGAGCAAAGATGGCTGTGTCTGCTGCAACAACCAGATCGCAGTTGACAGCGAACTCACACCCTCCGCCAAAAGCAAATCCGTTTACTGCCGCCACGATGGGCTTCTTCCCCTTGCGACGTGTGAAGGGAGTGACCCCTTCTCGGACGCCAAACTGTTCCCCTTTGTCTCCCTCCAGTGAACGGCGCCACTCCTTGAGATTCGCCCCCGCAGTGAATGCGCGCCCTGTTCCGGTGACTACCAAAACGCGGAGAGTGGGCTCGGCATCGTACCAGTCTAGAACCGAATCGAACTCGCGTAGGGAATCCGAGGAAAGGGCGTTTAGGGAAGAAGGGTGATCCATACGAGCCAGAAGTACGTGCTTTGATGGGTAAGAAAGCCGCAAAAAGTCCAGCCCTGAGGGTGGCTGGGTCTTTGTAGAAAATGAGGCCGACATGCTGGCGCTTTATGGAAGTACGACAACCGATAGGGAACTGCAGACTTGTGACGGTATGACAGCGAATTGAAGGTTTCGGAGGCAACTGAATGACACGGTATTGCAATTATGTGTTAAGAGTTGGAGAAAAGCTGTGTAAAATAGACTACTTTGTTGACATATCGGCATTGGTAGGCTTTATCCTTCAACCTCGGGCCGAGGCTGTTAGCCTCAAACCAGTCTGGCTCTGGGGGATCGACGCGTGAAGTAGCCTAAGAGGGGTTGATGCAACGGCGACCCGAGGGTCAAGGAAAAGCCTAAGTGCTCCGTTCAGTTGTAACGGAAGTTGTTGAGACTTACCTGAGCATGGAGTTACAGGGTGTGCTGAGGGAGAGAGTACAGGAACCCCAAACCACCCGCGCATGCGATGAGTGATCGGCGCAACGAGTGGAGCCTGCAACTGAAGATACGCGCCCGATGATACAACATACTACCAAATATTATATGACGGGACCTGACTTGGTCGGTAGACGGAGTGCAGGTGACCGCGCCGGCGTGACGGTCATCATCCTCCCAGCGGCGACGGAATCGTCTCTTCGTCCACCTTCGATTGGCCTTGTGTTCGTATATCGCTTGAAAGTCCAAGTAAACTTCAACTGCACCAGATAGGAACCTTGTCTGAAATCTTTCGCAAGTTCGTCATCAATGATGTTCTCTGAGTCTACGTCCCACGTTTGCCATCCTCGCTGCCACCATGGAGAATACGATGTAGCTCGATTCCATACTTAACCTCTATTAGCAGCCTTGCCAATTGCGGAAGGGATCTATCTAAAACCGTCTGTTCTGCTTGCTGGGTCTATTTTGCTTTACATCCCAATGTTGTGCTTGAGATGATAATGGTGTAGGGTAGGGTTCGTAAGTAATTGCCATTTCGGCCCGGAAAACGGCAAACGCTCTTCAAGTCCCAGCACTCGATCATCTGGCCTGAGTCTAGGTGTTAGAAGAGTATAAAGAAGCCAGGCTGCTAATGATCGCTTCTGGTCTTCGCGAAATAGAATCTGGTAACTAAAAGTCGGCCTCGGGACGAATGCTGATATATCAACACTTCCTTAAGGCTCTCGGATGTTGGAAAGAAATAACATAGGATGAAAATATTTGGGGCACTCGCATTATCTTATCTTATCGGTCATTCCGTCCATTGTGGGGTACAACGTCAACTTACGTGAACTTGTGGGCTGTGTTGGACTTGCTTCCTGTGATAGCTTCCGCCCGTCCTAGAGAAAGGGAAAAATAAATCCCGTTGTATAGAAGGCTGAAGCACTTTTATTTCCCTCTACAACTTTACAGAGAACAAAGTCTTTCCTTCCACTCGGACTGGTAATGCTCCCGCAAGATTTCCGTTGCCCGAAATAATCGCCTACTTTAACCAAACAAGTAACCACTTTCCAAACCTCTTAGTATTCTCGACGCGCCGAGGACCATCTGCCATCTCACCGGCTGCGACTAATGTCAGCTGCCCTCGCCGGGGGTTCGACTCGGCAGTCATGGGCTGGGGCCTTTCAAGTCGATTATCCGACACCCTTCTCCTCCACTTGCGGGGGTTCCAACCCCAGAATTTGATTTGATACATGATTGTTATCACAGCCATCAGAAGGATCTGATCAAGTTTGTCAGCGTTGCGTCAAAGAGGGACTGATGCTAACTGGGAGAGGCAACTCACGGCGATGTAACATCCAAAAATGTCTTCAATGCTCACGGGGGTGATAAAGGTTCTCCAGCCGTTGAAGATGACGAAGAGGCTGCACGCGAATACCGCATAGTATGCTCTGAGATACTGGCCGTGGGACCTGTACGGATACCGCGGATGGCTGCGGTCGTAGAGTTGCTTGACCAATGGGTTGTAGATGTCCACCACTTCCCTGCTCTGACCAGCTGCGGCATCTTTCAGACTAAACAGGAGTTAGAAAGCGCGTTACGCCCTGAAGCATGCTGCTTGGAATGTTTTAGCCTTACCTCTTGTAGAACGCGATGAAACTGGCTGCCACGAGCCCATACGTAATCATCATGGCGACAACACAACACCGAACCATCCGACCAAGGATCTTCTGCGAATCTGGGTTACACGCGAGGAAACCCATGAGTCCAAAGCACGCACTGAAAATCACTGCTGAGTGAGGCACACCATAGCTCGTCCGTTCGAGTCTCCTACGAAGTGCCTGTACGGGTCCCCAATTCGGCCAAACCTCATGGATGCTGGCCAGCGCATGCAACGTCCGTGACGCGTTGTAAAGCCCATTGGCCCCCGCCGTAGTGGCAGAAAAGATAATGAAGTCGTTGATGAAGTACGGCCAAATCCTGAGTCGGTTAATGACCGGAGAGACGACAAAGGCCGAGTTCTGGCCGAAGCCAAAGGAGATGACGGCGTGGTCCACGATGGTGGGATACGTGTAGGGAACGTTAAGACCGACGGTGAAGGTCGCAAGCGTGTAGAGTGTTATGATGCGGAGGCTGATTTTGCGAGTAGCAATTTTGACGGTTTCTTCTGTTCGAAGGTGCTTGTTCTCAGCTGCTGTGATAGCGATGGTTTCGAAGCCGATCATGCCGAAGAGGCAGGTCGTCATGGCTTCCCAAACGCCAAGGAGGCGACCGGCACCTCCTTCGACGACCTCCCCATTGGGAAGGGTCATGTTTTGGGCAGCGAACGAGTAGGGTTTATTGTAGGTCCAGAAGGCTCCGTGCTTGACAGGCTGTTGAATGTGGATAATGACGTTGAAGAATATGAGGATGATGATGAAGAGCATCTTGGCAGTGCCGAAGAAGTACTCCAGTCGACCAAACCACCGCACCGGGAGCATATTGAAAACCAACATGACGAGAAAGAAACAGATGACGTAGACGGCGGGCGACGCGCTGGGATAGAATTCGAGGGTGGGGTCAGGGTATTCGGCCGCTCGGAGGAGATCTGGAGGGTACCGGAACTGGAAAATGTGAGTGATAGCGACAAGCTCGGCAGCTACAAGCACAATCCAGGAAAACCTATCCTTCGCGTCAGCGTTTGGGGGTTATTTCACCAATGTCTGAGGTGACTTGTGTGGATTTAGCAACGTACCAGGTCATCCACCCCGCAGTATATCCCAGAGACTCGTCCAGAAAACGACGGGGAAATTCGATGATGGGACCCTTGACGGGAAACAGGGCCGTCATCTCGCCAAGGCAGGCAGCACACGACCACAGGACGGTCCCGCTGAGAATGTACGCAATAGCACCAAGGCCTGGCCCGGCGAGGTAGATGACTCTGCCGGCCTGGAGGAAGAGTCCGATACCGACACACTGCGAGAAGGCCATCATGTTTACATGGCGCTCCGTCAGCTCGGCGCTGAGTTGAAAGTATTAGACTTGGAGACGATGGGGGACAGCAGATGTCGGGAGACGAACCTCAACTGATTCCCCGGCTGAATGGCGGCATCTCCACCGTTCTCGAGTGAGTACGGTTGAGTATAGGGCCCTAACGGTTCGGGTGTGCCTGTTAAGGTGATGCTTTGTACACTGTGGTCGTGGAACACATTATCATGCCCGGGAGACGCTCGATGACTCGATGACGGATGGGTGGACGGGGGATAAGATGGAGTGCCCGGTGGGACCAATCTAGACATGCCAATCCCGACGGGCCTCCTTGAGATGGTATTTTGGGGAGGATATTCCTCAACGCCGCCGGTTCCGTCCATATTTTGGAGTGGTTTCCAAAACAAATCAAAAATTAAGAAGCTGAAAGAAACACTGCAAAACGCTGCGGGCCAACTTCGAGTCGAGATGGACCGGCATGCAAGAAAGCAGTACCAAATCTCCAGTCAGCGAGCTCCTGGACAATGACCCTGTTCTTATTATTAGGCACCGGCACATGGCGTTTTCAGCTCGCAGAATGTACCCCGCAATGTCTCCAGGCTGGCTACAAAGTTGGGACGGATGTGCGTCCAGACCGCGCTCAGCTCGTCGCTCAGCCCAACAGCCCAACCGCCCTGCAGCCCAATAGAGACACGGTGAAGCCATCCAGGCTGTAGGGGCGGTGGCTTGCAGCACCTGAGGCGGGACAGTGGACGGCGTGCAAACTAGCCGGCCAGTGATGGGATGGGAATCTCAACCTGCAAAAGATAGTCTGGGCTATTTCAGCCTTTGGCGTCGATGGCTTGAGGCTGAGTCTCCGGAAGCAGCTTTCGACCCACCCAGGCCTGGATGGGAGAGCGTGACTGGCTAACTAGCACCGGTATGTCTCAATCCACCTCAGGGAGAAGGGACTGCAAGTCGACTGCTGTACAAATCACAGATTAATTACAGGTTGCTTTTTTGTCAACCCTGCCATCTCACCTCCCAATCACTCACTACTGCTCACTGCTAATTACGTAGTACCGGAGAGCCCCCACCCGGCAAGCTGAAAGGCCGGTCCTCTGCCCTGGAATCTGGCAACACTTGTCATATAGGTTCCCGTGGACCGCCGCGCGTGCGTCTGGCCCTGTAAATGTTGCACCGTTTCTTGCAGCCCAAGAAAAGGGCAGAGGGGCAGACCATGTTTCGACATGGGCCAGTCCCCGCGGCAGCTCTCGAAGGCGGGCTCATTCCCCTCTGGTCTGAGGCATTCCTCGTCGTCGGCTGCCCGTACCTCCACTTGATTGAGCCTGGGTGGCCGCCGTTGCCCGGATTGACCCAGTCCAGTTCAGATGTAGGTCAGCTCTTCCAGGTTCCTTTGATTCGCGATTCCATCCGTTTTCCCTCTGCTCACCGGAGGTCTGGCAAATGCGTCCTCCTCTCGCTGATCCCTCTTGCTGGCAGTCAAATCTTTTCAACTTCACCGTCGAGAGCATCACTCTCTGTCCAAAGTGCGGTTCGCGAATCCACACCGCCCGCAGGCTACCGCTGTCACTCGGCTCGAAGAGCGGGCAGCCGACTCCTCCAGAACTTCCTCATCCTCACATTCCTGAGCTCCCTGCCGGAGTCTCAGCCGGAGTCTCGGCCGGCGTTCACTTGACGCCTCCTCTCTCTCACTCTTCTCCAAGCGCTAAAACGACCAGACCATCCCCCCGCTCGGCTGATCTGAGATCCGAGTCCGCGCCGCTGATACCACCCGACACCTCGAGACAGGTTCTGACGCCACGGCCAGAATCCTCGCCTCCTATTCCCGTCGACCCAACCGTCGCAAACTACGCGCCGTATCATGTCCGTCGACCAACCAATTATGTGCCTCTCCCCCTCGGTTCATCATCCAACCCTGCTTTCAACGGTTCTGCCGTGCCAGTCTCGCCAAGATCGCATCGGTCGTCGATTCTTGCGCGGTTCAGAAAACCGAAGCCCGACTCCACGCCGTCAGTCGTCTCGACGGGTACCAGCGGCGATATCAGATACCTTTCCTTTTGCTTCTCTTCCGACGGAGTATCTCTCCTAATTTGGGAAAAGAACAGCCTTGTGATAGCTCGTCTCGATGCCCGAGGAGACAGCGGAAGGCCCATTGACCTCGTCCCCATTCTCCGCAGGGCGCAAGGCGGACAAGCAACCTCCGGCAGCGCTCTCTTTGTGGCCGAGGGTTGTGGCAGCATAGCTGCTATCGTATCGCAGGGCGCGATGGGAAAGTTCCTGGTCATACTGGACCATTCAGGGCTGGCTGAGATGTCAGCGGTGCTGCCACTTCAGGATATGACGCCGCTGTGTTTAGCAATTTCTCGATGCAACTCATTTGTTGCTGTTGGTCTTGCATCACAGGTTCTGCTTGTTCGCCTGGCGGAGCACAAGATGGACTTCGACTGGGCCGTCACCATTTCCATTCGCGGACCCAGCTGTTTTGATGGCATGACTGTTGCGTCGCAAACCTGTAATTTTACGGCCGATGGGAAATATCTTATAGTGGCGACCCAGATGAGAGACAAACACCAGTCGAGCGAGGATGGCAGCATCCACACAGCCCTTTGGACCTGCGAACGAGCGGCAAAGGGTCCGTTCCGGCTGCCCCGTTGCAAAATGCCCAACGTGAGTCTGCGCCGCCACGGCCCTGAAGAATATTGACGCTGACGAATAGGTGGCAGGATGACCAGGGCCTCACCTCAGTCCAATTCCACCACGGCTTGCAAGTTGCCTCGATAACAGGCCTAACATCGGCGCGATACCCCCTGTTCCTTTCCCTCGATCCCCAGCAACCCGTCACCATACCGGGCCAAGTCACAGATTTCCGGATACGGTGTTCGTGCATGGCCCCTCCCCCGCAAGATCATCTCATGTACTTCCTCGATGCCAGCAACCGCGTCTGCAAAGCGGACCTGCAACATCGATGTGTAGACCTCGTTGCGGATATCTCCACGCACAGGGGATCCCTGCGTTCACACGAAGAGCCGGCCGCTATTGCAGTTGGGCCGGGCGGGGTTGTGGAGGTGTTTTGGCGCCAGGGGCCGGGGTTGTGGAGATTGCAATTTAGGCCTGGCGAAGAGGCTATTTCGGTGGATAATTTAAGAAGGCGCTGGGACGAGACGATCTATTAGACAGTGTGAGGTTCTATATATAATACCACAGCGGCATGCCTATTGTACTCGGCCAACTCTTGAATATTAAATTATAAGTTGAATAACTTGCTTAAAAGTAAGACTGATTGAGGAGCGGACTCGGGGAGACATGCACACTAACAGGTCATAGATGTTTCCCTCTCTCAACACAATATCCAGAAGATCCCATATCACTTTTCACAGTCAAAAGTTGGACTTGATGCTAACAACAAGGCAGGAATCGACATTACATATGGTTATTCGATTAAGAGGCGGCGGAGAATTCTATCTAACCTTCATTTACATGGGGGAGCTATTTCAAGTTGACCAGCATTGTCCCAGCATCAGCGCTCTAAAAGGATACATATTTTCGGCGCTTGGAATCCCAATGCGAGACCAGATCATCACCTTGGGAGGCAAGGCAGTAGAAGACGGTAGGTCGATCCTGAATATCGCGTCTACTCTTACGGAATGAATCTAGAGACATGCGTTTGCTGCCTGCTGACTAGCATGTAATACAGGCGAATCGACATACGGGGTAGAAGACCCATATAATGTCACGGTAATTGATAGGGACCGAGTCGACGAGCTCAGTTTTGGAGCTGGCGGTTCTATCATCCAGCATATCGAACCAGACACTAACAATCCACGCACTTGGGACATGGCAAACTCCAAGATCATCCATCTGCATTTGATAGATGCGGAGACTTGTAAGAACGTTACAGGATTGCCACCACCCAGCACGCCTATCACAGCTGAGACGTACGCCTCGGGGGGACTTCCGTTCTTCCACCTGTGACGCGATGAGTCGAAGGCTCTGGGCGTGGCAGGACAGTGGGAGAAATTGATGGGCTTGGAGGACACTAGAGTTAGCCAAGTGGCTCTGGTGAGCGGTATGAGATATGGCCGCGCGAACGTTCCACAGATGGGACTACTCAAGTCTGGGGCCTGGGGTAGGCTTGACGAGGACCACGATGTCGAAGATGAAGAAGAGGATGCCAACGGAGACGAGGACGAACAAGTGACAAAGGGCCCAAGTGATACTCCAACAAAGCGATTCGATTTCCCGCTGGTTCTTCTAGATCCGGACGATACTTTCGGTCCGATTGAGAGTCAGTTACTTTCCTGTTAATTATGCAGTAGGCTCGAACCTTAGCTGTGTCGACTACAGTTTTCACCTCCTTTTCCACGTAGCCCATATCTCCACTCAGTAGAGCGGAAATATTAATAACCATATCGAGTTCCTGTGCACCACCTTCCAGGGCATTCTTGGCTGCGAAGACTTTGACTTCTGAACGGTCGCTGCCGTGAGGGAGGCCAATAAAGGTCTGGAGGTTGATGCTCGTTCCCTGAAGGAGCTGACGAGCCTGCTTAACTCTGAACGGTTGGGTGACGAACTGGCCGGTCTGGTACTTCTTGGCCAGCTGAATTCCATTGATTAGATCGTTTTCTGTGTGGTAGGGATCGATGATGGAGTGGTCGATCATTTTGGCCAGCTCGTTAACACTTAAAGGAGCCATTCTGATAGAGATGTGAAAAGAGTTAAGAATTATAACTTGAGGCAAGATAGACGACAGATTTATGCGAGAAAGGTACTGGGCGACGTCCCCGTAGTGGATTGATATAATTTATATATCAAGCCCAGTACGTTACGTTGAAACCGGAAGACGTGATGATGTAACAGTTCGAGTTGAAGAAGTGATAATTAATTATGTGTTATCCGCTACACGTTTGGCGGCTTTATAAATGTTCGACAACACGTATAGGCGAAGTTATGATTCCCCAATTGTAGCAGTGAGTAAGCGGTTTACCGCGTACAGTTGAAACGGCTCAGGTTGCATCTCTCCTTCGTAGACTTAACTCACGTACTGCATAAGCTGCATAAGCGAGCGGATCTCCTCCGGCCAGCCGCGTTTCTTCCGCCCAAACGTGATTTATAAGCAACTGGCGAATATTCCACCACCCTAATTGAATCAGCTTAAATATACTACTACATCGAATACCCGTAACCTAACAGGGATATTTTGATCTGTCTCTCCATTAGTCAATTAACAGATTTTCCACTTAAAAAAATAGTCACAGCCTAGAGGGGTAAAAGTAGCGGCGGTATGCCGAGTGGCGGCGTAATTGCCGCTCTTCCGCTATCCAGTTATTACCACTCCGGTGGGTATTTTGCCTCAGGTCGGTATTTCTAATTAGTCTCATAAAAAATCCAATTATAGATTACACGGATCTGTAAAATCCGTTGGAAGATCGAGTTATACAATATTTGTACCTGGATGGAAAGCCTACTAAACCAGGGAATATTGTCTCTATCTATCTTATCCGATGTAATATCTCTGAGGCAGTTCTGGTTTGTAGCTCGGCAGGTTTCTTGCCTCTTATTAATTATAAACCCGTCTTCCTTACGCTAATAGTTAACAATTGTAGACAACTTACTCCTATAGTTATATTTCTTCTTTTTCTTCTTGCACTTTTAAAGACTGATAAGTGCTTACCTAGAGTAATCAGCTTCCGGGCGAGGTCTCGATCGGAGCCGCCTCAAACTAAGGTCAAAATATCAATTTATCAGAGGTTTCGTAATACAGGGTCGCAATTCAACACAGTATTTATGTTGGTCCTCCCTCGCTTATCCTCCACCTCAATCCACCTCTCGCAATAACCTCCACAGTAAGCCTAGCACGTTTGTTCTACTCGACTATTGGTCTCGGCGGCTTTCTTTGCAACCATGCCAGATTCCGGATCCGCATCTGAGGATTCCCGCGCGAACCCAATCCGATTTGACACGCCAGGCTATCCCGACCTTGAGACGAATCATTTTGAACTGCGAAATGTCGAGGATGACTCAGTCATTATGGTTCCATCATGTTACCAGAATGATTGGAGTGATACCGATGACTGCCCATGGAAAGAAAGTGTCGATGCTCGGCGGTGTTGGAAAGTGCCGCATGCGTACGAAATTCTCGGCGCGCCACATCCAAGAATAGTTCGGTAAGTTGGAGAGTGGTTCTTTGGCTGGTGGCAGGCGTTAACATCAAGAAGCTTCAAAGGGAGTGATGAGCAGACTAAACTGCCATTATTTGCGAAACCCTCAGGCCCTGGACTTTCTTTCCTCCTACTCCACCATCACGAGTTAATCTATGCACCTCCCCTAGACACGACAGGTTGTCGCCCTCGGCCAGAGTTTTTGCCCCTCATCTATCAGTGGAGTTTGCATGCCCTGACAGCCCTGTCTTTTTGTCACTCCCGAGATCTCCTCCTAGGTTTTTTCGACATCAACAACTTCTGGTTGTCCAGACCAGATCTCTCCTTGTCGTTTGTGGGCTTTACCTCAGCTACGTTTGTCGATGGTCCATGTGGAAGGCGTCACAGCAACTATAGTGGCTTCTTTCCCTTCCATCCTCTTCAGCCAGATGGATTGAACAGCGACGAGATCGAACCTACGGTTAACACGGACCTGGTTACATATGGTGTTCTCCTATATCAACTAATGACGACCTTCTGGCCTGGAGAAGGCTTGAACATAGGACCAGAGGTTGTGGATCTGATTAAAACGAGAAGTCAATGGCCTCGCCTTGAGAATAAATGCCTTGGCCAGGTGGTTATAAAATGCTGGGCCGGAGAGTATAAGGATACACAAGAGCTAAAGGCCAGCTTAGCGGAAGTGTTGTCCACAGAGGGGTGGGAGATTGAAGGCGACGATACTCTCAGAGGGTTTAGCGCAACGGGGCTCATTCCATTCAAAGAGGTTTACGGGCGCTATATAGATCTATAAGACTGATAGCGCCATTTTAATACATATCTTCAGTGGATTGGATGATACTCCATTGAATGTTAAACTGTTGACTATAAGAAGAGCCTTCATAAAGTACTCTAGGTCATAAATCTTACTCAGTTATGTGACTTTCGGCCGTGTTAAGCGGCCGCGAATCACCAAGCACGAGCCATCGATGCGTTGATGTAAATCAAACCGGGAACCAATCAGTCGGCTGAATTCTGGACTCAACATTGCATGCAAACCGAACGTTGGAATCTGCGATCCCCGTACCGAGATGCATTGCAATGAAACTTCCGTCGCCGAAGTGTTTGGCTGAATACACACCTTGAACTTCAGCCAAACGCTCCGTGTGGAGGCCACAAGCAGAGCGGACTGGGTGCGGAACATGCATTGGGTGGCTTCAAGTCATACTAGAACTTGCAGACATTGTACCTGTTTGATGGATGAGTTTAAAAGCAATATCAATTGCCGTTGTCTGTACGCTAGAGCTTTGAAAACATTGGCTCCATCTCCGCCCGTACATCCAATTCCTGTGTCCATGTACTCCTCGGCTGCGTGTGTAAATACCAGTATAACTTGGCAATATCCTCCGGCTGCATCAAATACCGATCCATTTCCTCTAGCCTTTCCGATTCACCTTCTCTCTCCCAACGTTTCCGAAGATACCCTCCAATGACATCGCTTTGCACCGGGCCATCGACGATGACATGAGCCGCATGAATACCTTTATTCTGAAACTCGCGAGCGATGATCTGCGACAAGGCGCGCAACCCAAACTTGCCCGGCGAGAAAGAGCTCAACCCAGTACTGCCCCGTACGGAGCCGGTGGCACCCGTGAAGATAATTGTGCCGGCTTTAGCGGCAAGCATATCGGGCAACACGCACTTGGCGACAAAGAAGGCACCAAACATGTTGATCCTTGTGAAGCTTTCAAACTCTTCCGTAGATGTTTCGAGAATAGTGCGAGGGCGAATTCGTCTGGAGCCCGCATTATAGACAAGAACGTGGACCGGACCAAGTTCATGCTTGATAGATGTGAATGTATGGATTACATTTTCTTCGCTGCGGACATCCGTCGTGTAGTAGCGAGCGCATCCGGGCCCGTAGGTTTCGATGATGGAGTCCCGGATGCGTCGGAGTTTGTCTTCTGTGCGAGCAATCAAGGCGACGGCGAATCCCTGGGCCGCGAAGTGGCAAGAGACGGCATCGCCAATTCCAGGGCCGACTCCCACGACGGCTAATACTGGTTTCCGATCTGGATTAAGGGCCATGACGACGGTTGTATAGAATGGAAAGAAAGCGAGAGAGGAGAGTGGAGAGATTGCTCTAAGGCGGCATAGTGTTTAATATATACGTCCTTGTAGGGGAACATGCCGAGGTTGGCTCAAGATGACATGCTCATCGGGCGCTCAACTTAGGGGGGTTACGTCATTTGGAACAAATGGACAAGGAAGCTTCTTGTCCTACTAACTACACAAATTTGCAAAACCCCGACGGACTCGATGAATGGGGGGTAATTTCACCTCGGCGAAAAGGATGGCTTATTAAGGCATGTGTGGAGATGTTGCGTCCCTAAGCCGCGGCATGGCTACAAGATTTGTCATCAATGAGCCAGTTGCAAAGGATAACGAACGGCTCCTGGGCTCTACACCTGACTTCGGTGGAAAGGATCGTTCCAAAGTTCATCAATGTTTTACTGCCGTCTAAAATAAGGCTTGACATCCTGGTCTTGAAACATTTTCCGCGTCTTACATACGAGGAATAATGCCCTTCACCACCGAGTTGACTCGTCGTCTTGGCATCAAGGGTGAGTCTACATCCGCTGGCTTAACCTTGACTCAGTATTGACCTCGTCGTTTATGGGAGCAGTGCCCGTTGTCCGGTAGGGGAGATGACACTCAATAATGAGCTGAGTATGATGGTTTTTCCAGGTCTAGGCTCTAGAGAGTTACAAAGAGATAGGGGAGTACAGATTGTTTCACTTGTCGGTGGCTGGTCAAGATGGAAAAGGATGATAGTGGGTGCCTTGACAAAGGGAAGACAACAAGGGGGGCTCTATTTAGTTTGAAGCCCTCTCTGCCTTCTCCTTCGCCGCGGCGTGCAATAGTTTAGAGTTGCACAAGAAATAGTCTCCCCTATCTATGGTCCACTCCTCTGGACCCTTCTGCCTCTTAGCCCATGAATACCTAGCCATAGGATATAGCTCCACAGTGAAAGCCTGACTGTTGCAGCTTGTCAGGACAATATCGGCTGAGTCAGTTGTTGTCGTTCCAGGTCTCCCTCACGACTCTCCAATACCGTTCAGGATCCATTTTCATGTGTGCGACATGCCCACTGCCTTGCCAAGGTTCACTTCTGACTCGTAGCCCATGACTCTGAGCCGTCCTGAAATGTGACTCAATATCCTTGGCACGACATAGGACATCGGTGTCACTGTAGATGTAAGTTCTTATGGCACCTTTTTTAAGCCGGGCCATTTCTCGAGCATCATCCGACTCGATCTCACTGGAGTACAGATCATGGTATGTTCTGTCCGCCAGTATTATCATCCCAAGCCATCGGGGAACGAGATAGACTAGAAATACTGCCATGGCAATGGCTGCCTTCATCGTTTGGCGCACCAAGACCAATCTTGGGAGCGGCATGCTCAAGCTGGCCATGAGCGAGGTAAAGGTTGGCTTTGTCGGCGTACTATCCAGTATAATGGCATCCACGGGCAGAGGCAGGCAAGTGTCCTCGTGGTATCGCCGGGCCAGAATCGCGAGGTGCGAGCTTCCTCCGTTTGAGAGTGCATGCGCAAGGAGTCCTCCAGTCGGTTGTGTTTGATTGTCCGTGTCTTTGAGTGCCTGGGAAATAATGCGAGATGGCACCCCAGCCTTTTGCATCAAGATTTTCTCGGGAGTAAAGAAGTCCGCTGAAGATGTCCTGATGAGTAGAATCGGAGAAGAGGGATACAAGAGCTGGTATCCTGAAATATACTTCTGAATATTCTTGGGTGCTGCATCTGTCCATGTGCATAATATGATGAGCTGAGGGGCACCAATGCGAGACGCAACGCTCGCCGTGGCAGGGTCTCGTTCGGTCGTTACTGGAAGCAGATGGTAGGCATTCTTAGAATTCCACCACGATGGAATTGCGTCGGCTGGGGTTACCATGAAGGGCAATATTCTCTTCCTTCTGTTATGTTGTTACAGTGGAATTCGACCTTTCCATACGAGCAAGAAAATAGAGTGAAGTAGCTTGTCGACGGCACTATTCTGGGGTTCTTATTTCTACACATTGCTGAAAAACGGACTGAAATGCCGAGGCGATTCTTAAACTCACCGTAACTACTCAGTTGAAATTCGATACAATATCGCCGAGGCTGTTGTCAAAGTGGCACCGCTTATCTAATTTTACAGGGATGGCTACGTTTCTGGAATGTCCGCACTGCCGAGGCTCCATCTTCTTATCAACCCCTCTCTGGGCGGCATGCTTTGCGTTTCTGACCTCAAAACATTCTCTCTGGAAACTTCTTCATCGCTTGCTTGACTACCAAGTCTGACAAGATCCAAAGTTGAGATAGCAATTGCCACGATGCCTCCACAGAGCAAGAAGATCGAGGTGTATCTTGATTGCGGTACGCTAGGTGCATCAAAATTGGCCATATTTCAAACCGCTTACAGAACTCTAGTTTCACCTTACAGCTTCTACGCGTTTACCTATCTCAACAAAAATAGAATAGCGCTTCAAAGTCATAATGTAGAAGTCGAGTGAGTGCAGAGCCGAAATACATGAACCGCTCTTCATTTTCTGATAACATAGATTCATCCCTGTCTTTCTTGGGGGCATCAATGTCGGCAGCGGTAATGTGCATCCATACGTTGAAGAATGGCCACCGCTGATGCAATTTGAACAGGAAACAAACCACCGTGGACTCTCCCCGCCAAGGCACAGTATTCCGCCTTTGATGGGAAGCGAGCACAAAAGTATTTCGGGCTCAAGTTTGAGGTCCCTGATTTTTTCCCGATTTTGTCATTGCTGGTAAGACCACCTCGGCCTCTGATTCTCGTTCGCAAGCTGACCTATTGCCTCCGGAGCCTCAACGATGTCTTACATATCTGAAAGCAGAGCGCCCGGGCAAGATCGAAGAGCTATTCCAGTCGTGCTTTGAATCATTGTGGTTTCAGCACCTGGACCTGGCCAAGCCGGAGCACATGCTGACGACGCTCCTCAAGGTGTTTAGCAAACAGGAGGCGGAGGAGATCATGAAGGCTGCACAAGCCCCTAACGTCAAGCAAGCCCTGAACGACGTCACCAAGCATGCTTTCGAAGGCCTCGGCGCCTTTGGATGTCCATGGTTCTGGGTGCATGATGGTAAAGGGAACGCGGAGCCTTTCTTTGGAAGCGATAGATTCCACTACATGTGGGATTACTTGGAGATCCCTCACCGAGACCTGGAGCTCCAGGGTCCGATCTCCGGGAAGCTATGATGGGTTTTGTCGTGTATCTTGGCAGTAGTCTGCCACGTTGTCGAGGTTTCGATTAATCGATATCGCTCCGTTTGCTACAACATGATTATAGGGTCGCTTCTGTTAAAAGAAAAAGGGATTACTCCCAGAAGACTACTGAGACCTATATTTCAACACCTTCCTCGCTGCACAACGTGACGTCGGGTTTGCATCTGTTTCTATTGAATTAATCCATTCTTCTTTCGATCGTGATTGCCAGCTTTGGACTTCCCAACGGGATGGGATTCGTAGGTGCGACACGTCACAAATTCCCAATCTCGCCCTCGCCGCCAATCGAATCGGCCATCACATTCCGAAGAAGGCCGTAGGCTGTCGCTAAACCCATGATACAAATTCCGGGGTAACATTTCTAGCCGGGAAATCCGGGGAACGGGGCACAGACAGAGCAGGGGCGAGATACCTCGGCGGACGCGGCGCCGGGAGGTCCAAAGGCCGAGGCTATTGCTTGTGATAACTCCACCTTTGGCGCCATCATCACATAAAATCGCCGAGGCGGTAGCACTCGACCGACTCATTCACTCCCTGAAAGGTTTCCCTCTTCCTCGGATTTTCCACAATGACGAGGCAGAATACTCGCGCAGCAACTCACCAGGCAGCCCGAAAGCGGCTCGCGGGCGCCTGCAAGGCCTGCCATGATCGAAAAGTGAGGTGCAGTCTGGCAAAGTCTGGCCCACCCTGCACAAACTGCTCGCTGGATGAGGTTGAGTGCGAGCTCCGAGCTCGCAAGTCGCAGAAGTGCGTATCTCTCGGTGTTTTGGTGGTCGCGGCTGCTGAAATTACCCACCACAGGACTTCCTCGGCGACTGCAACTTCGCACCAAGTGCTGCAGAGGTCGTTGGACTCACCCAGAGATCTTGATCAGAGAGATTCGTCCATAACCGTTGTCACACCCCAGTTGGATTCACAGCCAGGGACCAGTGAATTCCATGGTGCTACCCCACGCACTGACAACACCAGCAAGCCAGATGGCGTACCAAAAGACCGAGGTGACGCCCATGCCACTCCTCCCGACTCGGTGTCCCACAGCGAGAATGCGAGTGAATCGAGTTCCAGTCATTTCCGGCCATTCAGGTCGCACTTCAGCCACTTCGAAGAAGACGATGCGCTGAACGCGGACGCGCTTCTAGCCGACACTCCCATGTATGGTATGACGAACGAGCCCTTGTTTTCTTGTCCTGCCACCTCGCCCGTCACCCTCGTCGTGTTGCGGAAATGATATTTGCGTCGCTGAACCTGTCATAGCTGACCCCAAGGGCGTTTGTGCCATTGCAAACATTTGCGAGCCCGACGGAGCAGAGAAGAGTGGTCACTTCCTCCTTCCGAATGGCATAGTCTCCCTTCTGGATCCTGATGATCTCGAATACCTGCAACGCAAGGGTGTCTTCGTATTCCCTGAACCCCAGGTGCGCGATGACTTGATTCGAACATACTTCCATTATGTCCACCCATTCCTCCCAATTCTCGACGCTCAAGACATCCTCTCCCATCATGAAAGCGCCGCACTGGATAAGATTGGACCTCATCTTTTATGGTCCATGTACCTCGCAGCATGCAACGTAAGTTTCACGTGTGTTTATGATCCATTCTAGCACTAACCTTCCCAACCAATGTTAGTTCGTAGAGGAGGATGTCGTTCGGAGGGCTGGATTTCCAACCAGAAAGAAAATGAAACGGTCAATCTATCGCAAAGCAAAGGTATGAACCAGGTTGTCGCCTTTGTGATTTTTGACGCCGAATCATAACTGGTAATGTCTCGTAGGTTCTCTACGACATGCAATACGAGAGAGATAGAACAAAGCTGATACAGGCGGTGCTGTTGATGAGTTTCTGTTCTTCTGACACGGAAGATAAAACAGGCCCCTGGCACTGGATCGGAGTCGCTATCAGTCTCTGCCAGACGGCAGGCCTACATCGAAACCCCGACTCAGCGGCGAGCCACATCCCGCAGCAGCACCAAAGACTCTGGCGCCTCATCTGGTGGTCATGTGTTCATCAGGATGTATGGTTCTCGGTTGGCATGGGCAGACCGATGCGTATCAATTTGGATGACTGCGACACTCAACTGCCAGCCACCGGTGATTTCTATGCCGCGATTGCAGGTATTTCGGATACGCTTCGTGAGAATTATCTGCCGTCTGCCATGGGTGACCTATCACAGCTCTTTCTCGAGTTAATAAGACTTGGCATCGCCCAAGCCAACATATTGTCAAAACATTATCGTATTCGCCAGATACAACCGAATTCAGCCGACGTCGCGGGCATTGAGCAGCGAATATCAGCAATACATGACAAAGTGAGCTGTTTCAGATACTCCGAAGACCGCACGGTTTGCTATCACGCCTACCACTTGGAACTTTTCTTGCAGTAACTTCCCTTATGCCGCCATGTTCCGCCTCCGCTGAGTATCCCTCTAGATCAGTTCGAATCGTCTTGTACCGGCCGTACGTTCAGAGCTTATGCCAGAAAACTCCTCCCAGCATTTCCCAGGAATTGGGCTTGTTGATGGAGCGGAAAGCCAAGACGGCAGCGGCAGGATTCAACCAAACACTCGAGGCCCTTATAAATGCAGATATGATCTCGACGTGCCAGGGACCTGTGTGAGTGCCAATTTTGAGATTTGTTTCTCAATCAGACCATGAGGCCGTTGAATACTGACGAAAATCGCGATTCAGTTGCATTGCGCTGGTGCCACCGATGCAAGTTCATCTCCTGAATTCAACATCGGTAAAACCACTTGTAGCGACCATGGGACGACACAGCCTTGACATATGTATGCTCGTCGCCGATGAGCTCCGCAAGACATACTTCGGAGCAGAACTTGTCTACAGGCTATTCTCCCTGGCCAAGACACAGATAAATAATGGCAAGAGGAGGCAACTATCAACTAATGATTCCCAAGCAGCTAGCAACACCAACCTCCAGAATTCGATGCCACACTTATTACATGGTACAAGGGAAAGAATAGACGCTATAACGAATCAAGACTCTACCTTTGCCGGCTTTGAAGGTATTCTTGAAGGATATGAGTCCGTACACCCTCGATTTAGTTTATATCCATTGTGCAAGTATTGACACAGACACAGCTTTGCCCTGGTAGGCTCGAATTTCGACTTTACGGCCCCAATAATATCTGGTGATAATACTTCTTTAAGTCAGTTCAGTAAATGGTACCCGGATTTACCTGTTGAGGACTGCTTTTAGGGGAACGACATGGACTGAATAGTTCGCCTGACATACTTTAAGGGTATAATATATAACATTAATAGTTATATTTAAAGCTTTAAATATAAAAATTAGATAATAAAATAAATACCAATATCTTTATGTTTTATTTTCTTTAGTAACAAAAGATACTTCAAATAGTAGAATTTAAAAGGTTGTTAACTGCAGATAGCAGAATTAAAGTCAGAAGGGTTAAATTAAAGCTTCAGGCAGAGACCAGTACATAACAACTATATTATTCAGCTACTATTTCTTCTGGTGCTGGGTGTAGCACTTACTGTTTATCTCTACTATTTAAGAATACTATATAGCTTCATCAAGAGGTTAGGGTGCCCTAGTACACACATACCCAGAGGGGGGACTAGAAGCTCAACAGTAAAAAAAGAATACCAACAATAGTATCAACAATACAGACCATATACCCAGTCCATTTAAAGATTAACAATACACTCAGACAGACTAAGGTTTCTCGTCCAACCAGTTACCTTTCACAATACCTTTATAAGCTGCAGGTAATAGCTGTGTCTTAAAAAAGCTAGATCTTGGAAAAGGCAAAATCCTGATGGATATAAACGCTCTGCAGGCCCTATCACCTCTTCTGTTCCAGTCATCCTTCCATCCTCACATATACCTCAACCAACAACCCAACCAACAAATCAACGAACTACCCAACTGGGAATGTCTGCTCGCCCTTTCCGCCTTACGGTGCAGACTGCAGAGCTCTATCCGAGTTAAAATGGCTTTATAAAGGTTATAAATTTAGTATAATTTCTTTAGACGCGCCATCATTTCCCACAATGTCACGGGTAATGGGCGAGTTGACATACATCTCTTATCCTTACGAACTCCCTGCCTCGATGTTGAATCTTCGGCTTGGCTATTAAAATCATGCCGCTTAACACATTATCCCCTCCAAAACTCCTCCCAAGCCCTCGGCCATTTCTCCCTCTCTAAGCGTCCCAACCACTCCCGAAACTCTTCTGGCTCTTTGTACTTTATTTCAATCTTGCCATCTTTAATTCCCATCCATCCTTCCGCCGGTCCGCGAATGAATTCATGCCCGGTACTGCAATACGCTCGCCATTTTCCCCCACTAGCATTGTCACTGGCGACGCGCTTCACATAGCAGGTCTCACACCAATCACAGTTCGCACAAACGACACAACGATACATTGCCGTCTGATTCCAGCTCGTAATATCGCCAGGATTATCCAGGCAATATCCACCACAGCGGATGCCGCGGTGGCCGGTGGTGTCAAACTCGTCATTGTCATCAAACTCGACGATAGCGCGGATCCAGCCCTTCTTCCCTCGCACTGTGGGCTCTTTGTCGAGATGTTCAGGGGTGGCATCGGTAGCATGGCCGTCTTCATCTTCATCTTTGTCTTGCGCCGCTTCATCATCATCATCAGTGTCCTCCCACTCTCCATCGCTCCCACCCGTCAAGTTAATCCCCTCATCGTTGTGATTTAGCCTCGCAAGGAGATCCAGATTCTTCATCATCAGCTCCTTGTCCAGATGATAGAACTGTGCACTCAGTGCAATCGCGGCTTCGCTCTGCAGGCCCGGGAGACAAGCAAGCACATTGCACAGCTCACGCAAGGTATCTGAATCATTCCAAGGGTTCTCGTCGTTGAGGCTCGCCACGCAGTTGTTGAATGCCTCCGTCAACGTCTCTTCGAACTTGTCCAGTGGCCCGAAGCGACGGTACATTCTCGCGAGGATGGTGGCTTCAGGCCTCTTCAAATAATTCGACTGCGTGTCGCCCAATAGATGGGCGTTTCCGAGTTTCCGAGTCCCAAGGCCTTCAACTTCGGAAAGTGAGGCGCGCATTTGTGCAGAGCTCGTCGCTTGGAGAAATTCTTCGTAGATGATTTCGGCGAGCTCGCGGCGCGCGAGGTAAGGAATTTCCTCCGAGATGGCGTCTGTGGCCGGATCGATGCAACTTTCTGCGTCCAGGATCTCATACAGCAAGCTCTTGGCCTTGGCCATATCGCCCATACTGCGGCGACAGCCAAGTGCATACTAGTACCGTATTGGTGACGCCCACTCCAAGGGTGCAAGTTCCTGGACCAAGAGTTCGTACGTCGTCATCATGACCTGCTCCTGTCCCGTCTGCTTGGCCGCTTTCTGGTACCACCAGTTCACCTCATCCCAGTCCTCAGAAGTCACGGCGAGTCGTATCGGACCCCATGTCACAATGCTGGCGAGGATGTCCTCGTGCCGGCCGAGCTTGTCAAGAGCGCGAAGCAACATGCTGAAATCTTGAGCCGTCTTTCCCCGATCTCCAGAGTACACTGTCATGGCATCCTCCAACGACTTGACGGCGGCTTCGAGCATGTTATAATCGCCCTCGTAGGCAGCCCGCACAATAAGCGCGGTGTGAAGCAGGTCATCATACTTTTTGTCCAGGCCGGAGCGGTCGAGTGCGAGTGCCTTGCATACCTCATCATAAGCATCTTCGTCTTGATCCGTAAAGTCGTAGAGGCATTTGGCCCTCGTAATGAGCGTCGCAAATTTGTCGATGTCAGTTTCACAAATTTTCAGGCTCTCGTTGAAGGAATCTAGAGCGTAAACTGGCCAGTCAGAAAGGAGCACCAAGCCAATGGCCCTGTGGCCAGACGGCCCGACTTCGACGTCTTGGAAAGCAAGAACTAGTTGCGCGATTTGCTCGCAGGTATTTGTTTCTTCTTCCTCTGAAGAGTCGTCATCATCCTCTTCTCCGCCTCCAGCCTCATTGGCTTCGGCTTCATTTTCCTTGTAGAACCAGTAGCTTGGGTCCTCTTCGCCTGCTTCGTCAGGTGGAGGAGGACCTACATCAATCTCGCGCTGCTAGAAGTGTAAGGTGAAATCCAAGGTTGTGAGCATAGAGACATACAGTAGCAAACGCTTTCCATGCGAGATTAAAAGCCCGAGAAGCAGTGTCTTCGTGTATTTCGGTAAACCAGCGAATTACATGGTTGCGGGCAAGGGGCTGTAAAACTTCGGCTGGATTTTCAACCGCTCTCTGCGCCCAGCGCCTCACTTCGTCCGATAGCAGATTTTGCGAGCACTCAAGGGCCTTTTGCGCCCAGAGTTTGATGCAGTAAGGCAATCCTTCATCGAAGTCATCGTAACAGGTTCCTGCGTCGTGCTGTAACAGTTTCTGGATACAGTTAATTTGGCCGGACCGTCAATTCTCACCGTCTACACGTTCTAACTTACCTTCACAACATCCATTTTGTTCGAACAGATGTGGCAATATCGAGAATCTCTTTGAAATGAGCCATCCAGTAACTCGCCGCGTACTTCTGGAGTGTTCGCCTTGGATCAGCGCTCTCCAGTTCTCCCTGTTCTTCACAGCTGCAGAGCACCTCTGTGCAAGTGGTGAAGATATCGACATGGGAAAGGAGAGGTGACGTCTGTACAGTGTTATTAGGGACGTCCCCTGAGCGCATGTATTCACGAAGTGTGTTCTCTTGGAAATGAACAAGAAGTGAGCTGTCCGGTTGGAACTTGTCGCGATGCTTGACCCTGTCGGCTCGGTCGTCGGCCCAGCCCTCTATGTTGGAGTCACTCTTCACTTCTTTTTCTGGCTTCTTTTGTACGCGATCCTCCCAGATGAGAGTGCTGGACATATCCAAGATACTGGATATCGAAGTCAGTTCAAAAAAGGAGAATGGATTCCCGAATTCCAGTCTCATACCTAGAACATCTTCCTGCTATTTCCGCCTCGAGATCAATCAACTTTCTGAACTTCAACTTCAGCAAGCTGTAGGCCTCCTCGAGGGTCAGTGGGCGCTCTGCGAAAGCTATCCACGCGAATATGAGCTTCAGCAATGGCCGCTCTTGCTCTTTCAAGTTCTCTGAGCATGTAGCTAGCAAATTGTTGTAGAAACTAGGAAGGTCTTCTGGAAGTTCGTCGAGAGCTTTCATGGCTGGACGCTCAAGGCCCTTGGAATCAAGGTATTGCAAAATCCTGTCGGTGTATTGAAGCCCTGACTACGGTCAGCCATTCGTCCCTTGAGTTTTCTTGGGAACGGTACTCGCCATATTTTCCGTCTGTCATCACTTTGGCAACTTCTGCCTTCACATGGTCACTGAATCTGGACAATCGAGGAAGCGACTCGAACCTAGAGTCAAGCAACCTCTGCATCCCAGCCCTGGCAGCAGTTGGATCTATAGAAATAGTAGCAAGATGTTTGTTGACACGATACTTGCGCCATGTTGACAATAACTCGGAGTCATTGCCGGTGAAAACAACCTTAATCTTCCGCTGCTCGTCGACGGCCATTTTCATGTAAGCAAGGAGCTCGTTGGCCTGGTCGTAATTTGCTTGCTCAATGCTATCAATGACGAGGAAGAGTTGTTCGTTCGACTCCTCTTTGTACAGTCGGTCGATTGTCCACTGCCAGATGTTGAAAAGGTTCCACGTCGCGCAACACGTGTCGTCCACTCCGCTCGCAAGGGTCTCACGGAGCTTGTGGTTTTGGGTGGCGATTTGCAGACCGATTGACCTGAGAGCAGACTTGCCGGACCTGAACGGTTCGTTTGCTTCCTGGAAGAAGTAATATGCGACTGAGGCCTGAGGGTCGTTGCTCGACTTGGCTCGGAGTGATTCGACGATTGAGTAGGCCAGATGAGTCTTACCCAATCCTGGCTTCCCGGTAATCCAGAGGAAATTTGTCTCACCATCCTGCCATTCTTGGTACTCCTTTTGCTCATAGAGCCAAGAGTCCGTGCCGGGTACGAACGACCGACGCAGCTCTTTGAATTTGGCCGAGGGGCTTGGAGGTGACCCGAAAAACTGCTTTACGATATTCAACGCCCCCGATTTCCCAGTGACAGCGTCTGCCGCGGACTGCGCAGCCTCCTCGGCGTTCGTGTCCTGATCCAACTGGCTTCTCAACTCTCTGATGCTGCGTTGAATGCTAGCCAGTGAGGCGCTCTGACGCTTGAAATTCATTTCCTGGAGGTCGAATCCAGCCTCAATCCGTTGGCCTTGGTCTCTAAAGTAGACAACCATTTCCTCATAGACAAAGTCGATGTTCTGGCCGAGACTTCCTATCAATGCCTTAATTTCCTCGGTGTTTTTCACAGCCACCAAGCCGTTTGCGCGACTCAGACGAGAGATGGCAGTGGTAACATCGCCGTAAGCTGCGCTAAGTTTGGCGTCGCCGCCTCCTCCGACGAGGTTATGCAAGAATCTTAACGGCCTTCCTTCCCACATGTACCTGGTCTGAATAGCAAAGACGACCATGAGGGAGGTTAATGCCTCTGTGACACAATCCGCATAAGAGTCGCAGTCGGGAAATTTTTCCTCGATAATCTGGAGTGTCTTTAAGAAGGATCCAGCTTCTCCGATAAGGCTCAGCAACTGGTCATAGTCCTTGGATTGAGCCTGGCATGCTTTGATGGCATATGTTGCAACGGTCCAAATCGCGCTAGCAGGAGGAAAGGACGCAGCAGCAGAAGAAGCGACCTGATCGCCGATTCTCTAGGCGTAGTCAAGGTTCTTGCCGATGAATTGGCGTGCCTTGTCCCAGTTTCCACCGTCGTTTCGCCATTTCTCAAACGATTTTTTGGACGTGTCGACGGAACCCACGACATCGGCCAAGCTTGTGACGAGATGACTACCGTCTAGGCTGAGTTTGAGGCCTTTTTTTCCAACGGCATCGTTGTAGCATTGGAATGCATCTCTCCAGAGTAGACCTAGCTCCGTTGGAGCTTTTTCTGCAGGTTTCGCATCGACAACCATTATGGAAATGCAGCGCTTACTGAGACCGGGAGTGAAGACCGTTGGCAAGACGCCTGGATAACGGCCAAGATATACCGGTTGTTGGTTCACTGGCCATTGTGGTTGATGGTGCTGGCGTGCCGGTGATCCGAGCAGCGCTACATTCCTCTGTCAAAACAGACAGAATGTTGTTGCCATGGCTGGCTGGGCGAAATTAGCTTGGATTAGCGGACCTATAACCGGGTAGTAGCGTCAGCATCGCCACTTTCATGCTAGCGATTGGTGAAAGCTAGCTTTAGTGAAGTCCATGTCTATATTGGTGTGTCTTATACTTGAACGGAAGTAGACAGCGTATGGTTGATGACGGGTTTCTCTGGAGTAGATCTTATATTAAGGACCTCTTTGGATATGGAACATTATTTTATGAATTATTCCGTGCATAATTTCTCTCTCATTCAGCATGGTGGCCCAGTGCAGTGGTACCTTAAGGGAGTGTGGTGGGTATTTCGGAATGACCCGCGCTTGGTGTGACAATCTTGACAATCTAGATCAAAGTCACAAGTCTCTGCCGTGTCACTTCCTGCCCAAGTATTCAGGCAACAATTCCTCATGACATGTGCCTAGCCTAGGTACTACGTAGTAGGTGATGGATGCATTCCACTCCGTACGGGACTCGCCGTTTGCAGGCATCCAAACACAAGACAAAGGTAGGACATCAATGGGCTGTCCTGTTCCCCTACAGCACAGCAGTACGGAGTACTCTGTAATGAATGAACGAACGCGCATCTGGTTTGCTTCGATGCTTAAGCAAGATGGCGATTTCACAGACGGCGCAGGGGCCCTCAGCGGGCCCATAGCATAGACGCTTATCATCCCATTAGTCCGGGGATGTCTTCCGCTCTCAAACACGCCAGGCCGTATTCAAGCTCTCTACAGGGCCCCACGCCGGGGAGGGTGTAGCAGTGCAAGGTTCCGAGTGGTGAGCCTCTGGCTTTCTTCTTTAGCGTCCAAAATCGCTTCGCAATAGCGCCGAGTGGCGCGCCCAAGCGGCCGGGCATGCTCGTCACTGGTTGTCACAAGACGTTCCCCAGACACCCACATGTGATAAGCCCCTGTACCTGGACCGGAATGCGGACATTGTCGCGTTGGGGATGTGGGGATGGGAATACGGACAGGAATCCAACTGCTTGGACGGGCCACAGACTAGGGGCCACAATTGACAATCAGCTACTGGGACGGTTTGAGCAGGAAGCAATACTTTACAATACATTGCCTCGGACAAGAGGCTGCAGAGAGAACGCCATGCCAATTACCCTCTTGCCCCCAAAAGTTTGATCTGCACGCCAAAATCTTGTGTAAAGACGCCAACCACGCCACAACTCGCCCGAATTACGGAACACTGGGATCAGCGCCACATCCCAATGTGGATTGAGTCTGAGGAAACCCCCTTTAAATTCCTGGTACCCAGTCCGGATACGCGTCGGTGGAATTCTCACCTTTCCTCAGCACCAACAGCCTCAGGCTAAAATGTCATTCAAATATCTATAACAGAACGGGGTTCCCATCTCCACAGGTACGCCGAGAAACACCCTGGATCATGCCCGTCCGCCTGGGAATGGATCTATTCCTTCCAAGGTCGTACTCAAGGCTCCTGCGATGAATTCAACGAACGAGACGACTGTGGGGGCATACCCACCACCACCGGGCGTGGTGCCAAACTTCAAAAATCCCGAATCCATCGCTGTTCATGTTGTGCTCGCAGCAGTTCTCTGCCCGGTATTTGCGATTCCCATTGTTCTGTTGCGGCTATATACTAGTCGTTTTATCACCAAATGTTGGCATCTGGATGATCGCAAGTCCCCCCATCTAGGAAGGCACTGAGGACTTGCTAACGCAATGATCTAGTCTTGATTACAATTTCATTGGTAATGGACCCATTTGTCCAAGTTGCCATCTAAATGCGCTAATGCGTCAATCTCTAGATATTTGCAATTGGATACTCCATCGTGAACATCTTGCGTGGGTCTATCCTTCAAATCAAGAGATGTCTGAGATGGTGCTGACAACGCCTGCAGAGACGGGAAACGGGGTCGGAGTTCACCTATGGGATGTGCCGCTTTCTAGTTTTAACAGATTCATGATGGTATGGCCTTAAATTCTCCTCGTTTGCGCAAATTTGTTCTAATAGAAATTGTTATTTAGCTGGGAATTCCGGGCGCAGTAACGTACAACTTATCTACTCTTTTCACCAAAGTTTCCATTCTTCATTTCTATTTGCGTTTCTCCCAGGAGAGAGCATTCAAATTCGTCACATATTTTGTCATGTTCATTGCCGTGGGGTACTCTCTCGCAGCAGCATTTGCATTCTTGTACATGTGCCGTCCCATCCCACGGTATTGGGATTGGAGCAGGCCAGGTTCATGTCTAGATGTGGGCAGTGCTTTCATCGCTTCTGCTGTCTTGAACGCCGTCACAGACATCATCATCCTATGTCTACCCATCTGGTTGCTGAGGCCACTTCGGATGCGGCGACTTCAAAAGATAGGCGTGGCACTAGTTTTAATGGCGGGCGGGTTGTAGGTCCCCAATCCCCCATGGCGCTCTCGTCACACATTCCGACAGGGTTGCCTTTTGGAGTGAGCAATAAAGCTGACGTGTGGTAGTGTGTGCGCTGTGAGCCTTATCAGATTGGCGTCTATTCCATCCGGACTGAACGACCCCGACATCACATGGCGATATGTCATAAATTTAATATGGTGGTAAGAGTTGATGCCCAAGTCACTTGCTCAGCCGTGTTTCTAATCAGATGGAAACAGTATTGTTGAAATGTATTTTGGCATTATTTGTGCCTGTCTGCCTTGCTTGAGAGCATTTTTCAAACACCATTTCCCAAATCTGTTTGTCGTTCGGCACAGCACTGAGGCACCACTATCGGCTATTCCAAGCTTTGTCCACCATACGCGACAATCAAGGGAGCTCCACGCAAGCGCCAATAGAAGACGATGGTGGGACAGAAGTATGCTCTCGAAGTCAAAGCCAAGTGATACATCGAGCATGGAAGCCTGCAATTCAAATAGCACCCCACTGACTGATAGGGAGGTTTATTGTCCATAGAAGGCTGTTTTGCAAAATACACACGATACAGAAGAGTATGCCTAGAAACACATGGAAAGTGTTGGTTAGGTTACCGAGCTGGGATTGTTGATGGCTTCATCAAATTAACTGGGTCGCAATCTTCCTAAGATGACGCCGCCGGTTACTTCCCGTTAAGTCGGCTTGTCGGCAGTCTCTTGACGCGGTAGGGAGCTTTATACAGCCTAAGCATCTCCTTACCGATCCCCATGTCATCCCATGCTTCGCGCCGGTACCTTGCCTATTCGAGTCTGTTTCAGTCTGTTTCAGTCCCGACCCAAGCTGGTACGAGAGCCCTCGCTTGGCCCGGAGAACAAGATTCCACCAAGGAATAACGCCACCGATGTCGACTTGTAATGTTATCGTCGGCTAGGACGGCTATTAACTCATATCGAGAAGGCTTTTCCGGTTATTTGACTCACGGGGTGCGTGACTTGGCTTGCAGCAGCAGTATTCAAATTGAAATGAGGAGTTAATCAAGTCGAAGAGTATTACTAAGGGTCACCTATGTAAAAAATCCCTTGTCGGATCTGATTGTAAAAAAGAGGCCAAAAATGCCTTGAGGAACGTGCCTTGAGGAACGAAAGGTCTATGCCCCGCCCCGCCGGCCACCCCTCAAAACTCTTGCTTCTGATTGGCTCAAATTGGCTCAAATTAACTCTCGCTTCTGATTGGCTCCAAAAATGGCTCCAAAAATGGCTCCAAAAATGGGACCAGGATCTGTTTCAAAGTCCGTCATGATTGGTCGTCGGCTGCCTTTTTTCTTCTCCCTCTCTTTTGTCCTAGGAAGTGCGTTTCCCAAGCCGCCCGCCGCCTGATCCCCCTCTCTAATTCATCATCAAACTCTTCAGAATCTCGTCATCAAATCGGCGCAACGCCTCCTGAACTGTCCTGTCGCTCAGTTTCTCCAGTCTCGCCTGCGCCGCAGTCATTTCTTCGGGGACCCTGTTGCCCACCAGGTCTCTCTCCCGCACCTTGGACACGAGCATGATGCCGTCCAGCGTCCGGCAACGCGACAGCTGCACGTACAGGCTGTACGGGTCGCACTGCGAGGGGACGACGCGTCCGTCGACCTTTGTCGTCCGCGTCCCTCGCAGCTCCAGAGCTACGCGCTCGAACGTCCCGCCCTGCACTTTGTAGTCAGTGCACGCAAAAGCCGCCGCGCACGGCAGACCCTTTCGGCTGACATCGTTCTTTTGCCACGGCCGTTTCCGCTGGCATTGTATCTTAACGCTCATGGGCGTCAGGAGGATCGTGCCCTGCGGCATCCCGACGAAGTGAAAGTCTCTTGTCGTTTCCGACTCCAGGATTATCCCCGCGGGCGGCCCGAAGTGGATCGTCATGTCGGCCGAGATCCGATGGCCCGGGTACGCCTTGTCAGGAATGACCTCCACCGCCGTGTAACTGGCACCGTTGACCAGCTTCAGCCCCTGGTGGGTGTTGTGGTTCACGACGACCGGCATCCCCGGTACGAACATGAAGATGGCCGGCACCGGTATCGCACTGTCGTCGCCCTGGTTCAGAATCATGATGGCTTCTTCCTCGGTCGGCAGGCCGTCCTGCCATCTGTGCCCGGATATGAAGATTTGCATCATCGACTGCTGCTGGACCTGGAACGCCAAGGTTGCCTCTATGTTCAGATTCCACCGGTTCCTGTTCAGCGGCGTCACCACGGTGATACCAGTTTCCCACGGGATTCGCCTGCCTTCCCGGTAGCATCTTGAGTTGAGGAGGTCCAAATCGGTGCGGTCCTGCACGCCCGACCGGATCCGCTTTAGCAGTCTCTGCAAGTCCGGATCTCCGGCGGCGCGCACTTGCTCGTCCAGCATGACGACCATCGTGAATTTCTTCCACAGCGCGTGCGCCTTGTCGTGCTGGTGCCGTTGCTCGGCCTTGAACGAGTTGTCTACGTCCCACGAGACGGCCGTGCTGGGGAGGAGGATCGACCGGTCCTGGACCGGGCGGAATTGGTGGAAGTCTCCACAGAAGAGGACGATGGGGATCCCTCCGAAATCCTGCTGCGATCCGCGCAGTCGGCAGAGCTGCTCGTTCACGGCGTGCAGCGTTCGTGCTCCGAGCATGCTCACCTCGTCGATGACAAGCACATCTTTCTCCTGCCAGTCCATTCGAGACTGGCCGTGGATGAACCGCTCCGCCTGTTTCGGCAGCCGCACCCCGTCGAGATCTTTGCCCGTGTTCGCGCCCGCGCCTTGGTCTTTTGTGAACCCACAGGCGGAGTGGATCGTGATGCCGTTGATCCGAGCGGCGGCCGTCCCCGACGTCGCCGTGATCAGCAGACGATTCGAGACGCCCTTCTTGGTGAAAAGCTCGACGAGTGCCTCGATGACGCGCGACTTGCCAGTTCCACCCTCGCCGCCGACGAATTGGCAGAGCTGATCTACGTCGCCGTTCTCCCCGCGATGAATCATGTCCAGCTGGCGGCATATTATCAGGAAAGCGATCGCCTGTCTTTTGTTGAGCGTCAGTCGTGTTACTAGATCCTTGCCAGCTTCGAGGAAAGAGGTCGATGGGCCGAAGTGGACCTGCACACTTGGATCCGCGTCACCTGCCATCTCCTCGGAGTCCGCCATCGTCATCTGGATGTCCTCTTCCCCAAAGCCGGTGAGCACGCCACGCGCCGCTGCACTGCGGTCAGTCCCATGGGCTGAGGCCATGTTTTGTATGCCCTGGATCATTTTCACCCTCTCCTTGGAAGCACATATTTGCTGCGACTTGATAGCTTTGACCTGATCCTGTGGCGGCACTCCGGCGCCGGAATATATTCGTCCTGGCATGTCAATCCGTTTCGGCCCCCCTTCAGGCGTCACGGTGGCCTGGAGCTCGGCCGTCGAGCACAACGCTGACTGTTGAAAGCGACAGAGCTGCTGCGTCATTGCCAGGAGCTCCGGCGACCCAGCCGTGACCTGGTTCGTGCCTGCTGCACCTCTCACGACGTCAATCAGACGCGTTGCGTTACCGATGCTGTCAGACTGGTACACCGATGCGGCTTCTTCACCAGTCTCGCCTTCTCCTTCCTCGCCGGCACGTGCGGCCGTGAAGTCAGCGTCGCCGGCTGAGGCTGCCCATTGCCTGGCGTCCCGCTTTGCGTCTTCGGCGCATCGCCGGAGCAGTTGTACATTACCGACGAGGCAGGAGATTCTCGGAGACAGCGCCGCCCGTGCCCGCGCCCATATGTCGTTGATGTCGTCTCGTACTTCGCCCAAGAATGTTTCCCACGGCACAAATAGCGCAAGATGCTGCACAGCTGCTCTTCAGCACGAGAGTTAGTCCCTTCAACCCCCTTCGGTTAGGTCGTCGCCACACACATACCTACGATGGCACGACTCCTCTTCGTCGTCTTGCTCAAAATCTTTGCTCAAGTACCCGTCAAGGCAGACGACGGCATGCTTTCCTGGCCGTCTTAGCACCTGCACCCAGTGTTTCCCAGGCGCCCAATTGCTCTCGAACGGCACCTCTCCCCAAGCACCGGAACTTCCGTCCTTGCCAACGCGTTGGAGCCAGACGAGCGAAACATAGTCATACAGGCACAGACCTCGCAGGACATCTCCACGATGGTGATAAGCCTCAGCGAAACTGATTCTTTGGCCTGCTTCTTCCACGACGATCGACTCGTCCACGGAAGCGTCCGCGACCGCTGTGCCGCTCTCTTGCCGGAGGTGTCGCCACCGTCGGAAGACGTGCCAGTAGAGCAGGGATACGTTCAGGTACGCCCAGGCACTGCTGTTCGTGAACTCGCTCGGGTACCCTAGAAGATGGGCAACAACTTCGACTTGCGATAGAGGCTGCTCCGTGAATATGCGGTTCGCCACTCTCATCAGAAACTGTCGCGTCTTGTTTTTTGTACCGTCCTCGTCGCCGACGGCGCCGCCTCCCGCATCCTCCCCAGCGGCCGGCTGGCCACCTGCTGAGACAACAGGCAACAGTTCTGCGGCGGCGGCGATGCGCTTCCACGTCGGGTCCTCTACTTTGGTTGCGTAGTTCGTGACGTAATAGACGAGGGCCATGGCTTTCCGCTGCGTCGCTATGAAGGAGATGTCGTGGTTGTGGCGAAGCCCCACGGCGATGGCCTTGTTCCACCGATTAACCATGGGGTGCGTCCTGTGAATCTGCAGCACGCCGTCTGGCGTGAATGCAGTTTTGTCGACCAATCTCCATGGCGCCTTGAACCGACAGAGGTCGCCCTTCCGTCTCTTCTTGCCCAGGGAGTACTTGACACAGGTCGGACTGTGGGTATGAATCTGCGTTGCGCCGGCGCAGAAGTTGGCTTCCTCGTCAAACGCTGCCGAGAACTGCTCGGTGTTGACCAGCAGGGAGGAAATATCGGACGTCACCGACCGCTCCGCTTGCACGGCGCAGAACCCTTCCAGGTCCAGATCCTACCTAGCTTGTCAGCCTAGTCCCGTTTTCCCACCAGAAATTCCGGATGGCCAACAGCACGCATTGAACATTACCTCGCAGAAGACACTGTCGATGTATTGGACAATGCGCTCACGATACGCCACCTGATCCTCCTCGTGGATGTCGGCAAGCATAGAACTCAAGTGCGCGTTTCCATGCAACCAGAGCAGCCCGTGGACGTGAAGCGCCCCTCGTTCGTTGGTTTCCACAGCGCCATAGTACTGGATGATACGCCCGAAGACTGACTCTTCTCCCACTTTCACGTAATGCTCGAAGAACAACGTCATCTCCCTGTGGAAAAATAGGGCCGAGCTCATAGGGTCCGAGATGGACAGCCGCATACGCTTGAATGACATGTCAAGGCTTCGCAAGAACTCTTCGGCTGCCTCGGGATCGCGTGTGCGGTACGCTGCCAATCGGAGCTTCACTGGGTTCGTAATGTCGTTTGGGTTGATGGTGAACCAAATGGCAGGCAGGCCATAGCGAACGATGAGCGCCTGGATCTTGTGCCGCATACTGAGACGGAGCTCCCTGGACATAGGCTGGCGGTAACCATACAGCGAAAGGCTCCTGAGAAGCTCTTTCACACCCTCATCGGTGGTCCTGCCCGAGCTCTCCAACTCCGCCCTAGCTGCCGCTAATCTGTCTGCAGTCAGCGACCGTACGATGCGCTCCACCTTGCGGAAGTTCTTCCTCGTCACGCTCAGCATGCTGACACGACGGTTCCTCGACCGCACGCCCATGTTGAACACGAGAAATGCGAAAATGTGGTGCGTCGCAAATCGGCCTCCATGGCGCCGCAGCACAATGTCAGCCCAGGTCCGAAGGCTCATGTTTCGAGATGACAAGAGGCCTCGCGCCACCGCCTCTGCTCCAAGGATATCATCGGGACCTCTTCCCGGCTCCAACGTGGCTTCTTCGGCCAGCCGTGGGCCCCCAAAGCCGAAAGGTAGTAGCGTGGGGAACGTCTTCGCGAAGAACGAGGCTTCAAACGAGTCGGCAAATTCATCCCCGCGACGAACATGGATGTACGGCTCAGAGCCATCGGCATACCCTCGCCGGCTGTCTCCCGACGATCCAACCCACGTTCTCGGGCCCATACGACCGTCGTCATCATTTTCACCGACAGCGTCGCAGGCGAACCGCAATTTCTCGGCGTCCGCTACATCTGGCGGTCCGTCCAGTGCGAACATTCCAGACGAGGTGACCTCGTTGATCGGTTTTACCGTCTGGTCAGGCTCAGCGTCCCTTTCAGCCGGAGACTCGTATGCCTTGTTTTCCCCTGCTGTTCCAGTCTCGCATCTAGGCGAGTTTTCTCCTTGATTGAGCGCGGTGAGGATTTCCTCGATATCCACCGAACCCTCGTCGTCCATAGCGCGCTCCGTGGGCGGCACGACTTGCGCCGTTCGTGTCTTTTCCCACGCCGACGGCTCGTTCCGCTCCATGCGATCGTACACACACGCCGGCACCCCATGCGGCGGGGCTCCCCAACTCTCCATCTCTGCCGCGTCAATCTCGATCTCGGCATAGTGTGGATTGTTCTTCTTCAGCCAGACAAGGGCCCTCTCAACAACTCGCCGCCTCACCGATAGGAGGCTTGAAAGATCGCTCGGTCCCGGCTTTTCCGCGCCCTGCCACGACACGTGGATCTCGTCCATGACTCGCACAAGCGGATGGGGGAGCACATTCGTGGCCAGCTCCTGCACATTGTTTGGGAACACCGTGATGTGGCCCTTGACGTGCCTCGGATACCTCACGGCCTGCCTGTGGCCGCCCGGAATGCTATACCTCGTCACGAACCCGTAACACGAATTCAGCGCGATGAGCTTCTCCTCGACCAGCGTCAGACCCTTGAGCTCGTCGGGAAACATGTGCTCACAGCCAAGGCGGCTGTGAAGCTGGGCCGCTGGCGACAGGCTCCCATGCGCCAGGAAACGTACACACTCCACACAGACCGAGACGGTCTCGCCCTCGGGAAAGCAGCGCCGGCATGAAAACGGCGAGCGGCCGCCCTTATCGATGCAGCTCGACAACCATTGGTTCCACGTCGCCTCTCTCAATTCTTTTTTCGCGCGCTTACGGTAGCACAGCCCGCAGGTCCGTATCGGCAAAGTGCTCGCATCGTGGAACGCTTTGTAGAAGTCACTCACAGTCGACACCTTCCTCTCGTGCGGTATTGGCGCACAACAAGTCTCCTTGTTGGACAGGCTCTCCTTCACGGCAAACTCCTCCTCCAAGGAGCGCAAGACGCTGGCCAGATCTTCCGCTTGCAGTTCTCGCCTCCTCTGCCTCCGGATCCCAGTTCGGATCCGTTTCACAGGGGGCTGCTCTCTCCTGGAATAGCAAGCTCTCTTTCTCAACCGCCCGAGCAGCGTCGACTCCATGGCCTCGTCTCGCCGTGGCAGATCTGCTTCTCCAGAAGCAGCTCGGCGCAGTGGTCGTGGCAGCGACCATTCCGCTAAATGGGCATCCCCCGCTGCACCCTCCATCTCCCTGGGCCGGATGGCTCGCGCGGGACACGGGCCAACATCGTCATTCCGAGGCCTTGACCTCGTTATAGGCCTTCCGCGCCGACGCTTTTCTGGAACGACCGCAGCCGCGACACCTCCGACCTCATCTCCTCCGTGGCTCTCGTTGGGCCGCACGGCAACCGCCGCCCGCAATGAGCCACCCACCACTCTTGGCTGCAGACGCTGTCCGCTCAGCGAAGCGTCCGCTAGCTCGGCCACGGCATCATGTTGTACGCGAGTCGACACTGGACGCTGCCCCGTGCCTCCTGTATTGGAGGCACCGCTCGCGTCCGGTCTTCTCTTTGGCGGCCGACCGCGTCGCCGACATCTCTTAGACAGCCCTCGTGCAATTGCTGTTGCCGCTTGGTCGCTGCGCCCAATATCGTCCAACGTTAATTGCTTGGGGTCGGTAGGCCGGACCGTGGTTGCCGCATTCCATCGAAGGTGCGAAGCACCGCTAACCACCGCCGTATCGCCCTGCTCATCATCTTCAGGACCCCTCTCCTGAGGCAAACAGTGTCGACGAAAGAGCGGGGGTTCAGAATTCGCCGCCTCCGGCGCGCCATGTTCCCTGAGCGAGGAGGGCCGCCATGCCAACGTTCCCGGTCCAGCAAACCCCCCCGTCCCTCCAAGCTCTCCATTCTCAAGCTGGCCTGATGGCGGATGTCGCGCGGAACCTCCACTATTGGCCGTATCATGAGACTTCCGTGCTCTGTTAGACCGCAAGCCGCCTCGCGGAGGTCTTCTGGGCAACGACCTTGCGATTGTTTCCGCATGCTGTCTCCATACGGTCTCTTCAACCACGGGTTGCTTGGATAGAATCGGCCGGAACTTGGATACTGCGCTTGCCGGCGACTCGTATGTTGACAAACGTCCGAATCTCCCGTGTCGTGCGCTATGCTCCGTTTCCGCAGCCGCTACCACATCTATGCCGCTCCCTACCGTGTCATCTCCCTGTCCCCTCTCCGACACACTTACATCATTCCCCCCGATTCTATTCCCTACTGACCGTGAGCAGGCTCCCGTGCGAGCAACCGTTTCATTTGGCTTGGCCACAGCACTATTCATCCTGCTGCTACCTTCTCGACATCGATGACTCCAGGCGGACGGTAGATCACAAGGCTTCCGCGTCGGACCCTCTTTAGTTGCACGATTTCGCTTCTGGACGATGATGATTATACTCCTTAATACGGCATTGGTTCCTGTAGTATCCGAGCCCTCCGCTAATCATCCCCTTAACCACCTATAACCCTTCCTCTATGCCTACAGCCCAGACTCTTGCTCAACTGCCGACGTTGCCCTTTTTGGCGCCGCAACTCCCATCCTTCAAGTCGGTGACACACTCAAGCTGAAACCGTTGCTACCCTGATATCAGCTGATTCCATGTCGTCACTTCGCCTTCATTCACCTGCTTCACAGAAGAAGACACTACTCCATCCCCTACAGTCACATCTCACTTCTGACATTTGACATATATCACTTTCAATGACGTCTCTGGCGCCAGATCGACCTTGCCCATGACCCAAACCCCGCATTCTTCATCTACTTGAAACCTGACGCTTTCCCGGACTGTCGTCTACAGTCTGGGCTCTGATCTGCCGAACCCCGCATCCCAGATACTGTGGCCCGCGAGAGCTACCCCTGCATCTATATCCATATAGAGACCAAGCCATCGTCACCTCACTCACTTCCTATTCTGCTGTTCCCTACCGCGGCACCTACAATCCTATTACCTCTTAACGTTCGTCTCGGATATTCTTGGCTCGTTTCCGACAGCCACTGCTCCAGTGTATCATGTCTACTCCCGCTCCCCTCGCCAATGGCCCTTCGAACCCGCGCAAACCTCTCGAGACCCAGACAAACGCGGGCAGTGATATGTCCATGATGCTTTTCGTCCAGCCAGACTGCCCGTCCAGGTTTGCCTATCAGAACCAGTATCACATTAAGGGACTTAACGCAGAGGCATTGGCGAGGGTCTTCCTACCTGCCCCGTCCTGGATTTTGACTCCCGAGTATGCGCAACTTCGGTCAGACCCCTACAACCCCTCCAGCTGCATCTTCTTCAGCCTCAACCTTTCCATCTACAATCAACCAGTCATTGCCTCAGAATGGTCCGAGCAATGGTTCTTCATGAACGGTCGTGTTCACCCGTACGCCCTGACCTGGGAGGTTGAGCAGCGAGATGGTCTAGAGTCGGATACTGGTGCCATCACACAATACACCATTCCGGCTCTTATCATCCGTGATCAGGGCTACCAGCCGTAAGCATGCTGCATACAACTGACCTTGAAATCCCCCCCTGACTCGAGTCAAAGCATTCTCCCCCGAAACTTTGCCTCCATAGACCACTTCCCCGCTATTCCTCCCGTCGTCGCGTTCACCGGCCCTGTTGTCGGTTCCGGCTGCACAATGCTACGAAAGGAGTCTATTCCAGGACTCGACGACGTCCAGTTGAAATGCTGCGGCTTCGTCCAACTTTCTACATTCGTTGCCCCCGGAAAACCTGATAAGACACCCTTCAAAGGCTTCCATCCATTCCACGTCTTTGTCATCTTCCCCATCCATGCCAATCCTTGGGCATCTCTGTGCAAGAAAATAGTCGAGAGACAGGACACCCAGTTTCAAGCTAACGCACTTTTCACTTGCACGGGCAAAGTTGTCAGCCTACTCGACCACAGCATCATAATGCACCCGCCCGGCTTTAACCGGGACTACGTTTTCATCGTCGTACCAGATACCTGGACCTTTCTCGACAGGGCCACATCCAAATTGGCCTCCGCAGCCCTATCACTCTCTATCCCACCGAAATAACCGTCCTCTGGCCCTATGGCCTTTGGGGATGCCAAAGCTATATTTGCCTCTCCACCAAAACCAACGGTTCACCAATCTCCTCCTGCCCCGTCCACTCCTCCCACGTCTGCGTCGCTCGAACCGAGCACACCACCGACGAAGCGAACAAACTCTTACTGCAACCAGACCCCTACGAAGAAACGACGCCTGTCCCCGGCCTCTTCCAGTACCATTCCCTCTTCTCAGAGCAATGAGCCAATCAGATCCCTCGCCGTTTCGGCTTCCACACAAGATGAGCTTGATGTATCAGAGGCGGATGTTCCCACTACCTATCGTCCAGATCCGCCCGCATCCGATTCAATCACAGCCTTCTCGTCAGACTCGCCCCGACCACATCGCAACCGTCATCCCCCAAAGAAATATCAGGAAGTTGAATAAGGATCCACTCAAAAAATCCCCTTATTGTAGCAACAAATCGTCACTCCGTACAGCAACAAATTGACTGAGATATCTGTTTATCCACCCACCAGTGTCAACCATCAATATTCTCCAAAGTACGCAAATGCTCCCCGCCCACATTGCCCATCCTTGGGCATACAGACCTTGTAAATCTTCCACTTTGCCCTTTGACGCTCCCTCCCAGTATCTTTTCCCATACATACCTCATAGAGGCGAATTGGACATTTGGTCATGATGGATACATGATTCTACAGACGCAAGGTTGCGTCTCCATTCCACGACATTTTCAATCTTGCATTGTGTTTCATGACCCCTCACTTCCTACACCAGCATACCCTTGAAAGGACCCCTATGTGACCAACATCACCCAACCCAAAGCCAATATTCGCACTTGACAGTTACTTTTCCATCCAACACATCTCAACTGGCCTCGAAACTGCCATAGCCAACTTCGTTCCTCAAGGCTCTTTGCGCAAGCCGCGACCGGCTTGCCTCTCCTGTACAATCTAGAAGGCAATCTTAGCTGTACACAGGCTATAGGAATCCCCAACTTCTGAGTGGCTAAAAATCCTAAATATATAGGTCCAACTTAAGAATCTGTCTAAAATACCCCTTAATAAATAAGCCACCTACCCTATAGTAGATTACTAATCAAGAACCTGATAATATATTTAATTTGCGAATCTGAAGTATTTTTATTTAACTGAATAAACTTAAGGATTTCTGTGATTTGAATTGGCTTAATTTGACTTGACTTGGGATAGTTAGAATTGATAGCCGCGCTGTCGTCGGTCAGCCACGCTGCGGGCCATCTAAGCATCGCTGACCTCTGTTTTTGTCGGATCACCCCTTGGATACGCGAGTGTAATATAGTTCCATTTACCATGTCCTTGACGGTTGCAGTGAAACTGAAATTTTGGTTCGGTTACGATGACCTGTCTCCTGACTCATTAGATGTTGCTGGAAGAGTCTCACTCTACCTTTATTCTTCAGCCTATGCAACTCCCCAGATTGAACAAAACTCCAATTCCAGACGCCTGAGTGAGTCGCCACTTGGGAGTAAGGAGATTGCTGAGGATACTGCTCTGGCCTAGCCTATTGATCGTTAAAATATTGCGATTCTGAAGGTTGGAGATCACTTCGCAGTGTGTGGATATGATGTGGGCTAGCTTTGATGACAGAAAGCCGACTGTGCTTGATGGATCCTTCAAGACCACTTTTACTGTTATCAGGATATAAAGTCAATACCCTGATGTCATCGGGTTGAGTTAACAGTGAGTAGGTGAACTTAGCCATGACCATAATACCTAGTGGTTCTAAAGTCCCAGTTATAGGCGACTGAAGCTGGATAGTTGTCAGCAGATATTGTTAGATATCGAAAGTAAGCAGTGCATCCATGAACTGCCTGGATGTAGACTCACATCTCGTACTAAAGGTAATTCATCACAGCCTGAATGAGGCAAACTCGTGACCCTGCAGTGCCACTCAACATTGTACAATTCTTCAACTCCAATGCCTTGCGCATCATCATGATTGGCCTCTTTTTTGGAGTCCGCTGCGGGGTGTGTTCACTCCCCGTCCTTCTTGAGGGTTGATTGATGCCAACACATTAGCTGGCCTATGATGTGCCCCCCGTCCAACATTCCGTAACTACATTAACAAAAGGTGTACCCGTGCGCAGCGAGACCGGCTATGAACTGTCAGCTGTCAGGCGATACATCAACAAGCCGACGATCGATCCACGTTGGAGGGCAAGTCCAGGCGGTCGCCCACATCCAGCAGGACGTATCGCTCGTCGGGATACTGGACAAGAGGGCTGCGTGCGCAGAAACCCGCGCTGCCTCTCCTCGCCCTCAGCCTGATCTGTCATCCGGTATGATAAATCGGCTGTTTTCTCCCCGGTGCGTTGTCGAGCTTCAAGTATTGGAATTGCTGCTTCAGTAGTAGCGAAGTGGGAAGCGATCCTCCGGACCTGGGGGAGAAAACGAGCTACAAGTGGCTTGATTATCGAGAGCCCCAGTACACACATACCCAGAGGGGGGACTAGAAGCTCAACAGTTAAAAAAAAAAACACCAACAATGGGATCAACAATGGATACCATATACCCAGCCCACTCAAAATACACTAGTTAACTCAGTGGCTTGAGTATTTCTGGAGATTTTTGAGCTTTGGCATAGTAAAGTTGATAGATGCCTACATTCTTCATTGTGTGATAGACTGACTGGTGCCTCCAAAGACATGGCTAGATACCATCATAACAATTTTGCCCATCACCCCAGCTATAGGAATGGGCGTCCAATCTGCTAGAGTTACTTACTGGACTAATAAGATATCGATAGAATAGTTAGCTAGCTTGCCTTCGCATTTGAGAAATACATCGCGAAACGAGTCGGCAATTTCCTCTTGCACGGCGGACATGACGTCCACTTGCAAATTGGCTTGTTTGTCGAAACAGTGCTATTATTGGTGATAACATAGCTACACACCCAGGCACTGATTCAATTGAGCCTTAATAACACGCTGGTGCAGTGTGTATCGGCTGCCCATCGTTTTGTATTTAACCTCAAACATCTGATAATGATAAGGTGTAACATTAATCCGGCATTGATAATTTGATGAAAAGCATAACGAAAGGCTGGGAGATGTGTAGTATTTCGCAGTATCCCCCTTTTGAAGTCATGAGCAACCGTAACTTGATATCGGCTGGGGGTAACAAAGTGAGAAGTCAGCACCTACGCAGTTTGATGGCTGTATTGGAGAAATGGATATGTATGTATGCATGGAAAGGCAGAAACGCAATGGAAAGGTCAAAATTGAATTTGGCACAACCCCGAAATAGCAAACCTCCGATTCGTGCTCTATCCTAGACTCCTGAACTTAAGTATGGCATTGCCTGATGAGGAAGCAGACCGAGCGGCGAGGATAATTTATAATATTACACAAATCTTTTAGCTGCCTGAGAATTTGACTCGGTCATATTATTCTTGCAAGATCCTAGTTGGGTCAAAAAAAGAGAAGACAACAAGTCTAGCGCAAAGACGATCCATGCCGGAAGCAAATGGGAACGGTGTCACCCATACGAATGGGGCGAATGGGACCTTCGCCAACGGATTGCCAGAAGGGAATAATCCGCTTAAGCCATAAAAATTGGAAAGATTTGATGAAGGATCCCGCTATGATATGATACGGATTTCATGGGGGCTATAGGCTCAATGGGGAGACCCATGCGAGAGCTGTACCCATCTACAACTGTGTAGGCCAAACGAGGGGTGAAGAGGGCGAGAAGTTGGCAGCACAAGGATTTCATAACTTGTGTTCAATTAAACGCTGAGCCAAAAGTATAGTGTACACTACTAATCTAATCTAACTTCTGTCTGCTCCCTCAAGGTGAGCAAGTTGCCGGCACAAGGTCAAAAATAGTGTACACTACGTATTACTGTAGCCAGGATTAATTGGTATCATAATCAAACAACTTATCTAAATATGTACATAAACGCAGCTCATGCTGGCTGCAGCCAATGAAACCCCTACAAACAAATGCACTGTGAGGTGGCTTGCAAAGAAGCTTGCCTTTTGGGCAGTCATTGATACATGTTGGGTACGGGACGGCTCATTCGATCAGGGTGGAATGATAAGTGATTTGGGCGATGTGCCAACCAAACCACTGTACCACATGAGATAAGTTTGGAGTCGAGTCACCAATTGGCTCCAGTGACAGCTTATATCCCTGTATTTGCTGGCATTATTCTTTGTTACTGCTTCAAGCCCCAGCCTTTGGTTTTGTAGCTGAACATTATGTTTGTGGCTGGCTCCAACCGATCCCACCCAGTCCGCATCCTGTAAAGGTTCACGTTAACTAAGTTAAAGCAGGCTGCCTAAACGGTCTCCGCGCGTCATTTGGCCGTAACCGAGGACCAGTTTCACCGTCCCACATGACAAATTGCTCCACAGATGCCTCTTACTTTTATTCTGGATTTCTCCGCCGGGTAGATCGCGCTGTTCTAACTCAGCCACTCAAACGTAGGATGGAGGGACTAGGGTCATTCGCTCTAGTTCCAGTTCAGGATCTTCCCGAATACCTTAGTTTTTAGCTCAAAGCCTATCAGTCGGTTATACGAACCGAGGAAGCGGCGTTTGATTTCCAAATGGAGGAGGCGGCGGCGGTTTTCCCAATTCAAGGGTGGCGCATCAAGAAGACTAATAAGTGTGGCTACTACTCCATGGGACTACCCTGTCTGAACGTCAATGTCGTATTTGGCCTGACTAGGTTAAAGAAGCTTATTGTCTTGGGTGGAGCACTGCCATGGCTGGAGCAGGCCGAGAATCGGATGGTTCGGTCATCATATGGAGAAACGAGATACAGGAGAGGAGGAAAGCGGTATCTCCATATACGATGCACCGAGGCAGCGTAGGTTAGCTGATTATGTGGATACCTCGTCCAGAATGATGAGCTAAACTGGTTCACCCCCAAGACCTAGCAGAGCAATTAACTCCGGGTCAAAGTGCGACCAAGGGAATAAGTAAACGCAGTTGAGTGCCTACTCTGTCCTGCGATCTCCCTGTCCTACCATCTCCCCTACTCACATTAATATTGTATTCATCGAGGAAATGCCAAACCAACCTACGGACTGAAGAAAGGCAGCACAAACACCTCACGACCCCCACCTGACATGGGCCATATCGTCATGGTCGCTCGCTAGCCTACCCCGGCCGCCCCGGAATGTTGTCTTGGCCAGGATTTTGTTTATCAGATGATCTGATAAGATTAGATGTCCCCTGGCACAGTAATGTAATTGGTTATTGTCACATCTTGGCAGGTCGACTAAGCAGGGGCCGCTGATGTCCTACCCACAATTGATCCGGATCCCTCGCTCTCCGAGTCGGATCCTTCAACAAGATCGGGTTTCTACGCCGTGCCGGGAGGATCCTCGATTAGGAGACAACCGTTGATGCTTAATTTCGCTAATGCATCATACATATCCTGCGCTTGGCGTCAGGCGATTCGCGGCATTTTCTTCTCTTTTACAATCTGTGTATGCTATGGGCGGAATGCCCGCTTTCGGAGACGCGCCAAGAACACGAGAGGGAACCGTATGCAACCACTACGAGGCAACAGAGACAAATTCTGACGAGGGAGTAGCAGAATTAAGGCGCAAGACCGAAGCGCAAGGATGGTTGGCGACGATAATCCGGTGGCGATCCCAAAGCCAAGACATAGGTTGTTAACCACGACCCTGTCGGGAATTCACAACCCTGTTCATACTGCAACCTTAACATGTGCATTGAAAAAAAGGGTTATGATAAAATACGAAGGTGAATTCTGGAATATAAGAGTCGGGATTCTCCTCATGTTACCAGCAATCCTCTGTCCCTCAGTTCCTCAGTTTCACTGGCCTAGCCCTCAAGCACCATACTAGCCTATCTAACGGTTTAACCAGCCTTCCGATCGCTCCGAAAACATGCGTTCATTTGTTACTTACGCTATTTTGGCTTATGCCACGCTGGCAGTAGCATCGATCGACCCTCGCTTTGAGTTCCCCGACACAGTCCCCGCCATCGAGAGACGTCAGGAGCCTGGCACCCCGTTGTATCAATGTCATGAAGACTGCGGTAAATAAACGTTCCGACCTGTACGGTCTCAAGAATATGAAATTAACAATGTGCTTTTATTAGGCCTTCTCATTACCCTAGGTCGCACTGCTGGTTATTGCTCTAACGCTGAGTGGAATCAGCGTTATGGTCGTTGCATGAGCTGTGCCAACACCTACAACATCTGGCAGTACTACGGCACCAGCGTCACCAGCCTGGCCAAAACCTGTGGTCTCACGGCCTCCCCTAGCCCATCGGCGGCTCCGGCAGTCGCTGCTCGCACTGTCGATCGTCGCTTTGAATATCATTACACTGTCTGATGCATAAAGCCGGCTCCTTGGCCTCGCAGCCAGGGACCGGGTTTGATGCCTCAAGCCGTAGGGCCTTGTGGGTTGGAGCCCTTATGGCTCCGACTGCAGCTAGCTAGCTGTGGAAATCAGAATCCTACATACCTTTACTTTGACCCTAAGCCCCTACCTTCTCGTATCACCGTTCTATCTGCCGAGAAGCGGCAAGAACCCGGCACCCTTCGGTACCAGTGCCACGAGGATTGTGGTCAGTATCCTCACTTTTTTACCTTCGGTTGTCTCATGTGTGAATATCTGGTCGATATGTACTAAAGGATTGAATCGACACGCTGTTTACTCTGAGAAGACCCCCCACACAAATGCTTGAATTGTGGATAAAACTGTGTTTTTTGACCTTGTGCCGGCAACTTGCTCACCTTGAGGGAGCAGACAGAAGTTAGATTAGAAGACCCCCCACGGGCCCCAAGATGATTAGTCTAGACACTCTGCTCAACCCGTCACTCTTGACTAAAGTGTAAGATCAGAGGGGACAGTTAGTGTCATAGGATCCTCTTATTCGGCTCTCTTGGTTTTCATAAACCTTTATGCATTGACTAAAAATCACGCACCCACATCTCCTTATCCAGTAGTTTACCTAATACAAATATCTACGCTGTGCACAGTGCATAGACAGCCTATGAATCTTGAACGAGGACGTATTTGACAACAGCCCTGTCAGTAAGGTCATGAACAAATTTTAGACGACACCTGACGTCGAAGAAGAACAGTAGAATTTGAGATAGTATTGCTATTCAATGAAGCTTCTCACGTCTCATTTATATCAATGGCTAACCGTCGCCATGTCCAGTCTCACTAGATGACCACGGCAATATGGTCATCCATGAATTGCGCAATGTCCTCCACAAACAAACTTGCCAAAACGGAAACGCCACCAAAAGCGATGCTGCAATAATAAACCCACTGATACGCATCAGCATACGCCGACTGACCCGCTGTGACCACAGCGTCCCATTTTGTGACGTTGCCATCAATTCCCGGCAGAAGCATTATTTCCTTGATGAGTGACGTGGCTGTTAGCCCAATCGCCGCCTTTATGGTGTCTGGGTCTGTAACACCACTCGCAACCATTGCACCCGACACACGCGCTATAAGCAATGGAGTCAACTTCTGCACTAGGATGTTGTAGTAGATGGCGTAGCCAATGGCACCTCCAATGACGCGAATAGACAGTGTTAGAGACGTCATGGTGGCGATAATCTCGTCGGGCGTGATGATTGTCGTTATGACGCTGGTTGGCACGACGATTCCACCGACACCGAGGCCTGCGATGAGAAGAATCGGATAGACAATTTTCTCGTTGTCCAAGTCGGCTGCAGCCAAAGCTCCGCATCCAGCTGTCATGACGCAAGACGCAACAGTCAGAAGCCATCGAATGCCCTGGCCTCGCAGACGACTCATGAGTCCCAACGTAATGACACATCCAAGCATGACACCGAGTCCGAAAGGAAGACCTCGTAGTCCAACGGCGACGGGATCATGGCCATATACGTTGAAGGCTTGCGTGGGCCAGAGCATCAGGACTGAGAAGAAGTTTGCGCCGGAAATAAAGCTGATGAGCAAAAGAATTGCCAAGGTTCGTGGGGCTTTGCCGAAGTTTTTGGGAATCATCGGATATTTGGCGCCCCAAATCTCCCAGCAAACGAATCCGGCAAATGCGCATACGCCGATGATCAATGGAGCTATGACATGAACGCTACGCCATGAGTACTTTGAAGTGTCAGCTTGATCACATACGATGACTGGCCTGGGTGTCTTACTGTATAACCACCCCACAAGATGGCAGCAACCACCAGCGTGATGCCGGCGATTGAAGTTAGACCCCCCAAAAGGTCGATGCGCTCGAAGACTTCCTTTCGAGAAAGTGTGGAAGTGACGCTGCGAGGCGGGGGAAAATAAAAGAAGACGGCAACCAGCAGACCGACCGCAGTGTAAACGATGATCATGACGCCGACATATCTCCAACCCGAGTTGGCCGCAATAAGCTGAGCCCAAAGAACAGACGGGCACCACGGGAGGATGGTCATTATCAGAGCCGCGACGTAGATGCCTCGCTGCGAGGTTGGTGCGAGTTCAGCCGTCCCCGCAATGGCGGTCAACTCGTTGATGCCAGCACCAACTCCAGAGAGGGCCATGCCGCCTTGAGGTCGTTAGTGTCACTGTGACCTGTCTGTTCGTATGGTTTCATCACTTACAGATAAAAACGTTCATAGTATGCGCAGTCGTGCAAACGATTTGCCCCACAATGATAAATAGGCTGCCCATTATTACAACATATCGACGACCAAGGATATCAGACAGGGCGCCAACGAATGGGCAGATCGCTGCTAGGCAGATGAGATTCGCTGTGATGAACCAGACCCAACGATCGGTTCCTCCTATGTCACCGTAGATGATCGGAGGGATTGCACCTAAGTATCAGTCAGTGACGGCTCTTAGCAGGGGAATGTTAACAAATACGAACCCCAGAGGTAGGGAGGCATTTGTCCACTGGTCCAAGCAAAAGCCATCGCCGTGCAAGCCATGAATCGTCGCGGGGTCATCTTTTGGAGATTTAGCTTATGCACACTGGGGCTGGTAAAAGAAACCAAGTGTCAAAGGGGAGCTTTCTCACTTTTGGAGGGGACAGAGGTGTATCGCTATGGACGCTGTCCGAGTGACCCGTCTCGCCAGCATCCTCGACTCGAGCCTCATAGGTGTCGACTTCATGCTTCTGAGCCAGGGGTGGCGACTGGTCTAAAACCACCATCGTGAGGGATTGAGCTTGTTACAGTCCGAGATGTTGTAATAATTGTAAGAATGGGTCTGGAGGATGATGGGTGAAGAGAACTCCTGGGGGTTGGACCTTATTTATGATGTTGATCTTGAACTATGGGTAGTAGCTATCGGTCTTGACGACTCACAGCCAAATCTCATATCACTCCAATCGCCTCCGTGAGGACCGACGCGCGTGTGGTTGGTCAAGGCTGGTCTAGAACTACAGGGTGGGTGTGATCCTCGGTTTGGGATGAATACGCAACTGCAGTAATTGGCTGTCTGGCAATCATCAACGGCCTTCCCCGCGTTTTGGGTCGAATTCGAATTAGGGCGACGGGTAGATCGAGCTGGGAGCCGAGGCATGTTTCCGGTATCCTTCTCTAATGGCTGAAAGGGATGCGGGGGTGGAGAGTATTAGTGACAATCTAGCCTCAATAGACGGATAGAACGGCAGAGCAAGCGTCAAGCTTCAACTAGTCAACCAATCCTTTCCACCCCACCCCGGGACTGATTCCCTATTTGGAACGACGCCGGTACTTGGGATAGAAGGGCCTATTTCCCATATGGTCTGATATTCTATCTTATTCCTTGTACCTAAGAAGGTGCCTTATCAACCCTAGGAGGACTTAGATTCCAAATCTGTCTGGAGGGCATATAAAGCCGGGTGCTCGAGCACCTCCTTTACTCCCTCGCCGATCTTGGCCGAGCACGCAATGCCTTTCTTGCTTATTTCTCACTAGCATGATGGGTGTCTTTGGCAGGAAGTGCTGTACCTCGCCTATCCACTGTTCCGACGCACATAATTCAGCTGGGTATATTGAGGCGCTTGGGGCTAGGCTAAAGACACTGGGACCTGATGTTACGAAATACTCATTCATGACCCCCGTTGACGTTAGTCCTGGCAGGGCCTAGGCGGGTACTGGAGAACAAACACTGTTGACGTTTCCGTGAGACAGATGCCTATCCATCTCCGTTAACTAGTGGACTTTTGGGGTTCAATCTATCTGAAATCCCCATGTGTGTGGCTAGAGCGGTGTCACTTACTAGAGTAATAAGCTCTTTCCAGCCGCTCCATCGCCGACAATTATCAGCTGTTTTTTTAGGTTGCACTTGCCGTTTCTTGGGATGAGCATGGCTGCTCTGTATCAGAGCCTCAGTCGATGGTTCTCCGTGCGTCTTTGGTGTATGTTCCGCGACTGGGCTGATGACTTTGTCTTTTAGTTGAGTCCCCCTTACAACAGGTAACAAAGAATCAGTAGCGGGGTGTAACAGCTAGGTGGTTCGCTTGGCGGTGTAAGTTTAGGAATGGAGACTTTCGTGCTGATAAAGGGTGCAAAAAATTTATCCCCAGGCCAGAGGATAGGTTAAGCCCTGGATCCCAATAGTCCATCGAGCTGATATTCAGCCCCGGGCTGAACCATTATAATAACTTAAGCGACTAGGTTAAAGGCGCTATTCTGGACGCTGAGAAAAATACAGGCAATTCAAACATCAGGTTCCCTCACTGAGGGACTTCTATATTTTTATACCACTTGATGAAAAAATAAACCATGTCTATATTCTACTAAAGCCGCCGGAATACATCACACCCCGAAAAGAATCATACTATAGCCTAGAAGGTCTTTAAGGCTCATCATCATCATGAGGATAATATTGAGGATAGATAGGCAAGGGTGGCCATGCTGGCAATCGATACTCTATCTGGAAATCGTAAGTGCCTGAACCAATACTAATAACCTCTTGCTTTTCAGAGTTGGTGCTGGGCAGTTTGACTTCGGCGACGGTATTCGGAGGAACCTGGACTCTTAGCGAGAACTTTGCGTTTTCTACGATCCATTTGACGTATATCAGCCCGTAAGGGCTCATGAACCGAGCGCTTGCGTGTGTGAGGTCACCTCCAGGAACCGGTGCGACCAGGAACTTCTGCCAGCCGGGCTTCACTGGGACCAGACCTGCGATACCGCGGTGCATCCAATCCGCAACGGCCCCAAGAGCATAATGGTTGAAGCTCGTCATCTCACCGGGATTGATACTGCCGTCTGGGAGCTTGCTATCCCAGCGCTCCCACATGGTCGTCGCACCCATAGACACTTGGTAGAGCCAGCTTGGTGCCTTGCGGTGGTACAGCATTCGGTAGAAGAGCTGAGCTTCTCCAACCCGAGAGAGTGCATGCCCAATGATGGGTGTGCCAGCAAATCCAGTTGCAATCTTAAACCTCGAGTTACGCAAAATAAGATGCTTGAGCCGGGCTGCGGCGGTGCGCTCTTGGTTTTTGTTTTCAAAGAGCTGGAAGTGGATGGCGAGAGCGAGGGCTGTTTGGGTGTCGCACACGACACGGCCTTCTGTTGAAATATAGCGCCTCTGAAATGCCACCTTGACTTTGGCGAACGAATCGCTATAAGACTTGGCTAGGTCTTCGAGTCCGAGGACGAGACAAATCTTGTGCATAAGAGACGTGACGTGCACTAGGTAGGCGTTTGCGACGAACTGAGGGTCCGTTACGGAATTTCCTGGGTCGTCTGGAGGCGCAAAAGGATCAAGCCAGTCGCCAAACTGATACGAGTCTTCCTCCCAGAGACCGGTAGAATGACTGCGCGGAATTCCTTCATTCACCCACTTTTGCATGCTTTCAAGCTGTCGATTTAATATTCCCTTGTCCGCATACGATGTGTACAAGTCCCAAGACAGCCCGACCAAGACGTCTCCCCAAATAGCGGTAGGATATCTCGTGTCGTCGACGAAAACATTTGGGCAGAAAAATGGAGGTACACTACCATGGTCCTCCATTTGTTCTGCAGACAGGTCTTTCAACCACCCTTGAAGCATCCCGGAAGTGTCGTAAAGATAATTAGCGGTCGGGCCGAATACATGTATGTCGCCTGTCCAGCCGAGACGTTCATCCCGTTGAGGGCAGTCAGTAGGGATGCTCAGGAAGTTTCCCCTCATCCCCCAACGGATGTTCTCTATTTGGAGTGAGTGGGTGTCTGGATTGGAGAAATAGTGGTGATAACTTACTATGTAATTGATTGAGTAGAGGATTGGAACACTCGAACCAACCAGTCTGCTCCATGTCTGTATGGACGACGACGGCCGTGACCGCTGTAAGGTCGAAGTCACTTGCATGTGAGCAGTAGCCATCAAGCTGTACATAGCGGAAGCCGTGGAAGGTGAATTTTGGCTCCCAGATCTGGTCCTCTCCTGAAAGAATAATTGTGTCACTGGCTTTGCAAATTCGTAAGGGCCGGGTGGCCACCTCCCCATCCTCAAGTTCCTCTGTGAACTGCAGCCTGACAGTCTGGCCCTTGGGACCACTCAGACGGATTCGCACCCAACCGACGATGTTTTGGGCAAAATCTACCACAATCTTGCCCGCGGGTGTTGTGAAGACTGACGCCGCTTGCAGTGTCTCGATCATTCGGACGGGTGGCCCGTCTGGAGCAACCAAAGCGGCGCTTGGGAGATTGTTGACTTGTACCTTGGCCCAGGAGGTATCCTCAAAGCCGGGAGTCTGCCATCCCCTTGGATCTAGCGACAGGTCACAGACCTCACCGTCGTAGATTTCTGAGGTGATGATACTCCCAGTGCTAGATTTCCATTCTTCATCAGAATTGATAACAGTCTTCGTGCCGTCAGCCGTCTCAGTAATTAGAATAGCTGCAAGTCCAATCTGATGACCCCAGATATTCCGGACACCCCCAAGGAAGCCGAGTCGTCCGCAGAACCAACCCTCGGCGACCTGAGCGGTGATAATGTTCTGCTCTTCCCGCAGGAGGTGGGTGACATCAAAGGTTTGGTATGAAAGGCGGTGTTTGTAGGAGGTCCAGCCAGGCTGGAGAAGTTGATCTCCAACTCGCTGACCGTTGATATGAGCTTCATAGACGCCGTGAGCCGTGACGTACAATCGCGCCCTGTTGACGGTTTGATTCAAAGAAAACGCCCTTCGGAAGAGCACCGGTTGCCGGGGAAGCGAGATGTCGACTGGTTGCGCACTCGAGATGAGGGAGCAGGTCCAGTCACTGCGGTCTAATAAACCTGCCTCTACGGAGGTCGCACTTGACCACGGAGAGGGCTTGTCATGCGGTGCACAACCAGTAACACGCACCCGTACAGATGCGGATGTACCGGACTGCAAAGGCTCGCTGGGCCAGGGCACAAGAACAGATTCACTGGACTTGACCGAGTAGACTTCTGGCAATGAAACTCCCGGACGAGTAATCTCGAGTTCGTAAAGTTCCTGCACCCAGTCGTTGACATCGGTACCGGAGAACCTCCAAGATATACGTGGCTTTGACTCGCCGATGCCAATTGCCTCTCGGTGGTGTTCAAACTGCACCCTGTCGATGCGCAGCGCCATGGTAAAGATGTCGGAGCTGACTTGAAGAACCGAATACGTATCGCAGAGGTTGCAACAATGGCGTAGCGCCTGTGCGAAAATACAGTAGTAAGTAGGTAGTATAGATAACGTGGTGTCTCAGAGGGTTCTCAAACGTCTGAAGATGGCGGCTGCCATTCGGGGGGGATTATCACAACTACCAACGAAGAACCGGGGTCGAGATATGTAAATGATATGTAACTGAGTCAGTAGTCAACTATTCTCCGACAGAGCTACAGAAAAGCTCACAGTCAGCAGGTCGAACATCCCCCTCTCCCCTCGGTGGAAAATGACCCGATTGCCTTACTTAGGCGGTGGAGAGTCATTACAGGACGAGATGGGCTGTACAGCAAGTATTCCATTTACGCGAGAAAACAGGCACTGCAGCCCACAATTCTCCACTGAAGCTGAAGGGAATATCATCGACAACCCACGTCGCCACACCTTCATGGCGGGGTGAAAACGGATTCGCGTGCTGCCGAGACTCTCATCGGCGTACAAAGTGGCCTGAGTTACTCCAAAACGCTCCTTGCACGCCCTTTCCCCCACTTCCCGCCAGCCATGGGCTTCTTAGCTGGGGTTGGACTTGTAGACTGGTCTGAGTTAGGGCAAGCGTTGGATCGGGGCAATTCCGAGCAATATGGGTCGACCCAATCCCCCGAGAGCCTCGGATTCGCTTATGAATGCGGAGTCTTCGGGGCCTGGACCGATAAGTCCCAGTCTCGGGGCTCAACCGATGGCTGTTCCCTCCTACTTCTCCAGTTCATCACGTTTCTGTGGTGTTGGTGTACCGAGCCCCGGAACCCAATCCACAAGAGGGCCGACCATGAGCAATCCTAATGCGCCCACGCAGCCGCCTGTGCAGCGTCACAAGAGGCCACGTCTGGATGGTGATGGGTCCGGAGTTCGTACGGCAATTGCGTGCCGAGCGTGTCGTGAGCGCAAGACTCGCTGCAGCGGACATCAACCAGCTTGCACGTACTGCTTGAAAACGGGACTGTCGTGCGTGTATGCGACAACTGTGCCCACACATGCTCCCTGGGATTCGTAAGCAGTTTCTTTTTTGCGTTTTATTATGCTATGCGCTAATCACTTGTTACCTCTAGGACACCGACCTTGGATGAATGGGGCGATAAGATCTTGACCGCAATCAGCAGTCTTGCTGGCGATGTCAACCTTTTGCATCATCCCCGTCATGGTATTCCCAGCGTTGCAAATTCCAATGCTTACTCCTCTCCTACTCTCACTTTCGGAGAAGATCAAAACGACTCATGTGAGACTTCTATGGAAGAGCAGTCTAGGTGCATTCCAATAGAGGGTCCTAGTCCAGTTACAAGTCTCCCGTCGCTTCTGGCATGGAACGTCTTCGCCAACCAAGGTGACGTGTTGGCACGCTTCTCGCTGTCGCTGTCAGAGCACGCGAGACAGTCCTACGCGTCGCGAACTTCGGGAAAAGAAAGCGCAAGTTGCGCCAAGCCGGATCTGCTCTTCCTCGCCAACGTCTTCGAAGCTCGGTTCTTACCGGTCCATCCCGTCGTTGACATGGCCGAGGTGCGCAGCTACATCGCCCAAATTAGCGAGTTCGGGGTCCTCTGGAATACTGAATCGTGTTTGGTTCTGCTAGTGGCGGCTTTGGCAAGTATGTACTCATATAATCAGGGCCATCTTTCAGCGTTGCATACAGATTCTTCCGTCTTTGCAAGCACCGAAACTAGCTCTAGCATCGAATGTACACCCGGTGCCTTGAAGTATTGGAATATGGCTAAAAAGAGGTTGGCTTGGGCACTGGAGGATTCTGGACTATTGGCGGCCCAATGTCAATTTCTCGCAGGGTATGTGTAGTGCCATTAATTGTTCGATCCTCGAAATCTCTTTGATCCCAGAGCTACTAACACGAGAACGGGTCGCAGGATGTGGCATCTATACACCTCGGAGCCTGCAGCGGCTTGGAAAATGTTTAATGGCTCGGTACTAGCTATCGATGCCGTCGCACTTCGGTACAAATCTAGGATGGCAGGTGTGCAGCGGACAAGTGATGCGGCGTTGATAGAGACCATGCGTTGGGCTTGCATCAATTTCTTGTGGTATGTCCGAGCTCGACTTGTGACCTCGAGACGTTGCTTTATGTCATTGCATATAAACTAACACCTTCTGTTCTTTAGCCGTTTGCGCAGCGAGGAGGAATTCTCCCTTGCTCCATCCGTCTACAAGCAACCCGACAGAGACATCGAGTCTCAAACTTGGGGGTACGATGATGATTCAGCTCTGCTACAAATACGGCAGAGCATTCTCGCCGAGTTTAAAAAGCTGCACGCAAACATGTCTACGAATGAACTCGGCGCTTTGCATGCAAATCTCACTGCGGCAGAACGTGCACTGGATAACTGGCACGAGAGACTGCCGACACATCTGAGATTCTTCGCAAACGAGGAGCCAGAGCTTCAAATTACAGAAGGCGAATATTATCCACGGTTACTCCAGTCTCGCTACTTTGAAACCAGGGAGCTAATTTTGCGACCGTCGATGTATGTGTTGTTGCATGTGCCATCCCTTCAACCGCGCGCAGACACACCCGACTTGAATACCGCCGAAGGAACCTTATGCGCCTATTACGCGTCTCAATACCAAGCCATGTGCTTACGACACCGGGACATGGTACTTACCCGGTTGAGCTTCTTCTTGAACCCCCATATGGGTGGGCCATTACTGAATGACGGTTGGCTCAAGACACGAACTTGTCTAAGTCTCGCATTGTTGCTTCTGGCTGCTGAACGTGGTCCCTCGTCCGAGGAGGCCTGCTCACTGGAGGTAGATTCCAACTCAGTGCTAGATGCTGTCGAAGATTTGCTGAGACGTGATTGTATATCCGGCACAGGCAAGGTATACTCGAGTCTTTTGTATGATATACGCGGGAATTGAACTTGAGTCACTGTCTAACATACTCGTGATGTGAATTCAAACCCGAAAGTCTGAATGTAGGTTCCGAAGTATCCTCAAATTGAAAGCGCAGTCCCTTGACTCTGCCGACCAATACTCTAGAGCTCTTACCAGGGCGCGTGCACCATCCCTGCATGTCTCTTCGTCGGGCACCTGCAGTCTCTCTAGTCCAGCCCGATGCTGCGACTTCAGTCTCCGTGCGGCTATCAGGATCAAAGCGCTTCTGATACCCTTCCTTAATCCCAGCCAAGTATTGTGGTGTCTGTATGCTGTGACGGCGGTCTTCTGGAAGATTACGTCCAACTTGAGACATGCGTTGGCCAACTCGATCAAGTTGTTGACCAGTGCATGGGGCCACCTCGAGATATCGTTGTGAAGCAAAGCATATAGAGCCGGCAGGCATATGTCATGTTTGACACTGTATAGACGCCATCGAAGGTAATGTCGAAGCTCATCTTCGCAAGGGGTAAAATCGTCCAAGGGAAACCGCATGACAGGGGGTAGCGACTCGTAATAAGACGATAATTGGTATCTGAACTCTTGCAGCGCTTCAACCAAGCCCTGGAAGAAGACTTCTGCGGCGCTGCCAGCGGAGCGATAGGCTTCCCGCCGCTTGTCCTGGAAGAAGTTGTCGATGCGCATCTCGAGCTTGCAAAGCATGATTTCGGTAAGAAAGAAATACCACGACTGATCCTCGTAAGGCTCGTGAGGAACAGGCAATGGCGCAAGCCCTTCAGGGCTGACTGCTTTGTGTGATGACGCTCCATTTATATCGCTCGCGTATCCATTGGGCGGGGTGGGCAAGGAGGTCGAGTATGCAATCACATTCAATCCAGCCGTCTCCATCCCAAACTCACAGGCCACCTCGCTAGATGCAATCAGTATGCTGATTATAGGGAGATGACGCAAATGTGGTGTTACTTACCGCTCAGCTTTGAAACAGCTCCAGCAGAGGCGCTGTTCCATGCTGCGAGAGTGTCTCGGACGTTCGCCTCTCGTCTCTCGGGCAATTCGCTTGGAAATATACGCGCGGCATGTGGTGGAAGCCATATTCAACAAGCGCCATCCCGCAACCGGCTTCTGCAGGTACAAGAGAAATGTACCTGCCATGAACATACACTGGGCTGCAGTCAATGACGATTGTGTACACAAAGCTCCGAGGCGTTTCTGCCCGGCACTGAAGTAATCTCGTGCCATCGAATATCGTTCCAAGGATGGCTTTGGGCGGTCATAGTTCTCTAAATCAGAAATGTCCCAAGGAGAAGAGATGGAACCCAACGCACATGCCAGTAACTGTTACGCGTCAATATCTCGGTCAATGTCAGTCACTTTCGGGAGACTTACAACTTGGCATGTTATCCCGCCCCAGTCGAGGCCATTCTCTACAAGATTGGCTGCTCGAGCTCGCAGTTCGTTGGGTTCGAGGATCGGAAATCTGGAGTGCACATTTCTTAGGAAGCTTTCTATCAGCTCCGGGACTACGGTGCCGTCGTCTAAGCCGCTTCGAACGCCGCCGGGGGCGATGTGCCTGCGTTTATTGGGATTCGAAAGGGGATGCTCGTCCCTATAACTGCGCGTATCTTCATCGTCGCTTTCCTCGTCAGAATATTCCAGAAGTACATCCAGGCTGCTATTAACACTGCCCTGGAACTCTAGTATCGGCCATATGAGAGTTTCCTCAACAGTATACGTCCACCACACGCCAAAAGGGGGCTTTTCTGGTTGAGATAAATCTCTCCTCAATGATAGAGACTCCATGACATCACCATGAGTCTTGTGGTACTGTTCGTCGTATATCGGTGTACTTGAGCTTGGACTTGCAATGATTGTCTCGTGGCGAGGGTTCGGATTGCCGTGCATGGCGGGAGCCAGAAGCGATCGCATTTCTGCGAGATCCACGCCAGCAGCATCACCACTCCGACGCACAGGCGCATTCATGTCCAGACGCTGTTCGACATTGGATAATCTGATCAGGATGGAGGCTATTTGGTCATGGCCAAGTGTCGACGGGCTAGATGTCGCCTGCTGCCTTGTACTTGCTATACTGTTTCTTCGATCCCTGCGCGTATGGATGGTATGTCAGCACAGAATCGCTTTGAGTATCTGCCCTCGCACAGCTTCAGCTCCATGACATGAAGCAGCAAGGAAGGGAAGCGTCTTGTATCGAGGTGGTACGACATACCCTAGATGTGGGGGCGAGGATATTGACGGGGTCTCAGAAGCCCCCAAACGCTGACTTAGGTCATCCATAGCGACCCTGGGGTGTTTCCCTTGGTTCCTCCCGGCTACTGATAAGTGAAAGCGGCAATCTGTTTGCTCCTTAGCGGTAGGGTTGGATGCCAGTGATGCTTCGGCGGGTCAATTGGGTCTGGGTCGGTAAAAAAAACATGGGGGCTGCTCGGATTTGCCGAGTCGAGGGCTTCATTTGGCAGATGGGCCTGAGAGCGGTGAGACAAAACTACCACTAAACCCCAAAGGTGTAAGTTAGCTCGAAATAGCAAAACGGCACTTCGGCTTCGTCGGGGGCCACCCGAGCCGGCGCGGTTCCAAGCTCATTGGGTCCTTCAAGCCGAAGCATGCCTGTCGGGAAGTGGTTGGGACAGGTGGTAAATGGCATGAAAGCCACCGTACTACTTGAATGTAACTTGGTGACAGTGTCAAGCGCCTATTGATCTCACCTCTCCACTTTGCTGGCGTGACTATCGGCTATTTGACATTTTGTCATCTGTCTATTGAGGTTTGGAACTAATTAGTCATGTGAGACTGATCAATATTATCAATTTAGACACGTATTTCTCTGGCCTGATCCTCAATTGCTGGCATCTTGCTAGATTGAACGTATCCACCCGCGACCCGAAAGCCTGTTGTTTTCCTCTTTAGACCTTTCGTTCCACAACCTCCTCTTTATGTGCATCCTCAAACCCTGCTTTATCAAGCTCAATTGTAGCAATGGCATCTCGAAACCTTTCCTCACCGTCGAAGATGACGGCGATTTCTTCCAGTGTAAGGCCATGTGTCTCCGCGAACGTAAAGTAGATGATGGCAGTGAGCAGGGCATTGAATACACACTGGACGATGTAATAGCGCCATGACAGATTTTGAATCCCGATCGGGTTGATAAAGCTGGCGACGAATGATGAAGCATTGATAGTAAGCATCGTGAAGGCGAAGAACAGGCTCCTCTGTTTGGTAGTGACAGTCTCAAGCGGGTACGTAATGACCAAGGGGATCCAACAAATTGAGTTGAAGAAATTGAAGATGAAGATCATGACCAGAACGCCAATTCCAAAATTCTTCTCTCCCGTCCTTAAATATGTTGCGGAAAGTGCTGTCCATATAATGAAGCAACTAGTCATACCGGTCATGGAGAAAAGGAAAACTTGGCGACGGGTCACCCGTGGAATCAGGAGTGCCGCCAGTAAGGCGCAGACCCAGCACCAGATGCTTGATATACCGTTGATCAGTGTCTTCTCCTTCGAGGTGGTCATGCCGATTTGGTCGAGAATCTCCGGTAAATAGGTGGAAATGAAATTTGAGCCAGCACACTGTGAGCCGACAGCCGTCCAGAAGCATAACCAAAGGCGATGGCGATTGCCCTTTGAGCCTAAGATTGTTTTGATTCCGTCCCACTCGAATTTCAGTTTTGTTTTGTCGGCTTCAACGCCGGCAATGATCTCGTGCAGTTCCGCCTGTACCACGGCGTCTTCAACGCCATTGCCGTGATATTTGACGAGGATTTCGCGGGCCTCCTCAATACGACCTTTCGATACAAGCCACCTAGGACTCTCCGGACAGAACCAGATAGTAAGGACTTGATAGATAGGGAGCATGATTTGGAGAATGCAGGGGATCTTCCAAGACCAATCCGACGCCATACCAAAAGTACCGAATGTGATCCACGCACCGATGGTAAGTCCAATGTAGATGCTTGTGTTGTAGATGGATGTCATGGCCACACGTTGTTTAGGATGTGCCAACTCGGTCACGAGAACTGGCCCAGCAACCTGCTGAAGGTTGGATCCCAGACCCAAGAGCAGTTTTCCGCCAGAAAACATTCCAAACGAGGTGGAAAAGGTCTGCATAATTCCCATCGCGATGACAATAATGCCACCGACAAAGCATAGCATGCGACGGCCGAATCGTTCATTTAGTGGCCCGCCGATAATGCAGGCGACGATGCCGCCGACTGAGCTCGAGGCGCCGAAAAAGCCCAAAGTCGCACCGGTCGGATTGCCAAAGTTTGTCATGAACTTGTCGACTGACTGCAAACTATTGGTCATGCTCAGATCGAATCCCCATGCCGTTGAGGTTAGAAGGGGGCTGAGGAGCAGCAGATACAGCTTGACCAAGTTTGGATTGCGGTACCACGGCGGCGAGTTCTGAATGGCATCGTGGACCAAGTCTTTGTTGTACATGACTGCCATGTTGGAGTGAGAGAGTGATGATGGGTGTTTCGATATGGCACATTTTTTCCTGGACGATGACTTGACCAAGTATATAATAAGCCTGAAGAGAGAGTGAATTTGTGTATTCCCTGGTCCCAGGTCTCCACTTCCCCGCGGGGAAGGGCTCAAATGCCTACCAGCCCGACTCCAAGTTACATAGAAACGTGGAGTACCTCGGGGAGGTAGGTAGGACCACAATCCCTCGGGGCAATGTCCACCGAATTCTGTCAGGTGAGGCAGGAAATGCCATGTAGGCTCTGTTAGTATGCATCTCGATGCCTAGACTACCTGGCCATCTTTGTGGAATGAAATGACGATTCCGGAAACGCAGGGCCGCTCAAGGTGCACCCCTGACCAGAAAAGCGAACTAATTTTTAGTCGAAGCGAAACTAGCTGAGGTCAGGCCGCCTCGAGGCGAGTGAGCAGGGATCGGGGCAATGCCGACAAGCGTGGAATGTCTCTCCACCCGCGAGTTTGTCAGAGGACAAGGACAAGGCCCCAGGCTAGTTCGTTCCACCTGGAACCCTGATAGTGGCCCCATCTTTTCTCCATCTTGTCTCCATATTCATCTGCAGGGGTTGAGCTTCACTTACCCTATACTCTTACAATATATTGCCACCTGGGCCTGGAGAGACGCCGGAACCGCAGAAGGCCCTCGAGCCGCAGAATTGCTAGATAGCTGCACAGTGTTGGAGGACGCCGGGGATCCTGAGGCAATCATAAATCATGTATGTAAAAAGCCTAGCCGTCCTTTTGCACCCGAAAGACATCGTGTGAGTCTCTGACTTTCAGGGCTAGAATTAAGGACTGAATAAACAAAAAAACCGAACTCTGGAGAGCCATCTCTCATTAAACACAAGGTACACAATGACGTGATATTTGTCCACTATATTATGTGAGTCTCTCGGGACATTTGAGAGCGAAGCCTCACTCTCCCTACTTAGGGCACCACGCGGCAACAACAAACTTAGCGGCTGGGTAAGCCATCCTAGGCCCACCATTGCAAACCCATACCACCAGACACAATTTGTGTACTTGTATTTTACTGTTCTCTATGACAGCTCTGTCAGAAGCCCACAGGCCTGTCATCTCACCAACCTGTCATTCTACTGACACCGCTTGCCCGCCAACCATGCACCGTCTTTCAATCCTCAGCTCTATGGACTTCACCGAGCTGGGCAAGATATCAGCCGAATGGTCAGAATTCGTCCAGAACGCAACCCCTTTGGGTTATTCCAAGCTCGTTCCTGGCATGGACCCCAAGGCAGCCCGTGCTTTGGTCGAATCATCTCGAGCACGTCTATCTGATGCTGACCTCTCAGCCAGTGAGTAACATCTCCATGATTCTACTGTACCCGACCAACAGCATCGCATCAATCGACCGTATACCACGCTGAACCTCCCTCCAGACGGCCTTAATGTTCGAACCTTGACTTGGACCGATCCAACCACTACCCAGCAACTCCAGTTTCGCCTCTTCACCCCCCCTGAAGCAACCGCAAACCCCTCGCAGGTCTTCCCTCTCTACCTTTATTTCCACGGTGGCGGTTTTCTCCTTGGCTCCATTGACTCGGACGTCGCTGAATGTGCCCGCATAAGCACATCCTCGGGCATGTTGGTCCTCTCGGCCAACTATCGCCACACCGACACGCACCCCTTCCCCGCCCAACATGACGATGCCTGGTCTGCACTGCAATTTGCCTTGTCCTCTTCGCCCGAGTTAACCCAGGTTGATCACACGCGCATCCTTGTTGCCGGTGCGAGCGCTGGCGCTAACCTGGCCCTTGTCACTGCTTTGCGCGCCGGCGTCGAAGTAAACACCCCCTTGCATAACCCGTGTTCATTCTAACGACCCCCAGAACATCCCACTCGCGGGTTTAGTCCTGCAGTCACCCTGGCTCGCTGATCCGGCACTATTCCCCGATTCATCGTCCGCTTCCCAACACGCAGCCGGGCCTGTGATCACAGCGGCTGATCTTGCATGGTACGTGGCGCTCCTCGCAGCTGGGACCGCAGCATCGCCTCTGCTCGCTGCAGACGAGGATCTTCTGAAGCTACCCCGGACATATGTGCAAGTGTGCGGGATGGATCCACTGCGGGATGATGGCCTGGTCTTTTGCGCGCGCTTGAAGGAGATGGGGTAAGTTGGTTTCTATTCCGTACACGTCTCGCGCGGGTAGGCTAATGTGTCATTCGAAATAGCATTGAAGTTGGATTGGATGTGTATCCGGGCTTGCCGCATGCATTTAACAATATCCAAGACGAGTTGCTGCCGGCATCGGGGAGATTCTGGCGGGATTGTGAGAAGGGGGTTAGGTGGCTGCTTGGAGACCACCGAGAGTCAGTGGGAGTAGAGAAGTGGATTGGAACGTCGAAGGGAATAAATCAGTAGGCTGGATAGAAAGAAACAATGATCCAGAAGTATTGAGTAACCGCCATCTCAAACCTCTGGTATTATTTGCAGGCCCCTGTGGGCTTTGATAAATTATCATGATGGGAATTCGCTAGATACAGCTGGAAATTACAACTCTATGCAGTGTTCAAGTTCATCTTTGACTCTAGGAATTTCCAATTCGTCCTTGTATAGAGTCTGATATAGACCAAACGAAAATTAGAAAGCCGGAAACATACGTCACAATATTTGTACACACGTCGAATGCAGTCTTTAAATCACGACTTTCGACACGTAATTTTGAGGGCATTACAATGCCAAATAAAATCCCGGAATGAGACTAATGTCCTATGCTCCTACTCAGAAGTACATCTATCGAGAAGCGGATAGGCGAGAAAGCAAGACACTCCCACGTACAGTATTCACACCATAGGCGTAAATAAAAGCTATCAAACAAATACCTCACACCCCACGGCCTATGATTTACCACCTATGCTTCCTGCAAGCTTTTGTGCTGCGCCTCCTGGTACTGCTGGGGGCAAATATATGTGGCAAACTTCCGCGTCGCAACCTGTGACTCGAACATTTCGTCGACCTCGGCGATGCTGCGACCCTTGGTCTCTGGAATACAGAAGTAAGAGAAGATAAAGCCAATAACGCAGAGGCCGCCAAAGATGAAGCCACACAAACCGCCGAGGTTTCCCTGGTCGCTGTTGAACATGTACGGTACCACAAAATTGAACAACCACGACGAGAAGGCGGCGTTAACGAAGGTCACTGCTTGCGACAGCGCGCGTAGACGAGCCGACGAGATTTCAGCCGCAATGACAGGCGTGGCACTGCCACCGCCGAGACCAAAGAAAAAAGTGATGATCTGCATCATGACACCGATGTACATCAACGCCGTGGTATTGGTGGGCCAGACGCCAGCGATGCCAACGCTGAACCACAGCAAGCCAACGCTGACGATGCTCCAGAGCAGGATTGTTCGACGGCCAAAGCGCGTCATAGTCCACCACGAGATGACGGTCGCGGGAAGTGCAAGAGAGATGCCAACTTGGGAGATTTCCAGCGACTTGACAAAATTCATGCCGGCCATCTGGAGGAAGTACGGGCCGTTTGCGAGCAACGTCACGCCGAGAAATTGCTGCAACCAGAAGGTGGAGGCGACTATAATAGTACGGCGTGTGTTGGTACCACGGAAACACTCTGCGATGGAAGCTTGGCCGGTAGCATTTTGGGATTGACTCTCGTGGTCGAGCGTCTCTTTGATGGCTGCGAAGCCGGCGACCCTGTTCACGCGCGAGGAGTTGAGGCGGTTGTACATGGTGCGCGCGCGGTCTTGACGGTTGAGACTGACAAGCCAGAAAGGACTCTCAGGGATGATGAAGGAGAGAAGGAAGAGAGCACCACACCAAGCCCATTGGGAGGCAATGATGACCTTGTACGCAATGGGAGTGAATATCAAGATGCGGGCGTTGACGGAGCTGATGGCAATGACTTGGCCGGTGACCTGAGACCGAGGTCAATTCTTGGTTCCAGAAATTAAATAGGGAGTGGACATACCATGGCGAAGGTGAAGATGGAGAGGAGAGGGCCACGGAGCTTTGGCGGTGCGACCTCGGACACGTATGTCTGGCAAGTCGAGTTGAGTTGTCCCATGGCAGCACCGAGGATTATCTTGCCGACCAAGAAGATTGATCTACGGGTATCAACGGAGTCGGGGATATCTGATATGTACATGACGGTAACACCTGACAGCAGATTAGTACACCATCGTTGGAACAAATTTCCCAACGGTCAACGGGTCCATACCAACAGCAGCAATGAAGCCACCGGAGCGGAATCCCCAGCGACGGCCAAAGCGGTCCTGGAAGGCGCTGTTGAGCATAGCACCGATGATGATGCCAAGTTGGATTAGGGAGTTCCACAGCGACTGCCAGAGCGCTGGGATGATGAACGTGTTGTCGGCGAGGTGCGTGCCGTATTCGAACCTATGAGAAGGTGATCTCATCAGCAACGGCACAGAGCAGAGTACGAGACCGAGGAGGCATTTCCAGGGTAGGCTGGGCTCACTGGAAGGCGGGCATGGATATACAGGCACCGACAATAACCATGTCGAAACCGTACATGAGCGGCCCTATTGCGGCACCAATACAGGATAGAATGGCGATGGGGCTTCCCTTGATGGCCTGAAGCGGAGTGACATCCTCCGCACGGCATGTCTCTTCAACATGGGAGACAGCGTCCTTCGTATCTTCGACGGTATCTGCCATATCTGCGAGCAAGGATGGATGAGTAGTAGCCGTGGGTGTGCTTGTTGGGCGAGAGTCGTGGGCTTTGCTGACGAACTTCCGGCTCAGCTCTGGATGTGTGTATTACCTCGGAGGATTTGCTATCAGACAAGCCAAGTCGCTGTGTCTCTGTTGGAGTGATGGATATTGTCAATTGAAAGATGGAGATATTCCAGACAGGCGGCAGCGGCTAACTTATAGTCTTATGCCACCATCACACACCCCCAGATGGTTAGTACTGAGGTGGTGGGGTGTGGGAAATTTGGACGCCTGCTAGGTACGTAGTAGATCCCCCAGAACCCCGGACTCGATTCTCCGCACAGTCGGAAGCCACTAATATCTTCGTGGGTTCGACGCCTGACCTGCCCCGGCTCCCAGAACAGTGTCGACAGATGTCCCCAGATACTACCGATGCCCTCTGGACACAAAGACGCCCCGAGTTAGACCGAGGTTTGTTCAGACTCTTACTTGGAAGCATGCGGGGAGCAGACAAGGAAATTCCCGGATGACACCCTCATATTTTCTTTCCATGAGGTGAGTAAGTGACCATGGCGTATTCACCTGCCCATCTTGCATATAATTTGGACGACGGAACTTGTCGCCATGTTCCCGCCGTGATTGACAAAGAAATCTGGCCTGGCTGGTAACCTAAGTATCAATGAGAAGCAGCCAGAAGGCGAGTGACTAATGAGTACTAGTAGCTAAGCATCTCTCAAGTACCGAAAATAAGAGCTGAAAACAACCAGACAACAGGGATACCTACCCCAATCTCAGCTTCACCACACCTCGATGTATTTCGCTCTCTCCCTCTCCTCATTTACACACGCCCTCCATCTCCACCTCCACATCCCGGCCTTGCCCTTCTCTTTTGGTGGCGTTTCTCCTCACCCCGCCGGCTTTCCTCACTCCACTCTCGGCTTGAGACATACCGAGGTGGTTAGGCCAGGATATCACCGAGCCAGATGCGTGCTAGACTTTTTTGGCCGTAGCGCGGTACGTACGAGGAATCACGTTTCTTTCACAGAGTATATTATTTATTGGCCCCGGACTCCTCCTTTTTGCCTTCATCTCCCATCAATTGCTGGTCAATATGGCAACCAGAACGCTCTTCGTAGATGCATCTTTGCCTAACGGAACTTTCAAGCCCTTGCAGAGTACGAATTATGTTCTTTCCGCCGACTTTGGCGCGTCAGGGGAGGAAATCTCCTTGACAAAAGGCAGGCTCGTGGAGCATTGGAAAGACAGTTTTACCAAGATGGTGCTTGTCTACCACCCCCCGGATATATTCCAAGGTAGGTTTGACCTTCTCCTCTGGTCTATTCGTTCTTTGAGTTGATGTGCTTGCTAGGGTACGGAAAAGAGGGGTCTGAAGGCGATGCATCAGATCCACGCAACTACGACTTTGGACCTCTTGATGAGGAGATTACTCGTGTCGCGAGCATCGGCGCCGTGGCCTGCCTCCAATTCGAGGACCGTTTGCACACCTACCAAGAGTTTGCACGCCCGGAGTTGTTTCGAAAGGTAAATTTGACTCCATATCACCTTTGAGATGAATAAACCGCTTACAGTATTTAAGATTGGATATGTCCTGGCTGACCGCTATGGGAATGGTAACGGATTTCCATACAAGAACATGCTGAGCCTAGTGGAGCTCTACCCAGAGCCTGACATGTATACATCACACCTCGACAAGAGCTGGTACATCCCATATTTCGAATGTATTGAGGGATTCTCAAGAGGAGCCCAGCAGGCAAACCCAAACGTGGGAGTTGGCGCTGTCGGAGCAAATCGTATGTACTACTGTGCAGGCAAGATGCCTGAAAGTCCCTTTCACTTCGAGTTCTACAAGTAAGTTTCCTTGGCCTCTTCACAACCAGTTGACTCATGCTAGACTTCTAGGTTCATCAAGGAGAGAGGCGTTCCCATCAAGGCCATCACGTTTCACTGGGTAACACCATTCAGCCAGGTAATTTTGACTTTACTCTGCTTACAGAAGCGACACTAATGATTGGGTAGAACCCAGGAGATCTTGTGGTAGCATGCAAGTCAGTAAGAAACGAGCTGGCTCGAGCAGGTCTACCAGATATGCCCATCTGGATTACGGAATATAACCGAAACCCGGTAATTGCGCTTTATGGACCCGTCACTTCTGTTCTAACTTAATGTGCCCGATAGGCTCCGATTGTACCAAAAACCCCATCTGTACTAGCAGAATACAAATCCTTGTCACTAGCAGCTTCATTCATGCTCTGCACACAGATCATCGCCCAGGATGCTGATGTTGAGCAATGCCTTCCGTGGGTGGGCGCTGGATATGGATTTTTTGGCGGTGGCAACGCGTGGTTTGAGGCATACTACGAGAAACACGCGGATCGCACTCAGCCCGACATCGTGAACCCCCTCGGTGCGGCATGGCAAATATCAGGCCGGTTTCTGAACGATGTGACGAAACGATTGTCGCTTCAAGGTTGTGATGATAACTTTGCTGGCCTTGCTGGGGTGTCTGCGGATGGTAAGACGGTGGAAATCTTGCTGTCCAATTACCAGTTTTCAGATGATCTGCTAAAGGAGTTGAATGGCGCATATGCCAAGGCGATGGATGAGGATTGCGGCAAATGGAATAAGCTCAATGAGAGTGGGCTGTTGGATGGAGAGTACTACACCTTTAAATCACCGCCAGCACCGCTGGGACTTTCTTTATCTGGACCGCAACCATCATTTTGCCAAAACAAGACGGAGTACTACGGTATGTCAGCTCCACCTCAACAAAGAAGAGTGTGAATGAACTGACGAATCTATCTAGACCTTCACATCAGAGAGCTACCATGGGCTGGGGATGTAGCGTACTCGGGTGTTGTATACCGTATTGACGGTACTCAGAGCCTTTATAAGCATGCAAGCTTTTCTGGAATGGGTAAAGAGATTAAGATCTCTCAGGTTTCACCGCCATTGAGTATGGATCTGATTGTTATTTCAATTATTTAAGTTATCACAGCTGGGTTTAACCTAGGGAAATTTTATTAGTGGGAGAGGCTTTTAGTTTAGACAATATCTATCTTAGGGCAGGAGGTAAAAAGGGACACAAAAAACAGAAAGTAATAGAATATCTATCTTCTAAACTCACAAGGATAAAGTAGGGTAGCGATCATCACAAGTCGGTGGTGGAATTTGGGGGGGGGGACATGTCAACCTATTAATTCAAAGAGTGGCCGGCGTACTGGAGGAGTTAAAGAGGAGGGCGGGCGTCAACGTGGACAATAAGAAGACTGATTTACGGCTACGGGAGTGTCCTTCGCAATGATTTAATAAGAGTATCTAGCTACAAGGACGAAATACAGATTTATCTCCAACACCAAAAAAGACAATTGAAACTCCAATCCTAGTTTCTCACACTTCATGCCCTCACCGTGATCCACCACGGTGGCTGGATAGGGAAAAAGAAGAGGAGCAGCGACGGAGGGGACGGATGGACAGAGAGCGACAGGCGCCTGGCTAGCAGCAGGCTCTGCGCGAGCATACTCGGATGCTCGATTATGTCCTCAACCGAGAGGGCTGAGACGCCGTGATGGCCATAGAACTCTGCGAGCTGTGCGGCGGCCAGAAAGCTGCCCCAGACATCATAGAAGGGGATTTCTGCGCTGGCACGACTCGTCCTGCTGAGTACTTGGCCACGGTCGTCCTCTTGGGTTGACCCCAGAATGTGGTCCCACGCCTGGGTGACAAGTTCTCTGATCTGGATAGGCACGGTTTCGAACGAGTATCCTGCGGCGGCGGCAGCGGCGGTCCGATCGAGAGAAGCAGATCTCTCAGCCGGGACGGGGATCAGTGGCGGTATTGTGAGATCCACGGACGTCAGCCGCTGCTCGTCAGGATTAACTGTAGAAGACAACAGGTCGATGCGGGCCAGTAGAGAGTTCAGTATGTGCTCGACAAAGTCCGACGGCAAGATCCCCTCCCGTCCATGGCCAGCGAAGCGCAGCTCGACTTTTGTGAGTTCACCACCCTTTGTGGGAGTCGCGAGGACGAGAGTATCGGCTGGGTCGAATTGTCCCTCGAACGCCGTCACTCGACATCGCACTCCGTCGCCGAAGCCAAAGTCCTCGAGGGCCTCAAGCCGCCCGTCTAGATTTTGGTACTGCACCACGCTGCTGAAACGTCGCCACGGCCGCGGGCGTTCGGCGAATGCACCGAGCATCTTGTCCATGGCGAAGGTCTCAAAGGGCATGGCTCCAAGATGCTGGTCGTGGACCTGGCGCAGGATGCTGCCGACGGTCGTGTGGGAATCGCGAAGCTGCACGCGCACGGGGATAATATTAAGGCATGGGCCTAGAACATCATCAACCGCCATACCGTCTATGGACATGCTGCGACCGGACACTAGATGACCGAATACGACGTCGGTGGAAGAGGACAGCTCCGCAAGGACCAGAGCCCACGCGGCCTTGAGAGTAGTGGCAAAGGTGAAGCTGCGATTGGCATGGCGCGGGGTCATGATTGTTCGAGACATAGTTACGTTATGGCCACTCTCATACGCAGGCGACAAGTGAGTGACGATATCGGTCATGCGAGCTCCTTCGAGCAGCGAGTCCCAGTATGCCTGGGCCCCATCTCTCTCGGATTCGCGGGCGGCGAGAATGAAGTCTGTGAAGGTAGGACAGTTGGTGGGAGCGGTTTGACCTTGATACAGCGCGACGAGGTCGTCAATGAGGATCTGCATCGACATTCCGTCGTACTGCGCATGCGACAGACGCATTACCATGATACTTTCGCTCTCTCCGCCGAGGAACAGGAAGCGGAGCATGGGCTGTCCAAGAGCAACGGGTTCAAGCTGATCGGCCTTGACCCAGGCGGTCGTGACATCTTGCTGTTGCGACTCGGGGCACTGTGTAGCCTGAAAGTCAGGCACCATCGAGCGTAGAATAACCTGGAAGAGGCGCCGCTTGAATGGGACAAATGATGTGCGGAGGATGGTATGGCTCGCGACCAGAGTATAGCAGGCCTCGCGGAGACGAGACTCGTCGATATGGCCTCTGAGGTGGAAGGCGAAGTAGTTGGTACTGCCACGGCCTTTGAGGATGCTGCTCTCTATGAAGCCTAACTGGGATGGGCTGGCCTCTACAATGTCTTGGATATCAGATGGGCTCACACCGACCCGTGGGCAGATGATCTCCTCGACGAAACCAGAAGTGGCGAGAGAACCAAGGGATGACAGAGGCTCGCGAGCAATGTGCTTCCGCGTGGACATGTCAGCTTCGCACGGTTTATCTACAACATCTGTTTCAAGGATCCGGCATAGGACTCCGAGACTTTGATGCCGGAGGACATTGGCGATTGATATTGCGAGCCCTGCAGATCGACAGGTGTTGACAAGCTTGATGGCCAGGATCGAGTCACCACCAAGGTCGAGGAAAGTGTCCTCGAGGCTGATCGCTGCCGCATCCTTGTTCAGCACACTGGCCCAGAGCTCACGCAGACGTTGCTGCAGGTTTGTAAGCTCGACACGGTCAGGTAAACTGCTCGAGTTTCTTGGAGATGAGGAGTCTGCAAAGAAGTCAAAAGCAATCCGACGCAGCTCGTTGCGATCAATCTTGTGAGACGGAAGGTATGGAAGTTGCCGAAGGGGGAGGATGACCGAAGGCACCATGTAGGATGGGACGGAGGCCATCATCGTGGCTCGAAACTTGTGTCTGGCCTCGAAGGCTGAGGCAGTTTGTCGCGAGTCTCTACCAGAAGCAACCAGAGGGAAGTCTTCGCACTCATCGCCGGCGGCGGCAAAAGCTACGAGCCTGACCTCTCTGCTACCACTACCGCCGATATCGACGGCTTCCACAGCGACCTGATATTTCCTGCGCAGGGCCTGGTGAGCGCGGTGCTCAACCTCGCCGAGCTCGACGCGTTGGCCGCTGATCTTGATCTGCCGGTCCTTTCGCCCGGTGTACCGATACGACCCGTCGGCGTTCAGCCGGACGAGGTCGCCAGTCTTGTACATTTTTCGGGTCTCGCCTACACAGCGGTTGGCCCAGAGAGGATTCATGATGAATGCTGAGGCGGTTCGGGAGGGATCGTTCAGGTAGCCACGTGATAGTTTTGTCTGGGAGTGTTAGCTATGGGCGGAAACGGGTAGAAACAGCGCGAGAGGAGATATATCAGCTTACCCCCTCGATCAAAAGCTCCCCTATGGAGCCTGGCGGTGCAAGGACATTATGATCAGCCGGGTTGACAATCCAATACTTGCAATTCCTCGGGAAACCTATGTTGTTGGACTGTAGAGGGCTGACAGACGGGCAATCTACGATGCTGCTCATGACGGAGCACTCTGACGGCCCGTAACCGAGCATCAGCCTTACCCGGCCTAACCAGCGCTGTATCTGATGCTCGGGTGTCGACTCTCCAACCAGAACGATGGTATGAACGCTACGGATGTTCTCTGGCTGTAGGGTGGCGACGAATGAAGGAGTTACAGTCAACGTGTCGACCTTCATCCTGTTGATAGCCGCCTCGATATTATCCATCCGCTCCGCCTCGGACGGGATGCACAAGCAGCCTCCAGACATGAGTGTGCAGAGGATCTCGCACACGGCGGCGTCGAAGTTGTATGAGGCGAATTGCAGCACCCGTGCCCTTGAATCAAGACCGATCGCGTCGATCAGACCAGCTGCACTGGAGCACCAGGCCGCGTGCTCGATCACGACACCCTTAGGCATGCCGGTGCTTCCCGAGGTGAAGATGACATATGCAGCATGTCGACTGCGGTTGGAGAGTTGCGTGTGGGCGTGATTAGACGTGACTGGAGCCAGCCGCTGCATGAGCTCGGCGTCCACAACAAGAGGAGCGATGGTTCGATCGACTTGATGATTAGACGAGAGTTGCTTCCTCACCGCTTCCGAGGTGAGCACGAGACGGGCATTTGTCTGCTCAAAGACAGTTTGGAACCGCCCTGGCTGAGTGGCGTCCATCGGAACAAATGCAGCGCCCGCCTTGAGAACAGCTACCACGGCCACGACGAACCACAGACTCTTTTCCACACACACCGGCACGAGAACCTCTGGCCCGACCTCGTGATGATCCGCGAGATGAATGGCAAGCTGAGTTGACAAGGTCTCGAGTTCTTGATATGTGAGCTGTCCGTCCCAAGAGCAGACAGCAGGGCCGTCAGGACTCTTTTTCGCAGTGGCCGATATAACCTCATCCACACAGCTGCTGCCATAAGGATTAATGTCGGTGTTTGCGTCTAGAGCGGTGGTCTGTTCTGCTGAATTTTGTGCATCTCCCTCCCTGATTAGACACCACTCTGCAAGTGGACGATGGCTCATCTCCATGATACACTCAACAGCCCTACTGAATGTCCGCGAGACCCCTCTCGCCTGGACAGCCGTCATGTGAGAAGCCCTGTAGTTGATTGAGGCACGGAAGCCCGAGCCGTTTGCCGCAGGCCACACATTCACTGTCACATCGTACTCGGCGCCGTCGTCTCCCCCGAGTGCGTCGAAACTTAGGCTGCTTTCTCGCGAGGAAGCTTTCATGTCGTCACTCTTGTTCTGGGCGAAGAAAGACATGCCTGTATTGAACATCGCTTCGGGGCGTCTGGAGGACGCTGAGGGCCCCGTCGATGGCTGCTGTTGGTGGCGATGCAGCACATCGGCCAGGGAGACAAACTGGTGGTTGAGGCTGTTGGACCAGCTGTCTTGCATGGCCTCCAGCATCTTGATACCAGTCTTGCTATTGTCATTGCCTAGGTTGACTCTGACGATGAGCATGTTGCAGACGACACCGATGATCGACTCGATGCCCTCGACAGCGGCGTCGCGGCCGGACGCTAGGAAGCCGAAGCAGACATCGTCCATGCCTGTATAGGCTCGCAGGACAAGAGCCCAGGCCATTCTAAAGACGCTAGCCGGCGTGAGACCATACTCGAGACAGAAGTCGAAGATGGCCTCAGATGAGATGCCCAGCTCGGCTGGGATTGACTGCATTCTCCACGTTTCTCGAGCGTCACTCGCGTCGAGATACTGCCGGATGGTGCTCTCCTTGAGCGCTGGGAAGTGACACGATGGGACGCCGTCAAGATAGTTTACCCAGTAGGCAAAGGAATCATCGGCGGACAGACCCTCGACATGGGCAACATAATCTCCGAAGCCCGGTGGACGCAACTCGCCTGCCGACCCGAGACGCAAACCGTCGTAGGCCAAAGCGATATCGTTTAGGAGGACGGGCATGGAGAATCCATCGATCAGCGCGTGGCTGATCTCGAGATACAGGTAGACTATGTCTGCGGTGCGGCAGAGGAGCAAGCTGTGCTCGGGATCGAGGGCCTTTCTCGTTGTGTTGGCTGTGGTACCGCTGGCGGATAGCTTGCGCATCTTGTCTAGAGTGACATGTTCATCGTCGTCTTCACCACAGTCTATGCCATCCATATACTCCATATGTTGGACTCGAGGAGAGAACTCCCGAAGGACAACTTGGTAAAAGCCTTGACCTGTGGCCATCGTGTCCTCGATGATGACCGTTCGCAGAGCATCATGCCGAGCAACGACAGCCTTCCAAGCCGCCTCTAGTCTCCCCATGTCCACCGGCTTGGCCGTCTCGGATGTGACGGCATAGAGGAATGACTCCCTGTACGAGCTGGCAGAGCGCGCTTGACTGATCAAAATGCCTTTCTGCGTCGGTCCGCAGGGGTATATAGCCGCGATGTCGGCCAGGCTAGACAGTTTGAGAGCTGGCACGATCTCGTCTTTGATACGGTCCAACTGTTGGTATGTGAGGTGAGGCATCTGGGGGAAGTCGCTCAGCGTTGGTTCGGGGGTTACGGATGCAAGCCGCTCTACGGCCGACTCGAGGAGCTTGCGATAGTTGGAGATCCAGGCATGAACCCTGGCACGATGACGAGTTTTGCGGTTAATGGTGAAGGTGAATGTCGCCCGTCCGTCGCCGGATAATTGGACGCTGACGTCGAAGAGGGCTAACCTGCGGCAGTTGGGTCCAACGTCCGTGGTGGTATGGATGCTGCTGCTGTCCTCAAGTTGCTCCAGCGGAGATGATGAAGCAGAGAGGATGTCTTGAGGGATTTGTACTAGAAGAGCATCGTCACGTTCGAGCTTCTGGTGACCGCCAATGTAATTGAACAGGATCTCCATTGGCCATTGGCCAGCAAAAGCCTCCTGTCCTTCCCAGGACCACTCTTTGCCCACCACTCTAGCACGAGCATCTTTGACTCGACGTATCGCGTCTACAAGAGCTTTACCCGCTTCAGCTTCTTCAGAATCTTCGGCAGAGGCTAGCTGGACTTGCAGAGGATGGATGACGGTGAGCCAGCCAACGGTGCTAGACAGATCCACGCTGCCGTCCCACGCACACTCACGGCCATGACCCTCACAGTATACGGGCGGCAGGGATGCACCTCCCCTCTCCGGGAAGACAGCCGCGAACGAGGACAACAGAGCTGAGATGAAGAGGTCCTCGGGCTTGGTTTTCAGACGCTCGTTGCAGGCGGGGCTGAGGAGGGAGGATGTCGTCTCCGCATCAAGCGTGAAGCCAGCGCTGAGAGTGTCGCCGAAGATGTTGGTGTCTGGCGAGATGCCCCAGAACCGGCAGTCAGCCTCGGGGACTTGGAACGAGCTGACTAGGTCTTGAAGCGCTTGTGATGTTTGTGAAATTTGTTGTGCCTGCATTCTAGTCCATGCCTGGAAGGAGACGACGTCTCTGCTCAGAAGTTTTCCGGTACTGATGAACTCCTCCAAGTCTTGGAGAATGATTCGCCATGAGACTGAGTCGATGACTAGATGGTGGGCCGCCATGAAAAGGTGTTGGTGCTGTTGACTTGTGACGCGAGCTGATGGAGGCAAAAGGGTTGCAGGCTCGCGTATATCGAACAAGTGTGCACAGAAGACGGCACCACTGACAGCATCAAGCCGACATTGAGCCTCTGCCATGATGGACTCACTGTCAGCCTGAGACATGGAATGGTGTTGGACCATAGGTGAGACGTCTGCGGAGGGAAGAATTCGTTGCTTCCAGACACCATCAGCCTCGGTGAATGATGCCCGGAGCATCGCATGCTGCTCGACAATGGCCTGGACCGCTCTGGAAACCTCCTGAGGCGTCACCTCTCGGGTAAATCGTACAAGGACACTCTGGTTGTAGTGGCTTGAACTTGTGGGCGACGACGTACGAGAGCGCATCTGGCCCAGGCCAGCCTTGAAGTAGAGCTTCTGGACAGGCGACAGATGAAACTCGGTTTCGGCAGGACCTTCGTGGATATTTGATACGGTCAAATCTTGCTTTCCACCCGAATCGGCGATGGCTTGTGCGCGCTCCGCGAGATGACGGATGGATTTGCTCTGCAAGATGTCCTTGGTCTGGACGGCGATATTCTCATAGCGACAGCGAGCCATGGCCTGTATGGCTGTGATGGAATCGCCCCCGAGGCTGATGAAGGAGCGGCCAACGAGAACTTGGTCGACGTCCAGACCGAGGACCCTGGCAACGATCTGCCGCAGTCGCTGCTCCATCTCATTGTTACTTGGCAGGCCAGCATCTTCCTCATAGGCGCCGGCAAAAGCCATGATCTCGTCAGCAGTCTCGTGGCTCATACTCTCAAGCCAGCTGGCGATATCACGCTTCCCGATCTTGGCAGAGGGTGTCAGGGGTACACGGTAGACCACTGCCCATACGGACGGAACCATATACGACGGAACCTGGGCCTCAAGCCGCATCTTGATGTCGTTGATCTGAAGAGACGCAATAGCTCTGTCGGGTCCGCTGACCAGCTTCAAGATGGCGTTGCTCTCCGCAGTGGTGCTGGCAGTGAAACCGAGAGCCAGGGTGGCCACCAACCTCCCCTTGAACCTGCCCGCGTTGGGATGAATTACAGCGGCGATCCTGACCTGCTCGTGTGCCATGAGATGATGCTCCACCTCGCCGGGCTCGAATCGCTGCCCATGGAGCTTCAGCTGCATGTCCTTGCGCCCGACGAAGCTGATCATGCCGTCCGCCGGGTCGTATCGCACCAGATCGCCCGTCTTGTACATACGGCTGTTTCCCGGCCTCCCGAACTCCTCCAACCAGGCAGCTCCGTGGACAAACACCTCGGCTGTCTTGCCTGGCTGTCCCAGATAGCCTCTTGCGAGCCCAACAGAGTCAAGCAGTAGCTCCCCAACGCACCCAACCGGTGTCAGCAAGTTGTGATTGTGCGGCTCGGCGATCCAGCAACGGCTTCCAGCTCCTTTGCCAATGGCAGTGCAGTCCGAGTCTAGTGTCACACGGTTGTTGAGGGCGGAGACAACAGAACACTCGGACGGTCCGTAGACGTTCATCAGGCGAACTGTATTGGACCAGAACCGATCCGTTTGGGACAAGGCCTCACCGCATAATATAAGCGTCTTGAGGGAAGGGACTTCGTTTCTGGGTAGGAGGCGGCCGACAGAAGGTGTCATCATGGCCCAGTTAACGCCTAGCTCCTGAATGACGTCCACCAACTCGGCCGGGTTGGTTCGGGCCTCGTCACGGGCTAGACACACGCAGCCTCCCTGGGTCAAGGTCGAAAAGGTCTCGACGATGTACGGGTCGAAGCTGTACGCAGCGTGCTGGAGTGAGCGGGACATCTGCGAGATGTGCATTTTGACGGCAAAGGAGGCTGAACATGAGACGAAAGAGCGGTGTTCGGTGATGCTTGCCTTGGGCCTGCCCGTCGTCCCGCTTGTAAAGACGACATACGCCGCGTTCTCCGGCTTGACGATTGGCAAGGCTCTGATAGCGCCAGGGAAGGTCTCGGTCTCGGTCTCAATCTCTGCCTCTGACTCTTCCACGCCTTCACTGATGGACTGCATGGTCGACGCGTCTATCGTTAAAATCGTGCGTCCGTCTCGTCGAAGGAGATCTGAGTACAGCTCAGAAGCGAGGATAAAGTGCGCCTCTGTTATGTCAATCTGGTCCTCAAGTCTTTGTGGAGGATGCGCCGGATCGAGCATGCACATGACGCCGCCCGCCTTGAGAACGGCAAGCTGAGCCATGACTGCCCATGCTGACTTCTCAAAGATGACCGGTACGATTTGCTCCACCCGTACCCCCATGCCATGAACAAGATGCCTTGCTAGCTTGGCCGACATGGCGTCGAGCTGGGCGTACGTGAGGTCAAAGTCCCAGGCACGTATGGCGGGTGCGTTGGGTCTTTGGGTGGCGTTCATGCTAACAATCTCGTGGATGCAGTCCTCGACTATCTTGGGGTCCTCGTGATTCCATTCGCGGATACGCAACTTGTCCTCGGCGCTGCAGAAGTCTAGGGTGCCGAGCGGTGATTCATCCTCGGCGCGGTCAATCAGCTGCTGAACAAGCCAGTCAAAGTGACTTGCTAACCGGGCGGCGTAGGGAACAACTTGGCCGTCATAGGACATCCTGATGGTAAAGCTCTGGTTGTCTTCCTGGAGGAAGCACTCGGCGACGAGGGCGTATACATGGTAGTCGGCGTGGGTGCTGGCGATCATCTTGAGCCCGTCAGGAGGTTCGTTCCAGCCCATCCCATCACTCTTTGTGCTGCTGCTACTTCTTCCGTCCGGAAGATGAACAACAAACAGATTCTGAAAGGCCACATTGCGGCTCACACCGGCCATGTTATGCAGGCCCCAGTGCTCGTACTGGATCATGTCCGCAGCCTGCGCCTGGATATCCTCGAGGAAGCCCGAGATGGGCTGCTCCCTTCCGAGATACACCTTGACCGGCACTGTTGCCAACGTCGGCCCATTGATCCTCTCGACACCGTCTACAGCTGCGCTTCTCCCGGATACGGACGCTCCAAAGATGACGTGTTCCGCGTTGGCGGTGTTGGCGTACCGCCCAGTGACGAGGGCCCACGCGGCTCGGAGGATGGTCGGCGTCGTGATGTGAGCGCCTGCCGATCGGCTTCTCGTGACGCTGATCAGGCGGGAATGAGAGCCACTGATACGTGGGACGTACGTGTTGGTCGGGAGTTGTGGGATCGTTGCTGGAGGGGTGTCGCCGGCGAGCTGGGAAGCCCAGTACGTGGCGCATGCAGCTTCGTCTTTGGAGCTGATATGGGCGATGAAGTGGTTGAACGGAAGGACAGTAGGCAGCTCCTCCTGACGGTAAGCCTTCTGCAGCTGCTCTAGAGTCAGGTTCAGGCTCCATTCGTCGAAGAGTCCATGATGTGCCGTCCACACGAGGCAAGGCTCTTCATCGTCGTCCGCGTTGTCTGCCGGCTCCAGGACAGCGAACCTGTTTAGAGGCGAGCCCCAGGCGAGGGCAATGTCTAGGTCATCGGCAAGGTACTTCTCCTTCGAGCACGCGACGGGATGCAGCCAGGTAATTGACTGATTGAGGACGACCTGCATGTTGCTGGTACCTTCGATGCTCACGAACCTGGTCCGGAGGATCGGGTTTGCTGCAACAACGACTTCCCAAGCACGCTTCAGGCGGTTGAGGTCCACCGTCTTCCGAGGCAATGGGAACACGCCGCGGTGGAGGTAGGCGCCTTGTTTCTCAACCGAGATGGCCATGAGACCTTCTTGGAGGGGAGTGCAGGGATACATATCAAGGATATCATCCGGAGCAATTCGGCATTGGATTGCGGCTGTGGATATCAGCCAGTCGACCGACTTGTCTCCAAGATCCAGGAGTGCGAATGGCTTAATGTCAGCGGGATGAGACGAGATAGCTCCCGATCCCAAATCGTATACTCCCATCTCGGAAGCCATGTCGCAGAGCCTCGGGCGCTTGAAGATGTCCGCCACCGCGATTGCCAGACCGTATTTGCTCCGCGCAATTGACGCGAGTCTCATAGCAGCGAGAGAGTCCCCTCCAAGGCGTGTGAAACTCGTCTTGCGGCCAATCATGTCCGGCTGCACGCCCAGAGTCTCTACCCAGGCTTTTCGAAGCGTCTCCTCCGCCTCGCTTTCAAGCCTTTCTTGAATGGCGCCTCCCGCGAGCGAGTACTGGCGGAAGAGGGTTGCTGGGATCTTTGCAGCATTCCTGCGGAGGGTCCTACGATCCAACTTCCCCGAAGGTGACAATGGGAATGCAGAGAGTGCAATGAAAAGTGTCGGGATCATGTAGGGAGAGAGGACGCTTGCCAATGCGGTCTGCAAGGCCTGGAACTGGACAGTGAGATCTTGCGGAAGTTCCAAGAAGTTATTCTCTCCATGAATGTCCGTCTTTTCTGGCCCATTTCTCCCGTCATCTTCTTCTCCTTTCCCTCGAGCTAGAGTAATGAACGCCGCCAGCGTCTGGCTACCCTTGCGGATCTCCGGCTCGATGACTTCAACCGCCAGAGTCCCCAGGGCGTCGTAGTGGGAGAGCATATGTTGCTCGATCTCGTGAAGCTCTATCCTCTGTCCGTGGAGCTTGGATTGCGTATCCTTCCGACCGATAAACTTGATACTGCCGTCTGAGTTGAGGCGAATGAGATCGCCCGTCTTGTACACACGAGTAGGGACGGCGTCTTCGCCGTGATTCTTAGAACGCTGTTCAACGAGCCACGATGGTGGGTTGACGAAGGCTTGGCGTGTTTTTTCTTCATTGTTCAGATAGCCGTCGGCGAGGTTGAAGCCCTCGATCATCAGCTCGCCAACGCCTCCAATTGGCACAAGGCGCTCAGAGTCTTCCGGGTCGACGACCCAGCATATGCAGCCCGCTTGATGGCCAATATTAGTCGGATCAGCGGATATGTAGTTGTTCACGGCTGTGCTGACGCCGCACTCGCTTGGCCCGTACGCGTTCATCAGCCTTACGTGCCCCTTCCACTGCGCAATATCCAACCGGGCCATGGGCTCACCGCAGAGGACGAGAGCCTTTACACCCGGGATGTCAGCCGGCGCGACGAGACGGGCGACAGTCGGTGTTAGGATAGCGAAATTGACCTGCGTCTCGTTTATCATGTCTGTGATGCCGTCGGTCCTCTGTCTCTCGCTGGGAACACAGACGCAGCCTCCGAAAAAGAGGGGCATGATAATCTCGGCTATGCTCGCGTCGAAAGAGTACGAGGCGTACTGCAGCATGCGGGAGCTGCGCGAGAGCTGGAGTCGTCTTCCTTGGGCCTGGGCTGCAGTGCAGAAGGCTGAATGGCTAGTGACGATGCCTTTGGGCTGGCCCGTCGTTGCGCTGGTGAATATGATATACGCTGGGTCGAGAGGGGTAACGACGTGGATTGGAGAACTGTGAGTCTCGCTCAGATCGTCTTTCAGACAGTTTGGACATGACATGACCTGAGCCATGACACTGTCGTCAACAAGGAAGATTTTGACACCGAGTACAGCGACCAGGTCGTTAAGAAGCATGGATTCCTTCTTGCTGGCTAAGACGAACCGAGCCTGCGTGTCTTTGACGATGCCCATCGTTCTATCAGCCGACACGTGCTTGGGATCCAGGAGAAGGAATGAGCCACCAGCCTTCAGGACGGCCAGCATGCTGATGACTGCCCAAGCAGACTTCTCGAAGCACAAAGGCACGGTAGAGCCAACTCCGATTCCGAGATGTGCGAGGTGACGAGCAAGTCGCGTAGTAGTGTCTTCTAGCTCCTCGTACGTGTAGCTCCCGTCCCAAGACTCGACAGCTGGGGCAGCAGGATATGCAGCTACATTCAAGGAAATAATGTCGTGGATGCATTCGTCGACTCGTGGAGGGACGGTCTCATTCCACGCCCAGAGCTGCTTCTGCTGACCACTGCCAACAAGATGCATCTCCCGCGCGGTGATGGTTGCTGATGATGAAGAGTGGAGCAGAGATGTTAAGGCTGCCGAGAATGCATCAACCAGATGTTGAGCTTGACCGGGACAGACGGAGGACGTCCAGTGAGCGAGTGCCACTTCGAGGCTGTCACTGGTGACGTGAATGTCGATGATGGCGTTGTATTCGGTTGGTTCGTGTATATACACTGGCTCTAGTGCAAGCAATGCTTCGGAAAGAGCGACACGTGGTTGATGAACCTGGAAGTTCAGGATAGTATTGAACAGTGCTTGTTGTCGTTGCTGCTGGAGCCGGCCGCTGCCGGGCCCTAGCATGAGGTTTCGCTGGACGTGGGCGAGAGAGCAGTATTGGTACTGGAGATCCCGGAGCGAGTCATCCTGAATGCCGCGGAGTACGGCATCGAGCGTATCGGAGAGATCGCAGCGGCAGGCAAGAATATTGACAAACGCGCCAATAGCATTCTCCTTGATGATTCGCGAGCGGTCATCGTCGGCGTCGAGGTCATCGCGACCGGAGACGAGATAGCCGAAGCACGGGTTGTCGGAGCCGGTATAGGCCCGGAGTACGAGCGACCAGGCAAGCTTGAACACTGTGGGCAGGGTGATATTGCGTGACTGGCAAAAAGCATTCAGAGAGTCGAGAGAGGGTAGAGATTTAGCCTGGGTGACTTGGAGAGACCCATCCTGCACAACTCCGTCGTCGAGGACGGGCAAGTGACACGGCTGAATATGTTTGAGAACATTTGCCCAATACTCTAGCTCCTTGGTTGAATCACGTCCTTGTGTAAAGGAGACCAGCTCGCGGTAAGCCGGTGCCTCTGGGAGTTGTTCCCCGCCATGGTAGAGACTGATGAAGTCCCGGACAAGGATGTCACCCGAAGCCCCGTCAATGAAGGCATGGTTGATGTCGATTCTAATGAACCTGCTCCCATCGCTGACATCAATAATGGTCAGCCTATGAGGAGGGAGTGCATCCCGAACAGGGAGGCTCAGCGGCTCTCTTAGGACAGCGTCAAGTTCACTGACCAGACAAGTCAACTTCAGAATTCTGGGCTCTACCATTTTGAGGACAACTTGGCAGAAGGCGCCGTCGCGGGAGACCATGTCGGGTATAAATATTGTCCGAAGGGCAGAGTGACGCTGGATAAGCTTGATCCAAGCTTCTTCAAGGCGCTGTAGGTCGATGGAGTGAGAGCGAGACACCGGAGCTACCTGAAAGACAGTAAAGCACTGGTACAGACTGGGCTCCTTAGCCTGACTGAGCAGGAGGCCTGTCTGCATGGGCGATGTGTCATAAACATCTTCAACGTTGTTCAGTGACACGCCCAGCTCGGGAAGAATTGAGGAAAAGAGGTTGTCGAGACCATCATATCCAGTCGTGAGGAGTGGGAAGTCACTGAGCGTGTAAGAATGTCGGGCTTGGGCGAGTACAGATACGAAGGCATGCAGACCCTCCTCGCACTTTTGAACCCATGTTGCAATGGCGGCTTGGTGCTTCATGCTTTTGTTATACTCAAACTTGAGCCGGAGACAGCCCCGGACAATTTCGGCCGTGATTTCGAAGAGACCGGGGCGGTGAAACTCGGGCCCAATGTCGTACTCTTCTGGAAAGAAGATTTCTTGCTCAAACAGCCCGTCAGGTCTCTCCAACTGTTGGTAGAGACCCAGAAAGTCGAAGACAATCTCGGGTGTAGGTGCTGAGGAACCGAAAGCCTTCACGCCGTCTGGGTGAAGGAAACGCGACGCAAAGTACGACCAGCCGTTACTTGGGACACATCTTTGGGCGTCTTTGACGCGCCTAAGCGTGCCAAGTAGATCATCTTTTATGGGATTTGTTTCAGTAAGGATGGGATACATGGTCGTAAACCAGCCGACAGTTGAGGAGATGTCGATGGAGTCATCCCAAGGCTCTCGCCCGTGCGACTCGCGGAAGACGATTGGTGGCTGGCGGTCGTAAAAGACCTCGGCGAAAGAGTGTATGACAGCAGAGAGAAACAAATCGACTGGTTCAGTGCGCAGAGCCTCGTGTAGCTTTGGTCCCATGAGGAGGGACGTCGTGGGCGAGTCTAGATTTACGACTGACCTGGTAACGTTGCCGAACTTGTTCTCTCTGTTCTCCACCCCCCAGTAATCCAGATTTGGAGGTGTCAATCGATTGTGGCGAGGGAGAGCGACTCTAGGAGACAATAGTCTGCTCGCGTAGTCCGCTTGGAGTCTACACCATACCTGCCAGGAAAGGGACCTCTGAGGCCGGAGGGCGCCAACGCCGTCTTGCAGGACGACTTCCAGCTCCCGGATTATAATCCTCCAGGATACGAGATCAATGATGGCGTGGTGGGCGATCATGGACAGCAGCTGGCCCTGGGGCTCGTTGATGAGGTCGACGACGAAGCCAGGTCCACTGAAGACGTCAATAGCACACTGGCTACTGAGGATGATGGCGTCTATCTCTTCATGGTCAGAGATCCGGTGCTCTCTCAAGAGGAAGGTGTTTTCAGTAGACTCTGGGATCATTTGCCGCCATCTGGCACCAGGCAAGGGCGAAGCTGGCTGAACAAATCGGCACCGGAGGATGGCATGTCTCTCAGCCATCAAGTCCAATGCTTGTTCCATGTCCCCCACTGACAATGGGCGTTTCACACGCAGCTGAAAGCTCTGATTGAATCGGTTGCTTCCTCCTGCCAGCGTACACTCCGGCTCCCACTGGAAGTAGAGCTGTTGGATGGGTGAGAGATCGAAGGGCACACCGAGCGAGTCTCTGTCTTCCGGAAGAATCGTATCGACCTGGGCGTCGGCTAATTTGGCACAAGATGCAAGCCAACTGATAGATCTGGAGCGCAGGATATCGTGCGTGCTTAGGACTATGTTCTCAGCTAAGCACTGAGACTTGAGATGGAGAGCTGAGATGGAGTCGCCGCCGAGGTTGATAAAGCTCTTCCCTGGCGAGATAGATTCGAAGGGTAGATTCAACACAAGTCCGATTTGGCGACGAATCGTATCCGTGATTGGATTTAACCCCTCGGCAAGAGAAGTGATCTCTTCCCTCTCGTCCTGGTCTAGGAAGCACTCAATTCTATCCGTGGCCGGCGTGTCCATTGCATTGATCCATTCTTTGACGTTGCGTCTGTCGATCTTGCCTGAAGGTCTCAAGGGAAAAGATTGAAGCACAAACCAACTTGAGGGAATCATGTACCCTGGCAGTCTTAGCCTAAGGAGATCTCTCATGCCTCGGATGGACTGGCGAAGTTGACCCAGCTCTGACTCTGGTTGCGAGGCCCCGAACTCGACAGCACTCAAGGCCACATCTGACTCGGTCGTCTCCATGCTTACATGGGATACTACCGCCACGAGGCGATCCTTTCGGGCCCCATGTTCAGGCACAACGGCCACGGCGAGCCTGACGCCACGGTCCGCACATAGATGCTGCTCAACAGCACCGAGCTCGACACGCATCCCTCTGACCTTGACCTGGGCGTCTTTCCTCCCAAGGAAGACGACCGAGCCGTCCATCATTCGCCGCACGATGTCCCCAGTCAGATAGATCCTCCGACTGTGCGAGGCCGGGAACTCTGATGACCATTCCGGGGAGTCGACAAACGCCCTGGCCGTCTGCTCGTCGTCGCCGAGATATCCCCGGCCCAGGTGAGGCCCTTCTATGGCGAGCTCTCCAACCGCCCCGACGGGAACCAAATGGTGGTGGTTCGCGGGGGAGACGACCCAGAACAGTCCGCCGACAGGCCACCCGAAGTTGGCCGCCTCAATGGGCGAGACGTCGCTCGGATCCGGGGAGCGCATCAGACGGACTGCCGAGGCAACGCAGCACTCACTTGGGCCGTAGCCATTTATCAGCCGGACTCTACCTGCCCACGTCTCGATGTCGACCTCAGCCGGCGCCTCTCCCATAAGGACCAAGGTCCCAAGGCCGGGGAGCACGTCGTCCGGCCGGATGGTCTTGACAAGTGACGGCGTGAGATAGGCCCAGTTCACGCCAAAGTCCCGGATGATGCCAGCGAGCCCCTTTTCCTCTCGAGTCTCCTCGTCGGGCGTGCATACACAACCACCGCACAGCAAGGTTGTCAGATTCTCATAGATACTAGTATCGAAGGAGTATGACGCGGCCTGGAGAATGCGGCTCGAAGAGTCCATTCCTGTCGCGTGAATGAAGTCAAGGGACGTAGACAGGTATCCGGAATGCTCGACGCAGACGCCCTTGGGCTCACCTGAGCTACCGGAGGTGAAGACGACGTATAGAAGGCTCGATGGCTTGACCGAGGTCTGAGGAGGAGCTATGCTGCGTGGTCGAGGCAGTGCGGCGATCGATTCAGGGGTCACTTCGTGGATGACGAGAGGACTGCCGTCATTGTCACCCTCGTCGCCACTCCATATGGCACGGCACGAAGCGGAACAAAGAAGGAGTCTAGCACCGGTTCGCTGGATCGTCGCCCGCAAGGTGTCGGTAGGGAACGAAGGATCTAGCAGCGTAAAAGCGGCCCCAGCCTTGACGACAGCCAGCATGGCGACAGTGGCCCAGGCCGACTTGCCGAAGCAGAGGGGCACGACCGACTCTGGCCCGATGCACTCGCGAACAAGAAAGTGTGCTAGAATGTTGGAGGCCTTGTCAAGTTCGCGGTAGGTTAGCGAGGCGTCCGAGGCGTAGACGGCGGGCGAGTTCGGGCTCGATGTAGCGTTCCTAGCGATGTACTCGTGGATGAGGCCACTAACGGGAGGCGGACAGGTATGATTCCACGAAAGGGTCTTCTGCAGGTCTTCCGAGCTCATCCCTATTTTTCGCAGATGGCTGAGGGGCGAGTCGGGATTGGAGATGAGGTGGGAGGCGATGGCCCGATAGTTGGCGGCGATGAGAGACGCAGCCTCCTCAGAGAGGTGTGAGCGAGAGAATCGGAGGCTGAACGACATTGAATGCGCTGATGAGTATGAAGATGGCTCAAGCACGACTAAAGCCAGGTCGATGCCTTCAAGATGGGCTAGGTGAAGATCTTCTCCCGGGACGGCCAGAAAACATACTGCCGTGTTGAACTGAGATCGACCGGGTCGTCCAGCGTGCCGAAGAAGTTCGGAAGTCGAAGAACATTGATGACTGACGGTAGCCTCCAATGATGCTCTACAGTCAAGCATCAGGGAAGATGCGTCCCCATCTTCTACAACCTGGACCGTACATGCCGCACAAGACAGAGAATGGCGATATTCTTCTGTCGTTGGAGTTCGAGTGGGATCCTGCCGGATCACGCCGAAGCTGGCTTGATTGCCTCCAAGGTAGAGATTGAGGAGGATCGACCATGCAGCCAAGTGAGCGCTGACGACGTCGACAGACTCATGGGTGGCGCGCGGCACATCAAAGTCGACCTTGCAGGCCAGCTGTGAGCCCTGATCTTTGCTTAGGAGGTCATTTCCAAGCCTAGGAAAGATACAGGGGGCTCGTTCGAGCGATTGAGCACACCAAGAGGGATGTTCCAAATTCCCTGGTTCATTGTTGCCAGCCATGTTTCAAGAGCAGCTGGAGACTGGAGAGCTTAGCGCTGGGACTGCACAATGGTGATGAGGGTATCGATGGAGTTCGCGGTACTGAATTCCGACGAGAACTTGCTCGAGCTAGCTTTTGGGGGAGACATGCCCTGCACCTTATTACCTAGAGAAAGGCGGTTGCCCATAGGGTGGTAGTCGGAGGGTTCCGCAGCCTGGGACTGGATACGCATTCGGCATCTGCAAATCAAATCCAGACAAGTCAGCAGCATTGCCGAAGATGGCTAGAATCCTGCTTCTGTGAGAGCTGAACAATTATCGACACGTCATATGACGCCACGTGCCAATAGAGGGTTTCAGACGCATGCAAGCGTCCGACGATGTAGCCTGCAGAGAGGGGGTATGAGACACAATGCAGAATGTAGAGCAACTGGGCCTCGGACTAGCTAGACATACACAACTACGAAGCTAACTCGCCCTTGTCACACTCCTAAACGACGGCCAGTTGCAATAAATATGCTGGACAGCGTCGTAAAGGTCTACTTTAGTTGGAACTCACTCTAAAAGGACATACCCCACAGAACAGTCACAATTTTATCAAGTGAGACCTGTAATTATCGATCAAACTCAGTTTAGCATATATAGTACTGGAGTTGCTCAAGGTGCAGCAAACCCTCCGTTCGACACCTCCGTACAGTTATCAATACGATACTACTAGCTATCTAGGCAGAAAGTGACAATCTTCCGACATACTGCTTTGCCTCTTCCCCCTTTCCTGAGCGGGTCCGCAAGAAGGACCACTGATCCAAGCTATAGATACGTCCCCTACTTCTTATGGGCGTCGAGGTGCTTGACAACGTGCTGAGTATCGATGTAGGCCTTGACCGCATCGATTTTGCCCTCAGGGGTGAAGTGGATCAGACCGACAGTCTCGTGGTTCCATGGCTCGCCTACAAATCGTCGGGTGTGAGCAAACCGCAAGAATAAGTTCTGTTTCACACACAGTCACCTACCAGAGTGAGTCGTCGCCTTGCTACCCAGGATAGCAACAGCCCAGTCATCGTCGCCGCCACCGATGATGTGAGGAGGCAGAGCCTCGACGGGGTGGTCGGTGTTGATGATGTCGGTCAGAGGGGGGACATCGGGATGCGCGCTGCTCGCGCTCAGGGCCTCCGAGCCATGGATATCAATACCCAGACCGGGGATAGAGATGTGGATGTTGTCAGTGAAGAGGTCCTCGAGGCCGCCGAAATGGAGGAGCGAGCCCGGGTCGTCCTTCTGGACGTGCTTGTGCAGAGGGTTCTGCTGGAGGAGGGCCGCGATCTGATCTTTGGTGGGAGCCATGATTGGAAGTGAAGAGAAGAATGGTTTGTAAAAGTGAAGAGTGTTCAAGGGATAGCTGAGTTGTATTGAGAATTTCTTGCAGGGTTGGTGTCTCACATAAAAGGAAGGATTCGATCGAGGCAGTCTCCTGGTCTTTATAGCTTCTGGCGCGCTCGTTTGCGTCATCCCCTCCTCCCTCTTGATATCAATCTTTGCGTTGATCTCTCCTCAGGCATCAATGCCGCTCTCCTGGCCCTTCCTCTCATCAGATCGACCAATTCCAGACCCAATCCGTTGCATCCGAAGATGCAACAACTCAACGGAATGACCTGAGGACAAGCTCACGCGCTCTTCTCATAGGCCACGACGCTTCCTGATGGTGGTGGTGTATATTGTTTTGACGCCTGAATGTGCATGCCGTGCGCTCGCTGCCTAGACTATTGAGGAGTTGTTGCAACGGCAACCTATAGGCAACCAGGAGCTCTCTACACCGATGCGGAGCTGCTGCGCGCTCGTGATGGAGGCGTCCTGGTGAGGTGCGTGGTTGGGAAGAAGCAGCACTGCCTCTCGTGCACCTCGGTGAAGCTATCGAATTGTGATTCCCTAGCTGCAGGATGTAAGCCGTACGTATCCTGGCTAGAATAGGCAATGAGCTGCATGCTAGCTACATTCCAGCTGAGTAGTGGCGAGCTGAAGCTTCGGCCTGCAGGCGGGGAACAAGTCGTCACATCTGTCGTCATATTCACTCTACCTTTTTATTGGTATTCCTTTCCATTACGCCCGGTATTACTAGTTACAGCCAATACAAGGTAGGACGCATAGGAGACCCTAGTCTTTCATGTTAGTTCTATTTGATTCTAACCCCGAGGCATATTGGAATAATCACATGTTTCCTCTCGGAAGTGCGATGGATCGGTAATTGTGCAAATCACCTATCGGATCGAGTAATGCCCATGTAGCTCACGCACATTCATAGTATATACGACGGTGGAGAGCAATATATGACATCACACATCTTGTGCCGCAAACGACACACCGCGTCCCTAATCCTAATCAAGACAACAACGCACGATTCAGCTTATCTTTGTCGCCCGAGCCTCCTCAAACCGTATGCTCACCCCCATGGGCAATTCCCACAAGACAATCAAACATCAGCTACTGAGACAAGACGCCTGCTCTTGTCGTCGGACATATTTATGAAAGTTATGCGATGCGCCCCTCCCGCAGCCCCCGCTTTCCCCCGCCCCCGCTTCATACCCACTTGGCTCCCGTCAATCCTCGATGGAGTTAGTAAAAGTTGACAGTTAACGGGCACATGGAATACATTAGCGAAGCTATAGCAGTTCCGGATATTCGGGACATGTTTCACTGCTAGAACTGTTGTGACGGGTCACGAGTCATTCCATCCTGCCGACCGTTTGACAACGCTCATACACATATGCTATTGCAACCCATTTTTAAAAAGGATCGTCCACCCTTCCAAAAGCACCCCCCGTGGGCACGAACTAAAGAAGCAAGAATTCAGGCTAGCCAGATCAGGTCATAATATTCTTGTACTAGGGGGGGCCTCGAAAGCGCCCTCCCTGTGTGACTCGTTCCTTTTACACGGGGGGTCGTTGTGTAGGAAAAGTAGTTTGATTCGGAAAATCAAGATACATTGCTCGTTTAGTAGATTGTATGGGAGAAAATGTCACTTGTTTATGAAAATTTGCGTCAGTACCCCGCGTACAAGCCCTGTAATATTTATGTGTAGGAAGAACGAATCACATGGAGGACTACTTTTGAGGCCCCCAAGTACCCCTTGGCCTGGCATGCAGCCACACTCGTTGACCTTTCAGCTCTCCTCATGCTCCAAGCTTTTCCCCAAATGAAAGGGTCCATACTCCGTATATGCAGCTGCAATGCGAAAGTCTATTCTGCCAATATATTTCGACATAAAATGGCTCATGATCATACAGTACGTTGGATTCGTACCGTCTAGAAGCTTGTTAGGTACTACGAATGTTGGTCAAAGCATATGCAAGTAATCCGGTCAAAGAGCATACAAGGGGTACCAAATAGGACCATGAGTCAACGGATAGGAGCTGACGGGTATTCCCTTCACATAACAGCTCAACCTAAACTGAGGCCGAAAGATCTGGAACTGAGTCGTCGAGTAGAAGTGGCTATCCGTAATACTGATTCAATTTTGGAGAAGATTGCCCTCCTGTGCGCTTCGACGTAAACCGTTGCGTGGCTTGGATGCCATGACAAGATTACGTTTGCAGCACTGCAGGGTATTGTGTTCGGTTTTTATTGGACAGAAAAAGAAGCTGAATTAACTTGCGTGTGACGATCCGTGGCTATCCTAGGGGTATAGGGTAGGCGAGGAGGGTGTTCGGTACTTGATCGGAGTGTGATCAGGTCGTCAACGTTGAGTAATGTAGGTCACAGTCTGGTAATGTGTTAAAGGCAGTTTGATGTAACGAAGTGTGTTGATAGCTAAGGAGCTTAAGGCTCGTAGATTAGTGCTAAAGGAGTGCATATAGATGGTGTAGTTGGAAGTCAAACGGTGTCGAACAGAGCCCGTTCGACATACATAAAATAGCGTAGAGTCGAACGGTGTCGAATAGAGCCCGTTCGATATACATAACGAGGTGACTGTGATTGGAGGGCTGCATAACTACACAGATGGGTGAAAGGTGGGTATTATTACTGTTGGTTGTAACTGCCTGGTCTTAACATGGGCTGTAATATTACGCTTGAGTTCTTCTATTTTCTTTTTGTTATTTATTACCGAAATTATCTTATTTAGTTTACTACTTTTAATTAGATCTTTTTCTAAAATACTTTTTTCTATTAAAAAGAAATTTAATTAGCTAATAGTAAATATAATACAATTTATTAATATATTAACTGTAATATCTTAATAATATAGTAGTTAGTATTTTAAAGCTTTTTATATTTTTATAGATGTTATTAATTTAAATCTAGCTGAAGGTAAATTCTCAATTTTAAGTAAATATAAAAAATCTATATCTTTCTTATAATAAATTAAGGGGTTTTATACTTATAATATAGCTTAAAACTTAAATATTATTTAATTAAATTTAAAGTAATTTATTTAAAATTAATATAAAAATTAATTATTAGTATATATAAATTAATAAAGCTTAAATTAAATAAAATATAGAGTTTTTTATTTATTTTAGGAGTTTTGTAATATTTTAATTTTCTTTAGATATTATTATACTTTTTATATTATTAAAAATATATTTAAAAAAAAGATAATATACATAATAAGTAAATGTCCCAAATAAGTAAATGTCCCAAAAATCCTAACCTCTAAAGTTAAAACCTCAATAAAACCACAACAATATAATTAATTAATTAAAACTAATTGCTATACTCTTCTCTAGAGGTCTCAATTATAGCCTGACAGGTCCTTGTATTATGACCAGCCTTTCCACATGTTCCACAGCGCCTTTCCCTCGGCGGCGCCGACCTTCGTCGACCACTACTTCTCGATGATTCAGCCACTACCTGCGCATTAACGTCTCTCTGATCTATCTCATCCCTTCCCTCATCTAGAGTCATCTTCCCTCTATTCTATAGGCGGGTTCTTTTCACTCTGCGCCGCTTACTAAGGGTCTCATTTGCCTGTCGAAGGATCTAGTTCTCAGACTTCAATAATACTATCTGATGCATTATTGCCTTTATTCCCTTAGAAAATGACTCGAGCGCCTCAAGGATAGATGTCGGAGAGCTGCTTTGATGCCTCCTAACTCGTCTTTTAAGGTATTCGGACTGCGAGCTGGCCTCAAGGACTGTCTTTGGGGTCTTTGAGACCCAAGGGTCAGGGAGGCTGACCTCCTCCTCAACCGGTGTTGGAGTCCGTAGCTGCACATCAAGCTTTGATATGACATTTTCTGAGTCTAAAGGAGCAAGTCCGGCCCCTCGAAAACCCCCTTTGATATTGCTCTCCGTCATGGCGGCTTGGTGGGCGGCATAAAAGGCCGGAAAGAACTCAGTCTTTGAAACGTGGGTTATAGAGCATCTGATCAACTGCTCAATTTCTTGACCGTAGGCTTTTTTAAGCGGCCCAAAGCACCCGACATCAAGAGGCTGAAGTAGATAAGACAAATGAGGTGGCATACAAAGTGTAATAATATCGTTCTATTCACAATATTTCTCAAAGTTGACTGAGTAGTAACTTTCGTGCCCATCGAGGATCAGAAGACGATAGCGACCGGTCGATCGATTCTTTGTGTGCCGGTCAAAGTGCTTGAGCCACTCAAGACCTGTCTCATTGTCGGTCCAGCCATTTTGAGTCGTCGCAATAGCCCAATCGCCCGGGAGGTTGCTTTCCCGGTACCAGCTGGCGAGGTGATATTGGCCCGCAACCACGATAAACGGCTGGATCGCCCAGCCTTCCGCATTAATCGCCTGAATGACTGTAACCCATTCCCGATTTCCAGGCTGCACTGATTTCGGGTTTCCACGCCTATCTGCACCTGTAACGACCATTCCGCTTGCAATTATGCCCATCATAAAGCCGGTCTCATCAAAGTTGTAGATATCGGCTAGGTCGATACCATATTTCGCGATTGTATTCTCCACAAGCCGGAACCAATTGCGAATAATGGTTGGATCTTCGCATTTGGCCCTCTAATAGTTGTATTTACGAAAAAAACGCGTCTTGAGCTCTAATTGTCGCCTGACGAAGTTAGAAGCCCAGCGCTTGCCGACAGGTAACGCGTCGCGGTCAGCGAGCAGTCGGTTAGCCATTTCTTCAACACCACGCAGTCGCGGGGGAAACCCTCGCGAATCTAGGTCGAGAATGAATTGAACAATAATCTGTTCCTCTAGATCGGATAGCTTACGTAACTTAGGGATAATATCGCGTCGAGACTGCATGCCTTTCTGGCGGCGCCCTAGCCTTTTATTGCAGACATGGTAGATTGATGCAGTGCGTCGGATGCTTAATGATGGATTGTTTTGAAGGGCTTGAAGAGCAAGAAGGATATTAGCCTCTTTATTAAATTGAGATATGTTTGGTGGTGGTAAATTAATTGATCAAATGGAAGAAAGAGAGATTGAGGGATTTTGGGACATTCGCTTGTCTGGGACATTCGCTTATCATGTACGTTATTTTTAAACTTAAAAGATATTTTTTTAAGAAAAAAATTAATATTTCTTTTTAAGCAAAATAAAAATAATAATATAATAAACCAGCTATTCTTTCCTTAAAAACTGTTCCATATTTACTAACATCGCCCCTATTATTATTTTTCTTGCATTTTAACCTTGCGTCTCTCAAAGGGAAGAAGAGCTCATGGAACAATCAATCGAAATAGATGGAACACATTAGGTGTTGTTCGCGGGCTGCTTGTAATCCTTGCCATTGATGGTTGTGGTAAGTGTGCCATTTGCGTTGAAATAATTCGTCAGCACGTCAATCCTCAAGTGGAAACCATCAGGACTGGTCTTTTTGGTAGCGAGGTATTCATCTTCACCTGTCTGCACTAGGTCCGAGTACCAGTCAACGACGTTGACGGTTGGAGAAAGTGACCGAGAAGTGACGTTCTCCCATCCATTAATAAAGGACGTTCCATCGTCCGAGAAATTGTGGTATATCGCAGCAACAGTGCCAATCGGAGCGGAAGGGTCGCCCTCTCGGTTGACGAAGCTAACGTCGGCAAAACCTGCGAATTTGCCCTTGAGAGTGTATTCGCCAGCAGCTGGCTCACCACGGCCTTTTGGGAGACTGCCCGGGATGTAAGGTTCACCCCACGGGATCTCATCAGATACTTTCGTGACGGGAGGGAGCTTCTTGGGTGCCCGACTAATCAACTTAGCCAGCATCAGACGGTAGGTCCTGGCCCCAGGTGCTTTGGAAGGGTAACATAGCAGAGAGTTGTCTCCACCACATTCGGGAGAGATGGTCTGAGCCTGCCAGTACACAATCTCATTTCCGTAGGGGCTCCATCTGGGCTCGGCCATTGCATTCCATTCAGGGTCGTCGATATCACCACTGCCGGGTACGCCGCGTCCAGGCCCGTTGATCTTCTGGCCAAAGTATTCACCACGGTCACCATAGTGATCGAGAAGGAACGGCTGGAAGAAGCGTCGGGGGCCGTTGTTGCGCGTTGCTGTGGTCACGCTGGTACTGACCAAGTCGGTTACAGGCGGGATCCCGCGCATCCCGGCCATGAACATTTGGCGGCCGGAGCCACGCGTATCCTCAATGACAAACCATTTATCATCGGGAGAAACATGGATCGGATCGACGTATTCTGGGTGGCTGGTTAAGCGGCGGATGTTGCCAGTCTTCAGGTGAATGGTAAAAACGTCAATATTGGAAGACTCCCAAGGGTAGCCTACGTAGATGGCCTCGTATCCCCTGCCGGAGAAGCCACGGAGCTCACCAACAGTAATGGCGTCGCGGTTGACTTCAAGCTCGTCTCCATTGACCGAGAGGGGGGCAACACCGTCCGGATCAATAAGGCGAGTTACGCTGACGAGGTCGTAGCGGGGGACCAGAGGCAAGCCTGTCTTGGGCGATGGGTTGAACTGGAGCCTGGAGAAATATGCCGCCTGACCTAGCTTTCCGTTGCTGTTATAGAAGGAGCTGAAGCCAAGATGGACGCTGTCGGGATGGAGACGGAGCTCGCGAATGTCGCCTCCCTCGCCACCTTTGGTAGATGCTTCCCAGCGGATGGGATACATAAAGGTGACTTTTGGGGTGCACTTGGGGCTTGTGAGATGGTGCTTGCCGCAATCAATGATGTTGTCGCCGGCGAGAATACGCTTCCCGTCGTTGAAGGCCTGCGGATAGTCGAGGAGCTCTGTCCTGTTTTTGGCGTTGGCCGCAGGGATCCCGCAGGTGAGACACTTCCAAGTGTCGCCGTTGGGAAACTTCTTATTATCCGTCTTCACGATGATGATCTGCTCCCCGCTGAAGATGGCCGCAGGATCTGGGGCGTTGGGGGCTCCCACAAAGGTGACCATGGTCAGGACATGCTTGCCGTCAGGAAGAAAGTCGCCTTGTGCGAGGATGCCAATGGTGTCACGGGTGGAACCGCCTCCTTTCTGTGCAATACAGCCGGTGCCACGCGGGTTGACGTCCGAGTTGCAAGAACCCGGGGCCGTATTGGGTGAAACGGGAGGCAATGGCAGCTCGACGACCTCGATGGGCTCAGGCTTGGGCGGTGCCGGCACAGCAGCTGATGCTGATGCAATAACCACACCAGCCAGTAGGGCGCGGCCTACAGAGAGGATTCGAGCCATGACACTGGAATCAAGGGGGATAAAGAGTTACTGAAGCTAGAAGCTTGATTGTGTCGGTACGAGTACATGTGGTAGTGAATCTACAGAAACCTGGGCTTCCATGGCGGCTTTATAGACGAGTTATCCTGCTCCAACCCACAAGAGACCGGCTTGTACGAAGACATGTTTGCAGGTCACCATGACTGTTCTAGAAGCTTAGCATTGCGTTGCCAATTAGAAAGCAGTAGTCTCAATGCGGAGGGCCCATCCCGCGGAGTCTGATCCTGGGGTTGATGCGGGGAGGCAATTCGGATCACCTCATGGGCTGACGGAGGCTATACGCGTATAGGTACTTAACAGTCAATGGCCAATGGCCTCATTTTTACGGTATGGCCTCGGAGCTATGTCCTGAACAAGGAAGGCTGGGAATACTACTGCGTCCGTCATTCGTGTTCATCATTTGGCGGGGCCATTTTACTTGTTGATCCAGTACGGCGGCACAGCCACAGCAATGGGGAGGATTTTCGCCCCTGCCTCCCTCTCATCAAGTTTTGGCGCCGGAGGTTTTTTAGCGCCGGAGGTTTTTGATTCAGGAGGTTATTCATTCTGGGGTTGACCCGGAGGTTACTTACCACCCAACACAGCGCGGTCGGGCTGATCTAAAAGGCAGCAAATAATTAGAGCACTCTTAAAACAAAAGCCAATAAAATTCCAAGGACATCACAGCTCTTGATGTCGTACCAGGAGCCAGAACCCGTTGATTTTTAACGAGGCACCGTCGGTATAAGAACAAATCATCATCTCTCCCCTCCCCTCCCATCTCATTACGGTTGGCGTCAAAGTCTGGCTCCTCTACCATTTGCATCTTTTCGGAGTCGACCTGCAACATGTCGGAGGAGGCAAGCATGTGGGCTCAGGCTGAGCAGGCCACCTTCTCTCAGCTCTCAGGGTCCAACTTTGCTGTAAAGAACCTCAGACTTCCCGCAGATTTCGTATGGGGTGCTGCTACCGCCGCTTACCAGATCGAAGGGGCCGCTGCCCAGGATGGCAAAGGCAAGTCGATCTGGGATACATTCTCGCATCTCAATCCGTCGCGGACCAACGGTGAGAATGCCGATGTTGCCTGCGACCACTACAGCCGATTTCATGAAGACGTCAAGCTGATGAAATCACTTGGCATGGAAACCTACCGCTTCTCTATCGCCTGGTCTCGGGTCATCCCCCTGGGCGGCCGCAATGATCCTGTCAACGACGCTGGTATTGCCTTCTACAACCGCCTGATTGATGCCCTACTGGCCAACGGTATCACACCTTCAGTCACTCTCTATCACTGGGATGCCCCCCAGGCGTTATATGACCGGTACAGAGCGTTCCTCAACACGACCGAATTCCAGGCGGATTTCAAGAGATATGCGCGCCTGTGTTTTTCGCACTTCGGTGACCGTGTTAAATCCTGGGTCACCTTCAACGAGCCCTACATCATTTCCATTTTCGGACACCTCAATGGAAGCCTTGCTCCCGGGCACTGCGCGGAGGCTGGAACCGATACCAAGACAGAGCCTTGGCGAGTTGGACACACCATCATTCTTTCCCACGCTGCGGTTGTCGACCTGTACGCGAAAGAGTTTCAGTCTTTGCAGAAGGGAAAGATCTCCATCGTCCTCAACGGCCACTTCTATGAGCCTTATGACGCGACCAATCAGGCAGACATCGACGCTGCCCAGAGGCGCCTTGAGTTTTATATCGGTTGGTTCGGCGACCCGATCTTTTTGGGTAAAGATTACCCGTCTCCTATGAGGGAATATCTTGGTGCCCGGTTACCGAGTTTCACACACAAGGATTTTCAGCTCCTTCAAGCCACATGCTCTATCAATGCCTTCTATGGCATGAACCATTATTCAACAAAATTCGCTCGTCAACTTACGGAGCCAGCAGCCCAAGACGATTGGACATGTAATATTGAAGAGTCGTCTATAAATAGCAAAGGCGAAGAGATTGGGCCCGCGTCAAGCATGCCATGGTTACGGGTGGCTCCGAACGGGTTCCGAAAGCTGCTCTCCTGGGTCTGGGACAGGTATCGCCTCCCTATCATGGTGACTGAGAACGGCTGCCCATGCCCTGGCGAGAGTGATGTCAAGATTGCGGTTGACGACCGATTCAGACAGAGATACCTAGGTCTATACCTGGACTCCATCTCCCAAGCAATCTACGAGGACGGCGTCAAGGTCGAGGGCTACTATGTCTGGTCTCTTTTGGACAATTTTGGTGAGCATACCCATTATAATTTACGGCACGTTTCTCGGGCGCCAACTGATGTATTCTGTAGAATGGTCTTCCGGCTATGGTCCACGATACGGAATCGTCCACGTCAACTTCGTCAATTTAAAGAGAGCTCCTAAAAATTCGGCTTACTACCTCCAAGAGACCTTCAAAAATCGCAGAAAGCCGGAGGGTGAAGTGCAAAGCAAGCAGACTTGTGCGACTTGATATGTTGATGAATGTGAGTCAACTCTGCCGCCGCGCTACAACATTTCTTGACGCAGAGCATCAGACGCCTTGGAATCCAATCGAGATAGGATGTCCAGCACTATCATGAAGTCACCGCGGGCCCTGGGCGCAAGTGTCGACGGCTCTTGGATGATGGCCAGCAAACTGGTGCCGACCAGGCGGATCTTCTCGGCCTAGAATTCATAAAAAATATCAGTCCCCATCATGTCATCTGAATCTCGAGTTCTGACGCTCACGCACACAAGGCTCCCCATTGATTTTCAAAGACCAGAATGGTATCGCTTGCAAAAGCGCTATCATGTCTCTTGCAATCTCAGTCTTTCTAAGCACAAGCATATCCTTGTACTCACCGACCCGCGAAAAGTAGCCAACCTCCTCGAGTTTCCTAGTCAGGTGCATCTTTAAGCAATGATATGTTACGTAGATATCTGCTATCTGAGCCGCGAATTTGTTGTGCGTAGTATCATTGCCCTTGGTTTCGAGTAGCGAAGCAGTGTGCGGCTGTAGATGTGGTGGCAGATGGTCGATACAGGTGGCGAAGCGGACGTACAACCGGCCCAGGGTCTCATAACTGGCTGCTGTCAAGGAAGCGTCGCTCAGGTCAGACCCGGGAGTCTGGCTGCTTTTGATCAGTCTCATCCGCAGCAACAGGTCTGCTGCGTACTGCCAAAGTCGTATATCGGCATTGACGCCTTCAACGAACCTGTACCTGTCGTCAGTCCGAGCACACTTATTCTTCAGCGCATACGCACTCATTTTGCTCGACAGAGGGGTACGCCGCTGTTATGCCCTTATCGAAAGAGTACTCATATAGAGTCATTGGCATTGATCGGAGCACCGCCAAGGACTTATCACCGACGTACAGATGCCAGAAGGCGTTGCGTCGCATCTCTGCCTCGATTGGCGGCAGGGAGACATACGAGTCTTCATCGTGAAGGCGCATCCGCTGAGCCAGCCGGACGGCCTCGCCATATACGTGCCACGATATGACTGATCTTGCACAGGTATGCAGGCAGTTGGAGTGAAGGTACCGTATGGTGATGGAGTCGGCACAGGGGTTCTCGAGGTCGGCTTCGGCATAGGTGGAGAAGCAACTGCGCGAGGCCTCGAGGAACGGCTCGGCGAGACGTGCGCCAACCGGAAATAGCTCCGATGGCACAAAGAAACAGACCTTGGCACACACTGCAGTGATGAGGGTGAAGTTTGACTCGGTCAAAGAGGCTCCGGGCGGCGACGAACTGCGAGCCTGGTTCAGCGTGTGGCGAAAAGTGGGTTCGTGAACCGACATGTTGAATGGGACGATGTATCTGAAGAAGAGATCGGCGCACTCCTGGATCACAGACTCGAGCGTGATCAAGGACGAGGATGCCTGGGCAACAGCGTCGGCGAGAAGTCGATATCGTTGGAGGGTCGTAGGGTTCCGGGGTGCTTGCTGGGGAGACTGTGCGGCTGGAGAGCAGGGGTATGACTGGGCCGAATGCTGCTGTTGGGGAACATCATGTTGAGGAGTATCATGTTGGACGTCGATGATATTGCGGCGTCTGGGCTTGCCCTTGGGCCCTCGCTTACCCGGAGGAATATCAAAGCTGCAGGCTTGGCCAGCTCTTCGGCAGTTTGTGCATGAGTGGTCTATGGAGTCACACTTGAATCTTCAGCTGTATGCGTGTTCTTACGGCCGCGGCTTGACTCACCCTAGCCTTCTTTCGCCGGCAGCCATCACACGCCCGGTGGGGATACAGCTCTGGGGAAGAGTCTCGGGGCAGCATGGCCATCCAGTAAATACGTACGCGTACAGGGTCGAAGGTGGCGTCAAGACGGTCAAGATCAGGGAGGTAGGGAGGAGAAAACGAGCAAACCCCCGTCTCTTCCGAGCTGGCGGTGCATCGGTATTTCTCCGCCTGCAGTCTTGTCGGCCACCTTTTCCGGTGCGGGGGTTTTAAGCCATATACTCCGGAGGTTTTCTATACACCCGAGACTTTCGGGGGTTTCCTCTTGTGCCCGCGGCTAATGCGGAGGTCGCGTGATGGGATGGGTCCTCAACCCCGCGATATCGAGATGGTTCCCGGATTGAGCAAGTCGATGATCAAGCGAGCTAACTAATCCCTTGTTGGTGCAATGCGAAGCTCGACTGCCCTTGGTTCTCCTCCGAGGGCGGATGCTGGCTCTGGCTCTGGCTCGACAGTTGAGACTGATGCCCGACACACTCTACTACTTAACTGCCATGTATCCTCCACTTCTTCCGTCACAGTTCGTTTGCCGTCACGATCTTGGAGACAGCCGGCATTCGACAAGCAGCAGCAGCAACTTTCCTCTCCAACACTTGCCACCTCCTCAATCGCTCGCCCATCATGGCCGCCCGAGCTGACGCAAAGCAGCTCGCAGAGCAGTCTGAAGTCATTCGGCTGCTCGAGGCCGACACGGTGCCGTGGTACCAGAAGCCCAACCTCCGGCTCCTCTACTTCTGCCTCATCCCTGCCGCGCTCGGCGTTGAGATGACGACCGGCTACGACGGCTCCGTGCTCAACGGCTTGCAGGCGGTTGCCTCGTGGCAGACATGTAAGCTACAGTTAAAAGTACGAAACCGTGCAGATAGCTAACAGCGGCTGGCCGTCTGCCAGACTTCAATACCCCTAGTGGCGCTTTGCTCGGTGTGCTCAACGCGTCGTACAATCTCGGAGGTCTCATCACTCTGCCCATCGTCCCGTATGTCAACGACAGGTTCGGCCGCAAGCATAGCATTACCTTCGGCTCCTTCATTCTCATCATCGGCGTGATTCTGCAGTCGGCTTCTCAGAATGGTCGGTCTTTCCCCTAGGCCTCCTGTACTGCATCGTCGACCAGAGCTGTTGCTGACCAGTTTGTAGCTGGCATGTTTCTTGCTTCCCGTTTGATTCTAGGAACAGGTATCCCTTTCGCCGTCTCGGGTGCCTCTCAGCTCTTAGCCGAACTGAGTTATCCGCGCGAGCGCTCCGTCATTACGGGTCTCTTCAACACATCCTGGTTCATCGGCTCTATCATGGCTGCGGCCGTGACACTCGGCACCCATACTATGCCCAACAACTGGGGCTGGCGTATCCCCTCGATTGTCCAAGCCGCTCCATCGATCCTCCAGATCATTTTCATATGGTTCGTGCCCGAGTCCCCTCGGTGGCTGTTGTCCAAGGATCGCACCGAGGAGGCTTTTGATGTCCTAGTCAAGTATCACGGCGAGGGAGACCGCGACTCTCCCTTAGTACACGCCGAGTTCAACGAAATATCTGCACAGCTCAAGGCGGAGATCGAAAACTCTAATTCGCGCTGGATTGAGCTTCTCCAGACTCCAGGAAATCGTAAGAGGTCACTCATTGCTATGTGTGTCGGTGTCTTTACTCAGTGGTCCGGTAACGGGCTTGTGTCGTAAGTCCTCACAACGCCTTGGGCTGCTCTCCATGGAGCAGAACAGGTCAGCAAAAAGAGCTATTGGACTAACGGTGCTTGAATTACCCAGCTACTACCTTGCTAAGGTTTTGACAACCGTCGGTGTTACAAACAGAAGGACTCAGAATGTCATCAACCTTTCTCTATCGGTAAGATTGTCCTTAAAGATAATCGCGTCTCTCTATCGCAGCGGTTCATTGCTGATTTTCTTTTGCATTAATCAGTGCTGGTTTTGGTTATGCGCAACAGCAAGTGCCTTCATGACTCCGTATCTGCCGCGTCGTACCCAGTATTTGGCAGGGTTTGCTGGTATGACGGTTGTCTTTTCCATCTGGACTGGTGTTAGCGCCGGCTATGCTCAACATGCGTCGCACTCTGCCGCCACGGCCGTCGTCGCTATGATCTTTGTCTATAACAGCATGTACAGCATTATGCAGCCGTTGACTTACGTCTACGTCACCGAGATCTTCCCGTTTGTGCACCGCGCCAAGGGTGTCGCCATCTTACAGTTTTTCACCCGTGGCAGCACTGCGTTTAATTCCTTTGTCAATCCTATCGGGATGGATGCCCTTGAATGGAAGTACTACCTTGTCTACGTGGTAAGTAACCGTTTCGTGTCTCTATTGATAGCATCAACTTACCTATAATAGGTTTGGTTAGTCTGTGAGACGGCTATTATTTACTTCCTCTACCCTGAGACCAAGGGGCCAACTCTTGAGGAGATTGCACATAGTAAGATTGTTCCCCCTTGAGGATGTTCCTGCCATAACCTGTAGCTTGCTAACTCTTTATGAAGTTTTCGATGGACCTAAGCTAGGAACTAATGAAAAGACTGGATTTGATGAGGAACAGAGTGTTGCCCATATTGACCACAAGGTAGAGGACAAAGCGGGCTTATAGGTTTTAGTGTAACGAGGGTACCGGTCTCACGCCGGTACCGTGTCACACACGTATCAGGCGCAAAGGGACCCTGCCCTGCCCTGCCCTAGCGTAGCGTAGCCGGTACGTAACGTTAGGGTTTCGCCTTAGTATCTATATAACGTTAGGCCTAGAAGCCTGTGACTGAAGCTGGTTAAGCTTTAGTCTCTGTATCAATTAACTAATATCTGACTCTGACCTAGCTACTTTATACCTCTTTATAAACTCTATTATATTTAGTGTCTGGGTATAAAAATAAGTAACTTAACTGCTTAGTATATTAGTGGAATTATAGCAGTATAAATTGTTAATAATAAAGCTATTTCTGAAATTTCTATTATTAATTTTATCACCTGCTATATGTACATAATTTAATAAATAATCTTATAGCATTGTATGAAAATACATGCAGTAATTAGTCAAAGAATATTAGTTATTATTATTGTTAATACTATTGTTGGTGTTTTGTTCTTGTTACTGTTGAGCTTCTAGTCCCCCCCTCTGGGTATGTGTGTACTAGGGCACCCTAACCTCTTGAATATTAGTTATTATAAATTATTCAACTTCCTTAAAATAGAGATGCGAACTTCTATAAAACAGCAGTTAAGTATCTAGAACTTTCTTTTAGAAGGTTCGCTATCACGACAAGAGTCCTTCTGGGGTATTCAAGCAGCAACATCTATTGTATATGTGAGTAAGAGTGCCACTGAACTTTCTCATAGCTAAGGGTATTTACACTGGTAATGAGCAACTTCTCGAGCGTCTCCGAGGTGTTCCATGTAGTTGCAAATGAACCTACAGGAGCAATTATGTCTGGTGTTTGGAAGCCAAGGGGTGTGAAGCGGCCTTGCAGCTCAAATTCGTTATAGCTCACTAAATGCATTTAGCATCTCAAGACAGTTAATTTCAATATGGGCCACATATTTCGACGGTGTGGTGACTTTGGAGCACTTATATCCTGGCTCCGCCATATAGAGAAATGTTCTTAAATCAATAATACTACAAAGAGTTGAATGCTATAGATCAGCAGGAGCTTAAAAATGTCTTATTCTTACGTAGTTAGTGGGCCCCATTCAGCTAAGCCGAGGTAGTTTCTTTGAGAATGTGCGCAGAGAAGCTTGCTGCCAAGGCTGAAATCTGAATTAATTTATAAACCTGCTATCAAGTCTCCTGTAGGCATTCAAACAGCCAACATCGCTGATTTTGCCAAAAAGTATTTATTACAGTCCTGCAGGATTCAATCTCTGAACACTCGATCCCCTGTTGCAGGTGGCATACATGATATAGAGCTCAAAGCCTCTCCGAGGCTCGAATTTTCTTTGCCTGTATTCTTTCCAACCCTTCCTTGATCATGCGAGTAAATTTATTTCGTTGAACTAGGTAGATCGGAAGTTACGCGAAGCTCGTATGCAGTGGCTCCCACATGGTCCCTGTTGTTCGACCGCCGTGCCACCTCCTTTAGGACTGTAGTCATCTCGGATCCCGCCTCAGCGATGTTCTTGGCTGGTTTCAAAGCAGTAGCTCGAACCTGTCCAATAGAAGCGCGCTCGCCGACAAGACCTACTCGATATGCCTCCTCAGCTGAAATAGGATCTTCAGTAAATAGCATCCTTCGAGCCCTCTGCGCACCAACTTTTCGCACCGTTCCATGATAGAAGCAGTTGATAGTGTATTTTACTTGCGTCGACCTAAATTGCTCATTTTTTCATGCGACAGTTACGTCACACATGTTTGCAAGATCCATTCCATAACCGGGAGCTATACCGACGACAGCAGCAACTGTAGGCTTTCGATAATCCTAGATGGCTATCATGAGTTTGTGAGCAAGTTAAACGAACTTGGTGCGTTCATTGCCGTTCTTGTCTGGGTATGTTGCCATCGCCAACCTTTCAAACTTGGGATACGACAGCAGCACTATTACCGAAACACTCAAGCTTTACGAAGCTTTATTAAACTAAATGAATTTACTTATATCTCGATTTATCATTTCAAAATAAAACAACATACTAGCGATAGTATACCTCGTTCATTGTGTCACAATTACCTAGCCCGCCTCCTACTCTCAGTGCCAATGTACACCGGTTGTTTATTTGGATACCGCTCCTGACCAATTGACCTGAGGGTCTCCACAATCTCATCCATCTCACGCTTCTCATCCTCCGTTGCAGTAGTCGTGGTAGGATTGCTCATGTCGGTCTGCCATATATGAACCTGCTGGGTCACCTCGGCGAGAATGGCATCGCTCTCGTGCATTATCTTATTACGTTCGGCTGCTGTGCGCTCACGCGAGTTCTCCATCGACCAGAGCTTCAAATCCAAGCCATACATCTTCCTGAACAGGGTTCCTGCGTTCTCGATATCGTCTGTGCTGATGCCCTCGATGCTGATGTCCTTTTCACCAACCTCGAGCTTCGACTTGTCGGAGTCGTAGTAAAAGTATTTGAGGTCACGGAGGAAATCATTCGCCCTGACGAAGCCGTCGTCAAGAGTTGTGAGTGCTGTGACGCTGGTGCCCTGGCTGGCAGCATCGGATGGTATCGAGTCCTGGCTGCTGCGTGGGCTGCGGATCTCTGAACGGTTGACGTACAGCCAAACCACAGCCCACAGGAAGACGATGCCGGATGCAAGCCCGAAGATGATCTCTTCTATGTGGATGGACCCGAGCGTGGTTTTCGAGGCATTCTGGATCACGATGGAGTCTGACGGGAAGTCATAGGTGTCATTGAGGTGACCTGGGATGGCGACGAGGGTGGCGGGAAGGAAGCCGAGGCCCCATTCCGCCGAGCTGAGGTTCATCAATTGAACCCATTTTGTGGTGTTCCGTGTGTAGTAGTTCAGCCCTTGCCAAGACTCCATTTTGTTGGTTTGGGAGGTGGATGAAGGTAGAACGGGCCTTGGATGACGCAGTTGCGAAGAAAGAAGATGAGAGATGTGCGAGCCACGACAGTATTGCAAATGCAGGATAAGGAGGGCCGGACAAGGCAAACTTGTGCAGAACAGGCGGCAGAGACACAGCCGTGTGTAAGATCGGCTTCCTCCTTTCAATCGCATGCGCATTTTCGTATGTACGGCGTCAATAGTGTCATGTATTCGTAAGCTAGAACATGTTGAGGACTAGTCTGAAAAAGTAACTATTGAGTTGAAAGTAGAAAAATAAGCGGCAGCTCGCCGAAATTGGTGGCTTTCCATTGAACCAACAGCCATCAACCAAGTTGCAGGTGCCGTTCCACTTTCACAGCCTTATATACGGTAGTGGGTTACATTCAGACAGTGTACAAGTTGTGACTTTAGAATATGCGACATGCAATCCAATCAAACCCCGGCTCACACCTGCAGGAGAATCCCTTCCTCTCACTGACTAGGGTCGGCAAAAGAAACGGCATGTACGGCGAGGCGTACGCCAGCCGCTCCGGTTTGTCCTATGAAATCCTGCGTCCGTCCAGTCAGGAGCTCAAAGTTGACGCCCCGCTGGTTGACCGAGACGTCTAGCTGCATTTCCACTTGAAAATAAGGCTGGTTGGTGACACGGGTCGGGGAGATATTGGCCAGGTCAAAATCTAGGTCTACGGTCCGCCGTCGGCCTACAAATTGTGTCAGCGACTGCCCGTGGTTGATGTAACGCAAGCAACTTACCGCTAGTCGTGTTTTGTAACTGACTTCGTAGCTCGGTACCACTTCTATTCTCATCGAAGACCAGTTTCAGGCTCCCGGTTCTGTTGCCATTTTGACTGAGCTTCTTGATGATGGGCTGCGTGACCTCTATGCCCTCGTCCGGCGTGATGAGGTCTCCTTGTGCCACTAGCCACTTGATGTTGTCTTCTGCTCTCTTCACGCCATCAAAAGCGTCGACATACTTCTGACCCTCGAGGTGATTGTATTCGGTCCAGCGCTCAGCGAGAACAACTCCAATGTGAAATGGGCACTCTTTGCTTGGAGCCGGCGGCGTGCAGCCAAGCCCAAGCCCCATGAGGACGCCGCCTTGGGCGACTGCAGACCAACTACAATCTCCTGTCAAGGTGTATTCCAATGAGTAGAGGCTTCCAAACTCACCTGTCTGTCCCTCGGACCAAGTTGAACCTCCACCCGCGGGCGAGGGCTCGAAGGCGGTTGTATAGATACGGACTCCGGGAGAATCCGCCAGATAGGAATATGGACTGGTAACCTCTCAGTTAGGGATTTCAGACAGAGACGGCCCTGAAATTCGCCTCACCTTGACTCGCAGGTTCAGTTGATCGACTTGGGTAAGCTGCTGCGTGATGAGCTCAATAGTTCCATCGACCGACTTTGTGAACATTGTCATAAGATCCGCACTGCGACAGGCATTAATAGGCACCAAATCAATTTGACCCGAATGTTGTGCCACGTACCTAGAAATGTGTAGCTGTCCATCCTGAATTCCTCGCGACGGATTGTTTTCTTCGCCAACGCCCTCGATCAGATCTAGCACGTCACCGACCTCCTGTTGGCCCCGACCTGGAGGACCTTGAAAGGCGTGCTTGATCTCCTGGAATCTGTTAAGAAGAGTCTGGAGCCGTCGGCTGAGAACAACATGGGCTCCTGGGCCATGTCGTTCAGGTCCGGGTCCACCAGAGCTGCTGAGGAGGTGGTAGTCCTGGCCAAGTCTGTCTTTGAGAAATTCCAGAAAGGCATCGTCAATGCGTGAGGCACCGCATTTGCGACCTGGACCGGTACTCATAAGTCGGGGTTGAGATGACATTTATTGGAGGAGGGTGGAAGTGCTCACCACAAACGTCTGTGATCTTCCTGACTTCAAACGTTGGTTCTACTTGTTCAACAAGATACGAGACCAAGTCCTTTGCATGTTAGCATCACTCCGTAATTTTCTCTGCGATGGAGACGTGGACATACGACTGTGCCGCCGCCAGCGTCAACAACGATGAAGCATTCTCCCTAGCAAGCCGCAATTAGTTTTGAAGGTTTGTTTTGGATTGGTTGCAGCGAAAATTGGCGTACCCTCCTGAGCCGGGCTATGCCCTCGTCTTGGCCAGATCTCATCGTAAATTGAGCACATGCTTCGGGCTCCGTCGCAAGACGCGTAACACCTTCGTTCTCCAAAGCGTCGGAGAATTCACGTTGAAAAGCTTCATTGACAGCTCTAAACGTGAGGTTTCGGGCCCTGTGGTCCCATTCCTACGCGCAGGAAGTTAGCTCCCTCGCTCAGTGGTTGCATCAGAGAGCAAGTACCGCGGGATGCGTGATGACTAGATCGATGGGGAACTCCAACAGTGTTCGTGCGTCCCTCTTGTTCTCAATGTCCTGGCGCACGGCGCCGGCAACTTGAATGAGATAGTCTGTGACAACATCGGAAGCACTTTTCGTTAGATGGCGTGGGATCTGACCCTGCAGGACGTTCGTCTGGCCGAAGTCCAGCTGGCGAGCCTCTGCAATGGTGCGTTTCAAGGTTTTGAGAGCTTGAAGTCGGCTGGGGGCTTCAAGCTCCAGCTTCGACCATCGGATCACATAGGCGTTGTCGCCAATGTCGTAGCCCCAGAGCTCGCCGTCATCGACCGTCCGTGAATATGTGTACAGTGATGGGACTTTGGATTCTATGACTCGCCCCCAATTGTTGACGACATTTACATCGGCAAGCGTTGGAGCCTGTCCAGTCGTCAAAGCCCAAGCAACGCCTGCAAGGTGCTGCGCGTTAGCAGGCGTCCATTTCGCTTGGGGGCGAGGTCCCAATCTGCGTACTGACCAGAATATGTTGTGCCGTAGTCGAAACAAATGACGAATCGCGGCTCCTGTTCCCACTGACGAGGAAGATGTTGATGCGACATCGAGGCACGAGCTGAGGGAGAAGCAGAGGAACAAAATCACAGATAGACAAGCCTTGGAGGATGAATCTAGAGATGGAGTACTTGGAATTTATGGGCATAAAGCAGGTACTACGTCACCTGCAGCCGGCCACGGGGAGCGGTGCGTGGATTGATAGTGAGGGCGTGGTCCGAGGAATCTCACTGTTGTCTCGAACGTGCCGTAATCCAGGCGGACTATCAACCTGGTCAAGGTGGCGCTGAGCTGATATGAAGAAGGCAACGACGGGCGCATGTACCGGTAACTTGCTTATTTGGACCAGGATGCAAGAGTCCAGATTGGGGTCTACGCCTCCGCCACTCTACAGCCTGATGTGAAGCTCCAGGTTTGTTGGACGCAGATCAGTGCTTCCAGAATTTGACAAGACGCAGTTCTTGAGATTGTTCCTTTGACAGTTGAAAGTCGATGCTCAAGCTGCCTTGATTCATTTACTTTCCTCTATTACGCACATTACTGTGTCTCTCCTCGTCCCTCGTTCGCCGTCATGGCCTGGGGCAAGACAAAACCATACGAACCTGGCATGATTGGCAGCAAGCCAGCATGGTCATTCAAGAGGTATTTTTTCCCAGGCTCTGGACGCCCACCCCACTCCAAGTTGTATCAAGATACGCCGTCCTGTAAAGTCATCAAGACGACGCCCGAGTCTCAGCTGGATGACGATATCCTCCCGATTGCAAGCCAGTTTGCCGCAATGCGCCAGACTCAAGATTTCTCCATTAATGGGTCGTGGAATCCCTTAATGACTGGCAAAACAACACAATCTTCACCTCTGGGGATGGATACGCATCTGGAGGCAGCCTCAAATAATGGCACCCAACGCCAGAATGCTGCACCGGCCCGCGTACTACAGGCGCAAGGTCCAGACCCTATCCCCGAGCATCCCATTTCCGATTCACACGCACCATTGTCTTCGTCACCAACGCCAATGTTCCAGCACCAATTCTTGACCGATGATCAAATGTTCACGACAGCAGAAGTCGGGGACAAAGATGTCCCTTCATCGCCGGATGAGCCAGAGGATGGAATGGGCTCCTTTCTCGAACTCCCAGGCGAAGGAGTCGTCTCTCGAGTACCCGACCCAGTCGAGGCTCCATCAAGCCCAATGATGTCGAACGGCACACGAAGTAGGCTCCAATCTCCAGCAGAGCTGTCGTCGTCGCCTCGTCCGCCCCAGGCAAATATCACCAAAAGGGCCGATGGTGTCACACAGCCAGTTCCCGGCCACACGAGTAGAGCCGGATTCCGCCAATTCAACGGCCACACCGGAACCGCGCAAAATGAGGCCAATGCAGCGTCGAAGATGGCAGGACAAGCCGCCAGGTTGGCGGTTAAAATGAACGCTATGTCATTTGATGATCAACGCAGCACTCCTAAAGTCAATCGTGTGCCGGTCGACAGCGGAAACTTCCAGAACAGTCCTTCACCCAACGATTCCAATGGCGGTACGAGGCAAAAAGAACAGCGTACACGCCGAATGTTATCGCGGTTCACTCAAAAGCGCGACTCGCAGGATGACAAACCGAAGCAGCTGCAAAAGCCAGATCCCCAGGCATTGAACTTTGACGGCTTCAGCGACCAAAAACGCGTGGATGTGTTCCTAAAGGACTACAAAGTTCCCAGGAATCCCCGTCTTGATCCTCTATCAACGCTCCTCGGATGGGTGGAATTGAAGCTAGAGGAAAGCAAGAAAAAAGAAGACGAATTTAATCAGCAAGCCACATCCTTAAACGGTCAGAAGAAGGATATCGCCAAGCTGAGAGCAGAGCTGTCGTCAATGCAGGGCGCTCAGGGAAAATGGGCCCAGACGCAGCAGAAGAATCAGGAGCAGCTGGAAAATGCCAATAAAAAGATTAACAACCTTCAGCTTAATCTTCAAAAGACGCGGCAGGCCTTCGCAACTACTAAGAGTTCGCTCGATGCCACTGTCTTTGAGCGGGATCAAGCTCGGACTGATAACAATCAACTTCTTGAAGAATTCAAAGAGAAAGAACAAGCACATCGGAATGTTCACCAACAGGAGATGTTGCGTCTCAGGAAAGAACACGCCGGCCAAATTGAGACTCTCAGACACAAGATCAAGCAAGAGAAAGACCAGGCGGAATCCAGGGTGGCCATCCTGTCGCAAGACCACCGAGAGACGATTGAGAGGATGAACACTGAAAGCAAACAGAAGGAACAAGGACATCGGAATTTTCACCAAAAGGAGATGTTGCGTCTCGGGAAAGAACACTCTGGTCAAATTGAGTCTCTCAGACATCAGATCAAGCAAGAGAGAGACCAGGCGGAATCCAGGATAGCCATCCTGTGGCAAGACCACCGAGCGACGATTGAGAGGATGGAGGCTGAAAGCAAAGAGAAGGATGCTCGCCATGAAATCTTGATGATGGAGTTGCAGCAGAGACACGACGATGCCATGAATACGCAAACGAGAACCCTCCAGGACCTGAGGCGACACATGGCCAACTACAGCAACACAGGTAGCTACACAGCAATCTCGGACGACGAGCTTCGCGGCCACTTCCAGCTACTCACACGTCGCATCAACAACTTGATCAAATGGGTTCCGCGTCCAGGGACCTACGCGGTCGAGGAGCATCTCGATCCGAATGGCTTCCTGACGAGAAATTCTCAACAGGGCGGTCGAAATTGGCCAAAATTTGTGCGGAGCATCTGTTGGCGATCCATCATGCGCGGCTTCTACTGCCGTCAGCTTGGCTTCGGTGCGTTTGGAAATGATGGCGAGGGATTCGAGGCGCTGGACCACCTGCGCCAGCTCTTTGCACTACCAGATCTTCAAGGCAAGTAACAATACTCAATTTCTTCATTCGCTTGACCCTACGACTAATTGCTAACTCGAGGAACGCTACAGATCCCAGTGGCCTAAGTGCCACCCTTCCCAACACCAAAGAGCTAAATACATGGCGCGCCGGCTTCTTCGATGCCCTTGTAAAGGCGACTCAGCACGGTGCAATCGGGCAAGCAGACAACAAGTACGTCCGTCTCTTCCGCGCGAACGTGGAGTCCGTCACCGAGGACCTCGTGTCTTCGCTTCAGCAAGTGGCACAGATCCGCCTTGATCCAGGGATATGGGAAGAGGTTGCCGGCTTTGTCGAGGGGCTCGGCACACTGGCACTTGAGATGGGGTCACAGCGGGCCCACGTATACCTTGAGACGTGCGAATACGGCGAGGACATTATCGTGGGCGACCGCTTTAGAGACGATGCGGAGCTGGGCTACGAGAGGCTGACGGTGGATCTCATGACACAGCCATGTCTGAGGAGGGTGGGCGATGGACGGGAGGATTTGACGACCCAGAGGACTATTGTCAAGGGTGACTTTGTAGCGTTAAAGCCGGGGGTGTACTGATTGTCATTTTCGGTTTCACGTAACGTAGGGTTAATTATTTTCATCGCATGTAATAGAATCCGACTTGCCTTAGTTTAGACGGTAAGAATCCATTGCCTGATCCTTCTCATCTAGCATGCATTTTGCTTCCTCACGGAGCCTCACTTCCTGGGCGAGACGCGTGAGTGATAGGCATACTACTAGGCTGTCCGACAGTGAGAAGCCGACCACGCCATTTTACGCCCGCTTCGAGCCTCAATTCCGTCTCACTGTCAAATTGAATGACTGCAGTATGCCTCAACTGAACTATCGATTCCCTGCCGGCTAATATGCAAGGCGCACTCCGCCTAAACTAGTAATTGCCGCCAATGTGACGCTACTAAACAAGCGGCGGCAAGCTATCACCATCCATGGGAGACATTCGTATCAGGCTGTCGGGGCTAGGGAACTGCGGCCAAGCCTCCACGGCCCCCATATCACGAATGCAGCCATTGCACTTTCACCTTTCACCTGAACGCCGCGACGCCTTTCAAAACGCTAGTGGTAGACACGGCAGGCAGATTGAGGGGGTGGTGGCTGACACAGCCTATGGGAGCTTCTATTTCTTTCTGCAGTTTGGAGTCCAGGGTGATATTCTGGACTGTTTTCGGACTTATGTATCTGGATGTACCTGTCAGGGATACTTGTAGCGACTTCGAGGACATGTCACCCCGCAGACGAAGCTAGTGATGCAAAAGCAGGCTGGGGTTGAGAGACAACTAGGCGTCTAGGCCCATGTTCTAGAGCAGGGAGGCAGACAAGGCAAATCAGGCTCGTGACACGGAACATCATCGCATTGGGAGCAGAGCCGCTTCTCAGTCCATGGTAGGGAGTAGCCGTGGGGAATCACTCGAAAGTGTTACTGTTTGGTCATATTTCTCGTTTTCTTCCGCCGAAAGGCCCTCGTTCTACCCGCATTTGCTGGTTGTATCATTTTCCCTCGAGCCATGCAGACCGAAACGCTGTGGACTCTGCCCAGCACGGCGCTCCCTAAGCCGGACAGCATTGTTGGTCCAATTTTTGTGACAATCTGGATGGTCGGTTCGGGTGTACTCGCCTACATCTTCCACAGGTTGCTCACCAAGCCATTTCCAACTTGGCCGGAGTTCAAGAGCATCGCTCTGGGCACATGTCTTCTTTCTTTGTGAGGCCAATTCACATCTGGTGTTTCGCTTGATGCTCCCAGAACTAACAATGCGACCGCAGCTGGTACCTTGGCATCGTCATCGACCGATGGATCCACTACAAGAACTGCAAAATGGTTTTTGGATACGTCCTCTTTCTCCCTGTCTTGGAGTTCTTGCACGTCGGATCGACCATCATGATACTCTGGGGCACGTACAAGCTTGTGTGGAATGAGCTGAAAGGCCGTTTCACCGAGAAACAGCAGCGAAGGTGGTGGTTCGGGGGTAAGTGTGCCATCTTCCTAGTCTGCATGGTGTCGCTGTTCTATACCATCTTGTACTTGGCCCTCCCCATTGTGTGGATGGAGTTTGTGAGTCTCAATACCATTGCCGACGTCGCGACAAAGCGAACCCAGTTTGAGGTAGCCATGGCCGTTTTCTTCTTCGCCTTCAGTCTTTTCACCGCTGGCACTGCCACGGTCGCCATCGTCTGGGGTTCGACTAGGATTGATGGCAGAATTCGCAAGGTTGGCTCCATGCCTCAAATACTACTCGTATATGCTAACGATATTCGCAGACACGCATCGTCCTCTTTTTCGGCACCCTTCTATTGCTCGCTCGGTCCATCTCGCAGTTTGCTCTCGTCGCTCGAGCCTACGGAAAGAAATACACGCGACAAGATGTGCTCCTAGCCAAAGACGTCTCCTACGGACTTCTAAGCATGCTCTATCTCTTAACCATGGCACACCTCGCGGGGTCCGTCTCTACCGGGTTCGACACGGGCGGTAGGGACGCCCGTCTCGTGCAATCCGACATTCGAAAACACATACTCACCAAGTTGCAAACCGACACCAATCACGGTCGGCAGGAATCACCTCGGTTTGAAGAGCTCCTCCAGGACGTTTCGGAGAATCTGGAGACGATTCTCGACCAACGGCCTCCGTCGACAGCTCCGGCCGTCAATCGCGATCACAAGCGAGCGGTCGCGCAGGAATACATCGCGATTCTGCGTGCTGACTACGGCGATCTCAGCCCCAAGAAAGGGCTTGACGCACTTGGCTCCCGCAACAGTTCTGCATTGTCGTCTATTTTCAGTCGCAGGCTCGTCTCCAACGGACGTCGCACCACGTCCAACCCAGATATTCGCTCGGCGGCGACGACACCGGGCAATGTCCCTCGCGTCAAGTCACGAGAGATGCTCAATCGCTTCTCATCAAGGCTCTTCCCACCTGTGTCTGAGGAACGATAGTCTTATCTAGATTAATGGGTCTTATTTTAGTTGGGTATCTAGAATAGTCTCTTCTGAAAAGGCATCGTAGTAGGTAGACAAGACGAGGAAATCAAGTTGCGACCATCTAATAATACTTTTACCCAAGTAAATCCCCAAAGCCACCCAAAACATCAGAACCATTACAGCGCTAAGTATCTAACTTCCAACCAAGCCAAAACGTTGATTTCTTGCTCCCTCTCCCTTGCCGTCCTCAATCCATTATCCCGCCCGTACCTGACGTAGAATATGTGCTTGTGCTTTCCATCCTTCCAACCGCAATCTTCCGCGCTGAAATTGCATTGAACCTTTCCGGTGTAAATCCAAGCCCTCCTTCAGGGTCGTAGTGTCTGGTACCGTACAGCAGTTGCAAGTGTCGTCTCCATTCCAGCCATGTCGTCGACGTCAATGCCTCTCCACAACGTTCGAGCAGGCCGGGGGGTCTGCGGCGCATCATCCGCATCAGTAATCGTCGCCAACACTCGGCGGGAGGACGGACGCGGTCTCCCTTGATCATGGATCGTGCGAGGTACGCAGCAAGGTTCACACAGGCCAAGTCCGTGTCCGCTCCGACCAAGTCGCACATTTCATGAACAAATGTGTCGTGTTCCTTCTGGGACTGCTTGACGCATGCTTTCGCATCCAGTGGGTCGAATCCCCGCATCATATCTCGGAGAAACAAGATGCGTAGGCTGTTGCGGTCGCCATCAAGTGGCGCAGACCATATTGGGTCATCCACCGAGAGAGTGAACGCGACTACATCCACTGCTGTTGGGGATAGTCCGACGGGCTTGCTGGCGCAGACTCGAGCTGCAATGACGTTGCGATATTCTTGGTAGATGTCCGGAGATGCAGTGTCCATCATGAGGAAGATGGCAGAAACGGTGGCTTCGGTAGGTATATGCCGCAGCATCTTGAGGTAGCCTTCTTTCCAGTAGCTATGAAGCCAGGTGGCGGAGGCGAGAGCCCGACCCAGGCGGACGACATGTACTGCAAACCGTTCGCTAGGCTTTTGAGCCTCCAGCTTTTCACATAAATGCAGCTGCGCCTGGGACAGGATACGAGGCCCGCGATGTGCGATGTCGATAGCATTGCCAAAGGCTCTCTGCAGTCGGGCTGTAGAACTGATTATAGGCAGCGCGGCAGAAATAGCCTGTATTTTCTCAAATAAATCATTCCCGCCGATCACACGTAGTAAGTGATTGAGCTTTCGAATGCGGGAGATCGGTGTCAGCTCCAACGCTGCTTCGGTTCGTTCGAGGGCTGGCCAGTTGATCGCCTTGGGCTCAACACAAACGGTCACAAAAAGTTGGATAGAATCGACGCCATTTTCGATTGCGGAATCGAACACCGACAGTAGGTGGTCAAGAATAAATCCGTCGTCGCTCGAAGGGAGGCGGTAGACTTGCTGGCCGAAGATACCTGGGCTGGATTGCCGAAGGGTAGGTAGCTGGTTGCCCGTAGTGTCTGGTCCCTCGAGGTCGAAAATACCAGCCAAAGCATTCCGGTACGGATTAAGAATGGGCGCTTCCCACTCACGAATTCTGCAGCGATCTGGGGCCCAGGATGCCCACAAGGGGATATTGGGGAAAACTTCTTCGAGGAGCCGACCAGGCATTTCTAGACGACATAGTTTTCTCAATCCATCCACCAGTTGATAAGCGGAGAAGAGACTCCGAGTCTTCAGAAGCTCTTGTAGTTCTTTGTCGAGATTTTCTTTATAGCTGACGCACTGCAGTGTCTTGCGGACAAATGTCACTGGCAAAAAGTCCTCACACGACTTTTCCCCAACCGCTGTGAGAACCCGCAGGACCGGAGGGAAGACCTCCCGCGTCCCATGGTCCTTGACTACTTCAAACAACTCTTTTGCCGCGACGGGGGTACCTTCGTAGGGAAAGATTTCTGGTCGCACCTTGTACGCGAGTATTAGACACTGCAAGTAGGCTCTCGCTCGGCGGAGGAAGAATTCGTCCGACACCTCGCTTCTCTGTTGCAAACTGACGATCTGTCCGTAGGCTATCTCTGGCGTAAATGCATGCAAACAAGCCAAAAGGCCTGCTTCTTGTGTAAAGACCTCATCCTTGAGTTCTTTCATCTCAAGGATGAGCAGTTGCTCGCAATCAGGTGACTGAGGCTCGATGCCGCGTGCGAGCAGACCGGCAGGCCTATGCCACGACGTCCGCAGTAAGTTGTCAGTCAAGGCCTGTACTTCCTGTAGCGGAAACAGATCGTATCGCTCATTTCTCAGGTTTGGGATTGCAGTCGTCTTGCGGAGTTGTGCTTGCCAGGTCCCCCTGAGCGCCATAGGTGGCAGTGGATAGGGCGCTGGGTGAGGATGGTGTATAGGGCAAAGTTTAGTGGGCAAAACAGATGGATACAGTACGAGGAACAAGAATGGACATTGGATTTGCCTTGCCCTTATTAAGCTGCTTTGTACAGTCAGCACTAGTTCAGCCTCTTGGCTGCCTTCCCAGTCGCTGGGCGTTCTGCAGGTTTGCCCAACGAGAGCTACTCTCCACTGCTATAGGGTAAGTATATCGCGCATTGCGCAACGGCAAGTGCATCTACCGTCTCCAAGCCAGATAAAAATATTATTTATACGGCTATAGATCTTGGAACTGCTATAGTTTTTATGGCAGCTAGAAGCTTAAATCCTGCAGCTATTATAGCAAATAGAGGTTTAAAACACTGCAGCTGCTAGAAGCTTAAAACGCTATAATTACTTCAGCTCCTGTAGGCACTGTAAGCTCAGAGCTGTACGTGCTAAAGACGCTGAAAATTTAGCTGCTTGTTGGATCCGATACGGTTAATTTAATCGTTGTATTATTGTTCAAATTGATGATGATTGTGTTTATCGATCTGGGTCCTCTAGATCAGCTGGATAAGGGGCCTTTTAGTCTTGTTATTATAACTAAAGACTAGATATTAATCTACTAAAGGTTTTCTTATATAGAGTTTCCCTTTAATATACCCCTCTAGCTTAAAGCTATTTAGATTAAAGCTATAGTTTTTATATTTTTAAATTATTATTTATTAGGTTTTTTAATTTTTTTAATTTTAATTAATTTAAGATATCTTTTAAATTTAATTATTTAATTAATTATTAAAAAACTAAATTTATTAGAATTTTAATAAGATTATTAGTAATTATTTTTTTTATATTAATATAATTTATTATAATTTTATTTTTTTAGGCTTTTTATTTTAGCTAATAATTATATATATTAATATAATATAATTTAATTTATAATTTATTAATATCTTAATTAATTAAATAAATTATTTAAAGGTTATTATATTAAATATAAATTTAATTTCTTTCAATTAAATTTTTAGGTTTTTAATTAATTAAAAAATAAATATAATTTTATTAGTTATTTAAAATAGAATTAAAAGCTTAATTTTAATTATAAATATAATAATTATAGCTTATTTATTAATTTTTTATTTAATTATTTTTTTAAATAATTTTATAATATAAATTTAAGAATTTTTTTAATTAAAATTATTTATATAAAAAGTATTATTAGTTATAAAAAACTAATTATTTTAATTAAATTAAAAAATTAAGCTATTAATTTTCTTAAGATATAAAAGAATTTAATTTATAATTTTATAATAATTTAATTTTTTATTAATATTATTTTATTAAGAAAATTATAATTTATTTTTAATATAATTATAAAAAATTCTTTTTTATAGAAGTTTAATATTATTAATTTAAGTTATTTATTAAATTAATAATTTTATTAAAATATAAAAATTAAAATAGCTAAATTAAGCTAGCTTTATAATTTTAAATAATTTTAATTTTTAGAAATTACTAAAAATTCTATTTACTAATTAAATTATAATAAGCTTTAAAGCTAGTTATAGCTATTTAAATTTTCTTTTATTTTTTCTTTTAATAAATAAAAATAATATTATTAATATAAAAAAAGATAATAATTCTATTTTTTATTATATAATAAAGCTTATATTAAATTAGCTTAAAGTTTAGCTTTTTTAATATAACTATAAGTTTTTTTTATTAAAAAAAAGAAAATTTCTATAAATTATATAAAGCTTTTTAAATTAATAGAATCTTTTTATTATAATTATATTTAAATAGTAATCTTATTAAAATTTAATAATTTAGCTTAATATTAATAAAAATATTAATAATATTATATTATATAAAATCTAAATTAAAATAAGCTATTATTATAATAAGTAATTAAAATAACTATCTAGCTAAAGTAAAAATATAAATCTTTTTATTTAATTTTTTTAACTATTAATTTTTTTATATAACTAATTTAACTTTATACTTTAAATAGTAATTATACTTATTAAACTTATAAATATAAACTTATATATAATTAAGAGTTTATTTTTTTAAAATTCTTAAATTATCTCTATTAATTTTAGCTTAAAATTCTATTTTCTTATAATTTTATAAATAATCTTATTTAGCCTATTTAAATTAAACTTCTATTAAATAATTTTAAAAATTCTAATAATATTATAGTAACTTTAAAAGTTAATTATAATAAATAAACTTAAATTTCTTTAATAGCTATTATAACTTAGCTTTATTAATAACTTTTTCTTTAAGAATACTAATTTTATTAGTTAATCTTCTAATATTAAAAGCTACTTTTTAAATATTAAGCTATTTAATTTTAGAAATTATAATATCTTTAAAATTTAAGTTATTAAATTAATTAAATATATTTTAAATTATTATTATTAAAAGTATTACTAGTAGTAAAAATATAAATATTAAGTAGTTATATTTATAGATTTTAGAAAATCTAAATTAACTACTATTTAAGATATTATATTCTTCTTTTAATTTTTCTTAAGAATCTTTTTTAACTTTATTATTAAAAAGCTTTATAATTTTAATAGGTTAATTAAATTTAATCTTTAAAAAAGTTATTTTTATATTTTTATTATTTAATTTATTTATATATAAAATAGAATTAATCTATTTAGCTTAATTTCTTAAATTTAAATTAGTTAAATTATTTTAATTCTTATTATAAATATTATTTTAATTTTTATAGTAAGTTAATTTCTATTTATTTATTAAGCTACTAGCTATTTCTTTTAATAATTAATTTAATTAAGTTACTTCTATCTATTTTAATAAATAGTTTAGCTTTTTTTTTTAATATATAATAAGTTATCTTATAGCTAATTAATATTTCTATTAAATTAGTTATCTTTATTAAAAATAATATCTTTTATAAAAATAACCTTTTTAATAAATAAATTCTAAATATAATAAATATTAATTAATTAATATTCTATAAAATAGCTAATTTAAATATAGAAATTTAACCTCTATTACTTCTTCTTATTTTTTAAGATATTTTAAGTTATAGTAAAAGCTTTTAATTTATAAATTTATAGGTAATTTAAATAAAGAACTTTATATTTTTAATTATAACTATTTTATTAGGCTATAGCTATATAAAACTAAATATATAGAATATTTTAGTTATTAATTACTCTAGAAGTTTAATTATAAAAATAAATAGTATAATAGTGCTAACAGACACACGGGAGTTTAATAGCAGTAGGTCTAGCCTGTAAGACTAGATACTACTTAAAGGACAAGCTCATCCTCTACAAGGAAGGGCATGCTTTTTCCCTTTTTCAATTTTGAACTTTTTAAAGACAATCTTTGTTGCTTAACTTGCTATTTGACCAGCTGTCGCAGCAGCTCTTATCCCTTCCTAATTGATTATCCTATCCTATTCTATTTAGGAGCACTTGATCAAGTGCTTGACATATCTTTTACGCCGATTTCCCTCCGCTGGTCTTAGCTGCAGGACCTTCTTGTCCCTGAACTGTAGGGTATCTCTGACCCTTACTGTCGCGGGCCCTGTCCGCACTAAGTGCATCTCCCACCAATAAAATAGTAATTTTATAAATCTTAATTTAAAAAAAGATAGAAAATTAAGCTTTTAATTATAAAGCTTTTATTTTAATCTTAATAATCTTATTAAATAGCTTAATTTTACTATTTTAAATAGCTATATTTATAGCTATTAACTTTATAATAATACTTATTCTAGTAAAAAACTAATATATTAAATAGAAATAATCTTTTAATTTTCCTAGAATTTCTTTATTATATTTAACTACTTATAGCTTTAAATTAAATTAATAAAAAAAATAGCTTAAAAAGACTTTAAAAATCTTTATAAGCTTAACCTACTTTTAAATCTTAAGATAATAATTTTAAATATAACTAAAATAGCAATTTATTATTAATAGTAAATTAATATATCTATTAAAGTTATCTTTTAAGTTATAAAAGTTAATTACTAATCTTAATTTAAGTTTAATTAAAAGGTTTTTTAAAATCTAGCTAATTTATTAAATAATCTTAAAAGTATTATAGTTATTATAGTTAATTATTATAATCTCTTTAATTTAAGCTTTTATAATTTTATTAATAAGTCTTTTTAAAACTTAAGATTTTAAATAATTTAACTATAAATACTAATAGTATATATCTTACTTAATTATCTTAAATTAAATTAATAAATTAAATTAATTATATTAAATAAAATAAAAAAATTAATAGAAATATATTTTAAAATAAATTAATTATAATAATTAAATAAAAAGTATATAATTAAATTATTTAGAAATTTAAAATAGTTAAAATTTAAATATATATTCTACTAATAGCTTTACTATTATAGCTTTTATAAAGATATTAAGTTATAAGAAAAGTTAAAATAATAAATTATATTATTTAAAGTAATAACTTTAAAACTCTTAAATTTATTAATTATAATATTAATTTTATTATATTTTTAAATTAGAATTTTATATTTTTTAATAATAAGAATATTAAGAAACTTAATAAGCTAATATTCTAAAAATTAGCTAATTTAATTAAAAATATAAATTATAATTTTAAAGTTAAAAATAGCTAATATTTATTATTATAGAATATCCTAGAATATCCCAATACTAACTAGAAAGTCTAGAATAACTAAAAACTTATATTAATCTCTAATAATTTCCGGGAACTTCCAGTGGAATTTCTATACTAGAATTACTATAGAAATTACTAAGGAAGTTTTTATAGTAATATAGCCTAGAAATTTCCTAGTAGTCTCTAAGAAATTCCCCTAGAATTCCTTTATAAATAAATAGTAATTTCCTTTTAAAGAAGGGATATTAATTTTTACTACTCTTTATATATACCTACTTATAGAGGGATTAATTCCCTTTATAGAATTCCTCTGTAAAATTCCCTTTTATATTATTAATATAGCTTATATTATATTATTTATAGTAAATATTTTAATATCAAAAAAGCTATTTTAATTAAAAATATTAAGTTATTATAATAGCTAACTTTTTAACTTAATTAATTTAACTTAAATAATTTAATTTTAAAAATTATAAGTTAGTTTTTTTATTTTTAATTAAAAAGTTAATATATAATTTTATTTTTAATAATAAAAGCTATTTTAAATTAAATTAAAATCTTAAATAGAAAAATATAATAGTATTTCTTCTAAATATACTATTTACTTTTATAAGCTTTATAAATAAAAATATCTTAATTTTAATTATTATTAAGCTTAATTTTCTTTTTATTATTTAAATTTAATTATTTAATTTTATATTTTTTCTTTTTTAATTAATATAATTTTATAATAAAAATTTTATTTTTTTATTTTTTTATTTTAATTTAAATTATAATTATTATTATTATTTTAATTAAATATTTTATTATAAATTAATTTAATAACCTAATTATTATCTTAATTTTAAGCTTTAAATAATTTTTATAAACTTTAATAATTAACTTCTATATATAGTTAGAATTTTTATTATAATTTAAAATTTTAAAATTTTATTTTTTAAAAATTTTTAATAAATCTCTTAAAAAATTTAAATTTAAATTAATAAAATTAACTTAATAATATTATATAAGCTATAAAATTATATATTAAAATTATTAAAATCTTTAATTTTTTTTATTTAAATTTTTTATATAGCTTATTTTTAATTTATAAATTAATAAGAAAATTTCTTAAATATTCTAAATATTATAAATAAAATTCTATAATATTTAATTAAAATTTTATTTTATTATTTTATTATTATTTAGTTTTTTTTAACTTTATTTAATATTATTAAATAAATTAAAGCTATATAATAATCTTAAATAGTAAAAATAAATAATAAAAGCTATATTTAATATTAAAAGAAATAGTAGCTAAATAATAAAATTATTACCTACTAATTTTTATTTAAAATTTTTATTTAACTTTTTTAATTTTAATTTTATTATTTATAATTAATAACCTTACTATTTATAATTAATAATCTTAAAATAATAATCTTATTTTAAATAATAAAATATAAAAAAAATTAATATTTCTTATTATTAAAAAATTAACTTTCTTTTTAATACTTATTCTATCTTAATAAATTTTATTTAAATAACTTATTATTATATTAATTACTATTAATTATAAGACTCTTATTATATATATCCCTATATATTAGAAATATAAATCTAGATTCTAATATAATATAGAATTCTATTAGAATCTTTAAGATAAAAAAGAAAAATATAAGCTAGATAACTATTTAAAATTCCTTAGAAAAAAAAACCTCCTAAATCTCTTACTATACTATCTAAAACACCTAGATAGAAACTAAAGAATTATATTAGCTATTTTTAGATGCAATCTATTTCTTAATAATAAAAACAGAGCTAATCTATAGGGAAGTCAGGCTACCGGCATTAATATTATATTCATCCGGATAGAAATGGGCATATTATATAACCTAGCTAATAATATTAAAAATACCAATAATAATAGGAGCTAAAAGTTCCTTATAGAAATTAGCTGTGAAAAATATAACCTCTAGTTCTAGGAGTTATTGTGCTGTGTCGGGCTGGTATGAATGCTAGCTATCTAGGGTGCTGGCTGGAGGGGGGATTTAAATAACTTGGGATATTATGGGTATTGGGGATTTTGGGGTGTTTTAGAGGTTGGGTTGTAGGAGTTTTTAGTGTAATTATTATAATTTTATTATTATAATTTTAATATTATTATTTAAATTAAAATATTAAATTTAAAAATTTTAATAAAAATAATAAAAATTAATTATTAATTTCTTAAAAATAATATTTAAAATTTAAAATTTAAGCTTTTTAAGTAATTACTATTAAAATAGATATTTTTAATAATTTTAATTATAATTCTTAAAATTTAATTAATAAAAAATTTTATTTTTAAAAATTTTATTTCTAATAAATTAAATTAAATTTTATTAAATTAAATAATTTAAAAATAATAATTAAAATTATAAAAATTTTTTTATTAAATAATTATTAAATTTAAAGTAATTTTAATTTAATTTATTATATAAAAATTTAATAAAAATAATTATTAAAAATTAATTTAATTAATTTTTTTAAAAATTTAATTTTTTAATTTAAATTAATTAATTTTTAAATTTTAATTAAAAAAATCTTAATTTAAAAAACTTTATTTTAATTAATTTAATTTTTAAAAATCTTAAAAAAAATCTTTTTAATAATAATTAATATTATATTATTTATAAAATAAATAAAATTTAATAAAATTAATAGAAAAATTAATTTTAAAATAAATTATAAAAGCTATATAAATTATAATATAAATAGCTTTATTATAAAAATCTAACTATTAATTATTAAATTTAATATAGTTAATTTAATTATTATATTATTATTTAAATTAATAATAATTATATTTATTAATCCGGGTCCTCTAGATTAGCTAGATAAGGAGCCTTTTAGTCTCGTTATTATAACTAAAGACCAGATATCAATCTACTGAAGGTTTCCTTATACAGGGTTTCCCTCCAACACTGCTTATAAAACGGATTTTATTCGCAGGTCGGTGCAAAATATCACGTGATATTAAACGCCTCGCCCCCGTTAGGTATCAATTGCTGGGTGCCTGGGGCAGTGATTCGTGAATCTCACAGCCTGATTGATATCTTCACTTCTTCACATAGCTTTTAACAGACAGGCAAAGTCAGGCATACGGCCTAGGCTTCCATCAATAAAGCTACAGGATGTCGTCAAAAATGTCCTCTCCCGAGCCAGCCCAAGCGGCCTTCAACAAAGCCATCCGCGAGTTCAAAAAGGGACTGAGGGATCAGGCTCTGTACTCGCAGATACTCGCGACGACCTCCATCGACCAGGTGTACGACTTGACCGACCAGCTCCAGAAAGTCCAAGGAAGAGGCGACCACCTCAGAAATTTGGCAAGGATCAAGCCGTTCTTGGACCGCATGACTGCTTACACGGGAGCTATCGACACCTTCGTCCAGGCAAAACCCGACATTCTAGCTCTCATCTGGGGTCCGATCAGACTGCTTATCCAGTGGACCAGTACCTTGACAGGGTCCCTCAATGCATTGGTGAAGACTACCGAAGAGATCGGAAACCTTCTTTCAGAGTTCGATCACACGGCGAAACTCTTTAGTAACAAGCAACATATCAACGATGTCCTCGCCCTCCTATTCCAGGACATACTGGATTTCTACTTGGTTTCTCTCAAGTTCTTCCGAATGGCAAGTAAGTTGTCACAATCTGACCGCTGTTACTATTGGTTCTCGTGACTTACTGCCTATAACCAGAGTTGAAGTCTATGTTCGAGGCATTCTGGCCGAAGAAGAAAGAAGAGATAGAGCTTGTCATTGGCAGGATAAAGGACCACACATACCACTTGCGGAACGAAGTCCGTCTGGAAGTTATCCAGGAAGCGTACGACGCACGCCAACTTGAGATCGAGAACTTTGCCAAGTTGGAGGAAGCGAACAGGATGCAGGAATACGCCGCTGTAGAGACAGCCATAGCACCGACATTTTATGGCAAGAAGCTCAACTTCTTGCGGGGCCGTGTTTGCGAAGGGACAGGAGACTGGCTGGCCAAGGACCCAGACTTGAGCAAATGGCTGCAAGCCACCAAAGACTCCTCGAAAATCATCTGGCTTTGTGGAATTCCTGGAGCAGGTAACGACTTGAGTTCTTCATTCCGTGCGTTAGTGTTCGTGATTGACCTTGAGCATAGGTAAAACATATCTTGCGGCATCCATCGTCAACGCCTCGATATTACTTGGACCCACGTTGTTCGTGTTTCTATCCCATGAGCATCAAGACACCTCCGCGATGTCGGTGATTCACTCCCTCATCTTTCAGCTCGCCCGAAAAGGCCCAAATCTTCAGGATATGGTCCGTTATAGCAACCGGGACCCCCTCGAGTTTGATCTTGCATCTGCAGTCAGCCTTCTCTCCAATCTTATTCATGGTGCAGGGCCCGTCCGTATTGTCATTGATGGGTTGGACGAAATTGAGCAGGCCGAAAGGGTCCGCTTGCTTCGTCAGATGCTAAAAGTCTCCAGTGACTGTGATGAAGCTCGTGTCCTGGTCTGCAGTCGACCGGAAGCTGATATCACGGCCTTACTTGAAAAGACATCGAAATCTATCCGTATCGATACCCAAAACACACCAATCATCCACGCATTCGCCATGGGCCGATATCACGATTGGCTTCAGGACCGTATTCTTAGCCCAGAAGACTCGACTGAAATTGGGGGACTGATAAGCGCTCTCGCCGACCAAGCCAAAGGTATTTTCGAGCACCACAACCAAACCAGGTCTCTAAGAAATTCGAGTGCAGAGACTTATTTACAACTAGGAATGTTCCTCTATGCTCATCTGATCTTAAAGGGTCTAGACTTCCTTCACTCAGTTTCGGAGATACGACGTGATCTCAAAGTCCTGCCTACCGATCTCAATGCTGCGTATGTTGAATTGCCTCCCTAGTGCTCTTCAATCTAACAGCTTAACAGGTATGGGAGAATATTCACGCGAATAAACGAGAATCTTCCCAACGAAGCTGCTCGCGAAAAAGCCCGGAAAGTGTTGGGGTGGATCGGCCATTCGCCTGTGTCGCTAACAATCCGAGAGCTTGAGCAAGCCCTTATCGTCAACATTGGCGATTTGGATCAGGATCCCACAGGCCTATCTACCTTGTCGCTGGTTCGCTTATGCGGCCCAGTAGTAGAGGAAGTCGACGGAGAGCTTCATCTCGTGCACTTCACCGCCAAGGAGTAAGTAAACATTCGCCCAAAGAAGGCCGTGGAATTTGATTCTAAAATCTCCACAGATACTTCTTCAGCCCCATGATTCAAAACTCGCTTGATCCTGCTCAATACGTCTTGAGTCTAGCGAAGTGCTGTATAACGTACCTCAGCCAACATCACCATGATAGCAACATTGACGACGACTTGTTCCAAAACAACGTCATTCGCGGAGTATACCGCCTTCATCATTTTGCGTCAGACAATTGGTCGCGCCTTGTAGAGTCCTACGTGAAAATGGTAGCTGTGACTAAGGACTCTACAGAATTGACCCAACTTATTGCTATTCTCGACCTTTTAGCAGTACGTGCTAGTGAACACTACCTTCCGTCGGAGGAGCGGACCGATCGCGTAGCGCTGGAGGCACTCCGCACAGAAACGGGCAAGGATGCGTATGAACTTGTATGCAACGAGTTGGAATTTCACCGAGAAGCCAGTACACGACTCTTCGAGTTGGGAAAAGGTGAGCAACGTTCTGTGCCTAACCTAAAATTCCCTCCTTTCATTGCATACTTGATACTATTGATGATTTTCTTCGCGGACTAATCGTGGACTTTACGGCCCAGGCGAATGGCAAACCGGAGACCCGTTACTCATACGGCATATCACGGCCTCTCTTCATACGACCCTCGACAGTCTAATCTGCCCATTGCCCAGTCATCGAGACCTGTGCTACTGTCGAGATGTCCATCGCCACTACGGTCGGCCATTCAAATGCAGCTTTGTTGGCTGTGATTACCAACGTCTTGGTTTCGAAACCCGCAGAGACAGGCACGAACACTCCAAGACTCATGATCGCCCATGGACTTGCGAGGTCATCGATTGCGAGTACCAAGATATTGGATTTGTCTCTCGTCAAATGCGAGATCGCCACCTGGACAAAGCCCACAGAGTCAACGAACCTCCTGAGCTGGTCTTGGCCGCTACAGTGAGCGATGATGAAAGGGTTGCTGTCCTAAAAGCACTTATCAGGGAAAATAAAGTCGTTGAAGGCGGCGCTGCAAAGCAAGTGTTTGATTGCCTTTCCAGATACATCCAGCTTGAGTTGCTTGAGGAAGCAGCGTCCTGTGGGACGCATGAACTGATGGAGGTTCTTGTTTCCAAATTGTACTCTCACAACTTCATGCTTGACCGTGAAGGTCTTATAGCAGCCGCTCTGAAAAGTCAAAATCGCGAAATATTGAGATGGATTCAGACCATGTCCCGCGAGATACCTATAGAATCGGGCAAATACCGGCCTACATACAAAGTCTGGGCGGCGCTGCTGGAATCCGAAGATCCAGAAGAAATGTATCAATACGTGGAAACATGGCTATATGCGGCATCGAGTGCCAGTGCACACAAATTTGAAAGAAAGCATCGGCCAAACTGCTTTGAACAAGGATGGATTGAATCAACGCGCAGAGACTATTTGAAGGAAACCTTGCTCATTTCAGTCTGGAGTAAGCTCTATGAGTCCTCCAAGGTACCAATGCAGTCTTGGAGTTCAGCTCTGTGTTTTGTGGCAAACACGACTCGCTCGATTAGGTTGGCTGGTTGGCTCTGTCAACATAGCGCTGCAGTCGATTACGCCGACTCAATTCGGATGGGCCCGCCACTTCTTTTCGCGGCAAAGAAGGACACACTCGAATCAGCCAAGTTGATGCGATTTCTACTTTACCAAGGAGCTGATCCCGAGTGCACGGCCCGTAATCCATCTGCCATAAAGGGGGCAGTCTCGGAACTGAAGGGGCCAAGCGGGCTTCACAAATGGCTGAAGATTTCTTGGGAGGAGCTTATTGAGGAGGCAAAAGAAGCACGGAGGAATAGCGATAACCCGCCTGTACCAATTGATTGACCTGAAAACAAGAGCTAGCTATCTCTACATATCCAATGAGAGGATGTCCTGGAGCCGCTATATATAGCAATGTCAGCAAACTGATGACGGTGACAATTCAAATAACCTACATTCCACCGCATCCCGTCGACTTCTGCCTGGGAAATCGAATCTTGATCGATGGACTGACAGATGAGGCGCAACTTTTCGACCTGGATCCATTGGATATACTATCATGGTTTGTTAGATAGAGGTCCTAGAACGACGGGTGCTCTGTGGCAATAATGGAGGGATCAGGGAATAATCTACCGTTTCGATCGACTTCTTGACGATGTACCTCGTTACTGTCACTCTTTGCTTCTGCCCAAACCTGTGAACGCGACCGATGGCTTGCGATTCGGTCATTGGGTTCCATTGTGGTTCCAGGATGTGGACGTGGCAGGCTGATATGAGATCGATGCTGCATATTCGATCATTTTAGCCATAATTTAACGTCACTCAGGTAGAACGGGGTAAACCAGGAGATCACGTACCCTTCGCCAGCGCTCCCAATGCTTGCCAACATGATTGTACAAGTTGAGTCCTCCTTGAAGCGACGAATTGCTCTCCACCGCTGATCCAATGTAGCTTGGCCGTCAATCCGCTCAAGGTTGAACCCCTCATATTCGAGATCCCTTTGCACGTGGTCCATCATCTTAGTCCAACAGCTGAAAATTACGCTGTTAAGGAGTCTTGATTAGCTTTCGGTCACCACAGCAGACTTCTTGCGTTACACCCACCTCTTGCTAACAGTGCCATCGGCGCGCGGCTCTTGCTCACTGCGAAGGTTTCGTATCAACGCCTCAACTTTGGCTGAGCGACCCAAAGAATTACAAGGCTTAGACCCGAAGCCAGAAATTTGTTGACAAGCAGAGCACCCATCAAGCAATGTGTCCTCCTCGTCATCAGTCTCGTCAGTAACAAGCAGGCAAGACGAGCAAATCTCGTGCCCGCAAGGCAAGGCGTCGACATGTTCAGTCCGTCTCAACGACGCCTTGCACCTTGCGCAGGATCTTCGCAACTGCTGCATTGGCAAGTCGATCGCGTCCAAGTCCCTGAGCTTCCACGCTTCAAGAGCCGACTTGGGCAGGATTCTCTCCCCGTAGTTGCAGATAAACCGAAGGAAGAGAACGAGGGAGAGAATGTTACCATCTCCCCTGTTGACTCCCGCTCCTGGCGCTTTCTTTCCCTGGCCTTTGCCCATACCCTTTGCCATACGGAAGCTCTTTTCTTGAAAGAACCTGTACAACTCTGCGTCGCTGGCACTTAACTCCACGAAATCAACCATCTCAGATCGGGATTGAAGGCCGAGGCGAGCGCCATGGAGTGCCATCGTACGCCGCAAGCTTGTTGCGCGAACAAGGACTTGAAGGCGCTCTATACCGTAGGGCTGGTTCTCTTTAATAGGCGTAGCGACGAATCTATCAAAAAACTTCTTCTCATGCAGGCTATGGACCTGGAGAAACGATAGGAGCGCGGCATAGTCGTCGAGAGAATTGTGGATCGGGGTTCCTGTAAGACACCAGCGAGTTTGGGAGAGCTTCGAGATTGCTATGGCGGCGTGATAGAGTTGCGAGGAACGTGATCTTATGCGGTGGGCTATCGTTACTCATGTCAGCTGAGGTCGAAACTCCCTGGAGTCCACTGATTTCCCTGACCTTCATCAAGAACTATTCGACGCCATCTGTGAGAGTAGATTGTATCCTTCTCATCTTTTGCGGCAAAATCCTGGCGAAGGACTTCATACGTTGTGAGTACAATGTCATATCCTGCTAGCTCGCGAATCCGGTCGTGCCTGGATGGGCCGTGGTATCGAGTGACTTTCATTGCTCCATCAAATATGTGCCTATTGATTGATATTAATGGATAGACTACTGACTATAGGGTCAGAAAAACTTACTTCTGAATCTGGGTCTCCCACCCAATAAGTGCTAACATAGTTAGTCGCGTTGACCGTCACAGCGATGTTGTCAACTGTGCTATAACAAAACTTACTCGACTTTGGGACAATAACTAGGGTCGGACTGCAGTCGTTTGCACGTTCGATCTTACCCTCATCCCTCGCATCAAGGTACCAGCAAATAAGAGCGAGGGTGCTCAAAGTTTTACCCAGTCCCATTTCCTTTATATCGTCAACTTTGTTCTTCGACACCGAAGGGCTCCCATTCATAAACTTACATCAGCTAGAATGCCGCCATGTAGACTTGCCGGGTTCTTCTCAAACCATCCGGTAACTTTATTCCTATATCTGAAAAGGCTTAGCGTTCCATCTTCCACATGATATAATGCATCGGTTTGTTGTGAGGCGGAGGTCGTATCTCCGAGAATGCCTCTCACCTTGGATTCGCGGCATGAGGTGAGGGCTCCCACAACGTGGGAAACCTTGCGGCTTCGATGACACCGCATTCCCTCTCAACCATCATCTCTAGCGCGGCTAGTTGATGCCTGTCTTCAAATCAGCAACTCTATGCGTGTATTGCGGCGCTCAGCAAACGATTCGGTAGACGTACTCTTTTAGGGTGGCCTTCAATCTTGGACTGGATGTGACTTCGGGTATCACCTCCCCTCCACTCGCCGAGTCGAATACTCTCCATATCCTCCCTTTGCTGACTTCATCCAGTATGGTCGGGGCAGGTGTCGTTTCGTCTTCAGTCTGGAGACTCAACTCTTCGATCCTAGGCATCTTTGCGCCCGGGCGTAACAAGAAATGTGGGTTAAAGTACTCCACACTCTGGTCGTACTCGTCCAGTGTAGGATGCTGAAGATACAACTCCGCCTCGGAAAGATGTTTCCCAATCAGGTCTTTGTCGGCGAATAAACCATAGATGACGACTCGAGTTAGCCTTCCGGCAATGTGCGATTCCTGTGCCTGGGCCTTGCTAGCTTTGCTTCCTTTGGGACAATGGCCTTCGTTGGGCTTTTCAGGAGCGAATGTGGCTGTGGTATGGACCGAGAACTGTCCAAAGAGCGAACTGAGACCATCGCAGATGAAGACGCCCACAAACTTGTCGGTTTCTTCGTAGAGACTGATAACATTGCCACTCGCGCGAACTACAAATGATGGGCCATCGGGTTCCGACGCAGACGTGTTCAATGTAGTTTGCACGAGCACCTAAAACGTATTAGATCTCAAAGAGGGATGGGAGCGGTGACATTACTTACCACGCCGAAGCATGTGTCGTATTCCGACGGAGATTCCATCTTCGTGACCCCCTCGACTGGAGTTGACAAGTTATCACTTGCGCCCTCCTTTTTCTCACTCGAAACTTCCTGTAGCTCCTCCATCTCTGTCGGTGCTTCCTGTGACGGAGCTATCTCTTCCAACTCGCCGTCATCCATAGCAATATGCGCGGTTTCCGGCGTTTCCATCCCCGGGAATGGCTCCAACAGAACCTCTGAATTTTCCCAAGAGGGTACCAAGGTGTTCTGCAACCCAAAGGCAGCATCAAAGTCAGTCATAGGGAACAGCATACCATGGGGAGTAGGATTCCAGAATGCTCCCCCATACTGCTCGCCCCACGGCGAACACATTCCGCTGAGAGGCTCGTAAATTCCGGTTGAAGCTTCATGGCCCGATGGCAGCAACTGCGAATACCCAGTCATCCCATTCAGGTCGTGGGAGCCCATCAAACTCATGTCTGTTCCAGCCCCAACATCGATCCCTTCACCGACCGCCTGCCGCTTGCTCTCCATCGCGACGTCCTCCTCCACAAACGGGAACTCCCTCTTCATCCCTGCATTATTCAGCGAGGTCTCTTCAACTATATCCCAGTCCATGGCGTCTTCTCGGCATTCGATTCGATACGTAGGTGGTTGAAAAATGCGTCTCCGTAGATCAGGCTGCCAGAAGTTGTGTTCCAAGCAAGCTTGGCGCCTGGGCTTTCACAAGGCGTATTTCTGTCTTACGTCAGCAGGTATTGGAATTTCCCTTACTGGGATACTGCCATTGACATATCATGAGCCTAGATTGTCTGAGGCGTCTGATTGGGTGTATGTTTTTTCTAATTTCATTAGGTCCCTAACTTATTAAGTAGGTTTGTGTATCCAATTTGATCGATACCAGTTAAATGGCGCAGGAAAACCCAGCTCGCCCTGGATTACGCATACCGACGATGCGACGACCGAGGCTGCTCCGTTGTCTGGACGGATCAAGGGGTTCCACGGGTTTATTGGTGCTTTCTTCGGGAGGCCTCGTCGTTTCCATCGTCATTGAACGGTGCGGTTGCAGCAGCGGACAGACTTGGCTATCTCGCCAGTCTACAGGCCGCTCTCAATCATAGCATCGATCTAATTATATTGAGAGACGCTGAGCCGTGAAACCATGGTTGCTGCGAGAATGGGCGTGCTCTGGCTTTGGTGGAAATGAAGAAAAAATGTGTTGCGAGGTGACCTAGAGCCGTTTCTGGCTTTCATTATGACCCTCGACCTCCCCCATGATGTGGTATCGCGCCCACACAACGTCGCCGAAGCTCTTATGACGAATACCAGCGACATATTTGATAGCCCAGGACTCGGCCGTTGGTATTCATTCGGTACCATTGACAAAGGCATGCACAAATATATCAAGGAACAGCTGCTCAATGGGGTTTGTCATGCTGGCAGCCACCCCGATGGACTTGCTCAAAGCAAGAACAAGGGCAACTAACAGTGCATCAAAGATGGCTATATTCGCAAAGAGGTGATCGGCCAAGAGGTTGAAGAAGATATTATTGTAGCGATATGTAGAACCCATGTAGCCTGAAATTCTATACCTTGATCCTGATCTTGGAGGTTGATTCATTGATGATGATGATGTTGATACCTCCTCCGCTGGTTATTTGGACCAGCTGGAAGAGGGGTGACCAGACCGGCGAGTTATGCCTGCACTAGAGGGCTGGGCCGGTGCAAATAAGTGCCGCACCCGCTCCAGTGCAACTTGTATCCGTTATGTAAGATGAATATATAGCTTCATTGAAAAGGAATTATATACTGTAAATTATATTGTTGATACTATTGTTGGTGTTTTTTTTTCTGTTGAGCTTCTAGTCCCCCCTCTGGGTATATGTTTATTAGGGTACCCTAACCTCTTGATACCGTAAATTGACCCCCAGTTTGACAGTTAATAGATTTTACACTATTCATTTAGCCTGGTGAGTGCCCAGCAAGGCTGTACCATGGCTGAGTTGCGGCTTATACCTCCGCCGAGGCCCTTTTGTGCATTTCGCAATGATTGGCCCGACATAGTACATCGCCCGCCGTATTGGGAGAGAGAGAAGCAACAGCTGATGGCGAAAATGAGAACAAGAATCTGGTCGACGGAGGCGCTTGCTCCCATTGATGTTCGCCGTCCGCGGTCTCCTCGCGCTGCTGTGGGCCGCGTTGGGTCTCTCCCTACTCCCTGGCACGCGTAGGACGACAGCCTCTAGAGTAGTAGGAACCGGACGGGTCGCTCGGCCCTAGACTCGTCCTAGTTACCAACCAGCACGAAGCGTTCAGCAACACAAGAGTGTGCCAAGATAAGCAGCTGAAATCTAAGAATAGCCACAATGGCGGTAGTCTCTCTCGCTATCCTCTTTTCGGCTCCCGAACATTTCCGTATGTGTAATGGTAGAGTTAGTATCCCTCAATGCTACCTAATCCAGTGCCGACAGGTAGAGTGATGAGCCCCTGGTGGGAGCTTTGTTACGTGCTTGGGCTTGGTCACGTTTTCTACAGCTCTTTTTACTCTATTGCTGTGCTATCTGCTTGCGATTAGACCCCTGCATATGAGACCGGCAGTTTCGTATACTAGGGGGCCTCAAAAGCGGCTGCCCCGTGTGACTCGTTTTGTGTGAGGAACGCGTTCAAAGGGGGGTCGCTTTTGAGGCCCCCTAGTGCACACTGCACGCATCACCGCTCGGAGGTGTCATATTCCACGACATGCTCCATCTGCCACGGAACAAGCTCAGGTAGTCTTACATCTGTGTGCTCTAGCCAGACGAAGTTGAGTCGGCCTGGCGTAGCTACAGTCTCGATGTCAAGCAGTAGAACCAAGCTATGGAGAGCGGTGTGCAAGCGTCTAGCCGAACAGAGGAGACGCGGCTTGATCCTTCAAGTTAACCCTGTCGGGAACTTTCAGCTTCGAGTCGAGAGGTTGAACCAGGACCTCTTTCTGCGAATTACAGCAACTGGAGCCAGGATAAGAGGCGAGCTGAAACAGGCGTGCAGAGGTGGCGCTCTTGGCACATTTCATCTATTGACCTGTACAAGGCATGATTGGTTCATGGTTGATGCTCAGCCCCAGAGTCTGCATCTGAATGATGACCGCAGCCTTCTCATCTCTTGCACAGGTATTTATACGCACCGCAGGCGCCCGAGTGATTGCCATGAGGCACCAACGCAATTCTTCCTTTCCCAACTATGCCTTGTATTCTCATAGAATGTTAACTTCTGGGTTGGCACGCTACAACATACCTAGTATCATTACTACGTCCTCCGAACGCGGTGTTGTATCTTTTTACATTTGCCCAACTTGAGATCTAATCCCCGTTGCGAATAAATACCATCCCACGAAGTATAAATCCGTTAAATTCGCCAGAATTTACCACGAACGCCGAGCTATGAAGTCTTTCGGCACCAACTGCACCTTGCCTCCAGATGGAGTCGGTTTCGTTTCGTCGCCCAACACGAGAGGGACTCTCGATATTCTGTGGACCTGCCTCAGCGTCCTCTTAATCTGTACTTGGTCGATCCTTCATCTCAATGTTCCGATGCAGTCAACTCCGAATGGAAAAGCACAGAAATACCTGAGGTCCGCGCATCGACTGTTCTGGAAGTTGATGTGGATGATGGCGAATGTAATAGCTCCCGAATGGCCTTTTGGTAAGGCTTGGGCAGACTATCTCTCCGTATCGAGTGTTGAAAAAAGATTCGAAGAGTTAAAAGAAGAAGATCAGGTGCATTGGAGTCGGACCCATTGCTACTTCGCCAACATGGGCGGAATCGCCATCAAATTCGAGGAATCGACAAAGACTTCGCCGAAGATGCCCCACGAGACCTCAACAGTCAATGAGACTCACGATCAGCCTAATACTCCAGAACCAACCCCGAACAGCACTCCACACGAAACACAGTCTCCGACGGATAATACCGGGACCGGCATTTCTTCTAACGAAGCCACGACAAGTCCTTCCTTGCAGCCCGTGAATGAGGAACCAGTCGTTACAACTCCAGTAATATCTCATCAGATTGGTATTCATCCTGGCAACGTTCCGAAAGAGGCTGTCTCTAGCAGGAACTCTGAGCAAGATGTTGGCCATGAGGTTGAAAGCATCCCAACTGAATCACCAGTCAATAATAACTTGAAAGACGTGCCTATTGGAGGCGATTCCCTACCTGAATCCGTCAAACGCCAACTTATAATTATTCTCAACGGTCGGACATCCCCCGATGCAAGGAAAACCCGCCTGTCAGTCATGGGATCCTCGCGTCAGATTGGGTTGGTGGACTGGACACCGGACGAGACCAACATGGCCTTGGTTTCCCAAGCTCTCCAGAACCTCGCGTTCAGTGACTTTGGCAGTGACTGGGAAAAGGCACGGTTTGCCTCGTCTCTGTATCACTGGTTGTGCAACCTTACGCTTCTTGGGGGCGATCTTTGGGTATTAGACGCAAACCAAATCCTACTCGCCCGGGAGCTTGGGATCCTAGAACAACTGCCTTCTCTGCATGAGGATGACGTTGAAGACCGAAATAAAGGTGACCTCTTTGTTAAGATCGTGGCGGTGGTGCAAATCGGTTGGTTCTTCATTCAAATGGGTGCGCGTCTCAAGAAGGGTTTTGCAACTAGCCAGCTGGAAATTCTCACTCTAGCGTACGCCATCTGCACGGCCATAACCTATCTTCTTCTCCTCGATCAGCCAAAGGATGTGCAGTATTCTGTCATCATCTCCGCAACGCGTTACCCAACTTACAAAGAGCTCATCCGTCTGGCCGCGGTTGGCCCGACCTCCTTTTGGCAGCCGAGAAAGAACGTTTGGATTCCCAACACCGCTGTCCATGCAGACACACGACGTTTTGGTGCGGGACGTGATACAACACTCGCTATGGGGACTGCTTTTGCTGTCTTCCTGCTTGGGTCACTACACTGCGTAGCGTGGGAGTTCGTGTTTCCAACAGAAGTCGAGAGAACGCTGTGGCGAGCGAGTTCCATCATCACTGCACTCGCCATGCCCGCCGGGCTGGCTACAAACATGATCGTAAGAAGCATATGGAACTGTGCCTGTGGTTCCCGGGTCTCTGGCACTTTTGTTCGTCCCCGAGCACAAAACGCCGCCACCGGCTTTTCCGATCTCACGTTCGCTCTGATTTTCGTTGCTGCTCGAATCTTTACAATCGTGGAAGTCCTCCGCTCGTTGGCCTTTCTACCGTCGGATGCTTTTGTAACGACCTGGTCGAGTAATCTTCCGCATATAGGTAGTTAATAGGTAATTGAAACATAGTTCATTTATCTGCCAGAATATTAGGCTTGTGATCCTTGCTGGCAGAGACAAACAACAGCATTGCCCGGTCCAGACCGTTCTCAGTAAAGCCTCTATAAAGGCGCAGCGCTTCAATCAGCGCCTAACAATTCACGACACGTAGTGGAGGCACAGGCGCTAATGGATGACAATCATAAAGGTGATGGTGCGCAAAGAAGGAAAATTTATCGACCAGTTGGGAATTGTTTTGGACGATTCTGCCTGTTTCCTTGAGCAATTTAAGGCTGACCAGGTGAAGGTGAAGCTTACAGTATGAGCGCACCCCTGGTGTACACACTTAAGTAGCGGCTCGCAGGCGCTTACAAGAACATCGCCTTTTCAACAAAGACGCCCTGAACTCGGTACCAGCTCAACGCGTTGGTACACAGAGGATACAACGGTAGGGACTCCATGACAGTTCGCCTGGCTGCGTCTCGCTCCTCCCCATCATCAGCCACGAGGGCGATCTGGTAATGTGCCGGGTCGATGAAGTCGCGGCAGATATACCCCGTTCCAGACTCAGTCGCCCCCTGGGGACTCACACTTCGATACAACTCGCGATTCCTAGCTTCAAGACAAGACAGCGCCGGGCCAAGCACGCTGAGGACGCGCACGAATATACAGCCTCCCGCGGCGGCCGTCATGGTGGTCGGAGGCACGTCGATGGCGAAGCCGTCTTCAACTTTGCGGTCGAAGATGCCGCGAAACGGGCCGCACTTTCCGAGCAGCACGCGCGACTCGAAGCGCATGAGGATCGCCAGAAGCACCTGCGGGTCGATCTTGGTGACGGCCTGCACCTCCGAGACGGAGCGGCAGACGACGCGGCCGCGCAGGAAGTCACGCCACGGCCAGTTCTCGACGCGCATCGACTTGAAGTAGACGACGAGGAAACCCGCGGCCGTCCAGACCAGCACCGTGAGGTTCGACGGGTCCACGCCGGAGATGCGGTCCTCTACCGCTATCATGGCGACGCCGCCGCAGAGGAGCACGCCGACAGCGGCGAGGACGATCCACGAGTACCAGAGGCTGGTGATGACGATGGACCGCTCGTCCATAACCCACCTTTCCACCTCATCCATGGCGTTGCGGAACTTCTCCCCCGTCGCCAGGTACTTCTGCCGCAGTTCCCGCGAGGCTGGGCTCTCGGGGTCGCCTTGCATTCCCGAAAGGGCCCCCTCGCGCGCCATCGGCGTGTCGTAGACGTTCTGGAACTGGGCCATGTTCGAGGGAGCTCTCTTGCGGAGACTGCCTTCGTACTGGGACGTGCGGACTCGGGCGGCGGCGAGGCAGCTCTGCTGGGTGTAGAAGTTTGGAGAGTTGGTGAAGTCGGATATCTGGATGACCTGCCTCGCAAACTGGGACAAGTTGGTCGGGAATATGCCGCAGAACATGGTGTACGGAACCAAGGCCGTGATGACGTCTCTCATGTCCGTCCAGCTCCTCGAGCCGGGCGACGACACTCCTAGGATCTCCTCTGAGCCGACCAGTCCCGTCCAGTTCCAGTCGAGAGTAGTACGACCGTCTGTAGATAGTCCTTCCGCTGACGGCTGCGAGGTCCAGACTTCTCTGCAGACGTCAAAGGCCACTCCGGCGCAGTGCATCACGTTCCTGTCTGCAGCAACCCCTATAGAGCCGTCTCGCTCTTGACAGAGCTGCATCCTCATACCGCGGAATCCCGTGCCGTAGATGACGGTGCTGGTCTCGAACATTTCGGCCGTCTGCTCAACCTCCTCGTCCCACCTGAGCTCGCCAAGGCAGTTTAATAGCAGGCTCACGATGCCGCGGTCAAAGGCGTCAAGGACAATAAAGTACCGCGCCCCCGACATGTCGAGTTGCCCGATATCGAGCGCCGACCACGCCGACGATCCTTCTTCGATGCTCGGGTTTTCCTTGCCCGTCGCCTCGGGCACTCCTATTCCGCCAGGCTGGGAGCGCGTGAGTTCGCCCACCCGCATCTGCACGTCTCTGTGCGCCTCGATGGTCAGGGCAACGGCCCGCGGGAGGTCGTTCCCGAGAACCTTGAGCTTAGCCGCGAACTTGGCAATGGTGATCAGGCAATTGTCGACCCAGAACCTGCCCGTAATGGTCCGCACGAGGAGTCGCGCGAGGATGGCCGTCAGGTAATTCACGAGACCGTGGTATACCTCGTCGCTGTGCTGCGCCAGCTTGATCTTCTTGTCGAACCGGATGATGCCCTCGTCTGGGTCGAAGTTCCGGAGCAGGCTCCTGTGGGATTGCACAAACATTTCTTTGTTGGCCAGCGGCGGTTGGTGCTCGAGCAGGACGAGCTCATTGTCATGGATGCAGACGCTGAGGGCGTGCTTCAGGGAGGCTGCCATGACGTGGAGGCGGTTGTAGCCATCGCTATCGGCACCGCCGTACCATTCTGGATCGCCCTCGAGTGATGGCGGCGTCTCAGACTTCACGGCCGTCACCAGGCGATCGACCTCGAGCTTCCAGAGGTCCATCTCTTGGTCCTCCGTGACGTCGTATCTTGTCAGATCGTTGAACTTGGGCAGATCCTTCATCTCGTATCCTTCCTTGACCTTGAAGCGCCTGTGGCAGTCCAGACCAGAGAAGAGCTGCTCTTTGTCGATCTCCAGGTCCGCAAGGCGAAAGCTTACATGGTGAGTGCCGTCCTCACTCTGGCCGCCAGTCCACGGGGATGTAGCCGAGGGACCTAGACGGATGGTTTTGCTCCGCCGCAGCGTCTTGATGTCCGGCTCATCGAAATCCAATGCCTTTGAGCCGATTTCGAGATCGACAGCTTCGTTGGGTGACGAGTCCATGATGTCCATGCAACTGCTGATGTGAAATCTGGAAGAAGACCTAGTCTCTTGTTAGGAAGGGCAAAAGGCCGAAGTGGGAGCTACACCTGGAAGATATTTCTGATCTGAGTCCACAGCCTGACACGATCTGGTTCGCATTTCGGTACATTTGGAGCCTGACCCCACGGATCAGAGTCAAGTATGGTGAGTGATTGGGAGGGCGGTGCGGGCGCTCTCCAGCTGTGATGCTCGTCAGCCTCACTTCTCCAAGATGCATGCATTGTTGCCCAATAATTCCCAATAATTCCCAATAAATCCCGCACTTTCCTAGCACTTTCCCAGCACTTTCCTACGCCACCTGCAACCTGTATCACTATCACTCGCCGATACGAGCCCGGTTGGTCAGGCAGGGAGATTTCATCAAGCTCACCGCAACACTTAAGCTTAAGAGCTGACAGCCAGCCAGCCACAATGCCGCCCGACTCGTGTGCGTGAGGGGGCCGGCACGTAACAAGGATCTACGGGTCACTTGCTTCGGTCTGACCGACGCCGTGAGAGCTTGAAATTCAGTCTAGAGAGGCTCTGCTGCATTCGTTCAAGGCCCTGCCGATTCGGTGTCGTAAATATTGGCCGCACATCGCGCCCTTACCGTCGCCATACCCCAGAGCCGAGAATGCAGGCTCCGAAAGCCCGCAATCCCAGTCACGTCTTTAGTCGGCTGCTGGGAAATTCCAAAGTCCACAGCTTTTGCCTCCAGGTCAATCAGCAAGATGTCATCACCCGCGGGTTTCGCGGCCTACCAAGCCGTCCTCTCCAGCGGGGACAAATCCAATGACCCGAAAGACGCCGGCGACACGGCCAAAGGCAACACCAAAGGTGAAGATGGCAGTATCGCCTTCAACTCCAAATTCGAAGACGTCAAGGAGATCTGGCAGGACGGCGAGATCTTGGCCGTGACGCGGAGCCAGAACCAGTACAAGCGCTCGCAGCAATCCAAGAAGCGCTTCGGGGAATACTCGCTGCTCCTGCGACGCGTGCTGGACCTGAACGACAGGCAGAAGCCGAAGCTCCAGCTCGAACTCCAGTCCGACACGCTGCGGCGCGAATTCCGCCGCCTCGCAAAGGGGCTGATGAGCATCAGCCTCAATCACGACCCCATCGTCATCTACGAGCCCTACCGAGAGCTGTATTACTACAGAGCGCAGATCCAAAAGGCGGTAGCCGAGGCGGCAGATGAAGAAACGCGCCAAGAGATCCAGCTGCTCATCAACTTCGAGGCGCAGTACATGTCGCACACCATCGCCACCGTCACGTCGCTCAGAGACAACGGGACCATCGAGTTCGAGTGGCTCTGGAGTCTCTTCGCGCCAGGCTGCGACGTCGTCCTCCAGAACACCACCGCCATGGCCGCCGTGGTCGAATGGCCCGCCGTGCTGAAGTCCTACCAGGTGCAAGTCGAAGACGGCGTGCCGATGTGGGTGGTGGCGGTGACCCATACTGGCTTCAACGGCCACAAGTTCGGCCAGGTTCAGTCGAGCTTTACGTTCCCGTCCTTTTCCGGCACCGTCGACATCGCTCAGTTGCCAGTCTACCCGCTGGCATACTGCAAGCACAAGAGCCAGTTGCTGGAGGCTGCAACCGCCCGCGGGCAGAGATACGAGGCGTACTGCGTAAACAGCTCAAAGACGTCCAAGCCGCCGATTGGGACGACAATGAGGTACGAGGGCCCTTTCTGGACGATGCGGGATGAGGACGAGTATAGTCGACGGGGCTGCCGGCTGTACGATAGTCCCTCGGGTACTGTGAGTCGTTCGGAAGCAAACTTCCATGGTGTCTGATCTCTTATTAACAAGTATTGGTACCTAATAGATCAACGGCAGACTCGTTGTAGATGCAGAGGGCTTCCTGAGCCAGTTCCCTATCTTCAGAGACACCTTGATCCCCGAGGCGAGCACGGGAGATCAAGACAACAGCGACGACGAGCCGTTCAACCCCATATCCTTCTTTCGTCCGCGCCGTCTATTTCGGTCAGACACAGCCGGCTCCAGCAATCTTGTGTCGCCGCAGCTACAGAGCAAACCACTCTCGGCGGATCAACTCCTAACGTGCCCCCCGTTTGTCCCCGCCTTCTCCTTCTCCTCCCGCAGATGGGGCCTCGTCCTCATCGACAAACTCGAAGACGTCGAGTGGAATCCCGGCGTGTACGAAAAGCTCCAGATCGGGAACCGCATCAAGACTACCCTCCGTGGCATCGTGAAGGGGCATTGCGAGCATCTGACCAACTTCGACGACTTCATCCAGGACAAGGGTCGTGGCTTGGTGTTCCTGCTCCATGGGCCTCCAGGTTGCGGGAAAACAATGACAGCTGGTTGGTTTTCCGTTTCCCTAATACTGGCAATGCCTTTAAAGAGCCGATCAAGAGCGCAGCTGACTCCAGGACGAAGAGAGCATTGCAGAGTCCCTTCGAAAGCCGCTTTACAACGTGAACGGAGGAGAGCTCGGTACCTCGGCGTACACAATACAGAGAGGGTTGGAAAGGGCATTCGGGCTTGTTTCCCGCTGGGACGCCATCTTCCTCCTTGACGAGGCCGATGCCTTTTTGGCACGCCGTGGCGATAGCGTGGAGAAGAACGCCCCCATCTCAGGCGAGTCTCAACTGAAGCTCTATAGCACCCTCCACAGCATCCTTGACCCTCCAATACGCGCTCTCCTACACTATTTAGCTCCTCGTACTAACAAAGCAATCAAGTTTTCTTGAGGCTCCTAGAATACCAAGCCGGGATCATGTTCCTAACGACCAACCGCCTCGGTGATATCGACCCAGCTTTCCACTCGCGCATCCACATCTCAATTCCCTACTCCGACCTTACCGACAGTCAAAGGGCATCTATCTGGAGAGACCTAGCGCGCGAGAAGTGCGATTGCACGCTTTCCGACGCGGAGGCGGAGCTGCTAGGCACGTTGCCCGTCGACGGAAGGACCATCAAGAACGTGCTGAGGCTGGCGACGTTGTTTGCCAAGACTCGCGGCGACGAGGCAGACATGACCATGTCTGATATCGTCGAAGTGTTGCCTCTCGCAGTCGGAGATTCCACTGTGGCGAAGTTGTCGGCAGGGCAGGCGAAGGGAGAGTTGAGCGAGAAGGACGCGCTGTCTTCGGTGATGGGTCAATTCGTGGGGAACTCTTGGCCAACGAACCAACTTGAGGGCTAGAAACGGTCTGAGGCGCTTGTAATCATTGGCCTCCGACTTGGATACGATTCGAGGCGCTTATTGCGTTGGTGGGCGGGACACTTCAGCCCGCTCGTTTATTAAGGGCTTTAAGGGAAAGTCATGGAAATATGGGAGTTAGAGTTCCCGGATGAGTTAAGTGACAAAACCTCTCAATTCAAGCCAAAGTGAGAGATACGATAGAGCAAGGAAAATCTCGCCAAATGCACATGGTTCTAGATTTTTTTGCCATCTCGTAGAGTGCGCTTTAAAGCACGTTCGTGCCTGCGCTACCGGTCGTCGTGGTATCTTCCGGCCTTCTAGCCATTCGGATTTCTTACCTCGATTTTGATGGCGGGTTCAGGCTAAGGTAGATCGGGCTTTCGAAATGGTCCTTTCGAAATGCAGGCAGATTCAGAGCTGAACACACCCCTGAGAGCTGAGAAGGTCATGCGTTCAGCTTTGCATAGCACTTTCAAAAACAAGTAAGCATGACGTTACAGCCTAGAACATGCGAAAGTAGTAGAGACTGCGGGGGAATTGTGCTTGGGGAGAGTGGTCTGGAGTAATGCTCCACAACACCAAGAACTGTCAGGCTGAAATAGCGACGGAATGGTCTCCCCTCCTAGACGCAATGTCCCATCAGGACGCACGTCTTGAACAACTCAAAGAGGGTCGTGTGATAGTTGACCACCACTCGGGCCTCCGTTCCACGTACCAAGGTTGACTATGTGCCCCTGCAGCCTTCGACTAAGCCACTTCAGCTCGACTAGGGCAATGTGTAGTTCGGACGGCAAAGTGCATCATTCTTTTGGTATTGTTGCAGGTTTGGGTGTAAGGCAGCAATAGATTAATGCATTTCCGGCTGCTTGAGTTGAGAAAATGCCGCATTCTTGCCGGTTTTATCCGCCTTGGTGGCTGCTGGTGGACGTGGACAAGCAACTCATAGGTCTTTCTATATATTGTGTGAGACAAGACAGCAAGCTCGGTCACAACCAACGCCCGCAATGCTGCAGCATTATTTTTCCTTTGAGACCGAATAGACAATGCAGATCATTTAGTCAGCTCTAAGCGATCTGCGTCGGGCGGGCCGAACCAGCGCCTGACGCGATAGCATCCACAGCGTACTTCTTAGCCGAGTCGGACAGTGTCCTTGTGAACTGTGGACTGGCGGGTTCGCCGACGACTTTTAATTGAACTTGACGACTTGGATTGCGTTACATTGAGACAGCTTGGCTATTGCGAAAGTTATAGAGAACGAGAATTTGCAGATTGGAATTCAAGTTCGAAATTACATCAATTCCGGGGACTCTCCCTGGAGATGGGGTGGATATATGCCCAACCTCTAGTCGTTGGCACCTCTGTTTGCTTTTCGAGATTGAAGGCGCAATAGGAAGCACAAAGAATTCCAGAGCAAACAAATGATACATGGGGCCCCCGGAATGTCAATGAGTGTGGCGGTGTAATGGTTCATGATTGCCCACAAGCATATCGCTTGCAATTCACAATACATGTGTGTTTAGCTAATGACGTCCATATTGTCCCATTTCCTTTGCCACGCCTCCAATCTCACTTAGTTTCTTCCTCCGATTGATGAGGGAATTTTCTATATCATCCAAGTCATAGTATCCTACTGTTTTTCTTGCAGCCGATCCATATTCCATACCCTCGTCGGCCTTGCTTCGCTTTTCGCGACGTCTCAATCCCATGTGTGTGTGCCCCGTCCGTCTCACTTACTAGCCCATACCTACGCCGTCTCTGCCTTCTTCTCAGATACCGGAGCCTCGCCACCCGTAATCCCCGCCTCCTAGGCCGTGTGCTCCACGTGCATGGTGACGGGCGAACTCCCCTGGCCCTTACCATCAATTTTCTTATCTTCCAAGATGGGGGATGCCGTCTGAGCGATGGGCGACGTGGGCGCCGAGGTGGTCGTGTCGACTGCTCCCGCCGCGCCGACGACGCTCCGGATGACTTGGAACCATTTTTGAGCATCAGCCGCCGTATGGGCCTTGAATCCCAGCTCGGAGGAGCCCGTCAGCTTGCCTCCAATTGTCTTGGCCTTGTCTTTGCCCTTGACGTTGAACTTCTCGCCGTTGGGCGTGCCGATGACGGCGTCAGGGAGGTAGATGGACAGCTCCGGCTTGGGGTCTTGACGGGTGTTATCGGAGTCCTTGAACTCGTGCAGAAACTTTGCCGGCGTGACGACGTAGTAGCCCGTCGAGTAGCCCCGCGAGAGCTTGTTGCGCGACTTGCGTTCGAGCGAACCTTCGATCAGGGGCTTTGTTGACTGGTGCTCCATATTGGGAAATTGGATGGCCTCGACACTACGCGGGGGCTCATCAGGGCTGGCGAGTCGTTCGGTGTTACGGGCCTTGAATCGCGTCCACTCAAAGTCGGGAGGGACGCGCTGGATGGCGCCTAGCATATCGTTGTGTAGTGCCCGGGTCTTCTCTCCATGTCGGCTGGCGAGGTGAGTAAAGGCCTCCATCGCCTGCTGGATGCCCTCAATAACATGGGTCTCAAAGGTGGGGAAGCTATTCTGCTCGGCGATAAGGTCGTTCCGGTGGTTATTCTCAGCAATAACCTGGTTGCTCAGGCGGTGTAGAATACCACGGTGAACAACATAGGGGTCGTCATTACTAGTAAGCTTCCCGCCTGCCGCGTAGTCGAACGAAGCAGTTCGCTGGCCGAGCAGCTCAACATGCTTCTGGGTACTATTGCGAGTCTTCTCAACCTCCTTGGCACCCTTCTGCAGGCCATGGGCCAGCTCACTGGCCTTGTGCTTGATTTCCCGGTGCAGGCGCTCAAGGATAGGCAGGACGGAACCCTTGATGCTCTTCTCGGTCTCGATATTGGTATTGACGAGGGCCTGTGTGTTGGAGCGCATATTCTCGAAGAAGCCGGCGACGCCGCCGAGGCCTTGGTCAAAGTGGTGGTCCTCCTTAATGGGGTGAGACATGGTCTATAATTGTGAAGTTTTTCAGTAATGTAACATGGTCTGGAAGAGATAGAGGCTTACCTTGAATACCTTCTCGTACTCCTTCGCCTGGTGACCATGGATCTTCTCCATAGCCACCATGTACTCCTCAAGGTATCCGACCGCATGCTTCCACGCCTGCAATCGTTCTGCAAGCAATCCAGCCGTCTACCTCAATCAGCATCACGACATCTCCCCGCGGTACATCACCTCTCACGGTCTACCTACGCTCGAGGGGTCAACCTCAGGAATACCATCATCACTCAACCCCGTCGTCACCCTTGAGGGCAACTCGGACGTAGTGGGTGAAGTAGGCGTTGACATTTTTGAACCCCGGTCAAATTACCGAATCGTTCTTCTGCGGAGGGTGTAGCACATAAAAAGCTCAGGCGGGGTTTGACTGGCGCATGTTCGAGCGTCAATGCAGGAGTTGCCAGATATAGCTGCGGCCGAGCACAATGGGATGGGAGCCGAGGGGCGATTGATGTGGTGTGACATCTAGCTTGAAGATGTCGAATCAATGACGTTGCGAGAGGAGTTAGATGTCGTTTGAATGACGTTTCTCATGACAAGGCGGTAAAGTTGGGATGAATATGCTGGATTCATTATCCCTAAATTTTGTTGATTGAACTAAGAACTCGAGACGGCATGTCACCGATGTCACTCCAAAGGCTAATGTGGTGTTTGCATTCAAGACGTCCTGACAGGTGCCACTTCATTCGCTAGACATGCTTCTTCAACACGCCACAAACCTTCCATGTTGCTTCTCCTCAGCTCTCACTAGCTTTGTGACGCCTAATGGTCCCTAAAGTGGCGCTCAACATTGCTACGCTACACTAATTATTCATTCCATTTCGACAGTGCCGTTTGAAGCTTGACATACCCAAAGAGCGCCACCTCATCACACGCTTTCCCCAGATCATACGACATTTAGTGGGCAGCAAGTCGGTCGCAACCCGCAATGATGGCGATCACGGTGATGAGCGAGCCTCAGAGGCCGTCGAAGAAACTAGCAAGGACTTTGTTCCTAACTAACTTCTCCAGCAGTTTGTGTCCCGCAATAGTGAAGAGGAAATATGAAAAGAATATGCCCAGCTTGATAACTACTACGCCAGCGGTTTGCGGGGCTTTCCGGGAAATACGCCACTGTTCTCAGCGAAGCCTATGAGCCATTGGCGATGACATGGACGAATCTTGGCCTCGAAGGGGTCGTCACTGAGGCCTGTTACGTGGAGTTGCGCAAGGTAATTAGAAGAGGTCGATTCACATGCTCGACTGTGCCGTACTGACTGACATTGACACTCCTTATTGGATCGAGTTGTCACACTTTCCAATGAAGCGCACATGACGTAATTTTTCTATGAATCACGCTTTGCTTCCTTTAATACTTCGTTACTGGAAGCGGCGACGGGAATGATGTAGGATAATCAAGGTAAGATAAAATACCAATGGCATCCACGGCAATCGACTCTGTAATATTCCGCGACATCTTCAGCTCGGAGGCGATGCGCCGCGTCTTCACCGACGAGCATCGTGTGCAATGTTACCTTGATATCGAGGCGGCACTGGCACAAGTGCAGGCCAAAATCGGACTCATTCCCCCACAGGCTGCCGATGAGATCGCAGCCAAATGCACACTCGACAGTATTGACATGGCAAAGCTGAAGATCCAAACCGAGTTGATCGGCTATCCCGTCCTGCCAGTAGTGCAGCAGCTGGTAGATGTCTGCTCGAATGGTTTTGGGGAATATTGCCATTGGGGAGCGACCACCCAGGATATCACCGATACGGCCACCATGATGCAGATCCGAGAGGCACTCGCTCTGGTCGAGCAGGATCTAAAAGCAATCGTCGATTCTCTGGTCGGCCTCGGTCGCCGTTACCGCGATACGCCGATGGCAGGGCGCAGCAACCTCCAGCAGGCGGTCCCCATCACCTTCGGCTACAAAGTCGCTGCCTGGCTCTCCGCCATCCAGCGTCACCAGCAGCGGCTGGCAGAACTGCGTCCAAGGGTGCTTGTAGGCGAGTTTGGCGGTGCTGCCGGTACCCTCGCTTCGCTGGGCGACGCTGGAATGAGAGTTCAAGAAGGGCTCATGGCAGAACTCGGATTGGGCCAGCCGGAAATCGCCTGGCATACCGCTCGCGACCGCATTGCAGAGGTCGGCTGCTTCTTGGGACTGGTGACCGGGACTCTGGGCAAGATTGCAATGGATGTGAAGCTGCTAATGCAAACCGAGGTCTGCGAGGCCTTCGAGCCCTACACAAAGAATCGCGGCTCCAGCAGCACCATGCCGCAGAAGCGGAATCCGATATCCTGCAACTACATTCACGCCTGCACGGCTATGGTCCGCCAACTTGTGCCAGTCCTTCTGGACGCCATGGTCGAGGATCACGAGCGCTCCACCGGCCCCTGGGAATCTGAATGGATTGCCGTGCCTGAGATTTTCCTGTTGAGCTCTGGTGCCCTGCAACAGGCACGCGCGCTCCTCACAGGCCTGGAGGTGGACACCACACGCATGCGTTCCAATTTGGACATCACCAATGGTCTAATCTGCGCCGAAGCCGTCATGATGAGCCTGGCACCTCATCTCGGCCGGCAGCGAGCCCATGACCTGGTCTATGAAATCAGCCGACGAGCCATCGTTAGCGGACGCCCATTGCTCGATCTGTTGATGGAGATACAGGAGATTTCTTCTGTCCTGGACCGAGCCGCTTTGGAAAAGCTGCTCGATCCTGCCGAATATCTTGGTCTATGTGGCGAAATGGTCGATCGAGTCCTGGATCATACTAATGGAGCCGGACCATCCGCAGTTTCAGTGGCCTCTGCGGAAAGGGAGTAAGTCGAACGAATTGGTATGATATCAGCGGCCCCTGAGATCCCACTTTATGAATAGCCTCATTTTATAAATATTGTGTAAATAGCTTAAGTTGGAGTTTTCTTTACGAATCTCATTTTCCCCTTGTAAACGATCATTTAGCTCAGGGCACACCCGACCTTGTCCGTGCTCTTATATCGTCACACTTCTCCGTATATACTTAAATTCAATTGTTGAAAAGGGAGAAGGGCGTAGTAAAGTAGTAAGAGAATGCTAACGAATCCCTCTATTATTGACGACAAGCTGTCGGGAGAGGACTAGGACGTAGTTGAGGTTTTTAATTCGGTCTTGCAGTTATTCGATGAGGGAAATCCCTCACAGATCAAGACGATCAACAACACAGTTAATCTATCCGTCATAACGACGTTATTAGGTTCGTAATTATCATCGATCCCGTGCCGCGGGGCTCCTAGTCTGGCGGTCGGGTCCAGCCTCATAGACTACACAAGCTGTTTCAAGCTACCGTTACTTATCAGACCAAGGTAAACTAAACAGGCTTTTATGAGCACGTACTACTATTGTCCTTGTAGACCTCGCCTAGACCAATCTCGTCTCCTGTGAATAACCTTCTTTCTTCGCCATGAAGCCCGCGCTTCTGGTCTATGGCGAGCGGGCTGACTTTTCGCGCTCGCCCTTGATCTTGACAACAAGGTGTTGAAAGTTGTCGTCAATTATCCCCGGCCCTTCAGTGTTTTCTAAATTGAGCTCTCATTTTCTCATGGAGACATCCACAAATGTAGGCATAACTTTGGAGATAGATATTCAAATTTTATTGAGGGCTTGATTCGAAGGGGCTAACCGTGGGATCCCAGCAGACCGGGGCATACTCGTCGGTCTCCAAGCTTATCATGTCAGCCTCGCTCAGTTCGAAGTCGTAGATATCGGTGTTGTCCCGAATCCTCGCAGGTGTGACACTCTTCGGCAACGGAATGAAGCCCTTCTGCAGACTCCACCTGAGCAAGATCTGCGCCTCTGACTTGCCGTACTTCTCGGCTAGCTTCACCAACTGCGCTTCACCCCATCGCTCCCCGCGGACAAGCGGGCTGTAGGCCTCAACAATGATATCGCGCGCTTTGCACCACTCTACAATCTCCCTTCTCGCACACCAAGGGTGGAGTTCATACTGAGCGACATTGATCTTTCCACCCTTGCCTTTTCCTCCACGCTCGACCTCAAGCTCGCTGATATGCTGCTCGAGCTGGTCAAGGTGATGGATGCCGTAATTACTCACCCCGATGGACTTGACCTTCCCGGCCTCCTGGGCCTCTACAAGAGCCTTCCAAGCGCCCTTGCGACCTTCAGACGTGCCGTACGGGCAGTGCAGAAGCATCAGGTCGATATAGTTGAAGCCAGTTTCGGCCAAGGTCTTCTTGATCTGCGCTGTACAGTCGTCGTAGGTGATCAGGCGGACTTTGGAAGTGAAATAGACCTCGGAACGCGGGATATCGGCGGCCTCGTGAATGGCCTCGCTAGCTCCAGCTTCATTCTTGTACGACGCGGCCGAGTCGATCTAAAACCCAACTTAGCCAAATGCATTAAAAAACCAAGGTACTTGCGTTTCTCACATGTCTATACCCAACCCTCAATGCTTCGGCCACGACTTCCTTCGCTTGGCTGGGTAGCCTTGAAACGATCAGTTCTTATCTGAATTTAGAAGTAGTCATACTTACGTTTTCCAAAGCTATCGTGCACCCATGTTAGAAATGGCAGTGACGATGTAAGGGAGTTTACTTACGCCATATCCCAGGGCGGGGATCTGCTGGCCGTTGTTCAGCAATGCCTTCGTCTGTAGAGTGGGCATTTTTCTAGATGCAGGGAAGCCTCAATAAGTGCGCAAAGTCAAACTCAACACAAATAGTCAGGGAGTCGTGGCAAAGGTTTCGGCAGTGTTGTTCGATCGCCTGGAATGTGTTGCTCTAAATATCTCATAAGGATACGTGTACAATGAAGATTATCCGGATTCTCGTCAGCGGGGATGATTTAACGGATAAAAGGAGCCCAAAATGCCGATGTCGGTGCCGGTTTCGCCGTCGAGGAAAACAAATACCCGATGCAGCTTATGATTATTAATATGACCAGAAACTTTTTTTTTCCTATGTCCCTCTTCGGCGAGCAGGTCACGAAACAGTACCTAGGAGAAATTATCACTCTACTCGATTATTTCATATCCGCCATGGCTTCAATGGGCATCTTGACCGCTGTCGCCTCCGTCATTCGAGTATGTGGGAGCCCGTCGCTTCGTGCTTTTATTGGCAGAGCGCAAGAGGGAACAGGCATTGCCGAGGCTGAGTTGTGCTCCTCGACGAGCAGGGACGTCTGCGAGCTTTATAATAAGGGTGGAATTACACGAGTTTCAGGACGTCCTAATATCCTCGAGGTTGTATACGATCCGGCCGCTCCAAAATTCAGCGAGACAGGAGGCATATTCACCTTCCAAGAGTACCTCCGCACCGTCAACGACAACAAGGACTAGACTAAAAAGCAAAAGCATGAGCGAGATCCTAAAAAGAATAACGCATCCGCTTCCAATCTGTCCCTCAACGTTAGCATTGAAAAGAATGGCGCATTCGCTCCCAATTTGTCTCTCAACTTTGGCATTGAGACATATCCTCTGCCTGTTTTCCGGGCAGTTGCTACAATCGACTTAGCCTTGCAAGTTGGGGTTCTAGCTTTTGCAGTCGTTGCTACCTACCTCCTATAATGGGATAAAGATAGCAGTAAGCCAGAATCATACGCCTGTCCTGTGGTCATCGTTGGAATTATGATGGTATGCGGTGGTAACTTTCTTTGTGCATTTCTAGTCGGCCAAAAGATATTATTATTACTGTTAGTGTAATTATATATTCAGTGTATAACTATAGTTAGAGGGAGGAGCTTTGAGAAACCTCTTTTTAACTAGTAAGGCTGGATTAGAGTGTAGTAAACTGAAAGAAGTAGTGGGAGATTGGAGTTGAGGTATAATTAGAATCCTAGTAAATAGTATGTAAGACTGATATAGCTATTAGAAATATATTTTAAGATAAATAAATAGCACTTTTTTAATTTACTATAGATCTCTTATTACTATTAAAGCTATATCTGTCTCTTTTAATCTCTCTTAAAGTCAATAATAAAAGTACTAAAATAAATATATATTAGAGACCTGACTTTTTAATTAAAGGTTTTTTAAAAGTATTTTATCAACATTCCCTCTAATAAAATAAGTAATAGACTACTCTGTTGTGAGTCGATCAGCATAATGTTTAAACAGCTGCCTCATGACAATAACCCTTAATGCGATACCACAACCGAAGCATTTAACTTGCTGGTAGGTGTCTCGGTCCCGTTTATCTTCGGCTCACCTCTGATCAGCTACCAAAACGGGCTCAGTCTCACAACCCCGCCATGGAGTCCTATCTTCAGCTTGATAACGCATGGAATGCCAGCCTCGCCATCCATCAATGGGCCCAGGGCATATTGCTCAGTCGTTGATGGAAGAAAAGCTCGTCAAGTCCAGTCCAAGTTTCGATTGACACGATGGATCCTCTGTCTATTGCCACAAGCTGCCTTGGGTTGGTGTCGGCAATCGCCACCATCTCTAAGGCCGTCAACGAGCTCACCTCGGAGCTACGTGATGCCAAAGACGAGCTCAGTCGCGTTAGCAACGAGTTGACATCGTTGCAAGTGCCGCCCCGGCACATTGGCAACCGGGCACAGGCGTCAGGCGACTCTGTTGTCCCCATCGCCGCGGAGCTCCAGACCCAGATCAAGAAGATTGTGGCCAACTGTCGCACAGTGGTTGAAGAGATCGGCCGCATTGTCGACAAGTGTTCGACCCGACGGCGCGGCGCCCGCTCGGTTGGCTGGGTCTTGGTGCGGAGCGATGTGTACAGACTGCGATCGTCGCTGGAGTCGCATAAGATTGCACTGAATATCGCGCTTAGCCTTGTCGATAGGTGAGTCTTGATCTGCGAGATACTTGACGGACCTCACGTTTCTATGTATAACACATGAGGACGAGCAAATTACAGTCGCCGTGTGGTCGGTGCTGACATATCGATTGATAGCGAGCTCTGTAAGGCGATTCAAGATGACACACGCCACATCCGGTCGCAAGTCGCTGCCATCAGCTCGGATGTTAGGCGCGTGCAAAGCGACACGGCCAATATTACGGCACAAAACGCTCATATTCTAGGCGAGATTCGAAGCATGAGGGTACTGGCGCCCCAGGAAACGGTGACGAATGGCCAGATCTTGGACGCCATCCAAAACATTCTAAGTCGGCTCTCAATGGAAGCTCCCCCAGAGTCGATTCCGCTTCAGGAGCACCTAGAAATCATGCGAGAGCTCACTCGAAACCAGGCGCCACCAGATGATATCGATCCGTGGGTTGACTGGGTGGCGGATCCAAAGCCTGGATACAGCTTTTCCAATCCAATCGCCGCCACTAGACGGCAACGGCACCGAGCACTGAGTCAGAGTCTCATTGTTGCTATTGACTACGGCGTCTCTTTTACGAGTCTGTCTTGCAAGCCTTTCGTGTTAGGTGATTCCTATGGCTAACCCGAGTATGTCTTGCAGGCGTTGCGTTTGCTTGGTCGAATGCCGAAAGTCTTGATGATATTCAGGTCTTGTGTAACTATCCAGGGAATGACCGCCAATCCTTCTCGAAGCAGGTTCCATCCGTCATCGCATATGCTAGGGAGAATGTCGACCTCTGCCAAGACGTTTGGGGTTTTCTTGTGCCGCCCGGGATAAAGGCCTACCGAGGTACCAAATTGCTTATAGACCGATGCTTCACTGATGCAGGTGATGTAGGGATCGACCTTGGCTTAGACCCCCTGCGTATCCCCGTAGGCAAGACGGCGAAAGACGCGGTGGCGGATTACTTGCGGGGTCTGCGCCGCGCAATCTACGACGAGATCTGCATCAAGATGGGCGACGCGAGAGTGTCAGTGACGTCAATCTCGTTTTGGCTCACTGTGCCGGCGATATGGCCTGAAAGAGCTAAGATGCTTTTGAAAAAAAGCCGCTACAGAAGCTGGACTTATATCAAAGCCCTCGGACAGCATCCTTCTTATACCAGAGCCAGAAGCCGCAGCCCACGCGGCTCTCAATCCGGTCCTCAAGCAGCCTGATGTGCGCCTTCGAGTATGCTTATACCCTCATATGTTACCCCATCCCGGTATTTCAGCGCAAATTCTGCTGGAGAGGCGGGCTTTGTGTGGAATTCTAGAGTGACATGCCGGGTAGAAAGAGTGAGAGACGCAGTGCCACAGCATAGCATCAGACTGGGCGGTCAAATGCAGCCACCCACCTACTTTTCAAATTAACCTTGCCTATTGTGTATATTGAATGGGCTCTGTTCGATAGGGAGTGACCCTGTTGTGCGAGGTTGAACTCTGTCTTGTTTAGAAAATCAAGTTTTATTTTTTATGTTCAATTTTATTTTCCGTGTCTGTAAGCTCAACTAGACGAATCAAATCCTTTGCAACATCAAGCGGAGTGCAATTTCAAGAGCATTTTTGCTCTGCGGAGGATTGTGTTGCGCCTGGATTATCGCTGCCAGTACTCATGAGTCACGACGAATGTCAGACGGACCGATAGGAAAAGTCAGCTTTGCAAAGGACCGGACCTGTACCGTGGTTTTCCTTTGAATCTAGATAGAGACTTTCAACCTAGATGACCCTGATGACCCTCAACAACCTAGATGATTCAACGGTTAGGATCGGGATCATCAGATCAGGGATATCTGGCCTCATCAAAGGCATCTGGATCAGTCAGATCCCTAGGCATAAATAGCTAGCTTTCTTCCTTCCTAGACCAAAAGACAAGATCATCCATCGTCCCAAGCTGTCTCAACCAATCCACTTGTCTGATAACGAAAGTTTGGGTGGATTTGGTTCAGAATTGGGTCACAATGGGACGCGTTACACAGTCGCGTACGTATGTTGTGGGGGTGCGCGCAAAGGGTGTGCCCCTCCTTAAAGTCTGGTCTGGCTGTCGACACCAAACTACGTCAACTACGTCAACTAAAGTCCGCCCATCAAGGTTGAATTGCTGCTTGTCACAAAGGTAGATTAAGTTTTGCAGCCATGTCAAGCCGAAAAGGCTAAATTCAAGATGAATATATATACCGCTGGCTGACCCCAGAACCTGGTTCTCTCTTTCCTCACCTTGCCATCATCCATCATCCATCATCCATCATCCATCATTGCAGTTATCGCTGTGCAGACGCCATCCATCATGTCAAACCCCGTCGATCAAACCAATCATCATCGTGAAGAGCCTACACAGAAGCCATCAGTAGCGCCATCTTCCCCTATCAAAGCCATCCCAATTCCCTACAGAACCTCGTCGCTGGCTGCTTCCCTGCCGCCAAGAGTCTCTGCCTCGTCAATCCCTCAGCGCACAAGCAGCAAGAGGAAGACATCAAGTCAATGGGACACCAAGTTCACGGATTTGAGTACAGAAGAACTCGACCTAAGAATCAATGATATTGGAGCGAAACTGAAGGAGGCGCGAAAGAATCTGAAGAGAAAGATCTCGATGGATGGCGAATATTGGGACCGTTACTTGGAGATCTCCCAGCTCCACCAGGATCATGCCCAGATGGAGTCCCAGATTGGACTTAGAAAGTTCCAAGAAACTCCTGGCCAGTCATGGTATGACCAACCAGATGCGCAAAGCCTCAAGCTACAGCACGACAGCTGGAGCCAGTGGGACAGCATCATGAAGAAGCATGTTAAGAGAATTCAAAATCGTGTCGCTTCGGGCCGCGAAACATTTGTCCGCCTCTTTACAACATCCAAGGTTGGCCTTGACCTACCTGCAGGCGTCGGCAGGAGGGATTCATCGTTACAGTCCAACTTTGTCGCCAGCATGATAAAGGCGTATTGTCCTGATCCCCCTGCTATTGACCATCGCTGGGAGCCTGTTCTACAGAAGTGGATGGATGACGATTGCGTACATGCTGCTCACTTGTTCCCGTATCGACAATCTCCCTGCATGGACGAAATCTTTGGCAAAGGCGCAAGTGAAGAGCTCTTTGCTCCTGAGAATGGCCTCTTTCTTCACAAGCATATCGAGAACGCTCTTAACAAGGGCCTTCTTGCCATTGTGCCCGACCTTGACCTGGATCCGGCTGATCCCCAATTTCCTCTCAATGATCAGCAGGAACGACAAAACAGGGTCAAAGAGTGGGAGAATTGGCCGGTCAAGGACTACAAGATCGTCATCATCGACAAGGACAACAATCGCGTCAAAAATACTAAGCTATTCATTGTCGAAGATTTCGGTTTCCAAACTCTAGGAGAGCTTGACGGTCGAAAGCTTGTTTTTAAGACAAACTTTCGGCCTCGAGCAAGATATATCTGGTGGACCTATCTCAACACTATTCTCCGAACGGCTTGGAACCAGCAAGGAAAAGATGGCAACGTTCAGCACCACGAAGTTCGCAAAGCGACACGTTACTGGGGAACCCGTGGCCGATACGTGATGCAGAACCAGTTGCTTGGTTTTGTTGAAGAAATCGGCCATGATGTTGAAAGCATCTTAGAACAAGGAGACGACAATGAGGATACCCAAGAACCCGGGCTTGAAGCAGTTGTGGCTATAGTGCAAGAGGCTATGGTGAGCTCTTTACAACACGATAAGAAAGAAGGTGAGGACAGTGATGAAAATGAGGATGGTGATGAATAGGGGGGGTAGTGACAAAGAGGAGGATAGTGATGAAAGGGAGTGGAATTAAAAATAGAGTGTGAAAGACAAAGAATATTACAAGGGTACCCGAGTATATTGTAAATCAAGGTGCTATCCCATGGTCCCCCCCTTCCAAGAGAGGACGCTCCTACTGTCTCTCTAAGTTTTACGGCTGAAGTACTGCTAGCTAAGGATGCTATACCTCTAGGTCAACACCGACTACTATAACTTGGAGAATTGTAATAACAATCAGATCCATACTCAATAGCCGTGAAACCTGAGAGATCTTAATCTCTTTAACAACATGTATCGCAGCTGCAGCCACTGTCTCTCTCTCAGTAATCAGTTCGCAGATGCGCCGGAAACATAACCGTAGGTTCTGGCACTTTTGTTTGATCCGTCAGAGGACTCGTAAGTTGATTGACAACGCAGCACGACAGATTCCGGAAGAAGACCTACTAGCATGCTTCTGGATACTGTGACAGTTCCCCAAGCAATGCATCCGTTTTCTCACTTTAGAGAACTGAAGCCCTAGCATACTCACTATGGGAAGTATAAATAATATAGGTCTCCTGATATTAGATATACTAATAATAGACTGTCCCCTACTGGAAATTAGTCAATATCCACACCCTAGGATAGTAATAACAACATCTTTACTTATTCTGCCCCAATTCCAAGATACTTAGAGACTCCCTTATATTCCTCATAGAGCCCAAACTGATAAAGCAAATCTAGAATACGCCGTTTCACACTATTTAAGTAAGGAAAAGAACCAAATACACATAGAAATCTATTACTTTCTTCTGAGAATCGAGAATAGCACAGAATAGAAGTTATCCTCGCATTCCTTTAGTTGAACTTAGAAGGTTCTCGTGGTGGTCAATCTTTCCGCCACTTCTTTAGCGCTATGAGACCATTGAGCAATCCGCAGAGAAGAGGTGCCATGCATCTAAACTTGCTCACACATCTGCCCCAACCGTATGTCCCCAAGTATGCGTATTGATTGACGATCCAAGAGAACTTTTCTTATGTGTAAAAATAGCAATCCTCTTTATATAACCTCATACGCTGCCGTGGTGTGTCACTCACTTATCGAATAAAGTGAGAACGACGTCTTACAGTAGAAAACAACCGCATTCTCCGCCTCAAGGTCGCCAATATCAACATGGCGGCCTCTGCGGTGGAATCAGGTGTCACCCATCGCATCCTTGCAGCGATGCACCTACCGATCATATCGTCAAGGTATTACAGCAGACTGAGTCCTATATAGTAGCTGTTATCTATACCTGTAATTGCAAGTATTGTGATTATAGACTTACCTTTTAGCCAGACGGGCTATTAGGTGTAAAGCGAAGTGCAGATCGTTATATATGCGATATCCGAGGTACTGTTAACTCCGTTAAGCTTTTAAGAGCTACCTGGATGCTCTAGCTATTATAATTGCTGGCAAGTATACGGAGTAGTTACTGGTGTATTTAGTTTGCTTAGTATGGTTAAGAGGATCTACTTATTATCCAGTTATATTAGCTTTATTATTCAATCTAGAATAAATTAGTAATATTTCCTATAAGCCTTGTAGTATAAATAGAAAGCTGTTATTCCACCAAACTACGGAAGGTTGTATTGGGAGTTCCTATATCTATAAATACCACTTTATTACTGCCAAATTTTTTATCCTGTTTATTATTCAGTATGTTAATTTTTCGTAGTATGGAGCAGAGATATCTTATATCTGCTATCTCTACCCTAGCACAGCCTGCCCCTTAAGAACCGAAAGCGAGTATAGAAGCGATAAGATATGATTTTAAAGACGGCCCGACTGTAAGGCATCCTTATATGAGCCCAAAAGGGCTAAGTTAATTTGTGTTGGTGTCAGCCAGTTGTATATATTAAGTTATTAGAGGCGCTATCTTAGACCCTTTTCACCATCTGCCCCTTGCTCCTGATGCTGCTATAGATTCAGCCGATAAGAATGACAGCATGCCAGCTCTTATTGTGCTGGAGAAAATGCCTGTGCAGGTGGAGATGCAGGACCTGCAGGAGGATTGGACTGGTTTAATAAGTTGGATAGAATGAAAGCGGCTGTAAAATTGCCTTAATTAGAGAGTGTATAGTTGGTTCCTTACTCCCGCTTTAAGCTAACTTGACTGATCTATAGTATGGCGTTAATAGGGAAGAGAAAGCAAGTTTGGATTTCCTTCAGCGGAGAGCCTAGCAACTAACTGCCCTAAAATCTCCCAGATGGTTTTTAGACTGCACGACTAATTTAGAATAATGAGATATAGGAAGGGATGGCTTCAATGAGTCAAGTATTATCCGCCGAGGTATATAAACTTCAACTTGATGCTGAAAGGTGCAAGAGGATTCTTAATTTCGTATGAATGGTGTATGAGAATTACAGTCGCCGCACCCCACAACCTACGCACCTTTTCCCCCTCATCCGGTTCAACGTTTTAGATGCAATTATATGCAATGCAGCAGTTTTGGGCTTTAGATTAAGTTGGCTCTGTGCTGATGAGCTGATATCACCGTTCAATCAGTATGGCCCCGACCTACCCGCATCTACCCCAGAAAAGTCATATCCACACGCCCTCCGCCCATCGGAGCTGCAGGTTTCTATGGTACATCACCCTTGGTCCGACTTATTACCTATCCCTGCTTTGCGAGATAACCTCCTACGTGCTATCCAAGCTGGCTTTGACGAGGATTATTTGTGTGCGGACATCATGCGGGTCGACGAGAACTACGCGGAGAGAGCTTGTCTGATTGTCTGGGGCTCCCCATGGGATATTCAAGGGTGGGAGGCGAGCATCCCATTTTTGAAGAAATGGGGTTGGCTACTGAATGGATGTTCCGAGATCCTTGTAGCAACCAACTACTGGCGCGAGAGAAGGGGTGAGAGGAGGCTTCGATTGTCAGATTTTAGTCACTCTCAGGTAGTACCAACACCTGGGGCGTCTGACTAGATGCTGATGTTGACTTATCGGTTCGAAATAGGGACCAGAAGCACGTGGCTTGCGATTAGGATGGCTAGTTACATGTAGGATAAGCAGCGACGTGTGTGTCACGCCCAGCAGCAGCTGGCTGTCGATATCACCAAGTCCAAAGCTGCGGATATGTGCAAACAAACTCTTTAACTAATATAAAGCTGCAATCAAGATATCTTCTGCTGTCATCTTATACATGGGCTACTTGCTTGCTTCCCGACCATCGGAGTATCATCTGCATTTAGACCCTAAAAGCACTACAAGGTGGGCATGGCGTCATCACCACTTCTTGGGGCCCTAGCATTGGTGTCACAGAACTTCCCTTCAATTCATTTTCAATTCCCTCCTCCTCATATCCCTGTAGTTAATTATGAGGGCGACTTGACGATGTCAAACTCATTCATATGGCTTTATTATTTGCAGAATATTTCCCAGTAACTATCGCCAAGGCACGGTAAGCAGGATAGCATACCTGCATAAAGATCGTGCTAGTCGGGAAAGAAAATACAGAGGTTAATTAGTTCATTAACTTTGCAATTAGCGGATGAATCAATCTAGTCGTTGTGCTATCACATCATAGGCTGTGTATGCAGCTTCCTCTCCTACTTATCCCTATCATATCCCTGCTGGTAACTAGCTTGCCTTAAAGTTCTGGATTGCCCGCTACAGTAACAGTACATTTACCATCAGCTGTATTTATCCATCCATCAGTAAGATAGAGTAAGCTTCAATAACAGCTCATCAAACGCCATAGTGAACGTAGGGTACTCAATTGGTCGATTGACCCTCCTACATGCATCATTGCGGCGTTGCTATCAACATCCCTGTAAAGCCTTAATACGGGGCTATCAGCAGACATCGATTTCCCCAATTAATCTGACATATGTGTACCTGTTCACCCTATACAATAATGTCATGCATATATGTGCTGTAAAAATGATGACTGCGTAACTTGTGTCGCAAAAGGTCTGTGATAAATTCCTTACGGTCAATAGCGTGGTTTGATTACGAAGGAATCCAATTTAGCGCCTGAATAATCAGCCCCTAATCTCTTTTGCTTCAGCTGAGGCGCTGTGGCTTAGAAAAGGCGTAACGGGAAGCTGGAGATGACCAACAGGAAGTTGAGTTTGTACCAAAACAGTTTGGTACAATACTTCTTCGGGAGGTAAATAAGCATATCTACCCGCTACGAGTCCTATTGATGGGTACCCACCCCGATGTGCCGAAGACCAAGGCCGCGGAGATCGACCCTTGAGGCATACAGTGAAGGAGTACTAGTGGGCATTCGGTTTCCGGTTGGGACGTGTGTTTAAAGAGAAATTGACAAATCATCATGGATTACAGGTCATTCCGTACAAAGAATCCAATGCAGCCCCTGATCCCTTCGCTTCAGCTAGGCGCTGGTGGCTGAGAAAAGGCGCTGCGGCTGAGGAGAGTCGCAACAGCAGACTAGAGATGACTAGTTAATTGGTCAGAAAGCTCAGGCTGAATGCAATAGTTTAAGCCATAAACAATGACAGGGGCTTCAAATTTATCAGGGGTATGGTATAGGCTGCCACTAACAAGTAATAAAGTAAGCCGACGGATCCATTCCCCCCGCAAACAATTCTAGTCTACCCCCAAGCAAGCTTGTCGTCTCCCCTCAAGACTTCTTTCTTCCTTCTTTCCGTCATCTCCTGTTTGGCACCCAGATTTCAGCACAATTCCACGCGCATTCGCCATGAAAATCCTGTCCATCATTCCCATAGCCCTAGGGTTGGCGCAGCTCTCGTTGGCTCGGAAAGCCGACACGCGCATGCACCTGGACGAGTGCCGCGAGGTGAAGTCCATGGGCCTGAATACTTGTGCGTACTGCAACTGGACCGGTATTGCCCATTGCGACACTGCGGCCTACTGGGATAGCTGCAGGGACAACCCGACGCCAAATCCGTGCCGTTCCGACGAAATCATCGCCGTGGACTCCAGAGACTACGCTATCAACTATGACAACACCTGCGAAAAGGTCTGCCCCGACCAATACTGCTACTCCGAAACTAATAAATACGCCACGACGTGCTGCCGCTGTCCCAAGGGCTATGTGCCAAGTATCACGCCACCGACGTGTCGCGCGAAACGGGGCAGTGACGTCGGCGTTACATGTGTTGGGTGTGACAACCCTGACGAGGTTCTCACAGGAAACGATCAGACAGGATGGGAGTGCCAACCGAAGCCGAAACCTCCGCCCCCTCCCACATGCAACCGCGTTTGCCACAAGGATACTTGGTGTCCAGCCCAGTGGGTGAAGAAGACTGGCAAGAATGGAAAGACGATCAAGTTGTGCCAGTGTACTGGCGGCAACTGCAAAGGCAAAGATGCGACCTGTCCTTCTGCATGCCTGGGAAGCTACAAAAAGCCCAAGACCTGCCCTTCCTTCAACTGCCCAAAGGTGAAAGATAAAGACTTTTGCTTTCCTAGCCAGGAGGGCCTCGATCTGATCAAGAGTTCGGAAAGCCATTGTAGCACCTTCTACAATGTCTGTGATGGAGTCAAAACGATAGGTAAGTCCATCCAAGCTGGAAATACGGGCGATGATGGAAAAGTATATTCTAACAGCAGCTTCTAGGATGGGGTCACAACTGCAACGCCCATAAGGACTGCGGTGGCCTTACTCTACCTCTATCCCCCTGCGAATCCGAAAGGCTGTTCACATGCGACGTCACGGAACTGATGCAGCGCGTCAAGAAACTGCCCAACTACCGACGCTTGTCCCTCAACCAATTCTCCGCCATGGTCAGCTTAGCGTACCAATATCCGGCCGCTTTCAACAAAGGACGGGCTATCTGGAAGCATATGGATGTCAAGGCTAGCGAGTTTGACTATCGCGCCGTTTGCAAGGACATCTTGACGGCAACGTCGGACCACCAGAGCCGTAGGCAGAAGGAGTCGAAGTTGTGCCTCAAAGAGCCCGTTACGGCGATGAAATGTGTCAAGCCAGTGGTGGGCTGAGCTGCACGAGCCTATGCTCATCAAGCTGCTTCCATTATTTATTTTACGAGAGATTGAGGTAGATAAAGATAGTTTTAGCATTGCTATTGCAAACGTTCAAAATGCATTTGCACTGACGTACATGAGCCAGTTTCACCAGGAAGTGTCAACAACATACCCATTAATAAATTTGAGCTGATCAAATTGAATGGGCTTTATCCCAACCCCTCAGAATCTGAATTCCGTAGTTTAATTTTAATCTTTCAATTGAAGTCAGGGCAAAGACTAGAGTTTTCTATGAACAGATACTTCCAGTTGGGTGCTCGGGCCATGTGCATAACTGTGTGCTGAAGTTGTGTACGGAGATTTGTACTTTCGTACAAATAGCGTTTTGAATGCATGTGAATAGCAATGCTTTGGCTTCAATACTAATACGGTCGAGAGTAAATTGAAGCAGTGCTTCTTTGTGTAAACTGTATTCATTTCCGATGCTTCTATCAGTCTTCCATCCCCGTGTCTTACGTAGCCTAGCCCATCTTCTTCCTAATATATTAGAATTATGCTATGCCCCTCTTCCTCCCAGTTTCATCATGCTAACTTATCGAACCCCAGAATCCCACATGGACAATATTTACTTGTGGCTACCCTCGCCAATGCAGTAGGGAATCGGGTATGTCTCGCTGCTGCACAGACGAATAACCCCCTTTACCCAGTTGAGATTTCCGTAATTCTGACTTTCGTAGCTATCGCTGACAAAACTTGACTTCTCCCAGCTGTCAGTGCAGCCATCGAGAACATTTCCCTGCACACGGCGCACGTAGGGCTCGCTGACAATAACACCGTGATGACCATCGGGGACCTCGAAAGTCAACGATTGTTCTTGAGAGGTAGTCCAGGACTCAGATACTTCGACTGAGAGCGACAAGCCAAGAATTTCTTTTGCAGCGCTGACGCTAATTTCGCTACCAACGGATACCGAGTTGGAGATCTCATAGCCTGAGGATACAGTAACGCTGCCTTTGCCACCCACGCTGCTGATGACTGGAGAGATTGCAATGTCCCAATTGAGAAATTGTTCGTCTGATAGGATTTGGACCTCGGTACTCTTCTCACAGCCACGGCGATGAAGAACTGGGTTTGAGATTTGTTGGACACCAGAGGTCCGAGGTGCAGCTCCTCTGGTCTCAAGTGCATGAAAGTCAGCAGCCTTCATGATCCGAGAGGTGCCGTCGTTGCCCAGGACGATTATATCGTCAGCGGAGAGGGGGCCTGAGGCGATGGCGGCGTTGGAAACAGAGATGAGGCCGAACATGGCCAGAACAACGGAAGGAATCATTTTGAAGACTCGAGTGATGGAACCCTTAGTTGTGAGGGTGAATTAGGTAATGAGTGTGAGTTTGTAGCGAGTGAGGGTTGTCAACGAGTGATTTTAAAAACGAGTGAAAGTTGACAGTGAATGCAAATCGATAACGAATGTGAGTGATGCTGTGGGTGATCTAGAAACTGGTCTCCCGTTCAAGAGGCCATTTATCTTTTTAGAGGAGGCGACTTCACTTGTGGATTCTACCCACTCTGCTTCCGTGTTCTCTCCTCTCAACCCTAATGGAGATGCATGAAAGGGATCCTGGGTAGTCCATGACGAGGCGCAGGGAATTGAGGACGGATGAAAGGGATAGTCAGCGCCCATTCCCAATGGGACTCTCCTCTGCAACCCCAGGCTGTCCGATTGGGGGAATTTGATCGTGATGTCGAGTCAGGCATGTTTACCAACGGCGGTTTCTCCACGAGAGACGAACCGGAGCGCGATTCTCCGAGTTTCAAAATGAACAAGGGCTCTAAATCAGGAAAAAGAACTGACCATGTGAGATGCATTACCTCGTGAAATCTGGGAGCCCCGCCGCACGGGTCCATGCAAAGATGCAACCCCATGATTAATCGGCTGTTACGGGAGATATTTCAATCCGATGTCGAGGCGGATGGCAGCCGGCGCAGGGGAATTAGAGTTCAATACCGGGTTAATTAATGTCGGCTTGATTACCGACTCATCACAAAGACGAATACACAGCCTCGACAATGTCACCGCCCCGCTGTTTCAGGCAACCCGTATTCTTTAGTTGGGGTTCATGCATGGTCTTGGCACATGAGTAAGCTGCAGTGACATCGTAGGGTGCTTGTGAAAGGAGTCGTGGTAAGAGCAGAGTTGATTGCTGGTCTTGCTGATATAAGTTGCTGTATATTCTGCTCATTCCTGTCTCTGTCACCCACATCAACGCTCGTTTCAACATTGCATCTTGTCGATTTATATTGGCTTTCCTTCGTTCTCTCGTTTGTTGCTTCCTTCATTCGTTCAGTCGTTCGCTCATTCAGTCATTCTTTGTACAAAGTTTTATCGCAACTACACTACGCCGCTCAACCGACAACATGCTGGCCAGATTCATTCCCGCCATTCTCTTCTTCGCTTTCGCGTACGTACCCACAGGTATCAACCCAAAAGAAATCTAGTTGACATGTTCGTAGTGCGGCAGATCTTCATGATAGCTGCACGTGCCACAATGGCGACAGCTACAACTGGCGAATGACCACAAACGCATGTGCTTCATACAACGACGCCAACTACCAGGTATGTAGCAGACCAGCTCTACAGCAGCTAGTAGTATCATTCTAACTCTGGCAGTGGGGTGGCGCTTTCTATGATACTCCATCTGGACGAGTACGTATATTCCGAATTGAACCGGCGAGCTTTTCTAACCATTCTAGTGCACCCAACAATCGGCTGAAGAACAACTTGCCGGGGATCAATGGGAGGCAGCATGCAAAGAAATTGCCAAAACTGGCTTCCAGTGTTCGGATGGTGTGGGAACTTGCTATGCTAACCCAGATGATGTTCGTGGTTGGTGTTAATATTCTTAAAGAGGGGTGGACTTGAGAGGGGAGGAATCTGGGCCCTCAATGCGATGAACAAGTAGGGAATGGGGACATAATGGGGATAGGCAAAGAGCGTAAAATAAATGAATCATAATTTTTTCCGACTAAACTTTCAAGAGTCTGTATTTTTAGGTGCACTACAAGTCCGTAACTGACTTGAGTTGAGAGATGTGGTGCATGCACTCTCAGGTCTTCCTTTTACCAAGGGTGGATCCAGCCAAGCATGCTTTTCTGGATCTTGAAGCCATCGCCTAATTGAAGAAATTAAAGAAAACCAGCGCAGCAACTTGTAACAACGCAAAGCGTGCAAGCTGTGGCACCAGAGAAATGGCTTCGTCCCACTGTGTGGGTTCTTAGACACATTACCAAGGCAGAAGATAATGCTTGACCCTGGAAGTTGCAGATGGCACTAATCTCAGGTCAGGCATGTTCTCGGCTCATCAGCAGCATGCAAGTCGTCACCTTCGTCCCCTTTACTCCGACAGTCATGTGTGAATAAGGAATTCAAATGGATAAGATCACTATCACGCAGTGGCTGTTCACATGGAAATTGGTGAATAACCTGATTTAGTATTGGCTATTCTTGTAGGTACCCTTTCCGACCGGGACCATACCTAATCATCCCAAGCCCACATTTGTCGATCCTAGTTATTCGACTTGCATTTGCATGCATCCCTCTCAAGCACGAACCTCACGCTTGAACCCGTCCTGTCCATCGGGAGCATTGCGTCCAAAGAGACCTAGTGATTCCAATGTTAGCGAGAATTGCAAAAGGGGTCGAGAGCGCTTACCGTTGCCTCCTCCACCAATTGCGAGAACGCCATTGTTGAGAAGGACAATCACGTCGTTGTTGCCAACAAGGTTGAATATCTGCAGCGTGCGGATCTGCTGGAGCTGGCCCAGCACGATGATCTGGTTGGCGAATCCAATGTTGTTGACGTTGCCGAGGTTGATGATGCCTTGCATACCCATCTGCTTGACGAGGCCTTCGATCTGAGGGGCGAGGTTGAGGATATCGCCGAGGTTGATCACCTGGCCGTTGTTCTTGCCGTCACCTTTCTTCCCGTCCTTGTTGTCATCCTTGTTCTCATCCTGGTTGTCACCCTGGTTCTCGTCTTGGTTCTCATCTTGGTTCCCATCCTGGTTCTCGCCCTCTGCAGGCGCTTCGGTCTCAGCCGGCGCGGCAGTCTCGGCTAGCGCGGTAGTCTCAGCCGGAGTGGCGGTCTCAACCAGGGTTTCACCTTCAACAGGTGTTGCAGCCTCGGCCGGCGTCTCGGTGACAGCCGGCGTTTCAGTCTCGGTCACGGCCGCTTCACCCTCAGCCGGAGTCTCGGTCACGGCTGCTTCGCCCTCAGCCGGAGTCTCGGTCACGGCTGCTTCGCCCTCAGCCGGAGTCTCGGTCACGGCTGCTTCGCCCTCAGCAGGGGTCTCGGCCGGCACTTCACCTTCAGCAGGCGCCACGGCTTCCGAGCGGACTGCTAGTTTAGCCACCTCGCCACCAAGGGCGTGGATGTGGCGGGTATCAAGCTCTGAACGGCGTTGGTCCAGTTGAGGAACGGCGACGGCCGACACCAGGCCAGCGGTCAGGATGAGCATAGAGAGAGACTTCATCTTGTCGGTAAAGAAAGTGATGAATTTTTTTGGAAAAAAAACCTGAAATCAATTCAGAAATGAGTGAAGTAATTAACGGTGAATGGAATAGAGCCCAGCTCTTTGAAAAGAAGGTATGAAAGAAGGAAGAGGAGGATGAATGTGTCTTGGATGATGAGAAAAAAGTATATTGTGGTGAGGTGGAAGGCAGCATATTATACTACTTCGACTCATCGTCAGACAACGCCCACAGTCGTTCAATCAGGTTCCTCTCTGATCGACAATGGGAGTGTATGACAATGCCAAGAGTGCATCTCCACGGAAGCTCTCGCACCCGCGTATGATCTCGTCGCAAGTGCTAGCGGCAGATCCAACATGGTGGAATTCGCAGCCAAGTATCAACATGGTCCCGGCATCCCGCCATCCGTCACCTTAAACCATCCGAGCCCGTACGACAGATGTACAATGGTGCGGAATTCACTGTCGTCCCGTCTTGTGAAACTTGGCGGTCTGGTGTTCTGGAGACGAAGGGCCTGTGCATTAATCACAATCCCATGGTCCTACCGGAGCTCGGATACGGGGGGTTTTTTGCAAGTGCAGTGCTGATCAGGAGGTTGATGTCACAGCCCAGTGAGAATGGACCGATGCCAAGGGATAAAGTGCCTAAGAGGGGAACGCTTAGTTCGTCGGGAGTCGGTAGAGGCGGATCTTAAACCCCAGTCGCTTCTCCAATGTAAGATCGGCCGGCATCCGGAGAGCGAGAATCCCGGTCTCGGGTTTCACAGAAGAGCATCTAACATTGAAGATCAATAACACGCGTTTTGGGCTCGCTGTGGCGCAACGAGCTGTAGGCAATGGGCTTCAAAGTTCAAAGTAAGCTTGTTTTTATCCGGATGGCATTTGGATTAGCTTGACAGTGAGGCTTGTCTTGCAAGCGCCGCAATGATGGAGAAAGTATGCTTTGGAAGAGAGAAGCGTATCCCAGCCCGTATACTCCCGATAATCCGAATAACCGTCACGTTTCCCGCGATACCCAGTGCATTTCCACGGTTCTAGTTGATAGAAAGCCACTCCAACCATCTCCTTTGGCAACAGAGATGCAGGTACCCAGGATACCAGCGTAGGGCTTCAAATGCGGGGAAAGCTTAGCTTTTGTCTGAAACAAATGGTGGTGCATCGGAACGGAGGTATCCGAGATCTCCGACAGCTCCGAATCCAACCCCTTAAATGCTTCAGAAAGTATGTGCTTACTGCGGGAGCCCTGTTTGACTCGGGCAACGCCAAGGAAATTTTCTAAGCATCAGAGAGGGAGGAAAACAAGACGAAGCCAGGCAATGGTCAGATTTAGTGGTTGGTGATGCATGGAATGAAGTGTCGTATTGCGGCATCCCACATCGACTTTATTGTCCAATTTCCTCGCAATCATTGACCAAAAAGGCCACATATTCAAATTCAATGACTGAATTACATACGCAAGCATCATGAGCATGCACAATGTATTGCTTAAAGGAGTGCCGACTCCGAATAGCAAAGTAAAGGTGAGAGTCTAGGGTAGGTGTTCCGCTTTTTTTTAGACTGAAAAAAATAAGCGCCAAAAAATGATCCGAGGTCAGAGAAACAGGAAATATTTCGGGGACGAATCTTCAAATATTCCCAGATGAATTTCAAGGAAACAACGAATAGATGTTCTGTATGCGTGGGTTTTGAGGGTGGGCCAAAAACCAGGCGAAGATGTTTGTGGCACTCCGCTTTAATTTGGGTCGTTTTGATACAGGCTTCTAGCTGTGAAGCACACAATGCCCTTACACAGTTTGTATTTGTGGATACTTCTTTTGCCTCTCATTGCCCTCCGCCCGCAATGCTGAACTTGCATACGGAACTCACTTGCCGCTATCAGACGCCCTCGTGATGCTGATTTTACCCTCACAGGTGGCAAGCATTTTGCCCAGGCGCCAGCAGGGAGTAATCAACCAGGGGGTAACCAACCAACCTCGGGCAGTCCACAAACTCCACCCACCAGGGTTGCATTGGGATGAGAAGCAGACGCGCGGCCCCTAGAAATTGAGAATTCACCATCAGAAAAGGAGCGAGTTGGGCAACATGTTTCTTGTGCTTCACCAAGTCATCCAACACTTCCAGCAAGGCGGAGAATTTGAAGACTTGTATACGTGTTGGTATCTCCAGACTGCCGCAGATCCGTAGTAAAAGTTTGGGCCTCAAGAGTTTTGCCCAAGGGTCTTGCGTAAGGCCTGCTAGCTCCTGTGGGTATGCAGGTGGCCCTAAAAGAGTTCGCTTGCATGATTTGTTGCCAATGATTACCGTAACGTGACTCGACTCAGGTGGCCACTCTCGCATTGCCTGGTTAGAAGTGCGTTGGCTCTTCTCCAAGCAACTTTCTTACCTCGTGTGCGACTTGAATATGCGGAATCTTCCGGTTCTATCCAACTCTATGCTGTAACCCCCCCCAGCGCTTATTTGTACTCCTGGCACGTTGGTGCCATAAAACCATCGGATGTGCAAGACACGAGGGCAAGATCCCGGGATCAACAACCCGCCCTTCACGATACCATGTGTCTGGATGAGGTTACTAAGAAACCTCCAGTTTTTGCTTAAAATGGAAGATTTACTCTCTGGTTGTGTCGTATTCTCACCGCCTGGGGGGACAGGGGATATTGTGGATTTCCGACTGATTTACCGACATGTGGGGATATGACTGGGGATGTGCCTCGCCATACGGAGTGCTTACTCCTTACGTGCGTAGATGATCTAACAAGATCCCCACGCCTCGTCAGGGTCTACCGTCGTGTGAGGCGAGATTCAATCCTATGAGCCATTGCACGCGGGACAGTCTGGTCCCTCTGACATTGAATAGCTGCTACGGTTCTAACTTCAAGACAACCACAAGGCACCAGTCGGGGATAGCGCTCCAATTATATTGCTACCGTCTATTCAATAGTGCACTTTGTCTCAATAGCTTGTTTTGCCACCTAGGGGCTGCACAGCGAATTCCAATAGTGTCTCTTTCAGCTTCGTGCAACAGGCCGGATCTGTCTGCCACGAATCCCACGATGGCACGGCCATGGACTGTCTGTTGACTAGTGACAATTATCGATGTTCTAGGCCATTCAGCGTTGCGTAAAATAAGCAAATTTACCACTGCCTTCGCAGAATAAACAATCACTTGTATAAAGGGTACGCATCGTGCCCCCCAAGGTCATCTCGACCATCGACACCCTAATCTTTCGACCTAATCCACCATTCACTCCGATTACGTTCAAAATGGTGTCCATTTTAGCAGCAGGAAGGGACGGAAACAACACCCAACTCATTAACTTGCCCTAGGGGAAATGCACAGAGAGTCGTCGCACAGGCGTCTTGGCCGGTCAGCCCGAAGCTGCACCAGATTACGCGTATGGGGTCGGATCAATCTGAGGCTTATATCTCCTGATAGGGAAGCATCTCATGAGATAGAATATCGGGTCGGTCGCAGGAAAGTTCGCTGGCAAGGCATCAATGGGGCCTGCGGCAGCCCAATATCTGAGGGGGGTTGAAGATGGAGGTTGGACAGGGAATGTAGTAACGGCAAGAAGGTTCAAATAAATCTCTCAAAAATAAAGGCAATCAATTAATAGACTCCCTAGCAGCCTCGAGCCCTTCCGGCCTCTCTAACTTCTAGGAGGAATCTCTAATGAATATGAAAGACGATCCTCCTCTCCTGTAACGGCACTGACCTCCCCTTTTAACCTTATCCGGGCCACCCTAGAGACATCCCCGCTAGCGACCAGCTAGCCCAAGCGTCCCTAACCGCCTGTCACACCATCAAAGCGCTCCTTGTTTTCCTCGCCCTTGGGGCCGATGTCCTCGCCAAGGACACCTACCGCCCAGTCGTCTGCTCCACCAAACTTGGCACCAAGTTTGTGAAGTATCTCTCGACCAAGACTTCGACCAAGACCGTGTATGCCACTCAAACCGAGAAAATATACAAGCGAAATGATGTCACCATCACTCCCCGGGCGATCACGACTACTGTCAGCGAGACCTTGACCGAGACAAGCACTACGACGGCAGAGACGGAGACGGATACTGCTACCGTGACTGAGACTGGTAAGACTGCGCATGTAGTTTCAGTGCTGTTTCGGTGGCTAACACACATATAGATACCTCAACGGAAAGCACCACGATTACCTCCACCTCGACCGACTACGTCACATCCACCGAGTACTCTACCTCCACCTCGACCAGCACGATCGCTACTCCGGCCAGCTTCACCCCCATCTCTCAGAGCCCCGGCTATGTTGCTAAGCGAAGCCTTCCCTGCGAGCGGGCCGCCAGTGCCAATCCCCCCAAGGGCAACACTCTTCAGTGCAAGAAGGGTTCTGATCCCATCTTCGGCGTTCGCCAATATGCTCAGAGTGTCGATTGCACTCGAACCCTTGTGCGCATCGTCAAGAAGACCGTCACCGTTTACGTCAAGCCTTGTACCACTACCCTTAAGGCCCAGACCGTGACCGCCACCACCACTCTTACTGAGACGGCTACTATCACCGAGTACCCTGCTGATGTTTCGACCACCGTCACTGAGACGACCTCGACTACCGTTACTGAGACCACTGAGAACACGGAGACGACTACTGTCACCGCTACCTGTGAGTTACACGATCCACAGCTATTCTGATGATCGAGCTGCTAATATATTACCTAGCTACTATTGAGACTGTGGTGCCCGCTGCGACTCCTTTCCACGCTGCATGTGGCGCTGATAACATCATCAGCACCGCCAACGGCGGCAAACCTATCACGCTTGTCCAGGCTGCTACTGGTGGTAGCTTCAATTCAATTGGCAGCTCACAGACTGCTTACAGCTGCTGTGTTCTCTGCCAAAACACCGCCAACTGCCTTGCTTCAATCCTGACTGGAACTAGTTGCTTCGGTCTCATCCGAACTACTTGCGCAGTCGGCCAGCTGGCCTCAGACAACTACCGCACTGGAAGTGGCACTGCTTTCACAATGAGCAACGGTGCTTGTGGAATGATTGCTAATGGCGGCAGTCTGTAATGATTTTGGAGTGGGATTTACGAATATATGTTTCTTCGGCTGAATTTGTAAAAAAGAAATATGCCTTGACCTTCTCAGAGCAGACAGTCTGAACGTGTATTAGACGGTAAACACTTCTGTTTCTTCCGACTCTGCCTTTTGTCTTAGATATTTTATTTATATATATTCCAGTTCCTGCCCAGGGAAATTTAATGTTTGAATCTGCTGCGTTTTCATTGTGGGGCAATGGAGCAAAATAGCAGACGTCTCGTCAGACCAAATCACGTTCATTCCGCCCTCAAGAGTCTAGTGTTGATGGGCAAAACACCAATGCACCCGAAAAATATCTTAGGCAGGCAGATTCAAGACAATTAGTCAATCGCTGAGCACGAATGCAAAAAGGCGTTTAAACAGACTACGTGTCGCGCTTCAAGAGAGAAACCTGACTTGCTATTTGCTCTGGAACGCTAGCGGTTTCGTCCACTGAACTCGACTCATAGGCCAAAGACTAGCCTGCAGCTGATGGAACCTTGGTTTAGCACTAGAACTATTGTAGATTAATTAGGTAGTGCCCACCGAACAGGCTGAGGACTCGAAGTTATGGTCTGCCGCGGATCTGAAAGTTCCCGATGCAGAGGAGATGAAAAAGAATAAGAACATATAAATTCCATGGCTACTGCCTCAATAAACACGGGGCGCCTTTAGCAAACACGGAAGCTCATGCTGCAAGATCAAGCTGGATCCTTGGCGCTATCAATGGCAAGATTGTGTACCTGTCGCAGAGCTCGAGGCCAACTCAGACAAAGGATGGAGGCAATCTTACTATTGTTTTGCCCGCAATAAATATGACCGATTCAATTATCGCGATCAATAGAGCTGGATTACTAGACTTTGCTTCGACCGGCTAAAAAGGCTTTCGAAAAACCATCAGCGTTCGCTCAAAACGGAACAAAGCGGCTAAGCTGTCTTCCTAAACATGAATGATGAAGCCATGAAAACCATTGGAAAACCTCATGATATCTACAAAGACTAACCTTCTGCTGGTGTCGTATCCAATAATCTGAGTCTACATGGCTCAGATACAGACAACAAGTGACCAGAAGGCGATTGATCTTTTGGGAATTTGGGAAGGCCTAATCTCTGCCGCTGAGAAGTTTATATTTAGCCCATGGGTTTGGAAGAGAAAAGCGTGGTCCTTCGCGGTCAGAACTCCCCAGAAGGCTTGAAAGGCTATTCCAGGTCTCGTCAAATGGGTTGGAGCTGAGCCTGAGGATACTGAAAGAAATTACATCCTGACATTCCAGTTCCGAACTTCTCGCCACAATCTCTTATTAAGAAAGTGAGACGTACAAAGAAAAGGACAAGACAAGATGGATGTTAGTCTGTAGGAACTTGCTGAGCCATATGGTCATTGGCGAACTCGGAACTCTTCCAAACACCTCATCGAAAAGAATCGGCTTGTTGCCGGAATGTGAGAACAATTCTCATCCGTACCTCTGGTGTCAATCCGGCTACCTCGTATGTACTCTACCCTACAAATCTAGGCGGCTGTGCTCAGGTTCATTGTGGACAGGTACTGAAGCGGAGATGGCTATAGCTCTTATTGGCAAGATGGGACTCTTGCGATAAGAGCAATTAGTCTAACGATTTACCGTAAGCGTCCTTTATAGTGAGGCGATGGATTCGTTACGGTCAAATTGATCAGCGCAATAGAGTTCAAAGCGATGAAGATCATGTTCCTCATTGCTTGGGCCCGGATCGGCCGGCCCGGTCTTCAAGGGGTCCTCTGAACCCCCTGCCTAAGGTCATGATATCAACCTATCAGAGGTTCTGTCATATAGTCACCTTCTAACATGAGGTATTTTTTGCGGTGAATCCTTTCCTCTTTTGTAAATATCCCGAATTCATCTCTCCAGGACGCTGAGCGAAACTAAAAGAGAGAGAAAAACACATACAGTTTCGATTGAAACCCTTTCGCAAAAACTAAGCAAAGATGAAAGGCACCAAGTGTGCCTTCTCAATATTTCCAGAGATCGGCTTAATTTCTTGGCGATGGCCGCGTGTTTTGCTAAGAAACCATTCTATGCAGTTCCTGAATTGGACGAACATTGCCCCAGAGATCAATGAAGCCATGTCTTGCGTCTATCAAATAATAATCTATGAGTGCTGAGGGGCTTTGCTTTGCTAGATCATTGAAGAATGGAGTAGATACCTAGTCAATACACTTTGTTCTAGAGATGAGGTGAGGTTCTATTTCTACACTGCTCTTTCGTGAGATGCCTCGGATGATTTGATACAAAATGTTCGGGGAAGATGTGATGCTTGAGCGTGATTGAAGATTTGGAATGGCCACCGGCTTCTTACATCTCCGGATAATTCTAACTATCTAAAATTGAACGTATTCTCCTTGAAGAACCCAAAACACTCCCATAAACGAGGCTTCCATGCTCCGAGGCCCCTTGCAACAGATTGAGAGTTGATCTCAGCCCGGATGGAGACAGTTTAACTTTCTATATCATGATAAATACAGGCTCAAGTTTGATTCCCTCCACGCCACCAATAACCGTCATCAGATTTGACTCATAACCACATTCCCTAGCATAACCCTGACCATACTCCTGACATGAACCTGGAGACTTGCTTATCAGTTGGATCCAGCCCGACTTTTCCAGCCCGTCATCGATGACGAGCTTCTTAACGAGCTTGAAGTGGTAGTAAGCATCGCAGGTGTAGTACCCTCCAGCCTCTGGTGCGCATCGAACTCCTTCAAAAATGTGTAGACACTGCCGAGCGGCATGTATTCAAGCAACGGCCTGAGTTCATCTGGGAACATGTCGGCCCCGTGGTCTTTGATGTCCTCATTGACACGGTTGAGCCTCAACACCTGCATCCAGGACACGATGTCGTCGGCCAGCAGGAAAGCCGGGAACCGGGCCTTTGCCATGTCTTCGAGGATCCATGTGTTTCGGAAGTACGGCCTGTTGAGGAATCCCGAGACGGCCTTGTAGCTCGGCACTTCACGCGCATCTGTAATGCCTTCGGGAATATCGCTCAAGTGAGCGACGGGCCCCATCCACTGCATGATAGGGGCGTAGTCCTCTGGGTGGAGCTCCCGGTCACCCGGTTCGCCGAATGTGAGAGGCATGCATTTATCCCACGCGCGGATGATGTCGATGGCGAGATCAGAAGTCGGGTCTTTTGGCCCCAACCAGCCAACTACCATTTTGGCGTGGCGGTATGCGAGTGCTGTCTGCGAGAGCCGCTCGGATGCCTCACGCGTGTCCCGCCGGTTGATACATAGTAAATCAAGCCATATGCGCAGAGGGGGCCGCGTAGTGCCCGACTTGGGCGGCTCGGCGAAGATGTGTCGTACGTTCTTGAGGAGGGAGCGGAGCCAGCTGGGCGGCTTCTTGGGGGGCAGCGGCGGATGTGGTTTGCTCCGGCTTTGTTGGGGCTGAAGATCTGCTGTAGAACCGTCTGGAGTTGGCGGTGATGCTGATAGAAAGACGGCTCGCACGTATCGCAGCGCCTCGGCGACGGTGATGGGTATTGCGACCCTGGAGCCGTTAAGCACGATGCACTCAGTGACGGTGATATCACCGTAGAGCGCCGAGAGGCCAATGAACTCGGACGAATCGCTTATGCTCTCATGCACCAAGCGGCACACGACCTGCTCGTTGATGTTGTTGGTTGAGGTCGGCTGCAGCTCGAGTAGCCGCACCTCATTTTCGCCTCGGTTGAGAGAGCGGTACCGGATTGACGTCATGCCTTCTTGAGGCATCGTTACGGTCTAATAAGCTGCATGGCCTTTATGCAGGTCTATTTTGAGGCAGTGTTGGTGACAGTTGGGTGGGTGGGTGTGAGCTTTTCAAGGCTGTTCCATGCGGGAAAGAAAGGCGGTCCCCAATTTTTATCATTATCATTACGACTGCCGTGGCACTTATGATAACAGCGGTCAGGCTATTTCTGAGCTAACAACATGACAAGGCCCCGTGAGTAGGGTCCCCAAGGCTGTGCCGCATTAGGCGAGGGTTGTAATGAACGCGGCCTGATCAGCAGAAGGGATTGCATAATTTGAACTAGGCCCACAGGCTAGCTGAAGCCGGTATTCTGTACCCTTACGCCTAATCATCGGATGGTTCAGCCCATGGGGTTGGAGCCAGCTGGAGCCTGCATTATATTTAACATCCATGATTCTCGGTTTCCCACACAAAGATTGGTGTAAGTACTTATCAGCCTTGGCAGCCCCTTTCTTACCAGAGAGAGAGAGCCCTGTGTAATAGGGCGTCGTTGCTATGCCAGCGCTCCTACAAGGGTTATCGTATCGAAGGGATCTAGAACATCCTGCCTGCCGCGACCTTGCCTGCCGAGACCGATAGGATTTATCTTGCCGAGGCTATGGGATTAGCATGAAGTCTTCACATACCAACGAGCTGAAGGCCGGAAAAGCTCTAGCCTCGGGGTCCAGTCCGAAGGTATCCACATGTCAGGGTTACCAGAGACGGCTACTGTACTCCGTAGTAGCAACCATCGATGTGATAGAAATCAAAAGCTTCTACGCGAGCCAAATGCGTCTTTCCTCAGGAAATCCACCAAATGGCTTCTGAGTAATGGTAATAATGGCGTTGCTGGAAGTCGAAGTCATGGTGATGTTCAAGTGAACATGAACAGGTGGATCGGCACTCTAGAAACACGCTATGCGAGAGCGAGAGCGAGTGAACGGGTCATGTAACAACGGAGTAGGCGACATCTGCTCCTCAACTACTGCAATGCTCGTGAGCAAACCAAACCATCAAACATGCCATACGGAGTAGTTACTCCATCACTAGGGTGGCGAATGCTGGAGTATCTCACCGCTTCACACGACAAACAACGCATACATGCAACTATTCCCAAGTCGGCCAAAGCCATGCTAGTAGGATTACTAGTGTGACTCCAGAATTGGTCATGGGATTCCAACTGAAGTTCTCACGATAAAGGCTACACGCCTTAGAGTGAACATTCCGTAGATGTTATCAACTATACCTAAATTTTTACAGATGAAAGACGAGGCGGCAATTGAAAAACTGTGGCCTCATCCCACTCAAAGTTAAATTTATTTCGGTTCTTCATTACGTAGCATCTTACGATGCTCCAGTTCTTCCTCATTGTGGAGAGGAACAAGGAATGAAGCAGGGAAGCCTCGTTGGACCCCTGCTAAATGCTTGCTAATGCCTGTTCGATATCTTCCACTGTTTGGAGCACCTCTCCACACCTCCCCAGCAATGGGATTGGATGCTTCCGTATCGTGCGCCGTAAGTGTTCGCCGATGACAGGCGTCTGTATCAACGAGTACGCGCTAATTGGCTACAGTATAGAACGGATGCTGTACCCAGTATGTTGTTGGTCCATGACCAGACCAAGAGGATAAGTGATTTGCAGAGAGGAGAGCTGTTTTTCCAATCGTGAGGGATTTCGTGATCGAATTGGAAGTACAAGGCAGCATAGATCATCCTCCATTTTTACTGTATTGAGAGACTCCTCCGGCCTGCAAACGCGGCCTTGGGACGTGAAGACGGAGCATGTAGGACTGGGAATCTCTTCAGGGTTCATATAAATTAGCAGAGGGACCCAAAGCTCGGACTCACTCCTGGACCACAAATCTCTGTAATTTCCCAGTGTCGATCGCAATGGTTCTCCCCTGGTGTTTATCCTGGTCTCACCAGAGCTACTGGGATGAGTTTTCCCTGAAGGGGCTCAAGATCAAAGCCAAAAAGCCGAAAAACGACGCTTTCCAGGGTGGTCCAGCTGGGATTCCCCCGTACTTCTGGAACAAGGGCCTCCGGAACCGTTTCAAGAGGCTTCTAGGTCGGAAGCTGAGACGAGACCCTTTCCCTGTGTACGCGGGTTACTCAGAAGCGAGAAGTCTGATTGGAGATGGGACTGTGGCTGAATTGGAAGCCCTGTCCCTTGAGGCTCGAGACTTGGTGATCCAAGTGTTTGAAGATGCCAAAGACGCCAAAGACGCCACCGAGGCGTCTGACAGATCGGCACTAGACGAAGCGTCGTCGTTGTCCTCCACAGAATCAGGACCCCGGCTAGTCTCTCTGCGGCTGTCGTCTGACCTCGAGAGCTGGAAAACATCTCAACACGCAGCTGGCAACATCTTGCCGCCGAAAGGACACGGGTTGGCGCAGGCTTCAGACACGCTGCTGGAAATATTCGGAGCAGCAGGCTGGCCCGAAGCCTTGAAGACGAACAATGCGCTCTTCGGCTGTGGCATCGCCAGCTTGCTGATGGGAGCAGCCGACGCGCCAACCATGTTCTCCAACTACGTGACTGACATGGCCTTCTACTACGAGCACGGCTACAACTACGTCTTCCCGTCGCTAGAGCCGCTCTTCGAGAAAGGCCTAGACGATCCGCATGCGCTACGGACTCCAGGGGGGAGACAGCGGCGTGGCGCCGTCCGCGCTGGCAAGCGCTACGTCCAGGGCAAGATCGCGCTAGAGAAAGATCACAAGGCCGGTTTGACGAACCGATCGGCGCGACTAAGCCGGAAGACGGCGCAAATCATCTCCCTGTCGGAGAGCAGCCTGCTGGGAATGGCGGCCGAGGCGATAGCGCGTGGCTTCGACGGTGCCGCCGTCATGAGCGACTTGGTGTTTAGCTCGCCGGGCACCGATGTTGTCGACGTGGGGTGTGACTTGGTTAATTCCGAGGTCATGAACTCGTTTCTGAATGTGACGGACATCACCGACACTGGCATCGTGAGCGAAGAGGTGCTGCGCCGCGTGTACGATGCCTACGCCGCCACGGGAGCCCGCATGTTGACGCAGAGATGGCATGAGCCCGTGGCCAGAATGTGCGCCGCCCTGTATACATGGCATATTCAAAACGACCGCCACATGTTCTTCCGCCGCGCTCTTCTGGGCTGGTCCAAAGCCCGGAAAACGCCGGCCAAGCCTCAGTGCGAGGCGGATTTCGACGAGGTGTTTGACAAGACGTACCGCACTACAGGCTTCTCGAGACCTCTTGATCCCAAATATGCGTGCTCCGGCGAAGACACGTGTGATCACGTCGGTCATTTCCTCCAGCGCCATGAGGATGAGCCAATACTCAAGGAGCTCTGGTGGTTTCTTGTCTTAGGCCCGTTGGAGTATATCAGGGGAGGCCAGGTTGATGAACGGCGCGAGCAAGACCTTGCTGAGGGCTCGCGGCTACGGATGGCCAAGCTGTTCACGCGAGGTCGAGTACTGGAAATGGTCTGGCTTATTGCTCATGCGAACCACCATGCCTGGCAGGTCAATTACCTGTTTGAGGCCGCCATGTTCGGCAGTATACTTGACGGGGGCACACTTGCTGGCAAGCTGGACAGGCAGGAAGAGAGCTAGTTCTGGCACATGGAGCTTATGTTCTTGGCCTTCCAATTGGCCATGATGTTTGCTCAGGACTGAGGTCTAACCGGCCTTGTGGGAGTCTCGTCATGTTGTAGAACGAGTCGGTGGTGGGAATCGGTGTGATTTATCGTTCAACTGCATGTAGGCTGCGAGTTCTGGACTATTGTCCTCGGAGGCTGGGAGGCATCATTGCTTTCTACGCTTAGCGTTGTGAATGGAATTTTTTTTGGCTTCAACCGTCCCTGAATGACAACCGATAGTGTCCCGACGATTTGACGAGGTGACGTTTCATATATGCTGTACCGGGGAAGTGAATGAGTAGCTATGACGAGCATGAAGTTGGAGACCGCTCTAGCGATATAATAAACTGATTTAAGTTGGATAGCCTTCGGGTCGCAGCACAGAACGTTGAGCTGTGTGCAGATACCGGCGTTGCAGAGGTTGGAAAACAATTCTTAATAATGCTTAGGTGTGAGATGCTAATTCTTGACAAAAAGCAGATAGAAATGCCGGAGCTGAATTGGTAGGGGTATTTTGACCGCCGTCACCAAATCATTCATTGGTACTTTCATGCAAACGAACATCATACTGAAGAGATTATTGAAGAGATTGATTGGAGGAGTTACTTTTCTCTGTGCTCCTGGACGAGGTGCAGCCTACTACCCCCTGCGACTTGTACACTGCCTTTTGGGTCTCGGTATTACACTATGTTCGGGGTTCATACCGCTGAAACTCACCGGATTTGAATGTGTTCTGGATGATTCATCAAAACTCCCACCAATAGAATCGTCCATGCATCACCCAAAACCTCCCAGCTCATTGGGAACTATCAGACTGTGGGCCTGAGCCTTTCATCTGCGACGAGCTTTCTTGAACATGATTATATCACGGCATGGTCGCAGTCTGTTGCGGGAGGAATACAGACGCCCCTTTAGCATAAACACCATCCTAACAAACGCGTTAGTTGTATAATTCTGCGTCGAATTTGCATTGCTAAAGTAAAGTCTCGGGACGTATTATAAGTTTCATGTATTTGAACTTTACACTACTAATTCTTCTGCAACATTGAGAACGCCACTGCATGTTAGCTGCGTGCATGTCGGCTTCCACTACGGCGACCAGGGAGGAGGGCTAAGGTGTCGAGGCGAGAGGAGATGCAGTGCAAGAGTGCGGCATAGATACGTGTTGAGTGGCAAAGCTTTCACTCAATACATCAATTGTACTAGTAGATAAGTCCAGAAGTGGCGACATCAAAAGAGAACGGAAGAGAGTCTACCGGGAACGCTAATAAAGATGTCATGCTTATTTGAAACTGTAAACCTACTGGTCTATGATGATCCAGCCCGGGACTTGCCCCCGCACGAAGGGTGACTGAAGATTGGAACGGCATTTGGATGACGTCCAATATTATCTCGACAAGACATGCCAAGGCTTTCTAGGTTATGAAAATGTAACGTAAACACCATCTAGCAGAAACACCGGAGAAGTCGGTCAGTGTTCCGAATGCTTGGCGTGAGAGGAAAGCACATGACCCATGAGACTCGGGATGCTGAGCCGGACATGAATCTCAGATTCGATTGCAATTGGTTCATGTATAGCCTAAAACTTTATTTACACGAATATAAGTTACATTGAAACACCCTTCAGCGATGAGCACATCGTGGGTGGCGTGATTGGGCCCGGCGCTGATCCAACTAGTGCTCGTTTCGTAAGAAGTATTTCGGATGCTGCGTCTCCTTGGAAAATTGCTCCGTTTTGGGGTTCAGCGCTGCTCCGTCTACTAAAATCGGAATTGGGCCTTGAGTTGTTTGTTAATGTCCACGAGATGCTTGGAATCTAGGCTGGGAAGACGTGAATATAAAACCCCTTCTCCCGTGGTATACATGACCAGCTGGACAACACGGCCTTCGCCATTCATTCCAATCATCGCCAATACTACATTATCTGCTCAACTCAATTCAAATGCATACTCAGCTCTATAAAGGTCTACTTGCTGCCCTTTTGGCTGGGGCTGCTCATGGCCACGGCTATGTAGCTACCATCGTCGCAGACGGCGTCACCTATCCTGGCGGCCTTCCATGGAGCGCCTCGGTCGATGCAGTGGGCTGGGCTGCTGCCAATCAGGACAACGGTTTCGTAGCTCCAGATGCATTTGCAACTGCCGACATCATCTGCCACAGGAGCGCCACGCCCGTGGACGACGCTGTGACAGTGAAGGCCGGGAGTACCATCACGTTGAACTGGAACACCTGGCCCGAGTCGCATCATGGCCCAGTCATTGAGTACCTGGCGCCTGTTTCTGGGGAATTCGCCAGCATCACCAAAACAAATCTTCGGTGGACCAAGATCGCCGAGAAAGGCCTGATTTCGGGCTACAACCCTGGTGTATGGGCTGCTGACCAGCTCGTGAGCAATGGCTTCTCATGGAAGTTCACGGTCCCCAGCAAACTCCGCCCCGGACGCTATGTTCTTCGCCACGAGATAATCGCTCTTCACTCTGCCGGCCAAGTCAATGGAGCTCAAGCCTACCCCCAGTGCATCAACCTCAACGTCACTGGCAGTGGCTCATCTACTCTTACGGGAGGAGACTTCACCACATTCTATACTCCCCAGGACCCTGGCATTCTGTTCAACCTGTATCAGTCATTTTCCAGCTATCCTATTCCCGGCCCGGCGGTAGTAACTCTCTAAGCGAGTGTTGTCGTGTTACCAGATTTGCTATGCTGTGCTGTGCTTGGGTAGGCTCTGCAGGGTTAACTTCACTGGGCCCAATTTGTACCTATGAACAAAGATTGTTTTCTCGTTTTATGTGGGTTTCGCTTGCCGTCACTCGTTGAATGATGTCCAACAAAGGGCTTGGTTAATTGATTCATATTGGATGAGAATCCTCGTGCACATTAATTGGAACGGAGTGAGTGAATCGAAAAATGGTCAGGGGGGCGATCGGAACAAATGCTGGTCCGAAGTGAAATGCAAAGTGATATGTAGTCACATTGTTACGTATACGCTTGATCATAGTTCACTAGGTACGGTACGTGGTGTATGTAGTAGGCCTAGTATTCGAGGTGCGGTGATTCTGAAATTAGTGACTATTCAGCCTCACATACATGACACAATGTCCGCTGTCCCGACACACCCCTACACAGACACTGTATCTACACCACTGGGCTAGTGCTTTCGTCAATCTTGACGCCAAATCCACCAACGGCAGTGGTATAACTCTGGTGAACAGCCTCGCTGGCGTAAACCCTCATCTCGTCCTCATAGGCAAGTGTGATGCCAGCCTTGTAGCCACCAGCCTCGCGAAATAGCCTCCCAAGCAAGGCGGAGTCTCGAACGGCAGTGTTGGCGCCAATCCCTCCCGCAGGAGTCATGGAATGAACGGCATCACCAATGACGGTCACACGAGGCTCGTTGGGCCACTGCGGCACACCTGACGGGGTCGAGCACGTAATCTTCCAGAAGGCGGCTTCGGACTCGTCCATGTTGTCGAATAGCGGCTTGAAGCGTGGATGCCAATCCTTGGAGATGGACTTGGCGATATCAGCAGCCTGCTTTCCCACGATGGAGAAGTCGTCGTTGGGGGCGCGGATGACGCCTGGCTGACCTCCCATGGTCCAGCCGAATTGGACATTCGGATCGTCCATATCATCGGAGCGAACGTTGGTGATGATAAAAACGGAACCTTCCGGGTGAGTTTCATCTCGGAGCCTGAAGACGCCTTCGCCTAGGCCTTTGAAGGCCGTGGTAGGCGCCTGGCCGTGTATGCCCCTGGCGCCCGTATCGTAGACCTTGAGCTTTCCGCCCGAGAGCTGTCGTGCAACCTTGGAGTATATGCCCTCACCTCCAATGAGCATCGATCCTTCGACCGACTTGGTGCCATCGGAAAACGTTGCCTGGACACCGTCGTCGGTGAGTTCGTAGCCCGTAACGTGCTTGCCCCATTCAATGTGATCTTCACAGCCCTCGGCGAAGACCTTCCGCATGTCTCCCCGGGCTATCCCGACAATCTTGCCGTCTCGTGACGACAGCTGCTCAGGCACAGTATGCTCCGTCTGCTCCCCGGTCACGGCGTTGAATGCGGTGAAGCCACTACCACCGGTTTTACCGCATTTATCCCAAAACTTCTGCCATGTTTGAGCGTCGAGCACGGATTCGATAGCGTCGAGGCCTTCTGACGATAGCCGGAGTCGGTACCCTTGGGCGCGAAACACAAATGACGCATCGCGCTCGAAGATCTTGAAAGGGATCTTGGACAGTCGCAGGGACTGGGCAAGGAGGAGTGACCCAAGGCCAGCGCCGGAGATCAGAATGGGCTTGCTGGTCGACATTCTGCTGTGTTTATCTAGGCCAGGAAGTTGGTATAATGAAAGGAGACGAGCAATTTAAATATGTTGTATAAACAGCGGTGTATTGTGCCTTACAGCACGAAATAATTGTGGCTTACTTTTAATTCTAGGCCCGGCCTTCGGTGTTAGCCAATATGCCGCCATTACTAATCCATCGGGCTAACTAAATGACGTCAAAGAGTCAATGGCTATCTCTAGGTGTTCCTCTCCCCGCACCAAACCATGATTCAGTTTGTGATCCATAGACAGATATCCGGCTAGGCCGGAGACGTCTGAGACATATCTTTCCATTCCACAGGATCTAGATTTCGCTGGATACACGAGGGAGGTCTGCTACAGTCGAAACACCTGGCGCTTCCTCCAAATACTCAGCTCATTGCGATAGAGTCACAAAGCACTTGGTGCAGCCACTCTGCCATAACCATTAGCGAGAAACTTAGCTGCGAGATATGATGGGCTTTGTCACATAATATAGGCTGTCATAACACTACGCATTAGCGGAGTGTTCATTCCACTTTTGCCGTAGCTGTCAAAATGCAACAGGCTTCAGAGGTCTAAGCTGCTGTGCTAGCTTGAACCTACCTATTTTAACGTTCCCTCCAGCTGTGGCTAGTTAAGTCTGTTTACACGGGACTAAGCGCTACTAATTAAATCAAAAGAGGCAACTTGAATAAGATCAGGTCAGTCTATTGTACTGAAGAACACAACTGCATATTGCTAACCGCCTAATATGCGAGATTGACGCATTCGCCCTTCCAGCGATGAACATCTCCCTCTCGTACATGGGTCTGAAGAAAATGAATGAAATAAGGACATTTGGAGGGTAACAACGCTTTGGGAATGCCACGCAAAGGTGATTACTATGTAAGACTACTAACCACTTGGTCAAGACGACACCTGCTGATCTTCCTCGGCTTCTCCAAGCCTCGAGTGAATGTTACCCCAACCACTGCATTTCCCTTTTTCCCCAGCTTGATGCAGTATGAAGTAGTGTACGCATCACTTCCAGCTGTAGCTATACCTCCCCTCCGAGCACCTATCCGTATTGCTATCTTTCTCTGTCACCTTAGCTACCCTACAGACAGATGCCTGGTACTAATTGGCTGGGTCATGGTAAAACCTCAACGGATCCGGACAGCTTAGCGTACAATGCCGTCCCACCTTCTACTGTAAATCACCTAGATTGACGCCATATCCGTAGAGCCGCAGAATGCAATTGGCCACCTTGATATTTCATGCGACGCTAGGCTGCCCGGATCCGTCGAGATTTTACGGAGTAGGGTAAGCGTAATTTGGAGTTGGTGCCTTGCTCTGCTCGAGGCCACAGGGCCCAGTCCTTGGAAGATCGATGCGAAGGCTGCCACCTAAATTGACAAGGAGGATTGTGGCTGGACTTAGCGAGGAAAAGAGAGGCTGAGAGCTGTCTACATTAATCCATCAGAGGAGGGGCAGTGTTAGGCAGCAGGTTAGATGAAGCAAGGTCATGCCATCACGAATCCTTCCGGCAAAGCGGCAATACGACTCCACATAACCATTGCCAGGTGGTTCTCTAATTGGCTGGAATCCCTTCTCGTGAAACTGCCTCGCGCCTTTCGTCACGGTACACTGCCACAGAGGCTCCCTCATAATTACTCCAAATTCCCCGGCCAGAATGGAATCATCTGCCTTCATGTTAAGTCCATCCACCTTTGGATCATCAACACAGGTTTCCATTTGAACCAAACCCGTCGTTACAATGGATAGAAATAGCCACTCCAACGGGAGACCCTTCCCCGCTCACCGAGACGACGAAATCTCGCGTCTTCTGCTCGATCCCCAGGACGTTGAGGAGCAGCCCTCTTTCAGCCTAACCTTCTCCACCATCCGGCTCCTCCGCATCCCCATTATTCCCATCGCCATCGCCGATAGCATCCTTATGAGCAACGCTCACGACCACATCGTCTTGGGTGTCCTGTTCGAAGCCCTCCCCGTCGGACTCTGCCTGTGGACCGCCTTCAGCGTTTTCGGCACCCCTGCCACGAGGAGGAACAGTTTTGAGCTCACGGTTGGCGACTATGTATTATTTTGGGGACGGAAGGGCCAGGATCTCGACACCGTCTCGGAGCGAAAGACGCGTCCGTATCAGATCATTCTGGGCGACTTCTTTGTTTCCCTCCTCCTCATCCTCCTGACCGTCCTCTCTCTCACGACGCATATCTGGCAATACGACGTGCGCCTCAGGGTCTTTTCCTTGAGTCTTACATTGTCGTACGTGCTCCACTCTATAAACCTCTCTTAAATTGCAACTAACATGGATAGTATTCTCCAACTTGCCTTGACCGTTCTCAACTTCTTTACCCTCTTCCGAAAGGCCAAGCTCACTTTGCACATGGCCGAGAATGACCAAAACTTCAAATACGTGATCCCCGAGGCATACTCGGATGAAGAATCGCATTCTGCGTCCGTGTCCTCTGGGGCAAGGGGAGATGAAAGTAAGCCGAGCTAAGATGGGACAGCATCGTGATTCATGCTAACGACCTCTTGGGATTAGACACCAAAACTCTCCCTGGTATCCGACATTGATTTGTTAAAAGTCTTTGGTACTTGAGATTGGCCGCACCGAGGGATATTTATTTTGTAAACTATTTTCGATCGTTGCGAATCAAGATGGATATATCGCACCCATTTGTAACACGAACTGAGGTATACGGCAGTGAGATGGTTGTCAAGAAGATGCAGACCGTGTTAAGTTGGAGCGCCGGTCATCGCGTTCTCGACGGCGCGACTGTGGTGAGGTGTGCACAGCAGGTTACCCTCTTGCTCGAGAACATTGACTACAACGAGTCTAAATCTCAAACACATTTAAACGAGTTGCACACTAATCTAAGTTCTGTCTGCTCCCTCAAGGTGAGCAAGTTGCCGGCACAAGGTCAAGAAAAAACATTTTTATCCACAATTCAAGCATTTGTTACCTAATGCTACCACAATGACCAAATATCAAGACGAGTTGCACACACAAACAAATCTATGCCACAATGGCCACCGAGAGGGAAGTGCGATCCGTCCTCACGCGAGAAAAGTGTTGATCGAATTGCAAGGCGAAGTAACAAGCTGCCAATTTGAGCAACGTGCATCGGGTTGAGATGGAGTGACGGCTGTTGAAATCAAGTTCGCAAAGCCACTCATTTGCCCCCAAATTCTTCTGGACTGCTTTCTGCGACACTGATCCGATGCTTGACGCGTGGTTCTTCCCTACCAGATCGATCAAGCATGAATATCTCTTTGGTCAAGGCAGCTTCAACTTTATTGGCAATATTTGAAATCCAGACCAGTCGACTCGGCTGTGTCGTTCGTATTGATGCTCGGCTTCTTCCCTTCCCTTAATTATCAAGGACTACAAGCTGCAACTAGCCTATCTATTTGGAGGTAGTAAGCCAATGTCGCCCGAAGTCCCTTGATTGGTCGACGAGCCTTGCATTACTAGATGAGAGAGCGTATACAGCGTTTAAAGGACCTCGATTCCCTAGATGCTATCAGTCTAGATTTGACTTTACCAGCCTGGAAAAGCTGGGAAAGCTTGATATTGGTCATTGTAGAAGTAGTGTGTTTTCAAATTGCTTAAATGTGAAAATGAAATGTCTGCTTTTGACTTTGTGTCAGCAGCTTGCTCACCTTGAGAGAGCAGATGTTCACCTTGAGAGATCAAATGTTCACCTAAGACCTTGAGGGAGCAAATGTTCACCTTGAGGGAGCCGAATGCCTTTAACTTGATTACTTAGAGCTCCTCGAGAGTAGGTGCCAACACTCATCCCTCAATATTCTCCGTCAACAACATTTCTTCTTATCATCACATTCTGCCCAGCATGCTGGCTCTCAACTTACTCAGCCTGAACCCGCTGGGTCTTCTCCTTCTGTCTGCCACTGCCGTCACTGCCGCCCCAACGCGTCAGCCAGTTGCCCGCCCTACTCACTATGTCGCCTTTGGTGACTCCTTTGCTGCAGGCCTCGGGGCTGGCTACGAGTCTGGGACCGGTCGTCTCGACGGGTGTTATCGCTACGATCGAGGGTATCCGTCCGCGCTGCAGGCGCTCATCGATGGCGACTCGATAATCAAAGTCGAGAACCTCAAGGCCTGTACGGGCGCGAAGGCCGATCAGGTTAAGGCGCAGGCAAAGTTCCTCGATGAAACTGTAGACTTGGTGAGTTTCCTTATCTGCACTATCTGCATGTATAGGTGCATCTATTCAACTTGATTTACCTCTGCCTACTTCAGTCATCAACGCTAACTCCTGAGCGTGTCTAGGCCACTATATCAGTTGGCATAAACGACGTCGGTTTTGGCAATATTGTCAATGATTGCATCTACCGATTTAAAGGGAGCCTCTCGGGCGACTGCCAGTCGACGCTAGACAGCTCCAGAAATTACATTGAGAGCGATCTCGGTCCTGCAGTTAAGGACGCACTCCAGGCCTTTATGGACCGGCCGCATCATGCAAACCTGCGCATCTTTGTCACAGGCTACGCGCAGTTCTTCTACCCAGGCCCCTCAGACCAGTGCGACGGTGTCTCTTGGAACTACTGGCAGGACTCGCCTGAGAGTGGTAGTGGCCAGAATATGACACAGGCGTTGCGAAGTCAGCTGAATGAGCTTGTTGTTGCAGTTAACAACAAGATCGACGAGGTTGTTCGCAGCTTTCACGATGCAAAGATCAACTTCGTCGACTATGATGACAGGTTCAACCGCTTTTGCGAAGATGGCTTTACAGAGCCACAGCCCCCTGGCGAAGAGCGGCCCGACCTCTTTATGCACCAGTACTACACGCCCGACAGCCCGTTGCCCCAGGACTACACGCCAGACCCCCAGTTGCAGGATGTCGGCGAGTGCTTGGAGGTCAGCGTCTCGGCCGAGGCCAAGAACCTGGCTCAGGGCATGCTGGAGTTTGCCAACGGCCACCCGGATGTCAAGGTGGCGACACCGTTTAACGAGCATCCCGTCAATATCACCATGCTCCCAGACCATATCCCGGTAGGCATCATGAAAGCCTTCCATCCCACTCAAAAGGGCCACGAGACAATCGCCCTCGAAGTGTGGAAGGCATACACACGCGTGAATACACATCCGCCAAGCAGTAGCCTACAGCCTCTGCCTAAAAACTTCCATATTGGAGACAGCGGCACGCGTGTCTCAGGCAACTTCCCGCGCTCCTTTGGCCTTCTCGATAGCAACCTGTCCGTTCGTAGTATTCTCTATCGCATGCGAGATCGGGCGTGCCCGGGGCTGTGCCATACGGTACGCGGTATCCCGAGGGACTTGCTGTTGAATACACGACAAGGAGAGGACGGGTGTAACTTTGTGACGCGCATTTCCGAAGGCAAGGAGCTTTTTTTTACTGCATCCCATGCAGGCCAGAACTGCTGGGATGCCACCAAGCGCATGATTGACGAGCGTATGACGGATTATGGCGAGCCCATCCACACGGAGAGCTGGGTAAATGGTAGTGACTGTAAGTTGAACAAACCCTCCGCTTGTCTTTACTCCTTTCTTCTCCTCACTCTACCACCCGTATATATGCCTTGGCTGACAAAATAACCACCTGTACAGACGAATACTACAATGTCGGAATCCGTGACTTCACCCCCGGCTGCAAGGACTCGCCATCAGACCATCTCGGCCATCTGCATGTAGCCTGCCGCCGTTTCGAAAACGTCTTCTCAGACCGCTACGAGGTATATCTCAACAACTGGGATGATGGAGACCGGGGCAAGTCGATCCACCATGGCGTCGAGGACTGCCACATGTTCCCCACGAAGTGGAAGTACAAGGAAGCGCCCACCGACCAACTCCGCCCGTATACCTTTTCGGACCGCACAGAGGCTGACAAATGGGTTAAATGGTACATGATGTGTAGCACTGGGAAGTGCGTGGAGAGCAAGATTGAGGAGGTGTTGGGTCTGCGGGCGGGTGGGCTCAAATGTCCCTTTGGGGAGTGGTTTGAGCTGGACTTGTTCAACTGAATTAAGTAATAGAAGACTAGATCTTCAGAGAAGAGAGCCGGTAGTTTCTAATGAGTTTCCATGGCAATTTGTATGGCTAGATAAGCAAGTAACCATCCTCAAGTTCTGTGTAATAAGGACCGCTCCAACTCCGCTCTCACCAGCTCACATCTACAGTCGCTCGCATTCTTCAGCCAACATCAGACTAAGTCACTCCTTTTGGGGGCACTGAATTTATTGATCGTCACGACCTCTTGATGCATTCGGAGACTGGAATATATGCACGAGCCACGTTCTACCCTTTTACAACATCAATAGCCCATCAGACCTTCTTTCTCGGGTCAGTCCCTACCATGACCTTGCGCACAATCAAAAACGTCAGTAAACTAGCGACCATGGTCGATCCGCAAAACAGCTGTAAACCGAGGAAATCACCGCCCTGGGAGCTGACGATGGCCCCAGCAATCGGACTGCCCGTCAACGCGCCGATGCTTTGCACAGCGAATGATGCCCCTGTGCGGATGCCAATCTGTCGGATATCACTAATCTGGGCGATGAGCGTAGGCGCAACGCCGATGAAGCCGCCGGAAGAGAAGCCAAAGAGGATCGCGTATACGACAATCGCCGCGTTGGATTTTCCTGGAACCCAGAGACCCAGGGTTATGATGGCCGATAGCCCTGTGATGAGGATCATGACGTTATAGCGACCAATACGGTCGGCTGCGATGCCTGGGGCGATACGGCCGATGATGCTGTATCAATGTCAGTAACTGCGACATGATAGGACTTTGAAGAAGACTGACCTGATTGCATTGATGATGGGGAGCAAATACGTCGTCAGATTCTGATCCATGCCCTGTTTCTGCGCCTGCAGGATGATGTAGTTGAATGGCAGAAACATCCCCCAGTAAAAGAAGAAGCTCGCCACGACTGTAAGCGTGTATGCAGGCTCTTTGAACCCCTTCATGTAGTCGGCGAGAACCAGCGGCTTGGGCTGAGGAGGCAGCCGACTTTTGACGACCAGAGAGGCAATGGTAAGCAGGAACAGAAAGATGAAGGCGACGATGCGAATAGTCCACGGGAAACCAATCTGCGGAATCAGCTTTATCATGAGGATGGGCAAGACGACGCCGCCGAGGGAGGAGCCCGAGACCATGACTCCAAAGGCTGTCGAGCGCCGTTTGAAGAACCATGTCACGACCGAGTTCATACACGCGTTGAAGACGGCCGACGATCCAATAGCTGCGACGACGCCCTGCGCCAGGATGAACTGGTAGTACTCGGTGGCCAGACTAACCATCATGAGGCCAAACACGTAGGTTATCGCGCCTACGATGAACAGCCACCTGGGCCCGTGGGAGTCGAAGACGCGCCCGAAGACGACGCCGCAGAGGCCCATGATGCTTGTCTGCAGCGACGTGATCCAGCTGACGGCGCTCTGGCTGTACGTGCTCAGCGGGCCCTTGGTGTAGTACTCCTGGAAGACGCCGATGCAGTTGATGAGGCCAAAGGTGCAGAACAGGGCGCAGAAGCCGCCGAAGACGACGAGCCAGGCTTCGAGGCCGCCATCGGGGAAGTCAGCTGGGTTGATGCCGGGGGGAGATTGGGAGTCTTTGGTGTTGACTTTGGCCTGTATGGCCTTTTCAGGATCCATAGAGCCGCCGGCTTCGGGTTCTTGGCTCCGGAGCGAGATGCGCTCAATCGAGCGTGTTCGAGGCGACTGTGAACCGCCATCCTTTTCCTCGACAGCGTCAACGCGCATCTCTCGGGGACTCTCACCCAGCGTCATTGACGATTGAGAGCGACTGTGGGACGATGCAGCCATTGTTCATCATCTGTGCCTCGGTGAAGCCGCAAAAGAAGTAAGCAAGCGAGGTTGGACAACTAAAACGGTCGTCGGAAAGTGGGGGAGAGACGCTTGTCGGGAACAACTGCCGGGAGAGGTCCCGATGCGTTTGGAGGATTAATAATGCAGCGACTAGCGTGTGCAAGTTGAGGGTGGCAGCGAACGGTGGTAGCTATACACTCGATTTTCATCTTCAAACTGCTTCACATCATCAATCCCAAAGATTGGTTGCCTACTCCCACCTCGACACTTAGCCTCCGCCACCATTTCTAACTTCAACACCGGATCGGTCCCTGGCAGCTGGAAATCACAGTTATTCACAGCGTATTCGTGATCCTGTAATCATTCGTCCTTGTTGGCTGAAACATGTGGATAGTGCCTCTGTTCTCCTATCTGCCTCTTAGGGTTCCAATTCGGGTCGTGATATCTCCTCCTGGGCATGTAGCTCTCCCTTACACAATCGCTCCAAGCTTACATCTTCGCAAGTTGAGAGAGGCCGCCATCCAATCTAATCGTCGCACCATTGCAAAAGGCCCTAAGTCCAGTTAGCGGTTGAAAATCGCAGCCGAGTCATGATCCCCGGTATTTTAATCAGGAAGCCTCAATGTGACCAAACTTACCCAGCTCTACTTGACAAATATAAGCAAGTACCTGCCACGTCTTCGGGCGTCCCTATCCTGGACAATGGATTCGCCTCTCTGATCTCGTCGCCCATCGTGTCGAGAATAGCACCCATCATTTTGCTTGGAAACGGTCCGCATGCAATCGTGTTGGAGGTGATTCCCCGGGGACCCAACGTGGTTGCAAGATGCCGGCTCAGATGGTGTAATCCTGCCTTGGCCGCGCTGTATGCGAAATTGTTGAGATGCGGCACACGCAGGGCATCTACAGAACCAATGTGGATAACGCGCGCCGGATCCACGGGGATGCCGTCCGTCCTTACTGTAGCTGCCTCCAACAATGGGAGCACGAGTCGGGTGAGGGTGAAGACGTGGTGGAGGTTCAGAGTAAGCACCTTGGTCCACGCAGATTCCGGATAGCTGTCGATGTCGGCCCCCCAGGAGGCGCCGCTGTTGTGTACGACAATATGGAGCTTTTCCTCCCGCTTGGCTAGTTCTGCTGCCAGATTCTCGCAAGCCTCGAGGGACTGCAAGTCGGCGGGGATTGCTATGGCGCTGCCCGGGCCTAGGAAACGATCAAACATTAGCAATTACGCGTGCCAAGGCGCGAATATTGCGGATAAAGCAGCGAGAAAGAGCTAGCAAGGTAAATGCTTCTCCGATAATTCATACCTTGAGCGGTGAGCTCCGATGCCGCCTTTTCACACGCGTCGGCATTGCGAGAGGAGATGTAGACCTTGGCGCCATTCTTGACAAAGCCAGTGGAGATCATGAGGCCAATGCCTCTCGCACCACCGGTAACGAGGACTACCTTGCCCTAGAATCGGTTGAGAATTACCGTTCCTCCAGAGTTGATGATGTGCTCGCTCACCTTGACAGCAAAAAGTTCGGAAACGTCCATGTTTCTTCGGGTTCTTCGATAGTGTTATGGGTGTATGTAATGAGAGATTCAACGATGGAATTATTGTAAGAGAGGGCACATTGAAGGTTGAGAATAGCAAGGTTGAAGTACAACAAACAATGTCAAGGCCATCCCGGGTTTCAACATTGATGAAGTATCCCCGCTTATCACGTGGTTCTGAACCATGTGACGTCTCACCGAGCTCCCGAGGATCCGTGCCGAGGCATAGATTACACCAATGGGAGCTTGTATTCACTGGTCGCTTCGCCGGGTAAATTGGGTCAACGGTAGAGACAGACAGCTGTACGAGAATAATGAGTCCAGGGAAAATCGCTATGGACATACAAACGAGTGCAAAGTATCTGGATATGGGACATTTAAGCAAATGACACCAGCTTCGCGCCAGCTATTTTTGTACCCCACACGGCGGCGACCTCACTAGTGGGAATAAAACACGTCCATCTTGAAATACTTGAATCAATCCCCATGTCATCGAACGGCGCTATTGTAAATCTAGGGGCTTTTGTTACTGACTTGGTATCCTTCTGATACCTGATGATTGGAATTTTACCAAAGAGACATTAATGGCACTATCAACATGTCGCCAAGGGAAGTGCATGAGTAATCGAGCATCTATTAGCAGCAGTCAAGGGATACTCACCAGTAGAGAGCTTCAAGGTGGTTGTCAATCCATCGTTCATGGTAGGGAAGCCTCGTCGACGATTTATCCGGTCATGCCCTCAATTACCTAATTTATTGCGTGTCCCTTTTTTACTAACCTCACAACTTATGGACTGTTGGTCTTGTATGTGGTTTTATTCCCCTGTTCTAGCCCAGCCAGTGTTGCTCTAGGGTAGGTTGCACGGCGAGCTAAGGGAAATCGCATGCACTGCCCCTACACTAAGGGAAGGGGATGCTGGCCTTGTTATCCTTTAGGGTCTCCTCAATCCTTGTCATCTACGATTTGGATAGTCAACATGATCGTTCTAGTGGACAGGAGGCCCAGCTCTAGATTGGACCGTGGCGTGGGTGTAAGCAGAAGGGACGTCGGTTTTTTTTCATCTTCATTTTCGGCGCGGTGACGATGGATACGCAGCCGATGTGACTTTTCTTGGAGAAAAAGGGCGAGGATGGTGTGTCATGGGGAACCCTGACAGGTGCTAGCGCTGTCAAACTGGTGGTGGCACACCTGCACCAGAGTTGGGATTGAGATGCTGGTGGATTGAATTGAGCAACGCGGGTTGGATTGAGACCCCCCGTGGATTGACCCGTGGATTGACCTGATTGAAAATCGGGATGCGCAATCCCATGGGCCACAAAGACATGGTTTCGTATACACAAACATTTTAATTTCGCATTTCACGGTCGATTGATTCCAGGGGTGGCAGGTGGTCGGTCGGTCAATTACGACCTATTGGATGAGGAGCGTCGTGGAGATTCATTCATACGAAGTAGAGGGTGGCTTAGATGTACTTTGAAATGGCTAGGTAGCTAGCCTGGAACCCCGTAATGACCTCGCCCGTAACCAGCTTGACACGCTTGAGGAGGACAGACAATATACGGAGTACTACACTACGTACTGTACCTGGTATGGCACAAACGAGCCGATATCCGAGCCCAGTCCTCGAGGCCGCGTGTGCCGGGCTCCGTCATTAGCGTCGATTGGTCGGCTTCGGCACATCCCATCTCGTTGGCGTCATGGGGATAACGCCATGGGGATAGTGGCAAGGTGGCCCGTCTGGTGCGGTTCCAACTGACGTACGCACCATGGCTGGAAACGCGGCATCTCGGTGGCCCCCCCTAGACTCCACACCATCGTACTTCCCAACCCGCAAAGCCTCCTTTGGCGCGCAATCGGTTTGAATGGTTTGGGGCTAGCACAGCACAAGTCACGCCCGCTGCAAGGTACAATGCTCAGTGGGACCGCCAATCTGTTCCAGGCCAATCTGGTTCCACGGGGTCGTGAGGGTGATGCGTCGTCTGGTACGGAGTAGAGGGAGGGAAATGCGTACTCTTCGCTGTGCCCCAGAGTCACTCCCACCTCCCGGGAATTATTAAAATAGCTCCTTAGTCCTGCGTCTCTGTCTCTAGAAGGGGATGCTCCCATTTTGTCAAGCGCCTTTCTGAAACCTTCCAGTCCCTCGCTCGCTCAATTCTCAATTCCATCCGACACACCTTGCAAGTTGCCTTTTACTTCACTCGCTCTAGACTCTCTCTCTTGATGGTTTGAACACCTGCATCATCATCTTTCTTCCTTCTCTTTTTTACTCCCCTTCTCCCTGTCATTTCCCGCTCGCTTCATTCCCCCGACCCGGTCCATCGCCACCCGTTTTACCGATCTGAGACACCCCGATCGCCAAGCTCTTGGCACGATCTCGTCCACTTTTAGCCATCAATATCACAGCCAACCGCGTCGCTGATCGTCTACTGTGACCATGCTCAAACTGTCCGTGTCGCTTTTCGCCTTGGCGACTTGCGCGCTTGGCGCTGACCTGCCGTCAATCGAGAAGAAGGTATAGCAATCATTCTGTCCTCTGGTGCCGTAAAGCCTACCACCCACTAACAATCGGCTGCCGCATTCGTGACATTCAGGGCTCCAAGTTCTTCTTCTCCAACGGAACCCAGTTCTTCCTCAAGGGCGTCGGCTACCAGCAGGATTCGTCTGCCGCTGGAGCGACCACCACGAACTCGACCTTCGTCGACCCTCTCGCCGATGAAGCTCGTTGCAAGGAGGACATCCCTCTGCTCGCCGAGCTCGGTACTAACATCATCCGAACATACGCCATCGACCCTACCGCGGACCACTCGGCTTGCATGAAGCTGCTTAATGATGCCGGCATCTACGTTATTTCCGACCTCAGCGAGCCTAGCCTTTCTATTGACCGCAGCGATCCCGCATGGGACGTAGAGCTGTTCAATCACTACAAGGCCGTCGTCGACGCCATGGCCGGATATTCCAACGTCCTTGGCTTCTTCGCTGGCAACGAGGTCAGCAACCAGGCCAACAACACCGGCGCATCTGCCTACGTCAAAGCTGCTGTCAGAGACACAAAGAAGTACATCTCGGATAAGAACTACCGATGGATGGGCGTTGGCTATGCTGCAAACGACGACACCGACATCCGTGATGAGCTTTCGGCCTACTTCAACTGTGGTGATGCCGACCAGTCCATCGACTTCTTTGGCTACAACATCTACTCGTGGTGCGGTTCTAGTGATTTTGAGAAATCCGGATATAACCGTTTCATCGACGCCTTCAAGGACTATTCCGTCCCCGTCTTTTTCGCCGAGTATGGATGCAATCTTCCTAGTGGAGCTGCTAAGCGAACATTCGATGAGACCACTGCCCTGTACTCTTCCAACATGAGCGAGGTTGTGAGCGGTGGTATTGTCTACGAGTACTTTGAGGAGACCAATGACTACGGTAAGCTCGGCTGACCTGCGATGTCCCAATCCACGTGTTAGGAGGGATCATGTTCTAACACCAAATCCAGGTCTCGTGAAAATCAGCAGCGGCAGCGCAACCAAGATGGCCGACTTTGCCCACCTCCAGAAGAACGTCCGAGCCGCTTCACCGGCCGGTGTCAAGATGTCTGCCTACACTTCAACCAACAAGGCCGCCAGCTGCCCAACCGTCAACTCTACTTGGGCCGCCAGCTCCAGCTTGCCCCCGACACCGAATGAGTCTGCGTGCAGCTGCATCACCAACTCCAGCTCATGCGTTCCCGCGGACGGCCTCGCTTCCAGCAAGTACTCGGCCGTCTTCGATTACATTTGCGGCGTGAACTCGACTCTCTGCGACCCCATCAACGGCAACGCCACCACCGGTGTTTACGGCACCTTTAGCATGTGCTCCGATGTCGACAAGCTTGCCTATGTCCTCAACGCCTACTACGAGAGCCAGGGCAAGGCTTCTACCGCTTGCGACTTTAACGGAAAGGCCCAGACCCAGAAGGCAAGCACCACTTCTGGCGACTGCACTAAACTCGCCGCTTCAAGCAACACGACCTCTTCATCTAGCTCTTCCACTTCCTCCAGCGTTGCTATCGTGGGTGCTCCCATGACCCATGCCTTTACCCTTGGCGGTTTTGGTGTGAGCCTGTACATGGCCGTGCTCGTTGGTGCCGGCATGCTCGCTCTGTAAATCGTCCCGTGGATTCTAGCGTTAAACATACCTTGCATTTCTTGTAGGATTAGATTATCATAGTATTGGAAAGGTTCAATTGAGTGTTTTTGGCTGCCATTCTTCAGGACATAATTATTTTCACTAATATTGGGATATGAGATTATATTTTCCTGTCTTCATATTAATAAAATTGGCTACTACTGGAGACACCCGCAGTGTTTCGTTGATCACGTTGGAGAATCTATTTCTCGAAGATGGTACGGATTTTGGGATACGTTAGGACATGAGATGGTCGCTTACTGGAGAAGTAGTGATAGCCGAAAGGTAGGGAGCAGGGAATGAGTCTTAGACAAAAGCAAGGCAGCAATGTGGAACAATAGAGATGCTGATCATAATATCCTGTATTCCGCTAACGCAAATTGATTGAAACTGATTTATTAGCGCTCCCAAGTCACATTCGTTCATCCTGGGACTTCGCCACGGAAAGGACAAACCTGGTCAGCCTCCACAATGTGGGCGAAGCCTTGCCGACGCAGTTTTTAATAGTTGTGGTGACGACCTTTCGAAGGGCCGTATACCATTACCACTGTGGCCCTATACTATGTGGGCGAACTAGCGGTAGTATTGTGCAATCCGATAAAATATTCCCAACAGCTAGCCTGGCAACACAGCTCTATCTACTCTGCCCGTCTGTGGCGACCCCCGACTGACTATGGTGGGAAGACTTGATGATATCAATGCGAATCATAGTGGCGATTTACGTTGCCTTATCTAGAAGATCCGTGAGTATACCGGAAGGTCCCATAAGTCCTCTTCACAAGTTTTGGACTAGTCTTGTAGTTGTAAGTCTTGGTGTAACCACGAAACACAGCAAAACCTCGAGAATGCTCGGATCTTATCTGCAGAGATACATCTGACTGTGCTTATTATAGATTAGTAAGATTCTGCTATTGAAGTAACCTTGACACGTCTCTCCCAATAAGCGGTGGGGTCGTGACCGTCGATCAACCAACACATGCGGTATATATTGTATCTCCACTTGCCGTGGCGGACTTGATGAGCGGGGTCGCTAAGTGCGGGCCGTGTCAAACGATCGTCCGCTATTTCTTTGCTCCTCTCGAGTACTTCTTCGTTTGGCTCTTGGTGCCTAACTACAATCATCTTCTCCGGCGCATTTCCACGAGAGCAAGTCAACAGACGGACAAACAGATACCCAGAAAGACCCAGCCCGCGTCGAAACCGTCGGACCGTTCGAAATGGTCACCGAGCCAGAGGCGCAGGCTGTGGGGACAAGCTCTCCTCCGCTGGTGCAAGGTAATCCTGGTACCATGCTTGCCGTCGATGATGATGTCTGAGTTCTCGCCTTGTTCATGGGAGTCCTCTCTAATAATATTGCATAGGCTGTTCACCAGGATGAAGATGATGCCGACTCAACAATCGGACTTGTGAGAAACGATGCGCTTGTCTACACACCGAGTGGCTCATGTTGACTCCGGTAGGACAACGCTAGCGACACCGCCTCTCTGTCGTCTAGCATCATGGCCTATCGCCAGGAGAATGGCCGGACGTACCATGCATACAAGGATGGCGGTGAGGACCCCTCAACTCATTCTCCGATTGAATGAAAGGCGAAGACTCGGCTGACTCAATCCCAGTTTACGTCCTTCCTAATGATGAGGTCTGATTGTCCTGTCATCCTTACGAGCCCCTTCACTCCTTAACTGATATATGGCCTTTCAGACCGAGAACGAGCGATTAGGTACGCGTTATTAGCCTCTACCTACCATCTTGTGTCTAACTTTGCCGTAGATCTGCAGCACAACTTGTTGCTCCTGACCTTTGGCGGACTTCACTGTGCCACATTAGACAAGCCTCCCCGTCGCGTGCTTGATGCCGGCTGTGGTACGGGAATCTGGTCCATCGATTTCGGTAGGATGAACCACCCGACGAGTTTCCATTTTGACGATATTTTCTGACAATGTCCAAGCCGACGAGCACCCCGAATGCCAGGTAGGAAACAGCTACTCCTCTTTAGCTATTAAAGAGTCCTGACAGTCGTTATTTTAGGTAACAGGGATCGATCTCAGCCCTATTCAACCGCCATTGTAAGCCCATTAATGAGTCAAGGAGTTGTCCTTAAGCAGACCACTACTAATTGCTCTCTTCCCCACTAAAAGTGTGCCTCCCAACGTTAGCTTTTTCGTGGATGACCTAGAGGACGAATGGAACTTTAGCAGCAAGTTTGACTTCATTTTCTCTCGCTTCATGACGGGCTCCATCCGAAACTGGCCCAAGTACCTGAAGCAATGCTACGAGTATAGCTCTCCCCGTTCAAATCGGGAATACTACTAATACGCCACCTATAGTTCCCTGGAACCTGGTGGTATACTCGAGCTTATGGATATCATATATCCTCTCGAATCCGATGATGGTACGCTCAAGGAGGAGCACCCCTCGTACAAGTGGTCCGTACTGCTACAAGAAGGCTTTGCAGGCGGCGGGCATCCGCTCAACACCGCCCTCAGCTATAAGGACTGGCTTCCAGAAGCTGGCTTTGTGGACGTCGTTGAAGTAAAGGAGAAGTGGCCTCTTAATACCTGGGCTAAAGACCCCAAGTATAAACAAATCGGTAAGTGGTACCTCGGGCTATTTCAACACGGCTTACATATGTTCCCAATACTGATACACTAATTATTCACCATATAGGCCAATGGACGCATGAAAATGGCATGCTGGCCTTGGAACCTTTAAGCCTGGCTATATTCACACGCCCAAAGAGTGCAGGCGGGCTAGGCTGGAATGTTGAAGAATTACAGCTTCTTCTGAGCGGAGTCAGGAAAGACTTCAAGAATCTGGGCATCCATTCGTACTGGCCGGTGTAAGTTTCCTGTTCAAATCTATCGTAGGAGTGCATCGTTGCTTTTGAGCAAGATCTAATCGTGGCCATAGGTATTCGGTATACGCCAAGAAGCCTGAGTAACGAAAATTTCTTCTCTAGGTTATCAGTGCATTGGGGATTTGGAGGCGGCTATTTGCATATCGATTTCAGACTGAAAGCGCGCACACTTGATTCTTAGTAGTCCAATGCGATTCGGCATTTTTCTCGACATTTTACCATCTTGAATTGAATATTTGGAATTGTGCTTGGTTTATGAGTTATGAATTATCTCGGTATTAATCAAATCAATGAATTCCCTAACTTGCACACCCAGGTCCCCATTGGCGTGTTCCCTCTCCCATTCCCCTCTAACAGACCCGCTAGTCACAATATTCGCGGCATCTTGACTCCGAGTGGTGATCTATAAGAATTTCTGTCATTCTGCCCAGAATGTGGAAGCGCGGATGTAACTAGCTACCTATACTAAGGTTTGATGCTCCATCGAGGATCGTAGGAGTGATGGCACGTAGCCTGCCAGGACAAGCCTCAATTTTCAGATACGCATCCGCAAAAATTGGGCACAACTGTTCCCAGATTCTTCGTCTGTTGCACAGACCGTATATCTTGTTTTTATTTTGGGAGAAGCCCTTACTCCCCCAATAGAGCTTGCGATAAACAAACTGCCAATCTGTCTCGTTTCTCTGTTGTTCGGTCATGGCGGCCGGCAGGTCCCACAACCACGGCATGTCAGAATGGAGACGATTTCTCCAAAAGCTGTTGGTCAATTCAAGATTGGCAAAGGCAGGTGATGCCCGTCGAACCTCGAAAACTGTTGCCATTTTCTTCAGATGCGTCATGATGATCAACAGGATATCTGGCGGAAGTGTTGCAAATGGATCTCCCCTTATGCTGAAAGCCGTCGCTAGTCTGTCAATAGACACGTTTCGTTGCGGTAGATTTGCCAAGAACCCCTTCAAACCCTTCACCTCCACTGGGTTGAAGACGAAATGCTCCATGTCCCTTTCGGTCCACCAGTACTGCTCCATTCCGTCACTGACGTCGCCATAGTCAATCTCGAGGCTTGTCGCATATGGGTCCTTCTCTGCCATGCTATGTAACGTCTCGAAGAAGACTTCCTTGTCGAGATGAAACACTGAAATGGACAAATATCGACACAGCACTTCGCGGCAACATGTATGGAAAGGGGCGGCCCAGGGCTCATCATCGTCCCATTGGTATCTGTGAATGTGAGAACCGTCCGAATCGGATAAAAAGAGAAAACTCACACGCTAACGTCGCCAGGTTCAGGAAGCGCAGGGTCTGGAGGGTCTCCGGGTTCATAGTTCATGGCGCCGTTTTCATAATCAACTGCTGGGCCCGAGATCCAAATTCTGGCCATCGTGTCAACAAGTCTGTTTTTGAGCTGGGACCTGGTATTGAAACCCTCACTTGCTTGGACCTTCGGCTTCCGGATTCTCTCCAATGACTCGAAAATCACTCAACCAAGCCAGCTCTGGGTCCTCGGGATCCTCTAGCACATCGGGATCGTACGAGCGCTGAGAATTTTCCCTGGGTTCCCAGTATAATTGGCCGAATGGGCCGCCGCAAAGGGCGCAATACACATGGAAGCCGCCCATTTTTTCGTTTTGCGTGAGGTTTTGAAAGAAAGGAGGAGAGAGTCAAGTTGCGGTAAAATTGTGGATGACGATGATTATAACGCTGAGACGAACTGAACCAACACTGTGGCTCCGCTGCTGCCTGCTCACTGACAAGGTTGCATGCTCCCTGGCCCAACCTCGGCTTAACATACATTGCGATACGAGCTTTTGTGCTCTTGGACGTGAAACAAATCTTTCCAAGCTACGAGAGGTTTTTTCTCCCAGTTGTATTAGTGAAATGCGCCAAATAATTCATTCTACTTGTTGACATTTATTACTGGCATCTGAGGGGGTATTAAATGCTTGGTTGGCTAATGGTCGTTGCCAAGCCCTATCTAACAAAAGTCGCGGTAGCCAAATGCAGACTCGCAAATGAATATGGCATCTGCTACATAAATTCTGGACTCTATTGTGTTTGGAAACACGCCGTAAAAGTTCCTACTAGACCGCCCGGAAAGCACCCGCAAGTTGAAGAAATATAGCTAGTGCAAGCCTCTCGATGTTGATGATGTTGAAAGTCGGGCGAGAGCGAAAGGTTGGGGTACGAGTGTAGTATCACTAGACCTAGCAATTCGCGTATCAATAATGTGTGTTCAGGATCTCCTGGGGAGATTCACTGACCGACGCCTTGCATATTCTATACGCTCCGCAGCATGATACCGTTTGATTTGTACCAATTGTAGATATGTGAGTACAAGGCTGATAAATGATGTGAGGGCAGTGAAGAGTCCAAAAAATAATGCTATAATGTCATTGTTGTTGAACGTTGGACTCGAAGGATCGCTGCTCATATTGTCTCCAAACTACCGGAACGGTTGTTGGTATGATGGGTAAAGTGATTTTTCAATGGAAGAGAGTAAGTATGCGGGCGTTTTGACTACAAATTTCATACAATAGGGGAAAACTTCCCTGTCTTTAACCTGCTCCTCGGTATGGTATGGTGACCACAGAATACGTGGAAAATGCGCCCTGTTGTGCTGACATTGAAGTTCAGAGTGCGACAGAGTGCGACCGGGTATCCAGAATTCAATCATTCATTGCAGCAGTGGGCCGATAATCCCCAGATATAGCATAAGAACGAAGTGCGAAGTGCGACCTGGTAGTGAGGGAGTCAGGTGGGCGATGTTCCAGAGTCTCAGCCATTCATCGCGTGACACGAATGGCGCACTAAAAAGTGCGAAGTGCGACTGCCTAAGGTGGTGGCCTGACACGGCTGTATTTATCTGCTGCTATTGCTTCTACTGTATGGCCCAGGTAGGCTGAGAGTTGGTGGGCATGATGACAGATGTGCAATTTGGTCCCCTACGTCACGACAGAAGTGGAATGTTCAGTGATGTTGCGGCCGTTCGATCACGCCATAAATACACCAGCGTGGGCTAAGTTGGTGTGGCTTAGAACTGGACACTCGCATCTGGTCGCAGTTTGTCGGACTATAAATTGCCAGCAATATCGGAAGCGAATCCAGAGATGACGATCCGTAGAGTACTCGAGGCGATTGAATTGCACCTGCCGGGGAATCATCTTCTTCTCCCACGACGCATTTCCGACATGTCGTCTGGAAACGAATCAAGACTAGAGTCTCATGGTGAATCTTCGGATGCCCTCCAACCATTGACCGTGGAAGTAAAAAAACACAAAAGGTTGGGCCAGCGGCTTCAAATGTTGAGTTGTAGCTTCTGTCGGAAGGACAAGAAAAAGGTGGGAGGTATCTTGTGTCGCGAGTAACTCTCATCTGACTTCAATCTAAACAGTGTATCCCACAATCTAGGAAATGGCCGAAAAAATGCAATCGCTGCGAGGAGAGAGGTCTTGCCTGTTCTGAACTGGTTCGGAAGGAGAGGAGGCACAGAGTAAATCGCCTTGACAAAATTGAAACTGGGCTGAGTCGCCAGAATCCGCCTGAGCTCGAAATCGTGCCACCGAGCACTTATATACCAACCACAAAGCACCATGACCCCATCGTTGACGACGACAACCAGGCTTGGGATTTCAAAGATTTGTAGGTTCAACCGTTAATTGCCCTTGTCTTTGTTGCCCTAGATTCGTATTGACGCCAGCGGTGAAGGAGCAATGCGATCGGCATGTTGCAGCTGGCTTCCGCCGAATACATTGAGCAAGAGGCGGCGAATGACGATGCGATTGAGCATTTACCCAACAATTGGGATCGAATTCATGGTTCCTTGATTGCGAGATTCTGCAATCTCGGCGAATTCCTAAAGGTCTTTCAACCAAGGCTACAGTCCCAAGTTTTACGCAGGCTCGAACAGCACCAGGAGACCACTTCTAGAGAGTTCTTGTCAAGAGCACTGGACGCCATCGCTGATCCAGTATCCGGAACACTGATAAACCCACCTTTTTTTTCCATTTCCACGGCCTCGAGGCCAAAGGTGTTGCAGCCTTCCATGATTGCAAACGCGCTCCGCAAAAGAGCCACCAGCCTGGCAGCAGAGGGACAGTGGTCCTTGGCGATTTTAAGCTACCAGAAGAGCCTGACGCATGGTAAGAGGCAACCCGACCTGAGTTTTTCAACATCCCTAAAGTCTCATGACATACCGAACGTCATGGCTAAGACTGCACAAAGGTTCGGATTGAAAGAGGACTATTCCGTGCCGGAATTTTGGGCTTGGACATCTACAATTTATCCAAACATTCTACCCGCGTCAAGAACTGAGATTATGGAAACACTTTTCATCAAAACTTGGATCGGGTTTGATGACGCCCTTGACTTGTTTGGGGTAAGGCTTCTTCAATATGCCTCTCCAAAGGTTTGGAAAAGCGTCTTCTGGTGGCTTTATAGAAGCCAAAGCATTCCCAAGGTAGACATTGATGGCCGCACGGGACTGCACCTAGCTGTCCTCCTAGGAATGAAAGACGAGATAACCTTGATGTCAAGAACATCCAATTTCGACCTTTCGAAGAAAGACAAGAGCGGGAGAACACCTCTTCACGTGGCTGCAATTATCGGCAACAAATCGGTCTGCGACACTCTTCTTTCAGTAGAACACGTCGGCGATGCTGTTCTGGCTAAAGATGTGGAGGGACGACTCCCTCTGTGGTATGCGGCAGAGGCAAACAAGCGGGAGGTTTTTAGCAAGTTCTTGGACACGACGCTCATCCACACGAGCCTAACAGAAATTTGCTCAGATATTGACAAGGACGGTAATAATCTGGTTCAATACTGCACAGCACATGGGCTCGCTGGGTCAGAGCTGTGGCGATTGGCTGCATTTTCTGGCTTCCCTGATCGGACGAGCCTTTGCCCGAATCCTTTTGAAGCGCAGGACGAATCCTGGTAAAACTGCCACGGCACATAAGGTACATTACCAGCTCTGCATTGTGGGGCGTTCCCTTTTGTGCCTGGTTCAACACAAACCATATGCCATTCATTGATCAAAGCCCTGAATTTCCTTGAGTATTGCACTAGGGCGGTGGGTAAATAGATTGGCTAGACAGGTGTTTGAAGAGTGATTTGCTATTGGTATAAGGGAACCAATCAAGCTCTCGGTTTTTGCTACCCTGCAAAAACTTGCATCTCCTCTACTGCTCTCCAAATTGGTAGTGTTAGCGAAGGAACGCAGTCAACAAGGAGTGATCCCAGCAATCATCCGCCCACTGCTAGCCAACACCTGATCACGTCACCGCGGTCAGGTCGTTTACAAACGCATCCCCATCGTATTCCATAAGGGATGTCAGCTTTGTGACTGGCCTGGCTCTTATTCTGGTAGCAAGTACTGCCATACCACAGCGGCCACGACTAGAGCTTTAGCGGCTTTAGTTGCGAGGCCTGATGGCTCCCTCACAATTGAGGACGAGGAACTTGCCGAGGCTTCGGGAACTTTTGCTTTTTTGCCTCGCCATCCCCTCTTCACTAAGCCCCTATTGTTTGCGGGATTCCTTGATCCTCCTGCGCAGCCTTCGGCGTGACCCGCTAGTGCACGTCTCTGTCTGATGAGCAGATGCGGCGCACGGTTGGGCTAACTTTAAGCCTGTTGACGGATTACTTGTTTTGACATTAGCCTCATTTTGGGCTTTCTGCTTGTTCACACTTCTCGTGGAGTCGCCGATCCGCTCCATCTTTTTCTTTTGCATCAGCTGCCAAGCTGCCTTAGTTGACAAGAGATTGGGTGGCTGTTATTCCAATTTGCTATGAGCTCGCTGTCACCCCCCACAATTACAGCTAATATTTAACCATATCGCTGAGATAAAAACGCCAACACGACGTGTTCAAGTTCATCGACTTTGAGGACAGGGATTGAAACGTGGTAAACGGCAGCGATTGAAACAGTACGGAGTCTATCCGTACTCTAATGGATGATCCAAGCTACAGGGGCTCGTAAAAGATCGCTCCGTCTCAAGGTGGTTTGTCTGTGCGTGCGTTAGTTCGAGTCAGTTAGCTCGCAAAGTCTTCTAGAATAGGCTTGGGAAGTTGGGGATCACCACTCATCACCAGACTGGCAGCCGCTACTGTTTCAGGTATGGGATGAAACCATTCAGGAATAACCTGCCGAGGCTGAGATAGCCAGTTACGATGCCCAAGCGGCAGCTAAATTCGGAGAGAACGTGGACAGATCGTTTCTTATTGCGGGCAACGTTCGATTTTACCGATGGAATGGATTGAAACAGGGATGTGCGGAAAGCACACGCCATTCGGTACTGTTTCCCAAAACGATATTGATTCACGAGGCCAGTGAAGGCGCCAGTAGCGAAACATGAGACCGCTCATATTCAAGCGCATGAGCCAAGAAGGCCGAAAAAGGCTCCCGTGAGCTTTTGAAGCTTTTGATTGATGGAATGTGTTTCTTCGCGGGGACTTGAGCTCGGCCCAGAGACGGGGAGCCGAGGCTCGCCATTCTAGAGCTTGTCGTGGGAGTGGTGTTGATTGAGCTTCAAGTTTTATAAATACGTACACTCATCCCGTTGTTGAGTTACTATTCAGACTCAGCCAGCAGCTTCAAACCAACATCCTTCACTTCTCTTACATCTTTCACGTCTCTCGCATTTTTCACTTCTCTCATCGCCCTCAGCAACCACCATCATGAAGGTCTTCGCCATTACTTCTGTCCTCGCCGCCACGGTCGCGGCTCTGCCGGCCATGAACCCCAACCCCGTCATTGAAGCTCGGCAGTTCGGTGGCAGCAGCACTCGCAACGATCTTTCCGACGGCAACAGCGCTTCCTGCCCCGGCGTCATCTTCATCTTTGCTCGTGGCTCTACGGAGACTGGCAATCTGGTACGTAAACTCCTCCATTCACTGAACAACAGGATGTCATTCTGACATATCCAGGGCACTCTCGGCCCAAGAGTGGCTTCTAAGCTGGAGGCGGAATACGGCTCGGACGGCGTCTGGATCCAGGGCGTTGGTGGTGCATACCTCGCCACGCTCGGAGACAACGCTCTCCCCCGTGGAACATCGACCGCTGCTATCCAGGAGATGCTCGGACTCTTTGAGGATGCCAACACCAAGTGCCCAGATGCGACTCTTATCGCTGGCGGATACAGCCAGGGAGCTGCCCTCGCGGCCGCTAGCATCACGGATGTCGACTCCACCATCCGCGACAAGATCGCCGGCACTGTGCTCTTTGGGTACACCAAGAACCTGCAGAACGGCGGCAAGATCCCGGAATACCCCGCGGATAGGACCAAGGTGTTCTGCAATGTCGGGGATCTCGTTTGCACCGGCTCGTTGATCGTGGCGGCACCTCATCTGGCCTACCAGAGCGATGCCTCGGGTGCGGCGCCCGAGTTCTTGATCCAGCAGGTTGCTGCTGTTGGCGGTGGTTCCGCATCTGCTTAGGCAATGGAGTGAGACGTGAGATGTATATAGGCTGGCCTATTTTCTTTCTGGAGATATTCTTTCTTGTTTTGATAGTTGATCTATCCATATTGGTTCTGTGCATACCCATTGACCCAGGTGACTGTGATATACATGAAGCACTAAAATATTGTCTAGCAAATGAAAACCTGCTGGAATGAATTGCGACTCATTTGAAGAACTCACGCTCGAGGTGCCTGGATGCTATCGGTTTGAGAACCCCGGTTGGGCATCGAAGGATGAACAAAAACCGACACGATGCAGAGGACGCACAAGGGTAAAGTTTCCTATAGTGGCATCCAACAGTTACAGCAAGAAGCACAAATACAAACATAATAAGGCCATTGGTCAGACCAACGTCAGATGTGGTAGTAAGCTTCATAAGGTTCTGGCTCTTCATTTCCTCAACACCCAAAGGTTATGCTTACAGCTCTCGGTTAAGTACTACAGCAATGACAGAAGGATATCCAACTCAGTCCCATCCAGCATGACCTGATCCTAGTCTTGTCCAACCATCACTAACCACGCTCCACAGTCAAAAAAAAAAAACCCCCCCCAAAAAAACCACCCCCGTATCAATATTGTCGCTGACGGGAATAACCAGGCCGAGAACGCAGCGCCACGAGGAGCGATTCACACACCCCCTTAAGTCTTGCAGCAGCATCGCTTCGCAAACAAGCCGCAGTCAGTCTTGGCCATGTGAGAGAACTTGTAGGGCTTGCAGTAGTCTTCACACTTGCCGCTCCAAGAAATGCTGCAGCTGCTTCGGTTCCAGCATGTAGCCCGGGTTTCGACGTCCCCGGACTGCGAATTGTTGACGTCTTCAGACGGGGCGGCGATGGCACCAGCCAAGGTTCTAAGGAGGAAAATGAGGCTGATCTTCCTTTTGAATATGGAAAGAACTTGAATATAGGGGTGAAGGATGTCAATCTTGTGTCTCTTTGTAGATATTGTGATAAAATAAAAAACCCTTTTTTAAAATGTATACCAGGTCATTGTATTAAATTAAAAACATAATAAAGAAAGAAAGAAATCACTTAAAACTATTTATCTTATAAAAAGAGCGGGGGACGAGATAAAACAGCACTTTAAGTATGACTACAAACGCAAAACATAGTTTCAAGATTAGAATACTATAATAATAACTCTTTAACAGTAAACCTAAAAACAGACACTTGTCCCGAGGCAGAGCCAATAATAAATGTTGACCCTGACACTTCCACACAACTATCATTAACCGGTCGGAACCCTGGCGGTATCCAGAAGAACCTGATATCGTTCCACATAACCCAGTGATTCTCGTGGTTGAGCCAGTAACCAGATCTCCGATGAGGGACAGGTGCTTCCTCAACCACTCGACAAGGCTCGTAGATTGATACAGGGCCATAGTTGGTAAGAAGATGCTTCCCTGTGTCATCAAATTCGACGCGGGATACATCGAAGCCGAGATATATGCGTCGACTGATTGAATCATCTTCAGAATCCCAAAAAGTCATCATGGGCCCGTCAACCCAGGACAGCTGCCTGGCGTCCGGAGAAAAGATACCTCGCGGGGCGAGTGGAGCATTTCCCAAGTAAATATCTCCATGCTTCTCCCATGTTGCTGTTCGCAGGATGTGGAACCTAGATGATCCCACGCGCAACGCAATGAACTCAGAATTCGGAGAGATACAGAACAGAAAAGTCCCTTCGTCCAAACCTTCTAATTGGCGGATCAGGTCTCCAGTCTCAAGGCTCCAGAGACTTAATATGCGCGTGCCATTATTTGCCCAGGTCGTATTTACCCAAGGGTGGATGTGGAAAATCGCATCTTCAGCCGCAGAGACTTCTGTCAATGTCGCCACAATCGTAGAATCTGGTGAGAACTTCAAATCGCGTATAGGGTCCATGTTATGGATCATGAGCTTGCCATATTTAGTAGATTGGCTCACATCCAATCTATCATGGAAAAAGTTCGCCTCCAAGTCAAAAATAAACTGTCTGGTCCCATGGAGTGAGATATACCGACCGTCCGGAGAAAATGTAACGCTTGTTTCATTGGGTACGACGTGCTCAAAGACGTGGTGGCCGGTGTCTACCCGCCAGAGGAAAAGGCGGTCCGAAGAGCATCCAGCCAAAAACGTCGACTTCAAGCAAAATCGCACTGACCGGATGAAACTGTTGGTGAACCGATGAATACATTGGCCATTCTTTGCTTCCCAAACTTGCGCATCCCCACTCTCTGTGCATGAGGCGATGAAGAGACCGTCGGGGGACAGCACGACCGACTGAACCGGATCGTATCTTTCAGTTGACGTAGCAGCACCGTTACTCAAGTCAGCTCGCCAGATGCGGATGGTTCTGTCATCTGATGCTGACGCAAACAAGGTCATGTCCGCGGAGAATAACAATGCCGTCACTGTGTCAGAGTGGCCTTCGAGCAGATGAAGGCATTCTCCTGTTTCGACGCTCCATATCATGGCTGTGTTATCTTCAGAGAAAGATCCCAGCAAGGTTCCGTCTAGCGAGAACAGGGTCCCCCGGATGGTATCTCGGTGACCCTCCAATGTGTGCACTATCTCCCTGTCTCTAACCGCCAGATTTGCATGGCGGATGTGTTATTCTTGGTGATACCGGCCATCATAAATGACGAGCTGTCGACAAAGGTGAAGGACATTCCGTCAGCCTGAAATTCCATGGCCAGATCAGAATCCTGGCTATGTTCATGAATGCAAACGCCAGTTCCAACATTCCACAAGGCATAGGAGCCAGTGCCCTTGGCCACGATGCCGAGGGTTTGAGAGTCAGACGAGAAATGTAGAGAAGCCCGCGCAGAGATAGAAGCACCTGCAGCATGTCTCTTGCGCCTCGTCCAATTCTCCATGGCTTCGATCCCAATGGCTTCAACCTCTTGGACGCATTTGAGTGTATCCAAGGCTATGATACGGATGGTTTCGTGGTCATAGCTGTCGGAAGCGAATGCGACGTACTTTGAATCTGGAGAAAACTGGATCCCATCCCATGAGCAGTCCCAAGACAGTAGGAACTTCTTCAGAAGATCACCTGTATCTCCACGATATAGACACAATTCCCCGTTGACACATGCCGTTGCTATCAGCGCCGAGTCCGGGGAGAACTTGACAATTTGTACCTTCGCCCTGGGGCCTTGGTCAAGTTCTCTGGTGAATTCTCCTGTCTCGATCTGGAAAATGTGGACGGCTGTGTTCTCAGCCGCGGATGCGATGAAGGAGCCGTTGGCGGAAAATGCAATGGAATTTATGCCCCTTTGTTTGACCTCTAGAACCTGCTGGCATTGGTCCCATGTCGGTCTCGCTGCAGAGGCAAGTGGCATCCAGTTGGATCTCTTTTCCCAGAGAAGCCGGCGAATCATACTACTCTCGGGGGTAAAAGCGAGCAGCGAAGAATATAGTTGAAGAGGGGACGAGTCTATCATGACCAGGTTTGTCTGGATGAATCGGCCGCCTTCTCGAAGGAGTTCGATAAGCATTTCGTGTTCGCTGTCCTAGACTGCTATCAGTGCCAGTTCATCGGTCAGACGCCTCCCTTCATACCTGCATGAACGACTCCAACGTCTTGATAATGTGAAGCCCCTCGGAAATGCGTCCAATAAGGCTAAGAGCTTCCAGCCAGTGGAGAAAATTTTGCGATAGGAAGTTGAAAATTTCCTGGTCAGTACAAGCCTGCTTCTCAGCATTTTGTAAATGGTGAGCCCAATAGCGGGAAGCGTATTGCAGTTCCGCCGGGAGGCATCTAGCAATGCGCTGTGGTGACACTTCGGAGCGGTCGATGCCAGGCAGTTGTAGTTGGCATAGATCTTCCTTCAACGAGTTGTTCAGCAGACGAATGCAACTCGCTGCGATCAGTCCATGGGTCTTCTTCTCATCCACCCAGTATGGGTTGGTCCCTTGCTTCTCTGGGTCGATAAGAAAATCCCGGAAGGATAGATGGAGCAATCTAACGGGTGAATTTGCAGATCTAGGAATATCCAGCACCGAGTGAAGCATATCCAATCTAATGTCGATTCTGTCCCTGTCTATATCGAGCAGTCGGGCTAGAGATAGAACTGGGAGTGGTGATTCGAGAACCACAATGGTTCCAACGATGTGCCGGAAATCTTCGAAAACTCTGCCCTGTTCACGCGCTGACAGACCCCTTACTTGCTGCTCCAAAGGTGGCAAATAAGTTGCTTCCATCTTCGACTCTTGGCTTCTAGTCTTATATGCTAGGATCTGCTGGAGCTGCTGATTCGGGTTGCCGCAGGTTCGGTCAGAGAGAAAACGACAGATGGTTGCTGCAAAAATGAAGAGTGGCACTGCCATCTGGACGAGCACCCCGACGTCGTTCTTGCCAGGCCAGTTGCGGGATAGGTTTCTGTCCTCTGGGACTGATGCGTTGTAGTCTTCCCTAATCTCGGCCAGCTTATGTTGAAAGAATACGCCCAGGTCGTGGGCTACAATGGTCTCTGGTATCTCATGAAGCACGACGTTGTGGTAGTTGCCTTGGATCTTATTGAAGCCCAGCCGGATAGGCAGTTCAGGACGGCTGGTTATTAGAGCCCTGATTCTCAGATTCGAGATCGCCCTGAATCGGGAAAAGAGATCAATCAACCGTCTGATGTCTCCATCTCCATCGCACTCATCCAAAGCATCGATAATAAAAATAACGAGGCTTGTACTGCTCGATCGAGATTGTTGCAAAGGCTGGAGGATAAGCTTATCAAACTGATCCCCTGCTGATTTTCCAATAATAGCTGGGTCGTTATCCAGGGTGGCTTTGATATAAGGAATCAGCTCAGGCTTGGAGCGAACGAGCTGAGATGCAACTGTCGTATAGAATCTCGACATAATACCTCGATCGGCCTCGCCTCTTTTGAAGAAAAAGCTGGCGCCGAGATGGGCACGCCTAGCGGAGGTAGCTGCAACCGTACGAGAAATAGTTGACTTTCCAGTTCCAGCCATTCCATTTAACCAGAAAATCACTGGGGCTTGTGGATGGTTTACCCAATTGTCGATGTGCTGAAGCAACTCAACTCGGGTGTTCTCTAGACATTTGCTGTTGTGTTCTTCGGCATGGGAGTTGTAGGATGCTTCGATTACTGTGGGTAGTTTCTCGAGGATCATTCGCTGATCCACAGTAACAAGGGTGCTGTCCACTTTGTCGATCTTATCGTCAACTTTTTCGATCTTATTATCGACATCAAGTAAGATGGTACTATGAGTAAGTCAAATGATGTCACCTCGATTGGTCCAAAATGCCTACGTTTGGTCCACTTGAAGCGCCCAAGAGAGGCTCGCTGAGCAATTACGAATGCCTTCGATTATGGTACGGCATTCACTAGACTGGAATGGCCATCTCAAAGCTCGGAGGCCAATACGGGACATGACCTTGCGGCTCGAGCCTGGCTGAAGGGTGTGCTCCAATTGAACGAGCAGATCAAGGCTGGACTGAATGGCGCCGCCCAATTCTCGAGAGCTCTGAAGCCTTGCGCCGGCTGGGCCATGAAGAAGATGGCGGACATTTTCGGTAAGTTGTCGCAGCTGATCTACCTCATTGCGTAACTGCTGGACCTCTGCCTTTGCATGCTTGACGTCTTTGGCGTACTGAGAACACCATGATATAACCTTGACGGATATATCAACGACGGCAATGATGTTAGCGGCGACGCCAACTACCTCCATGCTGAGGGATAGGAAGCATGGGCCTATAGGAGATGATGAGATAGATAGATGATGATGAGATAGATAGATGATGATGAGATAGATAGATGATGGTGAGATAAACAAATGTCGCGGTGCGGCTGAGGAGAAACCAGTGCGGCTGAAATCGACCCAAACCAGATGGGCGCCTAAGGCGGCTTAGGTGCACGGAGGAGTCGGCCCGGTTGAGATGACTAACATTTGAGTTGGGGGCTGAAAGTGATCTGCAACCATAGAAGAATCTCACTGCCCTATACCTACGTACTGTGGCATATGTTACGCACTGCTCGAGGTCTTTCCAAATCAATATCAGAAAGCTTGTCTTGGTATAAGGCTATTCTCTTTTTCTTTTCCCCCCTAAAACTTCTATGCTGTTAGTAGCACGTGCCCGAGGCGAGGGCGAATCGTTAAACATTATAAATGACCCCTCTTAAGAACCCTGCCATAATCACCTAACTAATCATCTTATATCTTTGCCTGTGGGTTATTTCCCGTCCTCTGCCACAGAAAAGAAGAAATATCTACCTTCTGAATAGTTCCACTAAAATCCGGCTTTCTCTTCTCCATACAACTTCGGGGTCCTTCGGTGTTATCCTCAGAACCAACAACAGAGATAAACGCCCGCGAATCCAGTGGATATATCTGCTCACGCGTCTCGGGGAAGTATAGCTTATATCCCTTATAAGCTTCGTGCTGGCCAGTAAAGTATTTTCTGCAATCTCGATTGGAAGCTTAATGGCATAGGAAACCGTTTCTTAAGGTATAGGAAGCAGCTGGTTTTCCAAGCTGCTTACAAAAGAGGCAGAGACAGCATGTACCGCCCCAGTTATAGCAAGATATATAGCCTTACATAAACCCAACAAATATAGTAGGTAAAGTACACTGTAGCTCAAACATGCAGTTCGCGATGTGGTTGAGCAGAGAAGATATAAATCATCATAGGTTAATATATTAGATGACTTAGTGGCGTCGTACTATCGAAACTTATGCCTGCTACCACAGTGCGCGTCTATGACAGGATCTCCCCAACCCTTTCTCTCCACAGCCGCGTCACCATCACTCAGCCACTCGCCTCAGTCGCTTTCACACGGCACAATACTGATGCCATAAGTGACTGAGGTGAACCAAGCCTGCCTTCTCTCAGTAACACCATGACCAACCAATCCCAACCTCCCTGAGAAGAGGGCCGACCCGCCCCGGAGGCCGTCGTGCAGCAATCCATATTTTAGCAAGCACAAGATGCAGCTGCCGCCCAGAAAGATCCCGCAAGACCCACGAGACAGGAGGCCCTCCTGCAAAAGATTGGCCTCATCACACCCGATCCGGCCGAGAACCTGTTGAGTTACTTTGGGGAGAGGGGAGGAGGTGTGCTACGACCCTGAAAACTACTTACCCTACAGTATTTTAATTCAAACCCCACCTCTGAATGCGACGACTTGTTCCTCGCTGGGATCCGCAATGCAAAAACCGCTAGGATGGGAATTTCCTCTACTGGGCTTAGGCATACCAGAGAGCAGGGTAACGAGGGTCTCATAATGGACAGAGGAGACGGGAAGCACAAATCGAGTGAAGTTTTCTGGGATGATGTAGGCCTTCAATGTAGAACATACATGGAAAAAAAATTGGCTGTTTTTCAGCAATTGAACTACTGAATTGCTCCTTCACTACTGGACTCCCAGAAGGTTTATTCGGCCAACGTATGATAAAGTATCTCGTGATGTCACATGCCGTCTTTGGATCTCTGTGGGGCTCGTATCAGTCGTTCAACTGGAAACCTACCGAGGAGCTAGTTGAATGTCGTTAGCATGGATAGTGGACCCAGTCGATGATGGTGTTGATGTTGTTATCCATCCCAGAGATTAGAATCGATAACGTAATTCCTCAACCTTGTCTCGGATTTCGCCTCTACTAAAACATCCACTCCATTTCATTTTTCGCTTTGACACAGCTACCAGAGCATTACACGGCCATCGCCAACTTAGCTCACTACCAACCACCTCCATTGAAATAATGGCTACTGAACAAGACACAGGTTCCAGCCTGCCCCAGCACATGCGGGCATGGCGATTCACCGCCCCGGGGCCGCTAGACAAGTCTTTCAAGCTTCTCGAGGACATCCCCACCCCAGCAACGAGCTTGAAAAGCGGCGAAATCTTGATCAAGGTGGCCTGGGCCTCAATCAATCCGGCAGACTACAAAATCCCCGAGATGGGACTGGTTGCGAGAGCTATGATGTCGTTCCCAACGACGGCTGGCATGGACTTAAGCGGTCACGTCCACAGCGCGGCAGCAGACGTCAGCGATATCGATGTGGGTGACGCCGTCTTTGCACGGGTTGACCCCTTTCGACGGGAAGGCTCTATTTCCGAGTATGTCGTTGTGCCTCGCGACGGCTATGCGAAGCTGCCCGCTGGGTGTGCCCTTGATAAGGCGGCAGGTGCTCCAACAGTCGCCTTGACAGCATATCAATGCATCGCCCCATACGTCAAGGCTGGTGATCAGGTCTTCATTAATGGTGGCTCTGGTGGTACAGGCACATTTGGCATTCAGATTGCCAAGGTCCTAGGCTGTCGCGTCATCACCAGCTGCTCAACGGGCAAGATTGATCTCTGCCAGAGGCTGGGGGCCGATGAGATCATTGATTACAAGAAAGACAACGTTGTCCAGAAACTCAGAGAGAAGGGCCCGATCCTGAGTCTTGTGGTCGACAACGTTGGCGACAATCCAGCTGATCTATACACTTCATCCGGCGAATTCCTGCGTCCTGAGGGGACATACACCCTAATTGCGGGAAACGCATCCAACATTTTCAAAGGCATGATGTTGCCTCGATTCCTTGGAGGAGGAAATCGAAAATTTGTATTTGTTCTGACGAAGAACAACCACGAAACGCTTTCCCAGATTGCGGATTGGATGGGCAAAGGGGACTTGGAAACAGTTGTTGATTCCAAGTTTAAGTTTGAAGAAGGCCTCGATGCTTTCAAACGGCTGAAGGAAGGTTCATGTGCTGGAAAAGTCGTGATTTGCGTGGCAGATGATTGATTTGTTGATCAGAATGTTTAGTATAGGACTTGGCGAATGATAATCGTACTGTATTGCTGTTATCAACAGATTTCTAGTTTGAGCGAGGCAATCAATTTCATTCTTGGGCCGACAGCGTGCTGTAAAGTAAACAAGCTAAAGAGCTGTACTATCTTCCCTATGACACCAGAAATGCAGAAATTAAACTCTCCCTCGATAATGTACATAAGCAACCCAAGGCGCAGGCCCCAGTTCCTCATCCTCCTCTTCAACAACCGCATCTCGTGCTGATCGCAGCTCTCTTGGCTGAAAGCGCTCATCGCTAACAGTCTGGGCCCTCTCCTTTGACGACGAGTTCTCTAAACCTGAACGTGCCCTTTGTGCTGTGGTCTTCGACGACTCGGCCAGCCAACTATCCCGCATTGCCCGTACAGCCTTGTGCAACCCCCGACAAACCGAATCGTCCTCCATGCCAGCGTCTCTCATCTCGCTATACGTGATTTCCGCAACGTCCACGCATGCCTCATCATCGACCTCCCAGAGTGTTCCAATAACGTGCCGGAAACCGGCTAACTGACACGCACTGATCAGATGGAGGCTTTCATCCAGTAGGCGCTTATCTTTGATCCGACTCGTCCCACAAGCCGACAGATAGGCCAAAAACGGTGGATTGTCTCGCAGGTTCATGTTCAGCAGGTCCGCTACTGTCAGAGGTTGGGTTTTCCAGTCCTCGAGGCGTAGATGACTTTTCAACGGATTCGTCTGGTCCGTCACGCCGTGGCCAGCAAAGTGGAAGATGTGACAATCCTTCAACTCTGACAGAACGTGCTTGGTGAGTCTCGCTGGTTCGATAGACTCAAGTGACATTGACTCGCAGAGCCCGCGGACTATTGTCAGCTCTTTGGGTGCGGAGGGTAGGCTCTTACTGCCAGGTGTATTCTGCATGGCAACCATGACTGCTTTGGTGGAGGATGGTCCTTGGCCCTTCCATGCTCCTTCCTTGATAGCAGTGAAGGAGGAGCTATAGGAAGACATGACTCTGTCCAATACAGTCTTACCAGAGAAGTCTGTATGATAGCCAGCAGCATGCAGCGGGAAACGACTCAATGCTCCCGTGGCAATCCAACATACTTGCGGCCACTCACCATCTGCAGGTGCTTGGGTGTACCCGAGTTTGTCAAGGACTGGTCCCGTGATAGTGTCCCAGAGCCATTCCAGAACTTTGGTGCTGCCCATATTTTCCTCCTGGAGCCTTCGCTCTATCTCTTCACGAGACAATCTAGGCAAATGCAGGACCTCGATCATGTTCTTGATGAGGAACGCGTCGCAGCGGTAGCTGGCATTGATGATCACAATAGGCCCCTTCTTCGTAAACACTGAAAAGTTTGCGTTTCTCGGGCCTACGCGATAGCCGTGTATTCGCTTATTGAACTCCCCCACTAATGCGTCAAGGCTTTTGCTCGCCGCTATCCTCCTGGTGAGTCTGCCCAGACTGGATTGACCTTCATTAGCTGGGAGTCCAGGGCTCTCGTCAGGATCTCGACCAGGGCCCTCAAGTTGGCCAAGGTTGCTCATGAGTGTCCTTCTCATCTCAGGATCCATGCCTGAGAACTTCCGGCTGTCAAAATCAACGCGCAGATCATACACGTAGTCTGCAACAACACCTCGTCCCCTTTCGAGCGTCGCTAGAGTGTCTTGGTCATCGTTGCCAAGTTCCAGCGAAAAGGCCGCAGCGAGCGAGGCCAGACCATTGACTTTGGACAGTAGAGCCTGAGCCTCGGAGATTTGTAGATACCGGGGTGTGTATAACGGAATCAACTCCAGTGCATACTCAGCAAATTGGAATCCTTTGCGCCAATTCTTGACCAAGATATACGCCTTGAGTAGACGTTGTGCGACTTCTAGAACATCCGAAATATTGACACTTGACAATGACTGCCAAAGGGCTTCCTCGTCGGTTTCGATGGCTAAGCGAATGTCGTCATCCTGCTTTGTGACTTGGAACCTCCGATGATAACAGGATCCCAGGACTTCCAGAACACTCAGATGTTGCGAATCGTCGGGTGATGTTACGTTTACAGCGTCCTGTGCATATTTTGTAGCCGCATCGAGGTCTGCCATTGCTCCTGCGTGACCATGCTTCCGCAGATAACACCTCGCAAGAGATATCAAGACATTGAGACGCTCTGAGTTTTCAGAGGACTTGGGGATCGTATCCAGGGCTTGTTCCAAGTTCGAAACGGCCTGATTGACATCCGCGGGAGCTTTCGTTAGCCCATATCGGTGAAGGTACGCACCCCCAAGCCATGTCAATATGAGGTTCCGACCGATTGGATTAGAATACAGGCTTTCCGCATCATGATACACTTTGATGGCGGAATCTATGTCTTTAAGATCTCTGGTGGTGTCGAATTTTCGACGGTAGGTGGTGGCCAAGCTCGGGACCAGTGCTTGTCTGTGAATGATATCCCCCGTATTCAGTTCTTTGGCTTGCTCGAGTAAAGACAATGCTTCATCCAAGTTAGCTTTGTCTCCAAAGAAATGATAGGCGGTGTTCTTGGTGCATCCTAGGTGTCGTAGCCATACTCCGCGATCAGAATGTCCCTCTGGTGTGAGATCCAGGCACTCTTGATGCACCTCCAGTGCCAACTTCACATCTTCTATAGCGCAGTTGTAATAAAGCTTGTCGGAGTACAGACGACCAAGTCGAAAGAGAACGTCAGAGCGGAGCGGATCATCGAATGGGAGTTTATCAATGAGCTCCCGGAAGGTTGAGATTGCCATGGTGAGATCATCAATTCGATTCCTCCTGTCGTCATCGTCGCTGTCATCGGAAAGTGACCTGTTGTAGAACTCCTCGTAGCATCGTCCCCGAAGATGCAACCGCGCTGAATGCGCAATATGAGCTTCGCAAATAGACTCAAGCGAGCTATCACAAAGCTGAAGAGCCGATGAAAGATAATCCTCGATTCCATCCTCGTAATAGTGGAAGTATTCATTTGCCAGAGCGAAGAGCCGACCATGGCAGTTCAACTTGTCAGGTAGTATGGCATGTACATGGCCTTTGTTTCGAAGCTCTAAGATGACCTTCGTATTGGTGCCAAGATGAACGCTGTAGGGGCCATTGTGCGAGTTGCGAAGCCAGCTGAAGAATGCACCGTCTTGGTCCAAGGCCCGTATACAAATCTGAGACTCTCGATGAAGTTGCTTTGCCTGTTCGAGATCACTCGAATGTCCTTCTCTGAGATATTTATCTTGTAAACAAAGAGACAAGTGATACGAGGCAAGATATCGGTTGTGGCGGTCTGGGAGCGTATCACCGTGTGCCAGGTTGAACGCTTCTACGGCACACTCGATTGCCTGGTTGAGATCAGACGATCGCGTAGTCGAGCCGAAGCGCCGGTAGAGCGCAATAGAGAGAACTGTCGAATAAAAGGGCTTGCCAGCGTGATCTTGTGCTGATAGATCCCTGGCTTGCTCTGCCAATGGGATCATTTCTTCGAGCACGGAAGCATTGCCTGTCTGCGTAAAGCTAGCGTCCAAGCACAGCACGAGACAGCACAAGTGCCAAGGGAAGTCTGGATGGCTGTCTGAAATAAGATCAATGGCCTCTCTGGCGTACTGAATTGCCGCGGCCTTCTCAACTCTCATGGTATACATCAGCGCAAGACTGCTCAAATAGCGTGCTTTCCGTGGGTGACCGTCGTGCATGGTCTCAAGGGCTGCACCAAGTCCATCTGCCACTTCCTTTGTTTGTGCGATGCTGAGAATGTTGGGGATTTGTCCACAGCCACCTCGGACACACGGAGAATAGTGACCACGGACCAGTTGTGACGCTGCCAGTTCCATTGACTCTTCAAGATCAGCCGTGGACCCTGTAACTATGTGTAGCTCGGACAGCAGGGAGGCAAGATTGACATGGGATAGATAGCAGGTGCTTGAAAGTACAGACAGATTCTGTCTTTCGAGTTCAATAGCTTCGCCAAGGTCGGACCTCGTCTGCTTTATCAAATATCGTTCATGAAGCGAAAGCGCAAGCCTATGGAGAATGATGCTGTGCTGTCTTGGATACTTGCTCGGAAGCGAGGCTGCGGCTTGTTTTGCGAGTCGAACTGCAGTATCCAAATGTGCAATCTCGCCAGTTATGCGATACTTCCAGAGAAGACACTGTGCCATTTTGCTCAAGGCTTGAACCGGAGAAAGTCCCGTGTTTGGATCCAGAGCTCTCTCCAATATGTTGATGGTCCGTTCAATATTGGGTAGCGTCATTTCAACCCGGCATTTCTGGTAGAGGATCTCTCCGAAGTTGTTCAATAAGGGCGGATAGAGCTCATATCCTTCTGTTGTAGTCTCGAATATTCTCGTGCCGATTTGAATAGCTTCATCGAGTTTGACAACGCCACCCTTTCGTTCATGGTGGAAGCATAGCGAAAGGGCCAGGGAAAGGGAAAACTCGTTCAGTTCAGGACCTTCGGTGGACTCCTCAACCAGCTGCCGGCAGACTTTTGTAGCATATAAAAGCTCAGTGAGAACACCATGCTCAGAATACAAATCCAGAAGTCGGTGAGCCAAATGGCTCCGCAACTTTGGGCTAGGTATCATTTCCACCATCTGGCGAAGAATACGCACGACATTGTCGAGGTCGCCCGGGAGCCAACTTCTTTCATACCGCTCGTAATGACGTCCGCAGAGTTCATGGAGGGAATCCATTCGGGTGGTCCCAAACAAAGGGACGCAGGCCGGCCAGTCGAGCGCTTCTGAAAGCTGACCCGAATCTGGAAACGTCCCGGTTTCGTCTCCCCAGCCACGCAATAGAATCGTGAAGAGCGAGGACTTTGACTGAGGAGTTGGGGTGAAGAGAATCTTCGCCACGCTCCCTGCCATAATGATTGATTCGTCAAGGGTGGCCAAATTCCCAGTCTTTTGATACTGTTCGAATAAAGCCCCTCCCCTAAACCTCCGACATCTTACGTCCAGTGACTGGTACGCTTTGCTCATGTCAATTGCCTTTTTTGAAACATCGAGGCTTTCTTCAAGCTCCTCAATCCTCCCTGTTGAGTGGTGAAGATGGAGTAACGCTTCGGCAAGCCATTGTAAACATTGTAACATCGTCTCTCTGTCTCTGAGCGGTGTGTGAAGGGCTTCCTTGCATCGCTGTATCGCCTCCAGGGCATCAGATTCCTGGCGTTTGACAGAGCATCGCAGAAGAAGTGCCTCGATGAGTATTCCGAAGTGTACTGAATTCCATTCCTGCGACCCTTTTTCGAGAGAATTTCTGGATATTTGAATCGCCTGGTCAAGATCTTCAATTACCCTGCTCACGGAGTAACGTGCAGAATACATTGAGGCGAGATCACCCAGCCACTTGGCGCGCTGAGGATAGTCGCCAGGAAGGAGCTCAAGTCCTGTCCACGAAGCAGCAATTGCTTCATCCATATCCACGAGGGCCGATTCCATGGTTGCCTGGCTGGAGCTTTTGTTACTGTGTCCAGAACCATTGTGCTCAGTGACATAATAGACCTTGACAGACGGTAGATAGACATTCTGTTGTCCAGCTCTGACAGCCTGTGCCATCTGCTGTACGGTTTTCTTCAACTGAAAGCGGGAATGCAGCAATCTGCCCAGTGATAATAGACATCTAGCCCTTTGGAAGCCAGTACTTATGTATTCCAGAGCCTCTCGTTCCAGTCTTATCGAATCATCCAGAAAGTCCGCACCTCCGGTTCGTCGATAGCGGTCAAGCGTGAGTTCTGTAAGCTCACAGAAGAATCTTCGTTCTCGGAGATGCAATGGCATTGATGTAAGAGCCTCCTTTCTCGCTTTGATGTTTTCGTCGATCCATTGATCGTCTTTGTTGGATATCTTCATGACTTGACTGTGTGTATCATCCGGGGTGAGCAGAGTCACTGGCCGGTACGTGATGATATCTTCTTTCGGTTTATTCTCCGCATCATTCGTGTCGTCCATTATTGGAGTGTCCCCGATGAATCAGATATATTCGATGTGTGATGTGTAACTGCAGGGAGGCCAGATATACGCGGGCTTTACGTTCAAATTGCCTCGGGACAGAGGATCAAGGCAATGATGAAAATCGCTGATGAGCTGGAAAAGGTGTTGAGTGCTCATCCGCCATATACACCTCATACGAGCATACTAAAGAGAGAATATTGAAAGGCCTCAATTTTCCCAATAAAATGGCGCGGGGTTGAGCTAATTATAACAACAGATAGCTCCCCACAAAAGGGGCTGTGTTCTGACCAACCAGCTCTTTTGAAAGCATGCAGCCTCAATAGAAGACTGAGACGTAACGAGTTACATATCACTCAGAGAGACGCTCAGCCGCTTACGTGCTGAAAATTTGAGGTCCCTCAGCCCGGTTTGATTTGTGGCGAAGCTGAATACATCGCCTTACTGCAGTCAAGTGTCGCATCCGCAGCCCACCATCACACCAGGCTCAGGTAGCAGCGCGATGGTATACAGAGGCTGTGCAGATAGCGATTTGCTGTAAAATGTGATGGGAAAAGGAGAGTCATCTTTGGTATAAGTTCTATATCAATGTGGCGAATATATAGAGCGGCTGCCAACAGAAAGAGCTCGGTCTCTCTCTCTCAGTAGCTATCAGGAGCGTACTTATACCCGTCATTATCAGATCAACGTCTTATGCTGCATTATTGAAGGCACTCTCATGTTAATCTGAATGGCGATGTCTCTTGACTCGTATCCAACTAAAATCTAGAAATTGGTCGTTTATGAACTTGAGGACGCCTACTGGAAATCTGTGAGCTGACGGCCTTGTCAAAGCCCATTTTGCAGAGTCGGACCCATTGCGACCGACCCGCTGAGATGGTCCGTTAAAAGTTTGGGTATGCCAATCGTCTCACAGTGCGATAATATGGCTCAGTGCCAAATGTCTCCACCCAGTTGAGTGGACGGACGCACACCATTGACGAGGTACCCAGAATAGTATACGTCTCTCCGGATACGATAAGCCACCAAGCGTGGTAAACAGATAAGTCAACGTGGTGCTCTTTCACTATGATAGAAAATGTACCATGCCAACGGTACCTATGTGTTATGTCAGTTTCCCCTGGATCCCTACCCGCTTCAGTTAGCACGTGTACGAAGTAAACCCAACCCCAGTTACATATTGCAGGGTGTGAATCGGTGCTTGAGTGGTACTAAAGTATAATTACGAGCAGGACTAGTACGTCACCAAGTATAGTATTAGTATATAAAGGCCAAGAAATATCCAATACCTTCTTAACACTGCAAATCTACATTGCTACGGCCGGTTTCTGAGCCACAATCCGCCAGGTTGTTGTGATCAACCGCAGATTGTCCATCTCAACGAATGCCTGGCCGTCAAGACATAATCGATCAAATAATGTCTTGAAATGCGCCGGCAAGGTGTGCAACTTGACCAGGCCATGGATAACACGTCTCAAACCCCGGAAGTAGATGTCAACCTTGTCGATGAGGGGGGCTTGCAGGCCACCTATACTGGGGTTGTCTGACTTCGTGACAGCGAACCCGGCGTCCTCCAACGCCTTGCTGAAGCTTGCGGGTGTTGGGGTGCCAACCGCTCCGATCAGAGGCTTGACCCGGCGCATCAGACCGGCGTGTTTCGGATCCATGGGATTATAAGCGGGCAAACTGACCCAGTCTAGCAGGAGGAACCTCGCGCCGGGCTTCAATACTCTGCAGATGTCCCTGAAAAGAAGCGAAGGGTCTTTGCACAAGCTGAGGGCTTGAATCTCGTAAAATGCATCAAAGGATTCATCCGGAAACGGCAGCGGCAGGTCATTCTGATCATGCACCACGAACTGGTTGTCAAATCCCAGAGCATCGTTCAGTTCCCTTGCCTGAGAGATTTGATTTGAGTCGATATTAAGTCCCACGATCTTCGCCCCCGAAATGTTCGTCATATAGGCCGCAACCCTCCCACGGCCGCACCCAAGATCTAGGACCTTCATGCCGGGACCTAGTTGGACCTCTCTTGCAACCGCTTCCTCATTTAGTAACTGGTTGTCCAAGACAGAGGCTTTCTTGTCCATCAAGGGTGGAATGTACATCTTTTCCACATCTCCAAGACTGCATAGGTGATTGAGTACCGAGTAGTATGCACGAAGACAGTCTCCGACATGCTGCTGATAGTTGGGACCAAAGGCGGCAATCATTTGCTCCTCGTCGGTCCAGTCTAGACTGTAAATCTCATACGAGGCCATGAAATCGTCAACCTCCTTTGGAGTGAGGTTGCGAATATGCTGGAAAGCCTTGATGAAAGTCTTCCATCGTTTTGGCGACGGCGAGTGGCTCACAACATGGTGTTTGATTGGTGTGCCCTTGATAGCAGGCTTGCCAAGAACCTTCTCATCGATGTCGCTGAACGGGGGACTGTCATTGGCATCAGAGCCAACTTGAAGAGATGAGTCAGCCGGCAGGTTTGATGCAGTCATAACCATGTTATAGATAAGGTAGTTGAGTTCAGTAAGAAGTGTGGCGGTGCCTAAGTCTTGGCTGTGAAGGATAAAATAAAAAGACAAAAGGGTACATTGCAAACGAGGGTCGGGCCGCGTTCATATTATCAGTCACGTTACAACAATACAACCCTCTTGTGAGAATGAGTCAGATGATCAGAGACAACTTCACCGTGTCATTTCCGGATGAGCCGAAAGGGCGTTCACAACGGGTGGAACGCTGACAAATGGGGCATCTATTTCCGAAGCCATGATGTGACAGGAGCCGTACCGCTGTCACCTCTGGCGAATCATAGTTGCATAATGTGCAGGCGACATATCGTGTGATTCTTGCGTCCGTCACTTTCCCTTGAGTGGGTTGTAGATCAAAACCAGTTGGCGCACAAGTGTGGCACAGTTGGTTGGATGTGACGAGATTGATAACACCCACCCACAGCCGATGATCCCGTACTAGGGCTGAGATTTTGAGCTAACGTTGTAACATGAGGGGCACAACCAGCGGCCCGGAGACATTTCTTGGGAGGTTGGTCGGATGTTAGGTGGCTAACTAATTCTCACCTTCAGCTGCAGGACGGTGTGGATGGAACGGAATTTCGGAGTTTAGATTGACCGATAGCCGTCTGTATAGCCGGAATGGATGCCGTCTAGCTCCACCAACTCTGTCCGAGAGGTAACCGAAGTGACGACATTCACCACTGCTCTGTTGCAATCATACAACTGACCTATAAGCAACCTGAAGCTATTATTCGACACTTTGCGCCTTCGTCTCGATATATCTTGAGACGAGCACCATGCCAGACTCCGCCGCGGAAGGGGAGAGCAATGTTGGCATTGAGCGCTTTAATGCGGAGGCTGCCGCCTGGGACAAGAATCCCTTTGTCCACGCCATGAGTCTCGAGGCTTGGAAAGCGATACAGAAGTTTGTTCCATCTCTATTCACGAACGCTCCCAGGCGGCCAGACATCCTGGAAATTGGCTGTGGAACCGGACTCCTCAGCTTGGAAGTGGCCCCCGCCGCGAATCGATTGGTAGCAGTTGACGCCGCCAAGGGCATGATTGACGTCCTCTCTTCGAAGCTGAGGAAGCCAAATACCCCCGAGAATATCCTTCCTCTCGCAGTTCTACTGGAAGACCCCGAGAACAAAATGCTACCACCAGCGGATCCGGCCGAACCCAATGGGCCAAGACTCAAATTCGACCTCATCATCTCCCACCTGGTCTTGCACCACATCCCGGATCTTAAGCCCGTCTTGGCGACCATGCTCGGCTGCTTGAAGGAGGGTGGAACAGTGGCGCTAACGGACTTTGAGGACTTTGGACCTGAAGCGCGGCGGTTCCATCCCGAGTCCAAGATGGACGGAGTCGAGCGCGATGGCATCGGACGGGAGTCGATTGCCGCCTTAATGCGGGAAGTCGGGTTTAGGGATGTCAAGGTAGAGGTGGCCTGGGAGCACTCAAAGATTGTCGAAAAGTATCCTGGGGAGTTTAAAGACGGCGAACCGGCTAAGGGCGAGGGGGAACTAATGAAGTTCCCTTATATTATATGCTTAGGCAAGAAGGCTTAAAGGTTAAGAACAGATTTAAGACATCTTTTTTGAACGCTAAAATGTCATAAACTGGGGTGTCCGGTCCTAATTCGTGAAATAGCAAAAACATCAGTCGGAATTCACACAACATATAGAAATTGCGTGACGCATCCAGTCAAGGCGCCGAGGATCGAAGTCTGTTCATACGCAACTTCATAATGAGTTTTGAGACAAGACTGAATGGGAATCATGTTACAAAAAAATAATGTTTTCAAATGATGAATGCACGCTATATTTAACGGATAAACAGGCTTCATGTCAATCTGGATATTTCTGAAACGTCCTCTAGGGTAAGCAAGAGCCGAAAGATCAATGGATGATTACGTAACCTTATCTCGGTATACTTAATCGACGCAAAGTGTAGAAATACGCTTTTACCTCTCCCATGCAAAGGGTTACTTGATAAGGCTCACTCTATTTCCGCCGACGTAATTCCTCCGACGTAATTATGAGCCAGGAGACATCACCCGAACCTTTGGCTGTTCGACAGCGCTTACGTCCTGGTAGGTGCATCGCTCCGCGTGGTGCGTCCAGTACTGACCGTGGATTTCTAGTTTGTTACACATGTAGGATTCGGAAAGTCCGGTGCGAAGGGAGCCCGTCAAACCCCGAAAATGAAAAGGAGCCATCTTCAAAGTGTTCTAATTGTCAAAGGCTTGGATTTCAATGTCAGTGGCGTGCACCGGAATCTGGTGAACATTATGTTCCACCGCCGAAACGCAGACGCACAATTGGACAGCGCGTGGTGCGTTCGACACCAAAGAACAAAACGATGACACCAGGTCCGACTGCTCAAACGCCCAATGGGGAACCTAGTGGCCAGCATATTACGGCCTCTACTAGGACACCAGCATCTGTCGATCAGGATCTTGAAAATCGACCAGAAGAGAACAACTATGAACTAAATCCCCTCCCAAATTACCAACCTGATCAACTTGGGGACATCTTGGACTTCAACCTCGGATCTGACCAGCTTGGAGATATCGCCTTGGACTTTGACCTTGGATCAGACTTTTTGGATTTAAACCTGGCGGGAGAAGGGCTGGATTTCATCCCATTGCCAGCAGTGGACCCTTCGATACTACAGTTATCCGAGCCAACCTCAGCCACATCATCTTACGAATGGCCATTATCAGCACATGGTCATGAAGTAACGCAGCCCGAAGTGACACAAGATGAAAGCACCACACTCGATAGGACAGGCAACTCATTCTCCACCTTCAACGAAGACAACCGCCAGCTCATCCAACACTATCTAGAAGTTATAAAGGGTTACTCCAAGGTCGATGATCGGTCTAAAAACTCGAACAACCTCTTCGTCTCAGCCTTTGCCCAATCTCTTTCGTTCCCTCCTCTTTTCCATGCCATTCTTGCATTTTCAGCCTCTCACTTATCCATAAAAGATGCATCTTATGTGGACCAAGCCAAAAAGTTTGACCAACTTGCTGAAGAATCCTTCGAAATATTCAGGAAAAGTCACAGTTCAGAGATAGACGGTCTACTCTCTGCGATATTTGTCCGTGTCAAGAAGGTACATGTCATGGGAGCTAGCGTCGACTCTTTCCTCGGTCTCCTCGCCACAGCAATCGATGTCATTTCAACAAAAGAAGGAGAAGAGGCACTGGAAGATTCTAGCAGTTTGACCAGGCGCATCATTCTTCGTCTCGCCATCTTGGATGCTCGCTCTGCGTGTTTCCGGCTAGGCGGTGGGGTGCTAATTGAGCGGCTACGACGCTCGCCTAGCTTGTCATTCATTTTCGATTTCGACACTCATAGTCATAATCCTCCACTGGGTCCTATAATGAACTTGCTTCGAGCGGACATCTTTCGCAAGAGAGTCGCCGATTTTGAGTTGCAGCTACACAAGCAACTGGAGGGCGAGTTCATTACTTCTAGACCCATTCGAACAGATGAGGTGAGGTCGCTCTACGCTGATATTCAATATGCAATTGGACGATGCGAGAATCAAGCGACGGTGAAGGAGAAGGGGCCCGATGTGGACAATCTGAGGGAGGAAGTGCTTGATTCGACAAATTATGGCTTCTATCTTGAGTTGTCAGCACTCCATTCAACCCTGCTGTATCTCTACCAAGTCTACGTAAGTACGGCTTTCGATCCAGTGCTGCCATAACGGATAACGTTAGCTGATCTTGAGAAGCCATTGCCGAGTTTCCAACCGGATCTTTCCATCTCGAAAGTACTTCAATGCCAACTCAAGATTCAGTACGACCCTTCTCGCGCCAACTCACCCTCTTCAATTATACCCTCATCTCTGTTCTTAGCGGGTTTAGCTACTAGCGACCCGATCCATCGCGATTGGGTCCTGAATGTTCTTAAAAAAGGTGAGGTATGGGGCTCCTATGTTACCAAAACCCGCCATTTGCTTGAAGCGATGTGCCGGACGAAGTCTCAGGGAAATACGCTGGATATTTGTTGTGCAATGGATCAATTCACTGGTAGATTCATCATATAGTCGGGCATCGGGGTCAACGTAATGACAGATGATAGTAGCTATTTGATGCCCTGCTTAGTCTGGAGCGACTACGTCCCCTATCAGACAAATAAAATTAATGGTAAATCAAATGCTTGTCTTTAAATCCAACTTATCGAAAAGCCTGAGATGTCTGGCTGCTATATGGTCATTCGTATGATGGGGAGCCGTCTTGAGCCTTCACTGAGTGTCCTGTATCCTTGGACGCCAATACTATGTCTTGTTTATGCGAGAACGACAACCTACACAGTCAACGCGGTAGAAAGTTATCATTATCATTCACCAGCAAATTTAAACCAAGGGAATTGGAGAGACGAAGAAGGTCGCTCGCAAAATTGTGATATTAATCAAGCATCACTATGGACTATAGCTTCGAGACTAAGGCGAACCCTGTCCCTATGCTGGCCTCAATTGTCCAGCCTCAAGGCAATGGGTCTGACGTGCCTAGACCAGGCTAACCTTTGGGCGACGTCCAATCTTAAAAATGTGTCTTTCTGCGATCCAACTAAATTCATTGCCCACGTAGACTAGAGAAAGCGTAATATAAGAGTCCACCAATGCTCAATACCAGTTATCGTCGCCAATTTACATAGTGTAACGGAAAGTTTCCCACTGCTCAAAATCAGTTTTATCAGTGAATTCTGGTACGGAATTGACTGTAGGGACATTCCTAGCTTCAACAAGCCTCTGTCGACGATTGTTTTCGTATTTATACCAGGTGAGTTGAAAGACCGGAATGACAATCATCAGAGCGTAACATCCCACTGTAGCATTAAGTCAATGAATGAAGAGCAGGATTGAAAGAGGGTGGAGACATACTAAGCATCTTAAACGCCATGTCGTAAGTGGGCGCTTCGCGTTCTAAAAAGAATTCTGCCAGGAAATAAGCTCTTGTCCGCTCTAGCGGAGCAACACACTTACGAGGGCCTGCAATGAGGCCGGCAGCCCAGCCAGCAAAGATGATTCCAGAAGTAGTCGACTTTTTGGTATTACCAGCATAGTTTGAGGCCATCAAACCAGTGTTGAGAGTGAATGACATGCTATGCCTGTTTTCTGGTTAGCCGATATTGTAAAACTTTGTGCAAGATGCCCACCTACGTGTATGTGAGATAATATCCTGCTAGTCTCCCTGCTTGATTCGAGGTGGGTAGGACATGAAGAAGTGATGCTCCTATCAATGGAGGTACCGAGACTAAGATTGAGAGGTAAAGACGGATATTATTGCGACGGGAAGCCAAGTAGGAGAGACCGAGAAACGTCCCAAGTTGTATGACAGCTGCAGGGCATGTAGAGATTATTGTCGTCTGAAGAGTTGTAAAACCGAATCCTTTGACGATTTGGCTAGAGAACTATGAAACCTGTTAGAATATTCGACGTTATGTTGGATGAAGTTCCCACCTGGCTAGCGAAAGTCGATGGCATCGTGTTACCCCTTAACAAATGTCAGCACAAGATCAATGCATGGACGGCAAAAGGATAGTCTCTTACATCGCAGTGACAAAGAAAAGTGTGGTTTGAGGATCTCGCAAGGCTTCCCAGAACTGTGGCCATTTCCATCGATCGTCGGATGTGACGGTCTGGTTCTCCCTGACTCTTTCAATCGCAATCTTCTTCTCACGCTCATTTAACCACTTAGCGTTACCTTGGTGATCTGGCATGAAGTACATGAGAATCAACGAAAAGACAAAGCTGAAAGATCCGAAGAAGAGAAAGAAGATCTTCCATGTCGGGATCGAGCCGTGAACTGGAACAATTAGAAGTCTGCGGAAGGTCGATCAAGTCTGAAACTCACTAGACCCAACTGCATAGCTGAGGATACCACCGAGGAAATTTCCAATCTTCGTCAATATTAGCATAGTGGGTGACTTGAATGGAGTTTGTTCTTACTGGAGTACCGCCAAGCCAGAATGCAGTTCTGAAAGCTTGCTCAGGTCTGGTCCACCAATTGCTTGTGACAATTACGAAGACAGCTCCAATAATGCTCTCCATGAAGCCAAGGAAAAAGCGTACGACCATGATGCCAGAAAAGTTGAAGCACAGAGCTACCTAGACATTAGACCAATCGTTGCTTTGAGGATGAGGGATTTCATACGAGTAAGGAGCACAATGATTGACCATACGCAAACAGCACCCGAGATAAACTTGCCGGCGTGTCCAGGCCAGCGGTGCACAAGCTTTGACCAGACCACGGAGCCGAGCATGTAGCCGAAGTAAAAAATACTATTATGATAAGTACATACGAAGCAGATGGGGATACTGATATTTGAGAATGGCTTACCTCCCTAGCCAACTGTAGTTGGATCCTTCGAGATGCAATGCTTCTTTGATGCCGAAGATGGATGCATAGTTGAGAAGTGACTTGTCGAGAAACTAGTGGCCAAATGTTATGGCAATGGCTCCCACAGAGATGTTGGATATCTTACAGAAAAAATGTAACAAGTACACATGAGCGGCAACAAGACGAAATCAATCTTTCTCTTGACGCGTTTGTTCTCCTCGGCCGTATACTCAATTTGTTCAGAATCTCCGTACACCTTCATAACTGGATGGACAGTGCCGGTGCCAATTTCAACATGGTCATCCTTAGCATAGTCTTTGATGTTGAGCTCCTTCTGCTGGCTGAGTGTTTCTGCCATGGTTGATGCTCGCTCTTACACGGCGAGGTTGTGACTGGAGCTGGCGTTGGCGATTGTGGAACAGGCAGTGGAGTGATGAAGGTAAGAGCGGAGACAATGGGAGTTTTCTTCTCGTAATATGATTGCCACGCTTTTCCTTTTGTAGGCGCTTGAGCAATCTCCCTGAAGCTCTAGTGAAGGCCCAATTTGGCCAAGATCAAGCCGACACAGTCGGTGATAGCTGTCACGTGACCTTGTCGGTCATTAGATTGGAGCATGATGCTACCTTTAAATCCACGTGATCTTGTCGGTGCTGGTGATGTCGGCCCGAAAGAGTCACGTGGTCTTGTCGGCATCAAGACTGAGTGTCTTAGACGAGGATATATAGATTACTTGATGTGATGATAAATAGATTTCTTCTCGATTGAAGCCTGGAATCATCGATCTCTATTATTGAATATCTTCGTTTATGATGGATAACCAACAAGCACAAGTTGTGCGCATCTCAACGCCAAGAATCGCCCATCTCCCAGAGACTGAGACTTCACGCCCTGTTATTCTTGAGCCGTACCATGTTGATCTCATTGAAGAATATGGATACGTCAGCCGAGAATACTTGATAAGCGGCGTGGCCGCCGGAGAGTCGTACTGCACGCGTCTTCTCTTACGTTGCCCAGCCAATGTCACCCAGTTCACGGGCTTCGTCGTTTTAGAGCCGTCACACTTGTGGGGAGGAACCAGCATTTGGCGTCACATTAGTCGATGGGTCATGCGTAGTGGTGAGTGAGATTACAGTCCGCTTGGAGACCCTACTGACACTTTGCAATCAAGGCCATGCTTGGTTAGAGGTCGACTCGCAAGCTCCATCTGCAGTCGATAAGATCAAGAACGTTGACCCAGACCGCTACAAGGAGATTCATTTCATCCCAGGTCCACTGGCTCGGGAATTCCAAGAAAACATCCCTTTCGTATCCGATGTTACTAAGGAATCACTCCGTGAAGCATACGATGCTTTCAAGGCTAAATGGTGGCCCGCAACACCACAGTCGCCAGAAATCATCGCCGCCTCCTCGCATGCTCTTCGATCCAGCCAGTTGGGGCTTACAGCCACTCGGGTGGTACTCTCTGGATTATCTCAAACAGGAGGCGTGACAAGGCACTTCATCACGCACTCGTCTCACCTGCGGCTGCCAGATGGTGGTCTGCCATTTGAGGGATACATCCCTTGCCAGTCTGGCGGTGAAGCTCTCCCTGACGTTCAGGGCGCAAAGATCGTTGAGTTACTGGGAGAGTCTGAATTCCTTTCTGTTAGACTTCCATGCGGTGTAAGTGGGCAGATGAAGGACACTGTTCACAGGCGTCCAGACAGCGATTCGTTTCGGCTCTATGAGATTGCATCTATGGCTCATCGTGAATCCAGAGAAGCTTCACCTCTGGAAATGGAAAGATGGTCAGTCGCTGAGCTGCATGGTGCAAAATGGAGCACCTTCTCAAACTCCTTCATCTATCATGCCGTGTTTGAAGCTGTAGAAAGATGGACGAGCGAAGCTGCTATTCCACCACCTCCCAGTGCCACTCTACAGACAAATGGCTTGAGTGATGAGATCATCCGTGACGAACACGGCAATGCGCTGGGAGGAGTTAGAACATTACATACTGAAGCTCCTTTGGCAAGAATTGTTGCAGCCACGCCAAAGGGCAGGCCCAGCTGGTATCGGGGTAAGTAATCCACCTGGCCTACAATAGTAATCATGGGCAATCTAACCAATTAACTAGGATCTGAGTGGCCCTTTGATTCCGAAAAACTTCAGTTGATGTATGGATCGGTATCTAACTATCGAAGAATTGCAGGACAAGCTCTGAATTCGCAAATTCAATCTGGCTTCCTTCTCTCTAGCGATGCAGAGATACTGCGGCGTGAAACTATTGAAACGGTTGTATTTTAAATCAGTGTTAGATTTGGTACGGTTTATTTGATAATGGTGATCGACTTTTAGATGATGTGGAGACTAATAAAAATAAATATGATCTGCATTGACTAACTATAGAATATTCTTTTTTACAAAATAGGTATCACTGTCGCTCACGCACAAGCTCTGTGTCAGCTCCACCCGAGGTGGCACTTTGATATGTGCTAGAGATACAGAGCAGCTTTAGTAAAATTATGAATTGCTTTCGTCGGCTTTATTTTTTCAACTGTAATTGGGCCAATTCGCTAACTAATATCCAGCTCTACAACAGCGTATACTTGCGCTTATAATTGCGTTTCTTTTACTCACACTTGAAGTCAGGTTGAAAGTACCCCCCCGCGCTAAACCTGCAACAGCACAGAGCGGTATTAACGGGTATACAGGCTTAACGCCGACTTCTACGCAAAATCGTAGACCCAATCAACACCAGGTGGGAGAATGACACTTCTGGTTGGTTCATTGCCACGGCCATTTCAAACTGGCGATTTTGTATTTAGGTGAGAGTTAGAGACTTCTAGTTGGTTTGTTGCCACGGCCATTTCAAAATAGTGATTTTGTATTTGGAAATGACGTAGATTTGTACTGCTGGGGAAGTATAAATTTGCCCCCTACAGCAAACAATTATTAAATATCCTAGTACTACTTTCAATACAATATTGGCTCCCGTCACACAACAGTGTTGACGCCTGGTTACCAATTATCATGGCCTACTCTCTCTACGATGCAACTGTCGTCATGGCAAAAGGCGCTCTGATTTCCCTTAACAAAATGCTCACTGAGGCCGAGAAGCACCCCAACTCGGCCACTTTCTTCACCGCACGCCTCATCGACGATATGAAGCCTCTTACCTTCCAAGTTCATTACGCCGCCTTCCAGTCACAGGCGCTGGCAGCAAAACTATCCGGTCAAGAGCACGCCGAGCCAGAGGAGGATCTTGATACCTATGAGAAGATGCGAGCGCGCATCCAGCAGGCTCTTGATGCTCTCGACGGAACGGACAAGGATACGGTCAATAAGCTTGGCGAGACAACGACTTCATTCACTCGTCGTGAGGAGGCCATGGAGGTACCTGTCAAGGCACTCGTTGGACTGTTAAATATGCCCAATATTTATTTCCATGTCTCTATGGCTTACGCAATCTTGAGGAAGGAAGGCGTGCCACTAGGGAAAAGAGACTGGAGCCGGGGCTTTGTCAGGGATTATGTTTGAGCCAGATCTTGTATCAAGGATATCACAACCGTGTTGGAGAGTCGCCATGCTTGAAATCCGAGATGTGAATGTTCTTAATAACTCATGTACAGCAGCATGAGGAGTAGAGGAGCCATATGAGACCTTGCCACCTCATTCGGAGACAATTTGGGGTGTCCCCTGACGCGACTTGAGGTAACTCGTTCCTATGGTAGGTCTAAATGCGGCAGTTTAATTAAGTTCACTAAAACCAAATTGGAGGCCTGGATCTTCTCGTTGTTTGTATAGGTATTATTCACCTAGTACTATAAATGAGTGGAAGAGGTCTTAAAAGCCCTATTACTATGGACTTTCAGCTTTCTGTTCTTGGGTATCTTGAACTACATGCTCAAACAACAGAATGAGGCCATCGTTTCCCGACCTTTGCGCCTGTTCTTGCGGCGTTTCATTCCGGGAATTCTTTCGCCTCAGATCCGCCCCATGCTCAATCAGGACGCGAGCCATCTCAATCTGCTCGTATTGTACAGCGACGTGTAAAGCGGACATATTGCCCATACGTGAAGTAAGAGAGAGATTGACGTCTACGCCGTTTTCGATCAAAATGTCCAACAGCTCCGGAGTGCCGCACACAATACTCCAGTACAGGGGACTTTCTCCCGTGGACAAAATCTTATGGTTGACATCTATCCCAGCTTTGATGAGCAGCTTGGCATACTCCAACCGGCGGAATGCGCAACACCTATTGAGCAAGCTTTCTCCCTCGGCGTGAGCGAGCGTGTCCAGATCAGTGGATTGGTCGAAGTCGGGGAACCGGAAATTCGGATTGGCTCCAGCCTGGAGAAGAAATTGAGTGAGGGTGATGTCATCCCAGTGGAATGAGAGAGACATTGGGGTCTCCCCATGCATTGACTCGCTTGGTAGGCGCTTCAGATAATCTTGATCAATGTTGATATCGCCAGGCTGATACCGTGGGAGATAGGCATCTATGTTTGCGCTGTGATCGAGCAATATCCGCACTGCAGTTAATCTGCGGTGTAAAAGTGCGTGCATTATTGGTGCAATGCCTGCACTCAAGGTCAGTCTTTCCTAAAAGAAGCGGCAAATAGCAGAGCTCTAACCATATGTATCCCGTTGTTCGGGGTCAAGTCCCTCTTCGAGAAGAATCCTCAAACACGCGTCATCCTTCATCACAATCGCCTGGTGGAGTAGAAAGGGACCTCGTGCGCCTGAATTCAATCTCCTCTTTATGATTAGCGAGATTAGTGGGCGCAAGCTCTCAGGTTCCTCTGCAGCAGCAATAGCCCCGATAAGCCGTGACGGGAAGTCGCCCATGGCGCAGCCTTTCTCGACGAGAACTACTGCAGCCTGGGCGTTGATTGATTCTCCACTCGTTGCGAGTTTGAAGGGGGTATCGAGGGTATTGTCCTTGGCATTCACCTCTGCACCGTGTTCGAGTAAGAGGCGTGCTGTCTCGCCGTCATCGTGAATGGCCGCGTAGTGAAGGGCAGTGCGACCATCGGAACCTCTTTCACGTGTCGAGGAGCCTGTGGAGAGGAGCTGAAGAATGAGGTTTCTGTTGCCGGTTTTGGCGGCTTTGATGAGCAGTGGCTCGTTGGATAGATCAGGACTGCTCAAGGGTCTGTTGGATTGATGAGTCGAGTTCCTAACGTTCTATTCGTGTCAATGCTCACAATGTGTCTGTTAGAACGGGCTCTTCTAGAACGTCGTAGGAATCCTCTCGCTCTAGAAATCTTCTCATTGGGAGGCCAGCATCGGTGATGACAGACCCCGAGCCGCGTCGGTGTCCCGCTGTGACGCTTTCCAAATCTGATTCTAGTCTCCTCCTCAATCTCTTTCCGTTCTCGGGGCTTTGAAATTGAGCTGAAAGCTTCTCATACCCGATGGCAATGTCGTTCCGGATCTCGTCCTGTCCTTTACCAGTCAAGTGGCTGGTCAATTACATCGCGGGTTAGCTTTGAGGGATTTCCAAGACCAGGACGCCATGTCAATTGAACGTCAGCGAAGAGTGCATACCCATTGAGGACCGATACAGCCAACGTGAGTCTCGCTGTTCCATCTCGGAACCGAGAGCGCTGGGTCCTAATATCCCCTTTCCGCATTGTCCAGTTGAATGCTCTCATTGAACGCCTCCGCCAATTGCCGCCATCAACAAATGGCTCAAGTGTAGTCTTCAAGCCTTCCATAATGACAGAGCTGTGCTGCACACAACCGGTGACTGTTTCAACAAGTGTAGCGTCATTGATTCGGATTTCATTAGTCGCGCATAGTTGCTTCGTAGATTGCAGCACCGACGAAAGGCTGTCAAGCTCCAAGCCGAGTTCGCGGATATCTTGGGGCGCATCTTTTATTTCCTGAATCAACGATACCAGGCCCTGAGCCGTCGCAGTCGCCAATGCGATGATCCCTGCGACTCCAGATATTACTGATAGAGGGTCACCCATCGCTTCCGCGGACGGACCAACAAATCCCGCTCAATAGTCGTACCGAGATATCGTTGATGGAATATGAAGCCAAATTGCTGGCTCGTTGATGAGGGATCATGTCATTTTTCAGAAGACAGGTGCGGGGCCTGTCCAACGGCTTAGTCAACCAACTGAATATCTTCAACCCATGATATCGCTGCATTGTGGCAGGGGATGCCTTTCCTCACCCCGCTTAGAGCTGACGGCCAAGATTACGAGCCATACTCCCAGGTTCAATTGACTTGTCGGTCGCTACGCCCTTGACCTGACTTAACCAGGGTTGGATGAGTCTCAGGTGCGGACTGGGGGAAACAAGCCAGGTCCGTGGTGGTAGTGGTCCTGTGTGTGGCATCGCGGAGCAGCCAGAATCAGCTTGGTGGGACATGTGAGTCGAACAACTGCCCCAATGCTAGCGTTCCTGTGTGGATTTTGAAAAGAATGAGGATGGATGGCCTCTCTAATATTGCAACCTTGACACCACGAACGCTGATGTTTAAAAAAGACTTGGCGAGATGCGGAAGGAAATATTGTGTGGTGCCTCCTTTGTATTGAAAGCAACAATCCCGTACCGATTTGAGTCCTGATGACGACGGATTCTATTGGTATTCTCTCTATGAATTTTAACTACTAATACAAACTGATTTTTGCTAAGACGACTGTTGTAAGCCCACACCCTGTAACTTGACTCCCTCAACGAACGAGACTGGCGGAGTATATGCCTTCCTGCCATGCGTCACATAGGCAATCACGGCAATAATCATCACACCGACCCATATCAAGGGCGCCCAATTCGCGGAAGCCGTGTCGACGGGCAGATTCGGAGGGAAGCAACAAATAATAACGATGAACAAGCTGTAGAGCACAGAGAACGCATTAATTGCCAGCCCGAAGCGGCCCAGGCTCCACCGAGCGAAAGGCAGCTTCTCGCCTTTGATACGCTTGAGCAGTACGCAGCCAATACTGAGGAGATACGTGCTCATGATTCCTAGCGTCGAAAGTGACACGAGAACGGTGAAGGCGACATCGGACCCGATTTGAATAAGACTGAGAAGGGCAGCGCCAATGGACATGAGATAGACTGCGTGAAAAGGCAGGTGCCACTTCTTGTCCCTGTAAGTGCCGTGGCCGTTAGTGCAGAACATGAAGAGCTGACATGAGACTTACACATGGCCGATCCAATGCGACCCTGGAAGTCCTCGGTCCCTCGCGAATGCCCACGTCTCGCGAGCGCAAGTTGCAAGTGTGGTGATGTTTCCAAGATAGACCAAGAGCCACAAGATGACGTTGAAGAACAGGTTGAGACCTTGGGATCCGGTTCGGTCGAACAAGGTGATGAAAGGCCAATCCGATTCGATGACTGTGTCGAGCGGGCCAATGCAGAAAAGCATGGTGATGAGCATGATGAAGCCGAAAAAGACATTGCCCACGTACGACCACCAAATCGCCTGCGGCACGACAATCGACGCGTTCTTGACCTCCTCTGCCAGATGAACGATACTGTCTGAGCCGAAGCAACACCAAAGGACGTAGATTTGTGACGAAATGTAAGCAAACCCCATGTTATTCCACCCGCTCTGGTCCGTAAATTGCAAAAACACATCATGTGCCGAATTCTTGTCGCAAAGCACCCACAGAGGTATCATTACGACAAAGAATCCAAGGACATGACCGATCAAACTGGCTGTTTCCAGTTGTGGGAAGAAGGCAGTGCCCCAGGTGTTGAAGGCAATGGTAACGACGATGACGGCCCACATGAGGAGGGCGATTTGCCAGGTTGTGAAGGCAAAATCAGGCATGGTAACGTTGATGCAGGCCTGGACTTGGTATGCCATAGTGTAGCAACTGCTGGCGAAACTCGCGAGCCATCCCAAGGTTGTCATCCAGCCAGAGGCGTAGGAGAGGATTTTCTGGTAGCTGGGAGGCGAAAACTCGCTGACCCAATCTGTTCTGGTCAGCCCCACGCGCGTGGAGAACAATTGTCTCACTTACGATACTGTCCACCGGAAGTTGGGGCCATGGAAGCCATCTCAGCCAGGCTCGCGACGACGGCCGAGTACGCTGTGGTTGTTGCGACGAAGCACCAAAACACGCCCGCGTAGCCGCCATTGGTGAAGCCTGGGGCCAGCGAAATCAGGACAAATTCCCATGTCGCCATGTAGATGGCCACGAAGCCAATGGAAGACCACAGTGAGAAATTCCGCTTGAACTGTTGCTTCTTGCCCAAACGCTGCATGTCCAAGTGGTCCTGGTGGTCGTTGTGGAAGCCATCATCATCATCCACGGCCGTATTGCCAGGGAGCAGTGGGGCGACACGCATGTCCGCTGAAGGGTCCGAAGACGACTTGGAAGGAATATCGGCCATTCTGGACAGCTGCGGAGCTGTCTGCGGAACGGCCCGAGGTTTTCTGCTTCTATCGTGGGGGAGGTGGCGTTGATGATTTCTGTACGAAAAATGTGTCTTTATCTACAGATGCGCCAACCAATCAACGCCCCGCCCGCATTGACGAAATTAATGTGTTAATCTGAGGTGGCACTGATCTTGTTTAGACGGGCCCTACGACTGCTTCTGTCTTTAGCTTCGGGTGTAACCGCCAGTCCCGGCCTAAGTATCTGGATCCTTCTTTAGAAGCTTTGCACTAGGGTTAAACTGGAAGGTCTTGGAACATTGATGCTTAGAGTTTTATTTTAGGAAGATGCTTAATTAATGTATTATATAAGGGGTTTTTTTTTTTTTTTTTTTTGTATACGAGCGGTCCACGATTCGTCTCTTGAGGACGACTGGCTTGTGTCCCTCATATATGGGCGTCCCTCAGTCCGACACGATATCGGTAGACTCAGCCCAGGTGTCGTCACCGTCGTCGTCAAAGTTTTGAAATGACAGGTCAAACCAGTCATCCGACGCTCCGACGAATTGTGATTGCTCCTTCCAGTCGTCTTGGATGTCTTGGATAATGCATAGTGCGTCGATCCAGATGTACTCGTACCCGCGCACCCTCGCAACCTAGATCCCATGCTGATGCGCCTTGCTCAGCTGTGAAGGATTTCTCCAAGAAGAGCTGACCTAGTCTCCTCTCTTAGCTAGATCATGCCGTACTTGTTTCCGACCTGGCCATGCAAGCCGCTAAAGTCGCCCCGAGAGTAGGGGAGTGCCGCGTAGAGCCCTTTCAGGCCCGGCTGCGTCCCGAGGACCTTCATTTTCGGCCCTCCAATGTACACGAGTCTTTTGGGGACCTATCTTGGCTCGTGGTCCCACACTCATTAGCCGTGTCTCGAACATACAGTGTGATAAGATCGCAGTAAAACTCGGTGTGGAACGGCTAATACCATCAGAACCATAATATCGCCAAACCCAAGATTTTGAGGACTTCATAGTGTTGCAAGGTTCAACGCCTTGTTTCCGCTGTTAGCGCGTCCAGCTGAACGTTGGAAATGAACTAGAGATGTCGTAAGCAATCTGCATTGTCTTGGTTACAGGTTGGCAAGAAGTAAAGCACCTATCATGTTGCCTTTGTTGTCCTGCATCCCTCGTTCCTCGCCGATACAAGAGGATATTCCTAGCAAGATGGTCGCATTGGCCGCCACAGAATATTTCTGTGGATCGAGCCCAGAGAGAACGACGAAGCCGAGCCCCGAGTGAACTCTCCGTGCGAATCCCTCCAATTTCTTGCCGAAGGTCGGAAGCGGAAAGTTGGTAGGACTGATGTCGGGTCCATCAAGTCCGTGACCTGGTCAGAGTCCCTTCATAAGTTCGGAATCAAGCCGTGGCTTTGCTATTGTGAGTTGCAAACCTTTGAAAACCTCCAAAGCTTCCTGGATCTCCTCGATATCATCACTAGCCAGTTCATACGTGTATTGTGATATACGTAGACTATGGCCATCCCAAGCCATGCTTCCTACCGTCCGTGGCATGGTAAGAACATCTTTGTGGGACTTGAAAGGCGAAAGGTCGTCGTCGCCAAGAATTTCATCTGGAGCCATGGCAATAAACTTGGCTTGTTCTGTGGTGCGGATTAGTACGTCGAGCGTGATGTGTATGAGGGACTATCAGCTGCAAGTTTCCGAATATTAACATGATGAGAAGCATGGGTGGCCCAAAGTGGTAATGCACGGTTCATATAATTTCGTCAAGCAGCCTGTCCTAGCAAAGTAACCTGGAGTCTGAAGCGCAACACCCACCTCATAGAGCAAGTGTCGGCTGCCGATGATTTCTCCTCCCTCATGATGCGGTTGAGGTGCCCTGGATGCCTCAGACTACAGAATTCCTAGACTACAAAACTGGCCAGGTTCCGGTGTGTTCTTGCGCACATCTCCAACAGCCTCGGTTCGTTTTCCAGAGTCAGAGCGCCGGTCCTGCAGAAATGCGCTACCCATTGTATGCCAACAATGGGCTTGAAGTCGTCCCGAAACAATGCGGCCATGACCTCGGACTCTGTCATGGTGACGAATTCAGAAACCTCGCCATCGTTGGGCTTCGGAATCATATCGGTAGGCAGTTCCATCTCGAAGACGTGGAGTGCGTGAGGGAAAGACCCCGGGTTGTTGAGATGGCTGTGTGACAAATGATAAGAGACAATGCCGCAAGGTCGAAGGTGAGATGTCGAGAAATCCTTGGGGATGCTGGCTTCCTCAAATGCCTCTCTTACCATGGCGTCGATGATGGGTTCGCCAACCTTGATGCCTCCACCGGCGAGCGTGTCGAGCTTCCCGGGATGGATGGGCCTCGTCTCGGACCGTCTCTGAAGCCAATACAGCCTTTTGCTGTCAACGACGGTCCAAGCGATCAGGTGCACGCCAAAGCAGATTACGCCGAGCAGTTGGCTCCCAAGGTTGTTCATGTTGAAAACATGCTCACCGTCCGGAGTGTAAACGGCCATTGGCTCCCCGCTCCAGGTCATCTCCTTGATCTTGCCTTCTTTCTTGGCGCGGGCCACGGTGTCATTGACGAGTTCAGTCCGCACGTCGAAGGGAGTGCCTGGACCAGCTGGGACATGCAGATTCAGCGTTCGACGTGCAGGGTCAATGGTCCAACAATCGGGCCATGCGACGTTGTCGATGATGGAAGAGTGGACGTAACCTAAAGGCTTGGGATACTCATCGATGGTGAAGTAGTAAAAGTCTTGCATGAAGGTGACGTACGCTTGTGTGTCGTCGGCATAGTATGGGAAGCTGTGGTTTCAAGGCTTAACTGGGGATTCTCACACAAAAACAACGCACATAAGGACCACGTACCTGTCGATGGCTTCAACAATGTCCAATAGGTTGCGGGGCATCTTGGATCTTGGGACCGGTTCTAGGGCGTGGAACATGAGAAGCGTGGAGATTTTGATTTCGGCTTTTGTAGAAGGTAAAGTCGTCGTGAATGTAGGATGGACGTAGGCCACGACAGGTCAGCTGTCCGGCCGAGAGTAGACGACTGACTAATCGCAGTGCGCCCTCGTCTCATCAGTCGCCCTGCCTATCGACGAGGCGTGCTGGGCAACATGATTCACTCCACGCTCTTAGTGGGAAGGAAGAGCGTGCAGTGAATTGCAGGTGTAAGGAAGACATACCTAGAGAAGGTATACCTAAAGAAGGTAGACCTCAAGAAGGTAGACTTTAAGAAGGTATCCCTAAGGAAGGCATGGCGAGCTGTCCCTCTACTGCATCACCTACTGCCTAATATTAACAATTCCGACTCTCTCTTCCTTTTGTCTGCCACAGCACGCTCATCCACTGCCAGAAGCCATTCCACTCAACATGGCGAAACCGGGCGAATTCACCCATCACCAGATGCAAACGTTGCGGGAAGCGGCCGCTATTCTTGGCGTGTCGGTGTCTGCCGTCATCGCCTGCGAGGATGGACTGATCTCTCCTCTCCAGTCCTTTGGCGAGCCGCTCTTAGTTCCACCGATCGACAACCCATCTATGCCCAGCCGGCCAGACCTTGTCCAGTTTTCCTCATTTGACTTCTCGGCTGGTTCTGGCCTGGGCGATATTGGTTTGACATCGAGCGACACAATGGGGTTGATGGACGCGAACAATATGGAGTTGAATGCGGCTGGTTTGCCCCTGGGCTGAGGGTGCGTCAGTTTGATCCGCCGACAGAGCCGGAGGACGACTGCAGAGACAACAAAACCTTTGGGGGGGCACGGCCGAGGGTACTACGCCATTCCTTTCGTCACTACAAACCCGGGTGAGACAATCCGAGCCGTCAATCAGTTCATCGACGAGAGCGTGCTGGCGTACATCGAAGCTCTCATGGATTACTCTTGGCCCCTTGTTTCCGACGTCAGATCCGGTAAGTTTAGTCTCTGGGATATAATGTGCCTTCAAACTTGGCTTTCTTGGCATCCATGATTCTGACTACTCATATAGAACATTCTCGTACGCTAGACCTTGCGATTCTGGACTGTCGCACGGTTCATGGAAGATGGCTGGAGATATGCTGCCCATGACAAGCTTGGGGCCGAGGAAATATCTCCCCCACGGCGCTCCAAAGATAACGTCGCACTTCCCCCATACATAGCCTTTCAGTTCACTTCCATCTTAATGGAGAAAGTGCTTCAACCATTAAGTCGAGAAGTATTAAAAGGGCTCGAGGTGTTGGCTATGAAAAATCAACCCAGCAACTGGTTTACCATCTTCCTTGTTGTCTTCATTCCGATGCACAGTTTTGAGCCCATTCTCAAGCACGAGGTCGACTTTACAAAGCGACGTCAGCATCCGGTAAGCTATGGTGCGGTTTCGTAACAAGGCTTTCCCTGACCTTGCCTAGCTCAGGTACTACGACATGAAGCTATTCGTGGCTATCAAATCAGCGCCAAAGGTTTGCTCGCACACTTCCACTACGAGAACAAGGACAAAATTCCGTTCTAGCCTAGCTTCAAGGCTATATCCGACATGTGTGGATAAGAACATTAAAATATGGCACTCAGCTTAGTTAACTAGGTGAAGATTTCAAGTTCACCATTGTTCACACTTAGTGGCTCTAGGGTATTTTCGCGGTCAGCTTGAGGCTGTGAGATTGGGACCAACTTGATGCAGTCATGATTGGTTGCGTTGATAAGGCCGATTGTCTCGTGACCAACATCAGCCTGTTTCGGCTTCACAGTCCAATTCTTTTTCCCCTCACCATTCATCACAGATCGAGAGAATGGACGACATGTTGCCAGGGCCAGTCGGTGACTGGAAACTCGAGACAACCGTTTGTGAGGAATACACACTCCAGATCAGACACGTCTCTAACAAAGCTACGGGTCTCTGGCGCACGCCAGTTCAAGAGAAATGGCAGCGCACCAAGAAGCTCGGCCAGGGCGGTTTTGGCGTCGTCTGGCTTGAGCAGTGCACCGAAGGCGTGAGCGCCGGCCAAGTTCGAGCTGTGAAACAGATCCAGACCTCATTTGGGAACCAGACTGTGACACCCAAGATGCTGTCCAGCGAGCTGTCAGCTATTTTCAATTTTTCTCAAAAGCCAGTATGCTCTGCGTCCTCCTCTGTCTCACAATCCCACCTTTATTAACGCTGAAACAACAGTATCGAGACTGCTTCGTCCAGTCTTTTGGCTGGTACGACAGCCCCGAATGCATCTTCATCACCATGGAGTACCTTCCTTTGGGTGACTTGGAGAATCACATAAGTGAGCGTCTTCCAGAGGCCCAAGCACAAAGAATCACGCTCCAGGTCCTCCAGGGACTTGCATTTATGCACCGAAGCAAATTTGCTCATCGCGACTTGAAGCCAAGGGTAAGATCTCCCCTAATAGCGACGTGGAAAACGCTCAAACCTTTTAGAATGTTCTCGTTCAGCACCAAGGGCCCGATTGGTGGGTCAAGATATCCGACTTTGGAACCAGCAAGCAAGTCGGCACGACAGTTCTCCGCACCGTCATCGGCACCGAGCACTATCAAGCTCCCGAAGTCAGGGGAATCTATAGGCCTTGTGACCTGGACGACGATGACGACGATGGCGATCCTTCCTACGACCTTGCCATCGATATCTGGGCCGTCGGCGCTATGGCATTCCGAATGACGACTGGCCGAGTCCCATTTCCCGGGAAGAAAGATCTGACTCGCTACGTTCTCAAAGATAATTCTTTCCCGGCTGAAGACTCGCTCAGTGAGGCGTATACCGCCTTTATCACCCAGACGATGCGTCCTTCTGCTCGCGACCGTCCATCTGCGAAGAAAGCTTTAGAGAGCCCGTGGATACGTGAACAGCTGCTGGATCCGCAAAGCTCAAGTCTAAGATCCGACGAAACTGCAGGATTACCAGGCTCTGGGTTACAAAGAGGTTACGAGGCTTCTGCAACATGGTCATCGTCCAACGGTCTCTCGGATTTGTTTGATGATAACTCCACTACGCTGAGACAGCCCGGTCCTGGTTTGGAAAGTCTTAATGGCGAGCCAAGCAAAACCGCACGTCGGTAAGTAAGCTCTCACTGCATCATGCAATAGTTGACTAACTGATGATAGGGAATCGGTTGACGATCCAGTCTCCGTCTTGGCTCCCGAGTCATTAGACACGATGCGACAAAAATCTATCACTTCTCAGGATACCGGCTCGTCTGTATCCACTGAACAGACAGCCAAAGAGTTGCCCCACAGCCTTCAACCCAAATTGCTTCCCACAACTCGCCGGTCTCGTGCCTATGTCGACAGCGAACTTAAGTCAGTCCAGATACTTGAAGGGTTCGAGGATGTGGTCAGCGAAGTCTCTTTCTCGAAAAGCGGCAAATGGCTTGCGACACTATGCTCCTCCTACATCCACATTTGGAGTGTGGATTATTTAGGTACTGTCACATTGAGGCAGTCCCTGCCAGTGCAACCGCCAGAGTCTGTTCGTTCAATCTCTTTTCGGGATGGAGACAATCAGTTCCTGGCGTTTGTGAGCCAGCCAGGAGCTGAGGGAGCGATGTTGAGCTGGAAAGTTGATCAACAACAGAAGTTCCAACTCTTGCAAAGCGTCCCAGGGCACTGCCCAACAGACCTTGGAGTTCTAAAAGCTATGTTTTCCCCCAATGGGTTATTCTTTGCAGTATCATGGTACACTGATCCCAATCGGTACACGACAAGCGTCTATAGGACAAAGCCCGATGGCCAGCTCGAACGTATACATGTAGATTATCCTGAATACTGTGACGGCGGATTTAGCGATATACTTTTCTCAGACAATAGCGTATGGTTCTTTCAACGGGAATATCGCTGTTATTTTTTGGATCTCAATCGTACGATTCGGCTTCGGAAGGATGTGCAATGGCGGTGGCCGATTACGGTATCTCCATCCGGTGGACTGCTACTATCGCATGAGATGGATGAGCCGTATGGCCCCATCATTGTCGGATTGCAGGGGGCAACGCAAGGGCAAATCGATCTGCACCCGAAGCAGCACCTGGAGCACATGAGTTTGAAGTCTATGCTCAGGCATGGGATCTTCTCCCCCGACAGCAGAAGGATTGCGGGAGCAGACGATGATGGTCAAATCTTTCTATGGGAAATGAATGAAATAGGCAACTTTCTACCGAAGGAGACGCTAAAGGGCGATGGGAACGAAGTCTCGGCAATTGCTTTTTCGCCGGATGGTCGGTGGCTGTTGGCAGCTTCAAGGGAAAAGACCATCATTATCTGGGACGTCCCAGTGCGGTAAGGCCAATTTTTAAGCACACACTTTATAAAGCATAATCCTTTCCTGCCTCTCTCTCCATAAGGCTGAAGGTAGGCTTAGCAGAAAACCATCCTGCAATCTCGCTACCAACAGTTGCATGAGTGAAAGCAGCCTCCTTATCACCAATTTTGACCAATTCTCCACCCCGCCCTGCCGCTGCTGCGTCTGCAAGAAGCTGCACCCGACAGCAAGTTTCGAGGCTCATGAACCAGAACACAGTAGCCTCGATGGACTGGCCAGTCGTGAGAAGGCCATGATTGGCCAAGATGGCAGCCTTTTTGTTGCCCAGGCTTGCGGCGATGTCACGGCCTTCGTCCGCTCCAAGAACAATGCCACCGAAGGAATCGTAAAATGCTAGGTCATTGTAGAAGGCGCAAGAGTCCTGCGTAATGATTTCGAGCGGGCGACCAAGCGCCGAAAATGCCCTCCCGTAGATGGAGTGAGAATGGGCGACGCAGTTAATGTCTGGTCGAGCCACATGCACGGCATGGTGGATTAGGTATGCTTGGGAACTTTTTAGTAACTGAAACTGGAAAGTGGAATTGCACAGAACGAACCTGCAGTGTTGAGCAACTTGACGGGACCACCATCCACAATCTTGCCTTCAGAGTTGACACGGATGAGGTCTGAGGCTTTCAGCAAAGGCCACGCCACGCCAAATGGGTTCACCCAGAAGCTTGTTGGTTCGACGGGGTCCTAGCAGATGATTAGCTCCAATCTATTAGATCAATGGTAAGTAATGAGAGCCATACCCGAACCGTGATATGTCCAGCTACCCTGTGTCGCCGCCAGTTAATCGAACTAATTCAAAGACCAATCCCCATCCAAGAACTCACCCTTCATCAAACCCAAGCTTGGCAAAGATCCGAAAGGCCAAGGCCAATCTGCCCTTTAAGTACTCCCGCTCTTCGAGGGGATCAGCAAATTTAGGAGTGGGCAAAACACCGGTCGAGGACGCTGGAAGATCCGTGGCGGCCTGGGCATCGTAGCTGGCGCCGGTCTGGTCTGTGACAATGCCTGATACAGCTGATGGGGCCATTTTTTCAGGTTTAAAAGGGATTGGAATTGAAATGGATCAAGCTTGTCAGAAGATAAATGAATTCTAGGGGAATTTGCTGGCTTGAGTTGGGTCGATAATAATCATCGCCATCCGACACTCTAAGTCTTATAAGAATGGGCTTTGGAGAAGGCCAGACCAAACTACCTCTAGGCACGTGGAAAACTAAAACTGATGGCCTCAACGTAATTGCCATTCCGTCATTGGCCAAGGATCATAACCTTCCAACAGGCCATTGAAAGGAACACGAGTGATGAGGATTCGCTTCCCCGCAGAGGCGCAGTCGGCCGGCCGCAGCTTCGGCCGTCCGCGGGGTCCGCCGGCCTTTGGCGCCGGGGATCGTCGCCGTGAAATTGTGGCTCCGGCTCCGACGGGGTCGGGGAGTCGGTGAGATCTGGAATCGCCGGTTGCAGGATGCGACGGTATCTGTCAGGCGGAGATACGTGCCGAAACAGAGTTCTAGTTTGACCTTGGATCATGGATGCTTCACTCGACCGGATATCTATTCAGGCTAGTGGATTTCATGATAGATTCATACTAGATGCACCTTATTTTAGCCGGAGAGCATGGGATTGACCGTGTACCCCTCATAACAAAAGAGGGGGTGGAGGCATTCTAGACCCGTACAATTATCACCTTTGGATCCCAACCTCTATTGAACGCTGAGTCCTCACTCGAATTGACTGAATCGATCCGTTAGGAAATGAATGATGGGATTGAAGTACCATTTAGTAAGCTAAACAGCAACAAAATAGTTACATCCTACATCTTATAGCGAGGACTTGACATCGCCACCGTAGCCAACCCTCCTCACCATCTTCTCATCCAGCTCCTGGACCGTCTTCACCCCGGCCAGTCCCATCGACTGGTCAAAGTCAGCCAAAATGCCGCCCAGCACATGTTTGGCCCCCTTAGTACCCGCGATGCCCAGGCCATATATCACAGGGCGACCGACCAGCACGGCCTTGGCCCCTAGACAGAGTGCCTTCATGGCATCCGCACCTGTCCGGATGCCCGAGTCGAACAGCACCGTCATCTTATCGCCGACCGCCTCGACAATTTCCGGCAGCATCTCGAGCGACGCCATGGCACCGTCTAGCTGCCTGCCCCCGTGGTTACTAACTACGATGCCGTCCATGCCAAACTTGAGCGCCAACCTGGCGTCATCAGGGCTCATGATGCCCTTGAGTACAATAGGACCATCCCAGTGTTTTCGTAGAAGCGCCAGGTCCTCCCACGGGTGTGCCTGGCCCGAGAAGACATCGGCGATCCACTGCTGGGAGGCTTCCAGTACCTTGTCCTCAGGCGTACCGCCTCCGGTGCGCTCAGCGAACTTTTGCCTGAACACCGGGTCCGAGAAGCCGATGGCATTGCCCTGTCCAAGCGGGAAGGGGAGGAAGCCGATGTCCAGATCGCGCGGGCGCCATGCCATGGTGAAGGTGTCGAGCGTCACAACCAGGACAGAACAGCCGGCATCTCGCGCCCGTCGCAGTAGCGATGCCGTGATGTCGTCGTCGCGTGGCCAATACAACTGGAACCAGTGCGGCGTCTCGGGGCCTACAGCGGCGGCAATCTCTTCGATTGTGCTGGTACTGGCAGTGCTGATGGTGAAGGGGACGCTCAACTCTGCACAGGCGGCGGCGAGGCCCGTTTCTTTATCCTCGTGATAGGCGCTCTGCACGCCAACGGGCGCCATGATAAACGGGCTCTCTGCAAGGCCAGTTAGTTAGGCCTGGGGCAGCAAACTGGAAGGCCTTGGCAGGACCGTCTCCTTACCATAAGTCTTGCCAAAGAGATCGACCCGGAGATCTCTCGGGAGGGTAGGTCTCATCATCCGGGGGATAAGTTTCCACTGCCGAAAGGCAAGCCTGTTGGCATCCATGGTCGAGCCTTCGCCAGCGCCCCCGGAGACGTAGTTGAAGCCCTCCGGCGACATGGCCTTCTTTGCCTGTTCTTCAAGCCCATTGGGGTCTGTAGTCGTGACAGGGCCATTGCCATGCAGTAACTTATTCCTATAGATGTCGTATAGGTGCTCGTGATATGGCGGGCGGCGTTCAGGTCCACTAGGGGTCGACATGATGAACCAAGATTATGCACGAAGTGATAATGGAAGTCGGGGTGGCGCAGCGAATGCCAATGATTTCATTCTTTCACTGGGTTAGGGCCCGCAACCTTTTAGCTTGTGTTACATGATGTACGGCCTCGGCATTTTCGGCATTCAGCAACCCCCTCATCTGCCGGTATCCGCGGACAGAAATGCTCGCACTTGGTACGAGGCCTCGTATAACGGAGTGACGTTGGTGATAGATACAGTAGGCCCTAAACCCCCAACCCCCTCCCCAAACCCCTAGTTCCACAGAATTGACTTTTAGTTTTGTCTCCATCTCTTCTTTTAGCGATTAGTTGAGTGGCACATGCAAGGGAACTAGCAAAAGGCCGTCCTTTTGTGGGAGCCGAGGCTTGAGCTAGCTCTATGCAGTGTGGCGGACCTGTCTTCTCTTCCTCAATGCCCTTAATGGCATAGACGCTCGACACCCCCTCCACGACTTATCGAAGATCCAACTAGTGTGGAGGGCTTCCCCGCTTCTTCTGGGGTCTCTGATAAAAGTTTATGATACCAAGAGCCGCTTAATAACCTGCATTTGCCACACCAACGGCTTTTTGCTCTCCCCGCAACTAAACTAGGGCGTAGGCAATCTATTTGAATAGCCAGCTGTACAACCTTGCAATTGGGACATAAATATACCCGCGTATTTTGACAATCTTCAATGGTCTCTTAAACTTTCAAAGAGAAAGAAGAATATTTGTCCTTCCATCCTTTCGACTCCGACTCTCCTCGCCCGAAATATAGTCTCTATTACGTTTAGTCGCTCACCAGCCGTCACGATCCCTCGTTTCTCAACAACAGTAAGAAGAAAAGGAGAATCAAAAAAGAGTCCGCAAGGCCGTGATTCGACATCAATCATGAGCGACGATTCTAAGCCCGGCCCCCCCGGAGCCTTTGGCCTCGAGGGGGATGCCGATACTACTAATGAAAGTTTCGTCGAGGAAACGTCGATCGTATACCGCACATACAAACGACGCTGGTTTGGGCTCATCCAGCTGACTCTAATGAACATCATGACTTCGTGGTGTGTAAGTCCTACGATTCCATCCTCATGAAGCTCGGAAAATATTCTAGGGATAGAGACCTGACAACCAGTGCGATTATAGTGGCTGACATTCTCTCCCGTGTCCTCCAAAGCCGCAACCTATTACGATGTGCCCGAGTCAACTATCAACTGGATCAGCACGGCCTTCCTGTTCGCCTTCGCCCCCGTCGCCCCTATCGCCATCGCCGTTTTGCACAAAGGGCCCAAAGCAGCAATGGTGATCGCTGCCGTTCTCCTTTTGGTGGGAAACTGGGTGCGCTATGCTGGGTCGACGCAACGATCGGGCGGCAATGTCGTCGCCCCTATCGTTGGCGAGATACTCATCGGCTTCGCTCAAACCTTTACACTATCGGCGCCAACACGATACTCCGATATGTGGTTCACCAACCACGGCCGCATCGCTGCGACGGCCCTGCCAAGTCTCGCCAACCCGCTCGGGGGTGCTCTGGGGCAGTTGATCAACCCGTTCTGGGTTAAAAACCCAGGCGACATTTCCCAGATGGTCCTCTATATCTCCATTATTGTATGTCCCTGGCTTTTTCTGTCCTTTGTATAAGTATACCAATCTCACCGAGAAAAGTCTACCGTCTCTGCTGTCCCGGCGTTCTTCATCCCGGCAAGTCCACCAACGCCTCCTGGGCCGTCCGGCGATATTTCGAAACTCCGGCTCAGGGAAGGGCTGCGGATCATGGCCAAGTCGCTCGAGATATGGCTCGTCCTTATTCCATTTGTCATCTACGTCGGGTGCTTCAACTCCATCTCGACGCTACTCAACCAGATAATGGAGCCGTACGGCTTCAGCGATGACCAAGCAGGAATTGGTGGTGCGGCTATGATCATCGTTGGCCTCGTGGCCTCGGCCATCTCGTCGCCTATCCTAGGCCGCACCAAGGCGTTCGTCTTAGCCATTAGGCTGATTTTCCCTATTGCCGGTATCTGCTACCTTGTGTTTATATGGATGCCAGAGACAGGGTCTGTGGTCGGCCCTTATATTGTCCTCTCCATTCTCGGCGCCGCCTCCTTCTCTCTTCTTCCCGTCGCCCTCGAGCTCCTCATCGAACTGAGCCACCCACTCAGTCCAGAAGTCACATCCACCATTGCATGGTCTGGCAGCCAGCTCCTCGGCGCCGTCTTGATCATTATCAGTGACGCTTTCCGTGCTGGCCACGACGCCAGCCCTCCAAAGAATATGAAGAACGCCCTCATATTTCAAGCTGCGTTGGCGCTTATTGTGGTCCCTTTGCCACTATGTCTAGGGCTGTTTGGGCGACAGAACAAGGTCCTCTTGCGGCGCAGTAACATAGACGAGCAGGGCCCTAGCACAGCTACTTGAATAGTCTATCGGCGATTGAAGGAGGAGGCGAGGAGGCGGTAGGGTATCTAACATACCGGTATAGGCACTACTAACTCAAAAGATTGGTTCTTCACCACATGTATGACGGCCGCGCTCATTCTGGAATGGCGGCCTTGGGTAAGCAGGAATCATGGGGTCTAGGTCCTGCTCTGGATTAGGACCATGGGCATGCTGGGTAGTTACTATCTCGTGTATGAGATACGAGGGCGCTTACTGGGGTATGACTAGGCGGTTATAACTGGCGGCAACAGATACCCTACACTTCTAGTAAAGCAAATAAATTCTAGGGTATTCAATGCACCCGTTTGCAGTGTACCTTTATCTTCATAGCTAACTAGCTTTATTTATTTGGTTTTTGTTTTTAGCTTTGCTAAATATTATAAGATAGATTAAAGCCATATAGCAATCTCAAATAGTAAGAATTAATAATAAATACTATATCTAGTACCAGAAGAAATAGTAGCTAAATAATACGATGATTACCTACTAGTCTCTGGCTGAAGCTTTAATTTAACCCCTTTAAGTTTAACCCTGATGTCTGTAGATAATAGGGTCAGTCAACGACCCTATATCTGTAGTTAACGACCTTGAGATAGTAATCTTATTCCCAGCAATAGGATATAAGGGAGACTGACGTCTCCCATCATCGAAAGACCAACTTCCCTTCTGACACTCATCCCATCCCAATAACCTTCATCTGAATAACTTGTCATTATGTCGACTATCACTCGCAAGGCCCTTGTTACATATATCCCTGCGCATCAGGGATACGAAACTATATTCCGGCCTAGCTTTACTTATTTCGCGAACAATATTTATCTCCACAGGGATCCTAGACTCTTATAGTTACTAGCTCAAAGCAAGAGCTCGGTCTTCTTTAAGCGATCCAATACATCCTTGTCTTGTTTTCCGACATTCCATCGTCTTTATAATACCCTAAAAGCCAGAGATAGCCTCCCAGTGTTCCGTCCGCCCCCTCCACTCTGGCGAATGAAGCTGGATTGTCTTCCGGAACGGGCCAGAAAACACCCTGAACGTTACAAGCGCCACCATATCCTGCGGATCGAAGCGCGTCCTCCCACGGGTGAAGTTGATGGGCATGATCCGCTCCGCTCTGTTTCTCGGCGACGCCCTGTTTCTCGGTGATGTCGACTCTTGCAGCAGTCGGAATCTGATACCGGAGTTGCAGAGCGTCTCTGCATCCTGAGACCCCGGATTAACACGGCAGAAGATCCATCCCTGGACGTGGTCGGCTGGCATGTCCTCATCCAACTCGCGAGAGAAGCAGAAGAGGCTCGCAACCAGGCGTCTCGCGACAGCACACACGTGGTCATCCAGAGAATTGAACCGCGAGTCTAAATACGGCGCGCGAGATTCGTTACTGAGATACGCTTTGAAAGTCTTGTTCAAAGCGCCCATTTCTTTGACTTCGTCCATCTTGACGCCCTTGGACATGGCAATGTTGAGCCGGTGGCAGTGTGGCCGAAGTTGCTGGTCGAGCATGTTCTGCATGAAGTCTTTCCACGCATCCTCACAGGCCGTCGTGCTCTTGATGGTGTTGTACGACGTCTCGACTTGCTTTCGTATACCACCGGGGAGGAATGAGATGAGCTTCTCGGTCCTGGGGTCGTCCTGCGTTCGGGGTTTGCCGGCGATGTCTACGACTCGACCGGTTCCGATGGAGACAACAATGTCGGGTCGGGAGCAGTCGGGCCAGATTTTCTTGCTCTCGGAGACGGCCAATCTGATGGGGTTGATCTCGGCCATGGCGCCGTCCTCATAAGTTCCGTGGTGGTGAGTGAAGGGCTGGAAGTAGAAGGGCGCTGCGGTTGTTGCTCTCGCACTTGGTCTTGATGAGCAATTGCATCCAGTTATGTCTTGACAGAAAATTCACTTACGCTTCCCAAACCTTGAAGTCTTGCGACTGATGCTCTGCTCGAATAAGAGGGTCTTCTACCAAGCCAACTGAAGTAAGCAATTGCCCAACTTGGCGAACCTGTCATACTCACCTTCGCTATTCCCGCTTGGATCTCTTGAATAGTTTGCCACCAAGCCAGCCTCGTTCTGGGACTGTAGGCAAGTCACAACGCCAACTTTGACCCAGTCCGCCTGCTGTCTGTCCCCGTCGGTCGGCCCAAACAAATAGGCAGTTTCGCCGAACTGATCCTTCAGCGCCTTCTCGATGCCCGCACTCGTGTATCGGAACGAGCAAAACGGCTGCACGACCGACTTGATGACCGGAGCTCCCAACCTCATTCGCAGAGAGAAGGCGCTCCTGGCGAGCTTCTGGAAGGTCGAGATACTATCCTTCGGACTCCATCCCTGGTAGAAGACGCCCAATGCAACGACCCCCCCAGTGCTTGTGCCGACTACGAGGTCAAAGAGTTCGTGTATATGGATATTCGCCTCCTTCTCGATCTGGTTCAGAAAGGCTAGCTCTACAATTCCTCTCACGCCGCCCCCGCTATGAGCATGCGTCAGTTTCATGCCATATGCTTGATAACACGGAGGGAAAAGGTGTATAATTACCCATCGAGCGCGAGAACCCGCGGACCGGCTGTCTTTGGCTTCACTCGTATACTCCAAGATGGTTTGGTGAAAGAACATCCTAGCGGGCAGCGCTTTAGCTGAAGAACAGGGTTGTAATCGACTTCATCAGCGAAGCGGTGAAGACACTCCTCGCAGATGCCGTGGCCCTTTTCTCGACAAGGGAGCATGTTAGTCGGGCAATGGGACAAGCACATGAGACACGTTCTCTGGCTGCTCACTCCTGCTATCCCTGTCCCTAGGGCTAACGCGGCCAGTCTCCGCATGCCGGAACGTTTGCTCTTCAGACGCTTAAGCTCGTCCCAGATCAATTCGTGGAACCTGTCTGGATCCCACGAGCACACGTGGCTATGCTCTTCGACGTCGTCCACTGAAATCCCGACGGATTGACGATCTCTTGGGCGCTCGAACTGGTGGCCCTTGCGGTGCAGGTTGTAATAGTTTCGACAACGTCGTTGGCCTCTGCGATCCATTGCTTCGCAGCGCCAGTCTCTCCAGCGGTAGAGCTCAAAGCCGTGGCGAGCTTCCTGAACCAAGGACTCCTTTTGCTCTTGCAATTCTTCTACTTCTTGTAAGCACGTCTTTGAGAACACAGGAACATGGTAAAAGAATCTCACCCTCCACCCCGCCCCATGGAAGCTGGACGGCGATTGAAGCGCCGACAAATCGCGCCATGTCATCGGCGACCTGTTGTTCGCCACCGACCTCGTTTGTCTCGTCCAGACCACGCGTGCGGGCAAGATTTGCCATCACAGCTGCTAGATGCTCAGAGAATAGCTTGGGCCTTAGTGCAACCCCTGCTGCCAGGCGATGGAAGTCAAGCGACGAGCGATAGTCCTTGGCCAGTGCCCGCAGCGAGTCATTCAGATACGTGTCCAGAGTCGCCACGTCAAATTGAGTGTTGGAAGACGTCCTCTGATCCCGGATCACCTTTGTTGACGCTTGAATATCTTCGTAGAGCCGCTGAACGGCCTTAGAGATGGACGCGGCCGCACTGGGCATGCTGCGTTTCCCGTAGACTGGAATGGTGACGACTTTGATGGACCGGTAGTAACATTCCAGTACATCTTTGGCACATTGGATCCTTCGCCCTCGTTGCGTCCAAAGGTCGACCAACTCGTGGTAGGTTTGGCTCTGCTCAAATTCGCGTAGCATCTCTCGCGTGAGGTCACGTCGAACGCAAGCGTCGGGGTCAAGATGCTTGTTAAGGATAATGATGACTGCTGGCTTTACCCTCTGGTTCAGAATGCGATCGTAGGCTTCTTTGGCCCATTCGATCAATCGCTTCAGAAAGTCTTGGGAGGATCTTGGTTGACGCACCGTTAACGTGGCTCAGCTGCTGGTCAAGAACTCTCTCACCTGGGATTGTTCGTCACAAAGCAAATGACATCGGAAAATGCGTATAGAATCTTGGGATAGACTCTCTTCACAATTCTTTCCTGCGTCTGGTCATCAACGTGACCTCTTGGCCGCCTTGTTGTCGGGTCGTTTGGATACGCCGCCCCGCGAGGCAGAGAAACCAGCCTTCCCCATTGTAAATTTACGGGAGGCTTTCGAGCAGTTCGGTTGTAGTGCTCTATGTTTTCAAACAGTTTTCCCTCGCGCGACTCGGTCTGATTCATTCGGTGGTCGCGAGCTGTGCGACGCTGGTTCAGAGATGCAATCTGCTCCCTCGCTATTGGATTCGCGCCGCCAACAAAACCCTCACAGTCTTTTTGTGTTTTTAACATCATTTAAATTTCCATTAAGAAGTGACTACAAGAGTAAGACGTACCGGCGTAGAAGGTGGGAGAATTGGTGAAGCGGGTATTTGGATCAACGTAGACGTGAATATCGCTGCTCGTCGACCGGAAGTCGTCGTCCGGCAGCCCAGGAACAGGGACCGAGTGCAGCTCCGTTTCACTTGGCCTGATCCGTTGGATCATGGCTCGAATTAGCGTGCTCTTCCCGGATCCGGTGTCGCCGATGAATGAAACAAGGCTCGGATATCTCCGACTCGAAGTGGCCGGGCCTTGCTCCAAGATGCGCTGCAGTCGCGGCCAGACGTAGATCTGGGGCTTTCTACCATATTGGTAATACGGAACGCCTATCCACGTACAGAGTGCATCTTCAGCGTGCAGAGCCTTTATGTCGTGTCTGAGAGGCGTCGTGTCCAGCAGATAGCGCGTGAAGACGTAGTCCACGTAGCTGATCTCTTCACACATCTCGTCAAGCCTATTCGCCCCGGCGAGCCCGGCATTGAGCTGATGGTCTCGACTTTTTCTCAGGCACGAGACATGCGCAGGCTTGTGCGCTGGACCACATCCGCTACACAATACGAAATCCCGGAGGTGTGCTTCGCGGTGGCATAGATAGCACCTTCTCGATATGTTGAGCCTTTCCGCTTGATCGTCGATGCTTTTGGTTTCGGATGGTGTAAGTTCTCAGCAGAAAATTTGAAGCTTGCATGTACTCACAAACGAGTGGACGGAGACGGCCATGACACGGGCGTTTGCCGTAGGCGTTCATGGCTCAAGTTATCTGGCGGTGATTGCAAGGCAACGCGGTGCCTGGCAGCAAGATTGCCAAGAAGATCATTCTCGTCATTGTCGGAGTCCAAATCACGGCGGGTATCTTCCCGTCTTCGGTGCGCCATTTTTCTAACGGACGTGGCGGGCGACGACGACCAGAATCGAGACACACACGAAAGTAAGTGAGAAGAGAGAGGCGGAGTCACTGAACTGGTTCTAGATCTGTAGCGTGCTAGAGCTGAATAAAAAAGTGAGACAGGCATCCAATCTAGACCTGGTGGCTGAAGTCATGCATGCATATTGTTATCTTTAGTATTTGCGAGCCTCGATCTAATTTGTCGCCTCGTCGAGGCGACTGGCGCTAAACCTCCCAATCTGCCTTGCTGAGGCCAGCAGGCATGCTTCCAAGCCTGATTAAGGCAAACGGACTTGTTACGTGGCAATGTGCGAAGGGCTGGATTTGAAATCAAGCCCAAAAGGGCCTCCTGCAGAAAGCTGTCATATGTGTGTAAGCTGGAAGGATGGTTGAATATTGTTACACTGCCGGGTTAAAGGAAGAGGGCGGTTAATGTACCAATGCAATTAAAGATAAAATGTCAAGACCTTTGGCAACCATAAAGCCAGGATATGTTCTACTTTTATAAAAAACATTCCTGGATATTGCATGGAGCAGCTATTATTGGGCTCTGTGCCAAGGATAGTCAGAACTCAAAGAACTACATATTAATTGTCAACCTCTCTATTCAATGTATGTTCCAAAGACTAAGCAGTATTTTGGACACACTGAAACATAGCGACGTGTTACCGACTAGTCAGCCTCGGCCGTCAGGGGCCGCCTCTCCAGGTTGATGACAGTGATACATGTACGTGGCGTTACTCGTGTTTGGAATTGCATGGAACCCGACGTGGCAGTGCGGCTGAAGCTGCAGTTAGGCAGCAACCCCGCCTTCTTCGGGGCTGTAGAAGTAATATCCCATCTCATCGTGTTCCTCTTATCCTACGAGATCTTGTCTGGTAAGTACCGCTGGCTACAGATCCCATCTGGACGTACGCTCACAAGGTTAATATGCCTTGGACTTGTTGAAGATCGAAATGAGTCGGCTTGATTAGCCGTACATTGTCTACGCTGTCCTCGCGTCGTCGAGAAATCCCGCAGATGAACGCAATAAGCCCCGAATCGATCGAATTGGGATTGATGCTTCACTCACCAAATTCCTCTTTCACTGGAAGCGATAAATTGTGAAATAGCGGCTACTGATCGAGCCGCCCTCGCTCTCGTCTAAACGTGCACACAAATCTACGCCGGACAGTCCAGTATGTTGAAGAGAAGCAGGAGCATCGGTGATGACGGAGAGAATGTGTCGAGCGAGACGAAAAGGAAGAAGGCAGACAACTCATCTGATTCAACAGACTTGTCTCATCATGATTACACAGTGGGATGGGTCTGCGCGTTGCCTAAGGAGCAGACTGCGGCAACTGCCATGCTGGATCAGAGGCATGCCAATCTCCCGAAACCGCCAAGTGACCAAAACGCATACACTCTTGGATCTGTCGGTAAGCATAATGTTGTTATAGCTTGCCTACCCAAAGGCAAGGTCGGCACCACTCCAGCGGCAACTGTCGCGGCCTGGATGATCTCCACGTTTCCATCCATCAAGTTCGGCTTGATGGTAGGCATTGGCGGCGGCATTCCACCCAAAGTTCGGCTCGGCGATGTCGTCGTCAGTACACCCACAGGCCAGTTTCCTGGCGTAGTCCAATGGGACTCCGGCAAGAGTGGTAGTGGTGGCTTCGAGCGAACCGGCGCTCTCGACAATCCCCCAACCTCGCTTCTTACGGCTCTGACGAAATTGGAGACGGAGCATGAATTAAACGGGTCCAAGATACCGGAGTACCTTGACGAACTGAAAACGAAATGGCCAAGACTGGCAGCAAAGTATATGAAGTCCGATTCACTTGAGGACGTGTTGTTCAGAGCGGATTATAGCCACGTTAGTGAGACCACCGCCGTCTGCGAAGTCGCCGAGGATATCGATGATGCAGACGAGAAAGAAGAGAGCTGCCGACTTTGTGATAGGAAAGAGGTTGTCAAGAGGAAGCCGAGAGATATGCGTGTGCATTACGGTCTCATCGCATCCGGTAATCAGGTTATCAAGGACGCTGCCTTCCGAGATAAACTCAACAGGGATCTTGGTGGCAATGTTCTATGTGTGGAAATGGAAGCGGCGGGATTGATGAACAACTTCCCGTGCATCGTCATCCGGGGCATCTGCGACTATGCCGACTCCCACAAGAACAAGGACTGGCAGGAGCATGCTGCGGCTATGGCGGCAGCGTTTACGAAGGAACTTCTGGAACATTCACAGCCAAGTGATGTTGACGGAGAGCGTACAGTGAAGGATGTCCTAGGCAAGGGTTAGTATATCCGATTCGAGCCACCAGCAGGTATCTAATAATACACGCAGTTGAAGTAAACGTTGCCAAGATCAAGTCCAAGCTGGATCGGGATGAAGAAATCAGGATCCTGAATTGGCTCACACAGGTCGATTACGGTCCCCAGCAGACAGACTTCATCAACCGTCGACAGAAAGATACCGGCCAATGGCTTCTGGACTCGGCAGAGTACCAGGCTTGGCTGCAGGCTGGGAAGCAGACGCTGTTCTGTCCAGGTATCCCCGGAGTGGGCAAGACGATCTTCACTTCAATTGTGATTGACGACCTCACCACGAGGTTTCATGACAACCCGGATATCGGCATCGCGTATATCTATTGCAATTTCCGCCGATGGGACGAACAGAAGGCCGGTGACTTGCTTGCAAGCCTTCTGAAGCAGCTGAGCCAGGGGAGGTCTTCTCTACCAGCCCACGTGAAAGCCCTCTATGAGAAGCACAAGGACAAGCGAACTCGCCCGTCGTTTGATGAAATCTCAGGCGCTCTCCATTGGGTCTCAGCTATGTACTCTAAAGTCATTATCATTGTCGACGCACTCGACGAATGCCAGCCATCTGACGGTTGTCAGCTCCTGTCACATATTTTCAGTCTGCAGGCTGACAATGCAGTGAGCTTTTTCGCAACTTCACGACCCATTCCAGACATTGAAGGATACTTTAAAGAGTGTCTTAGACTTGAGATCATCGCCAGCGATGAAGATGTACGCAGATATGTCCATGGCCACATGTCGCATCTCCCCAAGTTTGTCTGCAACAGGCCGGATATACAGGAAGAGATCGAGGCTGAAATCGCAGGGGCCGTGGAGGGAATGTACGGGTTCTTCCTTGCCCAAAAAGACCAAGATCCTCCGCTGACACTTACCAGGTTCCTCCTAGCGCAGCTCTATCTCGACTCGCTGAAAGACAAGACTTCAGTGACGGAAATGAAATCTGCGCTGAAGAAATTCAGGAAGCAAAGCCAGCAAGGACCAGGAGAAGATGGGAAGCGCGACGTGTTAGAGCAAGCTTATGACCAAGCAGTGGAGAGAATAGACAGTCAGATGACGGGCTTTCGACTGCTTGGAAGGAAGACTCTATCATGGATCTGCTGTGCAAAGCGGCCGCTAACTACGTATGAGCTGCAGCACGCTCTTGCAGTAAAGACAGGGGATACCGAACTTGACAAAGACAATCTTCGAGGAATCGAAGACGTGGTGTCAGTGTGTGCTGGCTTGGTCACAGTCGATGAAGAGAGCAACATCCTCCGTTTGGTCCATCACACAGCACAGAAATACTTCGAACGAGCGCAGAAGGTTTGGCTTCAAGATGCAGAGACTGAGATTACGACAGCATGTGTCACATATCTTTCGTTCAACACATTTGAACGCGGGCCGTGTGTTACGGACGAGGAATTTGAGCAGCGACTGCAGCAGAACTCGCTCTATGGCTATGCGGCGCGAAATTGGGGGCATCATGCTCGAAGAGCGTCTCCACTGGTGCATGAGTTGATTCTGGGCTTTGTTGAGAGTGAAGCCAAAGTTTCTGCGTCCAGCCAGGCGATGCTGGCTTCGAAACTCTTTGGTGGAGACTCCGGCTATGCACAAAGAGTGCCGAAGCAAATTACTTGTGTACATCTTGCTGCATCCTTCGGACTATTGGAAACGATGATCTATCTTCAAAGCAGGCATAGTTTAGATGTCAGAGACTCTCGCGGGCGAACGCCACTATCGTTGGCGGCAGAGAACGGACACGAGGCCGTAGTCGATGTGTTTCTGGAGAAAGAAGGCGTCGACATCAACACCAAGGATTCTCAATATCGGCGGACGCCACTTTCTTGGGCTGCAGGAAACGGGCACCACGCGGTAGTTGAGCTACTCTTAGCCAAGGGCGGAATCGAACCAGACTCCGAGGACAGAGATAATCGGACGCCGCTATCGTGGGCAGCAGGAAACGGCCACGACAGTGTGGTCAAGCTCCTGCTCGGCAACGATAGAGTTGTCCCAGACTCCAAAGCCGCTTGGTTCCACAGAGGACGGACACCACTTTCATGGGCGGCTGTTAATGGGCATGAGGCAGTTGTCAAGCTGCTGCTCAAGACTGGGAAAGTTGACCCTGACGCCACAGACGATGATCGTCGGTCGCCGTTATCGCATGCGGCACAACACGGGCACGAGGCGGTAGTCAAGCTATTGCTCGCAACCGGTACAGTGGCCTCAGATTCCAAGGATTCCCACAACTGGACGCCGCTATGGTGGGCCTTGAAGAACGGAAACTTGCGTGTTTTGGAGGCACTGCTTGTGAATGGCCATGCCAACCCGGATGCTAAAAATATATATGGCCAGACGCCGCTCCTATGGGCAGTCGACAATAGGCAGGAGGCGGTGGCCAAGCTCTTACTCGAGAAGGGTGTTGACCTTGAGGTCAAGGACAGCAATGGCCTCACAGCGCTGTGCTTGGCGGCCCGCAACGGGGACAAGGCGATGATCAAGTTGCTACTCGGCCACAACGGAGTCGATGTGAATTCCGACGGCGTCGGTAGGACGTTGTTGTTATCAGCAGTCGATAGTAGGGACATGGCGATGGTCAAGTTGCTACTCGAGAAGGATGTTGACCTTGAGACAAAAGACAATGATGACCCCACGCCGCTGTGCTTAGCTATCAATAACAGGGACGAAGCGGTAGTTAAGCTCTTGCTTAAGAAGGATATTAACCTCGAGGTAAAGGATCACAATGGTTACACACCACTGTTGCAGGCAGTTATGAAGGGGCACGAGGTAGTGGTCAAACTCTTACTCAAGAAGGGTGTTGACCTCGAGGTACAGGATAGCGATGGCTGTACAGCGTTGTGGTGGGCAGTCGAAAATAGGAATGAGGCAGTGGTCATGCTCTTGCTCGAGAATGGTGTTAACCTTGAGGTCAAGGATAGCAATGGTAACACACCGCTGTTACGGGCAGTCCGCAATGGAGGCGAGGCGGTAGTAAAGCTACTGCTCGAGAATGGTGCCGATATGGAAGCAAAAGATGATGACTTTGGCTTCACACCACTCTTCTGGGCTATTGACCAGAGGTATGAGACGGTAGTCAAACTCCTGCTCGAGAGGGGTGCTGACGTCGAAGCAAAAGATGATGCGTTTGGCTTCACCCCACTGTTATGGGTTGTTAGCAATGGGGACGAGATGCTGACCAAATTGCTGCTGGAGAACGGCGCTAATCTCGAGCCCAAAGATAACAATGGCCTTACGCCACTGTCTTTGGCGGCCCTCAGGGGGGACGAGGGGGTGATCAAGCTACTCCTGGAGAAGGACGTTGACCTTGAGGCGAAAGACAATCATGGCCTCACGCCGCTGTTTTTAGCGGTCCACAGCAATAATGCGGGGGTGGTCAAGATCTTGCTCGAGAAGGGCGTTAACCTTGAGGTAAAGGATAGCAACGGCTACACGGCTCTAGGGTGGGCACTCGAGAAGGGGTATGCCGAGGTAGTCAAGCTGCTGCAAACTGAGCTACAATAGCTTACCCATGGATTTGTATCACCTTGGATCCTCTATATTTTTATCATACTATATTATATTTTACCCGTGACGTGATGTACCAGTGTTGCCTCACCCCATGTTCTGAGAGCGGTTTCAAATCCCCTATTGCTGCTATATGCTCTATAGACTCAATGCTATTTTAGATCTATTAAAGAGTACTGATGAGTTACTGCTGATCAATATCGGTCGTCAAATGACGGTACCTGCCAGTATGACTTCGTAATCCTAGTCGTTAACTCTAAGGGATGAGCAAAGGTGTTTGTATACCATCATGACCGGAAACAGCATCCCGGCGTTTCCAGTTCAATACTGCACCATTTGTAGGGTCCTGACCAGTGTGCAGGGCGAGATTTCGAGTCCTAAAACTCACGATCCAATCTATGTTGGAGCATACTACTCGTGCAATGTTGGAGACAGCTATTCACCAAGCACTTTACGCATGTGTGGTACCTTCTGATATTTGGACACACCGGAGGATACTGCATCCTACCAAACTGACCGAATACGAAGCCAGCATCCTTTTTCGCTTACTTCCCCTTCTATACCTCCACGAGCTTGATTCAGCTTAGTTTTACCGTTGAGCAGAAGCCACAATGGTCCCGACGGAATCGCCGAGGAATGTTGATAATCAACTGCCCAGTATCCCAAGAAGTCGGTCTCGGTCAACCGTACCGGTTACCGGGGTCTCCGGTTGGAACTGTTGGGCTTTCCTCTGTGGCGGCTCAAGACCCCGGCTATTTGATACTGCAATCGGAGCAACTTCCTATCATGACAGTGGACTCGCGTCATTCACATGGACCTTCCAAAACCACCAACTACACACCCGTGAAACAGGGGGCTCAATCTAACCCTCGATACGATGCAACCCTAGTGCCGACCCTTGCAGAATGCTCTGACCAAGCGGTGGATGCAACCCCGCACGGCGTAATGCCCCTGACCTTGTCATAGACTGTGGAGAGAAAGCCAGACAATCCGATAGGGTTACAGGCATTGTGGGTTCGACGGAGACCGGCCACGTGAAGTTAGCATTCCCTTCTGCCGTGCCATCGGGAGCAACCCTGCCGGTTGATGCCATGGACGATCGGCGGTGGTATTGACGGGTCCTTGTCTCCCCTGCCCGGTAGTGCATAGCGTCAACTGAGCCAAGCCAAGCATCCGAGGTCTCCTGCGTTTGGCACTCGGGGCCCCATTGGCCTGCGGCTCCTTCATCTCCGGAACGCGTACAGAAGTTGATCAGAGATGGACTCCATCAATGCTTACCTTGGCTGAGCTATGAACATGTCGTCAATGCAATGTCGTGGCCTGACCGAGTCTAGAACCTTGAACCTGGTCGACCACGCGTGACGATGGTTACCTCAATCCACCGCGATTTAGAAGAGGGACATATAAAGAGCGTGAGCCATGCCTTCACTGTCCATCACCTTTCATCAGTCGATAGGTCTCTACCCACTGTCATTCACTCTTTAATAACGGACCAGTCCGTCCTGTCACTCTTTTGATCAAAGTATCTGCATTGATCGCATAGTCTCCGCCAACTACAAGATGAGACACTTTTCTCTCTTTGGTCTTCTGGCCGCCCCGGCTTCGGTTTACGCCGTTGCCCTCACCGGCTATGAATACATCATCGTGGGATCTGGTGCTGGAGGTGGACCCCTGGCCGCGCGCCTCGCCATGGCCGGCCACAAGACTCTCCTGATCGAAGCCGGCGACGACTACAACAGCGTCAACTACACCGTCCCCGCCTACTCGGCCAATGCGTCCGAGGACCCGGAGATCTCCTGGAACTTCTTCGTGCAGCACTACGCCGATGACGAGCGACAGGCCCGCGACTACAAGGCCACCTACGACACCCCTGATGGCGAGTATACGGGTCTCAACCCGCCTGCCGACGCGACACTCAAGGGAACCTTGTACCCGCGTACACAGGCTCTGGGAGGTTGCACAGCTCACAACGCACTGATTGCTGTGTACCCTCACCAGTCCGACTTTGAGTACATCGCATCACTCACCGGCGATGACTCGTGGTCAGCCGAGAACATGCGCAAGTACTTTGTCAAGGCGGAGGAGAACCGATACCTGGCCGCAGGAGCCGAGGGCCACGGTTACGATGGCTGGCTGAGCACCGAGACGGCTCCTCTCAGCATCCCTCTTGGTGACTCCCAGCTCTTCACAATCCTGGGTGGAGCTACCGTCGCTCTGACCGAGGCTTCCGGCACCAACATCACTCTGGATGGCCTCATTTCTGGTGACGCCAACGCCGACACCCTGACTCGTGACCAGGAGGCTGGCTACTACCAGATCCCCTTGTCGTCTCGCGAAGCCAGCCGTATCGGACCCCGTGAGCTCATCCTCTCTGTCCGCGATGCTACCTTCAGCAATGGCACCAAGAAGTATCCTCTCGATGTCCGAACCAACTGCTACGTGTCAAAGGTGACCTTTGATGATTCCACACCGCCCCGTGCTACCGGCGTTGAGTTCCTCGACGGCAAGCATCTGTACTCGGCCAGCCCATTGTCTACTGGTGCCGCCGGCGAGCCTGGAAGCGCCACTGCATCCCGCGAAGTCATTGTTGCTGGCGGCGTTTACAACACTCCTCAGATCCTCAAGCTCAGCGGCATTGGCCCTGCTGAGGAGTTGGAGAAGTTCAACATCTCCGTCATTGTCGATCTCCCCGGTGTTGGCACCAACCTCCAGGACCACTATGAAATCACCGTCCAAGGAAACACCCCTGAGAACTTCACGGCATTTGATGGCTGCACATTCAGCCTCTACACCGACGAGGATCCTTGCCTTGACCGCTGGAGAGCCCCTGTTGACGGCGACCACGGCATCTACTCTTCTTCCGGCCTAGCTGCCGCCATGTTCTACAAGAGCAGCGCTGCGGCTCAAGACAATTTCGACATCTTCGCTTTCGGCGGACCTGTCAACTTCCGAGGATACTTCCCCGGGTATGCTGTTAACGCGACCATCAACCACGACTTCTTCTCCTGGGCCATTCTCAAGGCCCACCCGCGTAACACTGCTGGTGAGGTCGTCCTTCGCTCGGCTGACCCTCTCGACATGCCCAAGATCACTTTCAACTATTTCGACACTGGCAGCGGCGACTCATCCCTTGATCTCCAGGCCCTGTACGAGGCTGTCGAGCTTACCCGCAATGCCTTTGCCAGCCAAACCGTCAACATCACCGAGACCCTGCCCGGTGCCGATGTGACTTCTCAGGCGGACATCGAGACTTACATCAAGAACACTGCCTGGGGCCACCACGCTTCGTCGACTTGCCCCATTGGCACTGATGACGACCCGATGGCTGTTCTCGACTCCAACTTCCGCGTCCGTGGTGTCGATGGCCTGCGCGTCGTTGATGCGTCCGTGTATCCTCGCATTCCCGGTACCTTCACCGCTGTGTCTACCTACATGGCCGCTGAGAAGGCTGCCGACGTCATTCTGAGTGCGTTGGAGGAATAGAGTGAGAGGATGAGGGTTTTGTGGCCAATAATGAGGCCGGGGAGAGTTAGCTGTAATGAGAGGCTGCGTTCAATACACAGATTTATATAAAAACGCGTTCCAGTGACTTCCTTGCATGATGCATGCCTATCCGATCGGTTGTTCTAATCTACTAAAGGAATTGCGACGGATAACATTCTAATACGTCATTCAAACCCTACACATTGTTCACAGGTAGCAAAGTGATAGTGGATAGTTACAAAGTTAGAGACCGAATGGTTGACCTGGAAGATGAAGGCAAGGATAAATTCGGGTATGGTGCTAAAACTGTACCTCCATTATTTGCAGCACTGCCTATCTACGATACGAGTACAGCGAAGACAAAACTACATACATGTTTCAAACAAACTCAGACCAGACCCTAATAAGTACCAGATACGACCTCACGAGCGATAACTGAGTACCACACCCACACAGTTTGTTACATATTTTCTGTCATAAAATACTATTAATAAATAGGGACTACCCACCAGGCATACACAATGGATACTATAACCTCCATTCCCTCCTTGCCTTCATTCTTCCCAGTGACTCCCTCCTTTGTTGATCCATACCCTTGGGGATCGCAGCTCCTCCTCGCTCTCATTGGTTCCCGCTTGTGACACCTTGACCTCCCATTTCGTCTCTCGTTTGATACCAACGTTAGACTCGCTTGAAGAGCTCAAGTTGAGACCAGTCTTCTTCGCAACAGCGGCTTCCTCACGACTGACGGATGAGAGGGTGTAGGCTTGGCGTGAAGAGAAGCCGTTTTGGGTGCTAGACCCGGGCATGCGCGGTGATGACCCGTAGTCTGACGGGCGTAGTGATATAGGCTTGCTGGTGAGTCCGAGACGGAATGCTGCCAGTTTTATCAGTGGCCGTAAGGTTGCCAGACTGCCAGCAGTAATAGCCAGTCCCTGCTCAACTGTGGACCAGATTGCAACATCCAAAGTGTTCCCTGGCAGTAGTTAGTGCACTGTCCCATAAACAGCCCAGTGTCGTAGGAGTGGAAACATACAGAGAAAATCTGGCTTTTTTAACAGTGGTAGGTATGGGAAGCGGGCAATCACTGCCGAGCTTGCGCTATGTCTGTCATTAGTATTTCAGAGGTCCGGAGTCAAGCACTAGAAAGAGTGCAGCAAGGTGTGACTTACACGCATCCCATGGCCAGAAGAGGTATCAACGACAGTTTAGTTCGTTTGTGGAGTTGCAGCTGCCATACAATGATTCCGGGAAGAAGGGCGAATATCAAATCGGAAATAACGGCGAAGACGCTGTAGAGAGTTGCCAGGGCTATAATGATGTCGGCGTTGACGCACTTTCCGTCCAGAGTCTTGTTCCAAAAATATGCAACAGGGTGGCACTGGAACAGCGTGACGAAGAAGAAGATGCCACCAGAGAGCGCAGTCGACATCATGGCAAGGTAAATCGTCCATCTTTGGAGCTTGTTCGTGGTGAATCGCAGCAAGAAGAAGCCGATGGAGGATTTACACGATATCATCGCCATGGAGTACCAAAGATAACAAAACCACCAGCACTGTATGAGAGTTATAGCGGGGTCGAGGCAAGTCGTGGGATGGGGTTAACCTACCATCATGGCGATTTGGATATTCTCCGTTTCGAGATCGGCATGGTGGCGTCCAGTTCCGAAGTGGATGCCTCTGGTCGAGAAAGAGGCGTACAAGGTAAAGAAGATCTAAGGGTTGACCGAGTTAGATTCGGCGAGGGAATCCTGGACAGATGACGCGAGAAGGAGATGGACATACCGTTCCAATAAGCATGAGCCAGTCATCTTTTCCGAATGCCTTGACCATGAACCAGCGGACGTAGCATCGCAAGATGATGGAGATCAGAGCGGCAGTCAAAAAGGTCACATTGACCGCCAAGAGCTGCGGTCCTCTATCCTCGATCGTTGCTGCCATGACAGGCGAATTGTCGTCGTGAGTAGAATCACCACATGCAGATTCCAAGAGCGTCGAGGCCTTCCTGAGTCCTACCAGTCCGGTAGTCTACGAGATGTGGGCATCTTATGTGAAACTCAATTCTTCAGCCCCGACGCCGTTATCTGTCGCGATGGGAAGGGCCCTTAGGCGCGGGGTAATATAAGTGGCACTATGCGACGTTTGCGGTGCTGCCGGCGCGGTGGCAACCGGTTGAAGAGGCCCAAACAGGATGGACAAACGTGGGAGAGATGCCCCTGTAGGGAGGTGTCAAGAGCACTCACGAGCCGAGGCAACGCAGCAATGGGAGGCCTTGGCCAGGTGCCGAAACTAACTCCTGCGTTGGAACCCTGTAATTAACTCCCGGTCCTAAACATTTGCCCCTGAGCGAAGAGAAAGCTCCGAGAAATCCTCGACTAGGCCGTCTGTGCGGGTTTGATCGCTTAGGTTCGTACCGAGGGATCGCCGGCTAGTATATACGCAATATGATCGCATTGGGAAGCACCATGATGCTAGTGCGAGTGCTGGTTGGATTGGGGATGTCCTCCGACCAGGATGCAGCCACTTCGGAGCATTGGTAAGGAGTTGGTCAGGAGCGGGTCCGAACCAGAGGGCGTTATGTCCGACCGGCAAACCGGTTCATGCCAAAGCCCCCGGCTGAAAGATCATATCACTTGGCGTGTACTGCCCCCTTGGGTCTGTGTCGATCATGTGCTTGATGTGCTTGACGAAAGATTGGCTGAGGGCTGGTGAAACGCCCCTAATAGTGCGCTAAGTCAAGGCTTAGCTTGCCAATGGCTGCTCAGGGGTATATCAACGTTTGCTTTAAATGACATCTTTGGTATAATTTGCGGGAATTTCCGTTTGTTCATTATTCAAACTGCTATTAAGACGACCCAGGCCCTTCGTGTGTGCGTTGCATCTTCCACTCCAAGCCATGTTGACCTGCAGCTGTGTCCGCGGCCTCCGTCAAGACACCGCGGACACAGTCAGAGTCGCCAAGGATCCGCGGTTTCTACTGTGGGGACTAGAGGGATGGATATCCCCTGCAAATACAGTGGGCAGATTCCCAGCCCTTGCCTTGTGTCAAGTCTGTCAGCCAGCGAAATGGAACGCTCCACAATGCAGAGCTCCAGTGCACATCCATGATGTACCGTAACATCCTCAACGGCTCCGAGCAGCTTAGTGTGAAGGATCCCACTTTATTCTGTGATATCCACAGATACGCGGAATACAATTGGCCACCCCGACATTTCATGCAGCGCTGGACCGGAGCCGTTGAGATTTTATGGTGCCCTGACACCTTGGCTTAGCTGTAAGGCTAGCTTATCTCCTAGACGGCACTTGAAGAAGCCGAGTCCCCTACCCTATACAACCATGACAAAATTACAAATACCAACACTCCACTCTGGCCGCGTCAGATGGAGTCATTTGGGATAATCAGCTTACTCTACTTATTTACGAAACCAAAATAAATGTACTGGATGACATCCGCTTGTGCATGGCGCTCAATGGGGCGGGAACTGGTTCGCAGCACCAACTAACCAGTGTCAATTACTTCAAAACCAAAACTTGCTCGCAAAGGCCCATCAATGCACTCTTATCGGGAATTAGCAGTCTGGCAGAATATTAGACCATTCTGTCATACTAACCCGTCACTCTAATTCCTGGGTTGGCTATACAATAGGAACATTGTGCCTGGCGACGGAATATTCCGTGTGCATGCTAATTCACCGTCACCACCCGGTCAAGTCACGGACGCCATCGACCCCGTAAGAACAGGAGGGACCAATCAAATTAGCTAATTATGACTTTGTTGCGGTTATCAGTGGAAATATGGAGACGATAGAGGCGCTACTCGCGCGGGTTCACCGAGTTTGCGTGGTGCAGTTTTATTCTGCTGACCAGGTTGGCCGAGAGTCATTTCGGACCGATTCGTAGCTATTTCCATGCCCAGAGCCGGTTGAGCCCACTTCATGGGACTTCTCTTGGCAAGGATCCACGTGGCAGATCTGTGTCAGCTTACCGGTGGGTTGTCCTGAATTTAACACGGCAGTAAAACAAGAGTCAGTCATCCAAGACTGAGTAATAGCAACTGTTCACTCCTACAGATATCCTACATAGTACGATCGTGTGGATGCATGCTACAGTGGAGAAGATTGTACATCGTTGACATTTGTCTGGGTATTGCAGCTGTGTGGTCGTGCCAAGGCCGCTGTACAAAGGCTCAAGTAGAAAAACGAACCATAAATTGATGAAGGCGTACCATAGCTAATCTCAGAAATTGCGCCATCCAGCCCCATGTGCTTGGCAAACCTTTCATGCAGGAATATGACACTAGTCGTAGTGTACAACTGTTTTCAGAGAAGGCGTCGCTGTGATGAACCCCTCACAGACTGAAGTTGGGGTGACGTATACAGTTGTAGTGACGTACGTGACATTTGCTTCGTTGTCAGCCTCATCACAATCTGGCGTTGTCGTGACGTATGCAGTTTCGGTGACGTATGTTGCTTCTGTGACGCTGGCTTTGTTATCAACCTCCTCACAATCTGGCGTTGTCGTGACAACAGGACCACTGTCGAGTCCTGTCTCGGATGGAGTAGCGTAGACAGGGGTACTCATTGAGAGTGTACTACCGTCGGTTGACGTGATTTCCTCTAGGCATTGAGTGAAAGTTGGACCAGTGAAAATTGTAGTCGACTTGGTGGGAGCAATGTCCAAAGTGAAGTTGTCGAGGTCAACATCAGCTTCGACATAGGCCCCGGCGTTGATGTTCCAGGACTCTGTAGCTTCAAGCGCACACGTCTCATTGTTGTCATCATCTTCGAGAGTGATGACGGTCTCGAAGAGATTGAGATAGACGCCCACTACGGCGCTCGACCCAATTCCAACAAGCTTAGTATTCACACCAAGCTCGGAACGTAGCCGAAGCGAAACCTTAAGTGTTGTGGAGCCACGAACGACATCCCATGCCAGCATTTGGCTTTCTGCGCCGTCGCTTAGGATATTATTAGTGACGAATTTGAGAGGTGATTGCACCGCAACTCACAAATTGGCGTCAACAACATCGCCAGTCAAGCTTGCAGCAATCCATGATCCATCGGGGATGGTAAACTCGAAACCACCTGTCGCCTCTAGGTCGCCGAGAACCGAAATCGCCAATTCGATGTAAAAGCCGAGACCATACGTGGCTTGAGCGCCCTTTGATGAAGAGTCAGCACCTAGCCATGATCTTGGCTAAGAGACTTACAGGTACACTGATGCCGCCGATATTCCACAAGGGAACGGTCACTTCGCTGCCAGAACCACCGAGAATGTTGAGATCGACATGGGCTGTGGTTTGAGAGAAAGATATTTTGAGATCTGATTTCCAAACATCAAATCTTTCGTCAAACTGTGCTCGAACACTTCCTGAAAGCTGACAACTGGTGCAGTTGACTTCCAAGTTGTTTGGGCTCACATCACTAAAATAATGTCCGTTAGTGAAGCATCATAGGACCGGAGAAGGACACTCACATGTCAATGATGGAGGAATCTACCGCAGACCAGCTGAAGGATTCCGTATGATCAAGATCCCTGCGGACGAGCTCCGTCGGGACTGATGGGGTGAGTTTGACATCATCTTGGGGGAACCTATAAATGGTCCTTGCAGTTGTCGCCGCCGTCAGCAGCGCCAAAATCAATCCAGATAGTTGAGGATGCATGTTGAGTAGAGTGGTGGATTGTAGAGCAGTGAATTACTCAAACGAATGAATCAACGGAAAAGAAGGGAGAATGAATCAATCCAAGGAATAGAAGAATGGAGAAGAATGGAATTTGTCGATGTTGATGCTATCTACAAACTGACAGCAGAAGCAGAGTAGATATACTAGACGGACAGCACGCAATGGCCGCGACTTGGGAACCCATCTTGCGTTGGTTACTCGTGCACTCGTTTCATGGCCAACTTGTAGGAGTACATTGCATATGCATTCCTAAGCGCCGTCAATGAGGCTGGGACCGTCCTGGTGCTATTTCTGGTCAAATCGTCCCTGTGATTCGTCCCCACGCGCGATTCCTGCAGGGATAAGACAGCTGGACCGTCATACGAAACCCAAGCCCCGTATATTTCGTGGCGCAATCCAATAATCAGTCGCAACGCGGCGTTGCAGTGCACTTGGTCGGGTGGTGGCCGATCCTTTGGATAAGCATGGTGCACCATTTCAAAATCAGCCTTACGCGTTTGAATTCCCGTTGTGTATGCCCTCAGTTCTTCGTTCGGGGACCGGTAAGCGCGTACAGAAAATGCCGCGTCCTGGGGCCCAGGACTTGACCTGCATGAATTGCGAGGCTTCGAGATAAGGTAGATGTAGGGAAGAAGTCTCAGCTGTGGGACAACGCATTGGTGAGAGTTTGCGGACTCTTACAGCGCACATCGTGGCTTTCAGGATTCTTCTTCGCACTCCCCATCAATTACTCAACCTCTGCACATTACTCGTCCCGTCATGTCCCCAAATCTGCTGCCCGACTGCGCCGCTGCTAGAAGCTCAGCACCGCAGAAATTGGGGGCGAAATGTAAGAGACTAGGACGCAAGCGAGAGTCTGAATAAGCGCTGCGCAAAACAACACAACCAACAGCAAAATGCACAATCAATCAAAGAGCGGCCTGTCGAACCACAGCTGCAAGACTGACAGGGACTAACTAGCGGGCCGAGCCTCCTTGACCTAAGCCCACCTCGTGAGCCGCAGCCTGCATCGTTAGTTGGCTCTTTGGTTCGTTGCCTTATTCTTGTTCTTGCTTGTCTCAAACCCAGCATTCCTACGTCAACCGAACCCAGTGGTAGAAAGGCGGTGGGAAAACAGCAGGGAGAGTAGAGGCTGAAGACAGTCGGCAGGTAAGAAGCGATAGCAAGTGGGCTTTTCTTTACGCGAACCTCTAAAAATGAATGACAGCCGCAGCTTATTTTTCCTCCTCCAAGGCTTTGCAAGTCTGCTCTAAGTGTGGCCATTGCCTGCCGAGCCAAGGTCCTGCAGCCCCCACCTCCTGCAATACTGCCACAGCGTCTGTGGTCTTTAACTCGAGGCCTTACTAGGCACTTTAAAATACGCCTAATGTCTGAATCTTCTGGCCATTCTGCGGCCTTTCAGGAACAGCTTATGCTGCGGCCAGAGTCTTCCCCAGAGAAATGTTGTTACAAACTTCACTACCAGCCTGCTTTGAGGTACATATGTGTTGGCCGGTCACTGGATGGAATGACCTACCCCTGGCACTCAAGGCGCCTCGCAGGCTTGTTCATTTGCTCTCTGCTTGGTTGTTCTTTCTTGGCATTTAACAAGTTGTTTTGGTCCTCACCGTCAGTTCGGCCGCATGATTGCTGTCCGTTCTCCTGCACGGTGCTGAGTCTCTTCAGCATGATTGCTCCCTCTAGCGCTTGCACTTTCATCACAATTTCACTAGTTCTGACCATGCTATGATTGACGCGCGTAGACTGAGCGCTCTTGATGTATGAGTATGGATGTTGCCTTTCATTGGAGTTGTGGGTTTTGCCATCTTTGTCAAGGACTTTCTTGCTTCTGAATTCGGGAATTGCAGGCCCCGGTGCGGTTGTTGACGGATTGTTAGCAACTACCGGGGCGCGTTACTAGACACAGGTGACCATTTCACCCTAAGAGAGGCTACTGGCGGTTCTCGGCCACGGTGTTTAGATGTGACCTCAGTCTTCATTTTCCATTGACTAAGAAGTGGTGAGTTCAGAACACATCGCGTTTGTACTGTGATGTATCACCGTCGCCCAATTTGCTTGCGTCACAATCACACTCACACGTGCAAATGGAATGCCCTTGAACAGCAGCATGTCGAGTAGTGTGCAAATTCTTGTTGGTATATCTGAGGAATGTAAATCTAAATCGCCGGCGCTGTGGGGTCTGCAGCGACCTCTTCTTTCACTGGACGTGCTCAGTGCACCCGACAATAGCATTCCTGAAGCTGGCCCGGCCAACGCAACTATAACCTTTAGTATGTCGCTCAATATTTTGGCTTATTCTGACTTATTACTTTGGCTTACTTTGGCTTATTCTGGCTCACTTTGGCTTATTACAACTTTTGCTCCTTGGAATAGTGATGACTAACGATGGTCTCACGCTGTCGGCCGAGTCGGCCGACAGCAGTGGGACGTCTCAAACTCCGCCAAGGGAGTTTTCAACTCCGTTAAGATTCGTACAACTCCGCTGTGACTAATCCTTGAATTCCCGCAGGTATATATGAGATCGCAAGGCCCTTTTGTTGAACTGGAAACTGTCATTGATCAGGCCCTAGTCCATCCGCTTACCGCTGACCCGTACCATCCCTCACTATTCTCAACCCTCTATTCTCGCCACCATGAAAATACTCATTGTTGGTGCGAGTGGAATGATTGGGAACGAAGTTCTCATTCAGTGTCTCGCTCATCCAAGAATATCGAGCGTCGTCGCGTTTGTGCGTCGAGAACTTTCAGCTCAAGTATCTGGCCACCCGAAGCTTGAGTCTGTTTTTATCAAAGATTTCTCAGCCTGGCCGGAAGATGTACTACAAGCACACGCAGACGCCGCTGCTATGATTTGGTGGGTTTGAGAAAAATACGCGGCTTTCGCAGCGATAATTTAGGTACTCGCTACTAATTGACTGTCTTTAGGAATATGGGATCCTACAATGGCAGCGTTGCGGTCGATTTGGAGTATCCCATTGCCTTTCAAGAAAGTATGGCGCGAGTGTTGGAAACGAAAGACATCACATCGCGATTCAGATACGTCATTTTGGGCGGCAAATTCGTACGCCAAAACCAAGAGCAAAAGTTGTGGTTCCTAGACAAACCACGCAAGATCAAGGTACGGTCTAGTTATTATGAGTATTCCAGATCTAACATTATTTTAGGGTTTGCTTGAAACAAGAGCACTTTCATTTGCAGAGAAACATGCAAGTATGTGGGAGGCTTTCATCGTTAAGCCAGGAGGAGTTGTACCGAAGAAAGTGATGGGTAGTGGCGTGCTTGGCGTGTTTACTGCGATGGGGGCGGTGATGGGCGAAAATTGGTCCATCCGAATTGATGAACTCGGTGCGTTCATGACGTATCTTGCTATCGATGGCAAGGGAGAGGACTCTATCACTGAAAATGCGCACATCGTGAGAAAAGGACGGGAGCTTTTGAAATCCCAAAACGGTGGATCTGAGTCCTAGTGAATGCTGAGGATAGGCCTCAGTAAGACTTGTGTGGATATTTTGTGCCCGATTCTTTTCCTTCTACAAGACGGTGTCATCAAAGAACAAGTACGTCTGCAAGATGGCAAAGCAATAATGGTGAAGCGTCAATCTCAATTACAGGATATTATTCCAGCCCAGTCGAATCTATTAAATCATCAATATCAAGTCCTGCCTGTATTTGTGATAGCCCTTGGGTATGTTTTGACACAACCGACGGTGATCGTTTGGTTGCGAAAAACAGGCTGATAAGGCGCGAGGCTGGACTATCTGGGTCAAGTGCCGGCTGGATGGAAGACGTGATGACATCTTCCATTCCAGACTTAGCCATGCTTGCATCGAATTCAATGGCGACAGCAAAATCGACAGGTGTCCCGGTTGTCAAGGAAGTGTTAGAATCAGAGGTGGGGTTGCTTCTTCTAAACAATTCGTTTTCCGCGTCTGCAGCAATGTCTAACAGGGTGGTGAGAATCTCAGCACTCTGTCTTGCTACGTACTCCCTGACGCACCCTTGTCCAATTGCCTCAAAGCAGTCGATGACTTGCTCAAGCAGGGCCCGGTCTGAATCATATTTCGAAGCGGTCGAGTCCATGTTGACAAATTGATGCTGTACTTTGGCAAGGAGAAGAACGATCGAGGCTACAGACGCCGACTGGTCGACGGATCTGCAACGGGACAGCTGATCCTTGGCATATTGCAATCCAAGGTAACGATGAAGTGTGATCCTGCATGCCTCCATACAGTGTTGGAGGCTGGTGGACGAGTCATCCATAGTCCTTCCAAACGCAATGGGCATGTGCGCAAATATTCGGGCTTGGAAAAACCACAACTGGCATATAAGACGATTAGGATCTTTCGACGAATCAAGAGATCGACCTTGACTAAAGGATGGGACCCTCCACCAAGAAGGCGGCAATGAGTCCTGTAATCTGTTCAATGCTTCATCTATTTCTTGGAAGGCTTGGCGGTCCTGATGAAGGCCAGCGGCGTTTCGCTGGGCAATGCGTGCCACAATGAGACAAATCCGGCGCTGGACATTGGCTTCACCGTCGGAGAGCGGATCGTTCCAGGCATCGTCGTCAGGACCAAACGGCGCGTAACCGATTCCAGGTTCAAGGCCGAGGAGAAGGCTACAGTAGCAGTCGCCACAGGCAGTAGATAGCCACAGGCGCCGACTAAGGCCGATATCGCTACAAGTCGAGTTGCGTGCGGAGAGTGAAAAGCTATTCCGGAGCCCTTTCAACCGTGCTATATCAAGGGTTCTCCTAAAGTTCATCCACGCCTTTCGAATCGCGCCGTCGTTGAGTTGAGTTAAACTTAGTAGAGTTAAGCATTCTATGCCGTCGAATGAGCATGCCTTATCTTCGTCGGAAAGGATGAATGACTTGACTCTCTCGACAATCACTTCAATGGTTTTTCCGACGCTTTGAGATTGCATAAATTGAACGTCGAAATTGCCTGGGAGTTGTTGCATATATAGCGCAAATAGAAGCAATGTTTTAGCGACATGCATGGCGTTGCCTTTCGAAATGGCAGTAATGTCGAGAAGCTCGAGTGTGTCGCTCGGCTTCAGGACGCTACCAGGAGGGCTTTCCGCACCCCAGAGCCAAGCGGTAGTGTTTGTGACTATGGAAACTGCATCTTCTGCAGATGGTAGAAGGGCCACGAGTAACTGCTTAGCATCTGGTGTATCCGGCAGAACAGGGCTGTGATCGGCGACGAGAGGAAGAGTTCCATCAGTTGTTGGATAAAGGAACTAATATTATGTAAGTAGTTGGAAATTTGAACTTAGATTTCATTAGTGAAACCTACCAAATCGTTCCAAAGAGAAGACGGAACAGTTGACTCGGGAGCGAGTGAGCCTGAAACCGACTGGGACGGTTGCTGGGCCTCAACCAGCCTATTCAAAAGCAGCTCAATGCGTTCCAGCCTCAGCTCATGGTCCTGTTTATTGGGATGGGCGGGAGAGCTGTCGTTGCTTAATTCACTTTCAGGTTGTTGAAGGGTACATCGAATGTTGCTTTTCACGCACTCGGCGCATGTCTCAACGTCCTCATCGGTGAGCTGACATTTGACCTTGCGCTTTCTACCTGATGAGGTGTTAGCCGAGAGTGAGGCCACATCCAAGGCAATTAAGCGTACATTGATAGCAGCTCCGAGTGCTTCGTCGTAAGCGCTTGCGGGATGGGCCTGACTCCATGTTGCATTCCCACTTGATGTTGGAGAAGAGGAAATTGTTTAGTGGCCGAACATGGTTTCTTTATCATGATCGCTGCTGACTAATAAGAGGCGGTCACTCAAAGAGCGGGGCATTCCTTACCCGGTGGGTTGACTGAGACATTAGGTCTCCCCTGGACTGTTGATAAAGGAAGATGGGAATAGTGTTGCTGCTATTTCAGAAAGAAGAGGCGAGAAAGGGCGTTAGCCTACCCCTAACTGGATCGGGCTCCAGCAGTTTATCTTCTACAAATTGCAAAAGTAAACCCGACCGGTACATCTGCTTCATGACGGTGGAAGTTGGTTGAGTAACCATAATTCAGTTTGGTTAGTATATGATTCCTAGCCTCAAAATCGCCAGTAATGGATCCCCGGCCGGAATTCCAGAAAGAAATATCGGAAAACATACCGTTGTTAGTTATATTTGCACTGAAATTACTAACGTCTTCCAGATCCCAGCGCATAATTAGACCAGCAAGGAATTTAGTGCCACACACAAGCAGCTCTATATTTTCTAAAGCTACCGATCTCTAAAGCTTTCTCTCAAAATCTTGTAGATAACTCACGCGAGCAAGCGACCGCAATCAGAAACAAGTACGGAACCAGTGATCCCACCGTCCTTCATAATGTACACATATGCCTCTGCTATATCCTCTGGTTTGCTGATTTGCTTGAGAAGAGTCTGCTCCGTATACATATCAATGTACTGTTGAGGAAGCGTAGCAAGCATCTCAGTGGAAACTGGTCCTGCAGACACAAGATTCACGCGGACGGGAGCGAGATCAACAGCCAAACCCCTGACTAAACCCTCCAAAGCCGTACCAGCCATCGCAGGAACTGCCCAACCCTTCACAGGCTTGTGGCCGCTTACTCCGTTTGTGAAGGTGAGCGATGCGTGTGCCGAGCGCGAGAGGTATTCAGTACCTGCGAGGACTTTGGCTAGAATCGACGCTGAGTATGAACGAAGGCGCAGCCACTTGAAAATGTCGTCTGGCGTGATGTCGGTGAGACCGGGACCACGATGCGCATCATCCGCTGTATAGACGATATGATCCAGCTTGATGTCACCGCCCTTCGTTATGTCGCGGAGCAATTCTTCGAGTCGCAAATCAAGTGTGTCAACGTTGGCGAGGTCGCAAACAGCAGTTGCGATTTGATCGTCTTTGATGACATCTCCGTAAGAGGTCTTGAGCTGCGCGACGGCGCGGGCTAGGCGATCTGCATTGGAGCCGGATAAAACAACATTGGCCCCGTGTTCGATGGCGGCCTCAGCGACAGCAAATCCAAAGCCAGAGCTCCCGCCGAAAATCAGAATGCGGTTTCCGCGGAGTTTGTGAATGTACTTAAAAGAAGACATTGAAATGGCGTAGACAAGCTGGATAATAAACAAGGTACAGTAACGATGTGATGTGATACTGGGTAAACATCCTAATGAATTGCGTTCAGTAAAATATTTATATCAGAGAGGTACCGAATGGTTCACGAATCAAATCTAGATATGACCTAAAATGGGGCTCTCCGCTCTAAGTCCGCACCTTGCGGTCTGTATTGGTAAGTCTTTTTGATACGAAAACGCAATGCCGCGCGATTACGACGTGCGCGCGGAGATCTGACCAGAGGCTAGGGGCTTTCCTCGCCTGGTTTGATGATATGGTCCGGTATGTACTCCGCCGAATTGGTAAGCCGTTGACTTCTCTCCACGGATCGCGCGCCTTCTCTCACGTCTTCCCTTACCATCCCCATCCATTTCCATGTGTCCCGCGCGATGCGTGGGGGTTGAAATCTCCATCTACACCCTGCGTTCCAAGCGTTTCCAGCGACAAGAAAATTATTAATCAATTTCAAAAAGGGTTGCTTTTTTTTTTGAAGAGCTTCTGAAAAATCATTTGGGCCAGAAGGATAAATCCCACTGCTGCGGCGACTTGATGTGGCACAGTCTATCGGGTTTGCTATTTACGTCCTTGGAAGGTGATTCCTGCTTCAGATGGCAAGCGATCCTGGGGGCCAAAAAAGAGGAGTTTGAGGCAACTGACGCATTAAATCGCGGAAGGCGTTGGATGAGCTCTCTAGTCTTCAACAGATTCTTTAGCGCCAAGAGCTGCTTCCGAGCTCGATAGTTATTACAGATGAGATTTAAGGGAGAGAGCTTGAGATATAAGACAGAAGGAAGTCATTTTAATAAATGATGGAGTTAAATATTGAGTATTATATTTAGTATCTTATTATTACTATAAATTTCTTCTATTTCAAATGCTATTTATATATAATCGCTGAGTTTTCGTCCTGAAAGATTTGTTAGATTTCACTCATTAAAATCAGCACTTCAGTAGTTACTAAATTTTCCTCAAAGAAAAAGAATAATTTTAATATCCGCTCTTACTCCCTAAACCAGATCAAACTAAGAACAACCAAAAAGAGCGCGGTGCCTCATTTGGATAGACTGTGACACTATCGGGTTCTCGGGTGCATTGCAGACTCCAGGTTATGACACACTCCAAAAAATTATACAAGAGCCGGGTTTCTTTGCAGTCCGTCTTGCCGAGGCCTTATACAGCCACAATCAGGTCGCCCATCCTTTATGCCATCCTGTATTCATTGACAAATCCGTTCCACATCCATCGCAATATCTAGGATTTCATCTATACTAGACTCACACAATGTCTTCCAATCCACCTCAACCTCTTCATTTCAATGGACGAGTTGCAATCGTCACAGGCGCCGGTCAGGGAATGGGGCGTGAGCATGCCTTGTTGCTCGGAAGCCGAGGTGCCACTGTCATTGTCAACGACCTATTTCCTGACGTCGCAGAGTCTACGGCCAAGGATATCCGAGATGCCGGCGGCAAAGCAGTCGCAGTGGCTGGATCTATTGCAGAGCGAACGGTTGCAGAAGCTATACTCAAAACAGCCATCGACAAGTACGGCCGCATTGACATCCTAATCAACAACGCGGGCATTGAAATCAAGAAGAGTTTTCCTGATTTCACCGACAGTGATTTCTCTCGAATGTGGGGGGTGCATGTGTTGGGTGCTTGGGTTCTTACCCAGCTTGTCTGGCCTCACATGAAGACGCAAAAGTATGGTCGCGTGGTGATGGTATCCTCGACGTCTCTTTTCGGGATGCCCGACAACGCAGCCTATGTTGCCTCCAAAGGGGCTCTTTTTGGCCTGGCAAGGTCCCTGTCAATTGAAGGCGCTGCCCACGGTATTCTGGTCAACTGTCTAGGGCCGACAGCTTACACAGCCATGGCCAGGCAGATGCTTGATGACGAAACGCGAAGTGCGTGGATGGAAAAGATATTTCCCGCTTCCGCGACCTCTGCAGTTTGTGCTTGGCTTGTCCATGAGAACTGTCAACTTACTGGGGAGTTTATCACAAGCTATGGCTGCAGCGTCGGACGAGTGTTTCTCGCGGAGACAAAGGGTGCCTTCTGCTCAACTGGAGACTACACCCCAGAGACTGTACGAGATCATATGGACGAGGCGCGCAATACAGAGGGTTTTATAGTACCCACGTCCGTGGACGAACAGATTGAAACTCTGCTTAGTATGCGGCAGGCCAAGGCGGCAGGCCAAGGGGAGTGAGTCAGAGAAACCGGCGAGAGGAGATTGAAAAAACTCGTTGTCATTTTCTTCTTCACAATGTAAGATCTAGCAAATGACTCGTTGAGTGAATTGGGCCTGAACTGTGATGGTTATGGCCATGAATCTAATGCAGCATGTTCACCTGCTCTCTCACCAGAGAAAACACGATCTGCATTTGTCAGCGAAATGGCGGAACGCGTGGGATTTTAGGTAGCGTCCGCGCTTCGCGCGCGTTCCACGGAATAGTTGGATAAACAAGCGAATCGCCTCCCCCAACACACTCAAACGTGGCAACCAAACCTGAGTTCCCAAGAATCAATCATGGAGAGCCAAAATCAAAGACGGAAAGTCGTCCCACGAGCCGTGAGTAGAAAGAGTTAGCTGTTTCTACACCCTGACGCTAAGCTCATGCATCTAGTGTCGAAATTGCCGTACTCGCAAGGTACTTGGTTCCAAGGCGAAGCCTCCAGGCTGGACAACCATCCACAAGCTGACCGGTTTCAGATACGATGTAACCGCGAGAGTCCTTGTTCTAATTGCATCACGTCTAAAATTTCCTGCCCCGACACGGGAAGCACTATTCCACAGCCATCGCCTACTCCTGGACTTAGCAGGTAGAGTTCCACCGGCACACAGGAGAACAAGGGCACTAATTCTCGCTCCCCAGAGGCGATGAGAGCGTTGACAGTCTCACCGACAGAATAAGTGCTCTCGAAAATGCCTTGCGTGACCATCTGAGGCCTCGCAGTACCGTCACTGACCAACAGACTCCAACGCGATACGATGCCCAGGACGAGCAGTTTGCATCTTTTGAGGGGAACTCTTCTTTCACACGGCAGACGCGTTTAGCATGCCAAATCGATGAACTTGATGCAGCTAGCGTATCTCTGTCGCCTAGTGTTATCAACGAGCTCGCTACTCTGCGAGGCGGCTTGGAGCACCAAGGACTGGCACAGGAAACTGGCAGACAACATCCGTCCTTCGCAGAACAGGCGCCCAAAATGAAGTTACCGCCTTCTGATTTTGTACTTCGCCTGTTGCGCTGCGTATCAGGTGAGTATGCTTCCTGCCGCCACCCGTCAGGCCTAAGTTGATGAAGCGGACGTGTAGATAAAGAGTCGATATTGGTGTTGTTCTATCCTGTCGAAAACCTTGCGCAAGTGGAAGACTTGTGCCGCCGGGCGTATTTTCCCATTTCCCCAATTCAAACGGGGGAGCTTGTTCTTCTGAACGGAATGCTCAGTGTTCTTCTAAGCGAGCTCATGCATTTCCCCCAGCCTGGAATTTGCCCTGAGGAGGTAGAATATGCTCATAACATTTGCATGGAAAATTTCGAGGCTGGCATTGAAACATATGAAGTCATGGCTGTTCCTCGATATGAAAATGCATTGGCTCTATGCATGGCGGTATTGACCCCTTCCAATCTTCATCGAGTTTACGGGACTAATTTTAGGTACAGGCGTTAAAAGCACAAATGAATGGCAATCTGCTTCTGCAAAGAAGACTAGCGTCAGCCGCAGCCAACCATTGTTGCACCTTGGGATATCACCAGGAAGCCATGGTCTCGGGGGCCACTGCTCAAGAATCAAATAGGTTTCGTCAATTGTTCTGGCACGTCTACTTGTTAGACAAAAGCCTTGCGTTGAGCCTTGGAAGAGCCCCGATCATTCAGGACTATGATGTTGATGTTCAGCCGATTGTCGACTCTCACGACCCTAGGCGCTCACCCTGGGACGCGGCGTTTTCTTTGTTTGTTGAATTTTCAATGATTCAGGGCGAAATCTACCAGAAGCTTTTCTCCCCCTCGACCCGCAGACTCGGCGATGAAGCCAGACAAGCTATAGTGGACGAGCTTTCTAAACGGCTTAACGCTTGGCATGAGGCCTGGCTGCAGATTGATAGCGCCAAGGCGTATCGCAAGGAACTCTTTGACTGCACGTTCATGCCGACGGACGTTATATATTACTCTGTTCTCACCTTGCTTCATCGCGGCTCCAACTCGTCGACTTCTACCAAGGCCATCTCCCAAGTCTGCTTCGAAGCGGCACAGAAAGGATTACAGGCCCACGCGACAACATATACACACTATGCACGAGGTGGACCTATAGCTATGGCCATGTATGCAAATTGGTAAGACTATCTGGTGCTCATTCTGGTTTACAGGACGTTAACTTGGAGTCTTAGGGTCCACGCCTATGCCTCGTTTACCCCATACATTGTAACCTTTCTACACTGTATCAGATACTCCAGCACCAGCGACCTTCGGCTGCTGGAAGAGACGCTCGGGATAATGCGGCAAATCAGCTGTCAGGTTAATACCTATGACCGCTATTATAAGCTTTTCAATGCCTTGTATTGTATTGCAAAGGCGTACGTCGGTTCTCGAAAGGCAATCGACGGCGAAGAACCATCTCCAGAAAGCACTGTGATCCTACCGCCTTGGTTATCCTCTGGATCCAACTCCCAACCGATGTCTGCTAATGACATTCAAATGGATGGTTGGCACGGGTCTTACTTTGAGCAGCTCTCCTTCGCAATAGATTGTCAACTTGGCAATCAGGGCGTTTGAGAGGTGATGTTTTAAAGGAGTGCCACGTGTGTATAACTTGACCCTCGATGAATTGGCGATGAAGGGCATCTTTCTGGTTTCATCACTCTAACTATGAACGTTTATATAGAATATAAAAAAAATGGCTCGTACAAAGGGACTCCTGTCGTGGTCGATGGTATCCTGCGTCACCTAAAGAAGTATGCTGACGGAATAGCGAGCTTAGTGGTATCTCACTCCAGTGGCCGACGACGAATAGCACCCCTCACAAAGACCTCAGTACCCGCTTTCTGTTCTCCTCTAGCTGGCCCCTTACAAGAATCTCACTATCGCTCTTTGTTCACCTCCAGGGTTCTTACCTAGTTACGCTGTCCAGGCAATCAAATACAGGAACCTTTTGACATTCTCCTAAGCTACCTCTATACGATTTGCCGCGTAGTTTAAATCTTGCAAGCATAAAAACTACCAATGTGCTACCGAGATATATACTCAAGATTCCCAAGTCCCTCCATCGATTCTCCCAAACAAGTCCAAATTGGGAAATGTAGTCGTCACCTGAGTTATACGGACAATATCCACAATTTGAACTTGAATCCCCATCAACCAAGTATCCTGATGCTGTTTCAAGCCATCCTTGTAAGTACTCAATGCACGTCATGCCTGTGGGCGGGTCGAATTGATACAGTTCCGAGGGCTTACACGTAACCGACCGGCCGGACAGCTCTGTCTCAATCAAGCCCCCGACCAGGTAGGATAATGGATTGAGCCGATAGATCCAGGTCCAGAATTTAGGGATATTCTGCGGTGGCACGGTTACTCCGCAAAAGAGCGAAAAGGTTATGAGTAAGAACGGTGTGAAAAGAGAGGCAATGTATGATGATGGCGTTAGTGCGGCGATGGTCTGGCCAAGTTGGACCGAGAATTGACTTGTGATAAGGACGATTAAGAACTCATAGCCTGCTTTGGGTGCAGAAGTGCTAAAGTTCGCCGGGAGGAACAAGAGCAAATAGAACTACGAACAACGTTTGATTAGCCAGTGGTCCATTTGGTCACGACAAGAGATGACTTACAAGGCCGCTACAAAGAACTGTGAAAGGTATTTCCGAAAGTAACATCGCTGTGAGAAAAACTCTCTTGGAATACATCCCTGAATCTCTCTCCCGCTGAAAAACCATTTTTGCCCTCTCAAAAGCAGGTTCCACTTGAGAGAGGACAAGAGACGGCAGTATTGTTACTTGAAAAATTGCAAAGACGCGCATCTGCAAGTCGCCATAGGCACTGCCGGTGTTCAAATACGCTAGCGCCGTCAGAAGTGCAATGGAGATGTGGTTGATAATTCGAGTACTGGCATAGCCTGGTTGGCGCCACGCAGTTTTGAACGCCCGGGTAGAGACTATCCTGAGTTGCGCTGCAAATTTAGGACGGCTGGAAATATCGATGGGCCTTGGATGACTCTCAATTGCCGGGGTATCGAGAATATGTGCGGCTTCGACGACGGTGCGGATATCTCGGTCCATCCGAGCCTTTTGGTAAGAATTTGACCAAATCTGCGCCCACTCATCCGTTGATCTTCCCCCATTGCTAATGGTTTCAAGCATGAATTCTGCAAAGTTGGAATTTTGAGGACAGGTATATCCATAGTGTGAAAAGTACTGTTCAACTTCATCCGTTGGTCCGCTGAACATTTGCCGGCCCTGATGAAGGAGGAGAAGATGAGAAAACGCACCGAACATAGCTGCGTTGGGTTGATGGATTGTGCATACGATTGACTTTCCCCTGTCAGCTAGCTTTCGTATTATATTCACAATGCTCATGGCTGACTGGGTTGATAAGCCACTCGTCGGCTCGTCCAAAAACAGAACATCGGGCTTGGCCGCGAGCTCGACGCCTATGGTCACCATTTTCCGTTGCTCAAGAGAAATGCCGCCAGCGCCGGGTTCGCCAATGATTGAGTCTGCGAAGTTTTGAATCTCGAGAAGGTGGATGATGTCTTCAACGTCTGCGTGTTTAGAAGCTTTGTTGGCGGTCGCGGGCTGACGTAGGTATGCCGAGAATTGAAGGGCTTCGCGGACTGTTTGACAAGGGTCGTGGACGTCAAGCTGCTGAGAGTAGGCAGTACGTCTGCGGAATTCTTCATCAGGCGACTTTCCATCTGCGAGAAGGGTCCCGCTGATGGTACCAGTCGTCTTCCGATCCGCCATCAAATCCAGTAGAGTAGATTTCCCGGCCCCAGACGCCCCCATGAGAGCCATCATCATGCCGGGTTTAACGTAGCCGGAGACGTCTTGGAGGATCTGGACCGAGCCGGACCCAGGAATCAAAGCAGCGTAGCCCATACCACTCCAGGTTATAGTTTCATGCCTCGTTTCCTCTTGGTGACAAGGGCCACGAGTCTCGGGCGGACAACGTATACTAATTGGCCTTTCTTCATCCGGTATGGGGACCTGGTTATCTCCAAGTGGTCCCATCTCCAGTGGCGATGTAACGAAAGCGACGCACTCAGAGATGATGATGTTGAAAATCAAGAGGACGAGAATAAAGGCGACAAGTATTGCGACATTCCTCCAGATATCGTGAGTATTGAAACCAAAAGCTGCAGAGAGATAGGTGGATCCGCTGACCGATCTCGATCCAGGTGCTGCGCCTGGAACTAAACAGATGCGATGCTTAAGGTCGCTGTATCCTAAGCCGTGGGGAATCAGGCTCGAATCTGAGCAAATCAACGTCAGTTGACGGAATTCGTTGGCCATGAGGCCCGCGAAACTGTATGAGATGGGGTTGACCCAGGCGAACCACTGGACCCATGGGCGCTGATTGCGGTATGGCACGAGATATCCAGACTCTAGGACGAAGAGTATGATAAGGACGCAAGCTACCTTGAGAGCTCCATCAAGTGTCTTGGACACGCAACCTAGCGTCCTGAAGAATAGTGCCATGGTAATTTGAGTGAGAATGATGAACAGGTAGAATATTAGAAAAGATCCGCCATCGGTACGTAGGCCAGCCATAAAATAGACAATGGAAGAGAATACAAGCCCCTAATAAACTAGTTAGCCTTCAAGATATCAGACAAAGGAAGCATAGCTCCCAATGGGCGAAAAGAAGTTGTCATACCTCGACCGCTGATACAGGGATATCGAAAATAATCTGGCCCAAATACATTGCACTGGGACGGTAAAATGCGAATGACTTGTGCTTGTTGATAATTGGTCGACCCAGAACCGCCAATGGCAACTCTGCAAATGCAGAGAACGCATTGTACAGCAATGCGATAAACATGACGCCTCCGCGCGTGAATGTGCCGTCAGAAGTTTCGGGTAGTTGCCAATACATTGAACCACAGACCAGAGCCACAATGATCGAAGTGACATTCTTGATAATCAGGCCAAGTCGGTCTTGCAGTCGCAACTGAGCATGCCGGCGCGCGATTGCGGATATTTGAGTCCAGATTGAAGCTTTGTTGGGGCCATACTGCCAACCGGTGCGCTTTTCGATCTCGATGCACTCTGCTATGTGGCGCTGATACACCTCGTCACGAGCCTCGTCTCGGCATTTGGCCATTTCCTGCCGAAGCTGGGTGTAGGTGACTGATTCTCGAAATATTCGAGCAAGGTCGGTCGTGGAATATGGATGGTGGGAAGATCGCATCCTTGCGTCAGCGCATTCGGCGAGGAAGTCGGCGAGAGACTGGCCTGGGATTCGATTAAAACCCAGTTGCTCGAAATAACCAGGAGCACTGGCACTTGGTCCAAAGTACAGTTCATGGCCGTCTTCCAAGATGAGAACTTTATCAAAGCAGCGGTAAAGCGTGTCGGACGCCTGATAGAGTGAGACCAGGGAAACGCTTTCATATACAGTCGTGAGTACTCGGAGGGCTTTGATGTATTCCGACGCCGAAGCAGCATCGAGACCAAGCGTGGGATTTTCCCAGCAGGTGATGGCTGCTCTGGTAATGAGGGCCTCGCCGACCGAGATGCGTTTACGCTCTCCGCCTGAAACGCCCCGAATTCTCGCATCCCCGAGCATGGTGGTTCTGATGTGGCTGATATTCAGAATCTCCAGAAGGCTCTCAAGCACCTCATTTTTGAAAATCTTCTCCCTTGTGCCTCCCACATGAGACTTTGGCACCGTCAAATCCAAGGCAAACTGCAGAGTCTGCTCCACGGTGAGAGTGGGATTGTGAAAGTCTTCGGCGCCACAGAACACTGCCTCTCCGGCATAAGCGTTGACAAACTCCTTCCTCGATTGGTCGCCATATAGGAGAGTCCCAGATGTCTCGGTGCCGGGGATGGGGCCGTCAGCGACAGTTTTCAAAAAGGTTGTGCATCCGCTGCCTGCCCGTCCCAGCACGAGAACCATCTCTCCCGGAGAGGCAACACCACTGAGTTGTTGTAGAAGACAGCGTTTTGGTGGATCTGGTTTATGAATTCGTGCCTTGCGGCTAAACCAACCAAAAGCAGCATGCGAAAGAAAGGCAGATGTGCTTTCTATTTGGCTTTTTTTTCTGCTCACTTTGAGCTCATCAAACAATACATCTATCGACTGTCAGAAATGTCGTCGTCGGAGTGGGTGGCCGATGCTCACGAATTCGCTTGCCGGAGAAGCCCAGTAAAGACCCATTGCACTTTTCATTAAGCAATTTCTCTTGTAGTGAACTCAAGGAGTTTGTGCTTGGCGTTTGTTCCATCTTGGGTCTCTTTGTCTGTGGATATCGAATCGGGGGACTTGGATCTGCATGGATTGGCTCGTCATAACCATGCTTGTGCGTAAGCTCCTAGCACTGGTATTGGACAACAGATTTGGCCTCGACATATACTGTTACCCAGGCGGCACCAAAGTACGGAATGTGCAGATCCTAACTGGCCCTAGCGGTGGGGTTAAACCGGACATGGTACAAGTCAGCGGAGCCCTGGACGAAAAGAGGTGGCAAACCGATGTAGATTGATAAAACAGTGCACGCATGTATTGTCAGTTTGTCGAGTCAGTTGGGTGAGTCAGTTTGGCGAGTCAGCCTCCGGGGTCAACTGTGTGGGTTCACTATTTGTACCAGTTCCATGTGTTAGGCCTATGGGTCGGTTTACGAATGCCGTTGAAGTAATATGACCGCAGTATTCGTGAATATGTCACTTGGAAGGCTACTTAACTGTCCGTGGAATCGTCATTTTAGGAATTTGGGCCAATTTAGAGAGCTTATGTACGGTAACGGGGTACGAAGCTGGAATCAGCCCCTGTAGGATGTAAAACAGATAAATGCCCAGGCATCAGGTCTATACACTTGAAATCTTAATAAATGCCAGCTATTGGGGGTCCACTCAGCCAATACTAGGGGGATACATATAGCTAAAGTGGATGACAGCAAATGCCGTAGCAAAAGTTGACGAGAACGTTATCTCAGGGATGCATATATATATGAGGTGGAATTGTCCTAGCTAGAATCCCCGTTGTTCCTATAGCGAAATTGCGCCAACATCTTCCCCTGTTGCCTGTCGAATCGCGTACGAGACTAGGTCTAGGGTGTCCTTTGGCACAAACAAACTCTCTGTCGTGCCCATTACTTGATCAAAGTTGGCCAAGTAGCCCTCAGGACAATCCTCGCGCGAATGGCCGGGCACCGTAGCCAGAGTTGTCCGCGCAGCTCTTCCACCACCGACACTGAACAGCTCGCCAGAGACAGGACATTCTTCACTGGCGAGAGCTATGACGAAGTCGGCGACTAGATGTGGCTGAAAGTATTGATGCGTGATGCGCTTGATGACTGGCGACAGGTCTGACATGCGTGACGCGGCTGAAGGCATAATGCCGTTGATCTTAATACCATGGCGATGGCTCATCCTGCCCAAGTCGCGCGTGAGGCCAAAGGTAGCGCCCTTGGCTGCCACATATCCGCCATCGCCGCCTGCGCCCATGCCGACTAAGCTGTCGGACGATGTGTTGATGATGCGTCCGTAGGATTGTTTCTGCATCGTGGGATACACGGCGCTGATAAGCATAATGGTGCCGAGCGCCGCAATCTCCCACGTGCGCTGGAATGAATCTGCATCGACGTTGTCGTGCGAGCTGGGCTTGCCGGCGGTTCCGGCGTTGTTGACGAGGATGTGTACGGTGCCGTACGTCTTTAACGTGTTTTGGACAAGCTCGTGGACCTCGGTTTGAATAGAAATATCGTGGCCATCCGCCACAGCCTCGCCGCCTTTGGCCTTAATCTCTTCGACCACAGCTGCCGCTCGTGATACCGTTCCTCGTTGACCGTCAAGGGAGCCCCCATAATCATTGACCACTACCTTGGCGCCGTACTCCGCTAAGAGGAGGGCATATTCGCGACCAAGACCGCCGCCGGCGCCAGTCACGATAGCCACGCGGCCTTGGAGTGACTTGAGTTTCTTGGGCGAGTCCATTTCGATATTGAGTACAGAATAGTCAGTAATCAGGCGAGATCTGGCGTATGAGTGTGGAATAAAATCCCACCCCCTGGCAGTGAAAGGGATTACTTTAAAAGAATGGATTGCTGGCGTCACTAATCAGAGACGATGGTGGGCTTGCACCTACACAAATCAAGACCCCATTCCTTTTGCTCGTCCGGTTTCCCCGCCCATGACGCGATGTGGAGGTGGCGCTGACTCGCCTCGCTCTGTCAACGGAAAACTTGGTTGACACGGATGGCCTGAGACTTCGAGAAAGATGCGATAGAAACATCGGCCACATGGAAAAATGCTGTGCAACGCAGAGAATTTTGAAGGGACCATACGAGTCGAGTCCTCGTCCTGGCGCGACCTTGTCCGATCTATTTCCCGCATGTCTTGCCCGACCACATCAAACTGCGCATCATCTTCTATTCAAACTCTCCACAGAAGCTATGAATAGAGATTTTGGATCATTTTTCAATGGTGCAAGGCTGGCGGCGGCTGTCGTTTTGCTTCAACGTAAATTTCCTCATCTTATATCTAACAGGACCCTTATACTCACATAGGCTCTATAGTCTATATTATCCCGAAGACTAGAATTGTAGCCTTCATCTCTAATCTTCGTGGTAATAAGCAGCCCACGCTCCGACACATGGTGTCAAATGCGACAATTAGGTGGTAAGTTGAATCGGGCCCTCTGTCCCGTCGTGAGGAACCACGCTGACCATGTTGACAAGGCTAGCGAGATCTTTGTCAATTCATCAATTCAGGGCTGCGACTTCGAGCGATATCGATATCAATAGGCTCTTACGAAACTGTTCTGAATTGCTGGAAGGTGGCGTGAAACATGAATATGTTAGCTTAATAGTTCGTCAACATGTTTGGATTAGCACTGACGGGCCATTGCCTAGATTCATAAGCCTGAATTCCGTGCCTGGCACCTCATACAATCTCCAAATCCGACACACACTATCATGTATATACATGGTGGAGGATTTGTCTCTGGCTCTCCAAGATCCGTCTCGTCATATCTGCTGCAACTGCATTTGGAATTGCGTGCCCGGGGCGTCCATTCCGACGTAATTGCAGTTGAATATGATTTAGCTCCAGAGTACCCATATCCACACGCACTGCAACAAATCGTATCCGCATATGAATATATTCAGGCACAATACAAGCCGATAGTGCTAATGGGAGACTCAGCAGGCGGCAACCTATGCCTCGCCCTGCTTCGTCATCTTGCACGCCCTCATCCGCAGATTTCCTCACCTCGTCTGAGTCCCAATAGCTCCCAAGGGATTGTTGCTCTCTGTTTAGCAAGTCCATGGGTTGACCTCCGAAAGAATAGCACATTGTGCCACGGAATATCATCAGATTGCTTGGACCGGTCGGCCTTGGGCTCGTGGCGGGATGCATATCTAGGAGGCCAGCCAGTTAGCGAGTATGCGAGCCCTCTAGGTTTCCCAGCCTTGACTGGGTGGAAGGTGATTCTCCCTCCAAAAGCGTTGTTCATGTCTGGCGAATTGGATCTCTTCTTAGCCCAAATAAAGTTGCTGGGCGAAGAAATTAAGAAAGTGAGGCACATCTCCATCCAAAGAAAATCCCCGCTTCAGTACTGACAGAATCCTCAGGATGGATACCAAGGCTTGGATATAATAATTGAGCCACTCAAGGGTCACGTCTGGAACCTGGTTGACTATGGGGGAGCCATACCTGGTGACTCACAAGGCAAAGAAATCGAGAGAATGGAGGCTTTGCGGGGTGTGTGCTTGCAAGCCGACTGGATTAGTGAGCATTGTAATCCGTAGTCTAGCCAGCCCATCAGTACGTACATAGAATTTGCGATCTATGATCATTTTAAAACATGTGGGAGACTTATAGAAATCGGGTGATATACAAATCCGCCATGCTAAATAGCTGTGGAATTCCACTCCCAGAAAAGCACAAGATCGCGCGGCTAATTCTATCGCCCCATATGTTTAGCATACACCTTGCAAAAGTGGTAGTAGGGTATGTTAGGAGCCAGGGCGAATACAACATCCCACCACTGAAGAAGACAATGCAGCTGATCCTAAACAACGCTATATGGTGATATTACTGCTCCGCTGAGGTCAAGACTGATCGTTTCAAGGCTTGACCAAGTATTGAGAGCGAAATTTTTGTCACATTCCTAAAATTAAAGAAGATTAAGAACGAAGATCAAAATGAACCAGCAAATTGTTTAGCTCAGTATTTCTTGAAGATATTTGTTCATACGAAGGACGAATAATGGACTAGTTCCATTGCCCTCAGGTATCAGAAAACGGTAAGCGTTCTGATCACAAAACTTCTGGCTTAGCGGCCGCTGTATTATGGGAGTAGTCATTGAGATTAGCCTTGTCAAAGTGACGAGGCTTGATGTTTTGAGCGTAGAGTGCGTCAAGCTCCGCCACAGTTCGATTCCTCGTCTCCGGAAGCCAAAGCCAGCAGCCCAAGAAGCCTATGAAAGTGGTGAAGCCGAAAATAAACCCGACTTTACCACCCAAGTTGCCGGAATCGGGATTGAACATGTATGGAAACACGAAGCCGACCAGCCACTGAACCGCGACAAGCATGATATTGGCGAGACCTTGCGTGCGAGATCGCAAACGCCAGGACGGGATTTCTGCCACCACCGTCCAAGCCACAGTTCCAAGCGTGAATTGATAAATGAATCCCTATTTAGAGATGGATGGTCAGCAGTAAACACGAAGAAGCATGGAAGGAATCGGATGTGTCTCGGTGATTGGTGTTCGTTCGTACGTACCCAAAGGAACATAAATGCGATAGTGACCAAGTATGTGTCTCTATGTCCTGGAATAGAAAACCCGCCTATGATGAATAGTGTACAAGCGCAGGCCAACTGACCCCAAACAAGCATCGGTCGGCGGCCGATGGTATTGAGCACCGGCCAGGAGAGAATGTTGGCAATAAACATGCTGCAATTGTTAAGCATACCCAGCAAAAACGACATCTTGGCGCTAAAGCCCGCCAGTTGATAGTAGTAAGACTGGTAGCCTAGCACAAATACCAAACCAGAGAGGTACTGGCACCCATAGATGAACATGCAAATAAGAGTGCGTTGGCGGTCGATGGGGGCGAAGCAATTCGCATAGGTAACGGATGCCGTAGTCTTGCGGTACTCCTGTTCCTTCTCTACCGTTTCTTGGATCAAATACATGATGGCTTCTTTGTCGATTGAAGATTCTGAATGGTGTAGACGCTGCAAAGACTGCTTCGCGGCATCGATGCGTCCGGTGCGTACGAGCCAGACAGGAGACTCGGGCCAGAACCAGGCTGTTAACAGTACCAGCGCAGGGATGGCCCATTGACAAGCGAATGGGATGATGTATGCATCTGGGTCGTTTCGAGGGCCTAGGCAATAAATGACGCCAGTAAAGACAAGCACTCCTGAAAATTGGATTATGTTGGTCATGGCCGTGAGCCAGCCGCGAAGTTTGAGTGGCGCTACTTCGGAGGCATATAGCGGGCCGATTACGAGCCATGCACCGATAGACAGGCCATTTACGGCCTTGCCAGCTGTGAGGAGAGCGAGTGAGCCGTGTCGAGTTGAGATGTATTGAATTGCGACGCCGACGATAGAGACTGCGCAGGACAAAATGTTGGTATATCGCCGCCCAATACGGTCAGCGAGCCACCCCGTCAGGGCTGCACCAACCACAGCTCCAAGCTGAGAGATGCCTCCGTAGAGGCTCTGCCAGGTCGCGGGGATGATGTATGTGGCCGTGTCTCCTTCACCGAAGAGCTTGCCGTAGTCCTCTCTGTTGCGGAGCGCTCAGTATGGTATTCATCGGCAAGCACGAAAGCAAAGTATTGACTTACCGGAACCTGGGTATGGCGAGCAAATTGCCGGCGACGATCCCATCAATGCCGTAGCCAAACACCACCAGCTGCCCGTAAAGGATCCAGAGAGTGCTCCGCCAGAATATGCGAACGGTCTGGAAGAAGCTCAAGCTTTTCTCGTACTCGACCTGGCGAGCAGCGGCCTGGGATCGATGTTCAAGGTCGTCCATGCTCGTCTGCTCGACGTGCTCGGCAGCGCGCTCAGACTTGGCGCACTCGTCCATGTTTGGACAATATGAGAGGAAGATGGAGGAAGATTGTAGTGCGTGGAGTTGAATAAAATCCACGCAGGGTGTGGCTCATTCAATTGAGGAGAACCGGAGGCGTTAAATACGTCGCGCATCCGGTGCGAGCATTGACTTTGTTGATCCGTGACATGTCCTCGCTGACGCGAACGGTTCTCCCCAGCAGTCAGTTGATCAAAGGCGGAGAAGATCATTGAGGCGTTCATGTCGAAGGGACCACCGCCAATCTCCACAATCTAGACCCATGGAGGTTTAGAGCTAGCTGACATCGCCAACAGAGTCAGCAAAGACGCTAGTATGGCGCCACAACCTGGGGAATGTGCGGAGAGAGACGAAGTTGCGGGGAAGTTGCGGGGATTCTTGAGATGCTTCATGTGTCCAGGATCGAACTTACTACGTTGACTAGAGGTGGCGGTCTTGGCTGGACTTAGTCAATGGATCCGGTATGCCGTAGATAATAGTGTGGCTACACCAGCTTTGAACCATCTTTATCCGTCATTAGCAACTTCAGCTACGTCTTCACCAGCAATACCCTGAATTCATTCATCCACTACCATGAGCCCTCACAAAGAACCCGCGCAGGATGACTACTCCTTCAGCTTTGACAATCGCGTTGGCGGTACGCCAATTACAACAGAAGACGACGGGCCGTATTCAGTCTCAGAGCATTTGCTCTGGGCACCCCGAAAAATGAGAGTCGCCTCGATTGGCGCAGGTGCCTCGGGGATCATGATGTGCCACAAGAAAGAAAAGGATTTTGGCGAGTCCATCGACTTGGTCGTCTACGAGCGTAAGCCCTTCACAATTATTCAAAACAACCCCGTATCTGACAAAAACACATAGGATACCCCAAGTGTGGTGGCGTATGGCACGCCAACAAGTATCCCGGTTGCCGGTGCGATGTGCCCTCGGCGGCATACCAGTTCTCTTTCGCCCCAAAGCCCGACTGGTCGCGATACTACTCACCCGCTGCCGAGATCCAAGCCTACTACGAGGGCTTTGCTCGCGACCGCGGTTACCTGGATCGTTATATCAAACTCTCCCATGAGGTGAACGGGGCCACATGGGATGAGGCGACAAGTCAATGGGTGCTCCAGATAACCCACACAACCGAGGCAGGCGAGGAGCGAATCTTTGAGGATCGTGTCGACTTCCTTGTCGCCAACATTGGTGTCCTGAATACTTGGAAGTGGCCCGATATCCCTAACAGAGAGGCATTTGGCGGGCGTATAACCCATTCTGCCGACTATGACACTAGCTTGGACCTCACTGGCAAGACAGTCATAGTCATTGGATCTGGCGCCTCGTCGATCCAGATTATCCCTGCCATACAGAAAATTGCAAAGAAAGTCATCTCATTCTACCGTACGCCTCAGTGGATCAGCTCTGGCCTTCCCCTAGAAGGCTACACCGATGAGCAAGGTCGCAACTTTGACTGTACGTATAATTTTTGGGACGAGCAAGCGCAACTCTATGCTGACTGTGACTGCATAGACACTGAAGAGCAAAAGAAACAGTTTGCTGATGACCCGGCATTCTATTTGAGCCAGCGGAAGGCAATCGAGTCCAAGATAAACGCAAGCTTCCGCGCCAACATTGCAGACCATCCATTTCAGAAGCTCACTCGAGAGGTATGATGGCACGTTTTCTAACACAGTTATATTCAACCTTTTTCTCTCCTTCATTTGACACTTATTATCCGTTTACTAACCCTCAACATCAGGCCGTTTCTAAGCAGATGGCCGTAGCCCTGAATCACAACGAGACACTCGTGAAGCGCCTCGTTCCCTCATTCCCAGTTGGCTGTCGTCGTCTGGGACCTGCGGAGGGCTTCCTGGAAGCATTTCTGAAGGACAACGTCGAGCTAGCCAACGGCGAGATCGCTGCCTTTACCAAAAAGGGCTTGCAAACAGATGACGGCGCCGAGTATGAGGCGGATGTCATCATCTGCGCAACGGGCTTCGACGTCAACTTTCGACCTTACTTTCCCATCATCGGACGCAATGGGCTTGCGCTCAACGATGCATGGAAGGACGATCCGGCGGCATATCTTGCCGTGGCCGCCAGCGGGTTTCCCAATTTCATGAGTAAGTTCGCCGGTAACCAAAACGTGAAGTTACTAATTCACCCCGAAATTAGTCGGTTCGCTTGGGCCTAATTGTCCTGCCGGGCATGGGTCTTTTGTCACAGTGCTGGAAGCCGCACAAAATTACATTTGCAAGGTTATACGAAAGATGCAGACTGAAAATATCCGGTCGATGGACGTGAAACCGGAGGCGGTGGCTGAGTACAATGAGCATGTTCATGAATGGCTTAAGAGAAGGTGAGAATCTCTTGAGCATCAAGCCCAGCTATTTCCCCTGCTAGTGAGAATGTGACACTAACATTTTCGCCAGTGTCTGGACTGCCGGTTGCAGATCTTGGTACAATCAAGGCAAGCCTGATGGCAAAGTGACGGCGCAGTATCCCGGGTCTCTGGTACACTGGCGCTTAATGCTTGAAACTCCGCGGTTCGAAGACTACATCATCTCCTACCGCAGCAGAAACAGATTCGAGTTCATGGGGAACGGATTCACGGAGCTCGAAACCAGCGGCAAGGACCTAGCTTGGTACCTGGAACCTAAATACGTCGAGAAGCCGCTCTTTGATCACTAGCCGTGTTGTGAACGGTTCTCTGCTATGATATAGGTGAAGGCGGGGATGGGCCTGTAGTGATATCTCTAGAAATATTTTTAGGCTATGATTAAGGGATGTTTTAGTTAAAATACACTTGGCTTTAGAAAACCCCAGCTTCCATAGCTCTTGATTGGTGCCGCATCCTACCACTTCGCGCCTCAAGCCCCTTCCATTGAGGGTATCGATCAAAGAACTCTTCGCTGAGATTCCAGTTTTTCAAATCCAAAATGGCGGCTTCAAGTCGAGTGTGGTCTTTCAACCCCGTGTGCTCCAGCGTGTGAATATCCACCGTCATGTACCGAATTATATCGAGCGAGACATCGTATGGACCCGTCTCATCGGAAAGTGACATGTGGATGAGCTCTTCTCGTATCTCGGGCCTTATGCAACATCAGTAAGAATTATTATGTGCGGAATATTCTTCGTTGTTTCATACCATGGGATGAGGTCTGCTGCGAGTGGATGCGGAACTGTTAGCTGTAATTGGGTCGGACGCAGCCAGCTGGGTACACTGTGGTAGGCTGATTCATCTTGAATTACTTGCCACTGAGGAGAAAAGTCAGTACCAGAGCATAAAATAAGACTAGAGCATCACCGGGCAAGAGACGGGGATGGCTTACCCGAAGAAGGAGATATAGAACCCAGTAGGTAGCTAAAAACTCGGAAGTTCTCCTCGACTGCCTGACAGGAGCTAGCAAGGTCTTCAGATCAACCGATAGCGTGTTTTTGGGGTCATCGAATAGGAAATCGGAAAGAGTTGGGGGCCCAATGGTCGATATATTTGCACGGGCACGTTCGAGAATAACGTGGGCCTGCTTGTCTCTAGGTAGCGGTGGCACCAGAATCAGAGGGAGGGCCCGAGATTGCTGCATGGCCACCATGGGTACCGGCATTGGTGGAGGGATCCATTGGTTCATGCAAACCCCTAGAAGGTCGAGGATGTTCTCGATAGAGTGCAGAGATGGTGTTGATGATGTCTCACGTCGAGATGAACCATTAACATGAGGTCTGAAGTCACCGATGGTCGAGAATGAAGACGGTAGGCACTGTGTGTTGAGGGATGAACTGTTATCCGATTGGTGGTCCGATTGACTTCTCCGGGAATTTGTATGAAGGCTTTCTAGCTCCAACATGGCATCATGGTGCCGCGACAGCGGGGCTAGAGATGCAGTGCCAGTCGATTCAACCCTGGGTAAGTTCGTAGTCCCCTGGGAGACGTGGGTGTTGATGTGTGGAGGTAGACTAGATGGTCCGCTCTCCAATTGCTCGTAGAGATGGAACCAGTCCATGGCAGGATCGCCTTCGGAGTTTGCAGCGGGACAGTTCACATCGGCTGGGTGAAGATCGTCGTACAAGGCCGGGTCAACACAGACAGGCAGAGGGTCTTGAGCTGTCGTGCCAGATGATGGACGAAGTTGGGGAATGAAATCAGCTGTATTGCCCGGTGGCGTCCCCGGATCTCCATCTGCTTGAGGTGCGATGGCAGTTACGGGCGAGACCTGTACCGGACCACCCAACGCTTCATCAGACTCGCCCTTGTCCTCCAAGTCGAGGAGTATATCCATCGGGGTGTGCTCTGTCTCTGCAGGTTGCCGACTGGTCAAATCTACCGGATGCGTGGCTCCGCGAAGGTTATCGGGGTCCAACCCTTCCATGAAGTCCTCATTTGGAATAGCTTCTGCCAGGGTGACGTTTTGGGGATGAGGCCGGGGTGACTGCGCGTCCCAGGTTTCTTTCAGGGCTGACTCGTGTCTCAACGATCTTTGCCGCTGTAGCAGGCCTTCCATCTCATCCCAGAGACCGTAGAGTTGCTTCAGCTAGAGCGTGTTAGCACTGATTATGGTCAAAAGCCGACGAGACATTTGAAATACTTCATCGTAAAGGCGAGCATTGCGCGCGGTGAGCTGAGCCACCTCCGACTGGCCGCCGGCCTTGAGCACGCGGAGCTGAGCCTCGAGTTCCTCGATATGAAGCTTCTGGCGTTTCCGGTGTTGCCTCTGAGCGACTCGGTCTGTGAAGCGCTTGCGCTCGCGTCGCTTCTCTGCCTCGTCGGCGGATACGTCCCCCGTGGGGGCTGGCTGTGTCTCGGGGCTCGTGGGACGTCGTTGCCCAGACCGGGACGCAGAATCTCGATCCATGATGGGCAAGGGAAATGGATGGGTGGGATTCGACTTGTGAAGATGCTGTAGCTGTGATGCGGGGTTGGGATACACAGCTACGGAAAGCCGGAGAGGGGAATGACCTGTTATACACCTGGTTATCCATGATCCAGCCTCTGAGCTAGCCTACATTGAGATATGCCTGGGGTAATCAACTGCGTTATAAAATCCATCCAGGCTCGGACCCGGCAACATGGAGGCGATTTCTTTGCGGGGTGGATAGCAAGCTAGCGAAGAGAGCGCGCCACAGTGTAGAGCTAATGAATGAGGCACATTGTGTTCCTTAGCAATTTCGGTACAGTTGTTAGTGGGCGAGGAGGCCCTGGACAATCAGACAGCAGCATCGCCGAAGCGTGGAGCAGTTCACCTTGATGGTTGCACGGGGTGTCGCGTTTATCAATCCATTTTGTAGCCCATACAATGTATCTCTATCTTCAAACCATAGTATCTCCTTCGTCCGTGACCTACTTCATTTATTGCTGAGCGAGTTACCAGCCGATGGCGGATCTGGAGACTACGATTGCACAGCCGCCAGCGCGTAAACTCCCCCCTGAGCTCCAGCCGGATGGCCAAGGGCGCATTTTATGTCTGTCGTGTTCCACATCTCATCAAATTCATTTACAAGTATCCTCTGCTCGAGTAATTCCGCATCATCTATCGACCGATAATTTTGTGCTGTTGCTACATCCCTCGGAGTCTGCGCTGAGTCGGATGTTGGGCTTGCCTCGTCGGTCGCGTCAAAGGCTAGTTCCGGCGAGTTCCATGGACTTGCAGAACTTCTAGTGGCTGCTTCTGTCCACAGATTGTCGTTGTTGGTAATGCAGGCTTCAAGCAGCGTCTGGCTCTCGCTGAGTAGACACTGACGATCGGGAGGCCCTGTCTCCAGCGATAAAAGGGCTCCTGCTGCAACGGTAATGGCCCGTAACATGTCAGTTCCGGCCCCTAGACTGGGCTCGGCGTTTCCAGCCCGGTCAAGCGCTTTTCTACTCGTCGCTAGAACTCTCCGGGCCATGTGCGTGATCCGCTCGTCTCTCACCTGTCGCCAAATGTTGCTGGCATCATTGCAGCCATGATTGTTCGGCATATCCGCCGCCCGGTGGAGGGCAATCATGGTGCGGAAAAAGATCATGTCTAAGCGAACCCGCGTGGCGATCAAGTCCAGCTCTTCTGCGTCGTCGAAGGAGGCGCATAGACTATAGCAACCCGTGTCCTGTTTGGACAATTCGAATCTTTTTGCAATGGCTTGGATGTCCCAAAAGTCGTCGTCATGATGTATCTGTCCTGGTCTCGCTCGTCGCTTCTGGCGGGGAATTTTCCGTCGTCGATTACACGCATACATAGCGACGTGTTCAAACAATGTTGTTCGCTGGATAAAGCAGAAGGCCTTTTGCATAGAGATCCAGTAATCCCGAATCTTGCAGCCAAGAGCCCTCACCGGTGTCAGGTCGAAGTCTTCCAAGAGAAGCGGCTCAGTGGAGCGTGGATCGAGTGCGAATCGGGATGGGTAGAGCGGTGTTGTCGCCTCAAGTGAATATCGGAGGAAATGCATCTGCTCCATGATGAAGCCAGACCACCACAGGCGCTTCCATAGCCGACTTCCAGTTTGTGTGCTTCTCTCCACGTTTTGGTCTCCTCTGCTCAGCAACATCTTGTGCAGGTTCGCCATCGCGTGCCGCAACCACTGCGCCTGCTTCCTACCAACGGTGCATGTATCAGTTTGCGATAACGCAAAGGCCATCAACAGAAAAGCCTGCGTCTCCTCGAAGGAGTCTTGCCCAGCTGAGGATTCCAGGCCAGCCTGTAGTGTACGTTGGTCTTGTCAGTCACTCTAGAATTGGCGTGCGGCTGTTCACTCACCTCAAACCTCTCGATGCTTTTGTCAAATGCTTCTTGACGGTTTTGGAAGCCTTCATGTGCCAGCATGTTGCCTTCCAACCATGGGACTGCCGCCGCTACCAAGGCATGGTGCAGCAGGCTGTCCAGTGGATACGCAGCTCTGCGCTCAGCAAGTGAACCAAGCAGGGCCGAATAGTCGAGCACCGGGATCTCAAAGTAGATGTTTTCGGTGTAAATGAGGGCACACGCGATACCCAGGTCTGTTTTAGAGACGTCGCAATCGGATGGTTGGTCCACCTCAGACATGATGGCGTCGATGCAGCTGAGGGCACACTGGACGCTACGTTAGGACCGAAGCAGCATCGGCACAACTCTCATTGATTATAGCCCTGTTTACCAGGTACCGGTACCACCTAGAAAATAGGACTACATGCAATTACGGGCTACTTTCGGTGGCTCACGGTGGCTTGGTGGCTACCAGCTTTGCCTTTGCCGAGGAAACCGAGCTGACTCGACACGCTGACTCGGCATATTGACCCACCAGGCGATATCCCGGTACATGATTACGTCGGAGTAGCATGGGTGACAGGTCTGCAAGCCATATTATCTCGACTCAAGGCCACGAGTCGAATTAATCAGGATTATTGGAATCTTGATCAATTCCATTGATTTCTTTTTTTTTTGGGCTCATCCTCCGTCACGTTTATCATGACTATCAACACCTCTCACCGCCAGGAGCCTGCCTCTGTCAAAAACGAGGGTCTGGCAGCCAACTACGGACAACACCCGATCTACGACCGCGCTCAACGGCCACTGCAGGTCCTCGTTATCGGCGCCGGTCCATCTGGCATTGCAATGCTCCTTGAGCTTCTCAAAATTCCCTTCATAACGATTCGGTGCGTCGAGAAGAACGCTGATGTCGGTGGAACCTGGTTGGAGACGCGGTATCCAGGCGCCGCTTGCGACGTCGCCAGTCATGCCTATCAGTATAGTTTCAAGTCCAAGACGGACTGGTCCAGACAGTTTGTTGCCAATTTCCCTTAGTGTAATACGATATGGAATTTGACCGGGAATCTAGCTTCGCACCCGCCGAAGAAATTGGAGATTACTTCATCTCGGTTGCCAAGACGTACGACCTCTACCCATACATTACCTTCAATTCCCGCGTCATATCTGCCGAATGGAACGAGTCCAATGCGCTTTGGCATGTCCAGGTTGTTGATAGTGCTAATGGTGACACCGTCGAGACCTTTGTCGCCGATGTGCTCATCAACGCCGGTGGCATCTTGAACGATTGGGCCTGGCCCGAGATCGACGGGCTTCAAAGTTTCAAAGGCCACAAAGTACACACCGCTGCGTGGGTGAGTCAGAATTCCAGGGCGTTTCTACTTCTGCCACGAGCGTGAAGGTCCTGGTGGAAGCTTATTTTCTCATTGCAGGATCCTACAATTGACCTCAAGGACAAATCAGTAGCTGTTATCGGATCTGGAGCCAGCAGCATACAGGTCGTGCCAAGCATCCAGCCTGTGGCGAAGAAGGTTGACGTATATGTGCGGTCGCCCACCTACATTCTCCCTACTGTCGGGTTCGGAGTCGAGTCGTCCTCATTCAATGAGCCTTGTGAGTACTCAATCGCCAACACAGGTCTTGAAGCTTACGATGTTTGCAAGATACGGAATCGGAGATTGAGAGGTTCTCGACCGACCTGTCCTACTACAAAGAATTCCGGAAACGCATAGAGCAACAGATGAACGAGAACTTTTCCAGCAGCAGGAAAGCATCAAGCGAGCAAGCCAAAGCACGTTTAGTGAGTGACATGATGCTGCCCCTCGAATCGCAGAAGCTAAATGGCTACAGTGGGCGGAGAACATGATGAAAAAAGCCATTGCTTCACCTGAGCTACAAGAAAAGCTTATTCCCAGGTTTGTACTACCCGATTTAGTCATTCTTTTCAAATCAAAGTCACCAAAGATATAGCCGTCTTCAAAGGATGAAACCAACTGACGCACACAAATAGCTGGGAACTAGGTTGTCGGCGTCTGACCCCTGGACTTCCATACCTCAATGCTGTACAGCAGCCTAATGTCAACATCATTAGGGATGGTATCAAAAGGATAACTGAGGTGGGCATCGAGACTGATGATGGTCGAGTCACCGAGATAGATGTCATCATTTTCGCCACCGGATTCGTTACATCGTTTTCGTCACGCTTCAATATCGTGGGGCGCCACGGCCACACTCTGAAGGAAATGTGGAAAGACCGTGGTGCAGAGGCGTATCTTGGAACGGCCATAGCGGGATTGCCAAACTATTTCAGTATGTTCCATGCCACCTCATGTGTAAATGCGAATTTATACTGACGAGTCCAGCTCTTTTGGGGCCGAACTGTCCCATCGCGAATGGCTCCCTGGTGCCTTGCATCGAGCAGAGGTAAGACCTTCCCCATATCGAACATGAAATGCCACACAACGTAGACAAGATTCGACTATTAACACCAACCTAGCGTGAAATATATCACAAAAGTTCTTGAAAAGATGCAGAGAGATCAGATAAAGTCTCTACAGGTCAAACTGCACGTGCAGGATGCATTCAATGACTACGCCCAGGAAGTTCACAAGGACTTGGTTTGGACGGGTTCGTGCAACAGCTGGTGTAAGTACCTACCATCTTTTCACTCCACTGCTGGACTAACTTTTCTGTCGTAGATAGGGATAAATCGACAGGTCGCGTGACTGCAGTTTGGCCAGGCTCCAGCATCCATTTCATGGAGATGATCGACACTCCACGATGGGAGGATTTTGAAATTGAATATATACATGTACGCTCATCTCCTGCCCTATGAATTGTTGCATAAAAAAATGTTAATATTGACTATAGCCCAATCCGTTCATGTTCATGGGTAACGGAATTTCTCAACGCGAGACGGCTGGAGAAGATTTAACTTTCTGTGAGTTACCCGATTCCTGTTTATTTCGCTTCGCTGACATATTGGACGAAGACTTAGACTAGATGGGTCAATGGTATATGTTTTCATGGGAAATTATTCAGTATTTAGCACCCTGAAAAAACGATAGGCGGTGAAGTCAATTAGTCCATGAAAGCCCATGTATCAACTCTCCTGCTTCACACGTGAATAAAATTGGCAAATTGGTTGTCGATAGTATGTGGACGACAAAGCACATCCCTTTTTGCCCCATCTCACCTTAGACGCACGAAAGGAAAGCCCAAGAGCGTTGGCACCCTCTCCCAAAATAACGCGAACCATGGCCCCATGGGAAACTTTGCCACAGGAGCCAGTATTTTTCACAGTAGCCTTGTAGATGCAGACGATGTGCGCAAGGTTTGGTCTGTCTCTGTGACTTCTAATGATCCTTTAGCTTCCACAACCTGACAAATCCGGTGGATAGCGTCCAGTTCCTTGTATAATGACCATAGTAGATCCATAAAATTTACTTAACCTTAATTATTACAACGGGCATCGAAGGTTTGGCGAGTCAGCAGGCTCTTCTTAGTAGGCCCACATAGAGTACCATGATGAAACTGAGTCAAATGAAGGAGTCAGTTTGCATCATTATCTTCCCTTAACTTCAATAGCTTGGACATGCATAGGGCTATTTATGCTTTTCTAGAGATGGAAGCGTGTGTCGAACATTCACACAAAGTGTAAATATCAGAAATGGCCTTGACTGACGATGAACTCAAACTCAATGGAGGGGTTGCTGTAATCACGGGGGCTGGGGGCGGCATTGGCTCTGGGTTGGCACGACGTGCCGGCGAACTAGGCATGACAGTGATTGTTGCTGACATCGCCGTCGACAAAGCTGAGGAGGTTGCGAGCGATATTCGGAACACGGGTGGCAAGGCAGAAGCCGTGGTGGTGGATGTCTCGCGATCTGAGGAGCTTGACCGACTGGCCGATTACGTTTTCGACCGGTATGGAAAAGTCAGGCTCTTGGTGAATAACGCTGGCATAGAAACGTTGGGCTTCTGCTGGGAGATACCAGCGGCACGATGGGAATCGACTCTAAACATCAACATCCACGGCGTCGTTCACGGTGTGCGGGCTTTCACTCCGCGAATGCTAGCCATGAACGAAGAATGCTGGATCGCCAATCTGTCTAGCTGCGGTGCGTTCGGCATGATGCCCACACAGGCCGCATACATTATGACGAAACACGCCGTGCAATCATTCACCGAAGGTCTATTTCTCGACATGAAGCTGAAAGGAGCCCCGGTTCACATTTGCTCTGTCATTCCAGGCCTGATGCGAACCGGGATATTTGACGCCGCCTCGCAAATTCCACATGAGCGCGGTGATGGGAATAACTTGGGAGCTTACCAGAAGGCCATGTCGGACATGGCTAGGGATCATGGTATGGATGTCACGCAGGGGAGCGAGATCATCATGAAGAAGATCGCAGCCGGCGAGTTTTGGATATCCACGCACCCTGAGACGACAAGAGACATTATCTCTAACCGCATTGAATTCATGAATAACGGAAAGGATCCCGAACTCATGGTGGGAGCAAAGCATCTTTTGGATTTCTAGGTAGTTCCAAACGTACTCCCTACCGGTAGCTGATGTTGCGCAACACGTACCACATATTCCTGATCAAATGTTGGATTTTTATTGTATCCTTTTTCTGTTTCTTTTTAATAAGCAGCTAAATGCCAGTATTCGTCCTTCAGGTCGTTACTTGCTAGACATATTGGGCCTTCTCCGTAGCGACACTAATGAATTGGCGGAGCCTAAGCAAGTATAACAGAGTTATGTTGTAGAACCCAGGCCTGGACATAACCACGGATGGCGACATAGGAATCACCCAAGCTAAGAGATGATAAATTAAGGGCCCAATATCAGTGAATAAGCCTCAACCGTGAGTTCAAGACAATGCTACACAGATGTATTTTACTTCCTAATTACAACTTTGCTGACCTCTGCTTCTCATGCTTCATGTCTTCTTTCCACTTTGCCTTCAGTGATCTCCTCAAAATCTTCCCCGATGCACTCTTTGGGATCGCGTCTAAAAACTCCACACCACCAGCGAGCCACTTGTGCCGAGCTTTGTGGGATTTGACGTGTTGCTGAAGGGCCTTTGCAGTCTGAATATCGCGTGCCACTCCGGGGTGAACCACAATAAAGGCTCTGGGAATCTCTCCCGAATAATCATCTGGTATTCCCACAATTGCGGCATCGCGAACCTGAGGGTGCCCGAGGAGCAAGTCCTCAAGCTCGGCTGGGGCAATACCGAAACCACGGACCTAAGAAATAATTTGTCGGCAAATTTGGAAAAATCCGAAGCTTGGGATCCCACATACCTTGATCATCTCCTTGAGTCGGTCGTGGATTGTGATGAAGCCTTCCGTATCGATGGACCCCAAATCGCCCGTGTGCAAATATCCATCAGAGTCGAAGGTTTCTGCTGTCTCTGCAGAATTATTCAAGTATCCCATCGATATTTGAGGTCCACGTGCCCAGAGCTGTTCGTCTGTCAGCATGCGCCTTGATTATCTCTTGGTCTCCTTCTGCCCATCATCCTTACCTCTCCACTTTGACCCACGGCCAGGTCCTTCTTCGTTTCCGGATCGACGATGCGAATCTCAGTCCCGGGAACAATCTTACCCACCTTTGTCGCGTTACTCCAAGTAGTCAGCCCTGGAGGTGTGACTGTGAGGCAAGAGGTGCTTTCAGTCATCCCCCAGGCCTGTCGAATAGCCACACGGGGGAACCTGGCGGAAAGCTGCACAATCACTTGCTCTGCCAGTGGAGCAGCACCTGTGTTGAATTGATTCACAAATGATATCTCGTATTCATGTACAATTGGATCGTTCAGGAGGCGAATAAGAATTGCTAGTGAGGTTGCTAATAGTCAGCAATAATTCGCGAATTTGACAGCCTGGATATCAATGTACGTACGTGGTACAACCCATAACTCATTGCAGGTGTATTTAACAACCGTATTCAACATTCTTTTCATGTCAAATTTGGACATTACGACAACATCCTGCCCAAGGACAATTGGAAGGTGGAGGAGATGAACAAGGCCCGTTACTATTGAGGTTAGCATGCTACCGATATTAACCGCTTACTCGGATACACTTACTGTGATAGAATGGAAGTATCCCAAGGACTGTGTTCGGTGTCTTTTGGGGGGTCAGTTGGCGCATTTGGCAAAGCTGGCTGATGATGTTGGTGTGTGAGATCATAACCTATTATCAATGATTCATCAGCTGACTGTTCTATAAGTTTCCAGTGGGATCAGTCGCCGTTGGTGAAGCCTAGAATGGAGTGGGCTATTCCTGAGATATCCGTACCGCTTTTGGCCGTCCAGTTGTACCAGAAGTGAAGGAAAGAAACGCGCAGGCTGAGGTGGTGTTTTCCGCTGGCTTCCATTCCTCGATAAATTCAGCTGGTCCCAACGCTTTCCCGTGCTCAATCAGTCCTTGAATAGACGCTTCCCCCCGAGGAGGGTCATCAAGAAGAATGATTCTGTCATCAGCCAGACCGACCGTCTGACAAGCCTCGCGCACCTGGCCAAGAGCGCTGGCATTTGTAAAAACAATCGTGGTGCTCGAAGCTTGAAAGAAGAATGCTAAATCCTTTGCATTCGCCTCGTACGGTAATGTTGTGACGACGGCTCCAATACGACCTGCAGCAAACATGGCGACGGGACACCAGATCGAGTTAGAGCTCACAACGGCCACTGTCTGGTGCGCTTGCAGGCCAAGCGACCGTGCCAAAGCTATGGATAGCCAAGTAGACTTGTCTCTTATAGCTCGAAATGTTAAAAGGTTCCCTGATGCTGCGTCCCGAAATCCGTGATCATCTGATAGGTCACCTGTACCTTGGGAAGCGTCATTTCCGCAGGACTGTCTTGACCCGAAGAGCCAATTCCATATTGAAACGTCACTCGGATCTACCACAATCAGATCAGCAAATTTGCATCTATCATGGAGTCGCTTGAGGACAATCCAGATTTCGGAGTAGTGGCACCGTGATTGCACATACATGGCTGAAGATCCGGTCCATAATAGGGCATCTTGGAGTGTGGAAATATTGGTCAAACTCAGTATAAAATTGACGACTTGAAAGAGGTGGAAAAAGCTCGTGCTAGGCGCAAGGCACAGAAGTATACATAAGTATATGATCCGGCTTTTGAGGCCAACCATAAAGCCATTTCTTACCTCGGGTTGTTCAACTAGCTGCTCCTGACGCAGCGGACTGACTCAGGAACGATGCTCTGGAAATATGGCGGGGTAAGAGCTAGCGAATAAACCGAACGTCTTTATTTGAGTGGGGTAAAACCGAAAACTTGGAGCCCAAATATGATTCTCTTCCCTCTCGGGCCTCTCTTGCTGGTTACTGAGTATAATGGGGAGAAGAATGAAATACCTTGATTAATTGTAGTTTAATTTTGATACCGCCTCTACTTAGAAGATGACCTCGGACGGCCGAGACGCTCCGGATGCTTCGGGGTCTTTGGCTTCAGCTAGCTATTGACCTGAAAGGATAAAAAGCCTGGTATTTTTTAAATAGCAAGAAAGCACATTCTCAAAATAGATGTCTTCTATCACGTTTCGGTCGATTCCTGGATGTGGCTCTAGGGTAGGTATGGTGGGTGTTCGACTGTGGCTGGATCCGCTTCATCAGCTAGTGGATCAGGACTCGTACGTAGTGAGTAATTTGCATAAAGTAGGTAACCAAGTGTCTTGATAGCCAGGGTAGGAAAATGTTATGAGGAAGCATACAAGCTAAATTTCAAGCGGAATAATCACTGAGGGGGGCTCATCAGCAACGCATCATGATCGGGTGTATTGCCCATTTCGTCACTCTTCATCCTGCCGATAAGGTGTCAGTAGGCCTCCGAGTTCGTTAGAGGGACTGTTCCGAGTAATATAAAGGAAAATAAGTATGCCCAGCTTAGGGTAGTAACTTTAAGTTGAGAACTAGGGAATAGGACGAGGTCCTTTAATGCTCAAAGTCATGATCATCCATGCGGAGTTTGAACGGACTTTGACGTCAGGAGATTGACATAAGACCTCGGCCCATGACAGGGGCGGAGCAATCTCGATCAATTGGTCAATCCCCGAAGCATCCATTTCATGTATCGTGTTATTGGCTCCATATCAGGTTATCTACGGGGGCGGGTGACCAGGGTTGTGGTAATAAAACTTGGCAGACCCTCTTTGGTGAGGGGTAGAACATGTTCACGGAGCGTAAATATCTCTCAATTGACAAGAAACCGCTACATCTCCACCATCCATAACCATCAGTATTGCGAGCAAAAATGGCAGAAGTCAATGTCGAACCCGATTTGCTTGCTGACGAAGAGGTGCTCCTCGCTTAACATCCCGTCCCAAACCGCAGGCACTGACCGCTTACATAGGCCGATCACACTGATGCGGATTCGTCGCTTGGTAACGTATGGATATCTCGGGTATGGATCAAGAGCATGGCTGATCTGTGCTCTCCTGGAAATAGGATGCGGCATCGTCTACTCAGAGTATCTCAAGCTCCATTCTTGACTACAGACGAGAGAATGGGAGAACCTATCATCGGTACAAGGATGGCAGTACGTTATCAACGCCTCTCCAATCATGAATTCCCGAGGATAACCATCGAGTGTAGAGTATAATCTTCCCAACGACGAAGTGGAAAATGAAAGACTTGGTAAATTGTCAGATCAAATATCCCATGACTTAAACTGACCGTGACTAGACCTACAACATCATCTGTGCCTCCTTACCTTTGATGGTCACCTCGGATTGGCGCCCCCAGGCCGCACTAAGTCGAAGCCCAAGAGTGTTCTCGATGTAGGCACCGGCACCGGAATCTGGGCGATGGATTACGGCGACGAGCATCCCGAAACTGACGTGAGACGCGATACTCTATACTACTAGATTAATGGCTAATAATCTGACTCAGGTGGTTGGCGTCGATCTCTCGCCCATCCAACCCAGTTTGTATGACTCGGATTACCTTTGTGATTCTATTTTGCATATACTAATATCCTAACAGTGTTCCCCCAAATGTCCGGTTTATCATAGACGACATTGATGAGGAGTGGAAATATTCTCAACCCTTTGACTACATCCATAGTAGGATGATGAACTTCAGTATCCAGAACTGGCCCGCCTACTTCGCCAACGTCTACGAGTAAGTCAAAATGCAATCTCTATTCCCCTTTGAACCTTCATAATGAGGCTAATTCGTTTAGAAATCTCAATCCTGGAGGTTGGGTTGAGATTCAGGAAGTCGGATGCGAAATGGCAAGCGATGATGGCACTGTAACAAAGGACACCGCGCTTTACAAATGGTGCGAGCTTCTGGATGAAGCAGCCGTCAAGCTGGGTCGACCTTTTGTCAAGTTTGATGAAATGAGGGAGCACATGCTCAAGGCCGGCTTCACCGAGGTCGTTGATAACCGTTTCAAGTGGCCAACAAACCGCTGGCCCAAGGACAGAAAGTTCAAGGAGCTTGGTACATGGAACAACGAAAATACTGGCGCCGCTCTGGAGGCACTGACATTGGCGCCATTCACGAGAGCCCTTGGCTGGTCTCAGGAAGAAGTCACCGTCTTCCTGGCTGACGTGCGAAAAGAACTGGACGACCCGAAGATTCATGCCTACTGGCCGATGTAAGAACACTCGCGGTTATACCCTTCTGAATTGGAAGTCCTTGGTACTAATTATTGTCACAGTTGCTCCATTTACGGCAAGAAGCCAGAGGCTAAAGTTAGCGAGTCGTGATATGGTACTTGATGGAATATTAGGGTGTATCGGAGCCCTTCAGTCCAGCAGAAGGTGAGGATGATGTCACGAGGCTGGTTCTAGTAGCACCAGTACTATTGGGGTGGACAATAAATAAACTTGGGGCTCATTCCAGTCGCATTACTGCTTTAGCACATATTGATTCTTGAAAATAAAATTGTCTTGACAGACACTTCATGCTTTCAGCTCCCAAACCTTCGACGAATCCAGCAGTGTGATTGGTACACACAGTTCTGACATGGGTCCCAAAGATATCAGCTGCATATGTACTGCATGTGGTGACGTGGCAGTTCAAAGCTCGAATACCAGACCCCACTGCATAGGCCGTGGACAATCAAAGGCCTCTCCATGAGCCATCATTGAGAGGTGCGTGGAGACCCTCCCTGATGGCACTTCACCGCTTTCAGCAGCTACTTTGCAGCTGACGGCCTTTATGACCTTGAGCAATAACAGATTTTACTGCAGGGTTCTGGACGAAACATCCCCTACATACCCGCATGATAACTGACTGCTAAAAAGATTCCATTGAAGCGCGTCCCGTCTTTGGGGGTGGCGCACTCTCTGTTTCCTCTTTCCTCAATTACCCACGCGCTATTTCTCGTACGGGAAGCCCGTTCCTCGGCTACGAGAAAGGCCACCGACTAATGCAGCGCTAATGTCTTCCCCCTCCCGGCGGCTTCTTCTTCCGGGCCCATGAGAAGTTCAGACTCAAGGACTAGGCGCCCATCAAATCGCGGGAAGAGATGGGAAATCTAGTCTTAGCCGGTGTTAGCGTCTGATATTCAGGTGGACGAGCGCGCTGGGCGCTCGTGAATGCTGTATGAAGATCTTCGTTCTCCGCGCGGGAGAATGTGAGTGCCGAGATAGTATTTTATAATTTAGCAACGGTCCTTCATACAGTTCTGGTACCAGCCACATAAACGCGGGCTTAAATGTCCATCCCTGAATTTAGTTTGACGCTGATTGTCGTTGCGAAGGAGAGGGGAGTCCATCCCGCACTCGCTCACCTTGCTCTAGGGGGATTGTGATAGGCTCCATTTCCGGAGACGACTGCAAGTAGATAATCTCATCTTCCCCGCTTCTCGTAGACTCTGTATTTTCGCTGTCTCTCCTAGTCATCCCTTCCATTTCGCACCCCGTTTCGTCCTAAAAATGTCCGAGAAAATCGAGGAGACAGCTCCGGCACGGTCATCGCCTCCAAAGTCCCCAGATGAGCCTGCTGCTGCCGTGACAGAGCCCTCGACCCTTCTTCCGCCCCAGCACTGGGTCGAGACAGCAGAAGTACAGATGACCAACCTGCCGTGTACAAAACTTGGCTAACAATGGCATCCCCTGCCAGGATGATGATGATGCCGACTCAGCCCTGGGAGACACACAAAGCTCAACAGCGTCTGTCACCTCTAACATCCTCAATTACAGGACCATCCTTGGTCGGAGATTCCATAGCGAACAGGGAGATGCGCATTACTGGTACATATATCTCCCCAAAATTCGGGGAAGTATTCATCGCTGATTGGGATGCGCAAGGGGATCTAATGACGAAAAGCAAAACGAAGCTGCAGATATCAAGTGTGTCGAATCTCCAAGCCGCGTCATATCGTCATCGTTGATCCTAACATGTTGCAAGTCACCATGTTCAGACCCTAGGTCTCGACGGCAAGCTCTTCCTTGCACCTCTTGATGAGAATAAAATCAAGGCGAGTTTTAGTCAGGCAGAGGTTACTACCCTAATCTTTTACTGACACGCTGACCTTCATATACAGACAGTGGTAGACATCGGGACGGGAACAGGTATGGAAATTATCTCTGACAATATTGCATTTCCTTTTATGCCCAGTAATCTAATTCGTGTCACCATGCTATAGGAATCTGGGCTATGTAAGTTGATGACTAATCTTGGCAAGTGATAATACTAACACTCTATCTAGTGACTTCGCCGATGAATACCCTGGTGCTGAGGTCATCGGGACAGACATCTCACCCATTCAACCGAGCTGGGTTCCCCCAAATCTTCAATTGTGAGTTTCTCCGGCCACTAGAATTCCGAAAAACTCCCATTATGGTTCAATCAAATGCATCCCGCTGTGGCTTCATGGTCAGATTTGGTCATAACATGACATTTGGAGAAATCGCTTGACAGAACTCGCTGACCTCCATCTTCTGCCTAGTCAAATTGACGACTGCACCCAAGAGTGGACTTTTGCCCCTGATTCCCTCGACTACGTGCACATTCGTTTCTTGAGCGGCTGCATCGCCGACTGGACTGCTCTGTTCAAGCAAGCCTACAAATGCCTCAAACCTGGTGGAATTATCGAAACCATGGAGCCATCAGCAAACATAGAGAGTGACGATGGCACTGTTGAAGAAAGCAGTGCCATGGGGCAGTGGGGTAAGATATTCATCGAAGGTGGCCAAAAGATCGGCCGGACATTCACAGTCTTTCAAGACAATGTCCAGAGCAAGTCTTTGGAAGAAGCTGGTTTTGTCGATCTGCATGAGCACCAGTACAAGGTCAGAATCCTTCAAGTCCATTCCATCCCCATGTCCAAGATATAATAGTCGTTCTAATGTTTTCAACCACAACAGTCACCGATTGGCCAATGGCCAAAAGACCCAAAGCTTCGAGAGATCGGGCAATATGTTCAACTGACCATGGAAGCCGACTTTGAGGGGCTGATTGTCTTCATGACCAATGTTCTGGGGGACTGGACCAAAGAGGACATTCAGGTTTACATTTCTCATCTGCGGCGCGAAATTCGGTCTGGAAAGAAACATGGCTGGTATTGGCAAAAGATCGTCTGGGCCCGAAAACCGGAATAGACATAAATTTCCTCATTTAGCTTTTATTCCAAGAGATTTCTGTCATTTTCCTTTCACATGTAACATCTTATCAACGCAGCTAACGACGCGAGCGCGTGATGGAACTGCAGCTCTGCTACTTTTGTCTGCAATGTTCGATGCGACTGAAGTTTTTTTAGGAAAAGATATTCGCAAGTTGTCCGAACGTCTTTGTAGTGTGCGCCTGCGTGATGCCGGCCGACATGGCCGTAGAACTCATGCCTCCTAGTATGAGCCTGGCCTGCGCTAGGGCTATCGTTGTTGAAAGTAGTGCTCTCTCGTGAGGTTGTGATTTAATTCATTGGAGCGATCGGGAGGTGAGTAGGTCCTTGTACTTATTCTCTAATATAGGCCACCCTATCCAATGAGACCACGGTTACGACAATGGGCAAGATCACGATATGTAACGTAATCTCGCATCAATGTTAAACTAATAACACTACAATGACCCGAGTATGCGCGACAATGATATAATCCCACTCCACTATATAATTGTGCCCGCAATTTATAACGCCAAATGCATTTTTGCTGATTAATATGTACGGATGGGCGGATTACAAATCATGATCGGTCGATACACAATACTCGCCGGCGGCTTAACATTTAATCACACCGTCCTGGCTAGATTCACACTACTCCCCGGCGGCATAACATTTGCACCGCCCTAGCACTTCCGGAACAATGCGATCCCGATTTCTCTTGCCCGTCTCCGATGCGAGGCGCACTATCTCCGTGTTGATTCCTTATTTAACGTCTCGTTGTCAAAGGCAATGAAGATAGCTGGCCCCCTAAGCCAATCTTCATAGTGCTTTCAATTCATCCATCAATCGAGACTCCAGAATAATCATGACCGCTAAAGTCATTACCATCGTGGGTGTCGCCGGCAATCAAGTACGTACCGACACCCTAAATTGCCCACCTCCAAGAAACTAATCGTTTATCAGGGTGCCTCTGTCGCCGATGTTTTTATTGAAGAAGGGGGTTGGCACGTCCGCGGCATTACTCGTGATCCTTCCAAGCCGTCGAGCCAGGCCTGGGCCGACAAGGGTGTCGAACTCATCAAAGCGGACGTAAATGATGTCGACTCACTGAAGAAGGCCTTTGCAGGATCGACTGTGATCTTCGGCGTCACTGACTTCTGGGGCAACATCGGTGATCCCAAAACACAGGAACTGGCGAAGTCGACTGGCCGACCCATCAATGCCATCGCCTACGATATTGAAGTCCAGCATGGTCGCAACATCGTCGATGCCGCAAATTCTACATTGGATACACTGGATCGCTTCGTGCTCTCAACGCTGTCGCCCACGAAGAAACTGAGCAAGGGCAAGTATGCTCACAACTTTCACTTCGATGCCAAGTGGCAGGCAGTGGAGTATCTTAAGGCGACTTATCCGGCCTTAGACAAGAAAACCTCATACCTTCAGGTCGGGCTTTACATGACCAACTGGAAGGCTGATCCCTTCGCTACACCCACAAAGGTAGTTCACAACTTTGCAGGACTTGCATGCGTGTTGAATTGAAGTTGAAGTTGACCTGATCGCAGCAACCCGACGGTACCTTTTTAATAAAGGTGGCCACCGAGGGCGATGCCCCGGTTCCTATGGTCCAGGCACGCCACGACACAGGTACGCGTGCTGTTCCGAGTTTATACCCCAATATCCAGGACTAATAACAGCTCTAGGTCTCTTTACCAAGGCTCTTGTGCACTCTGAACCGGGCAAGATTCTACTCGGATACGGTTCCCTGATAAGCTGGAACGAGTTTGCTGCTCTGTGGGGAAAAGTCCATGGCGTTACCTGTCGCTTTGAGCGCCTTGATCGTAACGTCATCGAATCTGCTGTCCCTGGAGGAATTGGCGAAGAGCTGGCCGACATGTTCGAGTATATTGGAGATTTCGGTTATGATGGCGGTGATCCCAGTGTCGTTCATCCCAAAGATGTAAGCGTTTGACTCCTGCTCATGAATTTGTCTAACAATTGTTGCAGCTTGGGTTGAACATTCCAGTGCTCACGGCAGAGGAGTATATCAAGAGCGAAGTGTGGCCTGGGGTTTAGAAGACTGTCTGCCCAGTGAAAAATTGGACTTGCGTTTAAAGGAGATGTCTAGAAAACAGTCCAATACTACCCCTTATGCCCGATATCAGTAGCCTAGCTGTGCCTCCATTCTAGAAAACTGGTATCTGTGCCCTGATAGCGTGTCTTCAACTCCAAAGCACAATATCCCTAACGCTACGCCCCGAAATGAGCATAAGGAACCCAATGCATCAAGTCCATCTCATCTTCATCACAATTTCGACATCTCTGATATGTCCTTCTTACCTCAAACGTTGCGGTACAAGGGGTTGAAGAACGAGCAACCTTTAGTTCAGGAGACCAAGTCATGTTTGACCACTAGTCCCAGTAGTCTCCAACGGAAGTTGGTCAAACTACTTCGTGCTGGCGGAGTGTACCGTTCAGCCAATTCTCAAGCGCCTTTCTCTCCCTTCTCCCCCTCAATCTCGCCCCCTTATCATGCAGCAACCTCGCTATCTCCTTATTATCCCTACGTATCCAAATTGGGTACAGAGCGTTTCTACCCATTCTATCTCGTGCATGGATGTCTGCTCCACGATCTATCAATAACTTGACGACGACGTATTTCTTCTGCCACGCAGCTATCATAAGCGGCGTTCTTCCCTCAGCGTCTCTAGCTTCAATGTCGGCACTGTAGTCGAGCAATGTAACAACAACAGAGGCACGTCCATAGTATGCAGCTGCCTGGAGCGGTGTCAAGTCCGATATCCTCGGTTCACAAAAGTAGGCCTTGCGGTGAATGAACCTGCGGTATGCCTCAACATTGGCGTCCTTGGAGAGAAGTATCTCAACTAAGCTTGCGTGGCCTTCCGTGGCTGCTAAAAGAAGTGGAGTTTGGTCTAGGAAGTCTCCAAGGTCTATTCTGGCACCTGCTTCCATGAGTGCGACGAGAATAGTCTCGCTTCCTGAGCTCGCGGCAATCGACATTGCTGTTTTGCCGTCATTGTTGATCCTTTCGAGATTGGCTCCCTCGTGAAGCAAAAGTTTCACTGCCTCAAGGCGTTTGTGGCGACAGGCTTGCATCAAGGGTGTAGTCATAGTCATGTCTGCGGACTCGATATCGGCGCCCTTCTCGATGAGCATTTGCATGACTTCCACGTGGCCGGCAGTAGCAGCAATGAAGATTGCCATCTCGCCTTTCTTATTTTCGAACTCGATATCAGCGCCGTGGGTCAGCAACAATCTGGCCATTCCTGTGTGTCCATGGCCGGCTGAGATGCAGAGGGCTGTGGTCGACTGATTGAATCCAGAAAATGACCAGGCAATAGCTGTCTGGTCAATTTTTGCTCCATTGTCAATCAAAATCTGCGCGATCTTCTCATGGTTGTGTTCAGCAGCCACTGTCAGTGGTGTCAGGCCGCCCTGGGTCCAGGTCTCGGCCTTTGCTCCGTGACGGATCAGTAGGCCGACGGCTTCCTCGTTTCCTGACCTGATGGCATAGAATAATGGCGTTCTTTCTTTACTGTCAGGGACATTTGGTGCACTGTCGTCTGTTTCATCCGCTAGAATCTCATTCATGGCCTCTGTCAGACCGAAATACGCGGCAAGATGAAGACCTTTCAACTGAATCTGACACCGAGAAGTCATTTCCAAATTGGAAGCAATTTCCAGACGTTCACTGAAGTCAAAGCCCATACATGGAGCCAATGCCGGGCTCAAATTGTCTCGCCTCAGGAAGTCAATGACCTGCCTCCTCCGCTGAGCACGCGAAGGGGCATGAGAGAGTTGACGACCCCAGTGTTCTGCGGCGTAAAACTGTAGTGAAGGAAGCGCCCAATTCGCTACCATCAATGTGGCCAAGCAGGCACATGCTATGGTCCATTCAGCATCAGGAAACCAGTTTCTCTTTTGTGCTCGAAGTACTCTTGTGTGGTGTAATGAACCAAACGAACGATGTTGCTTTTCTCATCCACTGTCACTAGTCCATGGCAGACCGAAATGATGCCCTCCAGCTCAGGAATGTTGTCCTCCTCCAACAGCAGCTGAGTTTTGTCAATTGCCAAAGCATGCGTGAGCTCCACTGTCTTCAAGGGCTTGCTGACGTGGACAATCCACAGCAGGGCTTTCTGGGCGAGCTCTCTGCATCCTTGTCTTTAATTCTGGATCCTCTCCATAGCTTGGTCGTATGCCTGTGACAAGGCCTGGAGCTTTTTATCTTCTTCGGTGCTCGAGCTGATACCCTGCTTCCGGAAGTAGCCAAGAGTGGCTCTGACTGCCTTGGGCGTAAGTTTGTCTTCCAATGACGACGCGTATATCTTCGCCAACAAGAACATGCCGTTGACGGCCTCCAAGACTGTGTTCTTGATCTCCTCTTGCAGCTGTGGGCTCCTTCTCACACATCCAGGAAGTGTGCTAAGGATACTATCTAGGTATGCTTGAATATCCTCGTTAGAGGCTCGAATCTCGACTGTTATGGCTCCGGCCTTGGTGAAAGTATTTCGTATCTCATAAATGAATCGAGATGTTGCAAATATGTTCAACTTCTCTCTTTGTTGAAGACGACACAAGACGAAGAGAATCTTGGCTCTGAGATTTCCGCTAGACTGACATTCATCTAGGGCGTCAACAATGACAAAGAGCCTTGAGAATGAAGGCAGCGCTGCAATGGCGTGAAGCACATTGAGTAACTCGTCGGCGGTTGCCTGTGTCCCGCGTGGAGAATGAGTATCGTATAAGCTTTTGAGCTCTCCAGCAGCAAATGAGTCTTGTTGTGCTAGCTGTTTGACAAGACCAGCGATTAGGTGGGTGAAAGTCTGCTCTTCGGCGCGGCGAAAGTTGAAGTAGATGCAGGCGATGCCGACACCTTCAGCAAACTCGGGGCGTGACAGGAGATGGTCGACTACAACTGCCGTCATCATGGTCTTTCCTGCTCCGGGAATTCCTGGGCAAAACAACGTCGCGCCGGGCGTTTCAAGCCACCGCTGAAACTCTTGAGAGTTGAGAAGCCACTCGCCAGTGTGCGGCTGCCGTCTCACAATCAGATCGCTCTGTTGAACGCCATAGTCGACCGGACAGAGCCATGTCAGCACTGTTCGAAGCTCTCGATCCTCGACGTGTTGTATGAGCCTGACCGTGTTGTTCCTGGCAATTCGGTGGTGGAAGGCATTTAGGAGGCCAACATTTGAGCTAATTCGTCCTCGGATATCACGAATATCGTCTGGATCCCATTTGAGTCTTTTCCAGACTCGTGTCGCATTGTCCGAGGCGCTAATACTGCTCTTTCCTAACACCCGGTTTGCGTTGGCGATCTCGGCCAGCTCATCGAGGATATTACGGCATTGGCAGGCTGTTTCTAAAAGGTCCTTGGCGTCTTTGTCCGATATATGTCCTGTTGAGACGCACACATCAACGTCCCCGAGCACGATTGACAAGCTTCTCATTCTACAAAAGTCCAGTTAGATACGATAGCGCGAGGTCAGGAGGGGTGTGCTACTCCTCGTTTATTTCTCTCCATTGACGGGGAGCGTCTGCAAAGTCGCGCCGAAGCTTGTGGCAAAACTCGACGGCTTTGATAATGTCACCGACGCCGAAACCGAAACTCATTTCGTCTCGTGCTGTCTGCGCCTTCGTGTTGGGGATGTGAGAGTTGATTGTAGGTTTACTCCGCTTATTGCCTAGTATTTTAGAACCTCAGGCCCTCAATTAACTAAGCACCCTTTGTTTTTATTTATCTCGACATGCTCTATTTCGGGCTATCAGCAAGTAAGCCTTGCCACGAGACTTTGTCTTTACAACCGGAAGGTCAACGAGGCATAAGAATGGAAAGATCATCGTTATGTTTACTGGCGACAGCGCCCTATAGCCCCCTAGCGCCTCCAAAATCAACTTGCTCGCAATACTACTACATGGGGCTGTGGCTGCCCTCTCTCATTCTTGGAGAACAGCTAAGAGATGAGGCTGGTCGGACTATTTGCTTTCAAGAAACAGGCGCCTTTCTGCACACAACCACCAGCCGAGTAGTCATCTAACTGCTCATCCTATGTATCGGAAGCTTAGTGCTGAAGGGAAAAACATATTCAGTAGTTTGACTAGTGCTACTTCCATCAACATGTCCAGCAACTTAGGCCATGTCATCTTTGCGATGTATGCCCGCCTTGACCGACAGCCTATCTAGGCTAGTGGCGTACCTAGTAAGGTGCTCAAAATGAGCCTTCAGTCAATCCAGCAAGCCCCATGGCGGCGAAAACGAGCGAGCCAAAAAGACGAAAGAGGCCTGTGGACTTGAGACCCTCATTCCAAAGCAGAATGCAGTCGACGGGCCCAAGATAGCCACCTATAACAACCAGGAAAGTGTCAAGCACAGAGTACTGGCGCCGGGAGTACAAGATAAACATGAGAATACCGAGACACGCCGTCCGGGCGTTGCCGATGTGCCAGACGGGCCAAGTCTCTGGGACATTGGCAATCCGAGCCGGCAAGCTATAGTGCAAAAGGACGCTGCGGGTGCCGCCGATGAGAGGCCAGATGGTCCCCCAGCGTTACGCCCCGGCTGTGAAGAGTGCGGGGATGTGACGGTATTGGAAATCTTGAAACATATTAGGGTTTGAGATTGACAAGAGAGAGTCGATGCGAGTTGGATTCATCCTCTAGTTGGAGCCAGTGATTTGAGGAAGAATAGGAATTCAAGATTCTAAGCCAAGATGTATCCTGCAACATCACCCTCAAATACTTCAATCTTTTCACCTTCCTTCAGGCTTATCTCAATTTCCATCAGCTTCTGCCTTGGCGCTTATGGTTCACGGCAATACAAGGGTTTGTCTGACGTGATCACAAAAGCGCGGGATTATCCGGTATGGGGTGAGATCCACGCTGCGGCAGGGCCATATCACACACGAAGTTATCAGAGTTTTACCATACCAAAAGGGTAGAACCATCGGTAATCGCAGTGGCACAGTAGATGTAGCACTTAGGCCATCTTCCAGTTCAGCGGAAGTACGTCTCGGGAACACTGGCTAGCCTGAGCTCACGCGGCATGTAGCCTGACAGTGAGACCACATATTCATCAAACCACGCTTGACTTACTCGATTTGGTGTGATGCATCGCGCACACGTCATGACATAAACGCGTGCGCCAATGACAATGGAGAGAATCGCCGTGGTACTGAACTAAAGCGAGGTCTCATATGCATTAGTCAGATCATTCTGCCAGGATAGTGTCACAATTCCTGGGGTATGAATCACCAGATCGTGAACATCTTCTCTATACTCTTCGTCTGGATAAAACGAGCTGTGTATATAACGCCGCTTCTAGCTCAGCGTCCAAACCACGCCTCCACCCCATTTTTGCCTCGAGCCAGCTGGATACAATGGCTCACGTTTCGCCCGAGGTAGCTCAAGCTATCTCGCGCCAAAAATCCCGCTACGGGAGATATGCCGACACTAAACAGTGGGACAAGTTTGAGCACGAAATCGCACTTCCCGACGCACATTACACCTTCTACGGCACTGACGGCGAACTATTGACGGTGGGAAACAAAGCCTTGGCCTTTGAAACACCGAAAGCCGTTTCAGCCTACTTCAGCAAGTTCTTTGCCGAACTGGAGACGTTGCACAACATCGGCCTTGGGGACTTTGAGCAAGTGGCGCCTGACGAAGTCAAGGCCGTGTTCGGGTTCGAAGATCAACTCTTGTCCAAGTCGCTGGGAGCATGGGTTGAGATAAGAGGCGGGGGTTTCTATTACGAGACCTGGAAGCTGGTTGATGGACAATGGTACATTAGTGAGTTGAAGATGGAGCGAACGTACCAAAAGGAGACACTTCTGGTAAAGATTGCGCTGGCTCTTGGAGGTTTGCTTGGTGTATCGTTCTGGGATTAGCTATTTCTTTATCGACACATTGTTGGCTTCCAAATCCTAGTCCAGCGGTGCTTTTGAGCTTATGCAGACTCTTACAACTACCCAAATATTTCGACAAGTACGCAGCATGCAGGCGGACACAGACGAAAGGGCGGCACGAAGCGAAACTGGCATGACGTCCCCTGAATTGCCGTCATATAGATAAGAAGCCACTACTAGAATAGGTCTAGGAAGTGGTTTATTTTGCCTCCTTATCTAATGTTGACTTTCGGTCGAAATCGCGTTCCTGACGATTTCGCTTTGCCTTCTTCCTTTAACGTACGAGTCTCCGCGGTGGCTGGTTTACAAGGGCCGCTCGACCGAGGCGAGTAGACTGGGTTCACCAACAAATTGACATCGCTAATCGGATGCGCGCAGGCCTTGGCAGTGATGGGCCATCTACACGCACACGGGAACTATCATATGACCCATGTTCATCCGTAAGACCGGCTGGCTTCTGTGGATCAAGCTTTTTCACTGCATCCCCTCTGTGACTACCCTACACCATCATGGCTGAGGGTATCTATTTCCAGCCGTGGTATTTACTCCTGCAAAAAACGCATTGATACAAGCCGAGCCCAACTTACCATTAATTGACACAGAATTTCTAGGATGAGCATGGGAATGTGTTACTGCCCAAGCATCAGGGTGGACTCTACCAGAGACTTGTTACAGAATATCACTTTGAAATGGAAACACCATTCTCCATATCATCCCCTTCAACCCCGCAGATCGCGGACATCGGGTCGATGAATCCGGCCGATGCCAAGAGCTAAGCTGTAGCGCCCTTAATTTATCTCCTCGGCTCTTGATCACCGAATCCCGTGGCCAATCATAGGAGAGCAATCGTATATACCCCATGTTGAGTCAATCGCTTGACTGCCGAGGTGCCTTTCTTACCTTGACATCGCTATTGATACAGTTGATGAAAAATCTTCAAAGTAAATTTATCGAACCCAGGGCTCATCATGTCAACGTTTCGGGATACTCTTCTTGCTCGCACCGCACCCGATGGCGATCTCTTCGGCGTGGTCACAGCAGTTGCCGACCCGACAGGTACGTTCATTGACTCTTCTGGGGCCGCCCTCGTTAATTATTCGACAGGCCGCCTGGTCTTCACTTGCGCAGGCGGTCGGCGCAAATGGGACAGTTCTGAACAGCCGGATCTCGACACCACCTACTGGGCCTACTCCTTCACCAAGCTATTAACGACCATCGCAGCTTTACAGTGTGTGGAGCGCGGCCAGATTGGCCTTGATGATGCCGTTGAGGGAATTCTCCCAGAGTTGAAAAACCCGCAAATTATCGGCCCCGGCGACAATGAGGCTGGTACCCAGTTCACACTAACTTCGGCAATCGGTAAAATCACCCTTAGACACCTGTTGACCCATACCAGTGGCGTCGGCTACGATATCATGAACCCGCTTCTCCTTGCCTGGCGCGAATCCCGAGGCGAGTCCACCATGTCAATGTGTGGCGATGTTGTCAAAGCATACTCGATGCCCCTGCTGTTTGAACCTGGCGAGTCATGGGCTTATGGCGGAAGCCTGGATTGGGCTGGACAGGTGGTAGAGCGCCTGACAGGTCAGCGGCTGGGCGAGTATATGCAAAAGAACATCTTTTCTCGCCTGGAAATGAAGAATACCACTTTCAACGTCATCGAGAACCCTCACGTCAAGCAAAAGGTCATGGATATGGTTATGAGATCAACAGATGGCAAGCTATCTCCCATAGACAATATGTACCCCGAGGATGCTAAAACCGACAGCGGAGGGATGGGCGTTTTGACTAGCGTGGGTGATTACATCCAGGTCGTGGGCGACTTGATCAAGGAAAAGCCGCGGCTGCTCCAGTCCGGAACAAGAGATCAGATGTTTGAGCCCCAGTTCGAGGCTATCGGTAAACAAACTGACGGTCTCATGGCCATGGGTGTACGTGTTCCCAGCCCCCATTCACAGGTTGTGCTGATTGATGAAATAGTTTATGCACGAGAACCTGACCGGAGGGGAGAAATCACCGGGTGCCTTTGGATTTGGATTAGGAGGGCTGATTACGCTGAGAGATACACCCAATCTGCCAGCCGGAACGCTGAGCTGGGGTGGAATGCCAAATCTTGCGTGGTTTGCAAACAGGAAGAAAGGTGTTGCAGCATGCTACGGATGCCAAGTCATACCCCCTTCGGATGAACCCAGCATGGCGTTGCTTGCAGAGTTTGCAAAGGAAGCTTGGAAACACAGCTTAGACAATTAGACCCTGAAAGATCGAGACCGGTGATTTAACACTACAATCTTCCTATAACGTAGTTGGCCCGATCCATACATATTGCCCTCTAGTCATTTAATCCTGCCCACTTCTTTGCCATTATCACCAACATGTCCCTAACACCACCCGCAGACAACTGCTGGATCCCTAGAAACCTGCTGTCGTCCTCGCTAAATTGATTACCGAATCCCTCACCACAGCCACCCTTGATAGCAAATACGTGGAAAATGCTCATGTTGGGCACACCCGGTTTCTGCTGCTCCATTACCTTTTTCTCGAGCTCCTGCTTCCATCGTTACGTCATACTCGACAACGAGAATCTGGCGAAAGCATGTGTGGCGAGGATTGTGTGATGAACGAGGGCGGGTAGACAATTAGATTGACTCCAGCCACAGACACAAAACCAACAGCTCGAGTTTTGAGTCGGAGTGTCAGACAGCCTGATAGGGACTGTTGGAATCTGACCTGTTATATAACTGACGATCTTACGATATCTGGAACGGCTTCCAGGCCGGCTGCTAGGAATCCGGTCTGGACCAGGTCTCAGGGCCCGGCTGCTAGGAATCCGGTCTGGACCAAGTCCCAGGGCTCCGGCAGGTAGGTCTTCCGGCCTCAGACCTCCGGACCTCGGGCCCGGAGGCCGACCTCATCCTCATCTATAAAGACCGATCCCTAGCCCTTCGATAGATAGAGAAATCAAGCAATTCCATCGTCACTAAAGCTGTCTTATCCAATCCATCCTTTGTCTGATACGGAGCATTATGTCATTCGATCGCGCATTGACCCATCCGTTTTCAAGGATCGTTATCAAAGTTAGATAGCGTATCGCGTTGTCCTTTGCAGTATGGTGCAAATACTAGAGCCAACCTTAGCTCCAGGGTGGCGGAGTCGGCCAAATAGAAGTCCCACTTCCGACTCTTCACATCCGTCTTTTACATAAAACCGCCATCGAAGTATATATTCCCCCCGACTTTCTAATCTCCTTCCCTCCATCCTTCTGGAAGTACCGGCATTAGTCGATTACTAATTGCTATCGGGACTGAAGCTTGTTTAGGCTGGTGGACACGGCCTCCCCTTTATAAGTAAACGATTGGGCGCACCCAAGCGCGTACTTGAGGTACTCACCAAGCACTTCCCAGTTATCAGCATCACTGGTATTCGACCCATTATTTGATCCAGAAATCCGACCCTCACCTCTTCGATCTCGTCTATCTCACTTTCTCACGCCGGCCTCGACACGATGCGATTCTCCCCGGCGGAGGATATTCCAGACCTGTCTGGCAAGGTCATTATCGTGACCGGTGGCAGCAGTGGACTGGGCAAAGAAAGCGTGCTTCAGCTCGTAAAGCACAATCCCGCAGCCATATACCTTACCGCCAGAACGGCGACACGCGGCAACGCCGCCATCCAGGATATTGAGAAAGCCGTCCCGGCAGCCAAGGGCAAGATCAAGTTCCTCGAGCTCGATCTAGGGTCGTTCGCATCGATAAAAAAGGCCGCTGACAGCTTTGCAACCCAATCCGAGCGTCTGGACATTTTAATGAACAATGCGGGCCTAATGGCGTCCCCTCCCGGTCTGACAACGGATGGCTACGAAGTCCAGTTCGGCTCCAACTACATGGGACCGGCGTTATTCACCAAGTTGTTGCTCCCAACGCTCACGAAGACGGCTGAACAGAAAGAGGGGGATGTTCGTGTGGTCAACTTAAGTTCCGAGCTGTTCAAGCAGGCACCGAAGGAAGGAATACTGATCGAAGGCTGCAAGACCCCTCTCGAGGGAATATCTGGGCTGGCACGCTATGGCCAATCTAAACTTGCAGATTACTACCATACCCGCACCTTGAGCCAGAAATACCCCGCCATTAAGTTCATGGCGATTCACCCTGGAGTAGTGAATACCGGCTTGCTCGACGATCTGAAGACAAGGCGCCCCTGGCTTGGCCGATTAATTGGTGTCGTTGGATCTCTCATCCTCACGGACGTCCACGCAGGAGCACGATCGCAACTTTGGGCGAGCACCACGGATCGACAAAACATCAAGAGTGGCGCCTTCTATAACCAGAAGATGAGCGAGTACAAAGACGCCGTCCTAGGCAACGACGAAACCGCCAAAAAGTTGTGGGACTGGACTGAACGAGAATTCGAAAGCCACGGGTTCTAGGAATTCCAGGCAGTGAGAATACCGACCAGGCGGTCAAGTACGGGGAAATTCACGATGAGTAATAGTAGCTAGGGTAGCACATTAAATAATATCATATTGTCCTAACTCTTGTATTTCCAATTCCCAATGAGCGCCTGCTAGAAACACTTGGCTATTCCCGGACGTGATACCGTATAATCTCAATCAATCCACCCAGCCTAGTATCCTCGCTATGGTACTCCGATCAGATCAGTTATCTGTAATTCTACTATTTATGGGAAACCCCGGAAAATGGAGATGCTAGGCTGGGCGAACTTATTGAGATTTTACGGTAGCTTTCCAAGCATGGATGATGCCCCTTGGAATCGCTTTAGTCGTTGCAAGCGCAACCAGTTAGTAACACTCAGAGGCCCATCTGGGATTCTTCCTGCTATACTCCTGTCCTTCATCTAATATTTTCCCCTCTTCACTCCAACTTGTTTAGTTAGGTAGAGTGGAGTCATGCGAAAGTGTGCTTAGTGCGGAAGAGCTGGCTACCGTCAACGGCTATGTATCGTGGATGAAATAGTCGACGTTTCCAAGCCTTGTTGTAGGATCACTGATACAGGGCCAGAAGCAGAGCACTTAAGCTGTGATTCAGAACCTTAAGTGGTGTGTAGGTTGCCGAAGATCGGCATCTACAGGAAAACTCGGCCGCAAAGAGGTACCATTTTCCAGCTGTAGGAGTGCGTTTCATACTCAAGAAAATATGTCAGTGAGCAGATCGGGTTAATACAAAGATAGGAGAAGCGAATAGATTTCGCTGGGATGATCGCTAAATGTAAGTCGGATTAATATGGGCAATCATTATCCCGATGATCACCAATCCACATATATTATTAGTAAGGCCAGGCGCGGACAATTTACATAAAAAGTCCGTCTCGAGGACTCAACGAATCTTACTACGCAAAGTCTATTGCGCGAAGTTGTTGATCTGATACAGCATATTCCAGTCCGCATGTTATTCATGAACGGAGATTTAGATGCCCTTGTGTAAATTGCACAACCCAACCCCTTATATTTCAGAACAGTGTGCTGCTCATGCCGTTTCTCCTTACCTCTAGCTGGCAATCAAGCCTACAAAAAAAACCTCCGTGTCAAAATAAATTTAAACTTTCATGATTCGTTTCGTTTGAGAATACTGGACACGCGGATCCTCAAGACCAGCCCGAAGAAGCACTAGAAGTACTCAAGCAGTGGTTGAGTGAGTAATGCCTCACAGCTTTCATGGTGCAAAAAGCATGATCGGTAGAAAATGCCGTGTAAAGCGGAGCAAGCCTCGATACGGCTCAGCAAGAACATGGGCTGCGTGCAGGATAGGTTCCCTGTTTGTGGCGAGGTCGATCCTGGTCCGACTCGTGGTCTAACATTCCAGACTCATCGTCTCGGAAAATGATACCTTTTCTGGCTTCAAGTCAGATCAACTTAACCAGTTTAGGCAACTCTGTGGTGAGAATGAGACTAACCTGATTTGCTGAGCATGTGCGCCGCTCGTAAAAGCAATCACAAGTGCGCAACACCGCTTCGTGATGAGGAAAAGAAACTCACCTCAAAATGCACAAAGCAAGGTTGTGAGTAATTTAATTGTCGTAATCTTGTCACTTCACTGTTTTCACGCTTCTGGAGCATGATTAACCCAAGCAGTATGTCGATACTTGACCGAAAGCATTTCAATTATTTCTTGTATGCCATGCTCCCATAATAATTAAATTCGCCTTTGCCGAGTGATAGATAATAGGTAATCATTTGACTTCTCATTTTTTACAAGGGTGTTCATAGCTGTAGAATAGAAGATATAGCAACTCCATGATGTCAACTGAGTAAAGATGCAGGAAGCCAACCTCCCAGAACCCACTACTTAATTGGGTGAGCAAAGGTTTCCAGTACATCGATAAGTATTATATAACCCAAACTGTCAAAAGAATTGACCACAGTTTCACATAACCTTCAAGGTACCCTCCTTTTCTCACATCGGCTTCTTTATGTTTAGCCGACGGGGCACTGCGCCGTAAGATGGCCATGGAAGTGATGGGTCTACATCTTAGATAGGATGCGAAGGCTACAGATTCCGCTCCTAAATTACACCTCTTTTAAGTATATTCTTGCCATGACACTTTCCCGAAAAAAGATTGACCTTGATGCCTTGGACGAACGTGTGCCTCATCGCTTAAACTATCCTAAATAGGTAATCATAAGCAGCAGTCTTTCTCCAATCATTCTCTGGATTCTCGTCTTACAAGCATAAAATTGAACAAACCCTTGGAAGATGACCCTGTATTACGAAACCTCCGATAGATTGATATGCTGACCTTAGTCAGAGAGATGACAGAAAACCCCTCTTCCGCCCGTCGTGTCGGATCCAGGTCAAGATCATCATCAACATTATCATCATTGTCTCGAACGCTATTGCCCTCGCCAAATTGACCGTATCAGATCCATCACTAACTGCAAACCCAATTTGTCTCGACTGAGTCTGATTCCACAATTATTAACCAAAGAGTTCATTGCAAACTCGACCACCGCCAGAATGTCGAAACGAATTATCGTCACCGAAGAGGCCCCCAACCCTATGCCATCAGTCTTCCCTCAAGCCGTAGTGGCAAATGGTCTCGTCTTTTGCTCCGGAAGCATCGCCATGGACCCAAAGACATGCAAGATAATCGATGGCGATATTAAAGCCCACACGGTATGAAGTGCCCACCTGCAATAGAAATCTTGGCGCTGACATTTACGCTTGTTGCGAATATCGTAGCATCAAATCATTAAGAACATATCTGCTGTTCTTGAAGCCGCTGGGTCTAGCTTGGACAAGATCGTGAAGATGAACGTCTTTATTACCGATTTCACCAACTTTGGCCAGCTAAATGAGGTCTACACCCAATACTTCAAAGGGGCAGATCTTCCTTGCCGGACGTAAGTCCCCCACTCATATTACGCCTCACTATCATCATGGCTGGAATTTTACCCCGGAAAGTGTGTGTGCTAACCACTTTCGCCATATAGCTGCGTCGCCGTCAAACAACTGCCATTTGATACTGATATTGAAATTGAGTGCATCGCTCTATTGTAGCTGTGGGATCAATTTGCGAACTGCTGTGGGAGACGTTTGGGTGAAAGAACTCGGTGGGGCCGAAATTGCTGGCAATATCCATATAGTACCTAGGGAGAGATTCATTTCAATACAGCTATAGATTACTCGAATACCTAGCGTAGATACATAATATTTCTGCTATCTGAAATTTGCAATTGGTTCTTGACGAGCAAGATGCACAGCTAGTTTAGTGTCAAAGTAAGGAACTTAGCCAGGCGATGCAGAGACTCCTCGACTATATTGCAAACGGAACATCACGGCGTTCTCTCTTCCACTAGCCCAGGACGCGAGGTCTTTACACACAATACAAAGACCTCATTATAACCGCACATGTTCGTCAGCCCAAAGCGCGTTGCTGGATATCAGCTGGTGAATCAGATGAAGTCGTGCCCGATACTGACTAGCTACGACTGGATATTTCCCGAAGCCGATCTCACTTCTGGGGGCTCTCCACCCTACCACCTATGCCATATCATGGTGTTCATGGAGACAACAAGAGTAAACTCAGTCTCCGATGACCCATCGCGATATGGGCCCTATTAATTACTGGTTTCACGAGCGTATCGATCGATGACGAAGGTCCACAAAAGAATGGAGTGGAGGCAACAGGAAGGGGATGGAGATGAACGTGTGGAAGGCCAGCGAGCGTGTGAAATTGTGCAGGGAATTAAGCGCCGTCGCTATGGAAATGCAATCCGCCACGACCCGACTAATGGTACATATCGTGAATAGCAACATCTAGGTTTCCCAACATGGTGTGTCTGTGCGGACCACAGAGTCCTACGCCAATGGCCATCGGACTCGTGGTTTCCAAGATGCAGACTGACGGGTCTATCGCATCCTTTGAATCCATGAGGGCTCACAGATGTTCAAATTTTGAAGGTCGTGCTGAGGCATACCAAGACGAGGCTCGTCATGCAAACGAAGAATGTAATAAAACGCTGCTGTTACTAAATGATATAGCATGACACATGAGTGTGAATATTCCTCGAAAGAACCGAGAGACCCTAAACTATATGGGAAGCTCGCCCGCGTATAAGAGGTCTACAAATAAATGTGGTTTGGGTAGATGGCCAAGATTCAATTGGCGATAAAGCATGGAGCGAGGACGTCAATGAGATTGCATGGCGCTTTAATCGCCCAAAGGACATTTACATGTAATAATTGACATTTCCTTGAAATATCTTTCGACTTGATGTGAGAAAAATTAAATGGAGGACTTTGGCGACATCTTTATTCACGGTGGTAGGTGGAAAAAAAGGTCGAGCACTGCACTTGTAGACCACATTGCTCATCATGCATCTCAAGAGCATTCTTCTCGCCTCCGTCGTCGGTCTTGCCGCCGCTGTCAACCCTGGTGGGACTTACACAACGAAGTCCTGCGTTACCACGTTGGGCACGAAAAGCGTGCGGCCGGTTCCCACTGCCACCTCAACACACAAGAAGACGTACACAGTCCGCCGTACCACAACTATCCAGAACACGGTTACGATCAAGCCCCGCGATGCTACAGATACCGTCACGAGCACCACCGTCGTGACCGTCGAAGAGGCAGGACCGACCGCTACGGATACTGTTGAAGTGGTGGCTACCGAGTATTCGACTTCGACCGTTACCGCCGACACCACCACTTTCACTGAAACAAGTTCCACCTCCACCTCCACCACCTCCACATCCACGTATACCGCGCCAACACCTGCTGGGTATATCCCGATCCAGAGCAGCCTACCAGGCAATTCGATGAAGGGACTCGCCGGGATTCCCTCAGGTTCCACGGTTGTCACCAAGCGCGACGAGGCCGCATCGCCTGGGTTCACGGAAGGAAAGCCATGCTCTGGGCCCTTGGCGGCACGACAAATTCCCAAGAACGGCGTGTGCCCTCTTCCAGGAGACAAGAAGGGACAGTACCAGCAGAAGTACGCTCAGAAGGTGCAGTGCGATGTCACCACCTATTTTCCCACGACTCTGGTCGTGACCAGGACGAAGCCAGCTCTTACCACTACCCTCTCTACCTCTACCAAATTGGTCACCGCAATGACTACATTGACGAGCACCAACACCGTGTACCCTCCTGACGTCACGGTTCAAACTACATCCACCTCTACCTCTGTCATCGAAGAAACCGAGACGCCCAGCACCACCGTCACGATCACCTCTACTACGACCAACACTGTGACTGCTACCGCTACTAACTATGCCATTTGCGACGACAGCGCCAACTACGCCGACAGCCAGAATAACGATTACGGTCTCACGTTCCCTCAAATCGTCACTCTCCGCAACGTGGTGTACGCCGCTGCCACAAGCGCCTGGCAATGCTGCAATAATGTGTCGCGGATTCCACCTGTGTCACTCCTATTTACGCCGGTGGTTCAACCTGCTATCTTTACAGAGTTGCTGACGGAACCTGCCCTGTGGGCAGCCCTTGCTCTGGCACCCTTCGATATGTCCCGGGCTCTGCTTCAGCTCTTGCAACATATATGAACAGTGGTCGCGTTACTTTCACTGGATATACTTCATAGGATAGTATAATATGGTACATTGGGATAGGTTTTAATTTGCATACCTGCACGGCTATGGACTCGTGCAATGAATCTTTCTGGAGCTACCTGTGGGCGCGAGTTTGACCTTGGGAGGTTATAGCATAATGCATAGCGAATTGTACCTTAATTTGGAATGTCTTTGCTTCTACAGGCTCAACATTTCTAAAGCCTAAATCTGAAAGGGGTGTTGAACACGTCAGAAGGGTGATTTCTCGCTTTGTTCTGCAATCTTCTCTCATTGTTCTGCAATCTTCTCTCAATCCTCGTGCACTAAACAAACTACCTACCGTATGGATGTATCGCCAACTTAATACCTGCGGCTGTAGCATGCACGATTGCTCAACAGTAGTGTGAAGTGACGACCGACTTCAAGATGAGATGCTTCCTCTGCACGCCGGCGAGGTTGCAATGGTACGGCCAATGGCTTAGCACGGTGCCAGCTATATTTCTGCCGCCAGCCATGTTTATCGTCTTTCATGAAAGGTTACAGCTGTGTCCTGGATCGATCACAAGCAACAGCTTGTGCATTTAGCACTCCCGCAGCGGCCTCATATCGAGCTGTTGCCTCTGCCATGCTCAGCTAACATTCCCCATTACCAGGCATGTTGCATATTCGCCGGGTGTTCGTGAACGCTCACTGTGGCTATTCACAGCACCAAAGCGTGGGCGCATTCAACCGAGCGCAAGACGTTGCCTCCCAAACATGATAATGGTTGGCATCAGCTTTTTAGTACCACGTCCTAGCATGGGCTCGCGTTGCTGATAGGCGCTGTCGCAGCCACCTGGTGGAAGAAGAAACACTGGAAGCGTATCAAATGTACCCCTTCCCGGTTGCTGCTGTGATAATAGGTGGCGAATTCATTGGCGGGCTCGTGCAGGCTATCCTGAACATTGCTGGTGTGGGCGGGCAGACTAATTATGGCACGACTCTTGGATGTCCTGGCGGTGTCCGTCGATTTTGTGATTTTGTATGAGAGGCGGTAAGTAGTGCCTATACTTGATCACCAACGCTGTATTAGCCGAGCAGAACATTGACACATGGACCATTATGTCGTCTTATCATCTTTTGTTTCCAGAGTACCTATGTGACAGGATAAATGGGGCAAGTATTAAAGCGGTCAGGGCGTGATCATGTTCATCACGCAGGCCATCCAACGATCAAAAATGTAGTTGTGGTAAGAAATTTATAAAAACAAGTCCATAGGTATTCTAGATAAATGAAATATCTATCCCGCTATTTGTTACCGCAATAGGCAAGACCCTAGACCTAACTTACTCGATGGGAAAATCGTCGGTTTCGGTTTAAACATACCCCGGCTATTTAAGTATTCCCATGACGCGTCAGCTCTCCACGGAGCAAGATGTCCAAAGCGGCCAGTACCCGCAGACGAGCTAATTTAATACGAGATCGCCCCTCAGTATTTTTAGACTTCATTAGGTGTTGGGACGAGTTAACGTGGAAATACTAGCGAATAGTAATGTCAGTATTTCTCATTCAGTCGACCGAACGACTGTAATCAATTACCATCTTGTCTTCCGGGTGCGATCAGCATTTGTTGTCGAGTTTAACATCTTGTGGGTCGGTACCGCCAAGCATAAACGAGGCTAATAATGCTGGAATACGAGATGGATGTTACAGGCTAACCTACATTGACTCGAGGCACCATATTTATAACAACCTCGCCTCCCGGGCCCCTAAGCGACTTCAGTCCGGAAAAAAGTCTTGAGGCTTGAACGCAAGTTGCAATACTCAAACATGAGACTCTCAGCACGACTGGCAGGCTTCGCCGCCCTGGCCTTCGTTGCCATCATGATCGTACTGAGTAGTTTGTGGCTCGGATATCGCAACAATGTCCTAAATCCGGACACTCTGTTGGGAAACAGCACTTTTCTGGGTTCGTGGCCTGGTTTTAGGCCCTCGTGGACCACTGAACAGCTCGAGCCTCGCTTCGCCTACGCGCAGTATGCAACGGACCTCGACTACCTGTGCAATTGTGTAAGCCCATCTCGCTACTCAATAGCTAGCTACATGCTGATTACCTTAGGCCATAAATTTTGCGCGTTTGAATATGTTTGGTGCGACGTACGATAAGGTCTTGATCTTTCCAGAGGATTGGTCGTCTGGTGTATGTTATTTATCCCGCAATGGACAATACGGTTATGCTAATCCGCAAAAGTCCTCAAAGGAAGCAATCGCGATGCGCAAGTTCCATTCGGATTACCCAGATGTAGAACTACGCCCTTTCGGCCTTCTCTCGACCGCCAAGGGCGACGCAACGTGGCGGAACAGCCTCACCAAATTCCACGCCTTTGCGCTTACCGATTACACGCGAGTTCTGGCATTCGACTCGGATTCGCTGGTGATGCAAAGTATGGATCATTACTTCCTTGCCCCTCTTGCACCCGTCGCAGTCCCTCGCGCATACTGGCTTAATGACGACGACGCTGCGGTTGGAAAGCAACTAGTTGGGTCGCATATCATGCTTATCGAGCCGAACCAGGACCGGTACAAGCAAATTATTGACGAGGCGCTGGCGTCGGGTGATTTCGACATGGAAATCGTCAACCGCATGTTCGGACGGTCAGCCATGATCCTCCCACACCGACGGCTGGCTATGCTTTCGGGAGAGCTGCGCGCTACAAACCACAGCAAGTATCTTGCGCCGGATGTAGGAGAGGAGTGGAACGCGATGGGGGAGATCTCAAGGGCGTATCTCGTCCACTTCAGCGATTGGCCGTTGCCGAAGCCGTGGAAGCACCGCACCCAGAAGCAGTGGGAGGCCGCGTTGCCTATTTGCCGCGACGATGATGTTGAGACTGAAGACAAGCCGCGGTGTGCAGACCGGTTTATGTGGTCTGGCTTGTACCAGGATTATGATGATGGGAAGGAGAGACATTGTAAATTCAGAGGTTGATGGCCTGTGACTTAGAATCTTAAGGTGGCGGCTTGTTCACTGTTTCTAACCGTTTGGTGGAGAATTCGAATTTTAGAACGTTAACGAAGGCATATACTTTATGAGATTTTCCGCTATGCAATCTTGTCCCTTAAATGACACCTTAATCCTACAAAATAAATACAATCTAATCCTTCGAACCACCTTGGTCAAGCAAAATAACACCGTACCGCAACATTAAACTAGCCCGCTCGCCGTTGTCGCCGAGTTTTTCATCTGATGGACCCATTCAACGTCTCCCTTGAGCGGCTCCTCACAAGGCACGTAATCGAGGACCAATCCTTGCTTAATCTGGCGCGCTGCAACATACTTGAGCAACAGGTACTCCACCAACGGCAAGGCCAGGATATACCGAGCGGCAACGAAATAGTACGAGTTTGACCAGGCGTGCATGCGCGTCGTTTGGGCGGACCGGGTGACGTCCGGTTTGAGTGCGAGCACGCGGTCGGTCTGGTATTTTTGAAAGACCTCTGTTAAAGCCTTGACGCTGGGGTCGCCGCCGGGTGTTTCGAGTACGGTCGTCCGCACACTGTTGATCAGCGCGACGACGTCTTGGATGCCATTCTGGAAACCCAGGCCGGCGTTGGGTGTAAACTTGTGGCACGCATCGCCTACCAGCGCGATCCGGCCCATACTCCAGTGTTGCAAAACACCTTCCTCGAGATTGGCCATCCCTGCAGTCAACTTCTTGGCAAACACGTCCTTGACTTTGAGTGTGTCGGTGACTGGGAAGTCTGCGAATCTGGCTGCGAATGCGTCCACGTCCACGTCGGTGTACGAGGTGCGCTCCGTGGTCGGCTCTGGTAGCTTCTCGTACAGGAAGATCCAGCCGCGCTCGTGGCCTGTGAGATACATGACGGATTGGTCTTTATGCTGTGTCTCAAAGGCTTCGCCAGAGTCCGAGGGCCGCGGGAAGCTGCACCACATACACCGGTACGCGCAAGTATAAGGGGTCTCGGCGTCCCATTCGGCTTGAGGATTGGACTCTAATGCCAGCTTTCGCATCAGACGGCGGGTTTTGCTGTGGACGCCGTCGGCGCCAATCACGATGCTACCTTCGTACGTGCTACCATCTGCACAGGTAACCTTGGCGCTCTGCTTGTCAAACGAAATGTCCTCCACCTTCTTGCCCGTCAAATATTTTTCTCTAGCGTCGCTCGGGAGGCCGTCGTAAAGCGTCTGGATTAGCTGGGCTCGATGGAATGCAATGGGGGCGCTGCCGTGGCTGGATTCGGCGATTAGCGGCAACTTCAGGGCCAGGGTATAGGACTAAGGGCGAAGCATGGCCACGACTCACTTTTGCCTCATGGTCTTGAGGAGAGTGTGGATTTTGAACTCGCGTCCGTCCAGAGTGAAGGCCTTACAATGACCGATCTCGCCGCCTATCGCTCGAAGCTTGTCCAGAAGGCCAAACTGATGCATAACTCGCAAACTTTGTGGTCCAAGAACCAGACTAGCACCTTGGTCCACCACAACACTTTCCCTCCCCTCAAGAATGAGGAAGTCGATTCCAGCCAGGTATAGCGCGTGCGCTGCTGTCAAGCCCGCTGGGCCGCCCCCGATGATGATGGCCTTGAAGCTGGTGAATGCCATGGCGATGGAGGAATACCGGAAAGAGGTGAGGGTGGTGTAGAAATTGGCGATGGTATTAGGCCAAATGGGGAAGTTGAATGTTATCTTGGATATTGATGTATGTTTTCTTAGGCTATGAGAATCTCTTTATATATTCTACAACGCCTACATAACGACAGAAAATGGCCACGGACGTCTTCTGCATGATAGAAGCGGAGTCATTAGGGGTCCCGCGCGGTAAATCGGGCATCGAACAAGTCCGGGTGGTGCATGAATGGGGTCTCGGATGAAGCAACATTGCAGGTGGAGATCAATTGCTCTTTGTGTATGTTGTGGTGATGATCGTTTTTCGGCAACGTGCCGGCCTCACTCAAGTTAAATTATAGTCTGTTGTCCGTGATCCTCGGAGGATTTGCGACTGTCACCAGTCCCGCTCCTGTAATTCGAGCTACTCTTGAGCTAGAAAGTCCTGACACTTCCAAAGAAAGACTCCAGAAGAATCAGGACATGACCTTGTTGCTGTGTCCCAATTAGTGCATCAAGACCCAACTGAGGGCATTTTCATAATGTATGGCTGTGGAGATGACGGAAAAGACGCGGCTTTGCTACTGGCTACGTTACATCCTCATTAAAACAGACGGTATGTTGAAGAAACGCCGTCCCGATTAGTCAGCGGCGAATGTTGGATTGGTGGTGCTTCAGCCCGTCCTCCGGAAAAAAATGATCAGTGGCCACCCTAGACCGCGACGAATATTCTTCGTGGGCCCCGAGAAGATTGGCGAGATACATGTTCCCGATGATTTCAAGTCAAATGCTCCACCCAGAGAGTCGTTGTGTTTCAGGCCTCATTGATTCATGGCTAAGGACTAGAGACCAGAAGCACCGTTCATATCTTGGTGCACAGCTTGGGGAGTCTGCACCACCTGATTTCACATTTGAGGAGCTTTGCGAATTGACTCCAGATTTTTCCTTCCCTTCATTCACTGCGACATTTCCATAAAATAGCTGTGCAAGGTATTATACGACGCCTTTTTGTCCCCCCGAACCCGATGCCGCCTGGCCCAATATCCCGGTTGCTGAGCTAAAGTCGGTCGCCTCACTTCGTCGCACCGACACCCCGACAGCACCGGCAAGTGACTTGCATGCCTTGTCCGGTGAGGCACGCACAGGTGAGATGGACCACTCAGGTAGCTGCTGGGCAGCAACCAGGGAACTCACCTTTATCTCCAAATTTAGCATCGGTTAGGATATGTAAAAATAATAGTCACTGTTTAATTATGAGCCTTCTGATATAGATCCTCAGAGCATCAAGCCTACTCCCACTTATTAATTTAGGCGGGTGACTATCGATCTCTCGCTCAAGCTTCGTTTACTGATTGAATACCCTTGGCATGACCCTACTGAAGCCCTAGCCCCCTTCAAGGATAATTAAAAAGATGATCCCGGATCGTCACAGCACTGGAAAGCCATGTCTCAAACTCGGACCAGCCGTCTTTCCATTAATGAGGCTTCATCTGTCCATTCAATCAGTGGAAAAGCGGCTGCCTGGCGCCACCAAAGCGATGTGTTGTGGCTTAATTCGCTTCCCCGCTCAACCAGCGTCACAATGCGTCAATGTGGTTGGTATTCCCATCGACAAGCGGAGTCATGGGGCTTTCGTTGGCTGTGGCTTGCATCTGGAGCGTTATTGTCGCAAGCTAATTGGGTAACGTTCTCACGATGGACGTTTGCGAAATACGATACGAAATACGGTGCGACGGCAGTCGGGCGCTAGGCTTTCATTCGCGAGGGGAGCCCTTGCTGTGTAAATAAGGCTGAGAGCTTCGATGCATCGAATAGTATAAGATGATTGTCTCGCAGGCGTTAATATTGCACGGTAGCTCCCTATCACATTGGGATTCCATCAATTTCTTGCACATTTCCTACAATCACTTGACACACATAACTGGATCATGACTCCATCACCACATCACGCACACACCAACACTATGGCTACGTCCCTGTATTCAGACCACGACGACAAGACCACCGCAATGCCCATGACTCGCCAACCTCGCCAGACAGGAGGCGAGATGGTGTCTTTTGACCACTTTTCGCAGGAGACCATTGTTCCTCTCAAAGATCTCACTCACTGGCCTAGAGCCGTTGTATGTCCGGCGTGTATGGAGCCATCCATCACGCGTGTTCGAGTCAAGATCTGCACTGGTACACAGTAAGAGCACCTGCCATTTAATCGCTGTATAAGATCGGTATTGACAACCCAACAGTCTAATGGCGATGCTGCTTTTTGTCTGCACAGTTGTCGGGAGCGTGATCCCTTACGCTTCCAAGAATTTCAAGGACGTCGAACACTACTGCTGTCGATGCAATCGCAGACTCGTTACGCATCACTTCCAGACTGGCACAGAGATTCATGTATTTTAGGCTGATGTGTTGTTGCTTGGTTGACGCGAGATGATGAAAGCGGAGCCCCTATGACGAGTAAACAGTTCGATCTGGGGTGGATTGATGAGCTCACAATGTAGACCAAGAAAATACGTCAAGATTCCCATGATAGGATAGGGTCTGTGGGAATTCATAACACAATTATGAACGAATACCAAATGCATTTTTTTCTCTTCATATTCCCCTTTGTTATTTTCAGGATTAATGTCGTTTATGTGACGTTCTGACAAGACTCGAATCCTACTCATGGGGGCGCGCGCTCAGAGGCGAAATACCGACTGACACCAGTGAGGGCTGCCCATATGGACACTGGCTCCCGTCCCCTAGAAACGGAAGTTTCAGAAGATTCAGTAGGGAGTCAGCGCTGCTACTGCATTGGAAAGCTGGCCATAAGCTGGAACAAGGTGTGTTGGATTGATTTCTGGAACAAAAAAAGGCCGCCGGCATGTCCCGAATTTTTCTCGTCTTAGCCTTTGCAGTCATCTGCTGGCTGGCATGGCATTTCTAACGGAAAATCAAGCGTGGGCCGGTCGTAAGGCTGCTGGTTGAACTCATCGCCATGATTCTTGGGGTGCACACGTGTCGCAAATCAGCAGGAAATGACAGCTTGACAATTCACTTATCTATTCCATCTGCAATCGGGACACCTCTGGCAATTTTAAAAAATGGCCTTGACCTCCTTTTTGCTAGAGAGTCCCAACAGGAGATGACCGCGCGTCTTCGCCCACGCTTGGACTAAACAGAATGGCTTCTACGCGCCAGGGGTCGACTGGCAGGAGCTGTTCTCTGTACTCTTCGTCTCGCTAAAGATGTCGAGCATTAAGACATGAAGATGCCAATGCCATTTATTCTTGGCTATAAGCTTATTCTACAAATTCGCCTGGCTCCTAGAATTGCGCCTTACCTGCGCTTTGAGGGCACTCGGCCGGGAGGATTTGTGGCACAGCTGCGTAATGAAGTGGCGCGGTCCCTACTTACTGGACCAGCATTAATTAGCCCGTTTCACAAGTCTCGAAGGATCTCTGGCGTGGCTGTGCCCCACCTATCGCACCAACACGCAAAGTACTACGTAGTGCAGAGGATTGCGTAATGCAGTACGAGTCCGTATCACGAGACCGTAAGCCATCGCCAACGGGCCATTTTATTGGAAAGTACGGATTATTCTGCCTCTCGCACATGTAAAGCTCATCGGGGAGGAAAGCCACCGATTCATTGGGCCTGGAATGGTCGTGGTGTGTGTCGGACAGTGATATCTGGTAAGTGATTCTGTTTAGGGCTGGCTGCGCTTGGCGCTTGGCGGCTCTCTACGCATGTGCTTCTCTGTACCTGGCTCTTGGAAGTAATGTACTCTAACATGTCACTATAGATTGCTTTCGATCGCTACTGATCGGTTACTAATCATTGCTACTCTACCACCCCACCTCACAACATGATTCAATGGTGGAAAGATGAGGCAACCAGCAACAGCACGTGGGCCAACGTCCTGCATCCCCGACGGAACACGCTGAGACTTTTCTCAGTCTTCATTCTCTTCGCCGTCGTTTTGTCTCTATGGGAATTCTCGTCATACCCGTCCTCACTCTACAAGTACGTCGCTACTACGGTTGCCAGACCTGATCATCCTCAAGCCTCCGAGCCGTCAGCTTATGGGAGTGACGTCACGACTACCGTTACTCACGAGGCAATCGAAGCATCAGCGTCATCACCAACCTACCACAATGCATCAAACACTGCCGTCACCTCCCAGAAGCCCCAGTCTACCGGTCCGGCTTCGGAGATGGTCAAGTTCTGGAGCCAATTGGCCAACGAACTATACGAGGCAGAGCCCAAAGGAGAAAAGATTACAGCCCCAAAGGCCCTTTCGCGAGATAAATTCGATCCTTTTGGCGCCACCCCACAGACTGACACCGATGTTCTCAAATTGCCCGACGAGGAGTTTGAGTCGCTGCAGCAAAACCACGCTGACTATGTGGCGGGTATTAAAAAGCTAGCTTCTAGCATTCCCTTCACAAAGAACTCTCGAGGCGTAGTCATGACCTCGAAGTCTGATAGTTTCGGCATTGCGGTCACAGCTATCCTCATGTTACGGCATATCGGGTCGACGCTCCCTGTTGAGCTGTTTCTCGATTCAACAAATGACAACGATCGACGGCTGTGCGAGCAATCACTAGCAGATCTGCAAGTCACATGCTTGGATATGGATAATTTTCTTCGCTTGCCGGAATCTTCCAAATGGGAGACGCCAAAGCTAGAGAAGTATCAGTTCAAGGCCTTCTCTATCCTCTTCTCTAGCTTCCAGGAGGTGCTGTTCCTCGACGCCGACGCATTCCCCATCCGAAAACCAGACTATCTCTTCGACGTCGAACCTTACAAAAGCCGTGGTCTGGTTACCTGGCCGGACTTCTGGTTGCCCACCATATCGCCCCTTTTCTACGACATTGCGGGGGCTCCGATGCCAAATGTTACTCTCAAGTCACGGGCATCTGAATCAGGAGTAATGCTGTACAACAAGGCCAAACACGCCGACAGCTTGCTCTTAGCCATGTATTACAACTTTTATGGACCCAAGTTCTATTACCAGCTCCACTCACAAGGCGCTTGGGGATCAGGAGATAAGGAGACGTTTCTGCAAAGTGCCTTGGTGCTTGGAAATCCAGCGTGGCAAGTCAAGACCCCGCCACAAATGATTACGTCGGAGGGCATCAATTATGGCAGTGGAATATGGCAAGCGGATCCCGAGCAAGATATGATGCAGTATTTGGAGTCTGTAGACTCGGAGGATGAAAATTCAGAAGAGAGTAACGCGGAGAAGAGGGATGAGGTCAAGGTTACAAGTACCATGTTTGTTCACCTCAACAGAGTCAAGATCGACGCTCGACGTCTGAATCTCTTGGTAGCAGAAGTTTTCTCTAAGGAGAGCGATGGGGAATTATCCAGGCTATGGGGGCCTGACAGCGACTCGGTGGTGGAGATGGCTGGCTATGATCTTGAGAAAGTCATCTGGGAGGAGATTATTAAAGCCAATTGTGAGCGGTCGCTATCAGAGGAATGCGACAGGATACGAGAATTTTATAGTAGAGTATTTACAAAATGAAAGTTGCACTCATTTCTTCAGTGCTGCTTAGTGTTCAATCGGGTTTAGATCCTGAATCTGGCGATTGTATTGATCTAGGATGTGCGCACCTGATCTAAGTATTAGGCATTTTATCACGCGAAGAGTAAAGCAAAAATGCCTCACACCCAATACAAAAATGTCGCTGATTGATGGATAAAGAAATGGTGGGGGTGGCTGTGTTGCTTATGCCCAAATACACCGCCCATGTCAGGCTGAGAAGCTGACGACATTCTCTCTCGTCAAGTTCAACTTTTCATCATCATAGCCTCTTATGATTTGACCTGCTCTTTCACTCTGATCACAGCCTCTGCCTCCCTGTGATGCTGGTCATGTACTTGTTGAGCAACTGTTCAGTCACTAAAAGACTCTGCAACAAAGCCAAACCGACCGTCCCAGTGCGCTTTGGTCTTTCATCTTCCTGAAGATTTCACGAAGTTAAGCCAAGGAGATATCGCGACAGGCGGAAACACTGGCACCGAAAAGAGGAAAAAATAAATTCCGCCAAAGGGCGAACAGGCATCAGAAATTCTTCAGATCAAATGCTTTCAAATGGAGACTACACAGTCGGCTGGATATGTGCCATTACCGCCGAGCTTGTCGCTGCCCGAGCTTTCTTTGACGAACAGCATGAACAACCCAGAGAAGTTACACAAAACGACAACAACAATTATGTCCTGGGGAAGATCGGACCGCATAACGTCGTAATCGCCGTCTTACCTCAAGGCGAGTGCGGCCCATCCTCTGCTGCAACTGTTGCGAGAGACATGCTACACAGCTTTCCAAACATCCGCATTGGATTGATGGTCGGTGTCGGCGGTGGTGCCCCGAGCCCAAAGCATGATATACGCCTCGGGGATATTGTCGTCAGCAGTCGCGGCGATGGGAATGGCGGTGTGTTGCAATACGACTACGGCAAGACAATCCAGAACAGTTCCTTCGTGGAAACAGGCTTTTTGAACCAGCCGCCACAGTCATTATTGACCGCAGTAAACACCCTTGAGGCTACATATGAGATGCAGGGCCATGAACTTGACAATGATGTTGAGATGGCATTGAAGAACATCAAGAGGCGAAAGAAATACTGCCGACCCCACGCAAGCACCGACAGGCTGTTCCGTCCCTCTTTCACACATCCCCAGAACTCTTTTGCAACCTGCAGTCAAGTTTGCAGCGACGACCTAGCCCACCTGCTGACCCGGACCGCACGGGACGAGGATGAAAACAACCCTATGATTCACTATGGATTGATCGCTTCTGCAAGCACTCTGATGGAGGATGCCATCATTCGGGATACCCTGGCCGCAGAAAGGAATGTCCTCTGCTTCGAGAGGGAGGCCGCAGGCCTGATGAACCACTTTCCCTGCTTGGTGATCCGTGGAATATGCCATTATTCTGATACGCACAAGAACGAAGACTGGCAAGGATTCGCAGCTATGGTGGCGGCGGCTTATGCAAAAGACCTTCTGCGTCAGATCCCACCTAAAAAACTCGAGGCCGAGACGAGGATCGGGGAGCTTCTGTCTGATGGTTAGTTATCTTTAGGGTTTTGATATGCCATTGTCGTTGTTAATAATATATTAGTTCTTAACAAACTATCTACTACCGAGGCAAACGTGGAAACTGTCACATCCAGGCTGAAAAGACAAGAGGACCTCGAGATCCTGAATTGGCTCACTCCATTTGATTATGGCCCCCAGCATAGCGACTTCCTGAAGAGGAGACAGCAAGGAACCGGTAACTGGCTCTTAGACTCACCGACCTTTCAGACATGGCTCAACACTAACAAGCAGACGTTGTTCTGTCCAGGTATTCCAGGAGCGGGGAAGACAATTCTTACATCTGTTGTGATCGACCATCTCGGTTCACGATTCCCAAAGGGTTCCAATGTGGGTATCGCATACCTGTATTGTAATTTCCGGCGGCAACACGAGCAGACAATTGAACACTTCCTCGCGAGCCTTCTGAAGCAGTTGGTGCAGGAACTGCCTTCCATACCCGAAGGTGTGAAAAGGCTTTACGACCATCATATGCATAAATTCACCCGGCCATCATGCACCGAACTCTCGGAGACCCTACTTTCTGTCCTTTCTGACTCCAAGATCTATACGAGAACCTTCATCATCATCGATGCCGTAGATGAATGTTCAAAATTGGTTGGATGCCAAAAACAACTCTTATCAGAAGTTTTCCGCTTGCGAAAAGAGACTGGGACGAATTTGTTTGCAACATCCAGATTCAGCGATGAGATTGCAGAGCGCTTCGATGGTGCCCAGTGTATGAAGATCCATGCAACCGCAGGAGATTTGGCAACATATCTCAATGAGCAAATGAACCAGCAGCCAGATGTTTTCGACAGGGATATCCGAGATGATGCAGTATCGAAAATAGTTGCAGCAGCTGATGGAATGTAAGTTATACAATTTAACCGGACCGTGGTCGAACAAAGCTGACTATAGAATGTCAGGTTTCTACTGGCACAACTGCATATGAACACACTAATCGGCCTGCCCACGAAAGGAGATGTGAAGAACGCCTTACGAAATCTGGCTAAGGGACAGGATGGACTAGATGAAACATACAAATTGGCGATGCAAAGGATTGAGGGCCAGGGCGTTGGCTATCGAGACCTCGCCATCAAGATTCTGTCATGGATTGTTCAAGCCCTAAGGCCGCTTTCTACTCTCGAACTCCGACACGCCCTCGCCGTCAGACCGTCCACGAACAGGCTGGACCATGATTTCATCCCAGCCGTCGGAATCCTACAGTCTGTGTGCACTGGCTTGGTTACGGTCGATGAAGAAAGCGAAGTCATCCGCTTGGTGCACTACACAACACAAGAATACTTCGAGAGAACTTGGCTAACATGGTTCCCGGATGCACACAAAGACTTGACAACAGTTTGCGTAACATACCTCTCCTTTGACATCTTCGAGAGCGGGGTGTGCCAAACAGACGATGAACTTAAGAGAAGGTATCAAGAATATCCGCTCTTTGACTATGCTGCATTTTATTGGGCATTTCATGCCGAAAAGCTATTGAATCTACCACGAGAAGTGGTAGATTTTCTAGGGTGCAAGACGAAAGTACGGGCGTCTGGCCAAGTAATAATGGACCATATATCTGAGTTCCGCTGGCACAAGCTTTCAAGTCAAATAACAGGGTTGCATTTGGCGGCATACTTCGGTGTGGAAAAAGCAGTCGAGCCTCTATTACGTACGCAGACTCAAGAGTTGGACGGTGATGGCCAGACGCCACTGTTCTATGCGACTATGCACGAGCATATGGAAGTGGTCGAGTTGCTACTTGCCGACGGTGGCGCAAACGTCAAAAACAGCGACGGTTGGACACCGTTGTGCTGGGCAGCTCAGAACGGACACGAGGTGGTTGTTCAGTTGTTACTTGCTAAAGATGATGTTGACGTAAACTTCAAGGACAACCATAATGGGATGACAGCACTATTATATGCAGCAAAGCACGGGCACAAGGCGATTGTCCAACTGCTGCTTGCCAAAGATGAGCTCGACGTCAACATTGAAGATCCAAAGGGTACGACAGCACTGTTATATGCTGTCCAAGAAGGGGACGAGGCTGTGGTCCAACTACTGCTCGGCAAACATGGCGTCGATGTGAATGCCGCGGACAAGGAAAGCTCCACACCATTGTTATGGGCGGTCGAATTCAGGCATAGGGCAATTTACCAGCTACTGCTTATCCACGGCGGCGTCGATGTCAACGCCAAGTGGCAATCCGGCGTCGATGACGACACCGAGTGGCAAGACGGTTGGACGGCGCTGTTTTTCGCCGTTTTAAACGAGGATGAGGTGGCTGTCCAGCTGCTACTCGCAATAGACGGAGTTGACGTCAACGCCAAGTCTAGCCTAGGCTTGACGCCGCTCTCGTGTGCAGCTTCATGGGGCAACAAGGAGATCGTCCAGTTGCTACTTGCGAAAGACGGGGTGGACATTAACGCTACGAACGACGAGGGTTGGACGCCGCTCTTGTATGCAGTCTCGAACCGCAACGAGGAGATTGTCCAGTTGCTGCTTGCAAATGAAGGGGTGGATATTAACGCTAAAGACGGTGACGGCTGGAGTCCGCTATTGTGGGCAGCGCGCCATGGGGACGCGGTGGTGGCTCGGCTTTTACTCTCCAAAGATGGGATTGATGTCAACGCCGAGGACAATGATGGCAAGACACCGCTATCACATGCGGCCATGAGGGGTCACGAGGAGATCGTCGAGCTGCTGAAGCCTCGGGCTGTCTGAGGGTTTAGATTGAGGTTGAATTAAATATCGATGGCTACCTTGGTGGGCAGGCAACTCCTCTTTAGCCAACTGTTTGGGGGGTAGAATGTGTGTCAGTTCTGATTGACAACAAGTACAGGTTGAAAGGAGGGGAAAAGAAGCATGGGAAAGACAAAGTAGAAGCTGGATTCTCTTCCTAGTTGGTCTGGCTAAGTTAATGCAGTGTATTGATACTGGCAACCGGCGTGTTGAGCAATACTGGTTGAGGAAGTCGGTCTTTTCCACTAGTGGAATGTGTTCTACAAAGTTGCTGCTGGCAGGTTGTCGGATCAGTTCAACTCCGTTTTCTGGTAGTTGTATTAGCAGATCATTGAAATTGATATAGTTAAACCTCTTATGGAGGCTGAAAATGGCTTTGTGCTGTGACCGGGCTGTCAGTATGTGCCACAGGTGCGTTTGCAGGATTGATAGCTCACTGAGGCATTTGGTCTTACTCTCAAGCCAGAGAGGCCGATATCTAGTTGAATCCTTGTCTCCCCTTCAGGTCTAGAAGGCTGTACTTAACCAGGACCTAGCATTTATTCTCATATAGGCGAAGTAGGCCGAGCCTCTAGTAGGTCAGGGAGATGTAACCTTACTATTTCTTTCGATGCCTCGATGCCCCGATGCCCTGTTAAGATCTGATTCGCAGTGCTGAGCGCCACTGATATACTTCGCTAGCTCTTAGATTGGAGCCGGAACTATTGGCAGGTATTTAAATTGGCTGCAGACTCTACATCGTGTCCTAGAACAACCAGTTGCGCTAAATCTAGCAGACAGTCTCACTACTTTCTCATTAAACTTTTATGAAGTGTCCCAAGCGACAGAATTGGGAGAAGGGGGGGTAGAGATGCACAGTAATATTGTACACAGAGGAACTAACCCGCAAATAGAACCCCTCCTACGATTCCACAAGATCCTTCAAATCAGACCCCGTTCTTCTACATCACCCGAGCGAAGGCATTTTCTGGCTCCTGAGCTGTCTCCACAAGACAAGCATAGGGGTGGCTGAAGAGCCGATAAGTCTAGAATGTTTGCAAATTTATGTTGCGTTGGACTGGTCTTTTGGCTAGTCACGAAGAAATCAAAAAGTTATAAAACAATTTTTTTTTTATTTTTTTGTCGCAGCTACTAAAGGAGTGTGGGTAGTTGAAGGTCAATCCAAGCGTCCTTGGTCCGCCTAATTACAACTGAAAACAAAAACAGATTCCGCGCCCCAACTGCTGTATAAACCCCCGCAGTAAAACTTTTTTTGCCCCTGAGCCTATTTTGAAGCACATCTTCAGGTCTAGAAATCCCGGAGAGTTGCTGGCATTGACCTCAGGCCCCAGTTAAGGAGTTTATTCGAAGAAGACCTTGGCGTTGCCGAATGCGGCGCAGACCTGGGTGTTGCCACCAGACTTCTGTATTTAGTAGTTAGCGTTTTGATCTTTAGAAAGATGAAGGTTTAGGATGGTGAATGCCGAAGCAGTTCTGTTTATCACTTACGCCCTGGTTGTTCTGGTTGCAGCACACAACGATGCTGTTGCATTGGTTTTCGAGCTTGGAGCAGTAGACATCGCCGCCGCTGGTCCAGTCACCAGAAGAGGTGGAGCAGCAGAAAGGAGCGCCGGAGCTGCACTTGGCGGCCTGAATGACCTGGTTGGTCGGGGGCTTGGGAGCCTTGGGGGGGGGAGGAGGAGGGGGAGGAGCGTAGCCGGGAGCAGCGAGAGCGCCAGTGGCGGCGATGGCAAGAGCGATGATGGCGGTGAACTGCATGTTGGCTGTTGAAAGGTGTTTTGGTCTCGAAAGAGATGAGTAGATGGTTGTTTGGTTGATGAGGTTGTTTGTTGAGTGTGATGTGTGAGTGTGAGTGTGAGAGTGATGAGAATGAGAAAGCTGGGAGGGAGATGCCCTTCTTATAGCTTTTTCCACCCCAGTTTTGACTTGTAAAGATGTTTACAATCACGAGAGGCCAATATTTGACACTAGCCAATACAAAGACGGTCTGAGACCTCGAGAGGCTGGTTCCTGCGAGATGTCAGCCCCTGACTTCAGCTCATGTGAATATGTCCAAGCTGTGAGGCATCAGCCCTGAAGGCTGAGTTCCCATTCAAGATACTCTAAGACCGCTCCAGGCCTGTTCATACGAGGGACTAGCCCTTGACACCAACCAAATTCAGAGATGTTGCAGCTGCAAGAGGCCAACTCTGGAGGCTGAGCACATTCAAAGTTGGTCCTAGACCAGGAAAGACCAATTCTCGGCGTCGACTATCGATGCAAGAATGGTCTAAGACCGCCAGAGATCTATACTTGATGCTGGCTGACAACGCAACGATGGTCTAAGACCGTGATGGACCAGTTCTCGGCGTCGGCTATGCATGCAACAATGGTCTGAGACCGTGAAAGACCAGTCTAAGACGCCGCTTTCTGCATCTGGACTCTGCATCTTGAGACTATTGAACTTTCTTGCAATATCTACGCTGAGATCATGACATTATGCTGACGCTTTCGTTACATGGTGGCACTGGGCGGCAGTACAGTTTGTAGTTCCTGACGCTATTTTAAGCCCACAGACAATGTTGCGGGAACTCGCTCCTGGTACTACAATCCCTGCATCTGGCCACCGAGATCCGGAGTTATTGAACTCTCTTGTCGTACCTGCTGCTATTCTAAACCTATGCATGATGTTGTGGAAACTCTCACCCCATACTGGGCGTTTCTCTCCGCATTTACCAACCTGCATTTGGAGCTATTGAACTCTTTTTCCGTTCCTGACGCTATTGTTAACACGTTGACGATGCTACGCAAAGTCCACAATAAGCCAATTGAATACGTTTGCTAAATTCGTCGACATCATTCGATGACCAACCAAGCGTCTGTGCCCAATTGATCCGAGCAAATAGAGAGATACAGCTCAATATCAGAAACTTCGTCTAGACACAGTCTCGGTTCGTCGGGTCCGGCAATGCGAGAGCCGATTAGGCGATGACGAAGACGTTACAGCACACGTGGGGTGGTGGCGATATGGCTGTGGCCGATGTTCCGATGCTAGTCTCGCTCAGCCACAGATTATTTCAGCTGGCCGCCGGTTCTCAACAATTGAGCAAGTTAGCTATGATGCAAAATGATGTAATAAAAAGTCATTGCCGGCAGTTGAAGGCGTTCAACTTTTTCAAGGCACTAGGCTTCCACAGGTTGGCTTTTTTTTTGGACTTTATACTCATCCTTGCACCTAAACAACAAATACAAAGCTGTAGGGGATTTTTTATTGACATAAAACCCGCATCCCCTCTGCACAATTTGCCACTTCTAGACACTTTAGTTTCTACCTTCACTCAACCTTATTTCTCCATTCTATCTCTGGAACTTCCCGTTACTACTTACTACACACTCAGTCCACTTTCCACTCCATTGCCACCGCAATCATGCACTTCTTCAGCATCATCTGCAGTCTTGTCTTCTTGCAGGGCGCCATGGCGTCTCCTGCTGCGGGCCCAGAGCCAGCACCGGAGGTTCTTCAACCTCGATCCGTGGAGCGCAGAATGCCAACTGCCATGGACATTCCGTTCCCTCGGTTCCCTTCCCGGAACCACAATTACAATCCCTATGGTCAGTTATCAAGGTCAGAAGGCGCTCACTAGGCTGAACTAACACGGCATCACAGGCGGAAAAGGAGGAGGCAAGGGAGGGAACAAAGGAGGAGACAAAGGCAAAGACTGCGCGCCGACCACACAGACAAACGCATGCAGTGCGGGAAATCCTTACTGCTGTTCCAGCGACGGCAAGGGTGGTGAGTAATGTTGCTTCGCCACTGACCATTGAGCAATTGTCTGACATTTTTCTGTAGGTCAGGTTTGCCAGAACACCACTGCGTGCCAGCAGACTGTCATTTGCTGCAACAACAACAATGGCGTAAGTGCTATTGACCTCTCATAATCTGCATATTGGGTTCTCACAAACATGAATAGTTCCAAATCTGCATTGGAGACATGGACTTCAACCAGCCCATCACCATCAACATCTACAATGACTAATATGTCATGCCATCCAACCGATCTCCAGGTTCGGTCAATTTCGGACTATACAGTAGCATGATGGAGGGTATGATACCGTGGGGTCGGGGATAGTTGGCGGATTCGCTTTGGAGGGGATCTTGCAATCTTCAAGTAACCATGTTGGCTAGCCTTGTAGTCAATGTCAGAATACAATCTCTCTTCCATGACTAAGTTCCACCAATTGCGTTACCTGTGACTGTGTATTTTGTGATTTGAGATGGCGGTCTAGGATGTTACTGTTGCTTTGCATTTTCAGTGCCATATTCCATGCAGAACCATTGGGGAAGGATAAAGATGATGCTGCGGGGACATGAGCTTCCAGAGACGATACCCCAAGCCCCCAAGCCCCTGAAAATATTTTCTCGCTAGTTAGCCTTATGGTGGTAAGCCACAATAAAGGTGTGATGCTTAGGTAGCTCCGACGGAAGTCGGTCATCAGCTCAGCCTTAACTCGTATTGTGTTCAGTTCGGCTCTTGTTGAGGCGCACGGCACCATATCGATAAACTAGTGGTACAAGGGTGACTTCTCACAATTTGGTGCCGCTACACTTCAGCCCGAAGCCGAATACCTAGATCAGTAACCGTGACGTCGATGGCGATTATTCGTTGTCACATTTAGGATCATGTACCGGTATGTGTCATCTACCGATGAATTGGGAGAAGGTGAATCTAGACTGCAGCCTGTCGGAAATTAGATGCACAACCCCGCAAAATGTGTTTGCATATGAAGCCATTCAACGACTCACTCTGCTATTTTGGGCACCAAAGGTGACATTAGAAATCGATCCCGAGGAAGACCAGGTGATCGACGGGGTCAAGCTTTTGCTAGTCCCGGCCTGGTGTCCTTCTAGCACTCATACATTGTGCGGGGTAAGTAACATATCGATACCCTGTCAAATGCGGGTTGGAGTTGAGGCTTGAGATGCTTCACCGTTGTAGTGGCATTTGCAGGAAAAGCTGTGTTGGGGCAACACCATTCTTACCGCAGAGGCGTTTGAACTTAGATAGTTGCAACAGCCGTTGTAACGTCGGGCCACGGCTGATGGTCTGGAAATAGTTGAGACGCCACTCATCATTCCAGCAGCCGCTAATTGGGCGGTTCCTGGGGGCGGCACACCACCAGCTCGCTCTGTCCGAGCAATCGCCGGATTCGGATAGCTTCAAACCAGCCGTTGGGGATTGCGGAGTGTAACAGCACGGTCGTGACGCACCACACCAGCCTTGTTCCTGACTAGCTGCAACCCAGGGTCGCAGAGGCCCAACCTCGCGGGCTGCGGCAAAACGAGTGGCTCGGAGCATTTACGGAAAGATTTATGAACCACAGTGGCGGAGCATTATTTAGCGTCCCTGAATAACTAGGCTGGAGTGAGTCTGAGGGTAGTCTATGTAACACCGCGCTGGATGAATGATAGCATCCCTCGCCCATGTTGTCAATGCCGTCTCGTAACTTTACATTTTACGCCATCGGAAAATTCAGCTCTCTCCATGTTGAAGCGGTGTGGCGCGCTGCGGCAGTTTGTGGAAGCAACCCGCCTGCTAAAGATCAGGTCAGGTTATTTCCTCACAAAACACCGAGGTAGTACCCGTTGACTACCTACCTCCGCCGAGCGGACCACGTGAACACCTCAAGTTCGCTAAGTAGGGACTGACAAAGTTTAACATAGGGCGGGGGTGTTACTGTTGGTACTAGAAACAGGAAACGGTTTGTGGCATACGACTCATTGCGAGAGAGCCTTACTTTGATCCCGATATGGCATCGTCTTCCTAACTCGCCACTGCATTTTAAAGTCCAGGCCCGTGATTCCACTACAAGGGACCAACCTCCCGGGAGGGAGAGTTTGCCTAGTGATACTCTTGCTTAGCTGAAGTCTCCGGATGTTGTGCTCCGTTGGGGGCAAATTCATCAAAGCTGAACCAGTTTCTGAAGTATCACGACTTTCAAATACCGTGGACCGTTCACAATTTACTATACGTTCCGGGTCCATCTATGGGACTATACACAAATTGACATGGACTTGTCTTCTGATGTATTTACGGAACCAGTGACACGGCAAATCCCGTCTCAGCTCGAGACATAGTTTGCTAATCCGCGCGAAGACCTGCTGCTACAGTGAGAATACATCGGGACCACGTCCGAGATAGTATCACGTCATGTTTTCTATGATTCCTCATCTATGCCCGAATTAGGAGAAATATTGCGATCATGACTAGTCGAGATGAGTTCTGTCGCCGTCGCTCCCTCGCACCAAGATAGGCAAAGTGGATTTGATGGTGTTGTGAGTGCGCCTATCAAGTCACAGAAAAGGATCGTCGGTGGATACCACACAAGCAGCCTACCCTAGACTTGTAAACATGATGAGATATGTGCTTCAACAACCGGTGACCGACGATAATCAGGATAATTCATCCAGTTATCGCGGCTGTGATGACCCGATTAGTCCTGGGCTGTGTGTATTAACGAAATCTGGTCAGGCTTGTTCATCAAGATTCAATAGGGGACTGAAGATATTTAAAAGTTAACAGATGAAAGGTGCAAAGTTGACAGTGTCACTCCAGTTAAACTCACACCCATCTTAACAGCAATTAATTCGCCATTCATCACCCGTGAACCGAAAGCCCCCAAGATGACAAGAATGTGGTCGCCATTTCCTGAATTCAACAACGAGAATCATGTTGAGTACGTCGTCATCTTTGCCAAACTCCTCATTCCTGGGCGCGGAGATCCCATTCCCAAAGGCGCGGTGGGCATCTCCACCAAAGACGGTTCTATCTATTATGTTGGCCCGCAATCGAAGCTGCCACAAACGCTCCAGTCAACGCCCCCAACACATGTCAACTATCTTCTCCCCGGGCTCTGGGATTGCCACACCCATTTCGCGGGGACTCTCCAGGCCGATTTCCCAGCCTTTGTCCAGACTCACCCGGCTGCTTGCGGTGCAGCTATAGCACGGGGGTTTTACGATACGCTCATGGCGGGATTTACCAGCGTGCGAGATGTAGGGTCGTTCGCTATTGAAGCCTACAGTGCCGTCAAGGCTGGCTTGATTCTGGGGCCCACAGTCTTCGGTGCAGGCGGCGCAATTGGTATCACTGGCGGGAGCTGCGACGCCGTCACGTTGCCTACGGACTGGATGTATGGACGACAGGGAGTCCAACAGCACAACCAATGGCCCGGCATCAGTACGTTGGTCCTGGCGGATGGAGTGGACGAGTGTCGGCGAGCTGTACGATTGCAGATTCGCCGTGGAGCATCGTGCATCAAAGTCGTCACGACGGGAGGCGTCATGAGCACTGCAGACAATCCAGAGTACCGCCAGTATTCAGATGCCGAGCTTGAAGCTGTCATCGATGAGGCTACATTGCAGGGTCGAGCTGTTGCGGCTCATGCTCATGGAAAAGCGGGTATAATGGCCTCCATCAAGCTCGGTGCTTCCACAATCGAACATGGCAGCTACCTAGATGAAGAAGCAGCAGAGCTCATGCGAGAAAAAGGAGTGACGCTGGTTTCTACGCGACATATCGTTGAGGCTGGGCTTAGTCGCCTTGACAAGATGCCACCGGAGACCAGCGCCAAAATGGTCGCCATTGCAGGGAAACATCTTGACGCCTATCGAATTGCGGTACGGACTGGCGTTAAAATTGCCCTCGGAACAGATATTTGTTCTTCAGACCCCAAGGAAACGATTAGCCACGGCAACAACGGGCACGAGCTGGTGTGGGCTGTCAAAAAGGCTGGAATGACACCACTCGGCGCCATCGAAGCAGCCACAGCTAATTCCGCCGAGACACTCGGCCTCCAGGCTCCCAAGAAGGGCATCATCAAGGAAGGTTGGGACGCCGACATGATTGCGCTCGACGAGAACCCGCTGGAGAATATTGACGTTTTCGCGAAACCTGAAAACATCAAGTACGTCTGGCAAGGCGGGAAGCAAGTCAAATCGCCCCAGGCAAGTCATTGGCCTCCTCCCACTTCAGAGACAAATGGCTGGTCGGTGGTGGATAAGCACGAATGTGTTGGGTGCCAGGTGTCGGGACTTTGATACTGGAAAATGCCTTGGTAAGGGTCACCTAGATTACTTTGTATTTATTCTTTTATGGAGCGTGTTAATTAAATAGACAGAGAATCACCTTTGCCGCAATTCCTTCACCCCTATGGTGTGATGGCTACTGCTGAACGAAGGCCACGACTGCCCGCTGTGCCCTCATACAAGCCTCAATCCTCCAGCACTAGCTAGCTCGTCATGCATCACAATACACTTCTCTGGCCTCCTAATAGGAATTATGCCTGTTGAGACCTGCTTGTACGGCCGTTTCATTTGAGCGCCATTAATCCAAGTACATAATGATGCGCAGAGGCCGATATGGAACTGTTTTCATCCATATGAATGATCCATTGGATTCTGTTGACTCTCACGTGTCAGGTGGACTGGGGCGTTCTCGTTGACCTATTCGGGTATCAATAACCGCCGTGAAGCGTACATGAACCATGTGGGGATAGTTGCTCTGCCCCCGCCATTGTGTTGGATTATTACGACTGGGAGTATTTAGTGATCTTTAATTTTGCCGTTCGCATATTGAGAGTAGGCACCGGGGATTTATTCTCCAACAATTCTACCGCCTGAATATGATCGAACCCATGCAAACCGCCGGCGCCTATGGGCCTTCAGGTCGCGCACTGGAAACATACAAACACGGCAAAGCTTGGGATCTCATGAACCAGGCCAAGCAATATCCAGCATACGATCAAAAGACCTGCCCTGGTGGCTTTATAAATTTGTCCGGTGCGCTGAACATTCTGATGCGGGATTGGCTAAAGGACTATTGTGACCAAAATATGGAGAATATTCGGATTTCCCAAGGTGAGTCGCTCGTCAACATAAGGACCCGTGTCTTTTTCACTTTCCCTTTCACGGCTCTCTAGCTCACACAATTGATGCAACCAAAGTCCTATCTTATGGTAGCATATCTGGTGGACCTCAGCTTCAGAGCGCGATGGCTGCATTCTTCAACCACTTTTTTCACCCCAGCACCCCAGTTGAGCTAGCACAGATTGTGGCAACGAATGGTGTCACGTCCATGATCGACCTTGTAGCTTGGACTCTGTGCGATCCTGGTGATTCCGTTTTGTACTTGGCGCCAACGTTTTACATGCTGGACTACGACCTAGCATCACGGAACGGTATTGTCGGTGTGCCCGTCTCTACGACGATGCTTGATAATCCGTTTGGTGGTGACGACGAGGACATCCGTAAGTTGGTTGAAGAACTGCAGAAATCAGCAAACTCAACTGCAGAAAAAGGATTTCCGCCACGAATTCTGTTTCTTTGTAATCCTGCAAATCCCCAAGGCCGCTGCTACTCTGCCAAGGCTCTCGAAGCGCTCGCTAGATTCTGTGCACGTCGTCGGATGCATCTCGTCGTCGACGAGATATATGCCCTCTCCCACTTCGGTGATGAGCCTTTCTCCTCAGTTCAGGCCATCGAAGACGACGAAGAAGCGGGAGTTGACGTCAAGCAAATGGTTCATGGCATTTATGGTCTGAGTAAAGACTTTGACATGGGCGGCGTTCGCATGGGATTCCTGATCTCGCGAAACACTGCATTCGTGGATGCGATTAAGAGAGTAACGTGTGTCTACCATGTTTCGCATTTTCTGACGTTCGATTGCTCATCTGTTGCATTAGTTGGTTCACGTGGATCACCGCTTTCTCCGAGGCCTTTGTTACCAATTTCTTCAGTCAGCTCAACCTTGTACAAGAATATGTGTCCATCTACCAAAGCCGTCTCGGTGAGGCGTATTCCAGGACACACGAGGCCCTCGTCAAAAATGATATTCCATTCCAGCCAGCTACTTCCGGGCTGTTTGTTGTGGTAGATCTTAGTCCGTGGATGAGATACTTCGACGGGCCCGATAAGGCGGACAATCCAGCTGAGACTCGCGAGGTACAGCTTTGCAACTGGCTCCTGGAGGGGGGTGTCTTTTTAAATCCGGGACAGGTAAGTGCTTCAACACAGGGGCTTGTACCTTGCTGATAACCTTCAACATCCATCCTCGTTTAAACGTTCATGCTAAGACCAAAACATTAGTTTGCCTTTTCCGATAAGCCAGGGCAGTTCCGATTGGTTTTCACGGAAGTACCCATCGAGACTGTTGTCCTCGCGGTAGAAAGAATCCGGCTGTCCCTGGACAAGCTACAGAACGGCTCGTTGCTTAAAAACATGCGGCAGTTCGAGAATGAGAGTGATCAGGTAAAATTGGACGATCAAACAACGTTGTGCGTTTCAGAACGTGTTCGAGACGAAAACGTCGATCATAAAAAGACAATTCAATTGGAAGGAGGTGAGAAGGGAATGAGCCGATTCCGATTAGTGTGGCAGAAACTTAATTGCGTACAGTAGAATATAGCAAGAAAGGTGATCTGAATGTTTACTTTAGCACTTGTGTGGTCTATTTTTTATTACTGCCAAGTATATTCAAGACAATTACACACTTCTAGAATCCCACTGCATATTCATAAAAAATAGCGCCATGTTTATCTATGTTTGTATGCCTCTGTCCTGGAAGACATTCATAATCAGTCTTCTACATGTTGGGTGGTAGAAGTCTTTGTATTTGTTGAATGTTTGCACCGCGTACTTCTTGTCTAAATCGATAAGCTCCTCAAATCTATTTGTATGTGAGTCTTCTGGTTTTGCTTTGAAATGTGAATGGAAGGGTGCAGCGATGCGAACATACAGTGGTCTGACGAATTTCATTCGTCCCGTTTCTCCCAAAACTTTTGCCGTCAGTTGCAACGAGTCTCGATCGCCAGCCCGCAGAGCAACTCGGAGATAGCGAGACAAGACCTCAAGGTTCTTGGAATGGCGTAGCCCATACGTAGAGCCTAGTGCTTCGACATAAGCTTGGGGGATTGGATCAGACCCGGCAATGAGTTGGTCTAAGAAAACCAGCTGCTGGCCAACAATCCAGCCATCCACATCGGCGGCAGAAGGTTGGAATGCTGAGACTGCGGAAAGAGACTGCCATTTTCCCGTTAATTGGATGCAATGGTCATATAGCTTGGATTTGAAGTTGGGTGTTGGGGGAGCACCGGGTTCATGGAGCCACATGTTCCAATCGACAGAGGCCAGCGCCTCAGAAGCTTCGTCGTCAGCTTCGAAAAAGTCCTGCAGGCACTTCGTGAAAGCCTCCGAGTCCACCGCCTTTCTTGAGAATGATTTGAAGTACTGATTGGGGCCGTTAGTTTCCTTGCCATGACGCATTTTGATTTCTTTCAGAGGTGGAACATACGTGCCGAGCAAACACAAGCCACTTCTCTCTCCCAACGGTCTTTTCCAAATAACACAAGAATGTATATCCCTTCTCGTATGAGATTTTGGACATGACATCATCAGGTCGTTGCCCATCAAATTGCATCACCAGGCTTGTGAATTTGCTCTCATTGCCACCGTATGACTCGATCGCATAGAGAAGCTCCTGCCAGCCGACCAATGCCTGGAATGTCTCCTCATCTTCGCCGCGCAACTTGCGGATAATATATCGCTCGATGAAGACCGTCCAGCCCTCGTTGAGCCAAAAGTGCTCCCACGAGGCGTTGGTCACTAAGTTGCCGCTGAAGCTGTGGGCGAACTCGTGCGCGACGATGTGCACATTTTGCCGGTCTCCTGAAATGACGGTCGCACTGTAAAAGTTGAAGATGGGGTTCTCCATCCCACCTAAGTGGAAGGACTTTGGAAGCACAACGAGGTTGTACAAGGGCCAAGGATACTCGAAAAGTAGTTCCTAACGTAATTGACATTAGTATGGTCCTTCTTGTGAATATATGCACGCGAAAGGGACACTTACTTCTGCTGCTTGAATGATTCCTTCTAGATCTGGCTGTAGCTCTGCTTTGCACGCGTCCAGATGACCCGGAGTGCAGTAGATGTAGCTTCTGGGACTAATTTGGTTGCTGACAAAATTACTAAATTCCAGTTATTAGAAAGAACCCCCACAGTCATTGTAATAGAAAGCATACCCGCTGGCGACAGAGAAGAGGTAATTAGATATCGGAATGTCCTGAATGAAGGTGTATATTTTCGATTCAGGAGTGCCTTCAACTGCGTAGTAGATAGGATCTTGCGCCGGACACCCACTTGCCACAACTGGAAATATGGAGTGGACATGAATATCGAATGTGGATTTCACAGAGGGTGTGTCCTGGCATGGAAATATTGATCGGGCATGGACGGGCTCGCACTGAGAGACTATACAAACAACATGTCAGCACGTTTTCCGTGAAGATTGGATGAGAACACTGACAAACAAAAGGATATTTTCCGTCATCAGTCTGTTCAGGGCTAAACCATTGGAGGCCAGTAGTATCCGCGGTCGTCTCGAAGTCAACCTATAATGATCTTAGTCTTCGTACACAAGTATTCTTGCCCAAGTGATGTAGGGGATACTCACATCTAGTTGAATGACTTCTTCATACCCGAGAGGGCTTTGAAGGTAGATGTTCAGAGGGCTTCCGTTGGGCTCCGACCGGGGTTTAAGCTCCCACTCAGTCGGATTGCCATTGACAGCGACCCGCGTGATGTTGAGATAGCTTGTGTCAAGCACAACCTGATTCAAGTCTTCCACGCATCTCGACTTTAGCGTCAACGCGGTAGAGCTGGAAATGGTTTGCTGATCGAAATTGATGGCGAGTGTGACGACTGTGTGCTCCGTCACAACCTCCTTGAAGTTGGAGCTCGTGTGGATGTCGTCGTACTGCGGTTGCGAAGCCATCTGAGCTGGAGAGGACATACTGCGAATAGTTCTGGCGCTATTCACAGACGAAAGGCTTCTCTTTTTGACCTTTGACTGGGGCCAAGCGTAACTGAAGATTCTTGTGATGAGGTTGGTGATGCCAGAATCTGTGGAGATGTTCGCTCCATATGTCCCTTCATAGCCTAGTCAGTGGGTTGACCCCACAAGCATTCGGTACTGCCGGAGTCTTGTCCGCTAAACCGAAGATGGTGTTTTCGAACGATTCACGATAGGTACTGTCTTATCTACAGTGGGCCATCTAAATTCAATGGCTTCTGTTGCAACAGCGCTAACAACGACTGCTTATCTGGTGCGTAGCTGTGATAGTCGCTCCAGCTAACGTCTCCAGGATGTTTATCTCGACAAGTCGGCATGCGAAGCTTTGCGAATTAAGATGTGATTTGAGTTGAGTTCGATTAAATGACCACGTACATCCAGCACCCACCGATGAGGTTCCAGAATCTTCGCAACAGCACGCAATCATCATGTCAGGAAAGACGTCCAAGTCCGATCATGTCGGATCCAAACCCTCAATGCATTCGGAAGTAGATGGCATTCGCGGCTCTGTCGACATTGAGGACAGCACTTCTCATGCCTTCGTTGATGTCCAAGACATCTTCCTGCCATTCCCGACCGATGATGACGATAATGTACTAGAAGATGAGACTGATATTTTGCGAATTCGAAGCATCTTTGTTGGTGTCCTTCTCGGTGCAGTTGTCAATGCCTCTAACGTCTATCTTGGTTGGTTTATCTCATAGTCTACCTCCAGGCTGCATACTTACATCAGGTATAGGTCTAAAGACTGGTCTTACATTCCCTGCCAGTCTCTTTGGTTCCATCTTAGGATTCGCAATCATCAAGACAGTTAGCAGGATGGTGACGGAAAGCTTTCCCATTCTCGGTGGCAAGTTCGGTCCCAAAGAGAACAACATCATCCAGACGAGTGCCACAGCTGCTGGTGGGCTGGGCACAGTCTTCACCAGTGCCATTCCTGCTCTTTACCAGATGGAGCTTCTGAGCAACCCGAAAGAGGACTATGGAAAGATCGCCTGCTTTACTTTGGGCACTGCCTACGTCGGGTACTTCTTCGCAACTCCTCGTATGTAACTCCTCTGGTTATCAAAACCTTACGGTATTATCCCCCAGATTGTCACGCTTTTATCTAATGCTTCTTTCCAAACAGTAAGAAACCTCTTCATCGTTCAACTGGCAAGACAGCTACGACTCGTTTTCCCCACGTCTACGGCCACAGCCACTACGATTCGTTCAATTCACATTGCCTCGACGGGTGCGAATGAAGCCATGAAGAAGGTCAAGTTCCTCTTCATCGCTTTTGTGGCTGCTTTTGTCCTTCGAGTGGCTTCGTTCTTCGCAACCGGTCTGCTCTGGGATTGGCACATCTTTACCTGGTTCTTCATCTGGGGCAATTACAACAATTCGGCCATCTTTGTGGAGAACTGGGCATGGTTCATTGAGTGGACGCCTGCGGTGATTGGTTCTGGTATGATGGTCGGCATGAATACAGCCATGTCTATGTTCGCCGGTACAGTTGTCAGCTGGGCCATCATTGGACCCGTTCTCGTCCGGACGGGCGCTGCCTCTGGCCTGTTGATTATGGGAGAGGGTGACACTGGGCCGTGGAAGGACTACACGACTTATTTCAGCATGAGTCTGCAGGATCCAGTCCACAACCCAAGCCCTCGATACTGGCTATTGTGGCCGTAAGTCATCCCTGAACTTCGATAAAGGCTGGTACGTGGTTCTGGGTTAGCTGATTATCTTTCCAGGGGTGTTCTTCTCATGATTGTCGTATCTATCGCAGAGATGCTATGTCAGTATCGCGTGTTGCAATTTGCTGCACTTGCGACTGTCCAAGAGCTTACCAAGGCCATCCTCGCCGGGCTCAATTTGGTTGGGTTAAACTCCCAGTATCTGGCTAAATTTGTGGCACGCCAGGACCAGCACAATATGGAAGAGGAAGTTCCAGACCACCATTGTATCAAGACGTGGATGTGGAGTTCGGGATTGATTCTGTCCATTATTGTGACGGCGATTAGCTGTGGCCTGCAGTGGAGCGTACCTGTATCCATCACTGTCATCTCCGTCGTTTTGGCCATGATCTTCACACAAGTTGCCATTCTCAGCACTGGCATGACGGACATGACACCGCTTACAGCCGTGTCGAAGTCGTCGCAGCTAATCCTCGGCGGCGTCACCCGAAACGACGGATATGCCCTTCACAAGTCCCAGCTTATTAACTCCATCGGCGGTTCCATCGCCTGTGGTGTTGCTAGCCAGGCCACAGACCTAACGGCCGACTTCAGAGTCGGGTAAGTCAAGGCAGCTTTTCGTTCTTGTTGCAGGTGGGAACTGACATGCATTGCAGATATCTTCTGGGTACCCCTGCACGCGCTCAATGGATAGCACAGGGAATCGCTACGCTAGCTGCCGTGTTCCTCTCTCCCGGTATCTTCATCGTCTTCGCCACAGCCTATCCCTGTATTCTAGATCTCAGTGCCCAGAGTTGCGCCTTTGCAGCGCCATCTGTCAGTGCCTGGCGTGCCGCGACCATCGCTTCCACGAGCCCGAGCCTGCCCATCCCCACGTCTTCAGGAATATTTGCCATCTGCCTCTCCGTCTTTGGCGCCGCACTTGTCGTTTTGAAGCACTTCGTGCTGACGGGTGATAGAGAGAAGTATCGTGTTTATGTACCCAACATGATGGGCTTTGGAATCATGATGGTCGTCCCGGCGCCGTCGCTAGGCATCGCTATTGCAATGGGGGCTTTCATCGCTGCAACATGGGAGAAGTTTTGGCCACAGACTCATGAAGTGTTTTTGTTCCCCGTGGTTGCTGGCATGATTGCTGGCGAGGGAATCGGAGGAGTCGCTAATGCGATCATGTCGATTGCCGGCGTCTCAGCTGGTACAAATATCGCGTGTCCTGCAGGTAGCTGCTGAGAGACTAAGAAGTTGGGCGGAGGGTTGACAGAAGCGTATGTCTTCTATCCCATGTCAGGAACCATTTCCATTCCAAAGCAACCATCCGTGTTGTATATTATTCCCCATAATTTGTATCACAATGATTTAAATACTGGTGCACACAACTAAAACCTCACTGTGTAAAACGCCGAAGGGTGGTCATGTTTAGATTTTCTATATGTTGACTCCTTCCGCCGTATGAACATAGAACCTGATTGACTTGTACTAGCTATCCTTTTCAAACAGATTGAACCTTGAAACTGAACGATGCACGACCAGTAACAACTCCCATAGTGTTCTTCAGCTGCAGGTGGTGGAACCTTTCCAATTCGCTTCCAACTTCAACCGTCCCGATTTGCAACTGCTCTAGCACCTCCACGACCACGGCATATAGAATGTCCAGACTGCCGTCTTCGATCTTGACCGCAATTCCGATTGCGCCGTCAGCCCCAAGGCGTCTTGTCTGCTCGGATTCTCGGATTCCCACACCGTAGCATGCATCTGCACCGATCTTTCCAATCATCTGCCCTCGGTTTTTCTCCATGAGCGCAGTACAGAATCGTCCGGTCCCGCCAACAAGTTCTGGATGGCTGGTCATTGCATGGAAGATACGTGCCGAGTTCCGAGTCCGCGTAGATACTCCTGGGCCCTCTTTGTCCAAAAGATCTGCCGCATCAGCAAAGATGGCGAATATCCGTGCCAAGTAGTGGAGAGGAAATGCCGGCGCTGGAAGGTTGCACCCATCAATGCCCCATTGGATAGAGTCAGGATTAGGACAGAGGCTCTCCACGACTTGCTTTACTTTCTTTTGCATCGGATGATCAGGTAGATGATAATCCGTTAGATCTGCTCCTAACGCTCGAGCGCCAGCCAACATCGCAGCGTGTTTTCCCGAACAATTGTTGCATATTCCGGTTGGCGTGTAGTCCGCCTTGATCCATGCTCGGTTGACTTCGTCGGATCCTGCAGCGTGGCCACCGCAGCGGAGATGGCTCTCCTCTGCTTGAGCCTTAGCTAGCATCTTCCTAGCGCGTGTGATATGCCTCTCTTCGCTGCTATGCGATGCGCACATGAGGGCCAAGTCGGCATCGTCGAAGCCTGACTGCTCAAAACCACCTGTCTCGAGGACGGCAAGCGCCTGGGCAGGTTTTGCAGCCGATCGAGCGAGGGTTACTCTCGATGGGTTGCCGACTGAAAAGAGAAGCTTGCCGTTGGAGTCTGTGATGGCGACATGGACGCCATGGCTGTTTTCGATGATGCCGCCCCTGTCTGTTAAGACGCAGTCTCGATCGACTTGGATGGGTCTCTTCATTCAACTGAAATTGGGTATTTATGATACGAGAGTGTCTTGTTTGTCGGAAGTTGACATTGTCAATGGTTGCTAAATATATATTGCACACCTGAATGTTCTAAACACGCCCATGGCATTTGAATTGCATTGATCTACAGATTACGCTGAGTCACATAGATCCTTCCTCTAGACCTGAACGGGAAATATTACTCGGCGTGGTCAGATTGGCTCATTTTCCCTCACGCTGACATCATGAGACATTACATAACCATGATCGTTGGCTTCGAATCTATCTAGGATTCTCTGCGTCTTTGCGAGTGTCAAGGATTGTGCATTTAGTTGCCTTGGTTGATATGACTCAGAATGAGCCATTTTGAACCATTTACCAACCAGACAAACCCTTGGTTACGGAACCGGTACCCGTAGGGTACAAACACTGGTTGAGATTTTGATAGCCGACCGAAAACCTCGGGATTTGGTAGCAGAAGAATAAAAAATCACGACCTCTCAACCTACTATTCAATGTCTTCTTTTCTTACCCTGTGCGTTAAAAAAATCCCCTCAGCATGTCGTGATAGCCAGGACGTCAGGCCGTGCGTCCTCTCGTATCCGATGCGGAGGATATATGACGCTCCAATGGATTCCTTCCAGGGCTTGGACGATGACTCATCGAAGGAAGCTTATAGAGTCATTCCAAGGCTTGGCGATTGCTTGATACCCGACGGGGCTAAAGCGCTCCCCGATTGACCAACCATCCTGCTGATGAGGCTAGACATCTCTGCTCGAACGGGCAACCAGTTTTGGTCGACTGGGAAGCCGATAGTAGTATCCGTCCCGTTCTTTATCGACCGTCATGAGTTGGCAGATTTCAGCCGGTAAGCTCCTGCTTCCCAGATGGACGCATCGCTTGACAGCCAGCCAATTATCAGATGGGTGTTTCGACTGCAATAAGCTTTTGCGGCCTCTGAAGTTGGGCGAGGGAAGTAGCAGGTTTTGATTGCAAACGAGCGAGGACGGTGAGGGTTGTACATTTAGTTTGTAGGACCATGTCAACGACACACATTAATCTACGTCCTTATTGGCAATTATTCGTACCTTTGTCACTAAAGAAGCTAGTGTCTGTCGTAAAGAAATGCCACGATCGGATTAGCGGGAACCACAATAATTCATGGGGCCTCCGTTTCTAGTGACGAATGGGTATTATTGATCACCACATGTCATCGAACCATGGATTTGAACTTGGCACGCGTCTCTTGAGCGACAAGTTAGAGAATATGCTGATTGCTAGTCTTGGGAGTTTCGAAGAAAAGGGCCCTCTGGGCCATTGACTGCTGAATATTACTATACTCGATGGAATGACGCTCCCAGTGAACAACCTTACGAATCCAGTCCCTTTGAACCTCTTACTCGTTAATGAAAGATGGAAGACATCGCTCGACCTCCCGCCAGGTGGACCGCGGAAGTTACCAAAGGCGCAAACGAGACCACTCGCGCCAACTTCATCGTTCAATTTGACGGCCCGGATGACGCCTGCGATCCCAAAAACTGGCCAACTCATCAAAAGGTCACTTGCACCATTCTCTACGGCCTATTAACAATGGGCGTCACGCTGTCGAGTGCTATCTACTCAACCGGGGTAAAAGAAATCGCCACGCAGTTCAATGTTGGTCAAGACGTGGCCAATTTGGGCACCAGCACTCTGCTAATCGGCTTTGGAACTGGCCCATTGCTCTGGGCCCCGATGAGCGAGCTGTTCGGTCGGAAAGCACCAGTGCTTGTGCCATATTTTCTGGCTTTGATCTTCACTATCGGGACAGCGGTTGCTACAAATCTACCCACGATTCTCGCCACACGCTTCTTTGTCGGGTTCTTCGGTAGCGCACCTATTGCCATTACAGGAGGTGTGCTGGCGGATTTGTTTAATCCTCAGCAGCGCGGACTGGCACTGGTCGGGTACGCTGGCGCAGTTGTTGGGGGTCCGGTATTTGGTAAGTTTGATGTCAGAATCTTGGAGTTGATGAGTAACTGACCAGGATGGCTTCCTTCTAGGTCCCGTAGCAGGTGGTGCAATCATGCACTCCTCGCTCGGATGGCGATGGACTCAATATGTCACAGCGATTTACATGGCTGTGGTGGTGATTCTCGGTTCTTTTCTTCTATCTGAATCGTATGGTCCGATGCTTCTCGTAGCCAAAGCCAGGCGCATGAGACTGCAAACCGGCAATTGGGCATATCACGCAAAACACGAAGAATGGGATCCCACGTTCAAGGAGATGACGACCAAGTTCTTGGTTAGGCCGCTTCGCCTTTTGGCAACACCTGTTTGTTTCCTCTTTGCTCTGCATTCCAGCTTTGGTCAGTCATTCCTTACCGAAGCAACATGCACAACAGTGTGATTGACCGGTTCCAGTTTACAGCATCGTATACCTCAACCTTGGCGCCTTTCCCATCATCTTCCAGGGAGAGCGAGGGTGGAATGAGTTTACCGGCAGTCTCCCCTTCCTTGCTTTATTAGTGGGCATTGTTGCTGGAGCATTCATGAACTTGAAAAGCCAGTCGTTTTATTTAAACCGTGTAGCTGCCAATAACGGCCGGGCGGTCCCTGAAGCGCGGCTCCCGCCCATGATGGCTGGAGCAATATCCATCACCATCGGCCTCTTTATCGTTGGCAATACGGCTGAGGCAAAGTACCACTGGATCGCACCCGTTAGTGGCGCCGCGTTAATGGGCTTTGGATTCTTCACAATCTTCCAGGCCGCGCTGAATTACGTGGTGGACACATTTGCTAAATACGGCGCGAGCGCAGTGGCTGCCAACACGTTTCTACGGAGCTCTCTCGCCAGCATTTTTCCACCCCTCGTCTCACGTATTTACGGTCGGCTTGGGATCGTGTGGGCGTCAAACATGCTTGCTATCATTGCACTTTTAATGGTGCCTATTCCGTGGGTGTTCTACTACCAAGGGAGAAAGTTCAGGGCAATGGGGAAGTTATCACGGGATTCAACTTGATGCAAGGTGATCGATTGATCTACATAACCCCGTCTTCAACATCCTGCTGAGCTTTCTAACTGTATCTGCACTTATCCTGCACATGGCCATTCACCCACCTCGTTTCAACCCGCATGTTGCTGCTTTAAAGTCACTTATCATACGACTTGGGTATGCTATTTTCGGCTGCGCTGTCCTACTTGCTGTGTTGGTCGCGAAGCGCCAGAAAGCCTAGCACGAAGTCAGACCACGAATTCCAGGACAGATAAAGGCCAAGCTAATAATAGACATATCCTCATTGGCCGCCTCACTTTCTTTTCTTGTATGAGAATCGCTTATTCATACCCCCTCTTGCTTTGTCAGTTTCAACCAGCAAATTTAGTTGCCTGACAGGAAGCGGCCCAAGATATGTGATCTCACCCATTGGCCCAACACATTTACACTTTATGTGCTGTTGATACCGGTACATGTCGAAATGTTTCCGAGCGCTTAGGACAAACGAGGCCACCAATGATACAAGTGGAAGATCAGAGGTGTTGACGCCTTCATCTGATAGGGAGGCAGACCAGGCCGCAATTGGCGGCCTGTTTCGTCTACTGCTGCAGGAGGCCTCCCCGCCCTGCAAATTCGTATTTTTGCACACCATCTCAAGGAATTGATACTACATCGATACCACCAACGGGACGCGGATCCCTGTTACGCTCCTTAATCACACAACGACTGAACTTGTGATTAAGGCCCAGAATTCAGGTATGCAGGCCGTGGGATGATGTTGGAAATGTATCCATTAGACGATGGACGCCTCCAGAGCCGGCGTTGTCATTTGCTGAACTTGCCTTCATTTAATTTACATTAAAACGTGTGTGACAGAAATCATTTGCAAGTGACAATCTCCTGTTCCGCTAGTGACAAGGCAAACTGTACATGATCCGTCTTCAATTCTCTTATTACTACCGAAAGCGCAATTATTTCCGCTCTATCATCATTTCACATTCTCAACCAACCATACACTAGCCTTTGACCACGTCACCTTCCGCCTAGATTTTGTTGGGCCGTCCGACACATATTCCGACACAATCTGCGGGCGCGCTACCATGCCGATCGGCTGGCCGTCCAACCTCTTATCACCCGCAGGTAGGGCCGTGGTTGGGTGGGCGGCCATGTGTGGCGAGGAGGCCGCAAAGGGCGTATTCTTGAGCGCGCTGAGACCGAGGGGCTGTATGGAGGCTACACGCAACTTCCAAAGCCGCATTGTGAGCTCTGCAAATGTCATGAATATCTCTAACAGCTTAATTTGTAAGTCTGAGTCAAGAGGCTTCAACAAGCCAGCACACTTGCTCACAAACGCTTCTGCTGATCGCTTGAAAAGGTTTGGATGGATAGGACATGCCGCCGCCAGGATGTCAATTGTGCACAGCCTCCACTGAATTGCAGATTCTACCAGTGTCTAGAGTTAGCTGGCGACTTGCTTTAGTAGTAGTGAATTCGACCTTACCAACAGTATTGGCTTGTTTTTCGAATGTGGCCAACGCGTGCCGCCACTCTTTGTTCCCATCCTTCAGTTCGCAAAGATAATACGCATCCGTGAGCATCATCTGGCAAAGATCATGGGCCAAGATTGACTCAATTACCATGACTGGATCTGGCGCATTTTGAAAGTCAAGAACTGAGAAGGTGCCTGTTGCCAGTAGACCACAGCTAGCAAGCATTTCCATATAAGAGTCCACGCCACCGACTTGTTCTGCCTCTGCCTCGTCGCACCACGGCTGCAGCATGTCATCGAAAAAGTCAGTCAGTGACTTTGCAATGGCGGTATCGGTAAAATCAGCTGACACGTTGCTTGAAAGCTGATTGACGACGATGGATTGGGTTTCCCGGATGATGGCTTCTTGGTCCTTTAAATCTTGAAAAAGGGTGTGGGTGTAGTTCCGCTCATCTTCAAGCTCTTTAGAAATGAGCTCTCGCTCCTTGATAGCTTTTAACAACTCCTCTTCCAAAGCGGCGTTTTTAGATTGAACCTCTTTATTTTGGCTCGCGATGAAATCCAGGCTCTCGCTCCACTTTCTTTCCACGCTGCGAGATTTCGCGACCTCAGCCATCCACTGTTCTAGCTGGGCGTTAGAATGGTCACGCTGCCCTTCGGCTGTTTTCAACTTCTGCTCCAGATCCCTGATTGTGACCCTGGATGCTTCTCGATGGTGACCTTTTGGCGGTGGATCGTTTGGTTGCTCGGGACTCCCACTACCAAAAATGGACTTGTTGATCAACTTTAAGATGCCTCTTTTCGTCTGAGCAGCATCTTGCTGTTGATCGTACTGGCGCCTCTCAACTTCAGCGGAAGTGTTTTGGATTTGATTGCTTGATGATGTATCTCTGTCTCGGAGGGTCTGTAACTAAATGCAAATCAGCTATTGTTGCCATTGGGGGTTGGCCAAGGCGTACGACTGGCTGAGAGTGTCCATCCGAGGGGATGCGGCCTGCCTTTTGATATGAACCACCAGATGTTGTCTGCGTATACTCTCCCTGGGAGTGTCAGTAGTTGATTGATTAACCTCAATTTCTTGTTTCTGGGACGCACCGGCACTTTGTTGTCTCCTGGATTTCGGTACATCTTCTATCGTGAATTGGACAAGACGGTAGGTGCGTAAATGGTTAAAACTGGCAATGATTCGTTCCTGGTATTTTTGATTCCAAGTTTCTTTGATGAAAACAGTAAGATGCAGGGAAGAGGCGATGGCACGGAGTGGTGGGAGGAATGTTTATACAATTTGCTGTCTTGGGCCGCTACCCGTCTGCACACTCCGACATGGTTAGGGACGAACGTCGGCTGGTACTTCGTCCAAGCCAATGGCTCGCTAACGATTGTAGTGTGTCATTTGGCGCCGTCACATCTGACCATTCGCCGCTTTAAGACGTTGGTCAAAGAATAGGCCGGTGGCTATGTTGGGTTTGACTGAGCCAACAGATGTTTCGGACTGTGGGGGTTTGTACGTGACCAACACATCTTGGACGTCTCATTGCTTCTTTTCTTATTTAATCGCCACATTCGGCAGTGCAATAACCCTCGCAGACAAGACATTCCAAGCACACATTCTCATGCTACAACTGTCCCATTGCCGAACATGCCAGCTGAGAGCCTCTCCATCCGCCACAGGGCCAAACTCATCGTTGGCATCGACTATGGAACAACGTATTCAGGTACAGTCATCCTATGTTTTGGTAGAAGTTGCATGATACTCCTCATGGATTGGTGATTGACGGGTTCGCATCACAGGAATCAGTTTCGCTCTGACGAGTGCTGCCGATTTCAAAGACATTAAACCCTGGACAAGGTACCCCGGAAGCGCTTCCCACAATGCCGAACACTGCGAAAAGGCCCCTTCGATCATGGCTTATGCAAGCGAAAACGAAGAATTCTTGGACCAAAATGCTTGGGGCTATGAGGTAGAACCGGGCATGAATTGCTCGGCTTGGACGAAGCTGCATCTGGACAATGTTTCTCTGCCATCTGAATTCGACGATCCTGACCTCAAGAAAACGGCGTCCAGTGCACTTATGAGGCTTCCGAGAGGGAAAACGGCCAAAGAAGTTGTTACTGATTATATGAGGGGCATGAGCAAAATGTTCACTGACAACATCGTTCACCTCCTTGGCGGTAGAGACAAGTTGGGGCTTCTGCCCATGGATGTTTGGGTCACGGTGCCAGCGACGTGGTCAGAACAGGCGAAGACATTGACGCGAGAAGCCGCCATAGAAGCCGGCTTCGCATCCCGCCCCATCGATCAGATGTATCTGATCCCCGAGCCCGAGGCCGCCGCACATTTTTCCTTGAAGTCTAGTCTACATCACACAGAGGACCTCGTAGAGGTAAGTTTCTTCAACAAAGGCATTATTGCCAGAGGTATCTAACATGCTGCCCAGCAAGGAACCGGTGTTATGGTTTGCGACTGTGGTGGTGGCACTGTCGTATGTGTAGGGCTCTGTAGTCAAGATGACATCTGGCTGATGGCTGATCCAGGACATAACTACTTACGAAATTACTTCCGTCGCTCCAAAGCTGAAGTTGAGAGAGATCTGTGTTGGCGTAGGTGAGAGACGACCTACTGCAATCCCAGTCTATTCTTTGCAGATACTGATGCCCTAACGATAGGTGGTAAATGCGGTGGAACTTTCGTCGACAGAAATTTGTACAAGTTGATGGCCGAACGATTTGGGCCTGCCTTTACGTCACGCGGGAAAGAACAAACTGGACCTGGGAGCCAATTCATGACGTCTTTCGAAGGCCAGAAAAAGGACTTTAAGTCGGATAATTCGTCGAAGAAGATCTACAAACTCTACTTGCCGATGCCCGACTTGCCAAAGAATACCGCTGGTTACAACAAAAGATATTCCCACATCGTTCTTTCATACGACGACATGAAAAGCCTGTTCGATCCAGTGGTTGAAAAGATAACTTCTTTGGTGGATAACCAGGTGGCACAAGTGGAGAAGAGAAACGAGCCAAGCATAAAAACCATGGTCCTTGTGGGAGGTTTCGGTTCATCACCTTATCTGCGAGAGAAGCTAGCAGAGTGGTGCACAAGCCAAGAAATTCAACTAACGACGCCTTATTCGGGCGGGTAAGATTTCCCTACATCTGGGTCTGGAGGTGGCTCTAATGTCAATCTTAGATGGTCTGCTATAGCATGTGGAGCTGTACTTCGAGGACTCGAGGGCGGCATCATTAGTCAAAAGAAATGCCGTCGGCATTACGGACACTCGTTGTCGAAGCCTTATGACGGCGTCCTTCACGACGGCTTCGATGAAACAGTTCGGAGATTGTGGACTAACAAATTTACGGGCGTCCAAAACCTGAGCGGTTTTATGTCGTGGGAAATTGGAAAGGTGTGTAGAAATGCACTGTGAATAATGAGATACTAATGCTATCAGGGTGACTTGGTTGATGAAACGACCGAGATAAATACCGAATTTGACAAATTTTTCAGTTCCCGCAGTAGTCCTACGCATACCCACGAACTCTATGCTTGCAGTCTAGATGACTCCCCAGATACCCTGGAGAACAATCGTAAGTTGATCGAGAAGAATCCAGGACTCTTAGCCAAGGAACTAATAAAGAGCAATGTGTAGGAATTGAACTTGTTGGAGCGGTGGACTACAGTGATGCCATGCAGAATGTCGACATGTCGAAGTTAAAGCAGGTTAAGGACAGTCAGGGTGTCACGCACTACGAAATATCTCTCGTGTTGAATATACGCCTTGGAGATGACAGCGGATTGCTACAGTTCCGGATATTGTGGCGAGGGAGGGAAATGGGTGAAGCCAAGCTGGGATTTTCTTATTGTTAGAGGATGTCCGGGTATTCATCACAATCGATTGATCTTACTATGATGGTACTATTCATGTCACATATCTGGGAGCGATGTTCGTAGCAAGGGACAATCCGTCCATCAAGTGAAACGTGCCCAGCAGAAATTTGACCGTTGTAGCCTTTCACGTTATATCGTGCTCAAATCCAATCCTTTGTAATCCTCTAATCATGTTAAACCAGGCGACGTAGGGCCAATGGCTTTTCCCAAATATTCGAGGTATACATCAATCAAGCGATTCCACCTCGACGGGAATGAGTGCAACAGCATATATTTAGTGGGTTTTATGAGAAAGAAAATCACCTGAAGAGCCCCGTCAGAGACGGAGCTCACTTTGTAAGCGTCTTCCTCCTCTCTCCGTCGGCAGATATTGACGAAATTTACAGAACAACCCATATCCCACCATTACAGATACCACGGTGAGAAGTGGAAATTGGGCTTTTGGTATTGCTACGCACACGGAAGCAGTACTGCGATGTCATTATAGAGTGAAACGTAATCTACAACTCGCTACGTAATTAAAGAAGGGAAATCGCCTCAGGAGTTACGTAAATTGTGCACTCCAATCGCCCGAACAGGAAATGTTTTACGACGATGCCCACGGTTATAGACCCACAGTCAAATCCCAAGCACCAAAGCTATCCACATCCGTAGACTGGCAGCTTATTAGCATCAGTGACAAAAAAGAGTGACATGATAAAGGACTGAATGGTATGACTACTGCGGGATATCGGTTGGCTCATGTATAAATGGAAGCCGGTTTATTGCCTCGTCAGCGCGGCCGCGATCCATTGCACCAGTCGTCCTTTGCCTGCTCTAGTCTGCAGGCAAGTTTCAACAACTCCCTTATCTTAAAATCGATGTCTCTGCAGAAGCAACGTTGATCAATGGCATTGAAGGGAGACTTATCCCTGTTGGTAGTATCTTCCCGATCATCAATTACATGAATGGCAGCGCTACGCCAAAGGTCTGATAGCAAAAATATTTCATCGTTACCCTCCTGCCTTGAGCTCTCTGCGCTTGTCCATGAGCCTCCACAAAGGACGCGAGGAAGTTGCTTCTACTACTGGGGTGCTTGATCCGCCTCAACTGGTCCGCTGCCCATTGCGATTCATCCTTTTGGAAGCTTTCGAGGGCGTACACAAATAGAGGTCGAATGTATCCTGGGTTGAGTGCGCCATCCGTAGAGACATCCCAACCACCCTCGACGATGCTTCGGATTTGCTCCAGGGCATGCTTGGCCTCGGGCGATGGAAACGGAGGATCCCCCAGGATTCGACCGATTACGATGATCTCCGCATGAAATGCCGCAATGCAAACTCCAGCAAGAGCGATGAGCTGGTCGGAAATCTGAGCAGAGAGGTGTTCTCGAACTTTGTCTGGCTGTAGGTGCAACGTAGCCGGCCGCTTCTCCCAAAGATCAGACAGCTCTATCTTCAGAGCTGCCACGATATCGGTCACCTCTGCCTGGTCAGCAGGCGTGGTACGGGATCGACGGTAATGCGTTACATCTACGACTCGGTTCGACATCGTTTGGAGCCTCAGGTAAAATGTAAAGATAGGCGTAGCGACGGCGTCATATAAACAACGTTCCGGATGCGCGTCGCAGTCCAGTGTGGAAAGACCAGGTACCTCCTTGACGTGATTGTATAGGAGGCTGAGCACCGATGCGGACAATAGGCCGGCGCTCCCTGGCCTCTTGGTGGTCGTATTTAGGAGTTGCAACCAAGCACAGATTCGTAAGGAAACAGGCGATCGATGCCCATTCAGTAACCAAGCCTCTAACCTTACTACAAAAGCCCCATCAAACACGGCAAGGTGAGGGCCGTCCTCATTCGGTAAAGAGACTGCACAGAGACAAAGGAGGAAGGCGCTGACCAAGACGATATCAAAGTCCACTGCCTCATCGCCCGATGTAGATTCGAAGCCAGTGACGGCGGCTTGGTAAACTGACATGGCGTAGGCCATTGGCAAACGATCCACCTGAGCTCTGTAGAGAGCCTGAACAGCCAGCAGTGACCCTGCAACTGAGGTGTGCTGGAACCCCAGGCGAGCGATGTGCTGTTTGATCCTTGTCCAATTTAGATGGTCAAAGGGTGACAGCAGAGGGCATTCCACCACTTCGATAAAGTAGCTGAATGAAGACGGAGAAGGCGCTTCGGAGGCTGCCAACCAATCCATGGTTGTGCTCAGATAAATGAGCTGAGATGTTTGCTGGAATCGATCTGAGGGATTAACGGCAACGCTGAGACTGGAGCCTCGGTCGAAGTTATCAGCACCATGATTTGGAGACGACTCATCGGAATCATTAGATATTGAAAGACCCAGGTCTGCCTGTCCGAGATCACCAGAGATGGTCAAGATTTCCCGAGCCCCAGGGTCGGAGACGGTTCCCGGGAGGCCAGGTTGTGTAGGAATGGGATAGTCTCCGGCTTCAGCCTGCATCGGGACGTTATTTGGCACCGCTCCCGTGCTGGTTTGATCTCGTTGAAAGTGTCTCGGTAGCAGATCCGAACCCATAGGCGGTGATTGAGACAGTCCCCACCTGGTTGCAATCCTATAGACGCATGCCTTTTTCAACCGTGTGCATTTTTGGCAAGTTGGCCGTTGCTCGTCACACTTTACCTTTCGAGCTCTGCAGACGAGGCATCCTGTGCGAACGCGGCCTTTGAAATTCTGATCCGGACGAGATAAGGCCTTTTGTCGATGAGAACTGGGAGTTCTACTATCGTTGGGGCTGGCGGATTCCGTTTCTGTTGGCATGCTGTCGACTTCCATTCGGGCTCGCAGCGGTAAACTACCAAGACGTGGAGATATGGCTGGTGACAAAGTGAAACTACAGTCGTCCGGGGGCCTTGGAAAGGCCGGTGTGACGCGATGATGTGAATGATTTCTCGTCGTGGTGAAGGGATCATGGAACAGTGAGTGAGTAGATGCTCCACCGATCTCCTCGGAAATGAATTGCCCCCAACTCATTGGTGGACTGGCCCACGTGACTACTAACTTGCCGCTAATTGGGGAGCTGCTGCTGGTGCTTAGATTCACCTTGGTGAACCTCCACTATAACCACAGGCGTTCAGGGGCACGGTAAGCAATAAACGACTGCTTCCAGGCGGGAGCGTCAAAAGATAGTGTTGAAGGGACTGAGAATATGTGCTACAATCCATAACTTACAGCATTAGTATGGGTATCCATACTTTTGCTGGGTTGTGTGGATGTGCCTCAACAAATACTGCGCTACATCACAATGGCCACCATCTCGATGCAGATGACTGATTGACAAATGTGATAGAGCGAATGAAACGACAGGATAGATACTTTCTACTTCTCTATTTCATCATCACCTCAAACGACAGGAATCATCCCACAACGACCAGCTTCGTCGAGGCAACGACATGCGCCCGTCGTGTTGTTGATCAAATGGCGGACAGCCCAGCCCGAGCCTGACTCATGATCCTGACCACCTGCGCCACATCATCACTTATGACCTGATCCAACAATCCTTCTCGAACCCATTGAACAGCCTGGGCCTCTATATCCACGCCGTAAGACTTGAGCTTTGCAAGCCGCTCAGGGGCTGGCACGTGTAAGAAGACGGCGAAGCCCTCCGCGTGAAGCTGACGAGCTTCCCCACTCGGGAAGTGCTGTATCTCCAGATTGACTGCGTCGACGTTTGCTTCTCGGGCCACCGCTGCGGGGTCGATCAACCGAGAATGCGATATCGCGACGGTCGGGACTTCGGGAATCGCCTTCTTGACGGCCCGGAGCTGGACGAAGTCGAAGGATGAAAACTGCAGCAGGTCGGCGCACTGAAGTTCGTCAATCAGTGCTCTCAGCTTGGGGAAGATGTCGTCATTTCGGTCGTAGATCTTGAGCTCGAGTTGATAGATGATTCCCAGCTCTCGCGCAAGACACAAAGCATCCCTCAACAGCGGAACTCGCTCTCCTGCAAAGGCCTCGCTAAACCACCGGCCCGCGTCGAGTTTTGCAATCTCTGAATAGTCCATGTTGCGAACGAGGCCATTGCCGTCTGTCGTGCGATCCACCGTCTCATCATGGATCAGAATCAACTCGCCATCCCTGGTCAGCGCGAGGTCAGTCTCGCAGGTGACACCCTTGCCGCCGATCTCCTGGGCCTTACGGAACGCTGCGAGGGTATTCTCCGGAGCGTCAGAACTGTACCCTCGATGTCCAGCGATCCGGGTCGTCTGCGGCGTCGTTCGTAGCCGATTACTCATATTTCTGGGTTTTTTTCTCGGTGTAGGAGTTGATACGATGTTCACAAGGCGATTGAGTAAAAGGGAAGTGAAGAGTAAGTAATCATCCACTGGCAGCCCTAATCCAATCTAGCGTCAATCAAGAGGTATTTGTCCCTGAGTTGTCATCAAGAATAATCCCGACGTCGCTTCGGAACCGAGAAACTGAAGTCCCACTGAACTACAGAACGGAGCCGAGTAGAGCAGAAGATGTCACTGAGAGGACGGCGCGACTGGTAATAGGGAGCACCGTATGGTTGTGTTCCTTGGGTCGGCAATTGTGGGCACCACGTTATCTTGAACCGAGCTGCTTTATCTCCAAGCGAGTTCGCCTGAGTCGGCATCTCTTAAGCCGCCACGATCCCACCCACCAACTCCACTCTTGCCGAGATTGGCGGGGAAATTTACAACCATGTCTGTCAAAAAACAGAGCGAATAAGTTGATTAGCTGTATACAAAGAGGCTGGGGCGAGTTTCTCTTGACTGGCCTTTGATTCAACCCAATTCCCCCGTCTAAGAGCCTTTCCATCTTTAATACGCCCCTTCCGTTAAAATGGAAAACAAGTAACTATCACACCTTGACTCTGTTGTAAGCATTCCTACTACAGAATATCGATACTACACAGGACGCACTATTCCTAACAAGACGATGTAACCAACAAGTTCGGCCTAACGAATGAATTACTCACATACCGCTGTCTGGAGAAACACCACGTTCATACTTTGCATTCTATAGCTGCGAACGATCCACCCACCTTATCATCGACATGGCATCCCCCTACGCACGTGAGCAGCATGTTGCTGAACTAGCTGTTCTGCGAGCTTCGATCCTCACGAAACAAGTTCAGTCTAGTGTCAGTGAGATCTCCAAAGACGACAACTCCCCGGTTACTATTGCCGACTTCGCAGCCCAGGCAGTTCTTATCGGGGCTCTCCGCCATACTTTTCCCAACGACTCCTTCTTGGGCGAAGAGAACTCGAGCCCTTTGAGAGCTGACGAACGACTCTGCAATAAGGTTTACGAACTCGTATTATCCGCAACTGGTTTGCCAGACCCAGACGCCGGAGGGGTTGAATTGCCAAAACCAGCATCTGTCGATGAGATGCTGAGATGGATTGACCTTGGTGGACGTGGAAATGGAGGTGATAAGGGGCGTTTCTGGGTTATGGATCCCATTGATGGAACGGCAACGTTCCTGAGAGGCCAGCAGTACGCTGTTTCGTTATCCCTGGTTAATAACGGAATAGAGGTTGTCGGTGTACTGGGATGTCCGAACATCAGCGCTGAAATGACCCGGGTTTCGGAGAATAACGTTGATATAAATGGCTTTGGCATTATGCTTACAGCTGTCCGAGGCCAAGGCTCGACGTTTCGGACCATGACACTACGTGGCCTTGAGGAGGCTTTCCCTCTGAACTTCCCCCAGCCATGCAGGTCCAACATGCTGCACATTGTCGACTGCATCGCTTGCGAGGTCACCCGCCACGATGTTATTGCCAAACTGGCCGACCACTTCAAGGCAAAATTTCCCAACATTGAGCTATGGTCCTCACATATCCGCTACGCAGCCCTCATCATTGGCGCCGGCAATGCGCAGTTCTGGGTCCCTGCCGGTCCAGCATCCAAGATGCACATCTGGGATCATGCAGGCACGCAGCTCATCTTCACTGAACTTGGCGGGAAGGTGACGGACTTGGATGGGAAGGCTGTGGATTTCGGCGCTGGGAGAGACCTGAATCGTAACAGAGGGTTGGTTGTGGCGCGGGGAGAAATTCACCAATCTCTCCTTGCGGCCATGAGCGAGATAATAGGACACTGAGAGAAGCAGAAGCCACTAACCTTCAGGTAGCTACGTCACCTTTGGAGTATCGCCTAAATTTAGCAATCAGTTTTGTCAACAGAAAACTTCTGCGAAGATGTACTACACATGATCAAGGGTGCCTGATGATTCTCATTGTGGGTTTATGTTAGTGGCTTAAACAACTAAGGACTACGGCCAAATTAACTTCCCAATGTAACAGGGACACGGACGACGAATAGCTAGATGTAAGTGGTATTGGAGAGTATGTGAACCAAGGGACCTCAGTGCCGTGTTCGCTTGTGTGCAAGAGAGGCCTGGTATTTGGCAGTGTACCTCAATTGGAAGTGAAACCGAAAATTTTGCCGTCGCAGAATTGTGAACAGGCGTCGCCCACATGATCTGGGACCGCATATCAGGCAAGTTTGGACCTTATCAAGGCTAGAACAAGCTCCTCTGACGTGGAAAGAGTAACAGGGCCAAAGGAATCAATATGTGGAACAGGATCCAGGAAGCAAGGATAGAGACAAGTTATTGTATTGATGTGCTAGAGCCCGTGACGAAACGTAACCCGCCTGTGAGAAGACAAAAATTAATCTATCCTGGCACCGGATCAGGTGACCGAGGGTTCTGGTTAATGGTCCCTTGGCCCTCGGGGCACCTGATCAGCTTGGGCACTTGACCCTATTTCCACGAGATTGGTGGTAGAATGTGGTTGGTTTAGTAGGGAGGAGTTATAGTGATGGTACAGGGACCGAATTTGGGCTGCCTGACGACCTAGGGTAGCCCGTCTCCTTCAATGTGGGAAAAGGAGACCTTGGTTTCCTTGAATTTCCAGACATGGGTTTTCCGCTCAAACAAAATATCCATCTCTGCGGTTGTCCTGCCTTTGGACTCTGGAACCATGAAATATGTGAAGGTGAATCCGATAACGCCAGCTCCAGCCCAAACGAATCCAGTCATCGCACCCCAATTCCAAGCTGTGGGGTTAAGCATGTACGGTGTGACTGTGCCGGCGACAATGTTGACAACAGAGTAGGTATTTCGTGCAACCACAACTGACTTGCTTCGAAGGATTGAAGATGGAATTTCCGAAACCAGCACGAAAGTGACGGGAAGTACCAAGAGATTGGCCACAAAGCCATCCACCGCGAGGAGAGATCCAATGCCCCACGCCGTTGCTGAAGACGATGAACTTCGTAGATGAACTCCCATACCGCCTATGGCTATGAAAAGGGCTATAGTCAGTATGTTACCCCAGAGATACATTGTTCTTCGGCCAGCATAGGTCATCACGACCCACTGTAGGATCGTTATTAACGGTACGTCCATGTAAGGGATATCCTGAGAAGACTTACCGCACCAAGAACTCCAAGTACAGAGAGCAACAATGCAATTATAGTCATGTTGAACGATTGGTCGGTAGGTAGGCCGGCTTGCTTGAAGAAGTAGGTCATGAATCCCCGCAAGGGTGCGCCAGTCAGCACCTGCATAATATAAACGCCCATGACGATGAAAGTTCTGCGGAGATTCATCCCTTTGAAACATGCGAGATAACTCGTACCAGACTCGATGCTTTTCTCGTGCTGTGTGGTGAAGACCATCAAGGAGACGAGTTTTTTAATCTCGATATCCAAGTCCTCAGAAGTCAATCTGGCCACAGCGGCCTCGGCCTCGTCCAGGCGGTTCTGGCGTACAAGCCACCAAGGAGACTCTGGTGCAAAGTATACACCGGCGATGATGATAATTGGCCAAAACCACCTGGGTATCCGTCAGATCATATGGATGACTAAACTTGGAAGAAGTCTTACTGAAGAGCGAAAGGAACTCGGTATGACCACGGACTGGGCAAACTAAGAGTGCCACGAAAGGCGACGGCGTTCAAAAGTTGACCCAGAGCCTAAACCAGTCAGCTTTGACTTCTGATTTCAGCCTATGATTTACTCACCCAGGTTAGCGAATAGCAGCTTGTGAGGTAAGGGCGAAGTGCGGTGGGCGAGATATCAGTGACGTATACTGTGGTTACAGTTTGAAAAATGCCCAGAGGAAAAGCTACATGGTATTAGAATTGTACATGGAGGTGTTCTCAGGAACACATACCCATGAGAAACACGGCAACAGCCAAGACTTCGAGACGCGGTGCGAAGAAAAAAATTAAAACGATAGGTGGCATAGAAACCAGAGCGGTCATCATCGTTTTCCGGAACCCAAACCTCTCGGAGACATATCCACCCATGAACATTCCTAGTATAGACGTAACACCAGATATGCCGCCTATTCCGCTTTGCCAAGCCGCGGAGATTTCATAGGACCCATCCGGTTGTCGAGAACCGAAGGCTTCCTGGAAGGCAGGCACCGCGTAGAGTGACCCTGTGATTTTGGTGTCGAATCCCTCCATGACGAGCGCGAGGGAGATATAAGCACCAAACCAAACAGCCTTGGAATATAGCTTCAAGGCGCGACGAGGCGTCAATGAATGTTCCCAAACCATGGCAGCTTCGGCATCCGCCACAAGGTTTTCTGGCATGACCTCCTTTGTTGCGGACGTTGCCTCCATGATGATTGGGCTTCGAAGGACTCGGTGGCTGATTCGAAGGTGTCGTGAATAACTTAGGTGTTCGAATTCTGGACAAGTGGAGAATTGACCCCCAGATGTAAGACATCACGACACGGCTCTTATAGAGATGTTGAACTGAAGCCATCCTGGAAGAGAAATCGGATTGCATTGAATAAAATGGCAAAATCAACCAATAGGCCCCTAGCTCCAGACCACGGGGAATGGCTTGAACTCTGCGAATCCCAATGGGTGACATGACTCGAGCCTTTGCCGAGGAGTCCACTTTAAGCGAACAAGAGAGTCGGTTGGCAAAGGCCCACTCTAGGCGATTGCATCAGGTGTTGCGTGAGCATTGATTTCTGAAAAGGCCCCGCTGGAAGCGACACATTGCCGTAACTAGCTAGTACTTTTCTAGGATCCATTATAAGCGAGCGGTGCTGCTCAATCCTCGATGCTCTGCTATCTGAAAAGCCGCATTTCAATGTAAATCATGTTGCTTCCCTGCGGTTCTCTTCAAAGAAAGTTGCCTCAGTTTACTGTCTCGTGTCTCATTATCTCAATATGCATTAGTCCCAAATCCCTTCCATTGCGTATCAAAGAGAGAGCGTAGGTGGCTTATATTCATTAGCTGTTCAGCTATTACCAGATGATAATCGGTATCTTAGAATAACTACCCTGAACTGCTGCCCAGCCCGTGTTGGGCAGCAGAAGCATCATTGTTCCATTCCGATGGTGTGTAAACGCAGCATCCCCACACGCCTTGTCTCCAACGGTGAATTCAAGGGCTGCTCTATTCTAGACAAAGGCATATAAGTTCATGATTGTAGGGGTATGAATGGTTTCAAATAACGACCGAACCTTATGGTAAGAGTATTGACAAAAATGAAGAGTATTGTTTGTCGGGAAATGATATTATAAAATGTTCATCCATCGCCTGAGCAGAATGTCACGATCCGTATCTAATCTACGCGGTAGATAGCGCGCTGCATCCTACATAATTCATCTAGATATGTGCCATACACCTTAGCACTGTTCACACTATTAAACTTGATTAACTATCATGAGGTCACGATAACGACCCTTGTAGATGGACTCACTAGTTCAATTTGTCCAGCTTTTCTAATCGCACAACCTCTGATCAGCATGGCATTCGTAGGTTTGGAACAAAATACATACCGTTGATGGAATGTGCTCCATCCGTTGGCTTTCCAACTGGCAACAAAAGCACGTTCTTCTTGAGGATCTCCTTGAAATGCAAGGCAATGGGGATACTGCATGATTCATGGGTCAACTTTTAACCTGTCGGGTCCAGCGATGAAAGGGGCGGGTACCTTCCGCCTTCACATATAAAGTCTGGCTTTGTCTTCCAAACAGTCTCGATTGCATTTACCCCGGCTCGATGGTTCCAGTGATTCACATCTTCATAGAACCAATCGCTCTGATGAACGCAAACTAGGTTCATGCTGTTTTTGCTCTCGAGGCGCTTGAACTCTGCCGTAATGTGCTCGCGAACCAAATTGTCGATGTCCGCCGCTTTCATGTTAGGCACCGTCCGGATACTGAATTTTCCACGTAACCCGGCTGGAATGGATGTGGTGGCGCCCTCACCGGCTGTAGTACTCTCGATTCGGTGGATTGAAAGGGCGGGCATCCTCCTATTGTGCGTATTAGTATCGAAGAACCCTATTACAAGAGAACCTGCACACAACGTACCGCGAAACTAGATTGCTTGCAACATCTTGGTGGAGGCTACGACCTCCAAGCCCGCCATCCAATTCCTCTTCAAAGATCTTCATGTTTTGATACAATTCTCTTTCAGCATCGGTAACCGGTACCACGTTGTCGTATATCCCAGGAATCAGCAATTTTCCGTTTGAGTCGACAAGCGTCGACATGACCTTTACCATGTCTGTCATCGGCTCTGAAATTTGGCCACCAAATATGCCGCTATGTGCATCCTGCTTCGCCCCTGTGATCGTGAGGATGTAAAACAAGACTCCCCTCAGCCCACAACTGATACTGGGCTGCGTGCTCCCGGCCCAGATGCTGTCAGTAATGCAAACCACATCCGCGTCGGCAAAGAACTCGGAGGCCTCTTCTTCCAATGCTGCCCGAAGTCCAACAGATCCGCTTTCCTCCATGCCTTCAAAACAAAATATGAGGTTTGCCGGTACCTCGCTTCCACACTTCTGGAATGCTTCAATCATGTTCAGCCAGGCGACCAAGGGCCCTTTGTCGTCTGACGTGCCTCTGCCACACAACCTCCCACCTTGTTCTATGGTGAGTTGGAAGGGGTCGTGTTTCCACCCATCTTCAATAGCCGCAGGCTGAACGTCATAATGGCAGTAGACCAGAACTGTTGGCTTAGCCAGATCCCGGCCATATCGTCCTAGAACCAATGGAGGGAGTTCAAGGTCTGTTCCTGGTTCTTTCCCTAGCGATTTGACCTTTACATCGATCCCAAGCGATTGCATCTCGTCGGCGATCAGCTCACTGGCCTAAGGAGAACGGGTTATTTCAGAGACTTGCTCACTCTGAGAGTTCCACCAGCGATGAAGAATTACCTTGAAAACATCACGTCTCCTCCCTCCATCAGCAGATACCGACGGTATTTCCACCACACGGCGTAGCCCTTTAGGGTTGTTAAGATATTAGCCGCCTGAACTTAAGCCACTATACTCTGCTCGAAGCGCCACTAACTGTCAATAAATCGATCTTCGAGGTGATCAACCCTATTGCACATATGCTGTTAAGCCTATGCCATATTTCAACAGTTACTTGACGGATCCTCTCACATAGAATAGAAATTTTCGCGGTCCATTGTTGACATCGTTCTCGATTTCCTCACTTATCCACAGAGTTGTTTTAAGTTGAGTGAGAGATGGAGGAGGAATGAATTCGAATACTGCGAAATATATCCAACACAGGGGCTGTATTGCGCAATAAAAATGTTGGCCAACATCAAATTAGTGTGATCGATTGCAAAATTAACTCCGTATCGTTAACAGCACTCGAAAAACAGATCCATCATGCCAAAAATGGAAATTCCTTACGACGGTATGAGTTTAGTACCAAGTGCAATCCATCAATGTGTTCTCTTCCGTGATTAATAATTTCACCCGTTGAACATGACTGGGAAACAGCCCGACTAGCTTGGAATATGGATCAAGTATTTTATTTAATATGTCCGGTTTTCACTGCCTACGTTATGCCTGCGCGGTTGATGATCTGGTACAAATCCTCCGTAAAAAATGCTGCCTAGTCGTCTACCAATCAACTTCGCAATCTCCCTTAGTCGTCGGTCAGAGAAGTAGCTGGCAGTGTCGCTTCTCCCACAGGCTGAAGAGAACGTTCAATCTCCAACAGCACACGCAAACCGCAAAGATAAAAAGAATTATCAGAGTTGGGAGTGCCACATGTCCAGGTGGAGTTGGTAGCCAACCACTACATGAAATAACTAGGCAACACTCCAAGGTTCATGCAATAAGCGCCTCTCGAGGACTTACTAATGCTAGGGGTCTATGGGAGCAGATATACTGCATGCTCCGTCGAGTCTCAGAAGGTAAAATTAAGCTGAATTGATGTGTAATTTACGGCTTGATAAGTGAAAGATCCTCGGATCAGATGAGGGCCAGGACGAGGTCTTTGAGCTTCTAGGCCAAAGAAGAAGGCGCATTTCCCGAACCCGTGGCCTTTTGCGGTCTATGTGGGTCTTGATATTTACGGGAAAGATTACAAAAAGTGGGAAGAAAGGTCTGCTTTCTTGCTGTGACGTAGAGAAAATTAGTAAGATGATAGCGCTGTAAAATGAGGCGCAATCTGTAGTTGCCCATGTACTTGGGACAGGGATCGTCTCAAACTACAGTAAGTTGTGTGTCTATAGCAACATTGGTGATACAAGAGACAAGTGAGTTTAGCGTGCAAAGATCTTGAACTGAACTGGTTATGAGGGTTAAGTTAAGCGGCGTCCAAAATGAATGCCGAGTTTGGTAGTTGCCAAAACAGGAAATATTTTACGAGGATGCCTCCGCGTTTGACTAGCCCAACAGTGAGCGCCGAGGCCCATCCACATCTATAGACTTGTAGTTGACTAAAATTAATTGGTCATGAAAAAACGACCCTTGTGGTAAGAAATAGATGAGTGTTGCTGCTACGTAATCTCATATAGCCTCCACATGAATTAAAGCGACTTTTTTACCAACCTCATCAGTGCGGCTCTTCTTATCCAAGAGACCAAACACTGCAGCAAATGACAACGCACTCCAAATAGGATTTTGCATAATATCGGCTTTCCTTACCAATCTTGGCACTTCAACATGACTTCATTGCCCAAGATATTGGTAATCGGGTCACCAATCGGTCTAATTCCCGAAGACCTGTGGGCCTCCTTCTCGTCACGATACGACGTTTTACTTTACGACTTTCCAACCACTCACAGCTTTCACGAAGGCCTACAAAACGGACCATGCAGCGATATCGTTGCCATCGTTAGACTCGGGTTGAACATTCCAGCAGGAGCCGCAAAAGTGGGACAAGGATGGACAAAGGCAGCGCTCCCATTCCTTCCATCCAGCCTCGAGGCCATTGTGAACTTTGGCCATGGCTACGACGAGGAGGATATTCTCGGACTCGATGCACGTGGGATACGCTTTTTTAACACAACGGGAGGAACCCAGGCGACGGCCACTATCGGGATATATCTCATTATTGCTGCATTCCGCCAAGTTAGTCGGTACGAAAGAATGCTGCGCAACGGAGATTTCCTTCCAGCACTGAGAGATTCGGCCAAACACGCAGTAGATCCGCATGGCAAGAGCGTCGCGATCATTGGCATGGGCTCAATAGGACAGGCAGTCGCCCGACTGGCTGCCGCCCTAGGTATGAGAGTACATTGTGTCAAACGGCCTAGCTTGCAGCATCTCATAGATGTGAGTAAGAATGAGCACCAATGCGGAGGCAGCCTTCCAATTTTGACCTTGCATGACGATATCAACTCCTTGGTCGCAACGGTTGACTGCGTTGTCCTGTCCTGTTCATACACTCCCTCGACACATCACCTTGTCGATAAGGAACTGCTCGAAAGAATGAAGCCTGGCGTTCGCATTGTGAATATTGCCCGGGGTAAGTGCATCGACGAGGGAGCTCTGTGTTACGCAATCGAGAACGGGAAGGTCGGCGGCGTGGGGTTGGATGTCCACTACAACGAGTATGTATCCCTGTTCGGTCTAGCACATAAATCACGGCCTGGGGTGTGCAATACGGCGGATGCCATATACGAGTTCAACACGACTAGATTAGCTAACATAACCTCAAAGACCCCAAGTCAACCCAAAGCTACTCTCATACGACTGCGTCACTCTTCTGCCTCACATTGGTGGACTCACCAACGAAACCATGAGCGTAAGTGGCTTATCATCTTTCCCACACCACAATCCACCTTCTCTAACAAATTGTCATAGAACCACGCAATTATGTGTCTAGAGAGAATTGATAGCTTCTTCCAAAAATGAGCTATGTGTTTGGGTAGTCTTGCCTTCTCTTAAGGTGGTAGTGCAGGGTGAATAAAAAACTGTTGTGGAGTCTTCAAACTCTCAAGCTTAGGGAGTGCGAGGGAATAAATGAGATATTTCTCCATCCTCAACTCCTTCTGAATTGTGTTGGTGACGGGTACTCGCTGGATACGAGAATTTGCTCTATGTCGCATTGGAACTACATGTGCATTCTTCCATAGCCCTTCTCGGGTAGCTCCTATTCACCTCTTTCTTGTCTTGACATTGGCTTTAATAACCGAATTACCTATCTCGGCGCATCTGAATAGATCCTGAAAGAAATGTGAGGCGCGCCATGGTATCACATGCTCGCGAATGCCCAAGCCAAGCAAGGCAGGCCACTCGGCTAACAAACCCCATTTAGATCGAGCACTCGACATTTTAGATTCACGTCGCCCGGAACGACGTTGAGCATTTTTTGTATATTGCATCCACCGTATCTCTTATCGTGTCATGAAGTGGATACTTTGTACATTGAGGCATGGTGAGACAATCAGTCCCACGAGTCACGCCAGGAAAGCGGAGAAGAGGGACACAGTTTGTGGCAATGATTTGGATAAGTCTTGGTGTCGAAAGTGGAACGGGGCGACGACGATGTTTTAGCGTTAGTCGTATACCGTTACTGTATCTGGCAATACTCAGGTGGCTCGTTCAAGATTACCCAATTTGGGTAGGTTGATATGGTCACACTCCACTGAGGTCCACCGAGAAACAATTACCCAAACTAGAACCGTTGTTGGTATCATCTCATGTATTAGTAGTTACCTTTATGCCGCAGATTATCCTTTCACAAGAGGTTGATTATTGTTTGAATTTCAAGTGCGATAACCCATTGGTGTTGGTTTCCCACAAAGTTACCAGAGATACCTAACTTGCAGATACGCTCTCAAGCTCACCATGAGTCCCAGCGCTACCTCACCCCAAGACGTTTCCTCCACTGCCAAGCGGGCGGAATATGGAGATTTCAACGTGGAGAAAATGACGTACACGCTCGTTCCAGAGGCTGAGCAGCAACCTGTCCCAGGGTTGCAGCACCCTGGCAGGATGACCCAGAAACTCACGACAGCGCATATGGTGTTGTGTAAGTGGGATCAAGAGGAGGGATGGGCAGCACCGGAAATGATGCCATACGGGAAAATATCTCTAGAGCCGACTGCCAGCGTCTTGCATTACGCAACAGAGTCTTTTGTAAGTCCAGGTACTGCCATCCAGCTGGCACCGGCATGACCTTCTGCATCTATCTGTAGTATGTTGCTGACTAGACCTTGTACGTTCGTCTAGGAGGGCATGAAGGTCTACCGCGGCTACGACAACAAGATCAGGCTTTTCCGACCCCGTTTGAACTGCGAGCGTCTTATCAAATCCAATGCGCGAGTTTGTCTGCCCTCGTTTAACCCAGAGCGCTTACTAGAAATCCTCATCGCGTACCTCGCTATCGAGTGTCGTCGTTGGCTGCCCGAGCCAGGTTCCAATCTTTACGTTCGACCTGCCATGATTGGTAGCGGATCTGCGCTGGGCATCCAGAAACCGCCCGAAGCGCTGTTCTTCCTATTCGCCGCGCTGTTCCCGCAATCATCCCGATCGTCACCAGGCATCAAGCTCGTCGCAAGCGACTCCGAGTACATTCGAGCGTGGCCCGGTGGTTTTGGCACTGCCAAAGTTGGTGCCAGCTACGGCCCAGCTATGGTGGCACATGCCAAAGCCAAAGAGCAGGGTTGCAGCCAAACGTTGTGGCTATTTGGAGAGGAGAAGCTGGTGACGGAGGCTGGAGCAAGCAACTTCTTTGTTGTCTGGCGGCTTGATGATGGCACGATTGAGCTGGTTACTAGCTCGCTGGACACCGGCGTCATCTTGGAAGGCATCACAAGACGTAGTGTGTTGGAAATAGCTCGGGAGAGGCTTATAGAGGGCACAGCTTCGGCTGGCCTAACTCCGCTCAAGGTCACTGAGCGCCCATTTTCCATGGACGAGATTCTCAAAGCGCATCATGAGGGAAGACTTATCGAGTCTTTCGTTTCTGGTACAGCGGTAAGCATCCCCGATACACTGCGTCAACATATGGACTAACCCATGCGCACAACAAGATGTTCATTAGCCCTGTTTCTATGATTCGGTACGGCAATGAGGATATACACTTCCCGATGACGGTCACGGATGACAACCAGAAAACTCCTCTGTCTAAATACTCGTCAGCGATCAAGTCTTGGTTGGAGGATATTATCTACGGTCGGACAGAGCACGAGTGGGGTTACGTGTTACCCGGCCAGTAGATGCAGGAATGAATGAATTTTATGGTCAGAAAAATACGGGAAAGCTCTGCGCTGAGAAACAAGGCTATTGGAACTTATGAATTGGTAGTGTGAAAGGAAGCCTGCCCAACTGAGATGCTAACAGCGATCTGGGACATCGTGGATTTTTACATTGCTTCAAGGGAAGCTTCCTTAAAAATTCACGTAGTGGATTACACCGCGTTGCATAGCGCAGTGTCATTGATATTAGCTGTATCTTATGGTGGGAGGTGTTTCGTCACCACTGGCCCAATTTGTGCTGGTGCACTATCACGCAGTCTAGCTGTTATCGGTCGGCTGTCGGGTGATTTAGCATGTCCGGTTACCGCCTGGTACAAAAGCAAGCCGGCTCCATAAATTAAACCCGTCCCCTTGACTGTCCTGTCACGATTTACTGGAATATCCGCCCTCATCGGAATTGGCCTCACCCGCCACCATTCATCAACGTATGCCAAATGGTTAATCCACCAACCCGCAAGCGCCATGTTGTCTCCCGGGATCGTAATGGATGTGTCACCTGCCGTGCGCGAAGATTGAAATGCGACGAGGGCAAGCCCAGCTGTCAAAACGTGAGAACATGATGCCACTTTCTTCCTTGTCGTTTCCTCCACGTCCAGCTCTTGCTCACATTCACATCCCTACGACAGTGTACTCGGTTCAAAATCCAGTGCGGCGGATACAAAAATCGTCTCGTTTTCAAGGACCAGACGGACCGCCTCTGCAAGAAACATGGATCGGGTTCACATTCTCGAAATGCCAAGAAGCAATCCCCACCTGCGCCAAATGATGTGACTGCACCCGTGGATATGACGCAGGTCCATCATTTGACTCATTGGCAGAGCGTATATGTAGCGGCAGAGTCATTGACGGAGATGTCTGCTGGACTAGAGCATAACGGGCACGGAACGAAGGAGGGCGTACATGAGTCTCAATCTGGTGCCGGCGAAGAAACTCATGCCACAGACTTATCTCTCAATTTCTTCAACATTGGCCGCGACGATGAATCGCCAACGCAGGGCCACTACGATAATCCTCAGTCTCCGGATGACTCTGTCCCGAGTGACCCTGATGACATGGGAGCCTTGGATGCCACATTTTCACCACTTGAGACCTCACACAACGGAGAAACGACAATCCATCGCCCACAGCCGTCTCTTATCTCGCATTCAAGCCAATCACCATCACAGCCTACCACCCAGCCTGACCTGATCCAGGTGGCCCCGTCAGGGATTATGGAGAGCGCCAAGTTCCCCGAGGATCTTATTTACTACCATCATATACGGGATGGCCCGCCTTACGGATTGCTATCTGTTCTATCGCTCGACGATATGTTCCAAGTGAAATACCTGGACGCGTCCTTTTTCCATGCCGCGCTAGCACTTTCGGCATTGGACATATCCCACATCGAGGGAAACAATGTGCTGGCCAAGAAGGCTCGACTGCATGCTCTGGATCACTACGTGACTGCCCTAGGCACGGTCAGTCGAACGAGTAACCTCTTGGATCTCGGATTCCGCCCTGATAGGTCATATGCGGCCATCTCATGGCTGGCCACGACCTTGTTCTTAGCACACTTTGAGTTGCAGCGGGGCGAGATGAGGCTTTGGTACATACACAGCTGCGCCGCCGTGAATCGACTCTCCCGAGACCTTCGCCTTGTGAGAGGGTCGGTCATGGGCGAACCAATACTGCGATCGTTTTCCCGGATTGCTGCTTTGCTCAATATTTACGATCGCACGTATTCGGTCCAGCCGAGGACCTGTCCCGACATCCCAAACTCACTACAAGACTCATTGCTACTGTCGCCTTGTCCTACAGATCGGCTACTCTTCATCCTGCCTCGCGTGATCGAGCTAGAGGAAGACTGGCGCAGTAATCCTCAGGAAGAAGACCGGTTTCGAGAACAAGCAGCCAAATTGATCTCGGAGCTGGAGGAATGGCGATGTAGCTTGGATGAAGCGGATGTACCTTTTTTTAATGACATACAGTCTCCCGAGGGAGGAGGCGCGTTTTCAATCAGCCCACTGACCTTGTCGGATTCCCGCCAGCCCATCCGAGCCGCAACCAACTTCATGCACTATCTCATTTCCTTGTTAAGACTTGGCACCCACTATCTACCAGGTTCTGGACGGCAGCAACCGAGCAATTCAGAACATTTAGTTCTCCTGGTGTGTCGTCTGGCCGCCGGTGTAACTCCACAGCAATGTGCAGCTATAAACGCCTACGGGCATGGCATGGTACCTGCATTGATGAACGCATACTACATTACGCATGACGGGTCGATCAAGGCTTGGATAGTTGACTGGTTGAATAAGTTTCCGCGAGAGAGGGAAGGCATCTGGAATGTTCGACATGCGACACGGCTATTAGCGTATATCGACGAGGAATACAGTCGGCGGGGAGCGGGCCAGAACTGGGGCGTGATCAAGGTCCGCATGATAGACCTGGAAGATGAGAACACGCCTGAACCTGTAGATGTTGAGAAAACCGAAGACAGGTTTACGGTTGAGATATATTCGAGGTCGAAACGGGGATGGAGCATAGATTTTGTTGATGTCCCTTGATCGGGGCATATTAGATAACAATTCTTCACCCCGATCTTTACAGTGGATCACATAATGCACTTAAACAAGACCGTCTAGTCCAGGTTCGGGAGGCAGAGGCAGGATATGTCCGAAATATTTTTATCCTATCAATGTGACGCCAAATAGTCTCCTCCTCTCCGGCCTAAGGAAGCTCGGAACCATTATCCTCCGAGAACAGTCGATATATGCTTCTAAAATCCTTCCCTTGGCACTTTTCACTCTGAACAGCTTTTTTGAAAAAGGTCTGAACCACAGGACCCAGAACACTACCTGCGTTCAACTGTTCACCCAGCTCCAAGGACATATCGAGGACACCTCGGCATAACTCGGTCGTGAATCCTCCCTCGAAATCATTGGCAGAAGATGCAATGGAAGATATTCCCTTGACAGGGTTTTGCTCTCGGCTGTTGCGCGACATGCCTGTCGAGACGTTGATGACTCCAGCCAGAACACTAGGGTTGAGCCCGTATAACCGTCCCATGTTCATCCCTTCGCAGACTCCAATCATGTTGACAGCCGACAGATAGTTGTTGATCAGTTTAGTGGCCAGGCCCGCACCGGCTCCGCCACAATGGAAGATGCTCTCGGGCTTGCCCATATGCACAATGGTTGACTTGACTAGTTCAAACACCTCTGGACTGCTACCAACCATGAAGGTCAGTGTTCCAGCATTGGCACCTCCCACACCTCCTGAGACTGGGGCGTCGGCGAAGACTCCAAGCCCAGACTCCTTGACAGCGTCTCCAATTTCTTGTGATGTCTTGACGTCGATAGTTGAGCAATCAATGAAGATCTTACCACCCGCTTTCGGTGAAGATTGCAGAGAGAGAAGTCCAGTATTACGGTTCGTAAATACTTCCCGAACGTGCTCTCCTCTGGGAAGCATTGTTATAATGATGTCCTAAAATGCGATATGAGTCGGTGTCTTCGAAGTGCAGCAAAATTATAGCAAAAAGCTTACACAATTGTCGGAGATTTCCCGTGGGCTCGTCACGACTTGTATGTCGCCGGGTGTTTCAGCCACCCATTGATCCCGGCGTTCAGCGACGACCTCGCAAACATATAACGTCGAATCTTCCGGTATCTTGGCTCCTAAATTCTTTGCCATCCCACATCCCATAACACCAAGCCCGATAAAGCCATATGACTTGGCGGGTGAGCTTTTCTGATCGGCCATGATGGACTTGTGCGAATTGGTTCGGGTAGCAAAAGTTTAAGCTACAAGAGCACAAATGAAACCGGCGGACCACGATGGAGAATTCGTGAATGATGTACGAAAGGCAGTCTATGCGTTTCATGCGGCACACAATTAATTCAAGCAGATTTAACGTCAACGTCTTGCTGTTCTGTAACGGGCCGTGATGAGTTGGGGAAACAATTAGTGGGGTCGTGGGCATAAAGCTGACAGGGGAAATTATTGGGTTGAAGATTGTTGGAGTAATAATACAGTGTTATTACCGTAAAAACTCTGTCAATTCTCGCAGCTTAGCATCTCCATTTTCCACCGTTAACGGCGAAAAAGTCACGAACAGCCTAATGTATTGGTTCTCATTTTCTTTAAGGAGAAACTGTGGAGAGACTAGACTGCGCGAGTTGACAGTGTTTTTACGGCACTATCGACATCAGACACTTGAACGTCAGGCGCCAAAAAAAAACCACTCCATAATTGTATCGTTTACTTCGGCATGACGACGGACCCCTCGTCGAAAAGAATAGTTTCAATGAGATAGCTTTCATTGTCTCTCTTCTCTGAGCAATATGGGCATGAATAAGCGAGAAGCGTTTATTGGACGTTATATAATCTACCTCAGAGGCAGGTAAGGGTCGTAAAATATCTACACGCTCTACAGCTAAAGGCGACCAGGGAAATACCTGCCTCGCTTTCTCGCTTCTGTCGCCCACACGCCATCATGAGCAAAGATAACCTCGACATTGACCAAATCGCCTGGGTTCTCAACGGTTTCCCGAATGGCAGAAATTGTCTTTTCCGCCTGGATTTTATCCTTATGGATGCAACAGATCGCACCAGGGTACGCGTCGTCGATCCACGTCGCAATGCCCTTCTCGCCAGTAAAAATCCGTTTATCATGACTCGCATCGCCAGCAAGGTAGACATGCCTCTCGTTATCAAGGCGGCAGAGAAGATTAATATGTCCGTCAAGATGGCCGGGAGCAGAGACTATATATACACTCCCGTCGTTGAATATGTCCATTGCTGCCTCAAAATGGCCCTTTCGGTGCCACGGCTTGGCGAAAAAGTGAACGAGCTTCTGAGTCTGAGGCGCAAGGCAATTGGCATCCTCATAAGGTGGCGGTGTGCTTGGTAGACCAGTCGGGGGGAGCTCAATGCTTCTCTTTAGATCTAGCATTCCTATTTCAAAATGGTTGTGACTCCCGACGCCGCTCTGCTTCCCACCATCGATCAGATCAAGGGCGCCTGGGCCAACAATGTAAGTTGATTTAGGATAGTCCGACGGCGTGCCGACATGGTCCCAGTGAAGGTGACTGAAAATAACCATATCGACATCGTCGGGCGTAAGCCCACCAGATGCGAGTGACTCCAGAGTGTCGGGCTCGCCGGAGAGCGGCTGGCGTGTCATTGCATGCTTGTAAATGGGCTTCGGATAGCGGTCGAGCTGTCGCCGGATGCCAAGGTCGAAGACTATTCGCGTTGTCTTTTGGGTCTCGAGGTTTGTGTGCTGAATCAAAAAGGAGAGTGAGGGTACTGTCTTTCGAGCCGAAGGGTCGTCGATTGGAGTGACGAAGAATCGTTCCGGCAAAGTCAGGTAACCAGCTGAGAGTGCGTGGACAGAGACGGAACCTGTAGCATGCATAGTGTATTGAGATCCGAAATAATGAATATTGCGCAGGTTGCTATTGAGAAAGTGTTTTGGTCACAGGTGAGGTGAAATAAAATACAATAACACCTAGCGACGTGGATGTATTTTCACTTTGCTGGGGATATACAATGTCGCCTTCCCCACGGAAGCAGCCGATTTGATTGCTGATTTGAACAATAGATCTCAGATGACGAATCATGCATATTACAGTCATGGACTGTTGACCGGTATGCACGTCTGGGCATTGGAGACACTATTTGGGGCTGAATTGGAGAGGAAAATAATAGATCAAACGCCATGGGGAAATATATTTTCCATCATTGTATAAAAAAGCACTGGAAATAACTATAAACCCTATTTAAGTTGGTAATTAACTAAATCAAAGATCAGCCCAGAAATTTACCCCATTTATCATTATTCTGCCATGTCCAACGACAGCCACACCGACCTGTTCGCCGCCGGTCTCAAAAACCGCCGGGAGGTGGTTGGAAATGCCTACGTCGACGCCGCCCTACGTAACGGCTCTAGCGAATTCGCTTACCCCGGTCAACAACTCGTTACCGAGTACGATACCCGCAAGTCTGTGTTCTACCACTATTGCTGACATGGATGATCAAGGTGGTGCTGGGGGAACGTATGGTCACGTCCTGGCCTGGAGCGCAAGCAGCGCAGTCTCCTGAGTAGGTCCCGCTCCATCCACGGTCTAGTGCCCACGGGGGTTTAATACGAGCTTTTTAGACATCGGCATGTTGATCGCGTTGAAGAGCTGGCCCGAGTTGGGCATCCACGTCCGTGGTGCTCTGAACAACGGCCTGAGTGAGGTCGAAATCCGCGAGGCTGTCCTCCAAGCCACCATCTACTGCGGAGTACCTGCGGGTGTGGAGGCTATGAAAGTAGCTGAGAAGACTATTAATGATATGATTCAGAAGGGTGAGCACAAGAGGGAGCTTGCGGAGGTGTCACCAGAGGCCAAGACGGGAGTGTAATGGCATTCGCAATAAAACAGGCCTGATAGCAATGCACCCTTCTTCTGGGAGCTGAACCTGACTCAATCCAATTCCAACTGTATTCTCCGCGTAATTTGCTTGATAAATTGGATCCCCAAACTTTTGGGTAACAATTCATCTCAGAGGTATCCCTCTGCTCGGCTATCACCGACGTGTTAAATTTCCAAGACTGGTTACTTCGTGCACCTCGATCCATTGTAGCGTGGTATCTGAACCCTGACCCAATAATTGGGTACCGGGAGGGCTTCAGAGGATGCTTCCTAGTAAACGGATGGGGTACAAAATGGGGGAGAAACAACTTGGTTGGCTTTCGATGCTAGCCTTTGGTATGCGAACAGTTTTCCAGCCCACCGCCACCACCACTCTCCTCTAGGGACTCTCCATCCCAGTCTAAGTTGTCATCTCCGCCTTTCGTCCGGCCAATCTACACTGCCCACGGGGATCTCGCTTCTCCGCATTCTCCCCACGATTTCTCTAGCCTCGAAGAGAAGCCAAGCGCGACATGGCCCCGGACTTTCTCCCCCATTGCAAGGATCACCTACCTACCGTCTTGGAATAATGTGCGGGGAACGGCCTTTGAGGTCAGACATCGGATGACTTCTACTTAGTTGATTACTGCTAGCTTTGGTATTGTTTACTCGACGATGATGATATAAACCAAGTCTCATGCTCTTCGTAGGCTTGCCCAATTTTCTACATCCTCAATTTCCTACATCGTGAGATTTGACCAGCAGCAATGGCCAACACAAATACACGATACAACTTTCTAGTGATTTTCTTTGTGGCTCTAGGGTCCTTTACCTATGGCTTCAATTCTGCAATCAGTGGCTCCGTCCTAGGCCTCTCATCTTTCTTAAACTACTTCCAGCTCAGCACCACCGGCCCAAATGCTACGAAAGGCAACCATCTGATCGGAGGTGAGATATTACCAGCCAAAAGAAAAACCTCTGTCGTCAAGGGAGAACCGAATATTAATCTCTTTCTGTCCAAATAGCCAACAATGGTCTCTTCGCAGGTGGTGGAATTATTGGGTGCCTCCTCGTTCCTTGGCTCCTTGATGCAGCTGGACGTCGCGTCGCCATCCAAATCACATCCCTCCTCTGTGTCGCCTCTGCCATTCTTCAGGCCGGATCTGTCCACATTGGCATGCTCCTGGTTGGCCGCTTCTTGAATGGAATCGGCGTTGGCATGATGGACGTTGCTGTGCCAATCTACCAGTCGGAAATTTCGCCTGCTAAAGTCAGAGGCCGCATGGTTGGATCACACGGCTTCCTGGTTGTTGTTGGCTATGTGAGTCCTCCTCTGTATTATTTCTACTCTTGGTGAACCCTCATTCTGATAAGCTTGGTGCATTAGGCCTTGGCTGGATGGGCTGGGTACGGATGCTTTTTCATCACCAAGGAAGCTCTCCAATGGCGTCTATGCCTCGCATTTCAGATTGTGGCACCGATGCTTCTCCTGGCTGGATCTCCTTGGATGCCAGAATCACCAAGATGGTTATGCAAAATGGGTAGAACGGAAGCGGCTCGTCAAGTTCTCGAGAACCTCCACCCAGATGGTCAACACGAAGGCAATTCGTTTGCCGAAAATGAACTCCAGCAGATTTGCACACAGCTCGAGATTGAAACGCATGGAGCCACTTCAAGCGGGTGGCGACACGCTTTCTCTCAAAAGTCGTATCGCAAGAGGCTTCTTTACGGCTTTTTTGTCCAGTAAGCAGCCACATGGAACATGATGGAGGATATTACTCACCAACGTAAACAGGTGTGTCGCTCAGTCAACTGGAGTTCTGGTTGTCAACAACTACCAGATCCTTCTTTACGATGGTCTGGGCCTGCGAGGGTCCATCTCCCTCCTGCTCTACGCATGCTACAACTCGCTGGCAGCGTTTATGAACTTTGTCAACAGCTTGATGTTGGACCGCTGGGGACGAATTCGCATCATGGTTATTGGATTGATTGGCTGCTCACTGTCACTCTCAGGATTCACCGCCATGGTCGCCGAGTTCGTCGGCACAAACAACAAGGTTGGCAACGGATTGGGAGTCTTCTTTTTGTACCTCTTTGTCTTCTTCTATGGCGGTACCATGGATGCTTCGTCGTATGTCTACTGCGCCGAGATCTTCCCAACATCGATTCGTGCCCATGGTGTCGGCCTCAGCGTGTCCGGGCTGTTCATCATGACACTCATCTACACGCAGACGGCCCCAACGGCATTTGAGAATGTGGGATGGAAGTTCTATCTCATCTTTATTATCATTCCCTGGATTGGCGCATTTATCATGGGCAAATACTTTCCCGAAACGGCTGGGCTGTCGCTGGAGGAAATTGCCGTTCTGTTTGGGGACGAAGCTGCCCCTAACGTCGCCAGCACCGGAGACAATAAGACGTCAGTTGGGCACGAGGCGTTCAATGATACGCATTCTTCCTTGACCACCAAAGCACGAGACGCTGATACAGAGCACGCCGAGATGGTTGGTTTGTAAAGCGGGCGTTATTCCACGGGAACTGCTGTGTCGTTGACCTAGATACAACAGAATTTGCAGACCACAGCCAACTGTATTTTTGGATGAATTATTGGGCTCAAGGGGGTTTGGAGCTGGTAGGGGAACGGTTCAATTCTGATTGGGAGACTCACTTCCTCCAAATAAAGCGCTTTTCTTCATCTCCTTTTCATCTCTCCAAACCGCAGTATAATACCAGTCGTCATCAAGTGCCGTAGTAGCCATCGTTACCCATGGATTACCCACCGTGATGGGGAAGAAATCTCCAAAGACTCTGTGACCCCCAAGATCCCCTCCCCCACATTTCGCCTCAATTTCATTTTTCTATCCCCATCTCTATATGTGAGCATTCAAGGAGTCTTCTACATATGATCCAAGCGAATGAAAAGAAGTCAGATTCCAGGCCCATCCCAGATACTTAACCGCCTACGTATCGCACCAAGTCCGCCGAGAGCCAATTCTGTCCTCTCCCGTTGAAAAGGCACTTCAAATAAAAATGGCAAGTCTAGCTTCGTCATCGTCAACGATGCTAGCTGCTGTGGTGGAACGATTTGGCGAGCCGTACGCGATGAAGCAGGTCCCACGCCCATCGCCACCCGAGGGCCACGACATCCTCATCAGAGTCCTTGCGGCATCATACTGCCATACTGACTCCGTCTTTGCAGCTGGCGGCTTGTCACAGGAGTTACCACGCGTCGGATGCCACGAGTTTGCCGGCGAAGTGATTGCAGTCGGCCCCAATGTGGCAACCCATGGAGGCATCGCGCTTGGAGTTCGAGTCGGCGTTCCAGGACGTGCCTACCATCCCTGCGGTACCTGCTACGAGTGCACTCATCCCGGTCAAGACGATATGGGTTATTCTCCATATTGCCCCGAAGCTGGCAACTTGGGCTTGACGCGAGACGGCGGCTTCCAGGAGTACTGCCTCGTCGACAGCCGTCAGGTCGCTCCCCTCCCAGAAGGCCTACCCGCCACACAGGCTGCGCCGTTGATGTGCGCGGGACTGACAATATGGGCGGCTTTACAACATGAAAAGGTCCGAAATGCACGACGAGTGGGCATTATAGGAGCTGGAGGAGGGCTAGGGCATCTGGGAGTGCAGTTCGCCGCACACCTGGGCAAAGAAGTGGTCGCCATCGATGCAAATGACCAGTCGCTGGAGCTTTTAAACCGCATCAAGCACAACCTAGACTCCTCGGCGTCTCGCGTGCACATTGCAGACGCCCGTAGCATGGACATCGACGCCATGCGAGTCATGGGCCAAGACTCTACTGGAGCACCATCAACCGAGGTCGGGCTCGACGCCGTCATTCTGCTCCCCGAATCTCAAAGAGCGTTCGACATGGGCATGAAGCTACTGAGAAACCACGGGGTCATGGTAGTGGTGAGCTTTCCCAAGGATAAACTGGCCGTCAGCGCCCACGACCTCGTGTTTCGCGACATCAGCTTGGTTGGTAGCTTGGTGGGTAGGAATCACCAGCTCAGGGAAATGCTCGACTTTGTCATGCAGCACAAGGTCTCGGCCGAGGTCAAAACGTTTCCATTTGATCAGCTCAACCAGTTGGTCGTACAGAGTCACCAAGGGTTAGGAGGAAAACTTGTAATTGATATGATGCAATAGTTGGTAGGTGCCAATTGAATATAGTCAAACCCGTACCCCGAAAACCATCCCGACTTGTTCTTACAATAGTAATACAGGACAAGCGACAAACTAGCACCTCATCCCGTTGACATACCTCACTCTCGATCGAGGACATCTGCTACAATAGACAACCCTGCACCAATCATATGCACAAGTTCAAAAACCTGGAATCCTTTGAACGTCTCTGCCCAGATGCGTATAGTCAATGCGGCAAGTCTTTGAATACGATGTGCATGACCCTGGCTGGCATCGAGCCCTTCGGTCCATTCTGTCTCCCGCACAAGGCTGACTACCATGTTGACAAGCTTTTGCTCGTCTGGGCGGAGCGAGTGTATCCCAGAAGTTTCAACATCAGCAGCAAGTGCTCGTAGCCAATGAGTGAGCAGAAAGGCGCATTCCAGGTTGCAAAGGGAGTGTTGGATGCTCCAGTTGAGTGTCTGCGTGCGGGCTACGAACGCTATGCCCACGCGAACCGGAATGCTGAGAGCGTGGATGCATTGCAAGACGGCGCGGTCCAAATGGGGCGATCGGTTACAGACGTGGACTTGAGCATTAGTGAATGCCTGGGCAATATCCATCGGGTCGCGAGTCACCAGCTGGCGGCCTGGGCCTGTGTTTGCGTTGAGCCGGATATATACCAAGCGAAGGAGAGCTGTTGAGTTGAATCCTAGAGGGCCCTTTGGGGACGATGGATCCAACGTCGACTCGTGAGTTGCCTCCCAGGATTCCTGCCACGCTCGCAGTGAGGCCTCCATGTTTTTGACCACGTCCATACTAAGTGAGGTGGTAGAATCTGGGAGGCAGCTGGCGGCATTGCGTACAAAGAAAATCTGCTGCAAGAGCCCGTGGATCAGGGTGTAGTTGCCAAAGGCAGAAATGGGTCCCTCATGATGGATCGCGGCTCCAGAGAGCAGCTGGTCCAAGACCTTTTGGAATGACCGCTTCTTCAGCGACTCGGCTGCAGTCGTGTGCTTCCAGATCTCGGCGTTTGGGGCCTGCCACTCTGATGCGCATGCGGGCAAGTTGATGCGGACTTCTTGATTCGAAACCATCGGAGGCACGTTGAATGCCACGCTTTGCAGGTTGAACAAAATGTAAGCCACAAAGAGTGTGCGACGTCGCTCTTCGCGCAGGACCCAAGTGTCCCAGCATGTCTCACTCGGATGCCTTTCCTCAGAGGATCCAATTCCAAACTCGCGAACCAGCATGCTAACTTGTCCAGACATGGCCAGACCATCTCTCACGAGTGCCCGGTCCCCCCATGAAGTCAGAGCCATGAGAACAGTCAAGCCCTGGAGCAGCCGCAGGCCCTTGCGTCCTTGAGACACCACTGGGGATGGAACATCTTGCGGGGTGTGGGAGGCCTGGCTTCCAAACATACCAGGCCCCTTGTGAGGGTTCGCAAACCCGGCATACCCGGGAGACGTGCTGGTGAGGCGAGAGAAGGCCTCTTGGTCGATCTGGTCCAGCTTCCAGTTGATGAGGGCTTTTGCGACGCGGTACAGCTCAAATCCCTTGGCATGCTCAAAGCGGTACAAGGCACCTACAGCTGCGAGAGCCAGTAGCAGCTCGAGGCCTAGGCTTTCCACTGAAAGAGACGCAGTATGGAGGAATGGCATGTGCGCGTGGAATCCTCTGAAATAGCCTTCGAGGTACCGAGAAAGTGTTTGTCGCGACGGGAAGACAAACGACGAGGGAATAATGTTGCCATAGGTAGATATCTCCTGGGATAGCTTTTGGTACTCATCCAACGATATCCTCCAGGGACAGATTACTGCGTGATGCGCGGCCACAGTGAAGGATTGGTAGCCAGAGCCGGTTTCGGTGTTGGGAATTTGTGTTGGTTCCAGCGACGGCAGCCGGGACGCGGCCAAATGAGACTGCGCTGGGCCACTTGCTGATGCTAGAGGGACCGGCTGCTCTATATACATTACTGGGTTGTGCTCGGTTGGTACGGCCCCAGCCATGAGGTTCACCGGAGGCAAGATGGCATATTGCTGCGATATGTCCACGAGAGACAGATCAGAGTCGAAGAAGTTTGCGGGGAGGGGCTGATCGTCGGTAGGGAAATCGTTCCACAAGAATGCAAACTCCTCTGCGTCTTCCATGGTGCCCAACAAGAGATCTGACGCGGTAGACAGCTCGAATGCTTGGGTAGTTCCCGCGGTAGGCTCTGGGTAAAACTGCTCGGTTGGCGGGCGCTGAACGTTCTCCTCTTCGCGGATCTGGCTCTCGGCTTCGTGTGGCGAGTCTGGGTCATTTCCATTACTCTCCAGCGGTGTTCCGTCACTGGCGGGTGCAATCTGCGGCTTGGTCTGGGCCATGTTTGACTCGAGCGACGCGTGTGAAGTCGCGTCCGAGGCGTCGTCGGGCGCGACGGTATCGCCGTCATCTTCTTGCTGGTGATGCTGGCGATGGTGACGGGTCAAGAGATCTCTAGAGGACCAACGCGGCGTCCCAGTCAGTCCCAGATACGCAACAAGATCGCGCCGTCTCAGCTCCTCACCAGCGCCATTGACTTACTGTCGCGAAAACCTGTGCCCGCACCTACATGCAAAGGGCTTCTCGTGAGTGTCTACGCGTAAACAGGCCCGGCGGTTAGTTTGCCATGATGGCGAGAAATGAGGCACGACTGGGAGAGGGCCGGGGCTCTTACGAATGCGTTCGTGGCGCTGCAAATGTTCCAGGCGCTTGAACTGCTTGTGACAAAACTTGCACGGCGCTACCTGGACGCGAGGACGGCCTCTTACCATTGGCATATGAAGCAATATGAAGACATCAATGGGTAGAGATAGGCCACGACGAATGACAGGCTCTAGCGAAGCAACGATGACGGTGACGACGAGGAATTGAATCAACTTCGGAAGAGAATATGGCGTCTCCCCGCTCGCTCACGTGTTTATGCTGCTCATACACCGTCATTATCACCCTAAGCTTCCAGATCCAGTTCGTGATGGCTGTTGACTTCAACCCGGCTTCTAAGCCACCACACCCTTGACTAAATAAAAAGACTGATATTTTACATGCACAATATTGATGCCTTTGATGACATCAACATTAATATTATCTGCGATTACCGTACCGAACCCGGACTCCTGGTAAGCGGTATAGGGTAGTTGTCGCCGTCATGCATATCTGGACTCTGGGCTGGGCCACATGCTCAAATAGGCTTAATTTCGCCCCAGAGCCAGAGCTTAGCGATGTCATTGATTCTTATGATTGGTGTACAGTGGGCCGAGACTCTGACTAGCCAGTGTGTTCACGGTGGACTAGTCTTTTCTTCTCCAGGTGCCGTGCCATTTTCGCATGTGGAGCGGCATTGAACGAATTTCTACCCCAACGATTTATAATCGCAATGAGCCGTGCCTTCTGGGAAAGCATTCTAGACGACTTAAGTTACTGACTCAACTCAATGACGACTCTATTCCCGTTTCGGTTCAGTGAAATCTCTTCAAGTGCTTTTAGACAATTGGTTGGCCCCGGTCCATCGGTGAATCCGTGGACTTGGGATGTGTGGATTGCGGGGAAGCATTTCTCCCCCAAATCTTTTCCTCCGCTAAATCGAGATGTAACGCTAAGGGCTGCTGCTCGTCTTTATAGGTGGAGAGCAGATGCGACTGTGCAGCTAGCTTGAGGACAACTCGAAGAGCACCTTGTCTGACTGAAACAACTACCACTCAAACTGAAGCCAATATATCCCGGCAAGCACAGAAGAACATGGCGTCAGAAAATTCAATGAGGGCCGTCATCTTTAAGGAGGTAGGCCGGGTGGCTGTGGAGGATCGCAAGCTTCCCGTCATCCAAGACCCTCGTGATGCCATCGTCAAGGTGAGCGTCGCAGCTCTCTGCGGAAGTGACCTCCATTGGTATCGTGGGCACCAAAAGATTCCCACCGGATTCATCCCAGGCCATGAGTTCGCCGGCGTGGTTCATGAAATAGGGAGCCAAGTTACTGGCTTCAGTGTCGGTGATGCCGTTGTGGTATGTATCCCTGGCGCCTGGACAGAGTATCGACTAAATCCGATTCTCAGGCAACTTTCACGACGCAATGCGGAGATTGCTTTTATTGTAAGAAGAAACAAACTAGTAGATGCGCGAATAGTTTTCTCTTCGGTAAGAAACTCGCAGTCATTTAATGTACATTGGGGAAGCCAATCTGATGACCGTACCCTTAGGAAACAGCGCTGGAGCGACAAGCATAGATGGAGGCCAGGCGGAATACGTTCGAGTGCCGTTCGCCAGTTCAACCCTTGTCCCTAAACCAGCCTCGCTTCCAGACAAGATGCTGGTCCTAATGGGCGACATCTTCCCAACCGGATACTTCTGTGCTTCTCGATTCCTCAAGTCTCTTCCCAGGGACGAGGCTAAATCCTCCTGCACCGTCGTCGTTGGATGTGGCCCAGTCGGAATCTGCGCCATCGCAGCCGCTGCCCAGTGGTGTGACAACATCTTTGCCGTTGACATGGTTCCAGAACGCCTTGCCGAGGCGGAGAAACTTGGGGCCAAGCCGCTGTTGCTCACAGATAACCCGACCGCAAAGGTTCTGGCGGCAACAGAGGGCCGCGGCGCTGATGTAGTCCTGGAAGTCGTTGGAACTCTTGCCGCCATGCAGCTTTGCGTGGACATGGTGCGCCCGTTTGGCAGCATCAGTAGCGTGGGAGTGCAGACGGAGGAAGTTTCATTCCATGGTCCGACTTTGTACGCCAAAAATGTTACAATTGCCTGGGGCCGCTGCCCGGTCCGGGGAATCTTCGAAGAGGCACTGGATTGCTTGATTCGGGTTCAGGATAAGGTTGGTTTCCTGTGTGAATGCCACATGAAGCTTGAGCAGGCCCCTGAGGCTTATGAGCTTTTCAATGCTCGCAAGGTCCACAAAGTGTTGTTAACTCTGTGAAGAGTGGAATTTTTGAGGCGCGGGATAGGATGGGGGGCGTGAATGGAAAGCTGTCGAGGGTGTTCAGGGTCTCGGTCAACTAGCATACAAGTGTAAAACAAATGCAGAGTGGTTGTTGTTGATTCAACTCAACTTTAGTTTTCTACATGCTATTATCTGCGACTTGTAAATAATGGCAGGAATCACTGTGCAAAGTGTATGCTATTTCTCAACATCGACGAACCCACAGTCTGGCTTCCATACGATCCGCTTCCCATTACGCCACAGCCCATCAACAAGGGGTTGGCGTCCTGGCTTGCCGCCTTTCGGAAGTTCATTGAGAAATGCCCAACGAGATCTCTCTTTGTATCCTAAACCTTTCCAGTCGTTGATGTCTGCAGTCGGTTCGTGATTTAGTAGCGGGAGAATATTGAAAAGAACATCATCATGGGCAAGGCAGATGAAGACTCCCGGGTGGGCATCCAAAGGCTGGAGCATGTTGACGCTGGACTGAGCGACATCGCCAAAGCTGTAAGCGCTGCCCGGCTCGCGTGAAATGTTGTAAAACGGCTGTATCCGTGATTCCTTAGACCGTGCCTTGCCGTCGTCATTTGATGCAGGGTGGTGAATTGTAAAGGCAGAACAGGGGCAAGGACGAGGATAATAGCTATCGAGTTCCTCGGTGGGAATATTTGATGGCAGCGGCATGTAGGGTGTTGGTCTAAAAGCGCCAGCATAGTGACAGCAATCGCCCCCCATAAAGACGAATGTGTCTGGAGTCGTCCGCGCTAGTCCGCAGATATGTCCAAGAGCATGCTACCACCGGTCAACCTAGAGCCAGCGAGGAGAATAAGATGAAAACACTGACCCCCGGAACGTCTAGCAGGTAGAAGGAACCATCACCGAAGTAGTCGTGAGCGGCAAAACCGGCGACTGTCATAGGGAACTCAGGCTCATATATCCGGTGCCCCCTGAATTGAAAGAGTTAGCATTAACAGGCGGACTTTGGAATAGGAACTTGCTCTAAATCGCTGGCCAGAACAAAGCTCTCTGGGTTCTCCGGCCATCCCGGGACAAACTCGTCGGTGAATCCAGGTCCGACTACGATATCTGTTGTGGGTGGGAATTTAGACCCGTCACCAATATGGTCCCAGTGCCAATGACTCCACACAATTGCCTCTGGAAAGATAGATTGTCAGCTTATCGTGATGCGAGACTGCTGGTAGATGCTGGATGCCTGGAGCGACATGGGGATGAATACTCAAGTCTGCCAAGTCAAAGCCAGCGCAGGTGAGGATCTCGTCGACCCCCTTGTCAATATGGACTGCAGGGACGTGGCCTCCGATCATCCTCTTCGTCTGGGGCGAGCCATTCCAAAAGTCCTTGCGAGAGCCACAGTCGAACAGGACGTATTCGGGCCCAGCTGATGTCATGTGCTCCACCAGAAAGCACATGGTTTTGAAATTGAGCTTCTCATGGCCAGAAATAGGCGGATCAACGAAGGCGCGAGCGTCACAGACCATGCGCGTGGTTGTGTCAATTGCCTGTACACGCACCGTCGCCGACGAAGGCGGGAGGTATAGGCTCGGGGCTGGGAGGGGCGTGAGCTCCTGCATCTTTCCAGGATTATTAGATGTGAGAGTGAAGAACAAGCAATTTAGTAGATTTAAAAAGAACAGTTGGTCATGGAACGGGCAGACCCTGTTGATTTATGTTCCGTTCAACGTCTCGCTGGATTGGGACAAACCGCAAAGTCGGGGTTCTCTACATTCTCCATATTCCGGGGTAGATAAGACAAGGTGGATTTTCCCCGCACTTTGGGAGGACGCATGACCTTCTTACGGCCTCAATCACGGGGTGAAAAAGTAGGATCAAATGTTATTTCATTGACATGCCGGTTCAAATTACTTTATCAATTTCTGCCAAATCCTTTACTCGCTCCCGTGAGTCGTATTCCTGTGTGCTCAACGGCGTCATCAACGCCCCCGCAGTTCTCGTGTACATGACATCCTGATTTGGTCGCACATAGTAGACAAGCCAATGGCTCTTCCCGTCATTGGGCGCAGAGGGCAGTAAGTCGCCGTTGATTTTGGATCCAGCTGACTCTGGTGTGATTCCTTCCGTAAACACAGACAGAGCTATACCAAATAAGACCAACGCTTCTTGTGGTGAAGAGGAATTCACCACAATGGTCGAAGGAAAGTGTTAGCTGGGGTTCACTGGTCGATATCTAGAGCATCCCCTCGGCTTACCAGTGTTGACCATTCGTTAGCAATCGACTCCCCCCAAGGGAAAACCCGTAGCTCGTCCTTCCCCGGCGCAGCGAACTCGTGCATCTCGCCCAGATATTTCTCCCATGGCAATTCAACTCCGTGGCTCAAGTTCTTAAAGACTGCATGGGAGAGGGTATGCAGGCTTTCCATAACCTGAGCTATTGTTCCAAGTGCTGGAGAAGATGACGTAGCAAGCTGATGTTTCTGTATCCTTATGTTTTGCTACAATAGCGTCCGTCAGTTGAGCCCCGTTTGTTCTACACGAGTACAAGAATGAAACCCACCAGTGCATCGACCTTGTCCTGCTCAACAAGCTTAGGTATTCCATTTATCTTGAACCCCGGGTCCCGTCTAGCAAGAATTTCCCGAATAACAGGAAGCCCGCTGAAATCTTCAAGGTCCTGGTAGCTGATGGTCTGTAACATCTTGGGCCCGATGATTGTGGGTGAGTTGGATGAAACAATAATCTCCCGAGATACAGATGGAATGAGGTGTACAAACGCAAGGGTATAGCATCAGGTTCAAGATAAGTCAAATGTTCAATGTACGAGCCACCATCCTCCAGTCTCTGTCACGCTAACCTCCACTAGGTCCGTTAAGCGCCTCTGACTTAGTTGGAGAAGAAATTAGTAATATCACCGGATGTTGGAGAATTGGAGAGATGGGGTATTAAAGCAGAGAAGATTAGCCCAATCAAGTTGCTGAAGCACTGCCTTTAAGGTTCAACGATATTAGTCGCCTAATGAGCTCCTCGAGTCGCATCGGGATTCATTTTGTTGTCACTTTGGAGACACGGTCGTCTTCACTTGATTGATCGAGTTAGTTGTCACGGTATCGCCTATTGTTCCGATACCTTGACAAAATGAGGACCGAGTTTGAGAACCTTTTGAAGCCCTTGGCAGTGGGAGACCTCGAGTTGAAGAATCGCGTGGTCATGGCGTCTTTGACGAGAAATCGTGACAGCATTCCGCGACAAAATCTCCATGTTCCTTACTACGCCGAGCGAGCAGGAACAGGATTAATTGTGAGTATCTTAAAGTGCTCCATCGCATCGCTGAAACTAACACCCGGAATTTGGCCTCAGATCTCCGAGGCTGCTTTGATCTGTCCTCAGGGGGTTGAATGGACATTCATGCCTGGAATTTACTCAGAAGAACATGTCAACGGCTGGAAAAGGGTCACGCAGGCTGTTCATGAGCGTGGTGGCTTGATCTTCTGTCAACTCCACCACGTCGGACGCGTGGCTCATCCTCAAACGCGAGTCCAGCGAGAGTCTGGCGAACCCGTTCCTGGTCCCTCTGCAATCGCCGCAAGAGGAGGCAAGTTCCGTAATGTGCCTGGAGCGCCAGGCTACGTCACTCCAACGCCAATTGAGGATCCAGAAAGGATCATCGCGCTCTATGGTCGGGCATCTCGCCTGGCCAAGGCGGCCGGGTTCGACGGCGTGGAGATTCACAACGCCAACGGATATTTGCCCATGCAATTCCTAGAATCCCATAGCAATCATCGGCAGGATAAGTGGGGTGGTTCCCTGGAGAACTGAATGAAGTTCTCTTTGGCGTGCTTGGCCAAGATGAACGAGCATTTCCCAAGGAACCGCATTGGCGTCAAGATTGCCCCTTGCGGCGGATACAACGACATGGGAGAGCTTGATGCCGATGGTAAGCCGTCGGTCGATGCTGCAAAGACAACTTATGGAGCCTTTTGTGCCGAACTTGATAAGCTTGGTCTTGCTTATGTCCAGGTGATGCGATGGTGGGCATCATACGATTTGATGATCAATGGTCAGCCGCGGGGAGTTCGATGGGACCCGATTGCGTACCTGCGGCCAATCCTCAAGAATACACTCCTTTTCGGAAATACAGCTTTCGAGCCGTTGGAAGCTGACGAATGGATCAAGAATGGGACCATGGATGGAGTGGTAATTGGCCGGCCACTACTCTACAATCCGGACTATGTTGAAAAGCTTCAAGCTGGCCAAGCCGGTAGCCTCTATCAAGAACAACCGGGCGACGAGCATTGGTGGTAGTAAGTTGTGGACATCCCTCTCTTCTAGTACGCTCCAACTAATGATGGTGTCATCTTGAAGCAAGTGGCGAAACAATGACAAACGAGATGGATACTTGAACTGGGCTGATCGTGCGGTCATTCCGCAGACACTCGATGTCAAAGATAGAGTTAGTTTTATACATGACTGAGATGTCACGTCCAATACGTCAAAGTGAAACACGTCACTTATGCATAGCTCAAGAAGACGCAAACGATTAGGAAGCCATGCCATATTGATAGAACGGCAGGCATTGTGAAGCACGGTCATTGTTCTCAAGGCTCACTCGGTCATCGTATCCGTGATTCGGGTAGAAGATGAGTCTACAAATTCAATACATTTTAGCAATATGAAGTATGGGTATAACTAATTTTTGTGACGTTCCCGTCAATTAGACCGAAAGAACCCCGATGATGACCGAATATCTGCTGTGCTTGTTGTGCATGGTAGCTCAACTGGATCTGGCGCAAACTGCATTGCAGGTAGCTCCTGTGGCTGTTGGTTTATAGCCACAATTCCATTCGAAAATAATCCAGCCTGAGAATTACGTTGTATCCAGTGCTGTTGAGAATGGTGATGTGCTTCTGCTTGGGTCCAGTTGGCTCCTTCGTCTCTTGTCGAATACTCCGAACCCCTGTGTGGCTCCCAGGTCTGCCAGTCGACGAAGGGATTATGAGAGAACTGGACATTTTGCATATGCCTTGTGTCTTGTAGCGCGGGCTGGAATATCTGATGCGGTGTTGGGTGTGGTGTTGGTTGTGGTACTGGTCTTCGTACTGGTCTTTGTACTTGTTGCATTGTTTGTCGTGGAGTGTGATTATCATTGTTAAAGTTCTGTGCGAACCATGGTGCTGTGCTTGGTGCCATAGGTTGTGTCAACGTAACTCCGGGAAAGTTTCCGGCACCTTGGTTGTAAATCATCCCTGGAGGAATGGTACTGAGGCGAGTCTGGAGTCCCACGTCTGGAGTGGGAGTACAGGCCCTCCTGAAGACAGGCTGGGGCGATGTTGATGATATCGACGTACGCGGGCTAAACATTTCAGGTTGAGGAGAGACGAATCCTGTCTGAGAAAACGGGTTCACATTGCCCCAATTTGACGTAGGAGAAATGGGCTGTTCCCAACCGGGCTGCTGGGTCTGGACAGAAGATACTGTCAAAGCTGGGGAGGGGGCTGGCGGCACCATAGGGTTCTGCAAAGAATTGGGATTTGAGGTGGTCCCTGAGTCCCAACTCGTCAATCGCTCCGACCGATTTGAATGTGTGAAGAAGTGAGTATCTTGTGATCGAGAAACTCTCGAGGATTGAGCGACCCCGGTGGGTGGCGAATCTATCTCCATCGCAGTTGAGTCCTGTGGCCAAGCCTGGTTGTTGTGGTCAACACCAAGAGATCCTTCTGAGGCTCTCGACGTGTGGGCGTGGAAATTAGATTCAGGTTGCCGGGGATGTTGAATGGAGGAAACTTCTGGTCTTCTACCAACTGGGACGTGATGTTGTTGAGCAGTGCTCGATCCAGCCTCTATGCTTGTTATAAACGAATTACGTTGAATCCGAGTTTGATCGAAGCCGAATCGATCTTGCTGAGTATTCGAAATGGACGAGGCGGATGACCCAGAGTGGCCTGTCACATCCGACAGCATCCTGCCCGAGTCTGGTCGGGAACCGGATGGTACACAGTTTGCAGAGTCTGTACCTCCACCTCCTCCGAACATCAGAGACAGCCCCGACGCATCATGGGAGCTGAATGACATGCTTCCCTTTGTCATTGAATATTGTCGGGGGCTCTTCTGGTGCAGAGTCGTGGGCTCGGTCATTGCTCGCCAGGGTTGAGTGACAGCCGGCGATTTCGAGTCCGGAGTGCTCATTGGCATACTGCCAAATGTCCGAGGTTGGGCAGAGTAGGCTGGAGGAGGGTCGATATTAGACTGTTCAACCATCGAATTTGACCCGCTCGCAGCTGTGTGCGCCATGGGAGATGGGTTGATCGATAGGGAAGCCATCTGCTCGCAGGGTACTGGATTGCCATCTGTTGATATCAGTATCTTGACCATAACAAAAATCAGTTAAGATGGATGTGTATACCAGATGGACCTCCCATTAAATCTCCAAACAGCGCAAGATTGTCAAACACCTTGTTCCCTTTCCCTTTGTCTCCAGCAGCGCCCTTCTCATCTGCCACGGTCGGCACTGGCGCCATCAGCGCAATCTGACGCAAGAAGTTCAACTCGGCCAGTACCGATGCATGATGGCGACTGATGACACCCTCCTGCGCCTTGAAGTCTTTCTCATCGACAAAAATCCACTCGACGCGGCTGCGGAAACGCGTTTTCCCTTCGTTCGCCTCGGGGCGGCATTTCTCCACAATGGCACAAACCTCTGCCAGCCCGTTTGTAGCAGCGGTGATGATGCTGTTGACTCGTTCGAGAACAATCGGCCGCGTTTCGAGAAGGGATAGGTAGGTTTCACGTAGTTCGATGAGGTGCTGTAGATCATGGTAGCAAGTGCGCACGAGCTCGAGGCTGTGGCGGACGGTAGAGGGAACCTGGGCGACGTCGATGCCAAAGATGATTAGGCTGTATGTTACCCGCAGGGCAGAAAACAAGTCCATCGTATTGGAAGGCGCCGACTGTGAAGCAGCGAGGTTTGACGGCACCTCAGTGCCGAGTCGTCAACGGTGAGGTTTGGACAGCGGATGCTTCACGCCTCCAGGTGATCCTCGCGCAATCTGTTTCCAAGGCCAAAGTGGGCTCCAGGTACCTCCCGGAAATTTGCCAGCTTGCTTGGGCGTCTTCCCCGCCACAGAGCCTCGTCCTTCGAATGTGTTGGTCGACTAGATGAGGGTTGCGTGGCGTCGGCGCCAAGGTTGACTGCGACATTAAGCCAGATTGATGCAAGGGATGGGAAAGATCTTATCAGCCCCCAGGTGATTGGATCTATTATTGAATTACTAGACTGAATCAAGTGAGCGAACGCGAATCTAGCTTCCTGTGGATGGACGGCATCAACCGGTAACGCGAGGCTCGGCACTTGCTCCCTTGTCAGCCCTGTTCATGGGCTGAGCGGATGGGCATAATCAAGCAATAGCTTGGTACAATTTTCCATGCCAGCCTTAAGATGGATACGCGGACTGGACGATTGGGCAACTGCCGCCAGACTAGTGGCGTTAATAGTCTGGGTTGCCTTGAAGCTACTATCAGCTAGTAGCTAATTTGGGATTAAGTGTGTTTTGTATCACATCTCAGGTTTTGAGAGTTGAGTTCAGCGCTGTTCGGCTGCGGGGCGGAGATCATCTGGACAGACACGGGACGAATTGCTGTGAGGGATTTCCTTGCATGCGCTATTGAATGTGATATTGATCCACGTTGGATCATACATGGTGTGATATGGGCTGGGTCTTGGGCATTCAGCTGGCTTGGCTGGCTTGACAGGCAAGGGATGCTATGAGACATGTGTGACAGCCTCAAACAAGCCGCAGGGATGGACAAGTCTGTTCTCCTGCAACCATCTCAAGATGCCACCTGTCACAGCTGCATTCCAACGGGTTGAGGCAGTATCAACTAAAATAAGTTGCTACTATAGAAAGGAAAACTACACTACAGGTAGAATATGGAGTTGCCTCAAGCTGTTTGCAATCTCGTAGAGTGGCTACTGATGTATCAAGAGACACGAATCACCTCGGGCGCCCTGGCAACCAACGGAGGGCTGTCTTGGCCTCCGTCCCGGCGATCCAGCCTCTCAAGTCCAGCACATGTAACCACAGCCTGATCGTTCATACCCCCCGTTCTGGCCTCGTAAATAAACTGCCAATCGATAGGCTGCGAGAGCAGCATGTACCCAAAGCTAGTAAACTCCAGCATAACGGCTTTCAGATGATCTGCCTGTGCCTCGCGCCTCCCTAGTTCCTGAGAGACAAAGTGGCTGAGAACTGTATCAAGGGCAGCTGCCAGCCCTTGGGCCTGTGGAACAACTGCCGTCTCGGACGGGGGAAGGGGCGTTCGCTCCTCGCGGGTCGGATGGAGGAGGAAGGCCGAGAGAGCACGCCATTTGGAAAGGGCAAGCGAGGTTTCTGGGTGTTCAAATTATGTTAGTAGATGTTTCGTTAGAGGAGCTCGGGCTGTGGTTACCAGCTGAATTTCCAGCACGGGGTTGGTTCGGAGGAATGGACTGGAGGAAAGCGGCCATGGGCGCTGGAAGCATCGAAAGCGGGCTTCGAGCGTTGAAGTCGATGCTCACAAAGGCGACATGAGAGATGAGGTGCCGTAGACCAATTGCCCGCGTCTGCGGATTGACGCAGAGAATAGCAGTCTCGTTTGCAGACGCCGATGGTAATCCCAGCTTCAAGATGCTTGACGTGAGGGCCGCTGGGTTCGCCTGCACCGGCTGAAGATGGTAGTTGTTTTCGACATGCATTCGGATCAGATCTCCCAAAGCCTGCAGCTCCAAGACCAGCTCTTTCTCGGGAGTCGCGTCGAGGAGAAAGTGTTCGAGTTTGATGTCGGTGCTCGGCGATGTGTCATAGTTGGGAGATCCTTGTGGCTTCTCGGCTGCGAGGAATTCGCCTCGGTGGCGATGGCGACGGTGTTTCTTCTTTCGGGATCGGAGAAGGAAGAAGGCACCCAACGCACCCAGAATGAGACCGAAGACAAGACTGCCTATTGCAGCACCGGCGATGGCACCCGCAGAGATACCAGCTGATGGCTTGGAAACATCCGTTGAAGTTGAAGTCGGCTGCGCTTCACCACTCCTAGTACCTTCGATAGCAAGATCATCGGCAGTGGTTTTGGCAGCAGCGTCGGCCGTATCTGGAGCGGTAGCTTCGGCTCCAGATTCGCGAGGAGAATCAGCAGAAACACCGGCCACATCAGTAGTTGCGTTCTTCTCGTCGGGCGCCTTGGTCTCATCGATGACAATGACAGATGTGGCAGTCGGTCTACCTACACTGTCAAGTAGAACGGTGGAAGTTGTAACTAGTGCCATGATGTTTTCGAGTTGGTGGCTGTCAGAGAGCAGTATGTGATGGATGCGTTTGTTGCGTGAAATTCAGCTCGCTCAGTGTGTAGCCTGGTGTTGTTGGCTGGTGGAAGCTTCTATACCCATCGACACCAGGCAATTCCAGTCTACGACGCCTCACCGGCGAGTCCTGGTTAGTGGCTTGGGTCTTACAATTCGCTCTCGCCAAATTGAGGTGAACTCGTGTTTGTCTCACACCCATATATGGACCCCAGCCATTTACGCTCAGACTCTAGCCCTTTGTGGCTGCAGCCGGGCTTCAGCTGAAATGTATGTCTCAATTGCTTTTGGAATCGAGATGCGAATTCACAGAGCCTGATTGTTGGTGGCGGCGGCCCAATTTCAGCTGAGATGTGATGGCCAGATTCCAGTCCCCGGTGGCTACAGCCGAACTGTAGCCAAGACAGTTCGTCAAGTTCTAGGCCTGGTAGCTTGCAGGGAACTTTCAGCCCCTTAACTTTCCCGCCACCAAGGCAGCTCAGATGACCGGGAGATAAATCAGGCTGTGAAGGATTGGGTTCACAACCATTCTATTTTCTGGCATTCTCCCGGCGTGAAATTGCCGACCTCAGCCGAGCAATTGCGGTTTCATTGTGCTGCCGATCCAATTTTCCAACATCTCACCTCCGAGCAGTCCAATACTGACCAGGATGGAATCGAAACCAGATATCCTCGTGTCCGTTGATCTGGGAACCACCTTTACGGGTAAGTTGGAAATTCGGTCGCTGCATTGAAGTATGAGACTCACATGTAAAGGGGTTGCTTGGATGACCCCAAGGACGAACGCAAATACTCCCCCTCAGGTTATCAACAATTGGCCCGGAGATGGTGGACAGAATGAGCGAAAAGTACCATCGACACTGATCTACAACCCCAACAGCTCCACTGTGTCTTCGTGGGGATTTCTTTGTGCAGACGATGACACTTCATCAGGCAAGATACGTCGCGAGTGTTTCAAGGTGTTCCTGGATGCGGAAACGTTGGCAGATGTTCAACGGCGAGGTCTTGCCAATGTCCCGCAAAGCACTGTAGAAGCCCAACGCTTCGTCACAGACTATCTCAAGGAGATTTACATGCATGTGAAAGAGACGGTTGAAATAGAAATGGGAAGACAGCCCTGGAAAGACAAGACCGTCACCTTCCTCTTCAGCGTACCCACAACGTGGGAAAGCATGGATATTATCAACGACTTCAAGGCGTGTATACTGAACGCTGGGTTTGGGTCTGGCGGCTCCAATCACTCTGCACTGGTCGATCTGACGGAAGCTGAGGCTGCTGCCGTTGCGACGCTGAAGACCAGCTCGATCACCTTTGACCAGGGAAGCCTGTTTCTCACAGTAGATGCAGGTGGAGGCACAACTGATCTTTCTCTGATGCGAATCACATCAGCGGACAGTCAGTTTCCGGAAATGTCACAAGTTGCGGCTGTTAACGGCTTGGGTGTCGGAGGCTCTCTGATCGACATGGCATTTATGAGAGTGGTGCAGCAGCGGCTGGAAGCATACCCTGAAGCCCAGTCTTATCTGCCACGCGATATTGCGGCCCGGATGTCAAGAGGTGCTTTCTTGAGGCTGAAGCACAAATTTGGCCAGCGCGCATGGATGAATACTCCCGAATTTGGGGTTCAGATGGATGGCACCCCACACAATTTCACCCACCCCGGCCTAGGGGTGCGGAATGGCAGCATGTTCTTTTCAAGGTAAGCACATTGTTTTGGTGTTGGAGTATATCAGACTAATGGGAAGTCAGAGGGGAAATCCAATCGTTGTTCGATAGCCAGATCCAAGGCATTTTGGAACGTATTGAGAAGCAACTGGACTGGGTGACCCAGAACCAGCCGCACGAGCAAGTAGTACGAATCACGCCTCTCTCGGCCGCCACATGAGCTAACAAGAGAAATAGAGATACATGATCCTATCCGGGGGCTTAGGTAGCTCCGTCTATGTGAGGGATGTCCTACAGGCGAGATTCACAAACGATCCACATCGCAATGCTGCGCAGGTGGCTGTGGTCTCGTGTAGAGAGCCGCAGCTAGTTGTCGCTCGCGGTCTTTTGTTCAATCAGCAGCAGAAGTGGGACACGGGCAACAGGTCGGTGCTATCTACGCGCATCGCTAGAGCGAGCTACGGTGTTGTTGTGAAACAACTGTACTCGCCGGAGCATCACTTTGGCGAGGACATCAATGATGATCCGTTCGAGCCCAATACTAAATGGGCGGTGAATCAGATTCAATGGCTCATAAGAAAGGTGCGCCCAAGGTTAATGATTTTGGACCTCAAGTTTACTGATCCGATGTTAGGGAGATGTTATCAACCCTGATTCACCACTGTCGAAGGATTTTAAAATCCGACTTGCCGAAGGAGACACGACGAGGTCATGGAACGCCGAGATAGTCAAGTCTCAGAATGAAGCATCATTTCTTCCGCGCAGTCTAAAGCAAGGTAAGGAAGACGAACATTTCATGTGCTACCCCGTCAAGGTGAACACTATGCTAATGCGGTACTGGGCAGCCGGGGCCAGGAGGTTGTGTGATGTGAAGAGCAACCTCAGTGGAATACAACAGAGTCAACTAGTGCTGAAACACAAGAGAGGTTCATGTTTCTCGCGAGGCCACAAGTACTATATTTGTAACTTTGACATTCGAGTCATTGTAGCACCTGCCGACTTGCGTTTTGAGTTGTGGTTTGGAGGGATGAAATTTTCAGGCAACCATGAACCAATCGAGGTCAAATGGGATCCTTGAGAGTATTAGCTATAGAGAAGATTTACTAGAAATCTAGAGAATGCGTTTAGGATTAATAGGGTGCCAGGGGTACTATGGTTTATTATATACCGTATGGTCATGGTCGGTTTATTAATATTGATATAAACAGCCACTCAGCTATTATATTAGACTTCCATAGTGGCTATTAATTCCACGTCATTGCTGATCTTTTCATTCTACTTCGGTAAGCCCTCTTTTTAGTCCGCTTCAACCATCCAATATGCTCATACATGCAATGCCCGCTGAGAATTTGTCAAAGAGCACGAACGGACGCTTGACCTCTTCCTCGCATCCATGACGCCGTTCGTTGGTCGCAATAAGCTGTTCATCTGAATCTCCAATCCCGGAAGCTTAGAAATAACGTATTAAAAATGCGGTATAGCCAGCTAGAGTTAATAAACCAGCGAATGTTGCGAATGATGAGTTTTGGTATCTTCCATTAAGAGAAAATGGAGGAAATAACCTCATGTATCCGAGTTAGACACTCTAGGGTTGCTACCATTCCTGTGGGTGATTTTAAGCATATTTTCATAGGCTCACCAACCGTAAACGGGAATATTCGACATGCAATACCTGATTCTTCCCTCATGCCATTGGAGCATCCTTGCATGTAGTCCATGCGTCAAGGAAGAATGGCAGGTCGGGTTAATGGATAGACCTCAATGGGTTGCATTGAGGACTCCAGTTGAATCTTACAGGATTGACATCCCTTCAGCCTCAGGGAACTGGCTATGTGGGAGGTTGATTGACCATTGGAACATGTTGGCTGAGCGTATCCAACTGTACACCCAGTTGACGATGGCGCCGATAATCAGTACCTGCATGTAAAGAGTAATGGTGACTCATTCTAGTGAAAGGGAGGCGCTAGTATTTTGTGCAATCAAACAGAATTGGTATACGTTGAGCCACGGGCCGGATCTCTTCAAGAGATTGCGAAAGTCTGGGAGAGGCGAATGACCCAGTGAAGGTGCAAAGGCCATAGGACGAGAGGGTAAGGAAACGCGGCTGTTATCAGCTCCCTTTAGAGTGGCAGCACCTTCTCTGTCTTCCGGGTCAGGGCGTCTTGAACCAATGTTTTGTCAGCTTCCTGTGAGGGAACGTAGATCATTAGATCAAGCTCCATCAAACACTCGCCGAGCGGGGTGCTCTGAAATACGGCCTTGTCAAAGAGACTCTCACTACTTGCTGCAAGCATCAAGCAAACATCGAATCTACTCTGGCCGGCTCTCTGAAAGGGTGACGTCATTGGGATCCCGACCGAAGGCAGAAATATTCTGAACCCAGCTAAACGCTATAACCTGGCCGAGGCCATATCTTCTGGCGGGACACCTGAAATGGACAAATGGCCCAAAAACACGAGTCGATATGAAACTTGACGGCAACAGCAACTTTGCTTGGAGGCACCGACGGCTCGTAACAATCAAGGTCTGACATGCCCGAGACGTACGCCCCTCTGTGGAGGGAGACCACAGCTAGGAGTTTCTGATATTCTCTCGTTCCCCGCTGCAGTGCATTCACTGTTAGGTAGAGGCAATCTTCACCCTGAACCCGCCCTGTTGCCAAAGTCCCTGGGCCCTGTGACAGCACCTGGGTAAGAGTGGACTGGTTGTGGACATATCGCGGTTGGGTGTGTGCAATCCATCTCCCCATCCATTTGCTTGAGAAATTCGGACGCTGAAAGCGTTTTGCCGAGACATATCGTATTCCTCGAGTCCGAATCAAGGTTCTGTCCGTTCAGATCATACCGATATGACACCGCTTGGGGTCGATGGTGATAGTTGTAGAATGGCTTTGCGATATGTACACGTGTCGTAACATGAGTCTCATTAGTTAGCCACAGAACACTTCCAGTGCTCATCGAGAGGATGTCAAGATTAGTAAGTTTTATAAGAGCAGCAGACCACAGCCCACCCCTTCATCCCCATTATCTAGGCGGGTTCCCAGATATCACTAGCGCATATAGTAATCTTCGGCTGAACCCCATTATCTTTAGCACGCCCAACTACCGTATCGTCTTATCAAGGAACAAGGATACGGGCCGACAATGCGGCAGGTAAGACGCGAGCGGGTTCGAGTCAGACCCGAAATTAACCAGCAAACAAGGTGGGGAGGAAGCTGAACTCCCCGGGCCGCTATCGCACCGGGCCGTATGATTCGGCATAAACCACTGACTCGCACCGCCCCGGTTTTGTTAATGGCGTGGTTACCTTCCCAGGCCGAGGGAGGGTCGGGCCGAACTAAGGACTGATGAAAAATGAAGGATTCTGTGAATTGAATTCCACATAGTTGGACAGGGAGATGAAGCATACAGTCGCCGGGTCGAACAGCCGTGGAATTCTCTCGAGTCGCCCCTGCGGAGCTGCTTAATTCAACGGCAACAGAAGATTGTCGATCCTCCGCTGATCCGACACGCCTTCAATCACGTCACCCCAAGATTGAGGGCCACGTACAGCTTCAAGCATCCGGATCGGTTCAGCTTGGACTAGCTCAACGCTGCGACGGACCCGGTGATAACCTCCGGAAGCAGTTTGTCTGCCGCAGATTATGATTACGCGGGAGGAAGGGTAGTTAATGGAGTTGCGAATGCAATATTCCCTTGTAGAAATCACATCATGTCATCCCAGCGACTCTTACTTGCGGTGCATTTATTTCATTGACGTCTCGCTGAAAAATACCATCTCCACTGGTTATACTACTCCTTGAATGCTTTCCATACTCGTCAATAAGATGGCCCAGTTATCTGAAGAATCTAGCAATCATAAGCTGGCTGGGGAGGCTCAACAAGCTTGGGTACCTTGCCTGATGCGCTTCGATCCTAACTATTTACGGAGTACCGCAACTGCTAAAGCGCACTATTGAATGGGAGGGGGGTTTACGCCTCCCATGCTTAGTCCCGACCCCAGCGCTTTCTCAGCAGCCAGGTTAATCCTGCCCGCGTGAACAGCGCCAGCGTTAAATAGCGGCGGCGACGCAGATAAGGCTGTACCCGTTAGGCAAAACAGGGATCTGGTCGGACGTCCCGGAAAGGCGGTATGAGGCGTTGAATGGATCTCCCTCCGCTTAGCTCGCGATAGCTTAACCTGATTTCGAACACCGACTCTCAAGTCCCGGGTGTTTTCTACTCATATCACGCGAGCAAGGCGTGTGTGGGCTTCTAACGCACTGTGAACTTGGATGTCTAGTTCGACCTGACGAATCGACAAAACGAATGCGAGTTTTTCTAGTCATTTTTTAGCTCGAAATCGCCTCACTCCCCACTACAGTGCGTAGGTCCCAGGGGGACGGACAGCAACCATGAAGCAACGAACCAATTCCTGAAGATGCATTAGAAAACCGGGTCGAGTGTTCATTCTGGCCTTTTCGCGGAACTGATTTTTCTAGCCATCAGAATTCAAGATACTCCAAGCGACCATGATCACTGCTTGAATGTTGCTCAAGCCACATCAGTCTTGTCAAGTCTTATCATAATTATCTACCTACAGCTTGGCATGAAGGACGGCAACCAGGAGCCTCGCATCTGACATCTGTGGTTACCAACTCGGTTCCGGTGCAAGCGCTTTGGGGTTGTTTTCTACGAGTAGACCGCCCCAAGTAATACGATCTGTCTTTTTTCCCGAATTGGAGAGCGTGGGTCACGGCCGAAGTCGTTGCCAGGTTTGTCTGTCCACCTTGGTGATGCGTGAGGTTATATATAGCATCATAACCCAATTGCCCGCTATAAAACAGTTTTCGCAACCTATACGATTGACGGTGAGCCGGCCATGTTCTTTCGAACAGGGCCCAGGGTCATGATTAATCTACCGGTACTACTACGTAGTACGTAATCACCTTTGATCTATTGTCGAGCGAAGCAACATTCAAGACTACGGACTGGGGTAAGTGGGTAATATTGAATGATGGTGGTATCGAGCAATCTCGGCCATCATTTTCTACCGTTATTGAGCAACCATCGGCTCACAAGGGATGACGCATACACGAGCTCAACCGTTTTTGTAGCGGGACTCTACCTTGCTCTATACGGTAAGTCTTCAACGGTTAACCAAATTCGGGACTTCCCTGCGGATAACACGCGTTTATATAGGGTTACATCACCTGATATTTTTGTCCCAGGCGGACCCCTTCGTCCCGTCAAAGCCGACCCCTGGCTTCCGGCAGTGAGCAGGTGGAAGGGTTTATACTACAGGAATCAGTCGCAAGCAGGGACGGAAAATTTAGCTGGGCTCGCCATCTCGGATATCGGGATGGGATTGCATTGGCTGGCGCATTTCTTCCTGCAGATTGAACGCAACGGAGCTTCGGAGGTTTTTGGCACCGACTCCATGGACAGACTTCACAAAATGTGCAAAAGTTCCAACACAAAGTTTAGTTGGTGGAGCCCGGAGCCGGCAAATCCATGCTGGCACTCGCAAGGATATACCCTACGAGGACACAGAAGGCAGGTCTTGCCGTTCCCATTCCCCCTATTCATATACTAGTACGACTACTCGTATAACCGTATCCCTTAGCTTCCTCTAACTCAAAGACTAAGATATCGGATTCGCAATGGCATTTTGAAAATTTAGGTCTGAGTCGGCCAGAAAGCGATCCGGCAGAGACCGAGTGGAGAAAAAGCGGGATATTCAAGCAGCTCATCTCGGCTCCACGTATATAACTAGTCAAGTAGATAACGTGAGCTTTACTGTATGTGGACAAATAACTTGGTGTGGGTGCCGACGCGGCAACTAGTTTCATTAAGTCTAGCATAGTATATACGGGGCGGTTCCATTAGGACTAGCATACCCTCTCGTCTATGACACCCTTCCCCTAGTAGACGCCTACCAATTACTGGGCAGAAATCCACTTCTTCAGGACCCTCTGGATGATGTCACTGTTGTCCTCCATGAAGAACATGTGACCATTGCCGTGGATGCCGGCCTCACCAAGCTCGAGGTGCTGGGCCTTGGAGCAGCCAGCCTGCTTGAGGAAGCGAACGGTGCAGTAGTCGTAGGGAGCATGATAGGAAGCCTCAGAGGTGACCAGGAGGATAGGCTTGCTGGCCAGGTTGACGAGCTTGCGGGGGGTAGGGGTCGCGGCCTGGAGCATGCACTCAACGTGATCATCGTCAGTGGCAGCGTAACTGGCCTGGACGAGGTCGGTGGTGGGGTCGGTCACAGCAGGAGAGTAGGTGATGGGGATATCAGTCAAACCCCACGATCGGCCGGCCTTGGTGCTGAAGACGGCCTCGCGGAAAGGGGGGCCGGTGGGCTCGAGCAGGATGAGGGCCTTGGTGAGCTTGGGACGGGCATCAGCAATGAGGATTGGCATGAGGCCGCCCTGGCTGTGGCCAACCAGAATCACAGGCTTGCCGATCTTGTCGAGGAGGGCGGCGCCGGCATCTTGAACAGTGGACTGCTGGTAGGTGGCGTTGTTGATGAACTGGACGTTGGAGCTGTAGAAGGCGTCGAAGTAGCTATCGCCCATGACACCCGTGCCGGGCCACTGGGTGTGCTTGCTAGCCTGGGTCCACAGCATGTAGTCCTTGACGGCGGTGAAGCGCTGCTGAATGATCTCGGCAGAGTAGGTGGACGGCTTGGTGGCGCCATACGCGGGCATCCAGGCGGAACGACCGCGCAGCGTCTGGTCGACGATGTAGACCTCGTAGCCTTGCTCGATGAAGCGAGACGCCCAGCCGCGGGAGCCGTCAGGCTTGTTGAGGAAGTTCTGCAAAGGCGTTAGCGGTCACTAGTCGTTTGAGGCAAAAGCAAGGTGAAACACGTACTGTTCCGGTCTGTCCCTGGCCGTGGATGAAGACGATGGGCGTCTTCTGGGTGGCTCCGCGGGCGGGGACCAGCTTCTCGACGTACATCTGGTCGCGGAAGATGTGACCCCCCGCGCCATCGTCGACGTACGCGCCGCCGGCAAAGAAGTACGAGCGAACATACGATGCCTCAGCCGCCGAGTTGTCGTTGCCATTGCCGTAGCCGTAGTGCTGTCCGGGATGGGCAGAGCTGCCGCCGAAAAGGGCCGCTGCCGCGATGACCAGCTTGACGAAGTACATGGCGTTTTTGGAGTGAGGCTAGCGGCGGAACAAAGTATTAAGGAGCACACTAGGTTAAAGAGCGACGGAACAGGAGCGTGGTTGAGGCGGCAAGGCGTTGTACTAAGTATTGATTCTCAACATACGAGCCAGCCAGACCAGCGGGACTCTGCTCCCATGCTCCCCGGGGCTTACGTAGGAGGCTTCTAGACGCCAGAATATTGAGCCCGGCGGTGGAGTCGGCGCCGGGAAGAGGCCTTCGACGGCCCTTGGCGGCCCATTCCGCTTAATTTCTAGACGGCTCCAGCACGACTATCCTGCGTTAGCAGCAATCCTACGCTGTACTACGTAGTACTACGCTGTACGTACTCGACTCGGCGCCGCTGTCAAGTTCAAGTCTAGTCTTCTAGCGCAGCGGGTCGTCTTCGAAGCGAAGTATACTAGCCAGGATCACGTCGCCAACTCGCCTAATCTCCGGGGCGGATTCGTCGGACGATGGAAGTAGACCCCGAGGCTCGAGTCAATGCCCCCGTCGACTAGATGCGGCTTTTATGGCAGATGGGGATTAGGCGGGTGCAGAATCGCCTCCGCCTCGGGGCAGAATCAGCTTGAAGCGGCAAATGGTCGCTCGCGTGGGCCGGCTATGGTCATCCATGACACAATTCTTCAGGGATCCGGGGGGAGCTGCTTCGGCAAAGCGTGTACTTCGCACTCTATGCGTTTTAACTAGCCCGCGCAAGTACCGCTGATACGCGGGAGGGAGGATATAAACTGGAAATGATCACCAGCGCCTTGCATAATGGTTCGTCCCAGCACGGCCTAAACCCTTGTCCTTGCAGCAGACCATCGACACCATCCCCCTTCGCCGTGTCAAAGATGGACGGCTGCAGGACACTACTGGAAAACGTCCCAGGGCGTTACCACAAAGACGGTTACGCTGCAGGGCCCAGCCCAGTGCACGCCACGGCACCGCGTGGCAATGGAATTCGCCGATCAGCAAGGGTGTCACTCGTAGATATTACTGAAGAGAAGTGCGACGCCGCCCACTCGCTGCCCATCTTTTCTGCTTTTGTCGTTTCTCGTTTGTCGTTTTCTGTCCGTGATCACAAATCCAAGGCTCGCCAGCCATGGAGGATCCTACTCTTCTCATCCACTGGCTCTTCAGCTGCCTGACGCTGGTCATCATAGCCGTGCGGCTGGTGTGGAGAAAGGTGGCCAAGCAGCCGTTTAACCTTGGCGACTACTTGTCCATGGCCGCGGGCGTGTGTGCCATGACTCGGCTTGGCCTCATCCACGTTGTCCTGTCTTACGGCACCAATAACCTATCTGCGGCCGTCCGCAAAACCCACGTCTTCACCGCCACAGATATCGCTCACCGGACCATCGGCAGCAAGCTCTCCATCACTAACCGCGTCTTCTACAACTCCTAGTCAGTACACATTCCGCTCCTTGTCTCTTCCCCTCCCTCGATCCACCATCCGTGCGGGAATATCAACCCTATCTCTCGGGACGCTAACATGACGGTGATGAAGTCTTTGGCTGCAGAAGTTGGTCCTCCTTGATGTGTACCGCCGCCTACTACTCAACTTGCGGTATGAGAAGGTCACCATCTACTCGTTCCTCTTCGTCTTCTTCGGAACCTACGTTGCCTGCCAGGTGACGACGTTTAGCGAATGCAAACCCTTCCACCTGTATTGGCAGGTCGTCCCCTCGCCGGGTATGTTTTTACGATGGTTCCGCGACTTCCGAAAATCAAACACAGTACTAATCTTGTCCTGCTCTAGGAACATGCGTCCAAGCTCAACTCCAACTCATCGTCGTCGGTGTGCTTAACATCGTTACGGACACGATGCTCCTCGTCCTCCCGATCCCCCTGGTCCTCGGCCTGAAGACACCTTGGCAGCGTAAACTGAAGTTGTACGCACTCTTTATGCTCGGTATTTTCATCATTGCCATCACTTGCATCCGTCTCCCGATCAACGCCCAAAACAAGGACAGCCAGATCAGCCGGACAACGTGGGCAAGCATCGAGCTTCTAACGGCCGCCATCGTGGTCAACGCCCCGACCATCTACGGCATGTACAACAAGCGAAACCAAGCAAAGTCGTCGTCGCGATCGCAGGGAACAGGAGCCTATGATGGCCGGGGAACCAACAACGTGTCGATTGCGCACAGGTCTCGAGCGCATCATGATGATGATGAGGCTTACACGATGGGACGCATACGCAAACCCATGGATGGAATTATTCAGACCAAGGAGGTTATCGTGGCTGAATTCAGGGACACGGAGCGACGAGGCCCATATGCAAACTTGCCAGATGACGTGGAGAATGCTTCCAGTCATGGTAGCCAAAGAGGAATTCTCAAAGATTAAAATAAGTTACTATAATATCCACGTACACGTAGGGATTTTCTAAGCCACGGATGGTATCTTTTAGTACATATTTAATTCTCACCCCTCAGTGTCGCCTTTATTAACTCAATCATTCACGCACATTGTCGATCACGAATTTCTTACGCCTTACAGACGGGGACCCCAGCCTCGGAAATTTTGCAATCGTCAACAGGGTTTGAGTATTGCGCATGGTAGAAATCAGCACGGTTATTATAATTAGGCGCAAGTTTAATTACTGCCAGCCAGGGTAACGATGATTGCATCCTTCGTCATCCCCTGCTTACCCTAGGGCTTGTGAGGTCAGAGCAGATTTGTCCGCTGGTGAGCGAATAACAATTGGAAAAGACAATAGATGTCCTACTACGTAGTAGTGATGGCAAGAAAATAATTTGGCTCTAAATAATACTGCTAATCGTGTTCATGTGACGTCGAGTGACTGTGGGAGTACGAAACCTGGTCTTTGGAATCCAAAAATTCGGTAATTATCTGCAGGTCCCAACCACACCGCCGGTATTCTTAGCGAGAGCAATAGTATTCTATAAATAGCCCTTAATTGACCCAGCCCACTACAACATCAATATCGTCAGTACCCACGCTCTCCTTTCCACTCCTAATAAGCTCCTCATCCAGCGTTGCATAAAGCCTCTCTGAAAACCTCGCTTCACCTGGAACATCATAGGCCAATTCACGACCGCTGCTGACCATGAGCATGAAGCCCTCCTTCGCTTCCTTGGCCACTGCCGAATCAGCGCTGTGACTGAGCTCCTGTAGACGCTGTCTCCAGAACAACCATCGCTTCATGCTGAAGCCGTGCGCGTCGATGTTTGCCGCGCGTGCCAGCGCTCCGGGTGTCACTAAATGGGATTTGGAGTCCTCGTAGGTCTTGTGAGAGACTGAAAAGGCAACTAGCTTGTGCCGGCCATGGCTAAACCAAACTACAGCCGCCGGCAGGAGAGCGGCAGTCTTCGCTTCGTCGTCCGTCTCGAGAGCCTCGCGTAGAAACCAGAGCGCCGTCAGACCAAGTGCCTCTCGGTAGATGCCAAGGTGTAGGGCCTTGGCTGAAAAGGCTGCGAGATTACACTGCTGCGAGGCGGTCCCAGTCCCCAGGAGCTTCTCCCATGAAGCCTGGAGGGCGTCGGAAAAGCCGTACGACTCTCATGCCAGTGCAGTAGTTTCAGTTTGGTGGAGAGTTTTATGAACCGAGTCGAACTCCTTCATCCACAGAAACAAGGAAATGAGCTTCTCCTGAAAGGCAGCATCCTTATCGAGAGCCTTGGCCACCTCGATAATGGTGTGCCAGATGAAGTCGAGGTTTCGCTGCATGGACTCAGGCTCAACGGATGGGCGGGTCGATGGCAGAGTAATAAAGGTAAAGATGGAGCTTTGAATAGAAGTCAGCTCATCTTTCTTCTGCTGGTCGGTGGTGACGTCGAGGTCGGCATCAAATGACTCTCGGAGATGCTGTATGAAGCGCGCATCCTGCTCCTGTGGCGACTCAACCGCTGATGCATTGCTCGGTGTAGGCATTGTGAAGGAGAAAGGTGATTATAGTAGTGGCCAAGAGTAAAATGCAGTGTGTTGGATTGATGCTGGGAATGTCGGTGATGAGAGGATGTGTGTTCTTATTAGGTAGTCGCTGGTAGCTGCACCTGGACACGAAGGACTCGATACATTTTAGGCAACTATTTTAGGCAGCCATTTCTAGGCAACCACTTAGAGTAATATATATGTACGTACAATATAATGCCCATAAGTTGCGAATATTGTCATGACGCAAAGTTGGCAGAGGGTGCAGCTCGGTCGTGAGTGTGAGGGATAGCTTCAAGTGTTGTGTCCAAATAATTTGTTAGCCACAATGGTGACGGCGAAGGAATGCGATCGGTTATTGGCTAGTTCGGATGAAGTGGGCCTACTACTATTGGCTTAGCGTATTCGCAGGGTCACTTCGCGCATAATTATAGTAAGGAGATACTTCTACCCCTGACAGGGTGGAATTTCAAATGTAGGTGGCAGCTTTAGCAGCTGTAATGACAACAGGAGAGGTTTGCGCAAATGAGCCTTGAGGAACGAAGTTGGATATAGCTGTTATAATTACTTCAACTACAATAACGCATCCAAGATTTAGAAACTTCGGTGTTGAGAAACTGCTTGCATTAGCGCTGACAAAGGGAGAGTGCTAATAAGTCATGCAGAACTAGTCAATCAGCCATATCATCTGGGATCCTACCCTAGAACATCTCAGATAGTGAATTATGCATGTGGAGATGAGAGGAAATCTGTACTCAGAGTGCCGGTGTATACGGCGTCCATTCCCCTAACCATTCCTCTTATCCATCATGGCTACTCGCTCAGTCCGCTTCAAGTTCCATCACGCCCTGACGAAGACACTCACCTACACACACGAAATCCCTTAAGCATGATCGGCAACTCCTGTTAGTCATTACAGCCAGGGAATCGACCGCAGCAGTATCAGCAGTCAATATCTAGACGTGACATAACGTCTACTCTTCGCCTATTTAACGCCTTAACCCATAGGTTCATTGCAAGAAAAGTGTTTCGAAGCTGAAGAAATCCTAAACCGCAGATGTACCTCTGGACTCTAGTAATAGTTCGACTTCCCTATGTGCACTCAATGCCGCCAGCTGTAGAACGGCCCATCTAGTCTCACTAGCACCTTCCACGTCCGCGCCATTCTCGAGCAACGACTCGGCTATGCCGCGGCATCCCTTTTCGGCGGCCCACGAGAGCGGTGTTCGACCGCCATGATCTTGGCCAAAGACGTCAACTTTCCTGTATCGAGAAGCAGCTTGACAAAAGCTTCATGCCCCTGCTCAGCGGCCCGCAAGAGTTATGTCTGGCCACTTTGGCCACTAGCGTCAAGGTCGACTTTTCCCGTATCGAGAAGCAGCTTGACAATACCCTCATGTCCTTCCTGAGCGGCCCACAAGAGCGGTGACTGGCCACTCCAATCTTCAGTATTGACGTCGACTGTGTCCGTATCGAGAAGCAGCTTGACGATAGCTTCATGTCCTTGCTTAGTGGCCCAGGAGAGCGGTGTCAGGCCCCACTGATTTTGAGCATCGGCGTTGACTTTTCCCGTATCAAGAAGCAGCTCGACAATGATAGTGCGGTCCTGCCGTAGCTATCCATGCAGTCTAGGTTATTCCTGCTAAGTAGTGCTCGTATGCTGTTCTCGACTCCAAAGTATGCCACTAAGTGCAGTCCAGTCACTTCCCTTGGAACCTCTTGGCTGTATTCGTGCGCCCACCAATGCTTGTCAGCCATCAGTGCTTGGCTCGGCGACTCGACTGATGCGTCGGATTCAAGAAAGTCAATGACCTCCTGCCATAGCATTGGAGCTTCACGAGCATAATCGCCCCAGTGGTGTGCAGAGTAGTCATAGAGGGTTCAACCTCATCCGCTCGTCAATTCTTCATCTGTCCGACAGAATCCGCTCTGAAAGACATCGAATAACAAGTAGGTAATGCAAGTGGTTGTGATATCAGCCTCTGAGTTGGCAACCCATCTTCCTCGGTTTTTGTCAAAGTATTGGCTGCGTTGTGTAGTGCACTAATCGGATGATGTCGCTTTGTTTGTCGATCGTGACGAGCCCAACACACACCGCAACCATATCTTTAATTTCCGGCAACGCATCTTCGTTAAGTCCTGTCGTACCAACTTCAATAGCAAGGGCATAGCGAAGCTCTTTAGTGGTGAGCGGCCTCTTTGCGCAGGTAATCCATGATAGAACCTGCTTGGCAAGCCTGCAGTGGTCTAGTACCTGCTTTTCGATTCACCCCATTGCTGTCTCATAAGTACAGTCGTATGCATCCGATCCGCTTGATAGCTTCACAAGAGCGCTACGAACCGCTTTGATCGTTATCTTGCCGACCAAAGATTCAAGATGAAGCTCCGCAAGGAGAAACCTAAGATATTAGTATCTTGCTCTTATCTCTAGAATGAGACTACTCACACCCCCCCAACCGAGCCAACTATCCCGCTCTGAACCTCCTCTTGAAGTTTTGGACTACAACGGACGAAACCTGGCAATCGCGACATGTGGCTGTCGAGGTATCTCCGCACATCCTCTTCCATAGCACGGATCTCCAGTGAAATGCTGCTATTGAACAACTACGTAATATTCGATATGAACCTTGACGTCGCAAAGACGTTGGCAGCGAACTTGGCTTGAAGCTTGAAGACCTCTGCGAATAATCTCGTCCGACTGTCATCAGTTGCTCGACATTCGTCAAGCGCATCAATGAGAATAAAGACTCTTGAATAGAGTTCGGCAATAGATTAGAGGGTACTCGTGACTTCCTCTAATGATAGTCACGTCAATTCGTGCTTGTGCTTATGGTAAAGCAACTCAACGCGCTCTGGGAAATTCGGCAGGTTTTGAGTCAGCTGCTTAATCAGGCTTGCCAGTAGGTCTTTAGCCGTCTGCTCTTCTTGGCGCTGGAAGTTGCAATAAACATATGCAATACCGACACTCCTATTATTTTGCGCTTTTAGACTTTCGACTACAGTCGAGGTAAGAATTGTCTTTCCAGCGCCAGGAATACCTGGACAGAATAATGTCTGTTGTTTGTTCTCCAACCAGCCCTAGAATTTTGCCGACTCAAGCATTGACCTGTTCCCGGCTGTCGCCTTCCGATATAGTCACTTTGCTGAGGACCATAGTGGACCATAGTGAGCCAATCCAAGATATATTTGTGCTCCTGTGTCCGCTGTTGAAGGATGACTGTGTCGGCTTTCCGAGAGGTAGTTGCGCCCTCGCTCTTGAAACCTGCTGGGCCGATCATAAATTAGCTATCGAAATACAATAAACCAGGTAACAAAGGGGCCATATATGTCGAGAGCTCCATATATTTGCCATTGGGATGGTTTGTAGACTACATAGACTGACTAGAGAGAACTTCGCTACTCTTCTTTTCGGCTCCAATCCTGCAGCTATCAACCCTGCGAAACCGGGCCTCGGCTCTCTGGAGCTTCTTTCTGGAAGTCTCCCAAAGACTAAAGTACCCGATGACACTAATTTGAAAGCGGTGGCGAATAGTGTGCTTAAAACCTTCCCCGGGCTTGAAGAGCATCCTTTCACGGACGATGCTCTCTGGCGCGATACGTACGCCTTAACGGGAACCATCCGGACATTGTACTTTGGTGCCTCCGTCGCAGCGGAATGGAATACTCTCAGCGAGAGCCATGAAGTGTCGTCCGCCACTTTGGTCCCAAGTTCTACAAATGCCATCAGTGTGGATGCCGACAGCTCGTGGATTGATTGCAGAATCACCTTCAGCTCATCCCATCCAGCAGCTGAATGCTACGGTATATTTTCGCTCGTCCTGTCCAAGGATTGTTCGTGGAGAATATGGTTCATGAGGACTATTCTTGAACAATTAAACATTCCTGGCGGTTCAGATCTACTCAAGCCTTCTAATAGTCTTATCAAAGGGCACACGAACGGCAAGAATTATTCGTCGAGCAACACTTCCAACGGTCATTTCAAGCGAAATCGTCTTCCAAAGACACTGCAACAGCATATACTCAACCTCATTTCCAGGCGGTGGGCAATGTGGCTTAAGCACTGGAGGCGTTTGCAAGCCCTTGGCGTCTCGTATGTTGTTCTCGACAAGAACGCACAGGTTGGCGATGCCTAGCGATCAAGATACGAGTCGGCTCGTCGTACGCACATCCCATACCCACTTTCTGATATTCTCTGGATGTAGCCCCTTATTTGCGCATGCGGCTAACTGTCCTCCAGTGCACACCGTCCGAGAGAGTGTATGTCGACAACAAAACCCTGACGGAATTCACGTAACTAACAACCCGAACTCACAGCCAATTTACCCTTGAATAGAACATTTGGGCCGGAATATAGTGACTACTTGGGTAAAGATGAACTGGCCAAGGGCCATAAGCAGTGGGCAGAGAAATATGACATTGTTAGTTTTCCCTAGGAGCATCACCAACGTTATTGATGTCGCCGCTAATGATGAACCACCATTTTAGAATATTTGGCTTTCAAAAACGGTGGAATCTGGCTGTTGGGATGAAGTCGTTGGAGTCTACACTCTGAACACTTGCAAAGACCGAAGATCGCTCCAGATTACTACCAAGCATGTCGTGATGGCGACGGGCGCAGGTTCTCAGAGTCCCCTAATGCCCAATGTTGTGGACCGGGCGAGTAGGCTTTCATCTAAAACGTGCAGCTCAAGATATCATGACTGACATGAGTAGGGACGGTTCAAAGGCGATTTGCTACACTCTGCCGACTACTCATTGGCGCAAGTCTGGGCTGGCAAGTCCGGTATTGTAATTGGAACCGCCAACACAGGTAAGTGAAGAAAATATCCCCCTTCTAGATTATACTTGACTTGTGTATCCTCCAACAGCCGATTTCTCACAAATTTGACCAGCGCACGATGCTGCAGGTGATATGTATGAAGCAGGCATGCAAGTTACCATGGTTCAGCGGAGTCGCACATGTAAGTTCCAAGTGAAATCTAAACACTAGAGGGCCTGGGAGGCTAGTCTAGCTTTGTCTCTAAATAGTTGTGCTCCCAGTTGAGTTCATCAAAAATCGTTACGATGGTATGTTGAGTCAATCATCCTTATGATTCGCTTTCGGTCTTGGCCCTTGAGGTTCGAGAGCCATCTTACTGACTGCCAAACCTCTGCCTAGTCTTGTATAACAACAAGATCCTAACTGAAATCAGCGACCGAGGCATGATCAGCAATCCTGTGTCCATAGCTCGTCGATTTTCGGCCAAGACATTCCATACAATAACACGGGCGCAACCTGAAAGACACGAAAGTCTGGAGCGCGCAGGTTTCAAGGTTGACCCCTTCAGTGACATCCAGGACGCGATCAACATCCGCCTAGGTGGCCATTATATCGAAGTCGGGGCTTCAGCCAAGATCGGAAAACGATTGGTACGTCACGCCTATTACGTGCCTTCTCGAATACCGACTACGATGGAGCACAAACTAACATCTACGCAGATCAAAGCGAATTCCGGTGCCGCCGCTGTGCGATGCACAGAGAATGGACTAGTTTTTTCGGATGGAACCGAGGTCAAAGCCGACGTGATTGTCTTTGCGGCCGGCTTCATTGGGAATCTTCGCCACCACGTCGAGAAGATCTTCGGTAGTGAAATCGCAAAGAAGGTTGGGACTTGTTTCGGTATAAATCCTGAGTGCGAAGTTCTTAGAGCCTTCAAACCATTGGAGCGTAAAGTGATTCTGTTGTTGCATTGCTGACAGACGCTGACTGGCCGTGTGACAGAACCTGGACTATGGTACATTGGTGGTGCACTTGGCCACGCTAGATATTATTCTCGTTTCATTGCCTTGTCGATCAAAGCCGACGACATTGGCACGCCGCTCCCGGTCTATCACGATTATCAGTATTTAGCCCATTGAAGAGAGGAGTCCTTCTATCAGACACTAAGTAGAGGCGGACACAGGTCGACAAGCCTATAGCGAGAGTGCGTAAAGAGAAGGAATGAAGGATTCTCGCAGAGCAGACTCTTGTCACATTATTTTGACGTTTCGTTTGTTAGATATAGATTCGCGTTATGCCTCACGCTGATCTGTGCGCAACAGAATTCTAAGCCCAGCCAGGGGTACATCTAGCTCTGACCGAGAGTCAGTCGTGGGATTGAAGGCTGAAGTTTGTTTGAGAAAGGCCACGTAAATACGACCAACATGGTATTTTTTTTATATTTATTTTTGTATTTACTCAACATCATCAGATAGATTAAAGTCATGTAGTATGTGTAAACAATAGAGATAAGTATTTAGTACTACGCCCAGAACCAGAAGAAACAGTAGCTTAGCAATAAGGTTGTTGCACACTGATCTTTGCCTCAAGCTTCAACTCAACCCGTCCGTCTTTAAACTTGCTGTCTGCAGTCAACGAACTTTACAGATTGGGTATAACTCACCAAATCCCAATTTACGCAGGTGAAAAGTCTCATCACTTATAGTCCCGAGGCGGTTAACATGTCGCTGAGTGCTCTTTGTTTGAACTTGGGTGTAATATCTGGCGGGTTATTGCCGTCTTTCATAATCATTGTTAGCATGAAACCCTCTATCAGTTCAAATTACCTCGAAGTATTAGAGTTTGTGAGTCTCTTTTCCCCTTTCCCTTCATTTTTTGTTGTCATGAAGCTTCTAGGGCTCTATCGGAAAGCCATTAATCCCTCCGTCTTCCACGAGCGACTACCAATCAATAGCACATATACTTAGAGACCTGGGTCTACTTCTTGACACCTGATCATTGTTAAAAGGCTGTATTTTGTTGGTGGGAGACCTATTTTGTGCTGATCTGACCCAAGATATCGGAAAATTTAGGGGCAACAAAAAGGAAATGACGGATAGGTCAAGTCAAGTGGCGCTAGGATATGGAATAGCCCCGTAGCCATCTGGTAGCACTTGCACAATATTTCTTTACAAGGGCTACTAGCAAGAATGGAATAATAGCGAGAAGAGCTGCTGCGACACCAAGAGCAAGGAAACAGGTCAAAAGAAAATTTGTATTTGAGATTAAAGAAAGAAAAAAGCATGCCCTGTCAAGGGCTTTGGCAGAGCTACCACTTTACGTAGGCCTTGACTAACAAGAAGGGCCTTACTGTACTAAAGGTGTGGCTGCTTTCTACTGTAGCACCACGGTATATTTAAATATTATTCTAAGATGCAGTCAATCTATATCACTTCATATCCCCCGACGCCTCATCGACACCCCTCCCTTGTCGATGGTTAATCCACAGCTCCGCTGCCCCCCCGCAAATAAATTCAAAGTCAAGGGCAGAAAACCCAACGCCACCAGGAGTATAGGAAGTGTTTACTAGGCAAACTAATATTCGCCTAGCTGCCTACTTCCAGCCAGGCAGAGAATGCAGAGGCTTCTAATCAATCGGAAGTAGCGGCCTTGGGTATTTCCTCGATCTTATCAGGACTTTTCTCGGTCTTATCAGGAACTTCGTTGACAGACATAGCAGGCGTGTTCTTGAGAGTGCTGTCTGAACTCCGATGTGTTGAGGCGACGGACAAGTCTCCTTGAGACTTTGAGGCTGGTGAAGGCTTCGTAGGAAGCACTGACTCGTCGACCTCGAAGGGAGTGACGGGTTCGGGAGCGGGCTTCTTCTTTCTAAATAGACCTTTGAGGCCATCTAGGGAGAGGGAGCGCTCCCAGTAGAGAAGGGCTGATGGGATGAGTGCGAAGGCACCGATAAGGAAGAGAAGGGGGTTGCCAAAGATTCTGTAGGTGAAAAACCCGATGCCGACGAAGACGGCCGTGTACCAGATAACGAGATGGCAGATATGGAATGAGCGTTGCAAGAAAGACTGTCCGCGCTTGCGCTCGGTGGAAGAACGCGCCGACGTTCCCCAGCTGGTCTGGTTCATGGTGATGAGGGCGTAAATCTTGGAGGGTAGCAGGCCGAAGAAGTAGATGAAGCCATACGCGCTGAAGAGAAGCAACCACAAGTCCCTGCTGATGAGCACGGCCAAAGCGGACTTGACAAAGGCGACACCAAACATGGTGACAAGCCAGATGATGGGCCGCCAGGGGTCGTCGCTGGTAGTGTCAAAGAGGAAGTGGAAGACAGTGGCGATCAGGATAAAGGGGTACAAGGCCTGTACGGTTGTCTCGACAAGCATCCACGGGGACTGCAAGGCAAAGGTGGCCGGGAACCAAAAGGCTTCTCTGAAGAAGGACTTGCTCCATCGCGTCTGCTGGGCAACCCAGCGCACAAAGGAAGTCGGTGACTCGCTGTCGCACCATGTGCGGTGTGTATATCGTGTCCGGAGTCCGTGAGCCAGAAGTTGGTTGGTCAAGTGGCGATCATCACCAAAGGTCGTCTCCTTGCCACCAAATGTCTGCAAGTTCCATGGACCAAGGATTGTCTCGAGATCGGAAGCGCGGTACATGCTCATCGGGCCAGAGAGGCAGCCGACACAGCGCCACAGCGACTGGCAGGCTCGCTCGATGTTGAAGGCAAACCAGTATCGCGCCGAGCACAACCGGGCAAGCAAAGACTCAGCGCGGTTCCAGATCTTGACATCGGCCGTGACACCACCGATTTGAGGCGCAGAACGTAGGAGTGCCAGCATCTCATCCAGACCGTTGGGCTGGATGAGTGTGTCTGAGTCGGTCGTGAAGATGGAGTCCCGGGTTCGACAGGCGTACAAGCTCATGGCAAAGGCAGTAAACATGGCGGTGCGCTTGTGGCCGTGAGGTTGACTGAACATGACGGCTTTGAGGCTGCTGATGTTCCACTTCTCGTCCCATTCCATCACTTGCTCAATCACTACCTGTCTAGCAATAGCCAAGGCCGCTTCATGGCCAGGTCGATAGCGACCTACGAGGTAGTGCCAGAACTTGGTCAATGCGAATCGAGTGTCAACAGGGATGTTGTCGAAGTATGTCTTGCGGTGGACCTCGGAGAGAAGCAGGGGCAGGTGGATGAGCGGCGCCTTGTATGATTCGAATTCCTCAACGAAGGCTTGTGCCATGTTCAGATCTGGCTCCTCGTTGCCGTCAACAACACCGATGACACACTTGGGGCGGAGCGACTGCGTCTGCAGACTGCGGAGACATAGCCTCCATGCTTGTTCATCCTCGCGGTAGCCGACGACGGCGATAGAGACCTCGCTGCCGGGGTTGAGAAGGTTATGTTCCGGTGTGCCGTCGGCGGCCTTTTCGCAGTCACCGGCCGCCTGTGCATTGGCCCGCTTCTTTGCCAAGTTGTTGACGATTCGGTCGATATCGAAGCGGTTGATGATGGCGCAGCAGAGCTGAACAAGGTATTCGGATATAAGAATCGTTCCGTATAGGCCGACGGCGGTGATGTCGAGATCGAAGACCTTGAGCCCGATGCAGTAACCCGCAATAAGGGCGCCGATGAGACCAAACGCCAGGGTGATGTTGAAGGCGGCGAAGAAGGGGTTGATCTTTAGGGGCTTTCTTAGTGGTGAGTCAAAGACGGCAGCCGAGTCAAAAGAGCGTGTCTTGACGTCGACAGACGAAGCGTCAGGGGAGCTTGAGCCCGACATGCCGCTGCTTTCGATGACATCTACCTGGCTGGCCATATCGACACCTGCCTTGAGTGTACCGCTTGACATCGAGGACTGACTGGACTCAAGGTGAACGAGTGAATGTATACCACAAGGGGCACAGAGTAGAACTTATCAAGCAGGTAGCCAGGCCGAGCCCGAGCATTTCAACTCCTGCCATCCTCCCAGCCACTATTAACCGCTTTGAAAATTTGCTCCGGATCGGCGCCACTCCAGCCAGACTATCGGTTTACTTCCATATATTGCATGGCGCCCGCACATTTTCAGAGCTGAAAGGCGGCTCGGAGGGGACCTGAGTCCCTGCGCCAGGCCGGCGTCTTGGCCCTCTTGGAGATTGAGTCCAGAACGAAAATCATGTCGAGACTATTGTTTCTCACAGGACAGATCCACATGGGCCAGCTTGGGCTTGCGGTCAGTACGCCAGGGCTTGCCCCTTGTAGGGGTCAGTTGGGAGCGAATCACGTCAAGTGACTGGCTTCTGACGAAGCAGGTCCGGCCAACACGGCTCAGTTGGGTGCTGTGATAGGACAGTCGGGCTTTTCTTTCCGGCCATTAGTTGGGACAATAGCTTCTACAGCAGCCGGTCCACATGGGTCAGTCCACGTTCAGAGCTACAGGTCTTGCCCTTGCAGGGGTCACTTTACCGCCAACTCATGCCGAGGGACTGTGGCTTCTGACGAGACGGTCAGGTCGAAATAGATCAGCCCGGTGCTGCGGTCAGAAAGTCAAGCCTTGCCTTCCAGGGGTCCGTTGAGATTGTACCTTGGGCAACGGCTAGCCTACATAAATCAATCCAGTGCGGTGTCCAGAACCGCAGCGCTTGCGTTGTGTGGAGATGTGTCTGTAGCACGGCCATGCCGAGGGACTGGGCTTCTGACAAGGCGGTTCAGGTCATTATCGATCTGTCCGGTGCTGCGTTCAGGCCCGCAAAACATACACTTTGTGGGGGTCAATCCACGGAGAAGGCATGTTGAGGACCGTGGCTTCTCCCAAAGCAGACCAGGCCAACACGGATCAGCCCGGATGTGACAGAACAGTCGGTCCTTGGGATCAGTTGGGACTATGGCTTGTCAAAAGGCCGATCCATATGGACTAGTCCGGTGTTGCATTCAGGGCAACAGGGCTTGCCCTTGTAGGGATCAGTCGACAGCAAAATCATGCCGAGGGACTGTGCGTCCTAGCAAGGCCTGTCAGGTCCATATGAATCAGCCCCGTGCCGTGATAGGACAGTCGGGCCGCCCTCAAGGCACCAGTTGGGCTTATGGCTTGTAGAATGGCCGATCCCTATGGATCAGCCCCGTGCTGCATTGAGGGCCTCAGGGCTTGCGATTTGTGGAGATGAATATACAGCAAAGTCATGCCGAGAGACTGTGGTTTCCACAATGCAGATACACGTGGATCAGCCCGGTCTTTCGGAGAGGACCGTTGCTCCGGTACTGGAAGATGCAGATTAAGCACCCTTGTATTTCCCAAAGGTCCCGAAGATCAAATCAGGTCAAGTTCTCGGTCAAAAAAACAAATAGTGGGCAGCTGAGGCGATCTGCGGAGAGGTGTTGCATCAGGAGTGGGTATAATAGATGTACTATGTTCGAATTTGGATCTATTAGGTATTACGCCTTTTTTCCCCTATCCACAGCCTGTGCTGACGAGGCTTCAGCTACGCCGCGTCAACGAACAAATAAACAAGTAGCGTCTCCAGACCGGGCTTGCGGAACAATGTAACCCCTGATCGATTTTCAGCCTGTGGCTCGCCCCCAATGGTGACGGTACTAGTCATTCGTTGCAGACTTTTATTAGGCGGACCCTTTTTTTCTTCTCCTGAGTAGGACAAGCCTGATACGTCTCCGTGCAGGAGAAGCAATTAACGCCACTTGGCGGTCACCGATGACAGATTCCGTGACTCAAGATTATTCAGCACATCAGGGTCCTGGTCAAAAAGAAATAAGTGCAATAGGGAAGGATTTTGCCTGGCATGTGTGTGTATTCGAGCAGGACTTGTAATCCAGCGAGACTTATACAGCTACTAATTTATCACACCAAGGACCAATTACTTCTCGTGTTGGTGGCTGGATGCGATTGTGTGCACCGCATTGTTGACCGCGGCAGTGGCTACCGCTGATCTTCGAGAAACCAACAAGTGCCGAGAACTAGCGCTATTGCGATGTTCAAGGGGATGTATTGTATTCCCATTGCGTGCTTAGCTAACTAGAAAGGTGTTAGTCGAACACTAGCTATTTTTACAAAACGCGCATACTTACACGTAAGTACCGGTAGCCGCGCTTGGAGACATTGCAAGGTTAACGGCGCCTCCTGAGTCTAGACCTGTCGTCTGGCAGAGCGGGCTGGGGCCGGGGGAAATACACTAGTCTCATTTAATGCTGTGTCGTACGCCTCCGCGTACTATTCTCACCGACCAGCGCGATGAGCCCGACTGTCATTTGTCGAGATGTCATCAGTCTAACCCCTTACTCTTCACGGGGAGGCGGACCCCGGGAAAACCGAGTCTAGATGTATTCTCACGGCAAAAACGGGACGGAGTTGGTACAGTACACGTACCAGCCAATAGTCCTGACACGACGCCACAGCTATGTACTGTACCTTCATCTGTCTGGGTGGCCATCGTGTAACATCTCCCCGGTTCTTCGGCGATCCAGACTCCCGGGAGATGTGTATTTTCCACAAACTGTTGCATGCGCTGTCCGCTCCGGCTTGGCAGCTTATGCCAAGATTTAATCACTGACGCCCCCGGAACTTGCCATGACCAGCTCCTCGGTGCATTGCGACCCAACAAACTCGTACATTCCCAGATGAATAATTCCAATTACATTACCGCTAACAGCACAATGCCAGCAACCAATAAGTATCGCCAAACCAAGCGCCCACGCATATGTAGAATGCCACCAGCCAGAATTACGCCCTAATCGAGACCAACGAATCTTGGCCGTGGTGAAGAGTCTCCCGCCAAGGAACTCCGAGCTGAGGTCGCATTCCCTCAAATGAGATGCACAGGAAAAAGAAAAGGTATTACTCAGGAACGCCACCGACTGAACCAAAAGAAAAACAACAATGCAAAGAGCCAGCCGGGTGCTGCTGGACTGATGATGTGGGCATGCGAGTTTACGCTAATCACTGGGGGTGTGTCTGAACTGCTGCTGTCGTCTCCCCCTGAAGCTGAGCTGGCCTTGAAAATGCCGTTCGTAATGGTGCATGCCGAAGTGGCTGTTTTGCACGTCAGCGCGCTGGCATTCGTGTCGTTATACACAGCCCAGAGCGACGAGACGGCGACGGTGCTATCTTTTGTTGGGGGCCCCATGGAGTAGTTTGAGTTGCCGTCAGACCACTGGCTCAGCGCAAGACGGCCGGGAGCCTGGGGCACGTTGGTAGTAATAAACCTGGAGTAGTTTGCATCGAGGCCATAGTGCACAATGTCAGGCAGCCAGACAAAAGACCACTCGTGGAATTCCTCGTCAAACGAGGCACGTGAGTCGTTCCATGCCTGTCGCTGGTAGGTGCTGTTGGACGGGTTGCCGCTGTCAAAGTAAATCTGCGGTTTGACCGTGTACAGCAGCGTCGCCTCCTCCCAGACGCTGAGGTACTCAATGTCGACCTCGGAGGTGTCATTCTTGTAGTTGAAGAAGGCCGTCACCGTGCCCGGGACATCCCCGACGCGGAACTTTGCATGATACGAGCCGTAGAAGAAGGTGGCCGCGCGGGTGAAGACTTGTGCGCAGGGCACCTCTTTTGAATCCGAGGCCGGCGAGACGGTGAGGCCGAGCCCAGAGTCGGAGAGCTCGACCTGCGAGGCCGAGAAGTTCCTGGTGTAGGGCGACTTGGCTTGGGATATCTCGTACGTGGCCGGGATGAAGAGATTGTCGAACGTTTTGGTTGAGATGGAGCTGAAGTTGACGACGAGGAAGCTGGTGAAGATGTTCCGGGTCGGGTCGTTGGAGTCGATGAAGCCACAGTCGCAGTCCCCGACCTTTGACGCCATGGTCAGACCTGCAGCAGAATGAAAGGGAGGAACGTGACGGAATCACGACTGCAGCAAAAGGAGACAGGAGGATAATGACGCGGACCGCAGCAGATATTAAACCAACCCCCTCGCTCCGTCTTAATTAGACCCCTCTGGATCAGACTCAGCCCCGGACCATAGTAGCGGGGTTATTCAAGTACAGAATATATCCAGTTCTGGAAGGCGGTGCAACAGTAAATACACTAACAGTCCTGCCACGACGCCAACCGAGTCATGTGAGTCGGGGAAATTCCCTTCACCTGACGAACCTGAACAGGCTCACCACTTTCCACCGCTCTGCAGCCACAAATTGCAATACGAGAAAACAACTCATTGATTTCAGTCTCATAAGAGCCGTAAGAGCCGTAAGAGCCGTAGGAGGGGTGAGAGCTGAATCGTGAACAAACCCATCCCCGACGTTCCCCGCGAATAAACACCCCTGGAGCGGAATGGCCTCTTCTTCCGCGACTGACGCGGCAACATGAGGCACAGCTAACGGAAGCCGTCTTATCCGACGCTTTTCCTTCTTTTAGTCCCTAGCTCACCTTTTCTCTGCAATTGTGAATTTGGCAACGCTAATCTTGGGGACCGACACGATGAGTAATCAAACAAACGCCAAGGCGTGATCCTAAAGGTGTAGGGTAGGCCAAACGCGGGGCGGATTGGCCAGTCGAGACAAGGACGTCGAGTGAGTAATATACGTCGCAGATCTCGTAAGAGGATTAGTTCTAGGTAAATAAGTCTATTGATAGCTAAGGATCATGTGGCTTGAGTCTGGAGGATATAGAGTTCCGGTGCGGGCCGTAAGCCACTACTGGTTCTGCCACTCCGCGACCAAGTCAGACAATGTCTGAGACTTAACAAGAAGGGTTGATTCGGAACATGCGTAGCGAAAACAGTGCTTTCGAAGATTTCTCACGTTAGATGTCTTAGACATAGATCAATGAGCAGAAAAGTTTGCGACATGTTTCCGGATGTAGTTAACACAGATATTTGTTAACGCATGTCACTGTCCTGATAAAAACATTGGTGCAGTTTATAAGGGAGCCCGAACCAATTGAACACATTTTTGGCGAAGCTGAATATTGTGTGCCCACTTCTTCAGTCTTTGAAATGAGGTAATTATCGCCAAGTACTGTGGCCTATTTATTTTTAAGATGTCCAAATCACAATACATAGGACCGGTGCGCCCACAGTATCAAGATACCATGTTGACGATAGTGAAGGATTGGAACACTAAGTGACGATGTAAAATGTGATAGAAACTGCGGGGATAAAGGATATATTATCCGCCGCTAGATGGAAGGGTCTCCGTATTGAGAGCCTATCGCCACCCGTCGTAGTGTGCGTGCAACGGGCGCTGATGTCGATGGTGTTGAACTAGGGCCGGAGGCTAATTCCAACCGGAGCGGGCCGCACCCCAGATCAATGGACTATTGATTGGGAGCCGATCGCAAAATCAAGGACGGTTATCTCGTATCGAGACATGATATCTATCCGCGCGCATCAGATCGATTTCGGTGCAGTTTGTGGGGTAGAGATGGGACTGGATACGCGGGATTGTCTCAGACCGGAACTCAGCTGAACTTGAGAGCAATACGACCCACCTCGGTGGGCTGGAGATAAGATTCACAGTTTGTTCATTTATCCGGTGGAATGACTAGATCTCAGTTCTTTCTGCACAGCGCGATACTGATTGCGCATGCGCACGTCTGTCCCATTGAAATCCTATCAGTTGGGATGTTTCGGAATCGCGCCTCGTTTGATTAAGCTCAGTGATACTAAACCTACGGCCGCTCGCACTTTTCTATTAAATTTGCGGCAGATTGCAACCCCTTGTTTATTGTCTTCGACTAAATGACTCGAGCGACATGGTTTCGCTACACTTATGGGTTGAATTATTAAATGCCAAAATGAATATAAGGAACCCAGGGAGCTGAACTAAGCACTGCTTCATCAGCAAAGAAAACATCTCTTTGGCATCTCGAGTTGTGTCGCCTTTCCTCCTCAATGTGACTCCCGTCCGTACATCCAATTCTCTCCTGGTACATCAGTGCCCCTCTTGAGACATTTTCCGTAATCCACTGTGCGCGAAGACTCCTCAGCGCATGATGAAGTCCCTCGCTAACAGATTCATCACTCATTCCTTCCCGCTGTATCCATTCGTATGTCTTGGCTGCGATGTCAACGCACGCCCTGTCGTTCACCTCCCACAATGTACCGATTACATGTTGAAATCCAGCAAGTTGACATGCAGTGGCCAAATGAAGCCCCTCATCTAGAAACTCGCCGTGTAATATTTGACCTGTTCCACAGGCTGAAAGATACGCAAGAAATGCCGTTCGTTTGCCAGCATTGACCTCGTAGAGATGCTCGACTGTCAGCGGCTGTTTCTCCCAATCGCGCAAGAGTAGGCTGCTCTTCCAAGGAGACCTGTGGCTACTAAGTCCATGACCTGCGAAATGAAATATATCGCAATTCTTCAATGCAGACAATACATCCTGTTGAACTGGCAGAGGCTTAGTGGTGTGTAGATTCAAAGACTTGAAAGTACGTTCCAACATCTCTGCCTCTTCCGTAGCATACTTTAAATGTCTTTGCCCGGGCGTTTCTTTCATCCCGACCAAAACGACATTGTTTGGACGGGATGCTCCAACTTTCTGAGCTTGACGCCAGTGACCTTGAATGATTGTCTTCACAGACGTGCTGTATGACGATACTACCAGGTCAAGGACAGAACTAGAGGAAGTGGGTGAATATGAACCAGCGGCATGGATCGGATATTTTGCCAAGACTCCTGTGGGAATCCACCATACATGAGGCCAGCGGTCATTAGCCCCAATTTGGCCGAGTCCCAATTCATCAAGGACCGGCTTGGCTAGAGTAGTCCAAAGCCATTCTAGAATCTTCGGTTGCGCAAGATCTTCAACTTGATAGGAATTTATGTCGTTGCGATTCAGCTCGGGCAATGGCAGAACGCGGATGTCGTTGCGCTCGACGATAAAGGCATCACAGCGGTACGAGCTGGCACTGATGACTAAAATCGGCCCGTTCTTGGCAGCAGCTTTCAGTTCATTCTCAGACAGGACTTCGGGGAATCCTTCGCTACCGGAATTCTCCCGAACATTCGGCTTACCTTCTTCTGGTCCTTGGCCAACCTCACGACTGGGTGAAGCATGTACCGAGGCTGAAATGACACCACGACCAAGTTCAAGAAGTTGAATCGCTTCAAGAGTAGTTTTCCCAGAATTCAGAGCCACCGCTGCAGCATCAGAAGCCAAGCCAGAAATTTCGGCAAGCAAGACTTGCTTATCCGAGTTCTCAAGCGCAGGGCCCGTGAGCAGTGGGATGAGCCGAATGCTCTTCAACGCATATCCATAAGCTTCTTCCCATCGGCCAGCTCCGGCATGGAAATGGAGTAAGCTTCTACCGGCTTGCAAGCGATGGTCGGCAGAAGAGAGGTTGTGAGCGAGGGCTTCTGCAAAGGTCCGGACGGATAGGTCCCAGTCTGCTGCGGCTTTCGTAGAATGGTACTTTGCCTCATATCCCTCTGCAAGACCACGAAGAAGATATGCTCGGGTGGGGTCTTGTTCTGAAGCCTCGCCGACGGCTGACTTGTGATGCTGAATAGATAACTCAAGGTCCGTTACATCATCTGTCCTTTCGTATAGATGCCGATATGCATATCCAAGAACATCCAACGGCCGCGATCGATCTCGACTGTCCTTTATTTCAAGCAGAGCCTCATTTCCACGTTGGATACATTCATGCAGGGTATTCTCGACCTTTGTCGCAGAGTACTCTTGCAAGTACGCCGTAGAGAGAGCCGCAAGCACCTTTGCCCGGGCAGGATGCCCCACGGGTGCGACAGGAAGTGCTTCCTTTATGAGTCCAATAGAGTGGTAATGATCCTTTTCTCCTGTTTGCACTTGTCGGTCGGCATATAGAATTGCAAGATAGAAGAGGCGGTTTGCTCGATCCTCATGGTCGTCTGGCGTTAGGTCAAGCGCCTCTTCAGAGAGTTGTATAGCCTCCTCAAGAGCTGCCGCAGAACCAATCCTTTGAAACAAGTCTCTAAGTCCATTCGCAAGACCCTCAAGTCTCAGTGGCCTTTGGGAGTCGTTCTTCGGTGTCAGAGTGATTGCTTCCCGATAAGAACGAATAGACTGTTCCAAGGAGACCTTTTCGCCTGACTCTTGGTATGCAGTCCCATAACCAATACCAGCTCGGTAGAGATAGGCTGCTCTGATTGTATCCTTTTCCGGTAGCAAGTTGATTTCTTCTTCGCAACTTCGAGTAGCTTGTTCCAAAATGACCCTGTCGCCCGTCAATTCGAATTTAGCTTGATAGTCTGCTATAAGCGACAGCTTGTCACCGTGGGATAATTCCACGGGACAAGAGTCTTTGCGCCCCAGATTTATGGATTCTTCTCTTAATGCTATAGACCTCTCGAGGTCCTCTGGGTTCCTCGTTTTTTTATATTTGCGGGAATATCCGTCTCCGAGTGTAAAGGTGTGTTGTGCTCGGTCAGGATGGCCTTCAGGTGCGATGTTGATTTGTTCCTGGGTAAAATAAAGGTACTGGTCTAAGTCTGTAACATTGCCGTGAAGAACAAATTTTTGGAAGAATTCATCGGCAAGCTCAAAGAGCTCATCTGCTTGGTCTTGGTAGTCTGGAGACTCCATTCGTATGCTTCAGCGGTTTCGCCGTTGATTTGGTGGATTGTAAAGGCCGTCCAAGGTTTGCTTACTCTTCTTAGTATCTTTGACGTTGGCTACAGAAGATTGTGGGTTGGGTACCATCGGTAGTCTTGAACCTGATATTATCGCAAAAGATTTCTTCTTTTTCAGCCCCCTCTACGCCTCATGTGAATTACCCGTATTTATCCGGCTGGCTTATTATTGGCTATTCTCTTTCGCGGCCCAGCACTCAGAATCAGGCGACCAATACAATCTGGACCTTCTTTGCAGCGTTCCAGCCCGGCAACCAAGCCCTGAGAATCCCCGCGAATCTTGCATTTTTCAGGAGAGAAGATATATGTAATAGTAGCCTCTGCTAATTAGTTTACGAATTAACATACCATCCGCTACAGAACTCGAGTGAGCATGTGGCTAGTTGAGGTCTTAGAGCATCAGGTCAGGCCGCTTTGACGACGAACGGGAACTTGAGACTTCTAGTCGATGGGTCGTGTTAACTATTTTAAGTAGCATACGTAAGAAATAATGAATGGCCTTGATAATTGACATGAAGTGTCCTTGGCGCCACATAGAGTAGAAATTCTATGAGCCACGAGCACACAACTTCACCGGTTAACTAACCAAACCAACCTTACCATTTCACCCGCTTATCCCTGAACAACTTGACCATCCCCATCGGCAAAAGCCCAGGATCAACAATGTTCAGCCCTCCAAAGCGGTCCACAATCTCAGGCCCATACATCATAGCCACCCAACACCAGTACGGCTCCATCTGATGCCAATTTTCCGTGATACCTCGCAAGTTCGACTGCGCGTTCAGCTGGCTGAGCGCCGTCCACACCTTGCTATCGTCTGGACTGACGCTGTTCTGCGCCTTCTCCGGCGGCCGCTGCATCAGCTGGTCAAACACCTGGTGCAACGCCGTGCTCGCGTGTCTATGCTCGAAATGCATCTCCTCGCGGTAGCGCACGTACTCTTCAAAGGGCATGAAGGTGCCGCGGTCGCGCGCTGACTCGGGCGCCCAGTCTGGCTCGTCGAGCGCGTACCGCTCGTGGTTGATGCTGCCGTCGAGGAACCGCGCCTTGTCCCACTCGTAGGCGTCGCGCTCGCCCTGCTCGAACTGGTCGAGAAGCTCGGCGGGGGACTCGAGGACTTCGTCGCGGATCTGAAGCAGCGGGATGAACGGCGACTGTAGGTCGAGACCCCCGAGCTCCATTGGGAAATAGAGGTAGCCATCCGGCACGTCGCTGATTCCGAAGCGCTGGCCAATCGCCTTTTGGAGGTACTCGGCCACGCTGGAGACCTTCTCCTCGCCGTCGGGCAGCGTGGAGAAGATCTGGCGCTGGATGCGCTCGTGCGTGGCGAGCATGTTGTCGACGTGCTCGCGGCCGAAGCAATTGGCGGCCTTGCCGAAGTTGGAGGTGAAGAAGGTTGCGGCGTATGTGTTCCACGCTTGGATGAAGGCGAAGATGCTCTTGGGCTGGTCGTGAAGCTGCTTGTGCAGCTCGTCGATGTGGGAGTCTACCATGGCCTGGTCGATTTCGAATCTGCCCGTCTGGGGCGACAGGCGCAGGAAGCCCCAGCGGATCTCACCGCCAGGGAGAGATTTATCGATGGCCAGCTTCACGCCGGTATCTTTCGAGACCCGAACAGTACCGGTCTTGGATGGGTTGATTTCCGTGCCGGTAATGGCAGCGAACTCATCCATCGTCTTCCACGCCTTCGCCGCCACGCCGTGGTCGCGCGACCAGAACCACACGTCGTCGTGGATTCTCCAAAGGGCGTTCCCGGAGGTGGCCTGGTTGACGGCAAAGTCAAGACAGAAGAGAGTCGTCTCGCCGAAGACATCGCTGAGTACATGCGACGCGGGAGTGCCTCGGCGCCGCACGCGCGCCGGGGTCGATTTGTCGTCGTCGATGAACTTCAGGGGAGCCTGCAGGAACTTTGTGAAGAAGCCCAGCCAGGTCTCGGAGACGCCGAAGTACTTGAGTACCATGCAGACAGTCTCGTGGGGGAGGAGGGGGTTCCAGCTCTCAAAGACGGAGTGGAAGGCCGTCATTTCGCCGTAAAGACGCGTGTTGATGGTGATTTCGGTCGACAACAGGTGCAACAGATCCTGCTTGAGTGCCATGGGGTTGCGGGTTTTGCCTTCCTCATCCTCATCTTCATCGTCCTCGTCTTCTTCGTCCACTTCTGCCGCCAGATCTAAGAATGCTCCTGATGGCGCAGACCTTCGAGGAGCTTTGCTGGCGAGTATCTTTCGATGTCTTTTAGCTCCGGTCGATTGTCTAGCGCCGCTCCTCCGCTTGAGGCTTTGCGGCGCAAACTTCTCATACTCTGCCTCCTCTTCTCCGTCCGCGGTATCCGTAGCCTGCTCCACGTTGCCCATGAGTTGGGCCATGAAGTACTTGCTGTTGTAGATCTTGCTCCGGGCTGTCTGCAAACAGGGCGAACGGTGCCGCGGTCCGAGGTAATACCCGAGTCTCTGCTTGTCAGCCTTTGGAATTTCTGCACGCGCGGATGTCCATGCTCCTTCAGCACGGCGGAAATCCTTGAATGCTTTCTTGAAGAAGACACTCCATTTAACGCCGATGTACTGGAGAAAGATGGCCTGGAGAAGGTCCTCGTGCATGTGGATGTTGTAGATGCCACTGATCTTTCGTCGCATTTCGACCGGGACTGGGGCATCAGCACACCAAGCCCACGCGCCCAGAGCACTGATGCGCATGTTGAGGACATCTGCAATCTCGTTGAGGATGATGGTGTTGTTCTCAAAATCCTTCAACACCTCTCGTTTCTCATCGGAGAGTAGATCTGAGGAGTGGAGGCCTTGGATGACCCATCTCAGCGAGTAGATGTTGAATTGGTTCGGCGTTGAGATTTCTGCCTCGAAGCGTTCGACTTCATCTCGGAGTCCCTTCAAGGCACCAAAGATGAGCTTCTTTTTCTCATCACCGAATCCAAAAAGGCCGTTCAAATATTGTTCGAGCGCCGTCTCATTTACGGTGGCTGGTTCGAATACCATCTTTTCCCATTCCATTCTGGACTCTAACTTGGCTGCATCACCAACAACTTCAAACGTGTCACCCATTTCAACATCATCCCCGGTAGAGGTTTGCTCTTTATCGCCGGAGAGCCATTCGGTGACGAGTTGTCCGTAAAGCGAAGCGTACTGGAATTTGAGGGACTGCATGTTCAAATGGCAAAGGAGTGACTGTTGCCAGGAATCCAGCATCTTTGCGGAGATGGAAGGATCGCACTTGGCCTGGCCGAGGAAGCGATCGACATTCTTGAGCTCGACCTCTAGTCGTGCATGTTTTGTCTGATTGGCAATGACGTTGCCCGACTTGTCGAGCTTGATGGCGAAGCACTGCTTGACGCCAGCACTCAGGGTCACGAGACGCTTGACGGCATCTCCTTCGGCCTGCGTAGAGATGAGGAGAGCCGCCTTTGCCTCCTCGAAGCGGGAACGTCGCTTGGATAGCTCATCGAGTTTGGTATTGGTGATCTCCTGGAGGGTGTCGGAGAAGACACTGCCTGACGTTGCCATGATGGGCGTATTGAAGCAAGGTGAATCTCGAAAGCTGGGTATTTTGTCTTCACCCGTATCTGAATGGGAATCAGATTGCTATGAGATGGAAAAGAAAGGAGGGAGTGTTTGATGATGGAGGGTGGTGGCAGTTTATATAACACGAGGAGAACTTGGTGTCCTCAGGCCACACTTCAGGGGAATGTAAGTAGAGCCAAGCCATGTTGGGCCACCAATTACGAGCCGGCATTAGCGGCGTGAAACAGGCTACTGTGTGACTCAGCCGAGTTGGTTGTGTTCCTCGAGACGCGGAGTAACGTGTTTACGCCGTCATTAATAAAATCCCTGCGTTTTGGTTGTTGGACGGTGGTTCGCAGTTGACATGTCGTTGGAGAGGAAATCAGTAGAAGACGCGATGATGACGTGACTGGGCTTTTGGTTGGCTGTGCGATATCCCAGAAAAGTGGGCGATTTTTAGGCAGCCGTGCGTGGGTCTCTTCACTTACACGAGTCTCACTTACACGACTACACCGAATTGCCTTAACAAAGAAGAGACTGGATAGGATTGGATAATTCATGCCAAGAGAAGGCGTTATGCGGGGTTTTTCTGCAGGTCGCAGAAAGGTGCATCTTTTTAGGCCACCTTAGACCGCTATTAGCCAACCCGGCCGGTGAAGCAATTCGCCCTTCTCGGACACAGCCCTCGCTTACACATTCCTACTAAGCAACTTCCGCTACCATGAGCGTCATGGCATGCTAGCCCTCGATTCATGTATAAGAGATAATGTGCAGGCGAATAAGGGGTATCATGTATCCATCTAGTAACGGGTGGCTAATTTACTGGGAGACTCGATGAGCTATCACCTGGTCGGGGAGAACTCTTAGCGAGGAAAACCCATCATACACGAACTCATGGCAAGCGTCCATAGTCGGAACATTCATAGGTGAAAAAGTACATATTTCTATTCAGCTCTGGTATAGAGCGAGTATTTTATATTTCTTTATCCTACCTAAGGTGGACCATAGCCAACACTGTACCACGCAAACCAGATTTCGTCCTCACTCATTTGCGGGCGCTTGTCCTCGTTCTCCCACCACTTGCCTTCTGCTTGGCCTGTCCTGGGCTCATCCATAAGTCCCAAGTCACATAGACGTTCTCGGTTCCAAATCATTAACCCTGGATTCATGATCTCGTCGAGCATGACCCGAGTCAGCATGGCGTGGCGGCTTCCCATGAGCTGGCTGAGGATCCGACGCCCATCGGATCTTGCTCGAACCGCGCTACGAACATGTGGCCATGCTGTTCCGATTACATCGTCCTGAGGCTCCTCGCTTGGTTCAAAGGCCTAGGTTAGACGAGGAAACACGGCGAGTCATCTTGGCCAGAGATATGATTGGACTCTGTAGCGGCGACACGATCCCATCCCAAGTAGGCATCACCCTCGCGGCGACGACTTCCCCGAGCACTTTGGCCACGGGAGCGGTATCATGGCCGAGTGGAAGCAACGAAACAATTCCGGCAACGCTCCACTCCCTCGATTCTGACGATGCTCCGGGAATCCCCCAGGCCAACCAAGGGGCATGGCTACGAAGTTCTAGCGCGAGTTGAAGCAGGAATAGTGGCCTTTGCACCCGGTAATATTCCACCCATGATGGAGCCCTTCGTATGGCTGAAGGAGCAATGAGGGCAGCCTGGCCTGTCGGCCAAAGGTATTTTCCGGGGACGCGTGCGTAGGATTCGGAAGCAAAATCAATGTTGCGCTTGACGGAATGCTGCGGCTTTAATTTGGACGTGCGCTGCATCAACTCGTACAGCACGGCAATGGAGAGCCTGCAGATGTTGACAAGAGTGGCTACCAGACCGAAAGCGACCTGCGGCGTCGTGAGGTGACAGACGGGAACGCAACCTGTTGAGGAGGCGACTTCGACGACTGTACCTGCACGCCCAACGCCAACACTCCCAGCTTCGAGTGCGGCGAAGAGAAGTCGTGTGAGCTCAATGACTGCGATGGTGCCTTCGCCGATGGAAGGGCAACCTGCACCAACGCATTCAAGGGCTGCAAATGTCTGCCCAGCACCGACACGCCCGGCTTTGAGTGTGGAACTGCCCAGTCGTGCCAGAACAACGGCTGCAATGGCTGTGGTGATGGTGCTGGCGGCGCCAAGTGCCAAGACGCTTTCAAGGGATGTGACTGTCTCCCAGACACGTCTACGACGGATTCTGCGGCACTCTAGGTCCATGTTCCTTCAGCGCGTGTCAAGGAATCGCCGTCGAGGGCCAGACGCTCGGCGTGTGCCAGGCGGATGCGCACAAGGGATGTACCTGCGTCCTCCCCGTGACGCCGACGACAACGTCGACTGTACCGGAACAGCCCCAGCTAACAGGCGATGCCTGGATGCTCCGTCTATGGGGCGATCAGCAGTGCACAGCAAACGCACTGCCGTTCATGCAGAACGTCGGCCAAGGTCCCAGCAACTGCATCCAGACATTTGGCGAATTCCGGTCGTGGTGCGCGCCGCAGAATGAGTGGCCGGATTCACTCATGGTGTATTTATATGATACTGAGGACTGTACCGGCTTTCGCACTTCGCTCGATCCTACCGATGTTGGTTGTCCTGGAGAGATCCAGGCGTGGGCTGGATGTTTTGAAGATGATAACTTGAAGTCATACCAGGTCGTACCGAATGAGAGATTGTAGTCTGACATTGGCAGGACTATATCTGCGATGTGTAATTAGAACAGATAGTAAATAAATGCGTAAAGAATTGTAAATTTATTACAATTTGCACTCGTAGATTGGTGACAAATTAGAATCTCTTCATCGCTAACGTCGGGCTTCGATCCTACGGAGTAGGCCCTAGGCAAATGATCTGATCATCACAACTGAGACCGAAGATACTCAGTCACACTCTTTTCCCACCGGACCGCACTCTTGTATTTGAACATTTCGGGCGCATTTCTTGCAGTCCTACGGCTAACGTTACGCACCTTGTTATCAAGCCAGAAGGATCCTGATGTAGGCGCTGCAAATGTGAATGTGACTACTACCTGAAGAGAATCGCTGTAGCCGATCTAAAGAGGCTTAGGCTTGATATCTTGGCCAAGCTGGGTCTAGTCTCTCCCATGATTAATTGCAGAGGCCTGATCATGGAGCCTCTACGAGGAGAAACGTGACGGGATCATCAGCTGTCCGTATCCAGACTTTTACGGCTTTTTCGCCCGCTGGCTCAAGTTCGGTTCAGGTATTTGTTAACCTCTCTCAGCCCGCATCAGCATTTCTCACCCCCTGAGAACGGGCTGTAACCAATCCTTTAGTGTGGCCAGATTTCCGCTTCTTTCTTCCAAGGCCTGGTTGTGTCTTGGCCGCGTGAAAGTGACATTTGATGGTAACCCCGTGTGTCCGTTTGTCCGTCTTGCTTCTGAGGTCACCTACGAATATCTTCTGCCCTATCGCCCTTATTAGCTGTGAATGTGCGACTTTCGGTTGTGCTTCTATCAGCCACTGGCAAGCGCCCGGTTTACATCAACTTCCTGCACAGCCACAACGCCATGTCTTAACTTAGTCATTCTCAGCTCGCTCAAGATCCTGCGCAATTGCGCAAAACCTCGACAGCGTCTTTCAAACGGGTACATCTGGGCTGTCGAACCCACGGCACATCAGTCTGCACGCAACGAAATACTGGTTCAAGGTCTTTGCTTTGACGACTCAGCCTGCGACCTGCCTGCATCGCGGCGCGTCTTTGGTATCGCAGTTATCACCACATCTTCATCATTGCCGCCAGGTCGTCAGTGACGTCAGCAGTCATGAATGCTGATGTCGCAGCAGACAAGGCCGGCGCAAAGCCGGTTGGCGACAAACAGGTGTCAAACATGGGCACGGGTGCGGCATCGACAGTGAAAGTGGTTAGCTGTGGACGACTTGGATCTAGCAAGCCACTTCTACACCTCGGTCGTCCTGTCGTCCGCCCGTTGGCCATCGCGATGCTGGTTTTCCAGTGGCTCTCGTATTTCTGCGCACCTTGGCTCCGCATAGAAATGGCTTCCCCGGGCAGTCACTTGTCTGGCAGCAGCGCAATATGGGCACCGAATGGTTCTTGGGCCAACACAACGATTGACCCGCAGAGCCTTTTCTCCACATTCGGGTCATTCGAGTTTGGTGCAGGCGAGGTGGTGAACACGACCGTGTATACATCGCCGACACCAGACGATACACCGAGCAAAGATAGTGGGTCTTATGGGCCAAACAGCGATGTTGTGGAGTCTTTGAGTCAGGAAATCGATTTCTCTTGGCTAGCCATAGACTCGGGTCTTCTTATGAACATAGGTAATGCGACAATAGGCAGATTGAAGGACGCCGACGTAGACCCTACGCTGCTGGATCAAACTGCGTGGTACGACAAGCCCTTCGGGAGGTATCCAAGTCAATACTCTTTGGAAAATCACACACCAGTGCAATATCTTGGTGCAGGCACCGGGCGTGATGACCATGACAACGCCAAAGACCTAGAGCAGCTCGAACGGTCTGCATCACCAGCAAAAGCTTTTGGTATTACTGTCCATCAAAGAGGATCAGATACGGGTAAAATTCGAATACTAGAATCAGTCACTCGAATCGATACAGCGCCGGACTCCGCTAGACCAAACGTACCGCAAACCGCAGTCGATACAGAGAAGTCGCCGATTAACCGAGAGGGAGCCCCAGAGTCGCCAAGTACATCGCCAACCTCAACCTCCTCGGAGGTTAGTTCTTCTGAGGATGAAGACCACCCCATCTCCATAGCCAACAGGATGAAAGTCCTCCTTGATCGCCAAATGGGATATTTCTACTCCCTCTTTTCCGGCTGTCCCTCCCCTAGCCCCCACGTCCGTTCCCATGGCTCTGGGACCGGCGGCAGCACAAACAGTAGTCCACAGCGCCAAAATGGTGGCACATCGCAGAGTCTATCCCACAGTTCGTCCCGTGGTATCACGCCGCCCAGCCAAAAACTTTCAAGAAAGCGAAAGGATGAGGACGAGGACGAGGACGATCAGGGCCACAAGCGGCCACGACCAGGCCCGCACAGCCAACCCCATGCCGTAGACGAAGAACAACAGAGGCTGGCGTGTCCGTTCTTTAAGAAAGAACCGGACAAATACTGTCAACGGAGAACATGCTCAGGCCCTGGATGGAATACTGTCCACCGAGTTAAGTGGGCACTTGATGAACAAGCCCACAATTGCCACATAGATCGCTGACCCAGCTCAGAGAACATGTCTACCGAAGCCACGCCCTACCCATAGCATGCCCAATATGCCATGAAACGTTCGAAAATGACAGGCTCAAAGATGACCATCTGAAAAGGCCGGAACGTTGCGAATTTCGAGAGCAGCCCCCAATTGAAGGCATGGACACGACACAAAAGGAGCAACTAAGAACCCGGAAGCAGTCGCACAAGTATAAGACGGAGGCCGAAAAATGGAACGACATGTATCTCATATTGTTCCCACGAGCCGATCCGATATCCATTCCCTGTCCATGTAAGATCAATCCCCCATTCTTTAGCTCAGCCGGTACTGGACCCGAACTCTGACCATAGATGACAGACTACCAGTACACTAGCACTGGGGTTGATGACACGAAGGGCTCAGATTCCGAGTTCACTCGATACGAGCAGTTCCTACGAGAACCTCCAGTCCACGTGCGGCAAGAGCTCGAGATCCTCATTACCGAGCGTCTCAACCGTCTCGAGGAAAACCTTCGGAGCCAGCTGATCGGCACCGTGTGGGATATGCAGCTTCGATTGCTGGACATTTACAAAGCTATGCGAGCGGCCAACGCTATCGCTACCGCTCCCGCCGCAGCAACTACTGGAGGCGAGACAAGCTCTGGCAGCGCTTCCTCCAAAGCTCAACAAACTGGCTCAACTAAAGTACGCCTCAGCGTAGAAAATGAGCTACAACCGTTCCAGCCGCCGCCATATTTTGAGAATTTCGAAGATTTCAATACCTTTAACAGCATCTTCGTCGACTTCCCCGATATGCAATTTGGATCCATTGAGCCTAGCTCAGGATATGGGTTGTTCCCTTCGGAGAAGGGAGGCGGCACGTGTGCTTTAGATGGTTGGAGTGATGAGCAGGTCTTTGTTAGCGGTGCGGACGGCACCGGCACCCAGGCGCATGTACTCGTACCAGTTGCGCCAGTTGTAGGATTCATCGCGGAGGTAGACACCTGTGAGGATATTGCGGATTTCGTTGCGGAGGGCTAGGGATATCAGGACGAGCCAATTATTGCCCTATCTGTGTTACGCAATACCAAGAACGAGAAGGAATGGCATAATGTCGACTCAATTTAGGTCTGTCAGCGTAGTTTGGTTCGCCCTTGCCGTTCCTTCAGCACACTGTCTTCCCCCTTTTCTGGCACCCTGGGTACTCGAAATCCTTCCATTGACCAGGTATCAAGTTGCTTGAGCACGTCTGTACTGGTGTGCACTACACATTGCGAATTTTGTGAACACGGAGGACTGGGCAATCTCTCCAATGGGTGTGATGAGTACCAAAGCCAATTTACGCAGGATTGTGAACAGAACCTTTAGATCTTATTATTCGAGGTTGATCCTATGGATTATCGGACTAGGGGAAGTAGTATTTGCGAGTGCGAGAAGGTGGGAGCAAGAGGGTAAAAAACTGTACGCTCGATTTCGAGAAATCCTTTACAGAAGCCCCCGAAAGTTCTCCAGGTCATGGCAGAAATATGACGTAGTGGTCTTGTATCACCGTACTCCGATTCGACTCTGAATGACATTAATAATTTGAAACTGAGATCATAGACGATAGTCATTTCTGGAACATTTGGCAAAAAGAATAGACATCGCGATCAACTCAACTGCGAGTATGACCGCATCTCTTGTGAGCAGAAAATCCTTGAAGTACAATGTTAATAATAACAACGGTAACCATGTCAAGCCATCGATCAAGAAAGACGAGGTGATAGTATTAGAGATAGAGTGGTCCAAATGGTGTCCAAAACGGGCAGATAGTCTCACATCTGGCCCTTCCAAGACACTCAACCCAAGCTCAGCCTGCCTCGGCCTGAACTCTGGGCGACTCAGCTCAGAGCGACAGGAGCTCGACTAGAAAGAGAAATGGCTTTTGGTGTACTTGAGCTTCCCCTCCGAGTTAATTAGTATTGAAACAATAACTAGTAACGAGTAGCCAAAGGAAGGGATTCGGCCACTTACCCATGATACATACTCAGGGCGATTGTGGGTGATTGTTACTACTCCAAGACCTTCAGCACCAACATTCTAGCCTTGACTCCAGCTCCAGGTCGATAGTCATCGACGTCGTCATTCACAATTTGTGCCTTCCCTTCCTCAGCCAAAGCTATTGCCTTCGCCTTGTACCCACCACTTTCCCAGTAAGTATCGCGCACTGTTGCAACAACAAACCCGTCTACCTTGGTGATCCGAACAAACTCATCAAGGGCCTCCGGGCCAACATGGCCTCCCGTTAATGTGCCAACACAGACAACCATGTCGTAGGAGCTGTCCCTTAAAGAAAGACGCTGAGACAAGTCGGATTCCTCCAGTGATCGATACACTTCTGTTTTGCGAGCGATTTCAAGCATTCCAGGACTCAGGTCCAGTCCATCGATCTTTTTGGCGCCCAACTTGGATAGGTGAGTACCGACAAGGCCAGTGCCGCATCCGGCGTCTAGTATTTCAATGTTTTCATCAATACTTGGTGCGTTCAAGCATTTCATGACGTATGCGCTGGCAACGGCGGGGGCGACATAGTTGTGAGTCTCCCCAGTCATTTCCTTCTCGTAGCTCGTCGCCCATTCATCGTACAGCGAACGTGCGTCGGCAACGCTCGAGAGAGATTGGGTTTTATCGAAGTGAGACATGGCAGCCGAAATAGTAGACCTAGTATGATTGAGATAGTAAAATTAATTTAGAGAACCGAAATACCAGTGCCTTAAAGAGATTCAATAGAGCAGCTAATATCCCTCACTTCCCCGCGCTTGAATGGCCATGACGTCAAATTCGGTTACTCTGCATGACTAAATACCCACGTGGACAGGTTCTCCAGGAATCCTGAACGTCTTTGATACCGACATCAACCAAGAAATTGCTATATATTGCATTTCCCAGTGATTAGGACGATGATGTGCATTCGGCTTCAGCACTCAGGCCAATGGCGTGAGCAGACGGGGCCGGGTGAGCTTCACCTGCGGAGGCCAAAAGGGTTACAATTAAGAAGGAAATTACAATAGCTGGTGCCAGAAATATAGCTTGCTAATAGGTAATTTAAAATGGAGATGAAGATTATCATAGCTTAGAGGAACAAAATTAAATTTACCATATCACAATACATCCTCCGTATTCTCGCGGATGTGGCACGGCCCCTGCTAGTGCGATTCCTGAAGATTTACTGACTCGGAGGATCTGTGTCAGTCCTGAGCACTAGAGCCCGGGGGGGAAGGCGGCCATGGTTTGATGTTAAAATGATTTCTTGCAGCTACTTATGTTAGCCTCCTTGGACGATCAAGGACGCGGCACTTCTTGCCGTCAATGGTGGCGATCTCTGGGGCACGGTCAACGCGCTCCTTTTACCGGCTGATGCCATGGTTTCAAACTAAACCCGAGGTCAAATGGTTATGCAGGTTATATCGTTGTAGGATCAAAACATGGCCCCTGGGTTGGTGCAATTCTAAACTGGTGTCTACTGGGGACTTGGTAGAATTCAAGCGGGCGGCAAGTTAGTCACAGCAATGCGCACAGGAAATGTCGCATCAGTTGATAGAGAAAGTATAGATCATTTACCCGGATGGCTATAACTTTTTTGGTCAGTATACGTTAATATCTTACGCTTAATCAAAAGCGCAGAATGCAAGCGCAATAAGATGACAGCCTGAGCCCAAGCAACCTTGACACAGAATACTGTTCCAGCCAGGAGCAGATTGTTGGGAGAAGCCTAGAACGACCTAGTACCAACATGGGTCAAGCTAAATGGCACTACTAACGCTCAATTCACCGCTACTCTAGGCCCTCAGCAACAAACTGCAGGGGGGTTGCGGGGAATCCCGGCCCAGTCTACTCTAACCACGGTTGCGCTTGGGACAGTATAATGGATTGAGATGTATTAAGTGTTCAGGTTGAATATATACGTGAATGACAAAGCTAGTTATAGCGGCCCATAGCCAGCATTAAGTATCCAACATGTAACTTGGACTTCTCAACCTGAACATACCCCTATCCAGCACTTCAAGAAATCACACAGCCTTAGACGGTAAGACCGGTGAGGACAGTGGCAACAGGGGTCAAGATACCACCCAGGATGCTGCCGTCAAAGGACTCCAGAATAGGGGAGAGGGTGTTGACAAGGCCAGGAATGATGCCACCGACCAGGCCGGTGACAAGAAGCAGCAGGCTGGAGACTGTGCTCAAGACAGTGCTCACAATGACGGTGATCACCGGGCCAAGTCCCAGAACGCTAACAATTTCCTCGACGATTGTAACAATCTCCTTGACCAAAACGATGACAAGGTTGAGAACGTTGCTGACGTCAGTCTGGTCGATGTGGAGGCCAACAACACCAGTGAGCGAGCCAACGGCGGCGGTGAGGATGTCGTTCACGGTAGATAGGTGCTTGGAGACTTCGGTGATGGCAACAACCTTCTTGATCTCGTTGGTGTTGACCTTGGAAACAATGACCTCTGTCAAGTTATGTCAGTAAGAAGCAATAGTATGAGCTTGGGATTGGCATACTAATGGCGGAAGTTTGGGTCTTGACGTCCGACACGACGACGGTCAGAGTGTTGACCAGACCAGCAGCGTCTGTGACATCCGGAATTGCGACACCACGGGTGACCTTGCCGACGACTCCCTCGACGGTAGGAACGACTCCCTCCACAGTAGGAACGACTCCCTTCACGGTAGGGAGGACAGTGTTGAGGAGGGGGATGGCGAAAGCAGAGGAGGCCAGAGCGGCGACGGAGAAGAGGCTGAACTTCATTTTGAAGGATTGAAAAAAGAGTGACTTGGTTGAGTTGGTTAAAAGAGTGACTTGAGTGGAATGATGGTGAAGTGTGTGAAGTGTGAAGAAATGGCATACAGCTGACATCGCGAGTTTAAATATACGCCGCCAGTTCACTGCCAACATCACGGGAGGGTCTCCAAAAAGGGGTCATGGGCGACTTTCGGCAAAGCATGGCGTAGTGTAGCAGTAGTGACAAGTCCTGAGCCGATCGCAATAATAGACTAGTTTGGAGTGATTCCTTTCGTAGGGTTGTTAGAGATCGACCGGCTGATCCTATTGGTCAGTCCACGCTAGGATCCATTGAAGCCTGTCACCTTGCAAGTTCAATGCTACCCTATGACCCGTTATTTCAAAACTCACTTGTTGACATGGTTTTAGCTTGGGGTTGGTTTCTTGCAGATCGAAACGCATTGACATAGTGAGTACCGGTCAGTGTCCGGCCGCAGACTTGAGCCCGTACATAATACCCAACGGCTACACTGACAGACGAACTAGCGTCAAGTCGCGCTGGGTACCTGGATATCACGGAATTGATTGAGGGTCGAGGAAGCAGACCGCCTGGTAATGGAAGGACCATCCTTACCACGAGACACGGGCTCTAATGGAGCGGCCATCTCAATCTTGGTCGACGTCTCCGCTCTGACTGGCCAGTCGGTGACGTCTGACGAGGGTCAGTTAATTCGAAAAGATCGACTTCCCATCTCCCACTGAAACCTTAGTCTCCTTTAAGCTGGGGGAGGGGTTGCGGAATCCGTCAAGGATCCGTTGGAGATCCATCGCAGGAGACGCCATAAGGCAGGAGTAGACCTGGCACTCAGTCCTACCCCTAATTCAATTGCGGATCACACGACGGCATTAGCCATGCCATCTAGGATCGTGAGTGTTGCCACATGGACTTCTCATTCTTTGCGCCAAGATACCAAATAGGTGGTTTGTGTGGTGACTGTAGTCAGAACAAGATTTCATGCGAACCGCGGTGGCGGTATTGGCACATTCTAACCAGCCTTGTTAATCCAAAGTCTCAGTTTCATACTCTCGACTCGACCTACAGAGCACGGAAACTCAAGATGCATAAGTTTCAAGCATTTCTTTTCCAAGTGAGAACCAGAGTCCAGAGAAGCAAAGAATGCGGGAGAAATCCGTTATAATATCGGCAGTAGAGATAAAATAGTAGCTTAAGGCCGATGCTGGGAAATATTTGCGGACTGTAGAATCCCACTGACCCTCGTTTGGATTACAAAAACAGAATACGAGAATAAACGTTGTGGCTGCTGCAGCCACGCTTGCGATTATAAAAGCATGTGTAGGGTACGTGACGTTGTGTCTAATTCTTAGTCGTAGCGAGGAGACACATATGGTGCTTTTAGTCCAGAAACTAGCCAGGCATTATGAAAGTCTAATAGTCAAGAAGCACCATTCAAAATATTAGCCAGGGTGTGACAGCAGTCATCAGGCGGAGGCTGGTTGCTGTGCGCGCACCGGGTTTGAGTCTGGTCCGATTGTCAGAAGGGAGACTCGTCGTAAACGGGTATTCATTGCCAACCATGCCAGAAGGGCATTCTTTATCCTCAACAGCAGATAAAGAAGAGGATCGATATTGGCTATTGATACAGGGTGGCTATGTGTTAAATTGTGGTCCGCAAGACAAGCCAGCCCCACAGCTAGGGTAAGGGAAAGGGGCTGGGAATCTGCTGACTGTATTTATTGGGGATAATTCCCAAGCCCCTACAACAGAAACCACCGATCTTGAGAGACTCTGTCCTGATGGTTACAGCGGATGAAGCTGCAGTTGGACAATTACTGCTAGCCGCCGTGTTCACAAAGCCATCAATACAAGCTGGGCACATGTAGATCAAGTAATAAAGAGGCATCAACGCATTCTTCCTACCCTAGACCTAATGATTTCATCGCGACGAATCAGACGTATCGGGGACGATCTAATTGCATCTGGAATGAGAAGGAGAGAGACTCGAAAAGGACATAACCTTCTACGAGAACGTACTTCACTATCCAGAACAATCGGGTAAGGGACGTGACGGCATCCACATCTGATCTGATCATAAATTCTTACTCGTACAACGAGTTTCCATCCAAGCAATCAAGAACTTGCGATAATAGGTTATGCCCAGGCATCAAAGTCAAACATGCGGGGAAATTCCAGTAGCTCCTCAGTGCCAAGCGCCGAGACGCCAATACTGGATCTGTCAACTGCATACATTTGTTCAGCGGAGAAGGGCATCTCAAATGCCATCGTTCCCGGAGTCGTATCCAATTGGGGGTTTATAATTAATCTTTGCGTTTGAGAAGTCTCGAGCCTGTTGGTTTCAGGCACTTGGGTAAATGGCGGCGGAGTGACGCTGATGTGGGGGAAGTCCTCGGAAACCATTTCATCGAGCATTCGCAAGATTGAACGATGGACAACAAGCGCACGAACTTGTGGAAGTTTCCCTCGGATGCTTGTTACAGCCTTTTCAGAGATTCTGTTGATGACTCTGTTTGTTTGATCAACTAGAGGGATCTCGCGTGCCAGAAGTTCGAATACATCTCTGAGGCAGTCGGCTTTGGGCCAACGATCGGCCATAATGGCAAGGATATTTGAGCACGCCCTGAGGGCGTCAGAGACGTCAGGTGAGTGGTAATTTTCGGTGCGATGCTCTGGCGGTGTGGCCCAGAAGCAGTATAAAAGAGTGATTCCAGACTGAAATTGAACAAGCAGCTATCCACATGGTTAGTCTTGCGTCTGGACGGTCCAGGAGTCAACTCACCCCAAGCCATGCTTGCGCAATCTTGCGATCCATTTGGGACTTTCGAAACATCAGACATGCTTGGCTACTTGCCTGGACTGACCAGTCTCCAGCAGGCCCCAGGACACTCTCCTTTGTCGGCCGGTAGAGATTTAGTAACGTATAGTGATATATCATAGCAAGCCACCTATGCGAGGTATGGCCTTTGGACTGCGGATCAGAGAATGTCTGGACTCGAGATTTGTAGTTTTCCATCTCGGCGAGGATACGAATTCTCCAATCTAGAGACTCGGCAAACTGATCCTTGTAGTCCCAGCGGAGAGTGTACCCGGCAATCTCCGATTGTATCCGTCGGCATTGCAGAATGTGCAAGGAAGAGGAAACAGAGGTGAATGTCGTCGAGTCAGGCAATTCTTGGTCCGATGGCGTTTGGGCAGCTATGGACGGGAGATCATCGTCGTCTATGTTGGCGTAGAGTTTAGTGGTAATCATGGCGTCCGGGATCGAAGGTGGGATGTCAAATGAATACATGACAAGCCGGTCTAGATTATATGCAGACCAAAAGCATCGACGGCGAAGCTGGTTCTCTAGACGAATGGCTGGCGTCTTCGGTTCCGCCTCCATCTCGGCGAGGTAGAACTGCTGCTGAACACAGAAGCGCATCGTCGTTGACGCTAGCGACAGAATGCGATGTGTGGAACTTCTATGCAGTGCGTGCACTCCCAGAAGCATGTATGCCTGGGCGTGTAGAATGGGATTCGGCTGCCGCAGGACAGCAGGCAGGAGAGTGATGGCGCTTTTGTAAAAGGTGCGCGCGTCTGACTTGCCAATCCTCGTCAACGAGAGGACCAAAAGAGCGGTTGAGTAGACGAGGTTGACGAAGAAGCCCTGCCACAAGTGTGCGTTGATCTCAGAAGGTGGACATCTCTTCCACTCCGAGAGCCATTCTAAGAACGTGCCCCAATAGAAGAAGGGATATTGGCTCTGTGTGCGCTCCCGGTACGCGGCGAGCAAGGTCTCCTCGACGTCCCGAGACACACCCGCGACCAAAGATTGTGCCGGATGGATCCTGTCGCGCGGAGAGTTGAGGTGCATGCTGGGTGAGTTTTCTGAAGCCACACCGTTGTAATCATCGCGTTGCGTCGAAGGTGAAGTGATGAGCCCGGGTATCGCATGGTCTATTTCGGAATCCGAGTCGTCTCCGAGTGAAAATGTGCCCAACGGGGAATGGTGAGGGTGGGTTTGTATTGTGCTGAAGCGTCGTCCAGGGGGCGATGTGTCGATCGTGTTAGACGGCTCTGGGACTTCTAGTTGTCTCTCGTGGTTTGCGTCGCCCAGCGTGTGGTTTGGAATGGAAGTCCCAGATATCCTTTCATTGTCGTCCCGGATTGCAACGGGTCGTCCATTCGGCCTTGCGTCTTGCATGTGGTCGAGACTCTGTCCAGGGTCCATTGATTCCAGCTCAGCAATTCTCTCTTCAAGAGCCCTGATATACTCGCTGTCAATCTGTGGCCGAGGAGCCGGCTCAGTTGGTATGCACTCATCGCCAGACTTCTGGCAATTTGTGCAGGGCCTCGTATCCTCACACCGTTGCTTCCTGTGTCGACATCGTCTGAAAGATGCTTAGTACACTAGCAATTCATGGCGAAATTCAGGGACTGACCTGCAGGCGAGAACGCGCTGTCTTTTGAGCGGAGGTTCATCGCCAGTCGACGGAGAGTGTGACCGTCCGCGGGCCGTCGCCTGGTCGCGCGCGTCCATGGCCCATCACAGCCTCGCAGGAGGAGTCTTTAGCGTCAGATATCGCCACAGGCTTCCATTCCGGCGTAGATGCCGATCTTGAGGTCAATGTGAGCTGCTAATGCGTGCACCCTCTTCAGTGTTCGCCGGTTCGGGAGGGGGCAAGGCAGTCATTAGCCGGATGTAGCCCGAGTTCTTGCACGAGTCGGGTATTCATCTAAGCCGTGTATTGCAGCTAGCGAGGCTTATTATTGCAGAAGCGTTGGACCAAAACAGCCAGTCCATTCCTCAACAGGATCCGCATCTCAATTGTTGATGCTGATTGTTATTGGATAAATGTGAGTCCAGGTCTAAGTAAACAGTTGGTTAAAAGTCCGCCACAAGTCCAGATGGCAGATTTCATTCATACATAACCCATCCGGCTTTGGGCCATGTACATGCATTCATCCTCTTCTTATCGTGTTGCGCCCGCGACCCGGTGGGGCATTGTTTATCTGGCGTCATCGCGTATCTGTTTCTACTGTAAGATACGAATGGAAGTGGATATAGCTTATCAGTAGAGAGTTGGGCAATATGTAATGTCGATTATTGCCATGGTGGGAATTTGGCCGGCCTCCTCGGAAACCTCTTACGGTTTGTTGTGTCAATTGACATCACCGGTGCCGGTTTTGGCAAGAGAATACATTCATCATCAATTTAGTGTGTTTGGGCAGGCAAATTAGCCTTTAGCACGGCTTCTACATGGTAAGATTGGTTTATTCAATGCTTACACGACGTAACTAGTTGTCGTCTTGCATCGGAGTCTCTACAATTCAGTGATGGACTGCCCCGCAACTGTCTCAAAGAATGCATCTGCCAAATAACCACCACACCAGCTCAGCTTCTCAAATCCATCTGTGATGGGTTGCCTGGAGAGAGCCGGGCCCTGGATATCTCTCAAATACCCAGCAATTCCCTCTTCCGCCCACATTTTCCCAAACTGTTCCGTCACTTGATTGAGGCCTTGCAGGCTCCAGATTGGCTGAACCTGCCAAACGATGCTCATCTTGGCCAGATCCTGGGGCAAAGTCTTGACTTGTTCATCGGTAAAGCCAGCCTTGGCGAAATCGTAGTCACCTGTATATCCGAATGCGAAGAGACGTTCGGGATAAACCTTCAGAACCTCAGTGTGGAATTCCACAATGTCCTTCCAAACCGGAGAGTCCATTCGAGCCCAGGTAACGTCTCCGAGGGGAGCGGCAGCGATCGCTCGCTCAATCACGGCCTTGACGTTGGACTGGAACATGTATTGGCCCATTGCTGAACGGGGCAGCTCCCAATCGAAGAAAACTTCCTTGCTGACAGCCTTGCTCGCAATTTCACGGCGTGTAGAAAGAGAGCAGAACTTTTGCTTCCCCAGATCGGAAGTGTATGTCGCGTACTCGCTATCCGATGCCACTGCCTTGACAGCTTCGTCGAAAGTCTTGAGGCCGGCCTTTTCCTTCCAATCATCCCTCGCGGCCTTGAGATTCTTTCCCTCACCTTGTGCCGTGGCGAGGTGATCCTTCAAAGACGCAATTTTATTCGTCGCACCGAGTACGTATTCGTGATCCCTCTCATCTACCACGCTCGTGATAAACTCTGAGTGATCCGTGTCACAACGGCAGAGTAGCATTGTCTCTGCTCCCATAATGTCGAATTGCATGCGAACGGCAGTCAGCCTGTCCAGATACTCGCTGGTCGGCACTATGGTGCGACCTTGACCGACGGTGAATTTCTTCATGCCGATGGCCAGGTCATCGATATGGATCATAGCCACGCCCGCATCAACAAACTCCTTGGCCATCTTCATGGTGGTTGTTAAGCTGCCGAAGCCCATATCACCATCGGCCACGATTGGGGCGAGGTAATCCCAGTTCTCCAGCTCGGCGCGCTGTTCCTTAGGATGGCGGAGACGGAATTGCTGTTGCCTCTGGTGATGCCACAATTGGGACTTGAAAATCTTGGCTACCACCTTGGGCACAGTATCCCACGGGTAATCAGCGTGGTCCATTCCGGGGATGGCGACTTCGGAGAATCCACACAGCGCGCCGGAAACGTAAACGGTTTGCTGGGTTCTAGCCATTTGAGACACAACGACGGGATCCGTGGTTCCAAACGTTAGTTCGGTAGTAGCATTCTTTTTATGCTCGTAGAGTTGGTTCCAAAGCTTCAAGGCTTGTGTAGATGACGCCGATGATGTTGAAATGGGATTCCTTAGCGCAGCAATTGTACGTGCATTGTAAGGTCTGGGGTCAATCTGAGTTAGTCGTTGTTTTCATTAAAATTCCAGGAGTAGAGATAGCTTACCTCTTCAGGTGGGATTGACGCGGTGAACTCCATTGCTTCTCAATTGTGGAAACTTCAGCTTCGAATAGCTTCTGTTCCTCATCGAGGGAAACATTAATCTTGGGCATTTTGGCTAAGTGAGGGTTGGTTGTTGAATCTGTCGGTAAATAAACTCCCAAGTACAATGTAAATGAGCACACTCATGTGAGCATACAGGACCTGTTTTATTACCGAATGGATATCCACACCCGACATGTATCGGACTGTACACGGAGAAGCTATTGCGGTTCGGAGTCCAACTCCACAGGTTCTCAAGTGCGGGATGTGGAGTCCGACGTGTCGCACTCGCGTCTCCGATCCCAGCCAGTGCGGAGACTGCTATCTACAGATCTACTCCTTGCCTACTGTATCATTCACCTACTGTATCATTCGGTTAGGAATGAATACGGGAATAATTCAGGGAAATAATGAGATACATACCGGCCACTATCTCCTCCCGAGGATAAGAACTAGAAGCGCAACCCTGCCCTGCACGTTGGTATCAACATACGATAACAATCAATCGACACTCTGTTCAGTTCCCTGTTGAACACCTGTTTCTTCTAGACAGACATCATGCCTGAGCAGATTAATCTTCAATTAGGCTGGCCATCACCCTCCCTCTTCCCTGCGTTAGAATTATTGACCTCCGCGTCGGAAGTCTTACAGTCTCCGAAAAAGACGTCCGCAGCGCTCATTTATGGACCCGACGCTGGGTATCAACCCCTGCGACAAGCAATCGCGAGCTGGTTGACCTCCATTTACTTGCCAAAGGGATGCATCTCGTATGACCGAATCTGCATCTCCAATGGCGCGTCGGCAAACCTTGGGAATATTCTTGCAAAATTCACCGAACCAGGATACACCAAGAGGATCTGGATGATTGAACCGAGCTATTTCTTGGCCTGTCCAATCTTTACAGACGCTGGCTTCGAGGGCCGATTGCGTGGTGTCCCAGAAGATGACGAGGGGCTAGACGTTGAGTTCCTCCGCTCAAACTTACAACGCGTCGATGCGGAAGAGCACCAAGAAGCACCCAAGCTCAAGACTGGACCAAGATATGGACATCTGTATAAGCATGTCATCTACGCTGTTCCCACCTTTGCCAACCCGAGCGGCAAGACCATGTCGCTCCGACGGCGGCGTGAACTTGTGAAGCTGGCTCGCGAATTCGATGCGCTGGTGGTTACAGACGATGTTTATGACGTCTTGCGGTGGTCCGAGAAGGAAGATGCTCCTCTTTCCGAACTCGAGTCCGTGCCGCCGAGAATTGTCGATCTAGACAGGACTCTTGATGGCGGACCACAGCATGAGTGGGGGAACGCAGTGAGCAACGGATCCTTCTCCAAGATTATCGCGCCTGGTGTGAGGACTGGCTGGGCTGAAGCGACGCCTGCATTCACTCTTGCATTATCTCAAGTCGGTGCGACTCGCTCCGGCGGCTGCCCTTCGCACCTCGCAGCGACCCTTGTGTATGAGATGATCGCGACTGGCTCGCTCGAGAAACACATCGTGAATAATCTCATTCCGACGTATCGCTCAAGATACTACGCCATGTTTAGAGCCATCAAGGAACACCTGATTCCTCTCGGTTTCTGCGTTTCCACAGGGAAGCCCTACGAGGCGTGTCCCACCTCTAACGGCGAAAGAAATGGTCATTCCAAAATGAATGTGGTAGCTGGTGGCTACTTCACCTACATTACCGTCCCACAGGATCTATCGGTCAGTGTGGGAGAGTTGGCTGCCCTGGCTTTGGAAAGGTATGACTTGAAGTTTGCGTATGGTGGCATGATGACGGTGGAAGGCGACAAGGAGAGTGCCGAGAGGGCGTCCCGAGGGTTTGGTAATGGCATTAGGCTGTGCTGGGCGTGGCACAATGAAGAGGAGATTGTAGAGGGCATTCAGAGGCTTGCCCAATTGACTAGAGAGGTAAAGGCAACTTGATTATCTAAATTGATACGTTTTATTCCATTGTGAGGTTCCTTCCGGTAACCAAACATGTAATCCCACGGTTTCCTCCTCCAATATATCTGTGGCTGTTTATGGGCCTCATTAAGTGAAAGTAGGTTTTGTCACTCAAAATATAGACCTAAACCGGTTCTATTTAATATCACGTCTAGAGTAGAGTAGAACATAATTTGTGATTCTGGGCTTGGAGGATCCCGCGCAACCAAGTCGACAGTCCAACCACAATACGTGTCTTCTTTCAAGCTAAATATCAATGCCGCACTACCAATGATCTCTTGGACTCTCAGATTCCTAACTCCCCGACTCATACACTCATACACTCATACACTCAGATTGACACGGTCGTTCTTCACGGCCCAAATGACCGATCGATCTCCCAACCCAACTTAATAATCATGATTCCGACCCTTAAACGGATGGACCCACCCACAGATGGAGGCCCAGACCGGGCTCGTGATGAGCCACACGATGAGGGTGAGTACCACAGTCGAGACGGACCTGACTTGCTCCTCCTTGGGGTGGCGTTTGGCGATGACGTAGAAGATGGCGTCCAGGACGCTCGACGGGAGGCCAACGAAGATGAACAAATTGAAGAGCAGGAACAAGATATTGAGTTTACTTGAGCGCTCGTTGAAGGCCGGCACGCCCAGCGTTGTGAAGGCAAGGGGCTTGGTGCCCACGATGGTCCCGGCCACCTCCTCCAGCGGCGCCACGCCCATCAGCTGTGTGATGAAGATGAGTCCGTACGAAAAGTGCACCAAGAACGAGCGTATGGCCAGCAATATTTTGAGGTAGGTCTCTCTTCTCTTCTGCAAGAAGCTTTCCGTTCCCGGATCCTGGTAGTCTCTGTCGCATGTGACTCGAAAGAAGCGCTTCTGGACGTCGGCGGTTTGGAAATAGAATTGCACCTCGAATACAATGTGGAGAGCCTTGTTCAAGTCGAGGGCCTGGTTTTTAGTCAGTACGGAGTGTAGAGGCCATTCGGGGGTGGAATCGCGCAAGGAGGCCAAACTGACCTTGAATAACCAGCTCTCATCCCTTTTGTAACCACTCTTGTCAGCGTTGTTTTTTTTCTTTTTCTGTCCGGCTTATAATACTCACCTAGGACCGGAGGGATACTTGATATCCTCCCCGGCGTTCCGCGCTTTGCCCCAGAGCGCCCAGACGTAGATAAACACGACCAAGCTCAGGGCAGCCAGGTGCCTGGGTATGCGGCGGTGGTGAAACATGCCCGAGCCGCTAGGATACTTGCTGCAGAATTCTTTGCGCCAGACCGGGCGGAGCGGTGGCTGCTCGTGGCGGAAGTACTCGCTCGCCTCCTCCCTGCTGTAGATCCCGTCTCGCACGCACCGCAGCACGAGGGCGACGGAGATGACGGCGAGCAGGCAGCTGAGGAATACAGAAAGAATGAAGAGGACGCGCGGGCTGTACACTACCTGGCACATGCGCGGCGTCTCGACGGGCTCGGCGAGGCAGTACCGTAGCCGGCACTGCGGCACGCGGTATATACTGGTGGTGTTGGACACCCAACGGTCGTCGTCGGCCCGGTAGTGATAGCACAGGTCTCGACCCGGCATTGGGTCGAAGGTATCGGGGTGCTGGGACGCCTGCCACGCAGTATTGTGACGCTTCAGGCTACCCCTCGCCGAAACATGCGCCGACAGCGATCCGTTGGTCGCCCACTCGTTGGCCTCGGCGGGAGACAGGAACGTCACGTCCCAAGGCGACGCGTTCGACTTGTCCAATTTCAGGAACGGTGTCTTGAGCGGTTGTCTTGTATCTTTGTACGCCTCCAGATACTTGTCGGGACATAGGGCGACAAGCGAGGACGAGGCTGACTTCAGCCGGTAGCCGGGGAAAACGCTGGCAGCCAGGGCCGAGTTCGAGCTGTTGCTGTCGCTATCGCTGTCATAGTCAGTCACCAGAACGAGCGTCCTGTACCGGGTGTAGAGGGCTTCGTTGAACTGCTCGACGCAGCTAGCGCGGGAGAGGTTCTTCCAGAGCGTCGGCCCTTGGTGCAGCCGCCCAAGCGAGCGGTTCAGCCCACTGGAGCCACCGTACTCGGCCGGCCACTGCAGTTCGGGCGACGGCATGGTCACGGTCTCCTTGAGGGAGGCGTAGCGCGTCATGTTGACGCCGGCCAGGTCAAATGGCCTGCCGTCGAAGAAGTTGGTGGACACGAGGACCTCGTAGGCGTTATACGCAGGGTACTTTGTGAAAACTAGACTATTGGACCTAGTTGTCGTTAATAGGTAACTTATAAGCTGTACTGGCACGGAAGGCAACCAGACCAGAAAACAACAATAATAGCAGACTTACAAAAAGTACAAAGGTAGGGATGCGCCCAGCAGCACCACATACATGACCTTCCGGGGCCAGCTGACGTGGCAGAAACCTCTACCGGATTCGACGCCCAGGTACAGCCTGCCCTCTGACTTCTGGTACGCGGCCGGGCTCGGCGCCAGAAGACCGCTCCGGAAGTAGGCGACGATGGCGGCCACGACGCCGGTGGCGGCGTTGACCAAGAGCAGGAACATGCCCTTGCTGGTGGCCGGCGACTTCAGGTCCTTGCACATGCCGTTGGCCGTCGCCTTGAAACCATACTCGGCGGCGTTGTTTGACGGCTGGAGGCCGTACGGAAGCACCCAGAGGAAGAGCGCCAAGATGTTCTCTCCCGGGCCGCGGAGGCGCTTGCCCGGCGTGAAGGCTTCATGCTGCTGCTGTTCCGTCTGCCCGGCCGATCCTGGAGAGAACCTGTCGCGAGCACCGGTTCTGTCTTCTAGTCTGATGTCCGTAAGGAGCGGAGACGACAGAGACTCGGGCGGAGGAGATGGAGATGAAAATTGAAGTGGAAATGGCCGACGCCTATCTTGATGAGTGGGTCTGTAAGAGGTGGTTCTTATAAGCGGTCTGGTGTACATTGTGTCGGCATGAATTCGGTCTCCCACGGGGAGAAGGCTGTCGTATGCAGCGACGCAAGTAACACGCAGTAATGCGCCGAATTGTTGGAAGAAGAGCTGAGGGATGGAGAGAGGGTGAGTTGAGAATTGAAGAGAGAGAGAGATAAGAAATAAAGAAAATGATAATTAATTTTATCAAGACAGTCAGGCTCTGAGCAGGCAGCCGACCTCGGGTAACAACTCAAACAACAACGAGTGGCGTCGGCAATGTTCCCAAAGCAGTCGAAACAAAGCCCGCACAGCTTCACAGTCCGCCCAACTGTTGGGCAGTTAATTTGCCAAGCTGCGACCGTGAATTGCCCCGTCAGTTGTACACGTTGTTTGGTTGTATCATCAGACTGCGCCTGGTTGGTTACAGACGCTGCCCCTGGTCCCTTGGCAATGTGGCAATGTGGCTGTGCCATTTGGGCACATTTATCCATTTTTTCGTAATCTTCGTTTCATCAATTCACCGGGGCTATGTATCCTTGGCATTGTGCTTTTATTGCTGCATGAGAAGTATTTAGTTAGAGGGGCCGATGTTGGGGGCAGGACTGTCATGGCTTATATAACTTTTCCGGCGTGTATCGTATCAGCTGTATGCAGCAGCGCAAGCAATAACGTGACAGTCCCAATTGATGCACTGGAGTTTAATGATATCAGAGCTAGCCTGTCATATAAGCCAATACTTACAGGAGCTGCTCCTTTCAAGTCATTAGAAGGTTACGCTTTTTCCGCTCTTGATGTATGACTCTTGAGACTATCAGTGTTCCGTTGCGCCCTTAGACAAGTTGTTGCAGCAATTCTTTTCATTTCCCTCATGTTCCTTTTTTGTCCTGTTATATTTTAAAGTGCTTGGAAAATGCTTTGAACCTTTAGTCAAGCCGCCTCTTCAGCTGGTCGCGGCCGAATGCCCTCCTTTCAGCCCGAACTGTAGGGTAACCCAGACCTGTCGCCAACCCTGTCCACACTAAATGCATTTGTCCACCAAGAAAATGCGACAGGATTTACTTACAGCTGAGCCGAAGCTGAGCCGGCAAGCAAAGGCCATAGACGCGGCCACCTGTGCTATGTAAGTTACGTGTCGCTTGCGTTTCGTCCCATACTACCGCACTATCAACGAGCTATTGGATTGTTTCCCCCTTGATGGGACACAGCTACATCTACGTATACATGGCTTCGTCTTTATCTCGGCCAGGTGTGTGTGGCCTCATCGGACCGGCAAACTCCGCTTCGGAATGTCAAGTCCGATGACACCAGCTAGCGAGGGTAACAAGGCCAAGACCCAACTCCTCAGTCTAATCATCTCCACAATTATCGTTCGGGTTGCTCTCCACCCAGTGATAACGTTGGCGCAAGCCGTCAGAGCTGCGTTAGGGCCGTATCGCCTGGTCTAGATCCCTACCAAGTTAGATATCTCCCGTTCAAGGTCAAGTTTAGGTGGGTGGCCAATAACACCCGTCATGTGTATCCGGACAGGATTCTCAGTATATATTCGTAACGAGCCCTCTTTTCTCCATTCCAATCCACCTTTTCACAACTAACCCAACTCCACCGACACATTAAACTCTTCACTTTTCAACTTCTCATTGACTTTCTTGCCACCATGTCAGACGCTCTAAATGACGTCAAGCATGACCTCGCGACACCCGGCGAGCTAACCAAGTCATCTTCACTCAGCCAGGGAGACATGGGCCCTCACCATGGCGACGACGTGGACATTGCTGCCCAGTACGCCAATCAGCTCGAAGGCGAGAATGCGTATACGCGCAAGGAATGGGTGCGATTGAGATGGAAACTCGATCTGCGCCTTGTTCCCCTCTTGTGGTTCAACGTGACTCTGGGCGCCATGGACAAGGTCACCACTGCAACAGCTGCGCTTTACGGGTTCCGCGAAGACACGGGACTGACAGGAGACCGCTATAGCTGGGTCGGCAGTGCTTTCTACGTGAGTCTTCGCAAGATTCAATGCCTCGGAATTGATGCTAATTGAAGCCTTAGTTTGGCTATCTCTTCTGGTGTCTCCCCAGCGGCAGTCTGCTCCAACGGTTCCCCATTGCGAAACTCCTATTTGTCGTTCAGCTTGTCTGGGGAGTAATCCTCATTGCCACCGGATTCGCCAACAACTTTCCGACTCTTATTGCCCTTCGCGTACTCCTGGGCGCTCTCGAGGCCCCGATCGTCCCTGGCAACTTTCTCGTTCTCGGCATGTGGTACACGCGACGAGAGCAGCCAATCCGAACTGGCCTTATGTACACCGGTCTTTCCGTCTGCTTCACGGGTCCTATCGGATGGGGCATCGGATTCCTTGTGGGCGAACACCAGTGGCGCGCTATGTTCTGGATCACTGGAGCCATGACCATCGTCTGGGCCTGTGTTATCGGGCTCCTCCTTCCGGATAACCCTGTCAAGGCCAAGTTCGTGACTGAGCGCCAGAAGGCCATCGTCATCGACAAACTCCGTGAAGACCAAACCGGAGTCGAGAACAAGACCTTCAAGATGGACCAGGTTATTGAGACTCTTCTCGATCCCAAGACCTGGCTGATGTTCCTATTCAACATTTTTATCTCTATTCCCAATGGCGGCCTGACCAACTTTGCCCCTCTTGTCATCAAAGGATTGGGATACACGTCTCAGCGATCAACCCTTCTGATGATGCCAACTGGAATCATGCAGACAGCTTCTTCATATATCTGCAACGGTTGCGTTTTCCTCTGCGCCAAGTACATTCCTCACAAGCAGTGTCGCGTTGCCTGGGTCATCTTCGGCATCGTCGTTGGTCTAATCTCTGCGACTTTCCTATATACGCTTCCCTTGGATAACTTCAACGGTCGCCTAGCTGCGCTATACATGTCCTATTTCTACCTCGGACCTTACATCGTGGCTCTCGGTATCAGCACAGCCAACACTGCCGGCCACACTAAAAAAGTCACCACCAATGCGCTCATTTTCATCGCCTACTGTGTATCCAACATTGTTGCGCCCCAGTTTTTCAAAGCGCACCAGGCCCCTCTTTACTCTCTTGGAATTGCGGCAATTCTGGGCAGCTACATTCTGGCCATGATCATGATTATTTTGTACGCTACTTATTGTTGGTGGGAGAACCGGAGGAGGGATGCTATCGATGGGGCGGCCGGAGAGCGAGTCCACGCCGACACTGATTTCCGCGACTTGACTGACAAGGAGAACATTCACTTCCGATATGTGTGGTAGATTGAAGATTGTTTAGGTGTTGAAGTTGAAGAGCCTTGATCTTAAGATGTCGTACCTGAAATTTTTCATAGTTGAGAACTGAATCGATTTATTACCCTACTCAATCTGACCGAAATCGGCTTTCCGTGCTCACTGCCGTGTACAAATTAGACCTTTAGCTAATCGCACGGGGACCTCAACTTCGTTAATACAAGACTTCTTCTTCACAGAGTCGGGGAATGGGGCCATGACTCCACTTTCGAGTGTCGCGTGCTGAACATCGTTGAAGCCCTGAAACCGGGGCGCCTTGTAGTTGGCAATGGCGACTGCGATCTTCCCGATAGAGTCAAGAAACCTACAGTTTCCCAATCCACTGGGGGGTGATTTTCTACCAACATGAGCTTAAAGCCCGCTAGGCTTACATGTAATCTAGCCGCAGTGTGCAAATTAGGCCTGGTGTGTTGGTTGGCCGCAAACACTGCCCCTGATCCTTCGGCAACCGAGAGTATGAGCAATCTCAAAACGGACTAATGATATTACCTGTTTCATTAATCCATCGGGGCTATGTATCCTTGAAATCATGCTTTTATTGCTGCATATGAATTAGTTAGAGGGGCTGATTATGGGAGCAGCACTGCCACGGCTCATTTCCATCAGTGCATTTAGCCTCGCGACAGTGTCGATCGTACTTGATTAACCCCGCACTTCCACTTCAAACTGGATCAATCTTGAACTGACCACTTCCAGTTGTGAAAGAAAAGGTCAAGTCGCATGTGCGCCCTTCTGCTCCCATAGCTAACGGGTGATTTCACAGACACGACGTCAAGGCTCCACGTCAGTATTGGCGAGTATTGGCGACCATGTCAAGCGAAGATCAGAAAAAAGAAACAGGTATGTAGACATAAACACCTCCGTGGGATTGTTTTCTTAATCGTATTAGACACATCAGACCTAGAGGTCGCCATCCCTTCCGAAGCGGATGCGAGATATTTGAGGGATATCCAAACCTGGAATGCTTCCCTGCGCCGTTATATAATATGGATGTTTATTGGGAATTTATTCCAACTTTATTCACTTGGCTGGTTTATATATAGTAATCGCTGGAACGGTTGGGGCAATGCGATGCTTGACGATAAAATAAGGGTGATGAACCCTTTTATTATGCTTGTGTGGCTCGGTATGCTCGCTCGGTATTATAGATCCCTCTAGTCTTCTCTAATGAGAGACAGCAATTAATATGGGAATTATCCTGAGATGAAACTCATGCGAGGTCTTAGTCAGCATGGGTGTGCTGGTGGAGAAAATGCCGCAGATCCGTGGTATAATGTGTTCTGTAATAATGGCAGTAATTGTTACAAAATCCATGCTTAAGTAACCTGCCCCCAGATGCCACATCGGCCTTACAATCTAGTTCTTCGAAAAGAAAGAAGAAGCAAGGCAAGGACAAATCAAGCGTAGAATGTCTCACCGGCACTCGTGTGACCGCTGTCGTCAGCAAAAGGTGCGATGCGTTCGAGATCAGTCTCAAGGAGCTTCCTCGGGCATAACTTCCGTTGCTCGGTGCGAGCGGTGCACGAAAGCGGCCGTGGATTGTGTTTACAGCTGTATGTGTTGCTCCATTCTATCCAAACCATCGGGCTTTGGCTATTTCACCTAATTGACACCATGCCATCCTACGACACAGTGAGACAAAGCTACAATCGTCCCTCTGCTCAGTCCTCGGTTCGAAGAGACACCAATGGCGACCCTAATAACCCGAGTAGCTCGTCGTGGTTCGCGCAAGGTCTGGGCGGCGTGTTCTGTCCGTTGGCCCAGGGCTCGGGACCCGACTTTACCGACATGACGGGACCATTTCCTGGCGTTGGTCATGGCAGGGACGCAACCCTCCAGCTAGTTTCTCCATCCTCGCAGTTGAACTTGTCGACATCACCATCGGCGGCAGACGCGGTCGGTGAGAACCGGGACGTCCGGGCCATTTCCACCAGCCCATCAACCATCGACGCCCTTTCCTCGCAGCTGATGGCCCTGAGCCAAAGGGCCATGCAGGCTACGCGCCGTCTTGTCCATCCAGGCGGCGTGGCCCCGACCGTGTCATCGCCTGAGATGAGCGAGATGTTCGAGGACGCAAACGCCCTAATACGCATCATGAACAATATCACCGTGGACTCTTCGGATGACTACGGGCTGGTATTCTTAGCCCTCGCTTCCCACCAACATCTCCTGGCCCTGTTCAGATCCATCTGCGAGGTCATACGCCAGTGTCTAGAAACCATGGCCTCGGGCAACGAGTGCCAGGAACAGCAGCGGGGCCTACACCATAGTGACGCAGGGCCATCCTCAGTGGCCCAATTCGTCATGGTCCTCCAGCTGCTGCTGCATCTGATCGACCGCATGGACCGGAGCCTCCAAGTCAATAAACTAGTGGATTGCGACTTAGAGTCATCCGACAGTACTCAGGTCACCCCCAACGCGAGTCCTCCATTGGTCGAGGGAGGAGTGAAGAATAGAGCAATAGGAAGCCCCCTACCACATGGCAGCCTTCCCATCGTTGCGCAGTCCATCGTTATGTCAATACCAGACGCGCACGAGAACCTCAGGCAGGTCATTCGGGAGCTACAGACAAAGATAGAGCACTCGGAGTTTCAATAGCGGAATAGAGGATGGGTGTCAGGACCACATGGTGGATGTCTTTATGCTCTATATGTACAGACAGAGTAGCTTACACGTGGGTTCTCTCCTTAGGCGATTGATATAGTGACCAGGACTGGCGCCATTTACGTGAATATTCCATGCACTGAAAGGATATCCTAGCTATAACGCTACCTCCGTACTTTATTATCCCCGCCCGAGTCGCATTGTCTTTTCTTTGAGGCCAACCACAGTTCAAACTTGACCCCTGTCCCGTCGCTGAGCGGCTTGATGTTGCCCCGAATTCTCCGGCTTCCAGCAATCTTTTTTTGAGCCCCACCACCGACTCCGAGCGGATCGATTTTGCCCCGATTGCTCCAAGAACCAACATGGAATACTCGCGCCTACACCCCCTGGCTCCGACTCAATTAATATTGTCCCGACTCGCTTTCTGACAAATGTCTACTGCTGATCACGAAATTGCCTTGAGCTATGTATTTAAATACTCGTTTCTTTCCGCCGTCAAGGAATCAGCGATAAAACACTATTCTCGCCGACCCTTCTTACTTGAACCTGCTGGGATAATACAAATTGGTTTCTCGCCTTAACAATGGCTTCCACAGACAATGCCGAAATGGCCACTTCCACGCACGACAACCGGACCGATTCCGAGAAGGCTGCCCAGCTGGAGTCCGCTCCCGGCAGCGAGACTGAGCGGGACATGGAAGACGCCAGGGAACCGGTTTCTGGGGACAAGACAGACGACGCCACTTTGCAGGATGCAGGTCCCCCTGATGGCGGTACCGCTGCATGGCTGGTCGTCTTGGGAGCATGGTGTTGCTCCTTTTGCAGCCCTGGTTGGATCAACAGTATGTGTTTTCTTTTTCCGGGTGCCTGTAGGTGACATCCATGAACGTCACGACGGCTAACGATCATGCTCTCTTACCAGGCATGGGCACTTTCCAGGAGTACTACCAAGTCGGACCTCTACACAACTACTCCAGCAGCACGATTGCCTGGATTCCGTCGCTCCAGCTCTTCTTCCTGTTCGGCTTGGGGCCCATCGTCGGCAGAATCTTCGACATCTACGGACCGAGACCGCTCATCATTGGCGGGACCATCTTGCACGTCTTTGGGCTGATGATGGCATCGTTGGCGAGGACGTACTATCAGTTCCTCTTATCACAGGGCGTGTGCAGTGCAATTGGAGTTGCGTGTTTATACTCGCCGGGTAGGTTCAATGTATCACCTCTTTCTTGGAATGTATCAGGCTGACTGTATCCTGCGCAATGAAGCGCTTACTACAATAGCAACCTGGTTTGACAAGAAGCGCGGAGCAGCCATGGGGATCATGGCAACAGGCTCATCGGTCGGCGGTGTCATTTTCCCCATTATGATCAGCCGCATGATCAAGAGGAACGGGTACCCCTGGGCCTTGAGGGCAGCGGCGTTTCTCATCCTCGGTCTCCAAATCATTGCCTGCTTCACAGTGCGCCAGAGGACAAAGCCCGCTCCCAAGGAGTTTTCCGCCAAGCGTTTGGCTGCCCCGTTCAAGGAGTTCCCGTTTGCCATCTTGCTGCTGGGCATCTTCGTTCTGACCTATGGCATGTACATCCCCATTGACTATCTGCCATCACAGGGTTATCAGGAGGCGCACATGTCGGAGGACATGTCTCAATACTTGGTGGCCATCTTGAACGCTGCGAGGCAAGTTGACACCAGCCCCATTTCTGTCTTTTCCAAACGCTACGGGACGCTGACAGTTCCACGCCAGTCTCTTTGGCCGTCTGGGTGCCGGTTATGGGGCCGATTTGATCGGAAGATGGAACATGTTCATCATCGCCTGTGTCGTTTCTGGAATCTCCAACCTCGCCGCTTGGATCCCCGCCAAGACCTCCTCCATCACCATCGGCTACGCCATCATGTTCGGTTTCGCCTCAGGAGCCTTTGTCTCTCTAGTCGGCGCCCTCCCCCTCTCTGTGTCTCCCGTGCCCGAAATCGGCTACCGGATGGGCGTAGTCTTCCTTGTCATCTCGATCCCCTCTCTCACCATGGCGCCCATCGGCGGAGTCATCCTGCAACATGCGGCCAACAGCTGGCTGGACTTGAAGATCTTTGCCGGTGTCATGTGCCTTGCAGGGTCGGCAATTATCCTCGGGTCGAGGCTGCTCTATACCGAGAAGCGATTTTTCAAGGTGTTTTGAGGGCGAAGGGCGCCTTCATGAAATCGCTGACGGAGGCGAAGGAAGTCAGAGGGCTACTTGGGCATGAGACGGTTAGATCTGGAGCTGGGGATATTTGAATTTTTGATCATCACCTGCTTCCAATACGGACATAGTCCTGCAATACTATCGCTCTTACTGATGCACTCCACAATCCCCAGAACGCTTCTTTACAAAAGCAATACGATGAGAGCCAGACCAGAGCAGAATGTACATTCGTTGGGAGTCTACTTCAACGACAAGCTCATGTCGAGAACATCTGTTGGAAATCACTGCGATGTAAATACAGATGATGAGTATTGTGCACCCTCTTGGTCTTCGCTCTCGACCAACGTGGCTCCCAGGATGAGATTTCCTCTTCTGTTCTTCCTGGCAAGGCCAAAGCTGCAAGCCGACATCACCGCAACCAGTGGCGTTATTGCCATTGTTGACCTGGGTAGATAATTAATTACAAGAAAAAAAAGAAAGTGCATACGTACAGTGAGTGCTTTATTCTTTACGAATAATACCGCAACAACTCGTTAGAAATTGTTGTCACCAGCTCGCCCAGGTTGGTTCCTTCAGCGGCCCTCCATCCGCGAATGAACCCCCCTATCATAAATGGGAAATAGTGCTAGAGACAATTTATCCTAGTTAGCAGGCATAAAATACCTGCGGGGAACCTTGCTAGTCGGCTCGGGGCCAAGTCTCCATTTCACGCTAAGATTCGTATCTTTCGGACTCGAGTCCGATTCGCAATCGGACTCTACTGTGCGACGTCGGTTTGCAAGGCCTACGCCAGTGAGATGGACTCTCAACGCCGTTGCGCAACGTCAATGACGGCTTCGCACTCCGCTTTCCGCATTTAGAATATTGTCCAGGGCTCTTCAACAATAGACAGATCTTGGATAGGTTTATCTAGCTTATTAAGAACAATCGCTTTCATGATACCGTCTTGGCTCGCTCAATTGTTCATTCACCACGGCATTTGCGCTTCACCCTTCACTATGTCACCCACCAGCACTCCCACATCTCGCATTCGCATCGCCATAGATCGGGGTGGCACATTTACAGATTGTCTCGGAATTGTGCCCGGAAAGCCAGATATTCTTGTCAAGCTGCTGAGCAATGACCCAACCAACTATGCCGATGCTCCGACCGAGGGCATCCGCAGGATTCTCGAGTCCGCGACGGGATCTTCCCTTCCCCGAGGAGAGCTGATTGACACAAGCGGTATTGAGTCGATTAAAATGGGCACGACGGTCGCGACAAATGCCCTGCTGGAGCGAGCCTCAACGCCTTGTGCTCTCGTGGTAACAAGAGGCTTCAAAGATCTGTTGCGCATCGGAGACCAAACTCGTCCAAAGTTGTTTGATCTGAACATCCGGAGGCCTGAGACTTTATTCCGAGACGTTCTTGAGGTTGACGAGCGCGTGACGCTCCATGATTCATCCGAGGACGCGACGAGTCTGGCCGACCCTGAAAGACATGCGTTTGGCCTCAAAACAGGCATCGGAGGGGAAGCCATCCGAATCTTACAACCCCTAGGTAATTCCAAGTCTTTACTTCTAACAAATTTCAGCTATGCTAACATGATGCACAAGATATTGAGGGTGCGAGAACAGGACTACAGACTATTTTCGACAAGGGTGTGAGGTCACTAGCCATCACGCTTCTTCACTCATACACCTTCCCTGATCATGAGCTTCAGCTCGCCAAAATCGCAGAGGAAATTGGATTCACCCAGATATCTCTGTCCTCGCAGATCTTCCCCATGATCAAGGCCGTGTCAAGGGGCTACTCGGCCACGGCGGATGCATACTTGACTCCTCTGACAAAAACATACATCGACAGCTTCCGCCGAGGATTCGTGGGCAATCTTGAAGATGCCAACGGCGCTCGATGCGAGTTTATGCAAAGCGACGGTGGTCTTGTGGGGTGGCAGAGCTTCAGCGGGCTCAGAGCTATCCTGTCTGGTCCAGCAGGCGGCGTGGTGGGATTCAGCCGAACGTGCTATGACCCGAAACGCCGCAAACCAGTCATTGGATTCGATATGGGCGGAACGAGTACAGATGTCTCTCGATATGCCGGAAGTTTGGAGCACACCTTTGAGTCTATCACGGCTGGCATTACCATTCAGTCTCCCCAACTCGAGGTGGACACTGTTGCAGCTGGTAAGTCATTCCCGCATAGTAACAAAACTCTCTAACTTTCGTTAGGTGGTGGAAGTATTCTTTCCTATCGAAATGGGCTATTTCTTGCCGGCCCCGAGTCCGCCGGAGCCCATCCCGGTCCCGCGGCGTACCGCAAAGGCGGACCTCTGACGGTGACGGATGCAAACCTGGTCCTCGGCCGTTTGCAGGCCAAGTATTTCCCCAAGATCTTTGGTGCCGAAGAGAACGAGAGCTTGGATTACGAAGGCTCCAAGGCGGCCTTTGAAGAACTTCTGCAGAAAGTCAACAAGGACCTTGCCGCCACCGGTGCGCCAGCGAAGAGTGTTGAAGAGCTAGCCTTGGGGTTTCTGGAGGTGGCCAACGAGGCCATGTGCAGACCAATCCGGTCTTTAACTGAAGCCAAGGGCTACAGGGCTTCAGACCATGAACTTGCCGTATTTGGCGGTGCAGGCGGCCAGCATGCTTGTGTAAGTACCAATGTACGGTGTGATGCACCAGACACTAATGAGAAGTAGGCCATCGCCGCTAACCTTGGTATCAACCGAATTCTCATCCATCGATATTCATCCATTCTATCCGCCTATGGCATGGCGCTGGCTGATCTGGTCCATGATCTCCAACAACCATACTCTGCGGTCCTTGGAACCGAGATGGACGAACTAGACTCCCGATTGAAGGAGCTGGAAAAGTCAACGGAAGAGAAACTCGTCTCGGATGGTGCTTCTGTGGACTCGCTCACTTTTGAACACTTCCTAAACCTTCGCTACATGGGATCTGATACCACTTTCATGATTCCCAGGCCTGAGAGCGGTAGCTGGGCGGATGCATTTACAGCCGAACACAAACGACAGTTCTCCTTCATCATGGCCGGCCGAGAAATCCTTGTCGAGAATGTCCGAGTCAGAGCGACAGCCCAGAGCTCAGCTGTTGAGCCAGTGTTCAACCTCGAGAAGCAGTTGGCCGAGTCTCCGACGGCGGCAGCCTCCAAAGACAAAGTTTCCGACCATGTTCGACTCTTCTTCCAACAGGGATGGATGGACGCCCCTTTATATTTCCTTGGATCTTTGGAGACTGGTGACATGGTTCAAGGACCAGCCATCATTCTCGATGACACACAGACCATCGTCGTGAGCCCAGAAGCCAAGGCCATTATTATGAGCCGCCATGTCGTCTTAGAGCTCTCCCGCAAAACATCTCAGTCGGCTGTGGAGAATATTTCAGTATCCGAAAAGAAGGTCGACCCAGTTCAGCTCACCATCATGGGCCATCGATTCATGAGCATCGCCGAGCAAATGGGACACGCTCTACAAAAAACCAGCGTGTCGGTTAACATCAAAGAGCGTTTGGATTTCAGCTGCGCTCTTTTTAGTCCGGATGGTCGACTGGTTGCAAACGCACCACACGTGCCAGTTCATCTTGGATCCATGGAACAAGCCGTCATGTATCAGCACGAGAAATACCTAGGCCAACTTCGTCCCGGAGATGTCATCGTTGCCAACCACCCTATTTCTGGAGGAACTCACCTGCCGGACATTACTTGCGTCACACCCGTCTTCGACAGCGCTGGCAAGGAAGTAATCTTCTACACCGCGTCAAGAGGTCACCACCAAGAGATTGGCGGCATTCTCCCAGGATCCATGCCAGCGGGAAGTGTCGAGCTTTTTGAAGAAGGTGCGGCTATCATCTCGGAATTCCTCGTCCGCGATGGTGTTTTCGACGAAGAGGGCATCACCAAACTACTCCTGGACGACCCCGCCCAGTATCCAGGGTGCTCCGGTACGAGGAAGCTCGCCGACAACATTAATGATCTGAAAGCGCAAGTGTCAGCAAATGCCAAGGGCGCTGCTCTGGTCTCGGAGCTCATTGCGGAGAACGGACTCAGTACGGTCCATTTCAACATGCACGCCATCACAAACAATGCTGAGGCCTGTGTGCGCGAGTTCCTCCTTCGAACACACGCGGCAACAGGAGGAAAACCGCTGTTCGCCCTTGACCACATGGATGACGGGACTCCTATTCAGTTAGAAGTAACCATCGATCCTGAGACCGCCTCGGCCCATTTTGACTTCAGCGGCACTGGCGAGGAAGGATACCATTCCTTCAACGCGCCCCAGGCAATTACGCGTAGTGCAACGCTATATGTCCTGCGATGTCTGATCAACCAGGACATTCCTCTCAACGAAGGCTGTCTTCGTCCACTACAATTCACTATTCCAGAGGGTTCTATTCTTAACCCGTCGCCTACGGCTGCTGTCTGTGCCGGCAACCCCATCACCTCGCAACGTGTTACCGACGTTGTGATTAAGGCATTTGCCGCTTGTGCTGCAAGCCAAGGCGACTGCAACGTGGTCTCATTTGGTATTGATGGCAACATCGATCCTACTACCGGGTCGCTCGTTCCAGAGACTGGCTTTGGGTTCTGCGAAACCATCTGCGGCGGCAGCGGTGCAGGCGACGGGTGGCACGGCACCAGCGGCGTCCATGTACACATGACCAACACTCGCATCACGGATCCAGAGATTCTTGAGAAGCGTTATCCGGTTGTACTTCGTGAGTTCAGTATACAAGACGGCTCCGGCGGTCGGGGTAGATGGAACGGCGGCAACGGCATCCGGCGTGCATATGAGTTTGGTCGGGACATGGGATGCTCTATTGTCAGCGAGCGCCGAGTCACACGTCCGTATGGAATGAAGGGTGGCGAGGATGGTAAATCTGGCGTCAACTATGTCGCGAAGGGCGGCAAGAATGGACGATGGTGCCGAGTTGGCGGGCGGAAAGATTTCAAGGTTGCCAAAGGAGATTGGTTTGTAATCGATACACCCGGCGGAGGCGGATGGGGTAGTCCTACCGAGGGGGGCTCTGGCGCAGAGGAGGTTAGGAGAAATGGTGTAGATAGGACATTTGCGACTCAGTTCCAACTAGCTCAAGAGACGAGCTTTTGAGACTTGGATTTATCATAGAACTTTAAGGGAATTGATAGAGACGCATGACACTTTTGATACAGACGCATGACTCTTACAGACGCATGACTTTTACAACCCCCGATTGGCTAATCCCAGCTCTGACCCAGAAATACTTTTTGACAAAGGCGGTGTGACTTGCTCTCTTAACACAACTGTATTTTTGCTTGAAGTCTCTCTAGTGCTCTATAGCGCAGCGTATTAGGGCGTCTTAAAAGGTCTTGTTATTAATGAGAAGATTCTCGCTCTATTTGTGCTCGTCTGACGCTCTACTTTCTAACCACAATAGAAGGAAGAATATCCTCATCGCTATCAACTAGCTCCCATTGACTCCTTGTCCTCCGGATGCTAGGTTGCGTCCTCCGACCGCTGGCACGAACTCCTGTTGTTCTTCCAGATCCAAGGGTAGCTGACTGACTACGTGTCTGGCGCTGGGTCGATATGCTGACCTGAATACTGGCCTGCGTGTTACTCGCTTGGCTTGCTTCTTGCGAAAGCCTGGCGAGTGTGGATTTATTTCGACTTCCCGCTGGCCGACCTCGTTTACGCCCTGTGGGCTGGCTTGCCGGCAGGCTGGTCAATTGACTCACGCTTTGGCTGTTCCCGCCGATAGCCAGTCTCGCAGGCACAGGCTGCGAAGTGTTCTTAGGCCTACCACGAAGAGCAGTGGCAATCTTAGGGTCAAGAATCCGGCGGTATGGATCTTGAGATGATGACTCCCGTAGTCGCCAGCGTTGATGGACATCATATTTGGTGAAAGGCGTCGCAGAACCCAGCTTCGCGTAGACTTTATGACAACAAGGTATCCCGAGCTCGATAGAAACCGAGCAGTTGTCGTTACAATCTAGGAGAGGCTCCGGAAAGGGATTCTTACCGGTAGGCATCGCCTTGCGAGCAATACGGTATTGCTTGTTGATTAGCCCAAGCCCCTTTGATGAAATCACTGTTCGTAATTCACCCAGATAGTCTCCGCTCGACCCTAGGTATTCGCGGGCGGTAAGGACCTCATCCTGCGCGCAAGCATCCTTAAAGTCACGTTCTTGATCTCTCATCATGTCCTGCATCGCCTCGACAAGTCGATATAAGTGGCTCATACCGTTCAAGAGATAGCTCTTGATGTTGTTGTTGCTCGCTTCCGTGCCGGAGGTGACGCGGATACCAAAGTTGCGATACTTGCGGATGAAGCAGCGTGCCCACTGGGCCCTAATAGGCAAGTACGTCCCATGGAGATAGCGTAAGATAGCTCGCTGGTCATCAAACTCTTTACAAAGGTCTCTCCATGCCTTCTCATGGGCGTCCTCGGTCTCGGCGAAGAGAACAAGCTTCCACATTATGAGAACCCCTCTGTAGCTATGAGGAACCTCATCACTAGTCGGTGCGTAGACGAGCTGCTTTTCTGTAGCGCTGAGCTCAGTCTGTGTCTGAGGGGTAGAGTTATCCCACTCGCTATTGTCAGGACTACTGCTGCTCTCCCAGTTCTTGACCCACTTCTGCTTCGACTTAAGCAAGACGTTTGAATTAATATGGTAGATGCATAGTTGTTGCTGCACGTCAGGAAATTGATCGTTGAGGGCAGCCTTCATCGAGTTATCGAAGTCGGTGATAATGACATCGGGCTGCCTAATAGAGTGTTGCTCTATAAGTTGGCGAATGCTCTCAGCGAGGAACTGAAAGCCTTCTCTTCTCTCATTATCAATCAGGCCGAAGCCAGCGTTGAAGACGGTCCCAAGACAGGTCTGGCCGGTAGCTTGAAATAAGGGAAGTTTGAATCGGTTGGTGCTGTATGTGTTGTCGAAGCTGAGGACCTCGGGGAACCGCTTCCACATCTGGATGCAGTAGGGAAATGTCCAGACAAGACCAAGCAGACGGTTCGGTTGATCATCGGCCCATTTAACGAGGTAGGGAATCTCCATCTCGTCGAAGAGCTTGATCAATGCTGCAGTAGGTGTATAGCCATTTAGCTTATCTCGGTTAATGAGTACGCGGGCGTTATAGATATCCCTCTGAGTAAATGTTGATTCGGGATGTTGCTCTTCGACTATAGCTCGAACATCGCGGGCCCGGATGCCGACTCAACGGCTTGTCGACTCAATAGTTGCTCTGACTGGTGTAGTAAGTCGTCTGTGAGAAGGGTGCGCAGATGATGTGATACTAGGTCTATGGTTGTGTTGACTGTATTCCAGGTTCGGATGTTGCCGTAGAAGCCACTTGCCCTCCTCTAGAGCCTCTGCAATCACCACCCACTTACAACCACACTTACGGGACTTCCGCTTCCGAAGACCAACACCTTTGCTAGCTTCTGGTTCCCCATAGCGATCGCATCGGAGTGATAAACGGATCTTTCTTCCCTTATATGAATACGTATTATACTTAGAGATGCCGAATCCATTTATTTTAGCAAACGAGGTTACTGACTCGATGAGTGCTTCGACGGTTGGGAATGGGTCGCCTGGGATCGGTGGGTTTGGGATCGGGTCTGGGATCGGGTCTGGGGTAGGCGATAATGATATTGATTGAGGTAGTGATACTTGCGGAGGCCGGCTTGGTGAACCTCGAGGCGGAGAGTATGGGGGAGGGGATTCGTAGGCGTCTGAACTAAGTGGCGACCAGCTAAATCTCTCTCGCCATGCGCGTACTCGTTCGTATGACCGGGCAAGGTCAATAGTCAGTCTCCGGCCCTCTCCAATCACCTCGCGAACCACCTTCATAACGGATTCGAACTCGGCTCTTGTTGCGGTCGGGGGCTGTTGGATAGACTCTGGTGGGTAGTTGGAAGGCAGAGGATCGATTTCAGGCCCTGGGATAGGGGCTCTGACTCGCTGGTGTCGCATTCGCCTCGATAGGAAATCATTTTGAAGGTAAATCTCGTGATCGAAACGTAGATCCCATGCAGGCTCGTGGAGGCCCTGCGAGCCATGGGGCTGTGGAATTGTTGAGAAAGTCTGTAGATAAGATACAAAGAGATTGCCCAGTATATCTTCATCGCCAATTCCATAGTATTTACCGATGCTCGTCGCGGTACTGCTGGTCGCAGTGCTGCTAGCAGAGGGTGGTCGGTTCGTAAGTAGTGGAGGGCTAAAACAGGGTTGTTGGCTTGTTCGTTGTCGTTTTTCGCGGTGTAATTGATCAATAGGGCTAGAATTTCGCGGCCTACGAAGCCCTCTACGTCGTTCAGACGGTGCTGGTCTTAGTGAGAACATCGTAGAGATAATAAAAGTTGTCTGTTTAAAGAAAGATGACGTGTCCCCGCGTATGAAGGTCGAAATGTATCAAGGTGTGAACGGCCTCTAGTAGCTGGATTCCAGCTATCTAGTCCAGGATGCTATTTCCATCAAAGATGAAGAAGAAAGAAAGAAGTTCCTAAGTGCCCCTGAGCTGTGGAACGATTTCTCATCCCTGATGCGCACGAGCCGAGTACGTCTTGCGGCACCGCCGCAAGGATATGGGCCCTGGCCCGTGACACAAGGTACTTAGAGTATGGGCGGCAGAATCCTAGTGTACTAACAAATATAATTTTGACGAATCATAGCTCTAGAAAGTCATGCGTCTGTAAGAGTCATGCGTCTGTATCAAAAGTGTCATGCGTCTCTATCAATTCCCAACTTTAAATATTATATTGCTCAATTAAATATGATGCACGCGACGAGACAACTATTGATTTGAGATTACAGAGTCAAATTTGAACAGATAAGATATGAGGCTATCTACTCTGTGAAACGGGACTAACTCCGTTAATGTTATCAAAGATTCTCCCGCCCAGGCACCCTCTAGCTTGACAGCAAGGAAGCTTGCAATGTATTCAGCGGCGCCACAACGGCTGGCCCTATTCGGTGGGGTTAACAAGCGAGCTGTGATATGAGAAGGAGAGTCTGGCATACACTTCATTTCTTGAGGCACACTGGGATAGGCACTTCCGGTTCACGGGGAATTGATGACTGAAGACCCAAACGGCAGAATACTAAGGGTGTTCTTGAGTAAAAGAATTACCAAAGAGTAGCATCCAAAGTTCTCTAATATCTATTCTCTCATAACTTGGAAAGTCACCCAGGTCTCGTATTCCCAAAACGCCACGCGCCACGCGACAGCGCTAGCAGATGGCCTAAATTGCTTATTGATGATCTTTCCACTAGACTCTCGAGACTATTGATTCGCGCATCCAATGCGAGACTAGCACTGAAATCGAAAATGGCCTAGTCACCGTCTGGCCAGATTACTCTTGCTTATTCGGCAGTAGTCAGGGGTATATAGAGATAGAGCCAAGCCCCGTCCTTCCAGTTCTGTGATTCTCTCGTAGTCAAATCTCAATATTGCGGCTTCTCTCTATCTCGACGACAAACGACAATGCCCTCGACCAAGGCCGTCGCCATAGCCGTCACGGCGCTGGCTGCTTCTGGCATCAACGCAAGCCTATGCAAGCCGGAGACGACAACGACCACGCCAACCGAAACTCCGACCACCACCCCGACCCCAGCCTGCGACACGTACGGGGTTCTTGATGACATCCCCTCCGAGGTTACCGTCTGTGGCGCGTATCCTGGCACTATCACTGACGGGGTCGTCATCTCCGACAGCCCGGCGTCGTCGTTCTCGGATTGCGTCCAGAGATGTGTCGAATCTGACAAGTGTAAAATATTGTCCTACGATTTCCCTGGCAGCGAATATTACTGCCGCCTCTACTCCGAGTATACCCTCACGCCAGAGACGGAATATAACCAATACTACGAGCGGCCATGCCTTGGGTGTTCGCGAGGCCGTGGAGGGGGCCGCGGAGGTCGACGTCGCTAGATGCTGTTGGCGTTGATATTTTTGGCAATCAAAGTCATGTCTTCTGCAAGGGGGGAGTTTTGGTCGGTTCAAGGATGATTCCCGAGTCTATTTCTGTGTCTAACGCATTTGGTCTGCAGCAGTGGTAGCTGGGCCGACATTGTTTAATGAGTATATGCGAGGCTCTGCTATCTCATAGCTATATCCGCCTCGGCAAGGTCAAATCAGTTGTTCGCCTAGTTGCCTGTTTACACGTGCTCATCAAAACCCTGTTATTTCTGTTGGATTTTATTACGGTCTAGTGACGATGAGAGTGAAAAGTCGATACTGCAGATTCGAGTAACGAAATGACAGTAGTAATAATGCATGATCTCCTTACGCCATGCTATTCAGAAGGTAGCCACTCCTGAGCCAGAGCGTAGGTTACTAAATCTAATATTTTGATTGTGGGAGAAGTCTTTATTGCGGACCACACCCGTCCGTAGGGTAGGGGCTAGAGGGATAAGCGATGAGAAACGGCAGCAGAAAAGCTATTTCCTGAGGGTAAGAGATACTAGGAGCAATTGATCAATTATCTCTGAATCTCTCTAAAAGGAAGAAAAAGGGAAATATCGATAGGATCCGCTGCAACAGCTATAGTAGAATGGGCGTACTGGGACTAAAGATGTCAGATTAATTAAAGAAAGAAAAGGCGTGCAGTGTTATTTTTCAAGCAGACTCAACGCCTTAAGTAGGGAACTCCTAGCTAGCTGGAGGTTTTCCCTACTGTATTAAACTCCAGGTGGACCGATGGCTCCATCACAATATGTAACTTACTATCGGCGAGGGTTATTTATTAACGCTACTACACTTCAGGGTAAATAGTGAAGCGCCCAAGGGGGAGGCCAAATTTAGTTGAACGCCTTCGGTGCCTCCAGTCTGTTTTTTTTACTCAAAAATTACCCAACATGGATATTGCCTACGAAGCGTCCCAAGAAAATAAATCACAGCACAGTGAGGGATGGACTTGAGTTTGTGATGATAAGAATGGATAAGAATGGATCTGACTAATGTATAAGACCGGGTCAGGTTTGTTCCGGAAGCGAAATCGATGTCATAGTATTTGGTGCATAGGTTATCGGGGATCAACCACGTTTCGTCCCTCGATGCGATAATTGACAGTTTGATTCCTGCGGCCTGAGTGAACGCCCTCGTTCACGAATGAGTCAAAGTACTTTTGAACCAACAACTTTGTAACCAACAACTTTGGAACCAACAACTTTGGAACCAACAAGGACCCCACATAGAGGGGCACTCGACATAACTCAGGCCCAAAGAGAATGGTTTAGGCTCATCTAGATGGAGTCTTCTCCCCTGATTGATTGATTCCTGTCATCGCAGCTTCCTGATAAGGTCAAGCGAGAGCTGCTGCCTGGACTGGACATGGATTGGGTTCCATCAGCCAGGATTTGGACTCGGCGATGGTGTGCTTCATACTCCGATGCACCGAAATGGCCGACGGAAACCGACTTGCAACCAACACTTATATTCTCGCGGTTTTCGACAGAATCAGACAACGCATTCTTGGTGTTGGTTACGTCCAGCTGGTTATCACTTTATTTATTAGGAAAGCTGTTAAAACCACCCTCCATGGCGTCCAACGAGCAGAACGCCGCCACCACGGATGGTATCGTCGCAATTACACATCCAGACGTGGAAATGGCTTCAATTCCAATACCGCAGTCCAAAAATAACGACGACCCGTATCTTGTGGTTTTCAACCCCGAATACGATGCTGAAAACCCCAAAGACTGGCCAACCAGCCGGAAGTGGGCCGTCACTGATGTTCTCTCCGCAACTGGCTTCAATCGCATCATGGTCTCAACTATTATGGCGCCAGCCTTGTCCACGATTGCCAAAGAGTTGGACATGAACTCTGCCGAGTCCGTCATGGCACTTTCCATCTACTTGCTGGCCACAGCATTTGGACCTCTTGTCATTGGCCCGCTGTCGGAAATCTACGGCCGGAAGCGAATCTTGCATATTTCGAACGTGTGGTTCCTTGTTTGGAACATTGCATGCGGCTTCGCCTATACAAAAGGCTTACTGATCGCAGCGCGATTCTTGGCGGGTTTTGGTGCCAGCTCGGTCTATGCGCTGGCCGGCGGTGTGCTTGGGGATGTTTGGAGTCCAGAACAGCGTGGTCGGTCTCTCGGTATCTATTTGCTTATTCCCTTGCTCGGTGCAGCGGTCGGTAAGTGCAGCTCTACAAACCAAATCATCTACAATCACTCACCGATACTTCCCAGGCCCTATTATTGGCGGATTCATGGCAGCCCGCACCACATGGCGGTGGATGTTTTGGTCTACTTCGATTTTCCAAGGCGTCATGATCCTCGTCTCGTTTACCACCTTTCGCGAGACATACGCGCCGTTCATTCTCAAAAGACGGGCAGAAAGGCTCCGGCGGGAAACTGGAAACCAGCAGTATCAAACCGTGCAGGAACGTCACCATGGCCACAAGTCAGCCATGTCGACTCTTGGGCGCGCCCTCACTCGACCGATGCGGTTAATTCTTTTCCACCCCATCATTCAAATCATTTCGGTCATCTCGGCCTTCTACTATGGCATTCTCTACATCATTCTTTCAACTTTCTCTGATCTCTGGGTTAACCGATACCACCAGTCGGTTGAGATCAGTGGCCTGCACTACCTCGCCATTGCACTTGGGGAGGTGGCTGGCTCGCAAATTGGCGGACCATTGATGGATTACCTTTATCGGCGGATGCAAGCCGCTCGCGATGCCTCATCGAGAAGTGTGGAGTTGTATGTGCCAGAGTTCCGCATCCCCCTCATGTTCCCAGGAGCGCTCATGGCGCCGCTTGCCCTCCTCTTGTATGGCTGGGCTGGCCAATACCAACTGCACTGGCTTGTCGTGGACGTGGGCATCTTCTTCGTGACCTTTGGGATGCAGATTGCTGATATGCCCTTGACGGCGTACGTTATGGATGCGTACATGGAACATACCAGCAGTGCTGCGGCTGCGGAGCAGTTCTTGAGGAGTCTCACAGCCTTCTTGTTTCCGCTATTTGCACCCAAGATGTACGAGACATTGGGATATGGATGGGGCAGCAGCTCAATGGCACTGGCAGGGCTTATCTTCGGACTTCCGGCACCTTTGATCCTGTGGTATTATGGCTCAAAGTTGAGAGCGAAGGCCCAAAGTAGCTATTGAACCTTTCTCCGAGAGCATGGGCGACGTCATTAGATTCTGGAGGATTTGCAGGATACGTCGAACAGCCTGCAGACTTCGCGATGGGCACTCACCATGATGGCGAACGGCTGGTTTGGCAAGTACTGAAATGACCACCTCTTTGGTTCAAATATGGAGATTGGAGGGTGTTTCTGTTTGAGCGACAACAGCCAGAGACTTCAAATCGGTGCGCGCTTGGCGTATAGACACGCGCCCGTATTGATCATAGCAGTGAGGGATTAATGGATCGTTCATGCACCATAATTTGAGTTTCCCTTCCCCAGTCGTGGGACGGGCTCCTAAGCGATTCCATGAAGGCCGTATTGACTGACCTCACTGTACGAATGCAGACAAGCCTTAGCTGAACGTAGCCATTTCAATAAAATTCACGATGATGAAAATGTCTATATTAGTCTCACATATACATTTACAGAGCACAGTGGGCTAATAACGACTGACTTGCGCGAAATGGAAACCGGGGAAACCTGTCTAGTAGGCCCACTAATTGAGGGGACATCGCAACCGCCAAATAACCCCACGAACCGGGTTTATTGTACCAAGATGCTACCTCAATGACAAGCGAGCAACGGGGATTCTGCAGCAATTGCTCAACCAGGCCGGTCACGTTGGACCATCGGCTGATAATCCCCCAGACCCCGCACAGCAACCCTGATTATTCGGTCCGGATGAGTCCCTGGAGAACCCCTCGAGTCGGTCAAGCCTCGCTGACGAACATCGTCATCTACCAGGCGCGCCAATGGAATCTTGGCGGTTGAGGGGCCGTGAGCGGCAGCGTCGTAGCGGCACTGTGCTCCCCGGACGATCGGCATCGTGGCTGGCAGGGGAGATGCTGGGGAAATCGGGAGCTTAACACGGAATGGGTAAAAGATCCGGCGTGCTTGAGCGGAAAGAGGATGGGCCAGAGGGCGCCGACAAACGCGCCATTCACCAGCTGTGCTTGGGCATTGTTTGACAGGCATCGACGAAAGCTTCCTCGATGGGCGGGTATATCCCACGGCAAAGCTGTGCCATGGTTGAGCAGATTCTGGCTCATATTGACTTTGTCGTACTGACAATGGAGCGTCTATTTAAACAGCTTCTGTCCCACTTGTCTCGGGCTCTTTACCCTTCTCTCGGTGTCCGCAGCTGTACCCAATTGCCCTGGCTTGTTAATTTCCCAAAGAGGCATTGGTCTGGTTGTTCGTCGCAATGCAGATGAAACAATATCTTCTCGGCCTAGCCGTCCTGGCCCTACCCTGGACTAGTGCAGCCAAAAGCAAGTCCAAGGGCCCGGATAGCGATGGAAAGTATTGGATTTCCGGGGATGGCATCAAGGCTTCCTTCATCCCATACGGTGCTTCCATCTCAAATCTTTTGGTCAACGACCAGTACGGTATTCCGCGCGACGTTGTGGCCGGCTTTGACAACGCGAGCTTCTATGGCATCGACACCGCCCACCCGCATTTTGGTGGTGTGCCCGGCCGGTATGCTAATCGCATCAAGAACAGTTCATTTGTTATTGATGGCGAGACATACCATGTCACTCCCAACGACAACCCAACCAAGGAGTCTCCCAAGGGAGCCGACACCTTGCATGGCGGCCCTGACGGCTGGGACTACCGCAACTTCACCGTTGTTGCCTACACCTCTTCAAGCATCACGTTTTCCATTGTCGATCCTGACGGCAAGGAGGGCTTCCCTGGAGAGGTCGTCTCGTACATCACGTATACGCTCACAGGGATGGACTGGGACATTAAAATGGTGGCCCTGTCTACGACCAAAAGGACACCCATCATGCTGAGCAGCCACACGTACTGGAACCTGGACGGCTTCTCCAACAATGAGACCAGCAGCATTTTCAACCACACGTTCCACATGCCGTATGGTGGCCAGCGGGTGGGCGTCGACAATATCCTCATCCCCACCGGCGAGATCTTGCCCAACAAGAAGGGATCCGTCAATGACTTCTGGAGCAAGCCAAAGCAGATTGGAGCACAAGCCAACGACCCTGAGCTGGTCAACAACTGCGGCTTCAACTGTACTGGATATGGTAAGTTTTTAGGAAAAGATCTCTCCTCTACTCGCGGTCGCTAACCCTTATTAGACACCTGCTACACTGTGAACCGTGGACAACTTGGAGCCTATGACTGGCGGACCGAAGGCCCTGTTGCGACCCTGTCATCCGATTGGTCAGGTATCCAGCTCGATGTGTACTCGGACCAGGACGCGTTCCAGCTGTACAGCTGTACCCAGCAGGACGGCAGCATGCCGCTGAAGAAGACGCAGGGTCTTAAAGACAACGCCCATTTCCCGCGTATTATTCCCCGCTATGGCTGTGTCGTGCTGGAGGTGCAGGATTTCATTGATGGCATCAACCACCCTGAGTGGATGCGGGACCGCAAGCAAGTCTTTGGGCCAGGAGATGATCCATACGTGCTGCAGGCACGGTACTCGTTCAGCATCAAGGGGTCTACTTAGGGCTAGCCTTCTGCGAGGAAAGGGAGATGCGGAGGTGTTCATGCCGCATGATAATGCTATAACCTTGGCCGAGACATGCTGCCAAATAGATGACAACTAGACGGAACTAGTGAATTTTGACACATTTTTACCTCGGTGCTTTCTCCCGTAATGAACAGGTCATCAACGTCAGTAATTACTGCATCACGTTAGTGTTGCCAGTACGCTACCCTACACTACGAACATGTGAAGTTCCAGGAGATATTCCGCGCGCGGGACGTGGACATGATCAGCGAAGCTAAGACGCCCTTCGTTAGACTACTGGCGGTAGGTCATTGTCGACGAATAGGTACTTAAAGGAGATGGTGGATGGTGTTGCAACCTCGGCGGCGGCGGAGAAACGGACGCCTCACTCTAACACGGGTCACAATTGGCATGTTTGCGGGACGATCAGATCGAACAGTGGAAAACACTTATGCGGCCGAGTCCCGATTGGCTGATCTTGCCTCGGTAGTGAGATGAATGCTCATCTGGCTATCGACTTAGCGAACCCACCACAGCGTAGCACTCCCCGATGGCGTTATTTCCCTGTATCGAATCTCCAGCGGGTCGGGGACTTCATTCCGGGGAGGCTGAAGCTTCTCTCCACATCCAATGCAGGGTACCTAGCCGCCTGTGGCTTATGAAGCGTGTCTTGTTTCGAGTCCGATGTTTCTGACTCTGCGGGAGTCAGGAACAGATCCGCCACTGGTCAGTGAAAGCGGTTGATGCACCCAACTCCCGGATGCGTGTCTCCAATGTCTAAGGGGTCGAGTGTGTCATGTTGTAGTGTGAGAAGCGCCCGGAACAAGTCGAAGATCTGGCGCAAACTCTGACTGGCCTTCGGCGATGCGGAACGTGGTTGATTCTGCATCATGCAGCTGCGCTGATCATTCAACCACGCTGCAGACAAGGATCGCAGGGACAAATTAGCTGGGACAGTGGAGCAGCGGCGCCTTGGCAGAGGCGATGCTGTCGAATTGATGTCAGAACATCCAGGAGCATCCCTGAATGAATCTGCTGCAGCTAGCCGTCAGCTGAAGGACGGGCATAATGATGCTACGTAGCATGGTGCTATCACCTAGGCGGCATGGCCACGACCCCGAATCACACCGGTCGGTGGCTTTCAATCTGCCCCATCAATCTAGCAATGACGATGGAACCCGGGGTAGAATATGTCCACTGATGCGGTTGACGCAGCGTTTCCCTGGGGCTTCTCCATCTTCCAAACCGCTAACCCCTAGCACTCCGGCCATTACGTAGTAGCCTTCATCCCAGAAGACGTGTCGGGCTCTTCCCAGCGTCTTCTGACTCGACGCGCCAGGAACTGACTCGCCCGCACCGCCAGCTGACACGCCAGCGGCGATGGCGCTATGCTAATGCTGCGGTAGCACGTCTGTTAGTCTCAGGACGGCCGCGGAGCCGTGAAAATCGTCGCTGCTAGTGGCGGCAGGGCTTCGCGGCGACGACTAGTCGATGGCCCCGTTGACGACCTGCAGTCTTGAATGGGTGAAACACTGCAGCGATAACCCACATCGCTCTGGAGGTGATCTTGATAGTGGAGACGATTACCAGTAGAAACGCGGATCAGGAATTACCGACTGTTCCCGGGACATCTCCCCGTGCTTGAGGGTGTTGTCTCGTCCTGAGCTAACTCCTCCTTGCTGAGTACGGCCTTCCTTCGCGGGGAACGATCTTCCATCGGGCTTAAGCCTGAGTTGAAGCCCTCAGCCCGCATGTAAGACCCTTGTTCGCTCGGACTCTCGACAGTTAGGGGCGCCACCAACATACATCAAACACATGGCATGCTGGATGACATGGCCAAGCTCATAAATCCATCCTACCCGCCTGGCCGCCCGCCGCTCGAGTCCGCCGCTTTCTTCACAGCTAGCAATTGCGCCAACTCCAGCCCCGCATCGTAGAGTCTGCTTCGAGGCTCACGACGACGAGATGGCCAGCGACGCCGTCACCAGCTTTGCCGCCGAGGCCTTCACGCTGCTCTCGCTGGGCATCTGCATCATCTTCCTGCGGACGTACGCCCGCATCCGCCAGGTCGGCATCCGCAACTTCGAGGCCGACGACTACCTGATGCTGCTGGTCATCATCCCGTATACGATCGAGACGGCGCTCGCCTACACCGTGGGCGCCAAGTACAACGGGCTCACCAACAGCGCCATGACCGACGAGCAGCGCGCCGCGTTGTCTCCTGATAGCAAAGAGTACCATGACAGGTTTGTCGGATCGCGTTCGTGTTTAGGGGCGGTTTTAGCTGAGATGGAAGCACAGGATTGGCGGGTCCAAGATTCAAGTCGCGGGATGGACCATGTACGCAACAGTGTTGTGGGTTATCAAGAGCGCGCTCTGTGCGTTCTATTTCCGGTTGACGGTAAGTAATCATCATTGTCACTCTGTGTGTATCATCTGACACCTCTTCTAGCATGGTCTGGCTGGATACAAAATAAAGATTTACATTGGGATTGGCTTGATCGCTTCGACTTACATTGCCATCGTGGCATCCCTTCTATTCAGCTGCCGACCGTTCCACCATTTCTGGCAAATTAACCCAAATCCCGGCAGTGAGTTATACCATGATCATGCATGCCCAAGCGGCTTGGAGCACATGATCTGTCACTACCATTGAAACCCATGGACCTTGTATTGATTGCCTCTACTAGATCTGTGCCAACCAGCCTCGTCGAAACTCTACATCTTCCTCATCGTCGCACTAAACATTGTCACTGATCTCTACCTAATCCTGATTCCGATTCCCATGCTATGGGGTGCACAGATCCCCAAAGTCAAGAAGATTGGTCTGGTCGTACTATTTTCGGGTGGTATTTTCGTTATGGTAGCTGGTCTGCTTCGATGCGTTCTGATTCTAAAGGTATGCCAGAGCAGTTGGCACGTCAGCTCGTCTCTTGTTCCAGTTTACTAACAGGTGTCCGTGCAGAATCCCAAGACAGGCCCTCAAGAAGGAGCTTCTTGGGCCGTCCGAGAATCGTTTGTGGCCGTGGCTACCTCGAGCTTGCCCATGACATGGGGTTGGATGCGACAGAAGTTGCGACCATTCTTCGGCTCCCTACTATCGTCCGACAACAAATACAAGAACGGCCCCGAGCCTGGAAGCATCATGCTTGGCGATACAAACGATCGAACGACTTGGCGAAGTCAGCACCTCGGATCTCTCAAATCCGTTATCCGGACACAGCCGGCTTCAGCAAACCGGGACATTTTCATCCATACTGGCGAGGCTAGCTCAGATGAGATCATCCCGAACAAGGTTCATCGCACTGGAATTACCAAGGAAGTCGAATTTACCGTGTCGACTTCCAAGGCGCCTTAATCGAGACGTGCGCTTTATTAATAATATTTCTAGTCAAAGGGAATGCATACGATACATACGCGAGCGGGAAGGGAGCTGATAGTTAGATATACCCATGTATTATAATGTCTTAGAACGACTCAGTTACGATTTACTAGAGGTTAAAACTTCAAACTCTCACTGTCTCAGTGGTTGAAAATGACACTAGAGACTCCAACATGTTCCTCGGAGGATTGCTCGTACTGACAAAGGCAATGCCCCCAGTCTCAATAGTCGATATACCACGGTGTTTCAGAGTGCTGGGTAACTTGGGCATTGTCAGCGTTGGAACTGGACGTCTAATTAGCACTTGTCACACTGAAGGATTAGCCCTGTTCCGGCAATACCTGCCATCATATGGACACCCAGTGCGTCGCGTGGGATGAAAGACAGACTCGAATTATGACTCCCGCTAGAAGCCTCGCGACCTTTCCCCTCGTCCCGTTGTCCGATCTCTGCTTCTCCTGCTTGGCCGCTGCCAAATAATTCATCAATGCCGTTTCCATCCCTGACTACTATTTGCAGAACTCCGTGTATATGATGGACTGGAAGGTTAATACCAAATTACGCCGTTTGTAGACCTTTGGATACCTGGTACATACTGTGATACGATTTCATGAGCTCACTTGTAACGGACGACAAAGACTACAGGAACAAAAGGTGGTATAAAAAGCGCAATCTCGACCTAATAATAATTGTTTTTTTTACCTTTACTCAACATAATCAGATAGATCAAAGTCATGCAGTGTTCTCAAAAAATAGAAATAAACAGTAGTTGAATAATAAGGTTGTTGTATACCTACTTAATAACATACCACTTAACTTCAAAGATTGACAGAGGCTGTAATAACTATTTGATCAAGACAGCGCAGGTAAACTAACCAACATTGTTTTAGAAACTTTTTTTTGACTATTTTTTCGGTGACCGATGGGAAATTGCAAAGTGTGGTATTGACCTAATAAACGCAACTAAAGCCAAGTTGGAAATCAAGTCAAAATCAGGTCAAGTCATCGTTCCTCAAGGCATAGTGCAACTAAGAATAAAATGAGGGACAGTGAGCGTATAGGACAAATACTACCAAGTTCTCCTACATTAATTCGTGCATCTGCCGCCGCGGAAAACATGATCAGGGCATTGCAGCTTATTCCAATGGCACTGAGCTAACGGTAAAGGTCTCCATGGTCACGCTTGATGGCATCAGAACCCTTCTCAGCCACCATATAAACAGAATTCTGAATACGGCAATCGGGAATAACAGGCATGACAGATGCGTCGATGACACGAAGATTTTTAATTCCGTGGACTTTGAGGCCGGGATCGACAACGCCCTGTTTGATATCCTTGGATAGCCGGGTAGTACCGCAAGGATGGAATGAGGTCTGGGAACGATCCAAAACTGTCCTCTTCATTGCTTCGTCGTCATGTAGTGGCATATCCCAAGGATACTCGTCCTCCACAATGTCCTTAAACCCGTCGCCGTGCTTAAGAACATCATAGGCGTATCGAATACCCTCGCGCATAGCAATAATATCAAGATCATTATTGAAATAGTTCAAGTTGATATTGGCTTGCTGCAAGGGGTCGGCACTGTTCAAAGTAACCTCGCCGCCGTCAGAGACAGGGCGAACAAGGTCAACCATTACAGTCATATAGCTGCCCTTGCTAGGATGCGGGAAATGCCACTGGAAGGCGCTGCCAAACAGAGGGAGGAAGTCAAGCTCAAAGTGAGGCTGGCCGTATGGACAAAAGGGGTCGACGCCATCATTTGCCTCCTTCGCTTTGCGATATTCAGGGGATTTGTCCAAGTACTTGTCGATGCGAGGGAATCCAATCATCTCGAGGAAGGGCGATCCCATAGGGCCAGCGTGGCGGCCGTTAGAGTAAGCGGAGAAAGCCTGGTCTTGCAGACGACCCTTTCGCAGGACATGGTTGTCCATTGAGTGGTCATCCTTGATTAGAAGAACAAATGGGACACCAGGATGATCCAATAAGTGCTGACCGACGTGACGCGAATCGACGATCAAAGGGATGTTATGCTTAGCCAGCTCAGGCGCGGGTCCAATACCGCTAAGCATCAAGAGCTTAGGGGACTCAAAGACACCTTCAGAGACAATGACTTCGCGAGTAGCATAGAGGCTAAGTTCTTTAGATCCCACGATCACAATCACTCCCTTGGCAGCTCGATCAGCATCGTCGATGATAATCTGCTTCGAATGGGCTCCAGGAAGGATAGTAATGTTCGACTTATCCGCAACTGCAAGGAAACTGCCCGACCGCCGGCCCTTGTAGATCGTGTTGACACTGTGGGCTAGGCCACGGATAGTGCCGTCGTAGACGTTCTCGGCAACGGGCTCGCCGGTGGACTTCCAAGCTTTGGTGAGAAGGTCACGGAAAGGTTTCATCTCCGGGATGAGGTCGGCATGTGCAATAGGAATTGGACCACCCCCACCAATCTTCTTAAGCTTCTGCGGGTATAAGCCGGCATCGTCGTGATAAGTCGCACTCTTCCGAAGATAGGGAACAAGAGGATCCCACGTCCACTCCTTGCCGCCGTATTCCTCCCACATATCAAAGGTGCCCTTGGAGCCGGGCACCCAAGAAAAATAGTTGAGGGATGAGCTGCCACCAAGAGCCTTTCCACGAGTATTTGGCTTCTCAATCCGCTCGTAGTCGTCTCGCTTGACCATGGTCGTTTTGTAGCCCCAGTCATACTGGCTGCCTCGGATGTCCATGGCGAGTGCGGGGGTCCTGATCTCCTCATTATCCTTCGAATCACCAATACCAGCTTCAACGACAAGGACCCTAGCATCAGGGTTTTCAGCTAGGCGGCAGGCAACGATATTGCCTGCCGTGCCACCGCCGACGACAATGAAGTCGAAGCGAGCACCGTCCTTAACAGACATGAAGGGCAGATTGATTGAAATGTGATGGGAGATAAGTAGAAGATAAGTAGGAGATGAGGATGATGGGTTGGTTATGTTAAAGGTCTCGAGATGCCAGCGGGATGTCACCGAGCTTTATGTAGTTAGGTCTGCAGCTGTTCCTGTCTCGGGGGAGGTACAGTGGAGCACATAAAGTATGAATCAGTCCGAAGAGTGGCTGCTAAGAATTTAAGGCGACATTGTAATGAATGGTGTGGTACATGGTGTTGGATTCGTACCTTTTGTAGCATAGTGTTTCCCTGTCCAACCCCCCGCCGCCAAATAGCGACATTGGCTTGAAGTAATGGTCCATAGCAAGCTGGTAGAGTCAGCACTACTCTGCCATGATTAAAATCTTGTGAATAAGAGAACCTATTGGGCCAATTAACATCTACCGCAGAAGCCAAATCCTCGCTAAGTCACAAAGTAGTGTGTTCGTCTCCAATGCATGTGTGGGCCATATCTAAGTCGGACCACCCATTAGCTGACCGACCCCTTACCTGACCGCCCCACTTACAACGCGTCAACCACAACGCGCCTCTAGCCACACGCGTTTCTTCCTTCAATAACACTCAATTGGTCAATTTAACCTTATTTTCGTTATTTTCATGCCTAAATACACCGAAGAAGACCTCCAACTAGCCATTCAGGATGTGAAAAATGGTCTATCAATGCGAAAAGCAGCCAATGAGCGCGTTGTTCCTTATTCAACCCTACGGACCAAGCTCAATAGCGTCCCAAGCCGCAACGAAGCCCACGAATGGCGTCAGGTGCTTTCTAAGAACCAGGAAGACCAGCTCTGTAATTGGCTCATCTTACAAGATAAGCTCGGAATGGCGTTAACTCATAGCCAGATCTGGAAGTTGGCAACTTCCTTGTTGGGCGAAAGTGGTGTCAACTGACAACTCGGAAAGCACTGGATGACTGGCTTCCTATGCCGCAACCAGCGAATAAAAACACTCAAAGAAAAGGGAATTAACCGGAAAAGGATAAATAGAGCAAATCTAGCTGCTATTCGTAGGTTCTATGACCTATTGGACCAACCAGGGGTCAAATCGATCCCTCCACGCAACTATTGGAATTTTAACGAAACTGGAGTCTTCTAAGGGCTTAGAACTAATAGGCTTGTAGTTAGCCAATCAGAACTCCGATCGACAATTAAGAAACAGCCATATGACCTTAATTGGATAATTATTCTTAAGGCTATTTCCGCAACGGGAAGGTACCTCGACCCATTGGTTGTCTTTAAAGGCAAACACATCCAACACCAATAATTTCCAGAGGAATTAGACTTTCTGACTAATTGGAAATTTATATTATCTGAAAAGGGCTGGACTAATAATAAAATTGGCCTTGCTTAGCTGCAGGAAGTCTTCCTTCCGGGCTCTAAGCTAGCCCAGACCAATAAGAAGAGGCTCCTCATCCTAGATAGGCATAGATCACATATAACGCCTGATTTTATGTATATTTATATAACTAATAGGGTCTATTTACTCTATTTGCCGCCTTATACAAGCTACATTCTTCAGCCTCTTAATATATCAGTCTTTAGGCTACTTAAAGCTGTATATCGGGCTGCCTTAATACTAGCCAATCCCCTCACTAATATTAGCCCAACTAGAAAGGAAGACTTTCTTACTTACTATTTTAAGGTAAAAAAGAAGGCTCTTACTACTAAAAATACCTTATTAGGTTGGAGAGAAGCCGGGTTATAGCCAATTAATATATTAAAGCTAATAGGTAGTAAATTTATTATTTACAACTCTAATAATACAATTACAGTCCAATCAGAAGCTCCTATTTCTCTAAAAACAAATCAGAGGTCTAAAATCATCCCTTTTATAACCCCTAGCAATTCGAGAGATATTGCTTCATTAGTCCGTTCTCATAAGAAGGAAATACTAGCTAGCCCAACCACGAGATAGCTATTGCAGACTATTAGCAAGGGATTTGATAGGCTCCAGTTCCAAATTACCCAATTAGAAGAAAAAATCAAAGTCCAAGATCAAAATTCAAGCCAATCAAAAACTAGGAAAAGAAGACGGGTTTATAAAGACCCAAATAGGCTATTTCAAGATATCCAGAATGTTAAGAGGGCAAGAAGGCAAATAAAAACGCCTGAGGTTGAAGACTCAGAATAGCTCGTTTTTTCTTTATTCTAATTAGTTGATTTTTAGATATTTAGAAATTTAATTAGTTAGTTTATTAAAAATCAGTTGAAATGGACCAATTAGGTCTTTGAGTTGTTATTTTATCTATAAGTGAAGTTGAATTGCGATTTTGGTTGTTATGTAAGTGGGGCGGTCAGGTAAGGGGTCGGTCAGCTAATGGGTGGTCCGACTTACTCCCACTTACGGAACCCTCGGCATATGCTACTGATTTTATTCAGGATCTGGATTTAGTTGCCGGTGTTATCAAAAGCGGGCGTAAATTAGCAGCAAATATCGTCACAAACGCAGATCCTCTGGAAGCGAGGTGATTCTGTAACTACACCATAGAAATCAACCTATCAGACTTGGTCTCGGAAACCGAGACTAACGGTGGCCACACTGACACGGCACTAGACCGGCTTCCCACAATGTCCAATGGAGTTTGGGGATGCCTGGAACAGCCTCCTACGTTGATCTGACGAATGTTAACGTGGGAGGGATGAGTGGGTTCCAGTGAATCGAACAAGAGTTCGTTGAGACCTAGAAGTATGTAAGACTTTGGGCACGAAGGGAGCGGGCGGAAGGGATGGAGGTTGACGATTGGGTAGTAGGATATTCCTTAATGAGTGCGTTAGCCTCTAGTAAAATCACTGAAGTATGACCTGCCAGTTGGGAAATAAAATAGGAGCAATACACCGGCGCTCACCCAACAGGTGGTCGTAGAAGTTCCATCGACTGTCAACGCTATAAAGATCTACATCGAATAGCTTAGAGCCACATGTGACCGCCTTTGCTCCAAGTTCCTCTGCGCCAATCTCTCCCAGCTGGGAATGTGTAGGGTCAGATACCAACTGGAAGCTTACCGCACTTGACCGGATAGAGAGGATTTGATAGACTGAGTTATCGGGCTGGTCAGCAATGCTGTAACTGGAATTAGTATTGGACCAATTATCGGGCTACATACAACATAAGATTCCAGGGGTCCAGGCTGATCTATTAGACCCTGCTCATACCTCTCACGTCAATTTTTGTCAGATCGACGTGGGAGGCTGCTCAAGGGATCTGCAATGCTCGCCCAGTTGAATAGGTGGACTGACCTGTGGATATCTTCGTTCTGCCCGCGAAGGCGCTAGCGGGCTGGGACGTGCTAGGTTCAGCAAACAAGACGCACCCAAGATGCCACAACGGTGCTGCCGAAAGTTTAATGTGGGTAATCGAGATTCTACTTGGTACATGTAGTTCTGTTTGTTCAATACGAGTGCCATGAGTGGCCCCATACGTCATTCTTAACGGTCAAGGGGATGAGGGCGAGGATTCACTCTCTATCATTGGATGATAAGGAGCTCGGCCATCAATAGGGCGAAAGCATCATTGCACACACATTATTGCGTTTATCGTCTTGATAGTCGAGACCTCGCTTCATAACCGTGGGGCAGAGTGGAATGTGGGGTTGGGTGGGCTGATTCCCACCATTTAGCACAGCTTCTAGTTCCTACCGACAAAGTTACAACGGTGAGCTGAGAGATAATCTGATTAGGAACGTTTGCCGCCATCGACACAATATGGGTACCCCCCGCCCCCCCTTCAAGAATAAGGGGCCAGCACCACACACAACGTGACAGAGGCGAGTGCAGGATAGAGGAAGAAAGAAAGGCCAGAACTCACTCGCATAGATGGGTATCCTATCTGCATCCCATGTATTCCCACTCCGATGTCAGGAGTTTGCCTCACCTGTTACACGTCGTGGTCGCCGTTATGCTCTATGAGTGACACCGTAAATGGGGTTTGGACCTGTCACCATGTGGCAGAGAGCGCAGACGACGATATGAGGTCATTTTGAAATTTGTTAATGGCGAGTGATATCCAATAGCCGATTACGACGTTGAGGGGCGACTGCGACGCTGAGAGGCGTCAAACTGTTGTAGATCTCGACCGAGATAAGACTAGGTGCTAGCCAAGGCTGAGACTCGCTTCGAGGGACCCTGAAGGTTTTGACAAGCATCCCGAAGCTTGACGTGAACCTAGCGCCGTTTGACACGCATCCCAAGGATTGACGTAAGCCTAGTGCTGTTTGAGTGTCGTCATCGCAGCATCACCAGGAACAGGGGACACTCCCATCTTACTACGTAGTAGAAGATGGCGCAGCGAAGAGACAAGACTATACCGTCTTTGGAAGCAGTATCGGGCGAATAAGAGCGACGTCCTTGCCCCGTAGTCTGACTCGCTGCTGCATCTTCTCGAGACAAGAGTTGTCTCCGGTAAGCGAGACTCAGACATTCCTTGTAATTAGGTTTCCCAAAACTTTGTTAAACGTAGTCCAAGTCGCTTGTAGTCTCCCAAACTACGTGCAAGAGGTACACATCGAGATTGACAGGCCATATGGTTAAGTTCTTCCGTTAGCTGACTTGTGATTGCTTTCCAGTGGCGACGATAGCCGCGACGCATTGAGTTGGATCCTACACTCACCGTCAAGACCCAGCTCGGAGTCCAAAACTTCGATCGTGAGACCGCCATGATGGTGGCCGATAAGAATCCCGACCTATAACTTACTGAGCTGTCTACGCAGTGCTTCAGAGACGAATGTTCGCCTTTGTCGACGCCGCCCGCCACCGTCTCGGGTCAGTTATCGGCTTCTGCACACTAACCATGTCGTAGTACCAATCTAGGTATTCTCCATCTCAACGTGATGGATTCATGAACTTTTCTCCCAACCACGGCCGCGATACTGAATATGTTGGACCTGTCTTAAAGCCTTCCATCTTCAAACCTGCCAGCAGCGACTAACTTCACCGAGCATGGGAAGTGGGTTTGACAAGTGTCAGCTTCGCCACAGAGGCCGCAGCGGAGGTCCTTGAACAGGCAGTTACACTATGTTCCACCCATCAATATCACTTTGTGAGAAATGTGGCAAACAGTACGTGTCGAAAGTGAACGGCGTGAAATTTCGAATCGTAATTTTTCATGCGTCTCTACTATCCCTATCGCCTGGATATATATCCTTAGATGATTCCAAACAATAAAAGACCTACCGTTTGACGTTAATACAGACTTGGGAACCTAGATTCACGCTGTGGTGGAACCGCCCTACTATTTAATTAGCAGACAAAACCCGCAGGCCTCCAGGTTGGAGAATATATTGGTAAATCAGATTTATGTTACTTCCATTCGTTTGTTAGTGACTAGCCAATCAATATTGTAAAAACAAGAATTTTAAAATAAATTACTTGAGCTCGTTCAGTGCGTTAATAAGCCGAATTGTCCATACTAAAAGTCTTTCGTTAAGACACACAATGGAACTGCTATCTCAATAACAGTCGAAGCAGATCTGGGATATCCCATAATCCACGGTCAATTTCCGTACCCAGGGATTGATTCCTCCTGAGTAGGTAACGCAGACTAGTTCGATCTTTACAATGATTTCCTTCATCTAGGACACATGGACATGGGTTCTGAATAGCATCGTTCCTCTACCACAGCTACGAATATGAAGTAAAGTTCCTTGGAGCTGGGACCAACTTTTGTGTCATCGGCTGGACCTAAAATCGTCTTGAGAATCGATAAGCGACTCAGGGTGGCAAAATGACATGATTTAAGTTGGCAAGGTGTTGCAATATATCGTGGTCTAAGGTTTAACAGAAGGCTCCCTATCTCAATTCTTTTGGTGGAGGCGGGGTTGTCGGCAAGGCAAATAAATATCGCAGGACGCATACGTGTTGTAGGGCTGTGCAGCAGCCAGTTGTTCTTAGTCGGCGCAGGGATTATTTGAGATACGTTTATCAGGAGCCCGGTGTTGATTGAGTGCAGGCTGTTGCTGTTGATGGACTTCTACGTGTATCTGGACCAAATGACAGGTGCTGTAGCTGGATGGATGCTTGTGTCTCCCCTGCGATGGATTTGCTATGCACTTTAGGTATCTAACTGCCTATGCAGGGAGATACGCTGATCACGTTACCGGCGATCAAAAAGCTGTCGGCTCTCGTGTGTTCTCGCAGCCTGACTTGCGTTGATTGGCCAAGTCGAAGATCAAGTAAGCGCTGTTGGCTGCGCCCAGCCTCTTCAGCCGCATTACTTTCCCCTCTCTTTTCATTTCTGCCTCTCTATCCTGCACCCTCGATCCCAGGAACTGGCCGCTGCCATCCCGAACGGCCTTGGAGACCAGACACACACCGACGACTGCATCGCCGGCTTGATGGAACATGGATCAGCCGGATGCTCGCGACATCCGGGACAGAGATGCACCAGAAGTTGTGTATCCAGCGAGGGAGGCAGCCAACGATGCCATCACGTTCCGCATCCGTGGAATCCCTTTGAACTGGGACTCCGAACGTTTGCAAACTTTCCTCCTCGAGCGTGAGAGTTGGGCAGGCCTGACTGTCGGGTCTCTCGCCCGCGAAACAAATGGCCGTTCCGGAACTGGTACCGTTACTTTCCAGACGTCGCCCCCATCACTCCAGAGGCTTCGAACCGGTGGGAGTTATCGCATTCAGCTGCCGCCTGGAGACCAGCCTTCCCGAAAGCAATACCTAGTAGTCGACAAGGACTTCTATGGCATCACTACCCTCTACTCCCCGCCCACAGAGGATCACAAGATCGAGTAAGTATCACAGTGTGGATAGAAGGCTTGTGCTAATTCGCCGTAGTATCGTTTCAATATCCGGTATTGGTGGACACGCTTTCGGCTCCTTCAAGGAGAGGGGCGAAGACCACATGTGGTTACGAGACTCTCTCCCATTCGACCTCATCTGGGAAGACACCGGCCGTCCGATGGCACGATCGATTATCTACGGCTACGAATCGACCGTTGCGCAAAGCGACAATATACAAAACTTGGAAGACCTTGCAACGTCGTTCCACGCCAGTATGCTTGCACTGGAGAGGGGGGGAACCCCAAGGCCGATCATCTTGGTCGCTCACAGCCTAGGGGGGCTCATCGTCAAGCAGGTAGGTTTATCCCGTTTGGAACCCAATAGTTTTAGGAAAGATTCTAACTTTTTAGTAGATGCTAGTAACGCTATCAATGTCTAAGTACGACAGGGATATCAAACTTCTCCAGAGAGTATATGGAATTGCTTTCTTTGGAGTGCCACACGATGGTATGGATACTAGTTCACTCATACCGATGGTTGGGGACAGTCCAAACCGGTTCTTGCTCGAGTCCATCAACGATATCAACTCGCAGGTTCTCAATACCCAACGACGCCAATTCCATATGGCGCTTGGTCAAGAGGGCGACTCTGAGATCGTCTGCTTCTACGAGACGCTCAAATCGCCAACAGCAAAGAAGGTATGCCGTAAACTATTTCCTTACTTATAAATGCTAAGAGTGGATAGGATCAGAATGGCTATTGGAAAATGATTGGTCCACTATCAGTGCTTGTCACTAGGGCTTCCGCTACACACTGCCGGTCCTGGGAAGATGGCCCAGAGCACATCTGTGCAGTCGCTCGCACACACTCGAATATGGTCAAGTTTGGGCCAGAGGATCACGAATACGATAAGGTCTGCCAGAAACTCAAGGAACTTGCACGCCAGGCGCTGCTAGCATGGCAGAATCACAATAAATCCTCAAAAGCGGGGTGTGAAACCGCCACATTGAATGGTAGAGCGGCACTTACTCAACCTGACTGTCTTGATACAGGCCAAGCATTGTTCTTGGTCCCATTACAGAAAAGGAAACGGTTTACAGGACGCCTTGAAGTCATTCAGAAGCTCACTCAAATGCTTTTCACACAAGATGACTGCCAAAGAGTTGCAGTGCATGGTTTGGGTGGTATTGGCAAGACCCAAGTTGCCTTGCAAGTCGCATTCTGGACCAAGAAGAACATGCCCGAACACTCTGTTCTCTGGGTTTCAGCAGACAGCCATGATAGCTTTGAGCAAGCATGCCAAGAGATCATCAAAGCCGCTGGCTTTCGACGAGCGAACAATGAGAACCCAAAGGCCGCAGTAAGAAGATACCTCGGATCGAAGGATGCAGGGAAGTGGCTTCTCCTGGTTGATAACGCAGACGATGAGGATATCCTGTTCGGATCAGAGGAGCGACCAGAGGGAATATACGACTATCTCCCACAAAGCGAAACCGGTCGGATTCTATTTACTACGCGATCTCGGGTCGTGGCTTTCAACCTCGCTGATGCTGACGTTCTGGATTTGCAAGAAATGACGCGACAAGAAGGGATAGACTTATTGGAGAAGTCGCTAGTTAAGAAAGGCCAACTTGAGAATCTGGATATGGTATCCGAACTCTTAGAGGAACTGACCTACCTTCCACTGGCGATTGCACAGGTGGCAGACTATTTGAACAAGACTGAGAAGTCGATCGAAGACTATCTACATACGTACAAGAAGACAGATGGAGACAAGATCGAATTACTGAGTAGCAGCTCTCGAGACAGAACCGGTAACAGGGACAGCCAAAACGACGTGGCTACTACATGGGCGAGGTCTTTCGAATACATCTACAAGGTAGATCTGCTTGCGATAGAAATTCTCTCATTCGTCGCATACGTTGAGCCCAAAGCTATTCCTCGGTCGATACTACCCTGTCTTGAATCACGCCGGAGAATAGACCAGGCTCTTGGAACCCTTTCTGGGGTTGGATTCCTCACTGAACGAGGAAACAAGGTGTTCGACATGCATAGCCTGGTGCATCTCATGACACGGCGGTGGGTTGAAACCCACCGCGTAGGAGCATCCTTGCAAAAGGCTGTTGTTCATCTCTCGAAGATATTTCCGACTGATGACTGGGAGAATCGTCGATTATGGCAACAATATTTACCACATGCTTTAAGAGTGCTTCAAGATAACGAAGGCTCTGAGGGGTATACATATGAGTACTACAGACTATGTGTGATGGTCGGGAATTGTCTGCTGGTGGATGGCAGCAGTAGAGAGGCAGTTGAGCTGCTACAGCGTATTGGGGAAAGACAGACATTGCCAGATGACAGCCCCCATCATCTGACATATCAACACGGGCTTGCGGCAGCATACCTCCAAAATGGTCAGATTGAAGAGGCAGCCAAGCTACTTCAGACGGTAGTGGCAGTGCGAGACCGAACACTGGCAGAAGATCACTCCGAGCGATTAGCATCACAGCATTTGCTTGCGATAGCATACCTCCAAAATGGTCAGATCGAAGAGGCAGTCAAGCTGATGGAACATGTGGTGAATGTGCGGAACCGAATACTAGCGGAAGACCACCCCAATCAATTGCGATCACAGGATTTGCTTGCGACAGCATACCTCCGAAATGGTCAGATTGAAGAGGCAGTCAAGCTACTTCAGACGATAGTGGCAATACAGAGCCGAATACTAGCGGAAGACCACCTCTATCAATTGCGATCACAGGATTTGCTTGCGACAGCATACTTCCAAAATGGTCAGATCGAAGAGGCAGTCAAGCTGATGGAACATGTGGCGACTGTGCGGAAACGAATATTGCCGGAAAATCACACCAATCAAGTATTGTTGCGGCAATGGCTGGCATACATGTACAATGTTAGAAGATAACTGGAGCTGATTGAGTGGGCGACTCTTATGTTTTGATGCGTGGAAGGAGCCCAAGCTGTATTAGTTGAAATGAAAAGGTGATTTCCTAGAACTCCGAGCCCGTTAGGTTGGGGTCTAGTAGACTGCCTCTGGCGCAGCTAGGACTAGATCTGTTCTAATTTTGGAGAGTCAAATCAAATGCTCTATGAAACTATAACTTGGGGCGAGTGTTGGTGTTTTATCATCACCTATAATCCACTAACAAATGATGTCCTGTCCAGAATCTCCGAGTTCCGACTTAAAATCAGTTAATCCGCCAATACTATGAGTCTATGGCCCTCGTAGAAAATTATTACTCCATTGCCACCTCGGTTCACAGGGTCAATTTTACAGAAGCTACCGGTGTCAAAATGTCTCCTTGTTCAATCTCGCCGATAACGACATAAAAGCTTGTCGATGGCGAAATCTGGTATAGCTCGCCAGGATCGGTCACAAAGATGGTATGCTGTCCGACACGTTCTCGAAGTGTGGAGCCGAGTCCGACGGCGAACGACTTTGTTCTTCGCCCATTATTACTATACAGCCAGCGGCAGCCCCAAGGTGCTGGAACTGATACCGTGATCTCCAGTGAGCGTGATAGCAGCCATAACTTGGTTCGGACGACCTGTCTCTTTTGTTGTTTAATGAAGGGTCTGGGTTGCTTTCCCAACAACAGCTCACCCTATGGACTAGTAAAAGCTCACTCTCTGAGTACGTTCTTGCCTCATGCCAATACGGTACCAGTCTATCGGAAAACAGAGCATCATTTTCCCTCGCTACTGAAACCTCTCGCCAGTGCTGGTCTAACTTGCCGTCCTTATGCAGATCTACTGCGGACGCTCACCGCTCGTGGTCTAGGCTCGTTGCGATCAGACCTGAACAAGGCGCCACATTCATTAGTCTCTGGTGTCTTAGCTAGGGCTGACGTTCTAGACCATCGAGTATGAGACAACTCCAGGCGCTATGCTCCGCCATCCACCACCTATAGGTCGTTGAGCCTGGTACTAAAATTGGCCTACATGCAAGAATCACTCAATAATACATAGTGTTCAGCCGCATTCAATAGTTGCGCACGATATGCCGCGAATATGCAAGCTGTGAGACAATTCATATATGCGGCCAGTCAGGTCATCGAGCATTCGCCCTCGTGACTGATTCCAATCCCAAGTAGGAGATCGCTCTCCTGGATACGGAGAATGAGGCTAGCTGATGAGAAGGTCTTGGGATGCAGCTAAGACACTACCGCAGGCCTCGACTGGTCTCTGCACCAGATCGACTCAACAATTTACGAGCACCGAGCGAGTATTAAATCGCGATGATCTGCCACTCCCAATATCCGCAAGCTTTCCCCACCAAAGACACTCACACACCATAGTACGAGCGCTCGACGCAAATACGAAGCACAATGACGCACTACACCCTCAACCTTCAAGTCGACAGCGCGATACTTCAAATGTCGCCGACAGACTCACTCTGCCTAGCGAGGAAGGTAAGCACTGCCAATTTTCCCGTTGCTCCAGTTCAGACCTAACGTGGCATTGCTTTTAGGTCAATAACGACTACTCAGCCGTCTTCATAAGCGCTGGACTTCGCCCCTCTGCTGGCCAGAAAGCGCTCAACGGAAACAACACCTTTGAATGGGTTGACCGTTTTCAGGTGTTCCTGACACAATCGTTCAGCGATGGCATTTTGGTAAGCTGCCTGATTGTCGTAACCAGGGCCATGATGCTGCTGTTTTTACACCGCATTCAAGTTCGTTGCTCTAACTTTGTGCCACTTTAGATTCAAGAGTCCACGAATAGTGTAGACATTCTTCCCGGCCAGATCTCGCACTACAAGGACGGCATTCTTGGACCGGCCCAATCTGCAAGCAGTAAGGTCTCAACAGTGGCAGGATATCTATCAAATACTTGTTACACTTCTAACGAGACTTGCAGCCCCCAGTGTCTGGGATACAGGTGACGGCGCCGGGCCGGATTCATCCTTTGGCGTTGGAGGATACCCCATCGCCTTCCATGCCGCTATCAAGCAACAGACCGGCGCTGGCCAATATACTGCCATCTACGTTGACCCCGGCGTTCACATGAGCACGTCTCTGATTCAGCTGACCCCGAAAAACAAAGTAAGTTTCTTTCTTCTACCTCTTCGTCTAAAGGTTCCGTCAGTTCTAGTCTCACCCCTCCCCTTTTAGTTTCTCCTCTTTTGGTCATCGGTTCCTTCAGGTGAGACTATGGCGGCTATCCAGCCGTCGCAGGGTTTTGAATTCGAATTTCAGGCGGGTAGCCCCAGCGTGACAGTCCGCTTCGGATATGCGTCGCCCAACAGCCCGTCCGGCCCCGATGAGAACCCTGGTTGGTACCTGCAATAGGCTTATTAGGAGACTCGGGACCACTTTGACAGGCGTTTCGCATTCAAGAGGAGCGGGAAGGTTTGGTGAAGGCCCTGGCCGCTCTGTGTCAACACTCAACATACTTAGAACTAGGTAGATTTGTTTATTGGCATAACAAGGGACCGCTTTCTCAGTCTAACCGTGTTCAACATCTCACCTGGCGTCATCGTAGTTGATGTATCTTGCGCTTTAGATGGGATGAGGGGACGTACCCCTGATTTTCAATCCAATGTCTCAGATAGACCGAGATGTATAACTTCCAGTCTGTATTTATTCGTACAAGGCCTTGTCGCAACCGTATAAGTGGCAGAAAAGAAGACAACGACGCAATAACGAAGCCTAACAATTCAAGGGGTCACATTAAGAAGGTTCAATACTGCAATGTTTTTATAGGAGATGTTGCATAACTAAGGTTTATATATAATAGAAATACAAATAAAATCGTAGTCACGAAGCGTTGTAGAGCCAGACCTCTGCCAGATATCTTTTGGATAGTGTGGCAGCTAAAGACTAGTATCTGCGCTAGATAAAGGTTCTTGGGTTGGTTGGCCTGGATTTCTGTGATATCTTGTAGTCTGGATCTTCGAGCTGCAGTTTGCAGCTTCCTAATAAGAGTTTGGTTAGTCCTGATTCCATCATATAGATTGAATCGAAAGCTATTCATATTGCGACAATTGGGAGGGACCTTATCGGTCTGTATTATTCGACGGAAAGCAGATATCTTATTAGTTGTTGTAGCGGTTGGTGGTGGTTGGTTGTTGTGGTTGGTTATGGTGTGTGTAATGATGGAAGGATAGCTAGAATGTAGGAGGTAAGGCTTGCAGAGATTTTGTATCTATTATAATATTGCCCTTTTTAAGGTCTAGGTTTTTCAGCAGATCTAGCTTTATTAAGATACAGCTGTTACTGCAGTTTATTAAGGTATTAAAAAGATAACCGGTGGGGCTCAAAACCTTAATCTGTCGGATTATATTGTTAAAACTTTAATAGACTAGGTATATAGTCTGTCTTATTAATAATATTCTTTTGACTGTTAAGCTTTTAGTCTTCTCTTTAGGTAAGTGTGTAATAAGACACTCTTACCTCTTGATAAAGAAAATCGAATGCTACTTGATTATTCCAACTTAACAAGACAAGAATGCAATAGCCGTTTGGGAATATTAACGGATTCCTCAACAGTAGTTAAGATGTCCGCTGATAATTTAGAAAGATTCACATCATTCAAAAGAATGTGATATGATGTTAACAAAATGGCCAGGCGTGAATGTAATGCTTCTTCGAGGTTGTGGCTGATGAGTTCAAGAGGTTCGGCAATGCATTCCTTGATACGTGCGGAATCCGGTTGCTCAATACCCGGAAAAAGGTTTCCCTTTTGCCATAGCGGCATTGCGATACAATCCTCCCATGCCACGGAGCGTTCACACCGCGAATGGCTCATCAATTCATCCGAGTGCGACCCCAAGTATCGGGCTCGGGGCAATCAAAGCCCCGCGGCGTGGCAGGAATACGAAAACGCGTATTAATTTGTTCGTTCCCGACTATGCACTGCCCTCCTGGCGCATTCGTATCGTGTATGCGACGCGCAGCTCTAATGCGATTGGAAGACGGTTGATCGTCGTTGTTTTGTACCAATGAAGCAACTTGCCCGCCGATGTCGACGTCCAGGTTTCATTGAAGCGGACATTGTGCTGAACTGTGCTGTAAAACTTTAACTTCGTATATCTGTTTTTGGCCGACTGATCCGATCTTCTCGTAAGTATAAATGGTAGAATGGCTTCGTTATTATGACTGAAATCATCAGAACAATCTCTCGACCTCAGGTCGTCGAAGCTTAGCCAAGAAGCGCATCCATTTGTTCATGATGCTAACGTCCAAGCCATTTATTTTTGCCATCGCGGGATTTTGTCGACTAAGCTATGCCTCAGATATAGGAGCTTGTAAATGCGTAAGTGAGCGGACCCAACAATAAACCCCCTTTACTTATCAGACAACCCAGGCTCCGGCAGACAGCTGTTGGCCGTCCACTTCAACCTGGAACGCTCTCAACACCTCTGTATCAGGCCAACTCATCGCCGTCCAGCCCGTAGCAATTTCGTGCTATTCGGGCCCCCTCTTCAACAACGAGACATGCGCCGAGGTCAACGCGAAGTGGGATAAATGCGCCTGGCAAGCAGAGCAGCCAGCTGGATTGTGCCAGGACGCTGGCGACCAGATGTGTCCCCCCGTTGATCCTCCAGCCGGGGCCACAGAAAGCTGCACCATCGGAAACCAGCCAAGATATGCGGTCAATGCGACATCACCCGAACATGTTGTATCCGGAATCAAGTTCGCTGCAAAGAACAATGTCAGACTTGTTGTGAAAACAACTGGCCATGATTTACTTCGACGGTCCCAAGGGTTCGGGAGCTTGGAGATCTGGTTGAGATATTTCCGCACCGGTCTCGACTTCCAGGAAAGATTCCAATCTTCTAGCAACTGCAAGAAGTCAAAATGGAGAGGCAGTGCCATGAAAATTGGCGGGGGCTACCAGTGGAGTGACGTTTATGCCAAAGCAAAAGAAAATAATGTCGTCGTGGTTGGCGGAGGAGCGCCGTCTATCGGGGCCATCGGTGGTTGGATGCAAGGGGGCGGCATGGGACCAGCTTCTCATCATTTCGGCATAGGCGCAGATCAGTTGCTTGAAGCCGAGGTAGCATTGCCAGATGGGAACATCGTCACGGTGGACGCATGCCGGAACCGCGACATTTACACTGCCATACGAGGTGGAGGCCCTAGCACCTACGGGATCGTGCTATCAGCGACTTTCAAAGCGCATCCGATGGTCGCTGGGGCGGGCCATCAACTCTCCTTTCCTTTCTCACCCGCCAACAGGTCTCAGTTTCTGGACGCCCTCACGGCGCTGTACTCTTCCTTTCCCGATCTCATGGATGCAGGCTACGCGGCATTCGGCTTCTGGAGTCTTACAGATGGATCACTTGTTGGAAGCGCCCCCCCAGGCTACTTCCACAACGCTTTCGTCCTTAACCAGACCCTCGCCGAAGCACAAGCTACATTCGCTCCGGTGCAGGAGAGACTTGAAAGTTTGGGCATCGACGTGTCCGTAACATGGTCATCGTATAACGACTACTGGGAGCTATTCAACAGCGTGGCTGGATATGATGATCCAGGGTTTCCCATCGGGGTATTCTATTCCCGATTTTTCGACAGAAAAGCCCTGCAGAGCAACATGACGAGCCTCAAGCAGACGATTGAAATAGTGGCCGGCGAGCCAGAGGATTCCACCCGCCAAACCATCGAGTGCATGTCGGGAGGCCAAGTTTTCCGGGACGCCAACGACCCCTATTCTGGCGCCCACCCTACGTGGCGCACATCATACTGCATGCACATTTCTCTACGTGACTTACCAGATGATGCTGATGATGACCTTATCTCGGCCATTAAACACGACATCACGAACGTCAAAGGTAGTGCAATGACAGCGCTCGCTCCAGACACTGGCACATATATGAATGAAGGTGGCCGGGAAGACCCAAGTTGGAAGGTGAATTTTTATGGCTCTAACTATGACCGTCATTTAAAAACCAAGAAATGCTACGATCCGAAGAGTATTTTCTATTGTCCGACTTGTGTAGGGAGCGATGAGTGGGCAGAAGATGACACGGGTCGGTTGTGCCGGGTGAAATCGAAGGTTTGAGGGTATACGACATGGGGAAACCTCTTCATTTTTCAATTCTATTTGATGCAACCAGAGCTCAACCTCTGTTAAAGCTGTAAGGATTTAATCCTGTATTCAACTACACAGATTGACATGCCTACCTTTTAGCGCGTAAACAAATTAAAAGAATTTTCATTTTCACAATCTCTTAAGCAGCTCAAAGTCGAGAGCTAAGGTCTGGTACTTGTAATTGTATTTAAGATACTTTGAGTAGGAAGTATGTGTGGTATACTTAAGTATATAAGAGAATAAAATATTATTAATAAAAGAGTAGGGTCGAGGCGGCACCGACGCAAGCACGAGTCTTTTGGACTCCCTTGATGATAATCAAGAAAAGAGTTCGCGTGCGACTTTCCGTTTTCAAATCAATCCTTCCTATCAGATCAAGTCATCCTATACTTTTTATCTTACCTACGGAAAATTCGGGATAGGATCAATCATTGATATCCAGAGCGTCAGAAACATGGTAGAAATTAATTTTAATTCGCTGCTCGGGAACGTCATCATTGTTAGCGACACTTTGCTTGAAATCTGATTTCTTGATTATTAGTGAATGCCACACTGGATGTGCGCAGTTAGAGATCAAGGAAACAGGTCAGAGCGAGATGATCAAACGCTCGGATTTCCAGCGGCTTTGGGTATTTCAGTATTGGACTATCCCTGTATTTATAGAATGTCCCTATGAAGATAGTATTCTAAATGGGTTTAGAATAGAACAGTCCTACTTTACTTGAAGGCAAATTCACCGGGGCGAAAGTAGATGCCAGGGTATATGAACAGCAGTCTTGGAAGTTTAAAACCTTTTTCAATGTTACTAATGCCCTTTCAACTTTCAAGAGAACCATAAAGGCACCAAAAGCAGCGTAGTGAAGTAAAAAAAGGCCAGAGACTCACCTAGTCCAAGTCAACTCTATTCCAGCTTGAATACTGATGTGTTCCAGTTCGGCCTTTCTATCGACGCTCAATTCCCGTAAAGGGAACAGTTGCAGAGTCATATGTCGAAGAGGAGTTGAAACCTCTGTCCTGTCTTCTAACTCTAGCTCTGATTTGAGCGAGCAGAATAAGATCTCGACCTGGTCCCACTCAGACTTATCATCATAAAACAAGTCATCCGTCAAAGTGAGGAACTGGGTACTTTTAGGAATTGCACCCCCCAAATGCTTGCCCGAGGATGGCGAAAACCCCATGATGAAGATCCATGGTATTTGGAGCCGCTCTAGCTTGTCAAGACGAGTCATGTCATACAGCGAGCCTTTTATCACCAGAGGAGGGTCGATGAAATTCACAGCCAGGGATTCAGCTGTGATGGTCAAATCCTTCAGTGTTTCGTGAACAGAATACATTGCCGCACCAATTTTGTCGAGGTCAATGACAGGCTCACAAATTTCTGGGTCAATGTCCTCACGATGAAACCATCGCCATTCTATTTTTTGGACGCCCTTGAGGACGCCGATGAGATCTCCCAGCCATACTTCCCGCCACCTGCCCAAATTCAATGACACAAGCGATGTAGGGGCGGGTGCTTCCGCCGGCCACTCGAATTCGGCCGGGTTATGGATAACGGTAGATAGGTACCGAATGTTTGGTAGATAGAAGAATGGAAGCATATCCATGGTATTTTTGACTTCTTCGGGTCGATAGTCATCTGGCCAGCAATCCAGGTTGACATACCGAAGATTTTGGAATCGGGGTAGTTGATATTCTGATGGGCTGCAAAGGGCGAGCCTAAGCATCATGCCCAAAGCTTGATTATCGATCAGGTAGTTCGGTCTGAGGTGGAGAGAAGTCAAATTGGACAACTGGGCTAATAAAAGAGTTATGATTGCGTCCATCGAGCCAGACTGCAATTCTTGGATCCAGACATCGACGTAAGGAGTTTTAGTCCGCCTGATGGCTTCTGAGACTTTCTCCATTTGAAGTGCGGCGACAGATATTTTAGGAGGAAGTTCGTTGTGGTAGAATCCGGCTCCATCAAAGTACAAA